AAACTCGATTTATCATTTTGGAGACTTGGTTGCACTTTCGTTCTTTGACAAAGTAAGCATCGCTACCGAGGGGAGCGTGGAAAATTATCATCCACGAGAACCGAAAAAGCAAAAAATCTTGCAAACATCTGAGATGCATCGAGCTGAGTGGCTGATGTATATCTACCTATGTTCCACAGACACATCATGACAGGATCGGATACTTCTTCTACTTATGCGAACAGATCTAATCTTCATCTGCATCGCAGCAGATAGTCCACTTAACCATAGACTCTTTTTGGTGTGGTTTGTCACTGCGCAGAAAACAGAATCTGCGAATGCTAAAAATGGACGCGTCTCTTGATGTGAAATACACGTCAAGATGAATTGTCCTAACAGCGCTGGAAATTAACACAAAAGGAATCAAGGCAACCTCGATATGGCACACTCTGGACCACGTAGGTTCGAGGCTATCCCTTTTCCTGTTCTGAAAAACGAAAAAAGCTCTGTCCACTAGTTGATATGCAAACAGGTGGCAGTAGAAAGTAGCGCGAAACGAGTTTCAATAAACGAAGGCAGGCACCTCAAATGCAAACGTATAGACCACAACAAATGCGTTTAAAAAAGTATGTGAATGACATGGAGTAAGTACGCAAACTGCTGGGGGCTGTTAGTGCTATCGGTGTGGATCACCTAAGTCTACTTTAACTTTTTCATCAACTGGTGCTTCTACATCTTGCGCCGTTTTGCGTCTGGCGGCTGCAGCGAAGAAGCAGGTGTGACATTTTGCGAGGCAGCTTCTCTTGGAGACGAGGCGGATCCTGCCAGTTGTAGCGCAGGCATGACAGGAAAAGTCGCCCCGGCGTCCCCGCTGTTGCTCGTTTTCGGTGGCTATGCGATGCAAATATCACTCCGTCACTCCGGGTTGTTAGGATTCTCGTTGAAAAGAAACACTTGATCATGACAATAAGAAAGCGGAAGCGCTCATGCAGTTGTCATAATTGGACGTTCAAGCACGGGATTATGGTTTGATCATGTTCATGTTGCATTTTTGAATTTTCAGCGAAAAAAACATCAAGAATGAAATAACGTCCGCATGATATTAAAGTTGATTCGCTTTCGAGAATGACGGAGGTAATATTGTTTGCGTTCGATAGAGGCATGCTGGGCGAGTGGTGGCTCCTGCGGCGGACATCGGGGGAGTGCAGCGACTCGGTGGCGTGCTGCCGCCGCATGTGCGGTGAGGATATGCCGCACATCTTCTCCGGCTGTAAAATTTCGTCCACCTGGGACTTGTTCAGAAATCCCTTCTCCACCACGACTTCGCCGACAGCCCGGTTTTCCTTCAGCGCCGTCTTCGCCACCAGGGAGGCGTTCTTGTAGCCGATGGTGGGCAGCAGGGACGTGACGATCCCGATGGAGTTGTGCACCAGCTCCCGGCAGCGGTCCTCGTTGGCGCCGATGCCGTCCACACACCGGAGGCGCAGCGTGTCCATGCCCTTGCTGAGCACCTGCATCATCATGAAGATGGAGTGTATGATCACGGGTTCGAACACGTTCAGCTCGAGCTGCCCGGCCTCGGACGCCATCACCACCGTGTTGTCCATGCCAATCACCTGGAACGAGCACATGCTCATCACCTCCGGGATCACCGGGTTCACCTTGCCCGGCATGATGCTGCTCCCGGGCGCCATGTCCGGGAGGTGGATTTCGTTGAAGCCGCACCGGGGCCCGGACGCGAGCAGCCGCAGGTCGTTGCAGATCTTGGAGATCTTGACCGCCACGCGGCGGAGGATCCCGCTGAAGAACAGCATGGCGCCCACGGAGCTGCTGGCCTCGATCAGGTCCGGGGCGAGCTGGATGGGGAGCCCGGTCACCCGCTTCAGCTCCTCGACGGCGGTCTCGCTGAATCGCGGGTCCGCGGCAATCTTCGTGCCGATCGCCGTGCCGCCCAGGTTGCAGAAGCAGAACCGGTCCACGCCCTTGGTGACCTCTTCCAAGTCGTACCCAATCGTCGTGGCGTAGCCGTTAAACTCCTGGCCCAGCGTCATCGGCACGGCGTCCTGCAGCTGGGTGCGGCCCATCTTCACGACGCTGCAAAATTCTTCGGCCTTGTTCAAAAAGGACTGCCGCAGCTGCTCCATGGACTTCACTAAATGCTTGTGCATGTGGTGGATGGCAATCTTGGCGCTGGTTGGGTACGTGTCGTTGGTCGACTGGGCCTTGTTCACGTGGTCATTCGGGTGGCAGAACTGGTAGTCGCCCTTCTTCTTGCCCATGATTTCCAGGGCCCGGTTCGCAATCACCTCGTTGGCGTTCATGTTGGTGGACGTCCCGGCGCCGCCTTGCACCTATCCTGTGCAAAAGTATCGTACTCCTAGTCATTGCAGTCATGCATGACAAGTCTGGTTCGTTCCTTAGCTTATTCAGCATTACAAATTCCATTTTTCCTTCTGGAAAAATTTGTGATGCTATTTCTACTAGTACGATACTTTTGCAATGCATAGCACCATGTCTACCACGAAACTGTACCGCAGGTTCCGCATGATGTCCGCCTTCTCGGGCTCCTTCTCCTCGTACCGCTTATCCTGCAGAAAAGCACAACACCCAGCAATATTCAAAAATACTTATTTGCGATTTGCAGCTGTCTCAAGTGTGGTCACAAAGAATGGTCTCTTTTTGCCGGCTTTTCAAGAACGTGACGAATTTTATTTCAAGTCCTGGACTACTTGATGACTCCAGCTACAGGTCCGCATCTTTACACTCTCCATCTTTTATTTTAATTACAACAGTATGACCACAGAAATAAATTGCCTCGCTAGTGGCTCAGCATTGCAAGAAAAGGCTATCGGGACGGGAGAACAGCGAAACACAAATTCAATTTTTTCTGGTGTAGGAGTAGGTATGCTTTTCTCTAGGATAGTGGTCCGGGTCCTCGATGAGCTCGTCGCAGGCCTGCACGATCGCGACCATGATTTTTTTGTCAAGCCCACCGAGGCGATGGTTGGCCAGCGCACAGGACTTTTTCACCTGCGCAAATGCAGTGATAAACGAGGGGAACTGCCGCAGCAGCATACCGGTGATCTGGTAGTTATCCACCGCACGCAGGGTTTGCACGCCGTAGTAGGCGCCGACGGGCACTTCGCGCTCGCCGATCAGATCGCGCTCCAAGCGGGTCGGCCCCGTGATGGAGACCGGACACCCGCCGTGGCGCCCGTGACGCTGAAACGACAATCCTACACTCTCAGCCGCGGATCCGCCTGCCGATACATTGCTGTGGCGGGCCGGGACGTTGTGGTCTACCGACAGGTGCTGGTGCGTTCGCGGCGGAGAGCCAGGCTTGGTCGGCTGGCCTGCGGGTGCGCTCGACATGCTGATGTTCTTTTTTAGATAGTTTAGCAGTTGAAATCAATTCGGCGGCAAGCGCGATGCAAAAAGAAAAAGAAATGGATTTATTTACTATTTCCAGGAGGTTCTTTAGGTCTTCGGGAAAAGAAGATAGGTGGATCGCACAGATTATACAAGGAAAACTTTTATTGAAGATGAAATAGCGGTTGAGGCGAAATTAAATAGCGAAGGATAATGACAAAAGGTGTTCGCTGCTAGGAAGAGCTCCACTAGGTAGAGTAAACTTTGAATGTTAGCAGCCGAAAATGATGCATGTTTCACATCAAGAGCAAACTGCAGAGAAGGGGGCATTAAAATGGCAGTGTGAACTTTCGATTTTCAAAACCGACAAGCACTATAGTACTTGCCTCTGGCAACCGATGTGAGCGCTCGTTATTTCCATTTCCTCATTTCGTGGACAAAACAGAAATTTTTTTTTTTACAAAAGCAGGGTCATAAATTTGCTTCAACAGGTTGACTACATCGCTGGTATTAAAGTACGTAGATCTGTCTTTATTGAGTAGGCATGCAGGCAACGATGTGACCGAAGGCAAGGGAACCACCTGTGGTATCATCACCGATAATGAGGATGCTTTTAGTTTCATCTATATCGTTGTCGCGTCGATGGCACATCAGATACATACATCCTAGCTCTTGTAGTTTCCTATCGGAACAACTCAATGGGTTACAGGAGTGCAACCTCAAGTGTCTATCGCAAGGTGGCCGTTTTTCCGGCATTCCTTCCACATTCTTGTAAGTAATCTTTTATGTTGACATCGAGGAGGCACCGTCGTTATTGTTTCAGGAGTCTCAATTTCTAGGAAGGCAGGGGTTCTGCTACAGGAGCTGCCCTTGTACCGAAGTACTGCGGGTTGCAGCTCGAGTTTAGAATAAATGTGGGAATTCTACTTTTGTCCACCCTTCGTTTTTCCGCATTTGCGTTGCAGCTTTTCCAATAACAATATCTCCGTCTACTGCGACTGTTCGGCTCCTGATTTTGTTGAAGAAACAGAAACACCTTTCGGTTGTTCCTATTAAAGCTCCTCGTCCGAGTCTACGCTCGCTTCTCCACTTTTTTCTTCGTAACTTTCTTCATCTTGCTTCTGCTGCTCCTCCTCGTCGTCGCTTTCCGCTTCAGAGTCGGTGCCGTCGCCGTTTTGGGCCTTCTTATACTGCTCGTTCGCACGTCGCAAGTCCTCCTCCTCTTCTGAGTCCCGATCTAGATCCGTTCGTCGCGCCACGTATGCATTGCAAAAGCATCGCACTAGTAGAAATCGCATTACAAATTCGGCCCGCATGAGAAATAGAATTTGTCATGCTGTTTCACCTTGGAATAGAGAATTGTAATGCATGATTGCGATTACTACAAATACGATACAGTAGTTGCACAGGCTACCACAGTTTCCTCATAAATTTCGCGCATGTTGTAGTTGTACCGTTTCTGGTATCCTGTGCAAAAGTACCGCATTCGTACTATATCGCATTGATGCATTACAAATTTCCTTCTCAAGCTAAATGCGCATTAGAAATTCCACTTCTCATGATGAGGAAATCTGTCATGCGATTTATACTACTACGATACTTGTGCAGTGCATATCTGGTACCGCCTCTTCATCAGTTCGCGCACGCTACTATCAAATGTAAAAGTGTCTGGGTCTGGAAGATTCTGAGAAATGTCATGCATGTTTTGCATGACCCAGGATGTCTGTAATGCACGACCGCGCATCACAGATTTTGCGCTGGCTTCCTGATGGCTACTCCGCATGACAAATGCCCTCCCCGCGTAGCACAAAGTAGACTCCTCGTCTTGCTGGTCATGCAATACAGATTTTTCTAGAGTCCAAGGTTAGCATCACAAGTTCCAATCTTCCAGACCCAGACATTTTTACATTTGATAGCTCCCCAAGACCCCCTCGTCGAAAAAGGTCACATCGTGAAACACCATGCGTATGGATTGCAAAAATGTCTGGGTCTGGAAGGATGCGAACTTGTGATGCGTGTTGCGGATCATACAAAAATCTGTGTTGCGTGACTTTCAAAAGGTCCCCATTTCTGGCCATTCTGAGAGGGCATTTCTCATGCAGAATAGGCATCACCAAGGGGCTCCAGAACCTGTGATGCCAGGCCCTGCATTCCAGACTTGGCGGAGCTTGGAAAAACTGCATGACAAGTCTCGGAATCTTCCAGACCCAGACATTTTTGCAATGCATAATGCGACTACCGTCCTCCCTCGGTGGCAGCGGCGTGCAAACCGTCTCGTTCGTCGGCAGGCTAGCCTTCGGCCGCGTTTTGGAGAGGTCCGGGATGGTGTCCAGGTTCTCCGCCCAATGAAAATCATCCTGCCGACTCCACCTTGTCGATACAATTACAAGTGCCTTATAGAGGTTTTCAACACGACTGGCACACGCACAGACACACACACGTGCGGCATCGAGAAAGGTCATGATGCATGATCAGCAATTTTGTCCTGCGTGAGGACTTGGCCATTTAAGTACGGTTTACAGAAGGTTTCTTTGTGTTTGTAGTTTCTCATGTGAAGATAGAAGAGTACAACTTACCAAACGTTGACCGCCAGATTGCGGGTTCCCCCAGAATTGACCTGGTGAAACCAGCCGTTGGGAATGAAGAGAATGTCGCCCTTGTACATCGTCAGCCGTTGCTTCGGCACGTGAAAAAATTTGGGGTGCTTTTTCAGGTTCACCCGATCTTGGTTGATCCTGGAGTAGCCCCCCTTGATCGCAATTTCGCGGGCAAACTTGGGGTCGATCAGCGTGACGAGCTTGCTGCCCTCCTGGAGCATGAGAAAGTTGTCGGCGTCATCTTGGTGCAGCACGGAGCTGGTGCCTCCGCTGGAGAACCAGATGGTCATCGACTGATACAGGTTTTCCTCGCAAGCCAGCATTCTGGGGATTTCCACATCGCTCTGCAACCTCTCCTCCGCAGATAACTTCTTTTTCGATGAACTAGATTTGGCGGCTCTGGTTCTTTTGGAAGATTTGAGGTCGAGCATCTTGCGGTTGTGCAGCACAAATTCGGGCGGCGCGCCGTCCTTCGCCTTTTTCCCCTTCGGGCCCTTCACCGCGAACGCTTTCATCAGCCCCGCAGGACTTTGGCCGAACTCCGGGACCGCCTCGGTGCCGATGATGGCATACAGATCCTCCACGTCCTTGCGTTTGATGAAGTCCTTGAACAGCATCTGTGCTCGGGGCCCGCCCCGGACCTCCGATTTGGATCGTTCCGCATTCACAACAATTTTGCCGATCTTTTTGTCCTTTGCAAAGTACTGGTCGGTCCACTTCTCCAAGAAGGGGTTGCGGAAGTTCGCGTTCCGGAACAGCACCGGCTGGTGGTGTCGGGCGTACTTCTCGTAAAATTCTGCCCAGTCGATTTCGCCTGATACCACCGGCACTGTGTTGGTCGTCGCGGGAAAGTCCGCCATTGGCGCCCCGTCTAGTTCGTGGAATTTCTTTTTACCGCCCGAGGATTTAGTATCCTCCTCATCGTCCTCATTCTCCTCCTCTATTGCCTCCGGGATCTTCTTCGTGCTGCTCGGGCGATCGTTTGAGTTTGTGGCTTTCTTCGATTTTTCTGCGTCACTGGTGGCACTTGCTGCCTTTTTGCCACCGCTATCCTTTTGCTTGTTCTGTTTCTTTTTCGCCTTTTTTTCACTTTTGGCTTGCTTCGCACTCTTTTTTTTCGCACCACTTTTTTTGCCGACAACTTCCAGGGTGGGAAGTTGCTCCTGTGATGTGCACAGCTCGTGAAATGGACGCAACAGAGACACGATCACGAACGAAGTAGCTACAGCACGAGTCACGAAGCCACCAGTCGCACGAGGCAAGTAGCTTGCCATGCCCGACATGATTTGGATTTGCCTGCAAAAAACGCCTTATATAGAGGATCTGGTTTCTGGTATTTTTAGTACTCTTTTCTCTGCTGCTTCCTATAATTCTCTGTTCAATGATGCAATGGGAAATCTGAACCTTCGCGTTCTCCTTGACATCTCGGGATCCTTGCACGAAGATAACGCTAGGAATGAATGAACACGTACTTAGTTGGAGGACACACTGGCCCCGTCTTCCACCTTGTTGCAACTCCAAGAACAAAACTCCGTGAACGAAGTGATCACTTAGAAGTACTGACGGCGGGACCTCTTCTGTGTCAACATATTATCGTTGGTACTTTACTATGTATCGTGGCATCTGTCTCGGCGACCGCGTGAAAGAAGCCGTGACTTTTGTCAGAAAAATCGTCACATGTTCGGCGGGGGACGGGGGCGTCTTCACCATTTATTCGATGCGAGAACACGTGGATCCCAGTAATAGCCCCTACTAGTTACTAGGTTCGCGCGCTGTCAAGATTCGCTGGGACATGCTGCAACCACATAGTAGAGGTTGTCTTCATGGATATTGTCGCGGAATTTTTTTGTCGCTTGGTGTCGCAGCCAATCGTCGAGCAAAACGGAGCGAAGGCGCTTGCTTATGCTTTTCCTGTCGTGAGCAGAAAGTAGTTTCTTAGTAGAGGAACAGGGGTCTTCAACAGCTTTTCCTTTTCGCCGACCTCTACAAATCCGCATTTTTGCCTCGCGTATTGCTTTTGCCCACGTGGTCGTCTGATGATGTCTTGAGGTGGGTGCTTTCTCTACTTTCCTTGACAACAGAATCCGCAGCCTCTGCCCAGTGACTTGCTTCCTCTCCATCTTCTTCGTCGTCGGGAAACAGGCTAGTAGTCGTCCCTGAGCGGCCTGTGCTCGGGTTTTTTTTGCTGGCGTGGACTTCTTGTGTTCTGTTGCTCTGGTTTTCTGGATCCGAAGACGCTGGCACTTGTTCTCTCCTATCTGAAGATGATGCTGAGCTAGAACCACTTCTTATTTTCGCCGTTGAGGACGAAGAGGAACTTCCTGAAGCCGCAGCACTGGAAGCAGCACTACCGGCTGCTTGCTCCGCCTGCTCTGCGGCCTCCTCCATTTCGAGATCTTTGAGTTTCGGCAGCTGAAGGCGAGAGGAAGATTCGGGCGGGGCGATTTTGTTCACGCCCCAATCGATCAGCTCGTCCACCGGCCATCGCAAATCCTCAAGCTGGAAGCTGCTCCGGGACAACTCATTTCCTGCCGCGTAGAAGAGGAGCAAGAAGAGGGCCCTGATAGATCGATAAATTGAACGTCGTGCTGTACAAGTTCAAGTGAGTCTACAATTTCACCCGCTTCATGTAAAAATTCCTTCAGGCGACTTTATGGCATGTTGGAAACTAAAAAAATGTCTGATACACTACTAACAACCGTCGGTGTCGCAGAGCCAGAAGCAAGTGGTTGCTGATCGATGCTGATACAAAAGTATGTCCGACTGCGACAGGAAGATTTGGATCCAAACAAATCAAGATCTGGTACCTGAGTATGAGAAAAGCCTCGTCGTCACAGGTTTTCGCGAGAAACCACAACGGACGATGAGCTTCGTACCACGGGAGAGAGTCATCGAACAGATTTGGCATGAGCCAAAACTCGAAGCCAATAATCCAGAAGACCAGAAATAGCAGAATGCGTAACCAGCAGAAGACGATGAAACCGACGGAAACAAGGACGGCACCGTACCAAAGGAATAGCTTGATCCACATAGGCCATACCGGAAAAAGGATCACCATTATCACCGCAAAAACGATGAGAAACTGTAGTGATAGTTTGTGCTCTATGTGTAGTTTTATGGAATGATCATGAAAACGAATATCGGTATCATCGTCAAGGTCAATGATGAAGGCGGAAAAATGATAAGATGGATACGTAACATGTCTAAGCGTTAATAGCTAGTCCTAGTTGTACTATCTTCAGCAAGACACCGAAATTAAAAAATGACAATGAGTAGCACTACTACCAAAACGAAATCGATGACTGAGAAAAAAATACCGCGTATAGTCGGTGATAGGGGTCCGGCTTCTCGTAGTTAATGATGTAAAAGTCGTCCTTCCCGAACCAGCCTTCTGCTGTCCGCACGATGCGTTCTGGCCACTTCTTGGGTTTTGCTGTGGAGCCAAGCGCCTCGTACCGTGCTCGGCTTAGTATCCTGCTGAGCAGCAGCTTGTTCATGATTTCTTCCGCCACTGCTGGCGTTATCACTGTCAGCTTGCGCTCCAGCAGCCGACCGAAAACGGCCAGGTAAACCGGGTGCTTCGCCCGGAGCTCTTCCATAGTGAAACAGTAGTCGCGGCCGCGAAAGTAGGTCACCTTTCTGCGCCCGAGCTCAGACGTTACTTTCACCCCCGTACTCAGGCCGGTTTTTCCGGTCGTGCGTACCCCGCCCTTGGCCCGGGACAGCAACGTCACCGCGTCTTTCACCGGTTCTGTCCATTCCGGTAATTCTTCCTCCATGATTATCGAGCCAATATATAACTTGGTTTTTATCGATTTATGCGTGAGGAGAGCAAACAACACTCAATGCGCTCTGGTGCACAACCACAATATCGCGCTGCTCAACAGAAATATTAATATGGTGCCAATACTCACGATAGGTCAATTTTCCAAGTGCGAGAGCGAGGGCCAGGGGCCAAAAAAAAAATGTGGAATGATCGGGTGGGAACAGGACTATTCCTAGAAAATTCCTTTGGAAAATGAAATCGTAATCGATCAAGAAATTATTTTTTTAGGACAAAAGTGAGGGATATATTATTGAGGATCAGTGACAGTGAGCTGCTGGGGTCGTTTTGGTCTTCAAGTGTAATCGCTGGAACCAAAAATTAAACGACCGAAAGAAGGGTGGAGCTGATTTCTTCTTGTGCGTGCAATGGCCATGATCAGGATCTTCTCATCAGAAGGGCGAAGTCTCGGAAGGCGATGGAAAATAAGGCGTCACCAGCTTGGAGACAATTTTTGTTTGTTACTGACGCAAGAGCCTGCGCATATTTCGTGGCTTTGTCATCTTACACGTGCGATAGCGATCACGCAGGAAATTATGTCGGTCGTCAAAACACTAACCCCAAGCTAAGTATTCAAATTATGTTGCTCCTGGCGGACGCGCGCTTCTGCTCGCAAAGCGTGCCGTGACATCTCAGATTTCGACTCTGCGGCGAATCTTCGTTGTAGGCGGTGCCGGACAAAAGCATCTTTACTCCTCCCCTTCAACACCAGCAAACATGTTTACGAAAGCCATATTACACAACAAGATGTCAATCAGCAACCTGAGTACTAACTACAGTACATTCTTCCATCCCGCGATGAAAGGGACACGACTCGCTTCGCTTCTTAGTCGTCTTCACCAGATTCCTTCTTTTGCCTCAAAATTTCGTCGTATTCCGAATGCGGGAGCGGCTGGTCGGGCACTGTTAGTGCGGACGTGAATTGCGGATTCATTTCATGCAGGGGGGGCGCAATGTTCTCCGGCCACGCCTCCATTTCGTCATCTAGGGCAGCGCCTTTCACCTGCACAGAGGTGCCACTTCCAGTGGACGGGGCGATGTGGTACGGTTGTTTCATCAGCCGCCGCGAAGGAGCGCTGGTGCCAAGAACGCCCCCCGCCGCCGTCCCGTTACTGGAGTTGGTGCTATTTGATTTTGACTCCGGGATCAGATAGCTCGGAGACTGTAGCGCTGGACTCCGGGCTGCGCTCGTCTTTAATATCACAGGACCACCAGGAGTAGCTCCTCCGGGGTCAAGTTGACGCTGATCTGTTTTTGATGAGGTAAAAACAGTACCACCTCGTCCCTCGGTCGTAGTACCTTGATCAAGGTCGTTTGCGTTGCTCAATGTGCTGTCCAGTGCATTGGAATCAACGGGTCGTCGTTGATGTTCCGAGGTAGTGGTTTTTGCGTCAATCAAGGAAGGCGCAATTTCGTCCTCATCGACGTCAACGTCACCTGCACGACCAGAGCTTGAGTTTGCGGCACCTTGCGAAGCGGCACTAGTACCAGGCACTGTGCTATCAGAAGGTGCGGCTGTGGATCCTGAGGAAGAGAAGGCAGCTGATGTGGATGATGAGGATGACGAAGCGAACAGAAGGTCCCGCGACGCAGACGACGGGCTGGAAGATATTTGGCCGCGAATCGCAAGGAGGTCGGGCGCATGATCTTGGTCAATTTTTTCAAAATCAGACCCGGAGCTCTTGATTTCGATCTTGGCTTCCATTTTCGAGCGTTCGAAAACCTCCTCGATCACTTTGGCCTCCTCAGCATCGTCCTCTTCGTCTTCGTCTTCCAGAGCAGCATCCTCCCCACTCACACTGGATATGCGCGTGGTCAAGAATTGCTCCGCTTGTTCTTGCGCGGGCAGTTGCTGCTGTTGATCCGCGATTTTTTCGATTGCCGGCGGCGCAGTCGGTGTAGTCGGTTTGTTCGCCGCTTGGTTCTGCTTGGTCGCCACGACAAGCGCGTCGGACAATTGCTCCGACTGTGCCCCCTCTTGTAGCTCGGCGGCGGCAATTTTTCTGGCACTGACGGCGTGTTCGGACACTTCTGTGTCTACTGCCGGAGTCGACATTGCGGATGCCGGAACCACGCCGATGTCGTCATTTTGCTCATCATCTTCTGCGGACGATGAAGAAGCGCCAGTACTGCTACCTACCCCGAGGAGCATTTTCTTCATCTCTTTACTCGCGGCTTCGACATCTGTCTCCAAAAGAAGGTCGGGCGCAGGGGGCGCTCCACCGCCCCGAGCGGCGTCCTCGTCCGCTTTCCTGGTAGGGAAATCGCCACCTTGTGATGTCACCGCTGGCGTCGAAGCTACTTCCTGATTTTCGTCTACGCTACCTGGTGCCCCCGGTTGCTGGGTTGAAGCACTAGAGGACTGTTGCTCTTTGATATTACTCAGACTGCCTGTAGTACCGGTTGCTGTCCCAGCAGCTGCAAGAAGTGACGCGGTGCCACTCAAAGCTGTAGTTCCTGCGAGCGCGGCTTCTTGCCGACTGCTGATCGTGCTTCCGGTGGGGCTGTTGGTGCTGAAGTGTAGGCTTTCCGTGTCGCTGAATTCGTGGTCCTCATCCAAGAAGGTCGCGGTCGTGTGAGTGGGCGCGGTGGGGATGGGGAAGTTCAGAGCCCGCGCCACTTCGCGGTCACTCGAGTGCTGCAATGAGCGGCCCGCGGCCAGCAGTTTGCGGTGGTGGCAACACTTCCCGATGCCCGGCTTGAGGTGCGGACCGATCAGCAGCGCCCACTGCAGTCGCACGTGCCGCACCTTGTCCGCAGCGAGGTCGCCCAGATTCGTCAGAAAAAACGACACAAACCGGCGGCTGACAGTGTTGTCCCGGATCAGGGAGTCCACCATCTTCAGATAGGTGATGCGGTTCTGAAAGTTTCCGTCTTTGAAGGTTTTTCTCAGGTGATTCACGATGCGCTTCGTGCGGAGCGAGAAGTACTTGTTGTTGTAAAAATGATTCATCTTGTTCCCAGACTGTATCGCCGAATGTAGTTGTCCGGTTGTAGTTGACGAGGATCCTTTGCCCGTTGGCGTGCTGCCGACGCTCATTGTGGTCGTTGCCATGGTGGTTCTGGGAGAGGGATCAAATTTGTTAGTCGCGATCATATTACCTCCGCCGCCTCCGCGAGAAGAGGACACCGATGCCGGAGAGTCGCCCGACGATATTGACGAGGCAGGGCCACCAGCGGTCATGTGATCCGATTCGCCGCTGCTACTCAGTTCGGCACTGATTTTCGACGGTGAGGGGGACGACGCATTGGCACCTCCTGGAATATTAACACCGCCCCCTCGGGTCGTCGACGAGGAAGTATGTTTTCGTGCCTCTTCGCAGACGGCCTTCAAAACCAGATGGGTGGCGGCTGCTGCTTTGGACCGAACGAGTGCGACGCCGTCGTGTAGCAATTTGAGGTACGTGGGGAGCAAGTGAACGAACACCAAGTTGTGGTCGTGGGTGTATTTTTATCCTGTGCAAAAGCATCGTACTCGTATAAATGCAGGTCTCGTCTTGCATTACAAATCCTGTTCCCAAGGCAAATCTGCATTACAAATTTTATTTCTCATGCTGAGGAAATTTGTAATGCATTTATACGAGTACGATACTTTTGCAGATCATAATTTTTCGCAGAGTGCCGGCAAGCTGACCGTGGCGATCAGGTGGCGCAGCCTCCAATTGTCCGTGGATGCCATCATGTGCGAGAGGCCCATCAGATACTGCGGATGAACCTCAAACATGCCCACGTGCTTGGCGAGCCCGAGTTTCACGTCGTCGCGGTCCTGCGTGAACTTGCGAAACTGCTCTATCAGCTTTTCCTCCATGGAGCACGGCTTAATCTTATCTTGTCCCTGCAAGCTCGTCACTAGAACAAGTGCGTTTGGATTTGCCCGCTCGGCCGTTGCGATGAGGCCAGCGGTTGCGTTTGACGCCGCGGAAGTTAATGTTTGGCTGGTGCCGACTTCTAGGAGTGGTGGGACTATACCTTGCTCGATATCACCCTCCACCATGACGTCAGGGTCCTGATCGGGCTCTGAGTCATCTATTTTTCCGTTTGCCTGCTTCGAAGATGACGAGGTACCCGCGTCATTTGTTTTGCAGCTGCTGATAGTTGCGTTACTTTCGTTCTCGTTGGTATTTGCAAGGTCGTTCTCGACGACGTTCTTCGCCTTGGTTGCAGCCTTGTCAGCACCGTCAGGACCTTTGCTTGTTCCATCATCGAGCTTCTTTTGGACGTTATGATCCTTGTCATGCTCGGCGGAACTGTCTCCGCCGTTTGCCGTTTGTCCTTGACCACCGCCTCCACCGTGGACCAGCGCTAGTTTCTCGGCCTCGGTGTTGAAGCAACGTCCTATTTTCCACAACGAGCAGGCCACAGCCTGTCTTGTCCGCAACTCTTTGGATTCGCATAGCGAGAAGAAAAAGCTCTGGAATTCGGCGTAGCGATCAGGTTTTAGGGGCAAAATGGCTTCCAGGACGGCGGAAAAGGTGAACGCGAGGTGATAACGCACTTCGTTATGCTGTGCGTTGTTCGCGCCATTGGCCGGCCCGTGGCCTGCTGCAGAAGAGGTTGATGGACCCGTGGTACTTAGTGTTTCGAAATAATACCCGATCAGTTCGTCGGCCTCGTCAACCGCTTCCTTGCCACCAAACTTCTGTAGCGCGAACTGGTAAAAGAAGAAGTGTTAGTGTTTTTGAAAAATCGCGTCGCTTTGTTTCAAGTAGTCTTTACTACGAACAACTCCTCATTCACGAGCGCTCCTGTCCTGTTTGCGCAGCGAAGGCCTCCACAGGGATTACGCTTCGCAGCAACGCATGACTATGAAATAGTAGAATTTGATTTTGATGCACAGTTAAATGTAAACATAGTATTTTTACCAAGATGTAGCCCATGTTCTGACACAGCGCGAGGTGCACCCAGCGATTCTGGTCGTTGTAGAGCCGCTTGGCGATGCGGATACACTCCGGGTATTTCTTGGAGGTTTCGATCATGAGGGGCAGCTGCTCGCTTCCACACCGGCGCACGGTGTAGTTCACGTCTTCGCAGAGACGTTCGAACGTTTCAAACAGGCGGCTGCCACAGAATTTCTCGCCGGCGCAGTGGGCCACGTCCTTCATGTTGAGCAGCACGGCCTTGCGCACCGCCGCCTTCTGATCCTCCCCGAGGGCGATCAACTGAATGGCACAGAACTCCACGCACAGCTCCTTCGTCAGAGTCGGCGCCAGGCCATTGAGGAGGAAGGCGGACATGGCCCGGGCCTCCTCGTCGCTGTCGTTGGAGAGGGAAAGGACGGTCCGCAGCGCGTAATCGGTCCGCTCCTGCAAGCGCAGGTGGGAACTCAGGACGAGGAGGGCCTCCGCGGCGTCCTGTCGGGTTTCCTTGTAGACGGGGTCGAGCAGCAGAGTTGGAAACACGGGCACCAGGGTGGCTAGTACGTAGGCGTATCCGACCTCGGGGTTGCTCTGAATCAGGAACCCGGCCAGATCGCCGAACTGCAACAAAATCTGCTTCCGCACTTCCGCCTCGGCATCCCAGGCGAGCTTGGACAGGTAGGGCTGGATCAGGTGCTGGTACGCGGTTTCGCAGGACACCATCTGGTAGCACAACGAGGTATATCAACTGCAAAAATGTCTGGGTCTGGAAGAATGCCAGACTTGTCATGCAGGTTTTCCATGACCCATGAGGTCTGGTATGTGGGACGTAGCATGACAGATTCTGCGAGAGTTCTATCATGCCTATCCTGCATGAGAGTCTGCGTCTCGATTAGGGCTAAAGTGGACAGCTTTTGGTAATCACGCAACACAGATTTTTACATGATTCCAATTTAGCATGACAAGTTGCTTTGATGTTCCAGACCCAGTCATATTTGCATTTGATAAGGTGATTTCCTTCCCGAACACGACCCTCTGGACCGCGAGCTGACTATGGAAGCGTCAGGATTGAAATCGACAAAGTTGAAATATTTTCTCATGCACAAACTGCAAGGCATGAGGTGCCTCTCTTGCACGGATGGCAAGTGAGGCCGACTGTCAGCCTGTTTGGGGTGTGCGGTAGAGCTGCCAAAGCAGCACTACAAAAGACGCCTTCTGTCCCTAAACAGCATGACAAACTGGATTGAGGCGGTGCCGAAATTTGTCATGCGCCGCCTGGGAATTGGGCTTCCAACTGGTATCGATTTTGTGCATGACAAACTATTTCAACTTTGACGATTTCAATCCTGACGCTCCCATACTGACTGTTCGCAAAGTACCGGGCGCGTTCCAGCATCGCGGTCAGCATCTGCTCCTTCGTCTGGGGCTGGTCCTTCAGCTCGCCGCTGGTGGCCCCCCCAAGAGCCGAAGACGACCCCGAGTTGTTCGTCGATCCATGTTGATTTGTCGTGTTAGATGCACCTCCTGCTCCATGATGATCAGAGGGCGAGGAACTAGTACCCTCGCCGTAAGAACCAGACAAGTTGCCTCCACCGCCACTGGGTGGTCCAGCACCTCCCCCTCCGAGGGACGACGTCTGGTGCAGCCCACTGCCGTTATTTCTACTGCTGCCGCTGCCGCCACTGATAGCCGAGAGGAAATTCGACGCGCCAGACGAGGTCGTCGCGGACGTCGTGCTTGACGAGAACAACCCGCTGAGTGGCGCGGGGAGTTGGAAGGAAGAGCTCGAAGAACTGCTAGTTAATGTGGTCCCACCCGCATTGTACGAAGAGGATCTGTTGTGCGCGGAAGAGCTAGAGCCGCTTGACGGGGCGCTGCCGCCCGCGGTCCCGTTTCTGTTTTTCGTTCCCTTGTTGCTCGATGGCACGGGGAGAAAATGGCCCCCACCGGCACGCACAGCACTCCCACTCGCGGAAGTTGGGTCTCTACTTCCGGAGGAACCACGCCCGAAAAGATTCATCTGCTGAGCTCTTCAATTTTAAGAACGCAATTCTTGATCTTGTCCCATGTCCGTTCGACGAGTCCTCGCAGGAGTAGTGTGCTGTAGTTCTCAACAGCGTGAAGGAATGTTAGTGTTACTGCAAGCTAAATAAAATAAAAATACGTAAGTACTATCCAGACGGAGATGGATCATGGCCACTCGCGGCTTTAGTAATGGTGCACTCAATTTCTTCGCACTCCTTCGGGTACCCGGATGTTCTTTCTCACAACAGAACTACACAGGGAAACAACTACATGTACATATAATAAAAATGACATGAAGGTGGAGAGCTAGAATCCTCACAAGCGCAGCGCCAAAATCACAGGGCAAAGATACAACGCTTGCCTCATTGTTGTTGTAGTAGAACAGGAGTAAAGAAGCCTCATCCACAGACAGAGAGAAGGCACCAGAGGAGGACGCTTTCGTGCATAGAGAGATGGCACAAGTATCCGATAGTACCAGCAGACCGAATAGGAACACATAAATATCCCTCCTCTATGTCCGACGTCCTTTTTTATTTTTTGTGCAACTGTACTTCTTACACATACACACCCAACTCAAACAGTAGACACACGCTCGTGCTAGCTCGAAGTTTCAATTTCTCGTCCGGTATCGGTTCTGCTTCTGATCATCAAGGAGGACGAAAATAAAGACGCAACTTTCTTTCATCTTCTAAAAAATCGACAAAGTAGCACCGAAGGACACTCTTGGTTCCAGTACTATCCAAGATCTTCCCTAGTGTGAAAAGCAAACCTTGGTACACAGTGGGATGCATCACGACTCTCCTCCTGGTGTTGTGCAACCAATACTTACATTTTTTCAACAGTACTTTATCAAGTGCGCTGCCCAGAAAAGGCCTGTAGCACAGCTACTTGCGAGAATGTTCAGCGCACTTCTTTGGCTCCTGAATTCGTGGTGTCGAAAGTAGAAACTATATATCAACTTCCGTTCCCGTAGTTCTCGTCGGCAAAGTTGTAGTTCACTTCAACAAAAACAAAAAATTGGCTCTGAACTACCTTGTTCTAGCTTCTTCAATCCAATAAAGCTTTCGCGAGGACAGTCGACTTAGCATGTAGCACCTTGCGTGCTGGTGCTGTGCGTCACAGACGAGGGGAGCAGACCCGTTCATGTGCCTTCTACTGCAGTTTTTGATTTTCTCCACCTCTGGTGGTCCGGCAAAGGGTATGCACATGCGGCTACACCACATACGATTTTTATATACACAAAAGCTCAACGAGTCAACGTCATCAACTGTACTAGTACTAAGTGTAAACCTGATTGAAAAAGAAACTTAAAGAAGTAGTAATTGTCACAGTAGAAGCGCGATATGGAGTTCGGAACGAACAAGGTGCTGCAATTTTTGAAAATTGAATTGAAAAAGTCTTCACGCGTCGGATGCAGCTTTTCTTCATCTGCGTTGGCGCTTCGCCTCATGGCGGCCCGTGTCACCGTACTTCTGAAGATCCCGGGTGTCGTAGTCAAAAGTCTCGAATTTTCTGCCTTTGTACTCGTCTTTGTCTCTGCCGCCTCGGGTATCAAATGCAGATATGTCTGAGTCATCTGGAAGATTGCAAGATTTCTCATGCACATCTTGCATGATGCATGACGTCCGTGATGCATGTTGCCCTAGCATCACAGGTTTTGTGAGGGGTTCCTGATGCCTATACCGCATGAGAAATACCTATATATTTATAATACCCCTCCGCGTACTAGCAAGAACTGCGCTCCTCTGGCTCCTCACGCAATACAGATTTTTGTTTTTCTTTTTGCAGCATCCAAAGGCAGCATTACAAGTTCCAACCTTCCAGACCCAGACATATTTGCATTTCATATGGGGCCCTGCTAGCTCCATCTTTAGGATGGCAGTAGTCGCGGTCATCGTAGGTCAGACGGCTTTCAGGTTTTGAAGCTGGTGGCGTGCGGTATTGGAACCGAGGCACCCACAGGGGAATAGCACAAAACCGATCGCCGCGGCGGTTCTTGGTCAAGTTGAACCGGACCCAGTCACCCTCCTTCAACCCGGTCGGTCGCAAGACCCGATCGTGAATGAAGACGTCTTCTAGGTTTTCGGTCTTGGGGCCTTTCGTGACTCGGAGGAAGCCGTTGTTGGACCAGTTCAGGACGCGGTTCACCTGACCTTCGAACACGCCCGGGGTTTTCGCGGAAGAAGTCCCGTCCTGGATCCCTTTCGGATCTCCTAACAACAGCCAGTCCGCCGTCTCCAGCCAGGAGGGACGCTCCGTGCTCGCCGCTCGCCAATACCCGTCGTTTTTTTCCATACCCGACCTGTGCTTGTTCTTGTTGTGCTTTGTCTTCACAATGGAATCAGATGTATGAAGAAGAAGCCACTTTTTTTGCACTTCCTCGACTTTAAGACTTTATGTGAATTATGCACAAGTAGAACCTCGTCCTTTCTGTGTAGTAAGTGTAGCGATTTTAGTGCTACATACTTTATTGAGGAACCCGAAGAAATTTTAGTTTAGGTCTTTTTTTGAAGAATCAAATTATATGAGTACGGGGTCTTCAGTCCCTGCTTCGACTTGTCCGGTCGTTCGATCGGGATGCCTGCCGCTGGCCTCTTCATATTGACGTGGTCACGCGAGCTTCTTTCGGCGCCGAACCCCCGCTCGCGTTCTCGTTCCCGTTCCGCCCGACCGCCACCTCGTTCCCGTTCGTATTGCTCGATGGCTCTTGCTCCGAGATCGTCCGTGATGCGCACGCCCCGACCCTCTGCTATGAGGTCGTAGTTGTTTCTTTCCGTCTATGCACCCGCAAACATGTTAGGAAATGTTGAACAACTGAGAACGTCGGCAAACAGACGTCGGTGGCCTGGAGCCACAGCCATGCGCGCCGTATTCTTTTTTGTGCGCATTGCGCTTGCGCATGAATTGAAGGCAAGTCGCGTGTTTGCATGACGAAAAAGTAGACCCATTGCGTCAGAACCAGAGCAAGACCTCCAGTCAGGCCGAATAGGTAATAAATATGTCAGCCGGAGGACGAGAAAAGCATCTCGATCTTAACAGTCCCCAGAACGTTATTCTTCCACACCCGAACACATTTGCATGTGATACATTCAGAGGAACCTCGCCCTTCTCCCGGCAACGAATCCAGAAAGGGGTGCTAATACCATTGCGCATCAGGCTTGCGTCTTCGTCCACACAGAAGGCCAGTTCGTCTGCTACCCGAATGCCAGTAGTTCCGACGTCATCCTTCGACACAAAAGGGCCTCTATTGACGCAAAACTACTCCGAGTCAACTTACTTTTTCTGTACGCATGAAGATCAACTCTATGGTCTTCTGTATCCGCTTTCGCAAAGGAAGGTGATGCAAGCCACCATGCAAAACCAGTGAAAGAATTTGAATTGACTCGAAGTAGTTGTATATGTTTTCTGTGACATAATCCTCGTTAGTCATCGCGACACATTTCTTGGAAAACACGAAGCACGCCTGCGTCTTGCTTTTCTTGTAGACGTGTCCGACAAAGTCGCCGAAACGCGGAATCCTGCCGCGCCCTTCCCATTTTTCCTGGAGTGAGTTGTAGTTGTGTCATTGAGTGTTAGTGTAGCGCAGTCAGCTTTGGTGAAGGGGCCCAAATTCGTATGGCCAAGCATTTTCATTCAACGTTTCTTGTTGCAAGAACCCACGGGCCAAGTGTCTGGAAACGCTGCGGCTGGAGCTGCCGCTGCTCGAACTCGATAAGAAAAAGTACTTAAAAAGTCGAAATTGCAGTCGTCGTCCACCGAAGCACAAGCTTGCTGTGGTTCCAGCTGTGAAAAGAGACGCTATTTCCCCCCCCCCCGGTATTGGCTAATAACACACAACTTGAACTTTCTCTTTATTCTGACCCCGACGTCGTCCGATGAGCACTCTTGCGTTGCCCAACCTGCAGCAGGCGTCAGCTGCACTGGTACTAACACAGTGGCAAGCCAAGCTTGCTCAATACCAACTTGAAAAACAGAAAAACAAAACCCTCCATGGCTAAGCAGCCTGAACAAGCGCAAACGTGCTTTTCGTGCCTTTTGTAGGAGCGGCGCTTTTTGCTGTTGCATTGATACCCAAGCAACGGCATCATGATCCGCACCAGCAATACCGGCATCTGGACGAGCAAGCAGCGACGTTACCAGGGGCAAGAACGTAAGTTGTACTGGCAGAATGCGTAAAGCCAAGCTGATCTGAAATGCATATGCATCATGAAAAGTACCGCTTCTCGGGTGCTCCAGCCGATTCTCCAAATGGGCTTTTTCGAGTCCGCCAGTTGCCAGCCCTCGCCATTGTGAAAAATATTGACCGCCAGAATGTCCCCCGCCTTCAATTCGTACTTCGCCAGGGCTGTGTTTTCTACGAAGATCATGCGCTCCTTGGAAAAGGCATCCTGGGTTTCATCGAAGGCCTCCAAGTAGTTCTTTTTGCGCGGCGCTCGGTCGCGGGCTCCGCCGCGGCGGGCCCTTCCCGTCTCGTCCTCTTCGTCCGGGTCCTCTGCTGTCGGAGCAATCGCCTGATGGACTACCGTATGGTCCCCGTCTGGTGTTAAATGGTCTGACACGCGCCCAACGAGCACCGTCTCCGGGTCGCAGATCTTTGCTCTATCGTAGTCCGGCGCGTTTTCTTTTTCCTCGGCGAGCCGCAGCCGCTGTTTGCGGTTTTCCGATTGCAGCTTATAGTAGGCCGATTCCGCTGCTGGATGCCGATCAGTACCGCCAAGCTGTGGCTCTATCATCTCGAAAAACGTAATAGCTCGGCCCATTTTCATTTAGCTAATATTCGAACGCGATCGCGAATATAGAAGAAGAAGAAATACAAAACATGAAAAGACACTTTTGCACAACATTGCTCCGTTTACTTGTGTCTGCGTAAAAGAGTCGATATTTTTTCAGAGTACGTCTACGTTTCTAATATCGGGTGCTGAAGACGCTCACGCGTCGCACAAGATTCCAACAGGTCCATGAGAGTCACGAGTTCCAGACCACAGCAAGAGCAGCGATATTTGGTGCCGACGGGGCAAGGAGCATCCGCTTCTCCTTGCGCCGTCCGTCCCCCTAGTAAAAATGGTGCGTTTATTATTTCAATGTGTATAATCACGACCGAGTCCTGCCACGTTTTTCCACATGATAGGGCGCTCGATATGGTCGCTAGAAAAAACAGGCCGCTTCGACGGAGAGCGGCGCCGTCGCGCTGGGCCGCCTCGGGTATAGGTCAGGTCGCGGACCCGTTCGAGAGAAGCGTCTTTCTTATCATGGCGGTCTCGCCTGGCATCCCCGTAGTTCGCGGCTGCGTCTCTACTGCTGCCCGCGTCTTCACGCCCGCTTTGGTGCAGCCTGAGGGGGCTCCTGCCTCTGTCTTCACGACCCCTGTCCCCACGGCTGCTGGCGTTGTCAACAACACTCGTGCTCTTAGCTGAGGCCGCACCCCCGGTAACATCACCGGCTGTGGTCTCTTTCCTGGTTGCCAAGAGATCTTGGTGATGGTGAAAAGCTTGTTGACGATTCGAAACACTCATGGGGTGCTCCGCATACTGGGCCTTTCCCTTCGACGACTTCCCGCCTCCCTTCAGAGAGGATGGGTCATTGTACTGTCGAGCATGCGGAACATACCCAGGCCGCTCTAGAGGCTTATCGTCGTCGTGAGTGTTCAGGCTAGTTCCGCCACGCGGTCGCGCGCCTCCGTCTTCATACCTTTCTGGGCGCTTAGATGGGGACCTCGGATTTCGCCGCTTATCCTTATGGTCGCGAGACAAGCCGTCATAGTACCTATCTGTTTGAGGAGCAGCTGCATAGCCGTTGCGGTCGCCTCGCCGGCGCTCCCGCGAGCTCCGGTCCGCCTCACGAGGAGCTTTGTCCGGCTTTGAAGTAGAGCCTGCCGTGCCAGATCGATCTTTTTCTTTATTTTCAGTAGACGAAGGCGGTGCATCTGCATTGAAATTGCTTGCATTGCCACTCGAGCCTCCTCCGCCAACATCATCCGTTTTGCTACCCTCCACTTTCTCCTTGATGACATTGTGTTTGGCAATAACCCCGTCAAGCATTGTAAGTTTGTCCGTCTCTGAAAGGTCCGCCCTACCCATAATGGCAGCCACCAAAACTGAAAGCTCTTGCGCCTTCGGTTTACCGTTTTCCACCTCGCTGCCAACATCGGGTTCGTGAGTTGTGGTTTCTGCTTTGCGGGGAATGTCACGAACCTTGGATGGCCCCGGCTTTCGCGGGCCCCGATCCGGAATTTTACTGGGTTCCCGCCGGTGTCGAGGCGGGGGCCGCTCTAGTTCCCGTCGCTCGCGGTGAGCGCTACCTGCATTTGTGCATTTTGCAGATTCGGACTAGACAGACGAGGAACACTATTCCTGTGTGTCTGATGCGATCATAAAGTTTCTGGATGAAGAGGGCATGAGCGACGATCCCGAAGGAAAAATTAAAGATGACGAGAGTGTTATAACGCATAAATGCTTTGTAGTAACTGTATGTAAGTGAATCTGAATACAAACAACTCATTGGAGTGTGATAAGTACGTTGCTCGCGCTCTCGTGCCCTGCTCCTTTCTGCTTCGCGGTCTGGGTCCCTTTTCTTGTCGTTGTCTTTGTCTGGTCGATCGCGATCCTTGTCGTACCGATCGCGATCCTTGTCGTACCGATCACGATCCTTGTCGTACCGATCGCGATCCTTGTGGTCGTCTCTGTCGCGGTCTTTGTCTTGCCGATCGCGGTCCTTGTGGCCCTCCCGGTCGCGGTCTTTGTTTTGCCGATCGCGCTCTTTGTTGTCTTGCCGATCTTCGCGCCGGTCCTTGTTGTGGTCTTCTCGGTGGTCAGCACGGTCTCTATAGTTTTGCCGGTCGCGGTTGTTGCGGTCATCTTGCCGCTCGCGGTCGCTATGGTCGTGCCGATCGCGGTCGTCATGGTGCCCTACTTGGTGATCGCGGTGGTCTTGGCGGTCGCGGTCTTTGTTGTAATCTTTATCTTGCCGATTCCGGTCCCTCTGATCTCGCCGATCGCGGTCCTTAATATGGTCGTACCGATCATCGCAGCTCTTGCGTTTCTCTTGCATATTACTTAGGGGCGGCTCGTCCTTCTCTGCCGTGGTATACAACGTATGGGTATGAGCATTTGTTGTATCAGCTGGAGCTGCAACAGCCTCGTTGTCTTCCTTACCTTCTAGCTCCAGCGCTTTTCTGAACAATGCGGCGCAGGATTTTTCGGGACTTGTCCCTTCGCAGAGCAGCCGCCATATCACCGGCGACGGTTCTTTGTTTTTCATGTTGTCCTGTTGCTCGCTGGAAGGGTCAGCGTCAAGCGGAAGCGAGATTGTTGGCAATTGAAAATCACTTCTGCTTGAAGTGATTAGATCGCCTCGCCTCACATCGTGCAGAAGTCTTGGCGTGATGTTTTGCAGGGAAACTTTGTCCGTACAGCCCGGCCTCCAACCGTACGCTTGTTCGCTATCGGTGGGAAAGATCTTGGGGTCAGGAATAAAATCAATGCCGACCTCGTCCAACGTCTACGCTCCTCAACTCAGTCAAACATGGATAATTCGGACGATTGGCGCTGGTGTTGTGATATGCGAGTCGAGTGACTTTTTTTTATCCGCGTTGCGGATTCAAGGGCCAACCGCAAGGATATCTGTGATACTGGGCTGCTTACCATGACATGCACCATACTAGTTTGTTGTATGTGAAATTCAAATTTCGAGACCCCGACACATTCCCGGATGATACTCGCCGGCGAAACGTAGTATCTTGGTCACGTTTTCCATAGGAAGACAGAGCTTTTCCGGAAAAATCAATGGGCTGGGATCCTGTGGTTTTGATTTATTGGTCAACTCAACGACATAATTGTCGTGATGAAGGGAGTGAAGTAGTTGCTTCTTTCATCTTCGTTTCAAGCCAAGAAAGTAGAAGTAGGAGCCAAAAAACGGAAGCATTGATTTTCCCTACCAAGTCCAGCGTAATACCTCTCTTGTCCAATATCCAAGCAAATTTCCAAGTCAAATCAGCTTAATTTTGCGGCCTTCATAGGTTATGTCAAGAATCAAAGTAGATATAGATGATGTAGTTGTATTTATTTTTCTGAACGACACGCCAACACCGGATTTCCAAAGTCATTGATGAAAAATCTGATTTGTCTGGAGTTTTGCCCACAGGATATATCGACCATCCAGATGTCAGCTTCCAAGTCGATCTCGTTTGTTTCACTGTTCTCCCAGAATCCGAAAGTATTGTAGAACTTCTTCTCGTCCTCGCCGTCGGTGTGCACCTCTCCCTCTGCAGTTGTTCCTGAGCTTGTTCCACCCGCGCCGCCTGAAAAGTAGGGAAAGGCGCTGCCCTTTTTCATTCCCTGCTTGTAGAAAGATTTTCCCGTTCCTTTTGCAGGGAAGCTATTGACAAGTAAAGCAGCGCACAGCCCCACCGGGAGTGTAAGTCTACGTAGTTCATGAACATTAAATACCAACAAACAGTTGTAGACCAGGCAGAACCTGCAAAGACCTCGAGCTGTCTTCATCGCGTTGCCACATGCATGAAGATGAAAATCCACGACTGCAATGCATCTGCATGTCCTGCTCAACATGAGCTGTTTTCCTTTTCTCCCTTTTCCTCGCACGACAACCTGCGCGACGAGTGCATAATTACCTTGCCTCCTCCAGCAGTGAAACTGGCACTGCGAAGACGAGAAAGTTTTCTCCGATGATAGTGAACATTTTTCAAACTCATCGCTGTCGTTTGGTGATACCGCATAAGCTCCCTCAGTCGCAACTTCGCGTCGTTCAGTTGCGCATAGTCGAGGTAGTATATTTTTCCACCGGTTTCGTACTCACCATTCACGTTGGGCTCTTCCAGCAGGTCATGCAGAACTAGCTTTGTGCACTCCGGGTCCATGGGGCTTTGCGTTGATACGACGCGAGCGAACACCAGATTGTGCGTCGGGACGCTTTCATACCAGAGTTGTGGCGTATCTTGCGCAGCATCTCCCGCAGCGTCGCGAGGGGACGGCACAGTCGGGAGGAAATCGAGTGCAGCCGACGAGGTGGAGGAGCAGGCTCCATTTATTGCGGCATTCGTCTCTACTTCTCCTGGCAACAGCGGCAGCTCTATTCCGTCTCGCTTCAGCTTCGCCGTTGCATTATCATCAACATTTTTAGCCTCCTGTGCGCCACCTATGGATTGGCCCTCGTCCGCTGAGGCTGAGCCGGGCACCCCTGCTTCTCCTTCTCCCTTGGAAGAAGACGCCGAGCAGGCACCGCCGTGGCCGAACGTAATGTCGCACGGGGAACTACCACCAAGAGCGGGAGGCAGCATGTCAGTCTTCTGGGTCAGGAAAGGATTATTGGACGCATTGCCGCTTAACATGGGGGGTCGCATGCTTGAAGCGGCGTTTGCAGCCGGTTCGCTGGTCGTGGGAACTACCATGCTTGCGACTCCGTCGGTCGAAGATGTGCAGCTCGGTTCTCTAGAGGCGCTTGGTGTAGTAGGCGACGGCGCAGATGAGCAATCCAAGGGCGCTGCAGGAGGGACCACAGTCGAGATCGAGTTCTCGGAAGTCGTCTGTGCCGAAGTGCTGCGCTCTAGAACAACGCTGCAAGGGATGCCAGGTAGTTTCTCTGATGTCAAAGACACTTCAACTTCTTCTAGTGCTGCAGCAGCCTCGTTGCCGCCGTTGGTCAGATGCCGATGGAGGTGCGAGGAGGGGAGGTTGGCCGCTTTCGGAACGGCAGTCGCGGAGAGATCCACTAGCTTCGATTGCGAGCAAGAGCGGAGCGACGCAGAAAGCCCCGACGATGAGGACTTCGCAATAGGTTGGCCACTTGTCAGAGTCTTTTTCTCGGAACAATCCGCCAGGGCCGAACTGTCTGTAATCGATATCATGGAATGAGCTATTCACGTTGACGTCGAGATCGAGAAGATATTAGTTCCAAACAGGCTACTAACTAATGATAGCCAATGGGTCTTCTACTCTCCGGCTGCATTTATGCGAATATCGAAGAACAAGTGTAAGTGCATGCTCGACTAGAAGTGGTCCGACCTGTTGCCTGCGAAGAGCAAGGTTGTTCCTACATTGAAAAAAAAAATGGTTCCTCCACAGCTTTTGAATCACATTTCCAGTGTCATAAGTGGACTTTATACTCATTCACAATCGCAGCTCTTCAGTTTGTTTCAATGCCACAGACAGATGAAAGGGGAAATTATGCTAATTGAGGACACACCAGCTCACACGCCTAGGTTTCAGCAGGGACGAAACAAATATAAGAACAGCGCGCTATTTCTATAAAGGTGTGATCATCGTCTTCTAAGGTTGCTATCAGTTCTCCTCGTTCACGTTCACTCCTCTTGTTTTTTACTACGTAGGGAAAATACTTGATCTGATCGAATTCCCTTGTCGTTGTCATTCTCACTAGTAACCAATAGTTGATGTAAAAACAACCGCTGCCGCTGCAAAGAGAAAGACCGGAAAATACTTTTCAAGAGTTTGTTGGTGGGTGCTGCGAGGAGGCACCCTGAAAGGCGTGAACAGAAACGCAACAATGCGAGGTAAAGCACTGGGTTTGCTGCTCGTGACCACCACAGGCTTTACACAAATCCTCTTTCCTAATATTTATTTTCAAGGCGCCAGGTATCGACCCCAAATAAAATCCATCATCAACAGCACGCGCAGTGTTCTTCATTATAATTTCCTTGTGTTGATGATGTACAACTACAGTCGGTCTACAACTTTCTCTGCCAGACATGAATCCCGAAGTGTATTAAATCCACTTCAATACTCGGACTTGTTAGGTCGACGAGCTCTCATCTTCCTGTGGTATAAGGGTTCGGATCGTCACGGCGTGCCACTTTTTGATTTCCTCGCGTATGGGTTCCTGTACCATGCTATGCATTGCAAAAGTATCGCACTAGAATAAATTGCATCACAAATTTTGGCAAAAAGAACAGTGGAATTTGTCATGCTGTTTTACCTTAGGAAGGAGATTCGTCATGCATAAATGCAATTTTTAGTACGACTACGATACTTTTGCACAGGATACATGCGCTCCCGCTGCAAGCGCGACTTGGAGTCGAACGCCCTGGATTCCACCACGATTTCGTAACTGGTGCCGCACCCACCGGAGCGGTCCGTCACCTGTACATTAACGGTCTCGGTTGGTGGTGACAGCTTCGCGGTGAAGTGTCGTGCGATCAGGTCACGCACGTGCTTTTCATACTCCGGCCCGGAGGACGGCGTGCTGGACGACGTAGATGACATGGTCCGTCGAGGTGTGCTGTGGTTCCTCGTCGCAAGGCCATGCGTGCTGTGGCACTGCGGCTGCACGAAGCTGGTCGTGGTCGTGAAGAAAGACCTTGCAGCTGCACTTTCATTGTCTAAAAATACACAAGGCCGTGCTAGTACTCCACGAAGATGAACAAGTGGCCGCGCCGAGGAGACGGAACTACTAGCGGAGTAGACCATAGTGCTGGCAACTACAGGTGCAGCACATGCACTCCGGCGCACGGCGACTGATGATAACATTTGCGTACCACGGCCCTGGTTCCAAGTGCAGGTCGCAAGGGACTGCCGCAGAAGTTGGCTTCCGAGTTGTACAACTGTTCTGGCGGAGGTGGTACTGCGCGACGCAAAGCTGCGCCGCTGCGAAACGAGAAACACAGAAGCCATGGGTTTTCTTTCGTAGACAATAAATACTACCTATGCAGCCTGTTGTAGTCTTTTTTTACATATGCTGTTTTCAGGATAACTGCTGGTTTGGTAAGTAGGTGCATTCAGGAGTACGAGTATCTACCAAGCTCATGAAGCTGCTAAACTGCTGGGAACAACTTCGCTCGATGAAGACTTGGGCGGCGAGCATCAAGTAATGAATTTACTCAAACACGGACGACTGTATTCATTGGAAGTGAAGGAAAGCGAACTCATACATATGCACAACATGCGCTTCTTGAGCAATGGAATAGACGTCGTAAGAGCTAGACTTTTCAAATTCAAATAAAAACACAAGCATTGTGAAGTGACAAGCTGAGGAACAGAATCTTCACAGGCACGACGTTGGAAGGGTCGTGTGCTGTAGCCCGTGCAACAACTACCTAGGGCGTTGGACCACGATGCGCAGCACTTCTATTTCTAGCCGCGTTGCTTTAGCTTTGTTTTTATGAATTTTCTTGCTTTTTTTTGTTTTTTTCACGTTTTTGAGTTTGGAAAATGTAGTAAGTCTCTGCCCGTAATTGTCGTTGTAGGGGACCCCTTCTAGGATAGGGAGCTAGTTCGGCCCATCTGAATACCGAGACAACATCAATAAACGAATGACAAATGATCGGATCGGCTTCACTCGGGAATCTAGAAAGGGTTGCAGCTGCCGTGTGTGTAAAATTTGTAGCGTTTTTTCATTTATTTTCGCCGTATTTACAACTTCCATAAACCGCTCGCTGCCCTCCGCTACCCTTCAAGCCGACATCGAATTCAGTCCGATTAATGGATAATGGGCAGCTTTTTATTTTTCGCAGAAACCAAAAAAGGAATAGCATAGAAAGAATGAAAAGGCTATCAATCGTCCATGGATGGTGCGGAAAACAAAAAAGCCAAAACAAAACGGGTCTTCGATTTGGTGTAGAAGTTCTTGATTTCTTGCAAGAAGATATTTTTCGCAGTAGTTGTTGTATGTTCTTGTTGGTACTAGCACAACTATCTGAAATAAATGTTTTGTCCTCGACTTCTAACTTTGCTCACCGATCTTGGTAGTAAGTTGTTACCAACTCGGCCCTGCTGCTGCTCGCGCAGCTCGTTGGTGATTTTTTTCTACGATCGGAGCATCTCAATAGGGGTGTGCGCAGTTGTGTGAGTGTCGTGGTCGTAGAAGCAATGAAATCAATTTTTGTAGTGCTAGTGAAGCGAAACAGGTCTTGCAAAGTTCTGTTTACGCTATTTCTGGCTTTGTCTGAAAGCTTGTCCTTCTTCTTGCGGCGTGATTCGTCGTATTTCCTAAATGGCATAGGCATTCGCATTTATTTCTAGGAAAAAAAAGCATTTGCATTTCACACACCACCTCCGCATTGTCTTATTGGAGATTCGAAGCCCCCACCGTACGTACCATGAACGCAACAGCACGTCACGACCAAAAAATTTGCCGTCAACATCTCCGTCTGCTTCGGCCCCCTTTAAAAAATCTACATTCTTTGTAAAAATTTGGGTAGGAATGCTGTTGACCAAAAACGAGTCCTCCGAGTGGACGTCGGCTCGCTTGCGGCCAATTACCTGCCAGGTGGACTTCTGAGCGAAGACAGAGAGATTTTCGCTTCATCTTCCAATGAAAGTTGTGAAACCAGAATACAACAAATGCCCACACATGTGGGAACACGAATATCATAGGTCCAAAAAAAATACCTTGTTCGACGATGGCAAAAAAAGCAACAACAGAGCAGACACGGTAGAATAATCGAGGTCGATGAACAAGACAGTCCAAAAATATTGTAAGTAAGTTGTTTTGAGCAGCGAGAATTGATACTAGTATTCCAAAGTATCTCTTGACTTAGCACCGAGGTATAGTAATATCGCATCCTGTCCGCTCAAATCACCCTCGGCCTTGGTGCAGATTTTAGTATAAACAGATAATTTAGAAGAGATACGTTCACTGCGAGGTTCATTTTATTTATTTTTCCAAAATATTTAATATGATCTAAAACTGTCGAGCAAGTAGATGAAATATACAAGCGAGCTCCTGCTACTTAGCCAGCTGCGTCATCAAAAGATGACTGCCACGACGTTGACTGCTCGTCAGTATTTCTAGTATCCCTCACCGCCGCCCCGATTGTTGTTGTTGTGATTCCGCCCACCTCCTCGTCCTCCGTAGTTGTTTCTGTTGTTGTTATTGCCGCTTCGGTTATTGTTGTTTCTGTTCCTTCCACCGCCCCCGCCTCCGCCACTTCCACCACCCTTGCCCTTGCCCTTTGCGCCACCGCGATTGTTATGTCCACCGCCATTATTGCCCCAGTTGTTATGATTGTTGTTCCCGCCACCACCTGCATAGCCCTATGCATTGAAAATATGTCTGGAGGTTCTGGAATGTTCGTGCATGGTTTGTTCCGAATGTTGATGAACGAACTGCAAAAATACCCAGCTGACTATAGCAATGAGCGCCTGCGTTATGCTTATGCGTATAATCAATGCCACATGTTGTAGTTGACACCCTGCGTTTTTGCAGAAAAAAATGAATACGATGGTGCCCTTATTTCTTACGTTATCTGTGGACGATCGCAAACTCTCCAGTCTTGTTGTTTTAGACAAGCATGTGCATGACAAAAGGCTTCGCAACCTTCCAGGAAGGCTCAGACACATTTGCAAATGTGATAAGCCTCCGTGATTTCCGCCACCTCCGCCCCAATTGTTGTTACGGTAATTATTTCCGTTATTTCCCTTTCCGCCTCCAGTGCCACCCCAATTCCAAGAATTGCTGTACTGCTGTTGATAATTGTTGTTTCCCTTGCCGCCTCCCCCTCCTCCCGGTCCCCAGGAGGAGTTGTTGTTGCCATGATACTGCTGGTGCATCTGCTGCTGTTGCATGTTGTAGCCCGCCGCTTGCTGGTGACCTTGACTGCCATACTGGTGTCCGCCCATCTGCTGACTCATCCAGTTCTGCATCATGTTTTGATTGCTAGTATCACCAGTGCTGCCCATCATCGCACCAGCAGGTCCGCCTCCCATCATGTCGAGTTCGTGCGAAGCCTTTCTCTGCTGCTGACTAAACGGATTGCCCGGCTGCTGAGCACTAGTACCAGGAGCTGTGGTTGTGCCAGGGCCCGGTGCGCCAGCGCCGAAAAGCTGGGAGCCAATCGTAGTTGGCTTGTTGTTCATCGGTTCGCCCCAATGGTCCTTGTTCTTCACCTTGTCCTTGTTCCCGCGCATCAAGGAGTCGTTGCTGTTTTTCCGATCCGCCGGCTGTGCTTGCTTCGGAAGTTGCTGAAGTCCCGGAGTCGGGCCTGGCTGGACCCTGAGTTGTATTTTTTCACAATATTCATTCATGTCATTCTGTTTTCTCATTCAGCTTCAATATTTCCATGGATGTAGTTAAATCAGTCCTTGTCCTTGATGTGATCGTCTTCATCTTGAATAAACATCGATGCTACTTGGATGATCATTATCCTCATATTAAGGCAAGCTTGCAACTCCTAGAACATGCAGCGTCACTGAGCAATCAAAAGAACGGATCGGAAGTTTCGCTTGAAAATTTATAGATACGCTTTGACTGTCGACGGATTTCCCGATTTATTCTCCACCGCGGAGTTTACTTCATCAATACTGCCCGTCTGTGCGGCTGCCGGAGCTGGTGGTGCCGTGCGTCCTGTGGGGGTGGTCGCCTCTACTTTTTTGTCTCCAGCACCAGTTGTCGCGGCGACATCCTCGCTCCCCAGTAGGGGCCCGCCGGGCTTCTTGGATCCTCCACCCGGAACTGCTTTAGCCTTACTGACCGCTTGGGCGACCGGTAGCTGCTCCTGTACTTTATTATGCTCGTCCGGCGACGATGCCGTGCTGTTCGTCCTTCCCAGCATCGGAGCGGCTGCGGAAACCTTTGCTGTGTGCTTCGGCACGTGCTTCGCGTGCGCAGGCGGCGAAGCCTTCGGGTGTTCCACTACTGCAGCTGTCGACGTCGTGCAGGTCGTGATTTTGCCATCCTTATTCAAGTCCGGAGTCGTCAACGGTGGAATATTTTTGTCTACTGGTTGTTTTCCAACGGAAGATTTCGATTTATCCTCCTCCGGAAGCTTGGTGAGGGTAGAAGAGGTGGCTGGAAGGTTCGAGACAAGTTGTCCACCACCTTTCGCTTGAATTTGATTACCCGACTCCGAGTCTGCGCCTGGAAATTTCGCTTTCTCTTTGTTCTCCAACACATCCACAGGTGCCGCAGAAGTACTACCCACTTTAATATTTTCAGCACCGGTAGAAGAAGTTGTACCAGACTGTAGCTTCTTCTCCGTCAGAGCTGTATTAAGCTTGATGTCCTGCTTCTCGTTTGCATCATCTGTTTTCGATGTCACGGCGGGTGAAGCGGCTGCCGTCGCGCCGGCTTTCGCTGCTCTGCTGCTTGGGAGGGGAGCCAAACCTCCTCCAAACGCCATTTTCATGGGCGGGACCACGTACGCAGCTCGTTGTACAGGATTTACCTGCGGTGTCTGGATGTTCGCCCAGTGCTGTTCTTCGTCCTCGAGTTTCGTAGCATCCGACTTTTCGGCCATATTACAGGGCTTCGCAAGACTGGAAAGACAAAGGCTACCGCTCTTCGAAGCAGCGGCCGCAGCCATGTTGGTCGTGCCTGCTGGTTTCTTACTCGCGCTCTTCATCAGCGTTTTGGTCCTCGTTGATGTTCCGAGTAGTTGCTTCGCCTGCTCGCCGTCCTGGGTGGAGGTGGTAGTCGTGCTGTCAAGGGTAACTGTAGTAGTTTTCGCTTTTTCATCGTCCTTGTCTGCGGAAGGTTTGTCCTCGATGGTATTCTCGTTACTTCCGGGTTGCTCCGTATGGGTTACGGGCTTCTTCGGAGGTGGGGGCGTACGAACAGACGCAAAGGCCCCTTGATCATTCTGCTTGTTCGTTGGGGCCCCGCCCGTGCTCGGCTTCGCGCCGAAGACTGCTTGCTCCTTTGAAGATTCCGCTTTGGCATTTTTCTCGTTGCTCCTGGCGGCAGGGGCAGTGCTCGTTGCACCAGCGCTGGAAATAACCTGAGGGACAGGAAGGGGCTCGGGATTCTCGATCACCGTTTTACCGTCAGGGACCAAAGGCGCTTCCGGTTCTTTCGAAGCCGCAGCCGGGGCGATTCGTGTGTCTTTCTTGTCTTCACCAGTACAACTAGCTGCCCGGGGCGCAGGTCCTGCGGAAGTAGATTGTAGTTCCGCTACAGCAGCAGCCTTTTTCGCCTGCGACTCCACCTGAGCAACCGCCTCTGCAGTTCCGACTTCCTTCTTCGCCGCCACGGGTACTGCGAATGGAGCAAGTCCAGTTGCACCACTAGTACTTGGGGACTTTTTCTCTTCTTGATGCTGCTTATCTTGGTCCTCTTGGGTTTTCTTGACTACTGGTTGAAGCGCATTTGGCTTTGCTTCTGCAGGCTGTACTCCTTTTTTGGTGATCTCGCTGTTCAAGGCACTATGAAGTGCAGACGGTGATGGCAGCTTCTGCTTGTCGATCGCACCTGTCTGCAGCAGCTGAGGGCCTTGTTGAACAGGACCCGCTGCCATCAGCGGCGCTGGCGCAACTGCTTTTGATCGTTGTCCTCCTTGCAGCACCTGCTCCTTCTGTAGTTTATTCTGTTGTTCGGTTATTTTCGCTGCGTTGAGATTCTTGACTGCGGAAGCTGCAACGCACGCTCCAGAAGTCGCTGCGGCACTGACTGTCATCTTCGCAGTGAGTCCGGCTTTATTTTCACCGGGAGCAGGCGCCGGACCAAAGACAGGTGCAGGTGACGGACCCTCCACGACAGGCGCAGGTGCCGTGGCAACTACCCCAGGAGCGGGAGGCGCCGGAACGACCATTGGACCAGCCGCGTTTATTCCAGTCTTGCCTTTTCCGCCAATGCCAATAGACGCGCTAACAAGGTTGACTCTGTTGCCAACGGAAACCAAAGGGCGGGCACTAGTCGATGCAGCAGGTGCGAGTATGGGTTTTTTTCCTGCGGAGCCGGCGTTTTTGCTCGAGATAAATTGGTCAGAGGAATCGTCGTCGCTCGAAGAAGAACCCGACGCACTATGCAAAAGAAAAAACCGCAGACGCGGCACTGCGACTTTCATGTTGGAAGAGCTAGAGCACTTCGCTGAAGCTGCATCATCGGGAGCTGCATAATTCGAAAAAAATACAGTAGCAGAGAGAGTGACAGCTGCAGTTCTCCTCCTTCACCGGTATAAAAAATGTAAACATGCGGCGCCTTACTGTTGCATGAACTCGTTACAGAATCTTGTGGGATCATTACAGAATCCAAAGCAGTTGTAGCAGAACTAGTAGAACTGCCATAATTTTTCTATAACTAGCTCCTGCCCATATGCTCATGCGAAGCAGCCGCGGTGCATTGTCCACGGTAATCACAAAGGGTGTTTGCTGCCATATGAGTCGCTACCGGAATTCTCCGCATTCTGTGGCTGTGGGCCTTGAATCAGAGCCGGAGCTTGTTTTTGTGGCGGTCCTTGTTCGGTGATCGGTGGCTGAGCAGGGATGGTTGCTTTTTGCGCAGCAGGTGCGGTCACGCTGTTGTTCTGCCGAGTGCCAACTGCAGCTCGGGGGCCCAGTGGAGCTGCTTTAGCAAACTGTGGCTGGCCAATTCCGCCGGTTTGTTGGCCCCCGCCAACCTGGGTCTTGTTCTGGGCCACCTGTTTCTGTGCGCCGGCAGCTTCACCGTCGCTTTCAGACGATGAAATCAAGTCCTCATCGCGGTCGGGATTGTCATTTCGCGAGTCCCGGGCACGGTGCGATGTACTAGTTGGCAGGTTGGTGGAATTGCTCACCGCCGGATTATTTTTCGTCTCCTGGTGACCAGTCGAGGACGCCATTCCAGTATCGGTCTTCCCCGTGGAGCCGCGCCCAACAGGGGACCGCGATTTGTCATTTTGTTTTTGGTTGGTCTTGGCGGCGATTGGGGACCGCCCCCCTCCCTTTCGTTCGCGGGAGTCGGTGATGATGCGGGCCTTCCGATCGGCGCGCACGGATCGCGCTCGTGTCATCTGCCGCGGCGCATCTAGCCATTGCTTTCCGCTTCCCTTATTCATCAATGCGCCATCTTTCTTACTTCCCGGGACAAAAGCAGGCCGCTGGATAACGTCCGACCCAGCATCGGATCCCACCTGCTGTCCGTCTCCATCGCCTTTACTCAGACTGTTTGGGGACCCCCGCAACGTCTGCTGGCACTGCGCTCGGGTCCGCAGCGCTACCGCCCTGGTGCCGAAAGTACAGCCATCAGCCCGCTCCTTATCCTTCCGTGCCTGTTGCGCGGCATGATCTTCCGAGGCTGAGCCAGAAGATCCCACTCGTGGCAACACCGGTGGTCCGACGTGGGGATTTTGGTACTGCCCGGGCGCACCTCCACTGGCGGCGTTGGATTGGGTCTGTTGCGCAACATCAAGTCCTACATTTGCATCTTGCTGCGAAGCTGCGGTTGTAGTAGGAGCATGAATAGTACCACCTGTGGAAGTTGTAGCGCTTGTCGCCGGAAAAACGCGACTAGCACCAGCACCGACGGCGCTCTGTTGATTCAAGGCAGCTGCTGCGGCGTCCATCGCTGCCTCGGCTTCTTTTCCATCGTCATCTGAGGACGAAGAATCGTCCGAAGACGAAGAACTGGACGACGAGCTGCCGTTTTCCTGCACTTTCTGTCCGCGGTCCTTGTTGCCTTCATCCGCCCCGACGGGGGCGCGTTCGCCAAAATTTCCCGGTCCTCGCGTTCCTGTGCCTTCTTTCGGCGATGCCCCACGACTTCTGCTTCCGCTTTCACCGACGGGGCTGTCCTTGGGGGACGACCCTTCGGCCCTGTCTTCTTCCTCGATAACGAAAGTCCGCACCGGCTTCCCATTTTTGTCGAGCCTGCCGTTGGAATTTTTACGAGGACCAACGTTGTTCCTGTCGGTCCCTGAGCGTCGACCACGACTTGTGCTCCGTCGTTTCGAACCGCGACCGTGAGAATCACTAGAACGATCACGAGAGAAGGCCGCATCTGGTGCTCGCCGTTGTTCACGCGAGTCCAACCGGGCACCGCGTTCTCCGCGCCTCTGCGCACCAGCCTTGACATTGTCACGCCCAGCACCTACGCGTCCAGGAGAAGACTTCCCATCTCGGCGGCGATCTCGCTCTCGACTCATACGTTGTGGTCCACCGTCACGCTCCCGGTTAGAAGAAGTATTTTGATTGCTATTGAAGCGACCTCCACCTCTTCCAGGACGAGAATTGGACCTCTTCTTGTTCCTTGGACTCGCCGCGACGTCCCTCCCGCCCCCTCTGTGATCCTTGCGATGATCTCGTGCGCGGTTATTTTCACCGGGCGGGGGAGACTTTGACTGAGTTCTTTGATTCATCATGCGATCACGAAAGCCGCCACGCGTTCCGTCATTGCGCATTTGTACACTGTTGTTGCGATTAAAAGTATTTTTGTGCTCCATGTTGGTTCCTCCCCCCCGTCGATCCCGAGAGTCCGCTTTGTTGCGCTGGTCCTTTCGGCCGCCTCGATCGCGACCACCACGAGCATTTTGTGACAACATGCCGTTTTGTTTATTCGCGCCCCGATCTCGGGACGAAGTAGCGCGCGGACTGCGGCTCCGGCTGCGCCGCGGCGGGGCGGCCAAGGTTTTACGACGTCCACCTCCGCCATAGTTATTGCTCATTCCACCTCCACCGAGAGTTTTACGCCGGTTGCCGCCACGGCCGCGAGGAAAACTGTCATCCCGGTCGGATTGCTGTTCCCTGGACCTATTACGCTGGTTCCGAGCCTCGTTACTCAGGCTTCGCTGTCCAAACCGCCGACGCGGCGAGGCGTCGCGGCGTTGCTGGTGGTGCGCGCCGCCGTGGTTCATCTTCTTGCCCCGCTGTTGTACCCCGGAAGCAGAGTATCACAGAGACAAAACCATTTATATATCACAAAAAACTATGCGGGAAATCAATCTGTCATCGGCCGCCGCCGCGGCGACCCGATCGTGGGCCGTTTCTGGTGTGGTCGTGCAGGGGCGGCTTATTTCAGCACTGTGTTATGATATTGTAGACTTACAGTTACATCACTTAGAGTTAGATTTGCCTTTGCATAATTTACAAATGTGATTTTAGGTTTTTTCTGTTGGGTACAAAGTTGCGTTGGTTTTGACCACGCTGGTGTTGTAAAGCGTTGTTGCGGCCCCGCGGGGGCCCTCGGCCAAAACTGGCTCCTCCAAAGGGTCGCGGAATCACGCTTGCCTCGGCCTCGCCAAAGTCTTGGCTGATGCCGAGACTGCTGCTCCGACTGTGGTGGTCATCTTCGTCTTCATCGTCCTCCCGGTGTTCATCGTCGTCAGATCTCCGTTGTTCTTCTCCACCTTCCCGGCTATCATCGTCGTCGCTGTGCTGGCCCCCGCCCCCGCGCCGGTCATGATCCTTCTCGAAATCCACTTTTCGCACCTTGTTCCGGCGCTTGGCGCCGTCGGTACTTTCCGCCCCGTAGTAGTCTTGCACCGAAGGAGAAGATTCCCCCCTGCCTGCAGGAGAGGACCGCTTGTTTTTCGCATCAAACGGAGAAAAGTGGGCTGCCGAATGTCTCCTCTTGTTCATATTCTTATCGCGGTCCGCGTCCGAGTGCGAGCTGTGGCGGTCCTTGCTTGTACCGACGACTATCTGCACTTTCTTCTTTGTCCCGTTGCCCAAATTTTTGGCCTCAACATCGGAAGATTCAGTGTCGTTGTTGTTGGTCCTGCTCCTCCTTGGGAAAGGCGACCCGCACCTCCGATTGTTCTGCTGTTCACCTTGATCATGTCCCTCTGCCGCACGCTGATTTTCCGGCTTCCTCAGAATGCTGGTTTTATTCTTTGCGCCCCCACTGCGGTCATCAAGATGATTTACTTCATCTTCATCATCTTTCTTGTCCTCGTCGTGCTCACTTTCCTCGGAAGAGGAGAGACTTTGATTCTCGCTTGAATTATCCTCAGAAGCAGAGCGGTTCGCGTCATCTTGTTCTGGCGCCTCCTTCTTGTTCTGTTCCTCGTCTACGTGGTCATCCTCATCCTTCGCGTCGGCCAGCGCAGGCTGATCGACCGGCGCTGAAGATTCGGCGGCCTTTTTTGCTGAGCCCGCGATCTCTTGGGCATTCTCTTGAACGACCTCCTGAGCAGCTTCCTTATCCTTTTTCGTCTTCTGCGCTGCGTCATCATCCTCGGCGCCGGATGGGCCGGCGCTTTCCTCAACGTTGGTCTGTTTTGTAGTAGTCTTCGCGACTCCATCTACCACGGACGAATGCGGAGGAGTTACCGTCACAGGACTGTTTAGAGTTGTTTATTTTTGTGTATTCGCTGCCAATGGAATTTATTTTCATTAGATTCTTCGAAATCAAAATGTTAAAAGTCATGAAATAGAAATCGATTCTCTGTGGCATTGCCTAAGTACTTCGTTGCAGCAACCAGAGACACCAAGAAAAATTTTTTTACACGAGAATCCACTTCCGACGTAATGATGCAAATCCAAAAACAAAATGTTTTCTTGAAATTGAACAAAAGAGCTGTAGCTGGCTTTGGTTTTTGAAAGATCTGCTGAATATTGAAATTGAAGATAGACTCAAAATAATGAAAACGAACCTGCTCTGTTGGATTTGCGCGGCCGTGTGTTTTTTGTTCGCAGATGCTGCCGGCTCTGCTTGTTCCGCAACGCCGACGCTTTCCTGCTTCTGCTTGTTCTGAACAAGAACCTCCTCGTGGGGCGCTTCAGATAACAAGACTGGAGTGATAAATTGCGTGGCCGCAAGGGACGTCGAGCCTGTACTCGCTGCAGCAGCAACCGGGATCGGAGCTCCGGAAGCAGGAGTGCCTGCAGTCGAAGAAGCCAACACCGGGTGAAAAGTGGACGATAACTGCGCAACTGGCGTGGCCGCCGTAGTACTCGAGGAACAAGCTGCCGCGCCACCGACTACACCTAGTTGATGTACACTTTGGTGCTGGGTTGTAGTAGTTTGCTGCAACTCTACCTTCAACAGCTCGTCGATCACCGCGACTCGTTGGTTACCCAACGAAATTTTCTGGTCCTTGAGTTCCTCGAGAAACTTAATTTTCTGGTCCTTGAGTTCCTCGAGAAACTTGTCCTGCGAATTGATCGCGAGCAGCTTCTGCTCCAACAATTTTTTCACGTCCATCTTGTCCTCCTATCTTTATCTATACCCAATACACGACTGGCACAGAGTTGTTGTCAACAACCGTTCAGTATTGAAAGACGACCGATGAAACAAGAAAACTTTTATAACATGTTTACAGATTGTATTCACGAAAACCAAAAGTAGGCCGAATACAACTTCTTTCTACTTCAATGTGTACAATAACTACTGGAGAGCCAACACATTTAGGTCAACATCAAGATCAACGGTTGTTCAACAGAAAATAAGACTCTTGCGGATGCAAAATTCTCAGCCCTACATTTTTTTGCTTTGAACATGATAAAAGTTTGGTTCATCGTTTGTTGTTCAGATACAGGCTCGTTACTCTTCAGATTTCGACATTATTGAAAAAATTGGGTGAAAAGTTCGTATTACGGACGAGTAGGGAGGTAAAACATACACCGGTCTTCATTAGAGCACATCCAGAAAATCGAAATCATGTCGAATGACGGCGGCAACATGTAGATGTTCCATGTTCGACTGAAGAACTAGGGAAAAGCTTCTTCGTGATTGTTTGTGTTTTAGTTTTGCGTCATCATGTAGGTACTAGCTACGATAGATTTGTTAGTCGGTGGAAGTGGATCATATCTTACCAACCAAACATCATGACGTGTCTTCTTTTCGTCTTTGAGGGGAACAAAGTTACGATGTTTACGAGGACTCGGTCGAAGTTAGCTCAGGCAATCTACTGCCCAACCATCTGAAGCAGTGCATTTTTTTTTTATATTTCTACGTCCCAAGATGCTGACGCAGTGTTGCCTGTATCCAATTACGCTTGTGTACATTTGTTTGAAAAGAGCTGCAGCATGTACTTCTTATTCTTCGTTCTGGGTGGATGACTTTCTCATAGCATGGCCATGGCTAGCCCTAGCGAACGCGATCGTGCGAATGCGATGTTGCATAGCAGGAGCCAGCTAGCATAGCCACAATGTACTTATTTTCTCTAGAGCACTTAAGTGGGTAACTTCAACTTGAGGGAATAAGTGGTAAGACCAAAAACAAAAATTATGCGTAGGGTAGACGCCCTTTATCTTTATGCCTGCTAGATCGATTCTTCACCGAAACAAGAATAACAATGTGAAATCACAAGAACTACTGGTTCGACTTTTTTAGATTTGGATCCTACAAGACGCTCTTGCTGGGAAGAAACGAGAATGCCACGGCTCCGATGAGATGCGCAAGAATAAGAAAAACTACCATAATGCTCGGGGTACGAGCTAACCCACTGGTTCTAACCGCACTGCTGACGTCATGGCCCGGGACTTGTTTGGACTCGAGGGCCTCCTGTTCCATCTTTTTGGTCTGCTCGCAGCAGGCCGCTGAACAGCTTGTCGACGTCGAGGAAGCAAAATCTAAAGTTGGGGAAGTGGATGAAGATGATGCTCCTCCGCCTCCTGTGTTCACACCCGACGAGGAAGTTGATGCACCACCGCCCACTTCCCCTCTGTTTGCTGTCACACCATTCTCTTCTTCGGGGTAGCAGGTCACGGAGTAGAAGCGATTGTACGCCGCTCGGCGGCAACCGAGGTCCTCCTTTCCGGTGTGCCGCGATGCCGTCGCCGCGTTTTTTCCGCCGCAGTCCACGGTGTCGGGGTAGTAAGTGTACCAGGCGTGCGTGAGTCCACAAGTGGTGAGCTTCTTCGAGGACTTCATGGTCTCCGGAAAACAGGTGTCGTCGATCCTACCTCGCGCCTCCACCGTGGTCGGAACGCGGCAGTTTGCGTCGAAAAACTCCCGGTAGACCCAGCTCCCCCGCAGCAGCACGGGTTCCAAGCCGCCGTGCTGCTCTGCGCCGTTGTGCAGGTGGTCGGCGGAGGGATGGGTTTTCTCCTTTTCTCGCTCCTCCAACTGCTTCCAGGTTGCGCACTGGCAGATCGCATCGTCCGTAAAGCGAAATTCGTACGCGCACCCGCGGCTGCGGCCGTCGGCGGCGCACGAGTTCGCGAGATCGTCGTAGGCGTCGGTGCAATGGAGGCCGAAGGAGTGACAAAAATCGTTGCAGGTGTGGGCCACGGTCGCCGAATAGGCCCACTTCGACACCGCGCGGCAGTTCCCGCAGTAGATCTTGGCTCGCTCGCTGCCGAAGAGGTCCGCAGTGCACTCGGTGACGTTCAGTTTTGCCGGTGTAGTCGTGCTCGTGGTCGGCGTGGTGATCTCGAGCGGGCCTTTAAGCGGGTATGCTGCGCCACCAGCACCAGCAGCTGTTCCCGCGGACGTGGACGACGCGCTGGCTGACGGGCCGCCACCTCCGGCACTGCCCCCCGAGACAAAATGAAGGAAGCGAGCGTGGTCAGGACGGAGCGCGGCTGCGGTAAAAAGCGCCCGCAATACCGACGAAGAACGGGGCGAGCGGATCTTCACCATAGTAAAAAACTTCGACTCTGCGATATCGTTCCTCCTACATCTACTTTACCAACATCACCAACAAGCAAAAAGTAACCGATTATAATTGACTATCTCTATCTCTATGTTGACACGTGCAACGCTTCTTGTTGATGTTTCATCCTGCAAGCTCTTTCCTTACGAAGTCGTGTTCTTTACCGTGCTTCAAGAACTTCCTGAGGAGGGGGATTTTGATGGTCTGGTGGTCCATGACCATGTAGGTACTAGGGCTACAAGTCGGGCGCGGGTGTATACTTACTAACTTGATGTTCGTCGGGGTTGGTGGTGGTCCTACATACTCTACACATATGGGTCCTGCGAAAATGATATCTGAGACTACATTGGCTGGACGATGTTGCTCCGCTAGGTGCGAGATGGAGAAAAAAAACAGAATACGAAGGACAAGCATGTAGTTTCGTTTGTTTCTTCTTCTTCAGGTTGTGATGAAGTTGAGCAAAAAACGAGGTGGACGACCGACGATTGGCTGGACACGATTTGTGATTCGCGCTTCACGTCGCACGACATCCTCTGCATACATCGTGTACGACACGTATCGATTTTGAAACGTCCGCGCTGCGGGCACGATGCTGAAAAAAATGTATCTGTATGATGCATGCGCACTCACGTTTTTCTTTTATTTGTTTGGACTAATCATATGGAGCAATTCGAGGTTTTTCTCATGGAACTAAAGGAACGAACACTGAAGGGACCGGGCGCTGAAGTTGTTTTATTTTGTCTTTCCTTTTTCATTTTGTTGTTATCCTGTCAATCCAGCGTTTGCCTTCTGATTGGGTGCGACACGACCGTCATCAATTGCAATTCGTATTCGAAATAAAACCGCGATAGAGAATACAATCAATGTAAATGTTTGAAGAGCGAAGAAGTTTGGCCGGGGTTCTTGTCTGAGATGTTTCAGTGTGCTGTGCATGTGGTATACTAACTAGGTTTACTTTACTGCATGTGCTGCTTCTAGATAGTGCGCCGAGCTCGAAGCTAGATGGACGTGCCTTGATCTATCTCTTGTCAAGTACTATCGCTGCGCGATCTGTAGCAGCTGCGCTCCTTGCACACGCAAGGGGAAGATCTTCCATAGTTTGCGCAGGAGGCGATGTGTGTCAACACAAGTCAATTGATGTGGCTCAAGGTTTACTTCGCTAAATTTTTTATTGATCGCGTTAATATCAATTGTGCCTAAAAACTTCTAAAAAAACTGCCATTGGTATTTACAAACGATCCCCATGGAAAAAATGCATGTGAGTATCTGTCCCTTTCTTGTAGATTTACGTTATGATCTATGAAGAATCTTCTGCAAGAAGTGAAGATACAATACTGCTTAAGCGTGATCTACTGCGCTCCATCGCGTAGTTGCTCCTATACAAAGCACTAAGTTCCACAAATTTATTCAGATGACTATGGTATAAAAGTGAATCTAGCGGCGCTTCTACGCCCCGCATTCTAAACATGGTGTTCTAAGCCAACAATCAATGATTGGACAATCAGATTCTCGCAAACGAGCTCGCGGCGCCTTCTTCCGACAAACCTCCAACTTGCTCATCTGCTGCTCGGGAGGGAGCAATAACTGCTCTGACCTCGTCGTCAACCATGGCATCATTGCTGCCAAATACGTCGCCAAGACGGTAAGAAGTAGCAGTGCTGGGGCTTGATGTGAGAGCGTTGTGTCGTCCTCGTCCTCCTAGTCATACTCCGCTCGCACCACAGATTTGTCAACCGGTTCTCTGCTACGAAAGGGGATGATCAGCCTTGGTTTTTTGTTGATCCTCCCAACTGCATCTTGATCTTCGCACCGATCTTTCTCGCTTGCCTTGCACGCTGACGCTGTGTTCGTCCCTTCTTGCGCAGTTTCTTCCAGTGGCGGCGCGGCAGTTGCAGCGCGCTTGCGACAAAAGCTGGCATCCGCATCCCGCTTTATCTTCGCGGACGTGAGATAGAGATCGGCAACTTCTGGTGCATTTTTAGGTTGACCAGCAGTCCCCTTCGCTTCAATACCGTGTGACAGGAGTGTACTAGTACTAGATGCTCCAGCCGAGTCAGCTTCTTTCCTGTACGAATTTTCTAGCGCGGGTCTCTCCAGCGCCGCAACTACACTTTTGCTTTTGCTAACTGGGGCAGCGGCCGCGGTAGTTCGGCTTGCAGACTTAGATTGCGAATAAATAAGTGATCGGACGATGTGACATACGCTTTTGTCCTTGTCGTCCACTTCGGCAGCGGCTCGAGTGGCAGTTTGTACAGCAGCGACTTCTGGTGCGGGAAACGAATTGAATTCCGCGTTTGCTTCATCACTTTCGTCATTATCTAGGCCACCAGCTTCTCCACGAGCTGATATGCGATCTTCGTGCACGAGCGTGCCGACGCCGACTACAGGAGCGTCTGCTGCGAAAGGATTACTGCCAGGTCGCTGACGCTGTAAAGCCTTTCCGCACAGGTCGCGGGCCGCCACCTTTTGAAGTAGACCCGTTTCCGATGGCAGTGAACGCTGCGCCAGCTGCTCGTGGCTACGTTGTGGGCACGATCCGCCCGACTGGCTTCTTTGTGCGCTTTCGACATTCTGGGTCCCGCGGATATTGTCCTCTCCCTCTGCGTCGTCGTTTACTTCATCCAGCTGCGATGGTGTTTGAAGTCCAGTATGACAGCAGGCCTTCGTGTTTTCTTGTCGTCGTTCCCCTCCCGAGCTGCCGTGAAGATTCTGTTCGCCCCCGCCTATTTCTAGTCCGCGAAACCAGGGGTCTACTTGCACGTCCAGCTCTGATATCTCCACATCGTCACCGCTCTGCCTGCTGCTCAGCCTATGATCACCTGCAGCAGAATGGTCTTTTTGCGTGTCTTTGAAAAGTCCGGACTTATCTTCCGCCTCAACCTCAAACCCTTGTCCACCTCGTCCCAAGACCCGGGAGAATATGTCGTTTTGCAGCGCGGTAATGAGTTTCGCCACTGTAATTGGTATCTCGGGTATTTCTGTCTCCACGATAGTTTGCAACTCAATCAGACGAGACTCCTGCTGGGCGACAAGCTTCTCCAGATCCTCCTTCTCCCTTTTCAGTTCGTCAAGCTTGTGCTTGTTGCTTGTTCGATTCTTTTGCTCGAGGTCCAAGGTTTTGTCCCGCAAAGTCGCAACTTCTTGGCGCAGAGCAGCGTTGTCCTGCTCCATGCGCTTTTCCCTCTGCTTGCGAGCTTCTTCCAGCTTTCTCTGCAGCGCTGCCACCTCATCATCAGCATCCTCATCAGGGAAGTTTCGGCCTAAAGTATCAACAGCGTCCCCGAATAAGGGGTCTTCTCCGATGGACGGCAACACAACTCCAGGCTCCTCCTCTTCCCGATGATCACCCTGCTGTACATACGCGGTCATGTTTCGCTGCTTGCTAAGATCAAATACATGACTGCTGACATCGAGGATGCCCCTCTTGGTAAATGCTTATAAAGTGAAGCTGGAGATGAAGATGTTGAACAAGCACAGGGGACGCAGCGAGCTGGACCTACAATTCATTATACATCTAGTTGTGACGCTGCGGTGCTGGTACAGCAAAAGATTGATATATTTATCTTGGGTGAAACCGTCGCTGATGCATGAGTGTCTAAGACACTCATGCATCATTAATCACTGAAGATGATCAACGACCAAATGAAGATCGAGGATCTTGAGAGAGGTTCGTTTGGCCCCCTCGTTAGTATCCTGATCTGCCGTAGGTACTGCTTGAACGTGGCGACGAAGATAGAGCAAATCCAAATCGTCCATGGACCAACAACTGGAAAACCTTTTGATCGAGGTCGAGCAACTTCTTTCTGATCTTGCATACTTAACAACAATCGGACTCCTGATTTCTAACTTTTGAATTTGTCCAGCCGGACGAGGAGGAGCCAAAAAAAGTAAAAGGGCAAAGCTTGTTTGTCGTGTACTTAAGTACTTCCTAGAAGTAGCAGATGGTGTTGGTGCAAGAATCTTAGTGTTAGTTGAGAACAAGTCGTGGGCGTGGCAATCACGCGTCCACATTGCTGCAGGCTTTATTTTGCCGAAGCGGATTGCTTTAGTTTTATCTTCTTCATCAAAGTGCTTACTTCTACGTCGGAAAAAATCAACCACCGTGACGACCCGGCACATTTGTCAAGAAAGAGGTTGTTCGGTGCGGCATGTGTGGCGCTAGCACAAGGCTATCAGAAGTTCACGCCCACGAGTCGTGAGTGTGAACCTCTGATGACACCCATTGTCGTCGCCAAACACTTCAGGCAAATAGAAATGGTTGAAGATGTAGATGATGAGAAGTGTCCAATCGAAAGGAAAACTCAAATCGAGCGTAAAACAAGTTGTGAGACAGTCGAAGCAGTAAAAAATACTTGGTATATCAACTGCGTGGCTTTCGTGAAGTCATATCAAAATGTACTGGATAACATCACAGAATGGAACGTCGGCAGGAATTCTGGTGAGCTGATCCGCGCGCTGAAAGAAAAATCGCAATTGCAATTATCGAAGTGACAGCAGCCCCAGCGCATCAGCTTCAGTCTGTGCACGCAACGACAAGAACCACCATGACGTCGACCAAGAAGCCATGTGTTCATCCGCTCGCGGCACCCGTGGTCTACTACTGCTCTTTTCTTGCAATAATTTCTTAATGGAGCCGTTTGTCGAAAGGATCGTGTGGGTTCATCTTTTTCTTCTGAAATTTCGAGAGCGCTCCGCCCATTCCCTTGTGGATGCCCTTCTTTTCTTCCTCCGCCTCGAACGCGGCGTAGAGGCGTTCGGTTCGCTCCTTGGCGGCCTGCTCCCGCGTGGCCCGTGCGTCTTTGATTTCCTCCTCCTTGAGCTTCTCGAGGCGCTCCTTGTCTGCGGTACTGAGGAACCCGGGAACGTGGTACGTGTCCTCCACCACTTCCTCGTCCTCGTCGTCCAAGTCGGCCAGATCGATTTCCTCATCACCGAGAATGCGGGGTCGCTTCTTGTTGGCGGCCTTGTCCCCGGTCGCTTTCTTGTTCGCGGCCTCGCCTGCCGCTGTTCCAGTCGTGTTGAGGCCCGCACTGATTTCGGCCTTCTTGGAAATGACGCCGGTGCGGCTCTGCAGCAGACTGCTGCCCACGGCGTCCTCGTAGTAGCCCAAGCCCTTGATTCCCGTCTTGAACACGTAGCCGAGCTTGCTGCCGCCGAAAGTGTCGCACGGCTCGAAGAAGGCGTCGCGCTCCCGCTGGTTCACGCCCAGCTCCTCCAGCAGTTTGTTGCGCTTCTGCAGGAAGGCCGCCGTCTCCGGGTTGCTGAGCCCGGCGTTCGCGAGGCTCTGCTGCTGGAGCAGCTTCTGCTGCTGCGCCGCTTGCTCGGCGTTCTCCATGGCCTGCTCCGCCTCCGCCATCGGGTTGAGAGAGACTTTGTCCTTCAGCTCGTCCAGTTGGCTTGTAATATCCGGCGCGTTGAAGTGGACCTGCGGAAATTGCAATTTTTTGATCTAGTGATTTCATTAGAAAAACATAAATAAAGACAAACTCCATACTGTAACGGTCCTCAGGCTCGTCGGGCAATAGACGAGGACTACGAGGAGTTTCTACTCCAGGGGCAAGGATTTGAAACTTTAATGTAGTTCCCGCCCAAATCTTGTTAGTCATTGCTGAGAAGGAGAGCTCAGACCGGCGCAAAAAAGAAACACAACGATATAATTCTCCAGCATCAACCACGTCGGCAAGAAGATCATACCTGTGCGTACGCAGCCTCGACGGAGCGTTGGATTCTTCGCATTTCCTTGAAGGTCTCGGCGTTGCCGTGTCGCATCTCGAACGTCTGCCATATTTCCCAGAATTTCGGGTACTTGCGCGGGTCGCAGTATTGAGAAATGTGCTCGTAGATGACGCGTGCCCGAGCAAGCTCTCCGAACGAGTTTTCCAGTTCGGCAAACAACAATCCAAAATGAATCAGGCCATCGCCCTCTGGAAGAGTATCTACAGCAGCTTTGAGCACATTCCTGCAATTGTTTTTGAAGACGTATCGTGATCAGGTACATAATATCATTCATTGTGAACAACGAAAAAGCTCGCCTTATCATGTCGTGTGCGAGGGTGAGGTGAAGGTGGCGCGGACAAACAAAAAACAGCGTGTTGAGGCGATCGCGATCGTGAAAATAATTAGACAACATTAAGCTTTCATCTTGCCAACGCCTGTCGTGAAAGAAAAACAGATATCTTGTTCATAAATCTTCTGCAACAAAAAAAAATGGCGGTATCGTTGAAACAATGCGCTGTACCTGGCCACATCGCCGCCCTTGATTTCTCCCGTTCGGACTAAGAGCAGCGTCCACATCTTCAATTGCGCGGAGGGGTCCTTGTGCACCGCCTCGCACGCCTGTTGGTAGATGGAGAGGGCCTTCTTGGCGAGCCCGTACCGCTCCTCGAGCTTTCCGTAGAGCACGTGCAGGCGCATCTGCATTATTTCGCTGCTAGAGCAGGCCTTGATCGCTTCTTCGAACAGGTCGCGACTGCGCTCCAGCTTCTTCGCCTTGTAGCGCGTGACGAACTTGCGCAGGTAGAAGAGCCACAGGTCGAAACAGTGCGGCTGCTTGAAGAGCGTCACGCCCTTCTCGTAAACCTTGAACGCCTGCTCGAAGTACTTGCGATCTTCCAGGTAGTGCGCGAAGTTGATGATGACCTGCGGCGTCGCGATTTTCAGGTCGATCATCTTTTCGTAGGTGGCCTTCGTCGTTTCGAACGTGCCAAAATTCTCCTCCAGGTCCAACGCCAAGTACCACAGCTTTTTCGATCGCACCGACTTCATGCGCGCAATGTTCGTCGCCCGCTCCTGCCGGTCGGTGGGCTGCGTGATGCTCGCGCGGGCCAGGTTCAGGGCCTCTTGAAAGTTGTCGTGCCGCAGCTCCATCTCGATCCACTCGCACCAAATGCTAGCGAGGTCGTCGGCGTGGGCAAAGTGTACCTTCACCGCCTCCTGGAAAAGGTCCCGCACATTCAGAGACAGGTCCCCCTCGTCCTGCTCTTCGAAAAACCGGGCAAACTGGACCCACAGATCCTGGATCTTGCCTGTGCGTTGCGATAGTGGGAAGTTTGTTTTCAACATATTTTTGCCGGAACTTCGATAATTCCGATGTAGAAGTTATAGGTATCGGCAGCCTCATCATCATACTCAGAGATACAGAACAAGATCATGCGTGATCAACATAGGTGGCGCTAGCGTAGCGCTGCTATGGGTGCCATGAGTGGAATGCATTGATGGTAACGCTGCAAAATAAAACACGATGTACATCAGCGAGCTCGACGTTCGATACCAGATCCAGATTGGATGCAAACAATACGTAGAAACAAAAAAACGCGAAGTTGGAAGTTTGTTTGTTGATGTTGTACTTGTACACGGCGCAAAAAACTATACAAGTCCAAATTGTAACATGAACAGTTCTTCTTTTACCTATGCACTTCTTCGGATCGATGGCAGCTACGGCTTCTTTGTAGGTCTGCACGACCATTTCGAGGTTGTCGCGTTCCTTGTAGATTTCCACTCGTTTGAGCCACTCCGCGACCACGTGCGGATTCTGGCGCAGCAAAACCGAGTTCAACAGCAGGGGGCGGTTGTCCATTAGATCTTCGAGGATGGCGAACTGGAGCTCTTCGCCGACCTTGTCCCGCTCATCAACGACTTCCAACCAGTCGGTGAGAAAAACCTCGTAGGACTCATAGACCAGTGCAAAATATAACAATGCACAACTCCCCCTCCCCCTCATTTGTATAGCATGAACGGCAATACAAGCATCAGCAAGGATGCTGGTCTTGCATGACAAATTTGCACTGGAGTATAGTCTGTGCTATTTGGGCTACCAGAACTTGTCATGCAAACAATGCCAAGAGGCAAAGGGTGATTTGGATACTTTGCATGACAAATGAGGAGGAGGGGGAGTTGTGCACTGTCATACAAAATCGTGGGCCGTCACAATGGTCTCGATGGCCTCCTGGTAAATCGCCCGGGCCTTATCAAACCAGGCGAGCCGAATGAAATGGTCCGCCAGACAAATCCAGAGCCTACCCACCTGATAATATTGGAAAGATTTTTACGTATGGACACTCATCTTTTCATCTGCATCGAAAAATTTTCGCACTAGGGTCTGATGTATTTGGGAAAAGGTGTGGTAGGAATAGGTTTTCACCACGCGACAAAGAATGTGCAAAAAAGAAGAACAGATAAAAAGACCCCGCAAGGCCATTCATGTACCTCGTCGGTGAATTTCCCGATTCCCTGGCGGATGATGGGTTCAATTTTTATCGACCGGATTTCTCGGGGGTGTTTTGAGATGAGCTCGCAGAGGTCGAGCCAGAGCTGGTGGCGGGACTTGCCGTTGATGCTGACAAAGTCCTCGTCGTTCAGAATCTCGACCATTTTCACGGCTGCTTCGTCGTAGATTTCCTGTCGAAGGAGGTAGGCGATAAAGGTCTCCACGTGGCTGGGCTCCAACATCAAGTAGCGGCGGAAGAGCGTGAGACAGGTCTTCTGGGGGATGACCGCGTGTTTGTACTTGGTCCCGCCCACCCAGGGAATACCAATGTTCCATACCCGGTGATGCTGCTGGATCGGGAGGGTGCGAAGCGCCCCGTCGATGGCACGGCGGGTTTGCGTCACGCGCCGCTGCTGGATTAGAAACTCGAGGTAGTCGAGCCAGATGCGCGGCATCTTGTGCATGAAGATCAAACACCGGTCGTAGATCGCGTTCACCTCCGCGTAGGCCTCGTCGGAAATCGGGTCGAAATTCTTGTTCCCATAGTGTGCCTGCTCGATCTTTCGTCGTTCGTCCAGCGACTTCCTTCGCTCTAGCAAATATCTGCGCCACAGCTTGTACGACATCGGCAGTGTCTGATAATTAATGTGTTGGACTCATTTCATACATGTCGTGAATTGAACAAAACTTCTGCAGTGTCCTCGTCCTGACCACATCGACGCCAATCAGGTGATGATGTGTAGTAAAATCATTCACTATGTCTTAACTTTGGATCACCAGGAACAACATCAGCATCAGGGATGAAAAGTATAAAGATCTAAAAGTAGATAAACATGTAAACTTTCATTCTCACCTTCAGCGCCCGTTCGTACATCAAGTATCGCAGTGCGGGATCGGTCTTCTTGATCGTGTCGATGTACGTGATCCACACCCTAGGCCGGTAGGGATCCAGCGTCAACTCCTCTTCCAGTGTGTCATTGAGCACCGAACTGAGGTCGTGCAACACACTGTTGGACGCGGAGGAGCCACCGTTCTGCATCGACATTTTGCAAGGAAGAATGTTGCTCCTGCTCCGTGAGTCGAGTGCGAGTCGTCGCAAAAATAAGGTCGTACTAGAAGACACTGCTTTGCCAACTTCTAAGAATGTGACTACGAGTAACACTAGAACTTAGTCACCTACTTGGCCGCAGAAAGTGAAAGTCGTCCGGCAACAACGTAAAGATATTTACATGGTTGCTTCGCCTTTGCTAGTAGTAGAAGTACGCTAGCCACAGGACATCAACCAAGAGATATTGCCCAAATGTCGTGGTGGAAAGATGTAGATGTCATAAACCTAATGCTGATGGTCGCCGTCGCGTAGAAATATAACTGTCGGTGTCGCCTGGAATGCAATTACAGATCATGAAATCAAAGGAGAGAAAACACGGATCACATATCTATGGAAAAATAAAATTAAGCACGCTTAGTACAGGATCGCTTCCGGTGCATTCGTGAGTCTCAAAAAAAAAAATGAACTGATCTACATCCTCATATGTGTTGAACCAGTTGCAATTGTTGTAGAGCCATTTTTATCGACTATTGATGGGGACGAGCAATAGTCATCCGCGAAGGATCTTTAGCAGGAAACAACGATCGCAAGTTTATTGCTTCTGCGCAGTGAATATTGAATGATCGCGAAGGAGACTAATAGAGGAAAAATGCGCCATCGTTTGCAGCTACAGAACTCCAGTATTTAACTCGCTGAGATTGCGACAATGACTGGCTCACGCACAAGTAGGTACCAAAGCACGATGTCATCAGCGGTGAATCATCGTGTGCACTGCGTGCAATTCCGAGTTAGTGGTTCAAGACCAAGAGTGCATCAAGTATGCAATCCTTTTCGTACAAACAAAACATGTATTTCAGGCATTGATATTAAGTAGCTTCTGCGTTCTCATGCGCGATCCATGTGAAAAACATTTTCATTTACATTTTGTACATGAGCTGAGAGACCACGGGCAGCCTTTTCGCAATTTTCTTTTCATTTCATAAAAACTTAGAATAAATCTGCAAAGAGGAGGAGCAGCAAGCGTCCGCGTTGCGTTCATCGTCATTTATTCGACCAGCAGTTGCTTCGTAGTATTAAGAATTATATCACGAGAAAAAAGCACCTCTCCTCGAGAATCACGTTGTCCAAGAGGGTTCGATAGCATCTTTCCCTTTGTCGTCGAGCTTTTTTTTATCTCGTAGTGCTATTTATTGCATCTTCTGGCGGTCCTCTCCTCGGCGACTACAGGATGATCTCATCCTGAAACGCGGCTTCAGAAACACCAGGCCGCAACAGTGACGGCGCGGGATTTTCTGCTTTTCCTTGCTTGTAGCTACTGTCAATATTGCCGGCCAACATTTTTTCGCTCTGCGCTCCTCGGCTCGGATTTGGTTCAGTTCCCACAGGCTGCTCCACCTCAGCACCATTGAGGACAGGTGGTGTTTTGCGGCAGCAGCTGCGCATCGCGTTGTCCGAGTCGTAGGGACAACACTTCTCTTTCGTCTTGGGGGACCCGGGCCAATCTTCGCAATACGGGGTGGCTGGCGCCTTCGCGAAGAGATCCGGGGAAATGTCGCCGATGTAGTGCGTGTCGCCAAAACCGCCGACGTAGTGGATTTTCTCGACGGATGTCGTCCAAAACGTAAAGTTGTGAGATGTCATGTGCTCCCACTGCCGCGCGTCGGGGTGCTTGGCGAAGAAACAGTCGGACACGCGCTGGTACTCGCGTCGCTCCGCTGGCGAGTCAGCGCCAAACCGCGCCCCAGGTTTTGCTCGCCCGAGAAAAGTGACGCTGTGCAGCGTCATTGGGTCGATGGCTGTGTCGTTGGCGTTGGGCGCTCGCACATGGAACGACACGTGGTTCTTGTAGTGCAGCACCGCGTCCAAGGTGGCCTCCAGTGGGCTCGAAAAGATCCATATGTCCTGCTGGTTGGCGCAATCTGCCGCGATTTGCTCCACCTGCCCGAACGGAAAATCTTGGTACTGCGGGTCCCGGTAGTAGCGCACCATCATGGTTGCGAAACCCTGCTTATCAAATGTAAAAATGTCTGGGTCTGGACGAATGCAACTTGTGATGCTATTTTTGGAATCCAAAGAAAATCTGTATTGCATGAGCAACAAGAGGCGTCCAGTTTTTGCTCCGCGGAGAGGGGATTTCTCATGCGGGATAGGCATCAAGATGCCCGCAAAAAATCTGTGATGCTACGGCATGCATCACAGACATCATTGGTCATGGTCATGGAAAATATGCATGACAAATCTAGAAATCTTCCAGACCCAGACACTTTTACATTTGATACTGCTGCCCGAGTAGCTGCTTCGCCAGCGACGCGGCCTGGTACTCCGTCGGGATAGTCTGAATATCTGTAGGGGAGCTGGTGCTCCTACTGTCACGTCTCCCTGCTTCAGGATCTTCATCGCTGTTACGAGGCAAGAGCAGATCCTTGTGGTCTGACTGGGAGCGACGTCGAAGAAGCTCAACATCAAACTTCTGATGATCTTCGAGACCTGCCACATAATCCGTGTAGCTTTCCTTGGAGCTGCTGCTTCTTCTTGCAACCTCAGTTTTCGGATTTGCCGTTCTTTCCGCAGCAAAACACATTCGTGAAAACCAGCGGCCGTCGTGGGCGAATAGGAGAAAGACCAGCTGGATCTTGCTTCGTCTTCGAAGGACAGAGCGATTTCTCATCATAATGGAGTTTTGTGACTACTAATGATTGATCATGTACCACATTCACCTTCTACTTCTAGTTCTAGGTAGTATAACGACCACGAGCAACTGCAACATGCACACGTCTAAAAAATGGCACAGACGTGCTATCCAGGCGAAAAACAGTAGCGAGCTGCAGCTGCTCGCCTGGTGGTTTCACCATGATACATACTTTGAGTTCCTTGAAGGCATACAGTCCAGATCGAGCAGTGTTAGATCCTTTTTATTATGGTGAGGACGTACGTATATACTTATTTACAATTTGGCTATAGCTAGTACTATGCCGGTTAAGATGAACGAGACCAGGACCCATACCCATTTCGCGCACGGTTGAGGATGTCCGATGGTAGGAATAAACAGGAGAGTGCTAATGACGCATGTTGCCCCCCGTGGATACACTCTCGCTATGGCGCGTGGAAAGTTGGAAAAAACATCTCTCTGTAGAACTATGCCATGCATCACAGCAATTCCACCCCCTGTTTTCAAGGCTACTTACAACGTCAGCCGCCCCTTGCAGAACAAAATGTCCTTCTCTACAGCTGTCATTATTGCTGCTTTGCACCAATATTTTGGTCGAACAGGTGGAGGTGGAGCAACAGAGCAAGCTTTCTACGCTCTTTACTGAAGATTAGCGCGCGAAATGTCGACCGATCAAGTACAAGTAGAATTGCGTCTTGCTACTCTGTCAGTCTCAGCCAGAGCCAGTCAAAAACAGGTTCAAACAGAAATGACTCGATTCAAAATGGCTTTGCGACTGCCCCTCCGACTTGCGAGTAGAGAATGGCTCCCACGACTGCCACACCTCCCAGGCCTCCCGCAATCATTGTTGTCGACGGCCCGCCTTCGGAGCCGTCGCTTTTTTCCGCCTCCTCATCTTCCGATCTGGCAGCGGCGTCTTCAGTGGCATTCGACGTAGCGTTTTCTCGTCCCGCGGTCGAATTCTTGTCCTCATCTCCGGATGGAGGTACCGCTGTACCTGCAGGAGCGTTGGTACTGGTGCAGTCGTCCCCCGTCAATCCGGTGCAGCTCTCCTCTTCCTGGGTTGCCTCTGTTAACGCGTTTCCAGAAGGGCACTCTTCGTCCCCCGTGGCACAGTCGTTGCTTTGTTGTATGATGGCCCGACTGCGCCGCCGCACCCCGTCTTCGCAGCCACTTGACGAACAGCTAGTCCATTCCGCCCATTGGTCGTATTGGCAGACCAGCTTTATGTCGTTGCAGTCGCAATGCCTTTCGTTTTCTTCGATCAGGTTCGCAGTCTTTTCCTGCCATCCCCCGCTGCTGTAGGTTCGAGTGGAGCACTCATGGTTCTCCACGGTTCGAGTGCGCCTATACTTCTGCTTCCCATACGCGCAGTTCTTCACGCAGTTATTCCCATGCTTCGTCCAACCCGTCCAACCGCTCACTTTGAACCAGTCTGTGCACGGCGGAGAATAGTCGTACCCGTTGTAACCGCCGTAACCGCCGTACGGCGGATCCTTCTTCTGCTTGTTCCTCACGTTCATACCGCTCTCGGCAAGAGCGAACGCCGCCGCCGCGCTGGTGCAGTCGTCGCTGCTGCAAGCGTGGTATACGTATCCACTATTACTGATGGTCTGAATCTGTTTCCAGGACCCAGCTATTGCGCCAGTCAGATGGCAGTAGGTTGATGATTTGCGGCCTGCGAGATCACTATCAATGCTCGACGTTTCCCGCTCGCTGCGACCAGCGTCCTCCCTGTCAACAGCCTTTTCGTCGTCGAGATGGGCTAGACTGGACGTTGAGGATGTACTGTTTTTGAGAAAACCTGTGCTGCTGCTGCGTCGGGAAGACGGATCAGAAAAAACTACGGCAAAGTTTCTGGGTTTTGTTCTCTTCTTCTTCTTCTTCCGCTCGCTTGTCGCGGAAACAGCTGCAGCTCCTCCAGTTGCTGTGTCGTCGTCGCGAAATTCTGTATCCGTATCTCGAGGATGTTCTTTATTTTTTCGTTTGCGCGTTCTGCTCTCCTTCTGTTGCTGTTCATCATGCATGCGCCACGACTCTTCACCCCTTGGCCTTGATGCACCGACACCGACAGTGCCTCTTGGGCGTTCATCGGCTTTTTTTTTTGCGGCAGTCGTCTGTTTTTCTGCATTTTCGGGACCGCTGTCGAACCGACCGGATCCGGAATCGCCGAGGTGGAGCTCCTCGCCCGGCCTTGGAATCGCCGTCGTTGTTGCGACTTCTTTGTGTCCGAGAGTAGCATTCGAGTGCGCGGCTTCGCCGATCCCCTCATCTTCAATGCGAATGTCTCCATGATGTTCTCTCCGCACGAGTGACGCAAGAGTTGTCTCCGTTTTCTGGTGAACCTGCGCGAGCGGTGCCCCGTCCGCATCTGCCTTTGGACCGTGATGCTGCTGCGTGCTCCTGCTTTCACCTGCGCCATTGTGATCAGCGCTTTTTGGTGCTGTTCCACCAGACCAGGAACCAGAAGTAAAAGTATGAGGTCCTCCTGCTCGCTCGTTTTCTTCGTGTTCTTGCCTATTTCCCGCTAGTGCAGCTTCACCGGTGTCGAGAAACATTTCAATTTTCGAGGACGTTGCTGACGAGGAAGTTGAGCGCACTGCTTCGCTTTCATGTTCGCGCCGGACCATCGCAGGACGCAAGGTGTGCTCGGTGCGATTTCTACTTTCGGTGGCCGCGTTTCCATCACCCTTCTCCTGGCTGGCAGAAGCGAGTGCGAGAACCTGTTCAAGAACGCTGAAGAGCGATTTCTTGTGGCCGAGAAAGAGGAGCGCTGTTTTTCTACAAGGTCGCGATAGCCGCAGACGGCCGTAGACGCCGGCTCCGCCCCGATGCCAGCGAAGCCGAGTTTTGGACGGGGCACCGGAGCTCGTCGCGAACATCATAGTACGTCCACGAGTCTTTACTACAGATGCAGATCTTTTTGCTTCCTCGTCGACCAGCACGATGGTGATGGAATGCTTCGGTGTTAACGTTTCAGCACTTCTGTTGAATCTGAATGTGAAATTCCGAGCCTTGTTCGAATTCACATTCAAAATCTAAATGTGAATTCGAACTACAAGGCTTTCTCTACGTACACTTTCATATACTACGTGTGCGAGCAAGACCAGGACACTCACACTCCTTGAACGAGAAAGTTACTTACGTACAACTGCAAGCAGATGCAGATGTACAGGAAGTAGTTCGCCAAACCTATTCACGAACTCACCCTGGCCCACTCTCGTCATTTGATAACGGATGCCCACCAGCTCCAGCAGAAATTTGATAATGGACGTCTTGCAGCTCAACGCTCGAATTTTTCAAAAGCAAGCGGAAATATTTAATATTATCCCTTCGCGACATTGAGCTTCGCCCACAGTCACGTCAGTGATGCTTCGAGCTTGTTCAGCTCATGTGAGCCTCGCTCTGAGTAGCTTGAAGTAGTGCGTCCTGGCTTTTGCGAAATGGTCTGGCAAAGAATGTTCGTGCATTAAGAAAAACTAGAACCAAAAACACGAACACTAACGATGACTCGGGTCTAACAGCACTGCTCATTCTCATGCACCTTTATGGTCCCAAGTCCCACTGCAGAATCGTCGGCTGCGCTGATCCCGCCGGAACCAGGAACCTTCCCTGCGACAACAAATGTGATCATATGTGACAGTCAGAGTACATGCTTGGTGTTGACGTCGAAGAAGGTGAAGGGCTATCGACGTAATGGAGTGCATAAGAGCGTTCACCTTCACACAAGACTCACTAATAAAGGGAAATGAGTATCTGTTCCCTCGGTGTTCGTCAATCTGTCGGGGTGATTGCAGCGGGAATCTTTACTCGTAACCACCTGCTGTAGAACTTTTTTCCTGTGCAAGGATTTTAGTCAAGTGCGTCAGCGCTCGGTCTGCACGGACGGCCATGGAGTGAGACGCGTGGAAAAGACGCAGGGGCGGAAGCAGCTCCCCCAGAACTACTCGGACCCCCTCAAAGGGGTAGGTGCTCGGCAATCCCAGCGCGGCATCCCGCCACAAGAACATCTGTCTCTTACAAAATTATGGCAGGCAAATGGACCATCGTAAAGGTAGTCGCATACTACAGCTGTTGAGATTCTATCTATTTCTGCCGGCCCCAAGAGCGGTGCGCTAGTATTTCAAATTCAAGTGCCGAAATGTTACCAAATATGGCCGCCGGGGCGGAGGTAGTGAGGCCGTGGGCGCTTTCTTGCCGGCCGTCGCTGTGCTTTTTCTGGGCTCGCCATACCGCCGGGAGTAATGTTATGTCGCACGGTGTGGCGGCAGGTGAAAAAACATAACATATTTTTGGTAAATTTCCGAAATTCCCTTAAGAAAGCCAGCCCCGATGCTATGGAGCCGATCCGGGCGCCGCGGGGGGCGCCCAGAAAGCGAAGAAAAATCGGGGCCGTAGCATGCGGATTGGCTTCGCGCGTCCGGCGCGCTTTTCCTTTTTTGCGTTTTTATTTTTCGCGCCGGCGCTTTTTGCAAAGCTTCCCCCGATTAGAAACCGGCGAAAAGGCGGCCGCTTTCGCGGCCGCCCAAAATGCTCCGAAATCGAGGCCGTGCCATGCGGTTTCGCTGTTCTGGCTTTAGACGCGTTTTTTCTGGGCGCCCTTTTGGGCGCCCCAAATCGCCAGAATCCCAAGCGGCGGGCGCCTCAGAAAGGCGCCCCCTTTGCCGGCTCCCCTGCGTCGTTTTATCAATCGGCGACCGATAGAATCCGAAGGCGATTCGTTGACGGCAAAGCAAAACAGGATGGCACGACTCAAGTCTTTTCGTGCGGAAAAACACGAAGCACCATTACAAACTGCCGGTCGTTTTTGACACTTCATGGCAAGAAAACTGCCCGGTTAGAACCGTTCGGTGACCTCACTACATATAATTCGAACATGCTCTCCTGAGATTGAAGGTGAATGGCTATCATGCATAACAAAAGGCCAGCGCCAGCGCCAGCGCGTGGCTTCATAAAACCATGTGCTTGGGAACAGCAATCTTCCTACATCGTGACTCAAGCATCATCGCGGAAATACCATACTTAGTTCCAGTCGCTGAACGAAACAGGCCATAGATCATGTCGGTCCACATAAAAACGTAACGCCAACTCAACTGTCAATTTTTTTACGTCATCTAAGAATTAGGTAGGTATTTGCCTGCAATAACGTTTCAAACTTCTGCAAGAGTTAGACCAGAAAATCGGACGAAGTACATGTTTTTTTGCGCATCCCCGTGCAATGGGGGTCGCTGGCGGAAAGAAGTTGGGGGGCGCGAAGGCGCGACCGCGTTCCGGGCTGCTTTACCCCGTAAAAATTAGCCTCCGGCATTGCGGCGGGGCGGCCGGGGCCGGGAAGGGTCGGCCGGACATAGATAGGAAGGCGACGGCACACAGCCAGCACTTCGCCACCCGCCCCCGCGCGAGACTCAAGTCGGGGATGCACAGCCGACGCGGCGTGCATCCCGGGGCCCCAACTCGAAGCCCGTCCGGGGCCGGAAAAGCTTTTGCTTTGGCTGCGGCCGGGCGCGCCCTTCCCCATCCGGGGTCCCGGCCGGCGGGTGAATTGCACGCCCCTTGAAAGGCGTGCGCGCCCTCCCCCCTTTCCGGGGGGGGGAAAAGCGGGGGCCGAATTGGCCCAATTCGCCCCCCTTTTGGAGGGGGGGTAAAATGTGCCCGGTTCTGGGCCATTTTGCCCCCCCCTGTAGCATCGGGGGAAGGCCATTTTCTGCCCCCCCTAAAAAAGGGGGCAGAATTGCCCCAATTCTGCCCCCTTTTTACCCCCCCCCCCCGAGGGGGGGCGCGCGCGCCTCTCGGGCCCCCCCCATCATTATCCCCAACTTGGGGGGCGTTGGCTTGGGCCGAAGCAGGCCCAACCCACGGGGCGCGCGCTCTACTGCTTCGGAGGCCGGCCCCTCCTGTACGGCAAACAGGCCCATGCGCTTCCGGCAGAAAACATGGCGGCGGCGCACCGCCCCGACAGGGACAGGCCCGGGGGGAAGCCGCTTGGCGGGGCGGCGCTTCTCGCTCTTGGCGGGCTTCGAGGCCGGGAGGCCGCCCCGGCTCTCTTTGACAAGCCACAACGCCCGAGCCGCTGCATGGCGCAGCGAGGTCCTCGGGCCGGGTGTGTTGCGAGGGCATCCCGCCGCCCTCAAAGCGAAACGAAAGTGGCCCGCCATGCCAGCGGGTGCGCGAAAAAGTATGTACTTCGTCCGATTTTCTGGTCTAAAAGAGCGTAATGCTCAACGTCAACAGATATTGTATTCGCATAGCCATGTATCAAAGAGAAAGGCGGCACATCATCCCGTCAATTTGTCTTGACGTGGTTACTAGACTATGCGCATCTCTTTGTTCTCTATGCATAGAGATGGGCACGAGCGGCAAGCGGAACAAGAAGGCTGCGGTGCAATCTGGTGTGACATGGTTTTTTTCATTCTTCGTCGTGTAGTGTCCGTTTGTGTAGTCAATATGGATATGCCTTTTGCGGTTTCTTTTCTCTTTGATACCGTATGGCGAGAAAGGTCACTGAGCAACTGGCGCTCTTCGGGGTCGATTTTCCCTTCGGAATTAGACTGGCGCAGCACCAGTTCGCTCGGGGTGGATTCTTCCCGGCTACGAGCCTTCTCCTCGTTTCCACCTTCCCTCTTGTCCTCATTATTCTGATTTTTATCAAAGATCCGCTTTTTTACCACGCTGACAGACGGCTGCGCGCCGTGTTGCGATATTCTGGATGGCGTGGAGCGTGCCTCGTCTTTGTTCAGGATAGCAGTGGCGAGCAAGAGAATCTGCTGCGTCTCGGTCAACATATTTTTAGCCGCGTTGTTTGTGTCTACGGGAAGACGCGCCGCCGCGTCCGTTTCATGGGCGGCCGTGCCAGAAATTCCAAGATGCCCAAGCCCGTCCTGATTGGAGCCTGTCATGAGAGCGGCTTGTTGTGGTCTTCCCTGCGCTGCCATTGGCGGACAGAGCCCGAGCGTTCTGACCAGCTTGTCCGATACACGGCGCACCAGCCGCCGCTCGAGAGAACTTTCCGCGCCGCGAGTTACTTCCATTCGCCAGGGGTTCAGATGTCGCATACACTGGATCTTTTTGGACCTTAGAAAGCTGTTTACGCGATACCGGGTTAGCGCCATATTCTTATCGCCGCAAAAGTGAAGATGCTCGACGGTGCTCCTGCCCTGCCCCTGATTGTGTGACTCTTGCTGGAGCTGCTGCTCATCTGTAGAGATTCGAGCTTCGCCTCCAGCAATACCATCTTTATTTCGATTTTGATTTTCAGTTGATGTTGAACAAACTCGCTGTCGCTTCACACTGCAAGTTGTGCGCTTGTAAGAAACACGCCAAGCAGGTTTCCTTGGAGAAAACTAACCGAGAGGGGCCCTGGCTTCTTCCCCCCCATACGATTTCCCTAAAGAAAAAAAAACCGGGCCCACCCCTCCCCACATCCCCAAATCGGCGGCCTTTCCCTGGGTGCCCAGCTAGGTAGCGCGCGGGGCCAGCGGCCTGCCCCTGCAAAGGCACACACCGGGCCGCCTACCATCAACGCAGTGCGGTAGGTGTCGCCGGCCAAGGTCGCACGCGACAGCTGCGGCGCGCGAAGCTTCTACATCCTGAGCCCGGCGGCCGGGCCGGCCGGGCTTCAACAGCCCTGCTCGTTACCCGCAAAAACCTGCACAATCTTGCGCCGGACCCTCCGCCCGCCACAGTTCTTCGCCCCTTCGTTCTTCGCCACAGAAACAAAGAAAGGAACAGCGGCAAGGCCAGCACACTGCCTTCTTACAGAGGCAACCCCGCTGAAGGTAGGTCCCAACCTGTCAGAGCAGGCACTGAACCGCCGGGGCGGCGGAAATGCAGGGGCAGACGGGGCGCCTGCAATGCTTCGAACCGGGCTGCGGACAAGACGCCGGCGCGCCTGCGACAAAACGAAAGCGGGCACAGATAGGCCCGACGCAAGTGTGGCGCTGCGGCACTTCGCGTCCATATATGCAAGGGGTGGCCGGCAAAGGGATAAGGGGCAAACGGGCGGCGCCCGAACGTCAACGCCAGCCGCGGCCCGCATTGCGCGCCACAAAAATGCGCCAAATACGGCAGCGGGCGCCGCGTCTCGAGGAAGCTGCTTTGCGATGGCCCGGCTCGGCGCCTTGTGTGCCCCTCTTCCCTGCAACCACAATGAGGGGCGCCGGCGTTGTGGGAATTGCCTCCGCCTTACATTCCCGAGGCCATTTCTGAGACATTTTTAGAGATGACGGGATCACGGGCGTGGCAGTGCATAACAAACTCGCTGTCGCTTCACACTGCAAGTTGTCGTGGACGCAAGCAGGCGCGACAGAACCTGCTGCGCCATGGCGTTCGCGACGTCTCCTCCAAAATCATAATCACCGCACGCACCATGGTCCTCTCGTCGTGCAGCTTATCAATATGAATGAAAAACCTGCCCGCGGGAAGGAAACCTCGCAATTACAATCATGCGTATCTGCCACGCATGCCAGACCGCCTCGTCCGTGAACAAAACGACGTCCTCTCAAGGACATTGACGAGCCGCGCGACAATGAGCTGACTCATAGTGGCTTTTGCACGGATCCTAAGATGTAGTCTAATGGGAGATGCGTTGTATCATTGCTGGCGTTCTTTCACTTCCTTGGTGGAGTCTCCGGCGCGGGATGCGAAATCGTGCATCTTAATCGGCGAGGAACTGGGCGTGTTGCGTATGGGTTGCACCGCGCGGGTCTCCACGCCAGATTCGTTTCCAAGTAATTTTTGAAATGCAGGATAAACTGTACAAATACCACGTGCTAGTGCTTCTGCTTGCCACGCGCTCCGCGATCGTCCACAAGCAGAGAAAAGACAGCCCATGCCCATCTAATCTATTTTCATTCTATATGAATAAGCCAATGGATACACCTATACATGCACAAAGTAGTTTTGATGCGTTGTTCACGTCGCCCATTTTCGAGAACGATAGGTGGCCAGAAGAGAACTCACAGCACAGTACGAGTCCCGAAGAAATTACTCCCAACATGTATTAATTTGCTGATGCTGTTGCTGATGCTTCTTCAAGTAAAATTAAGCTATGCCTCAGCTTGCGCGAGGGCGTGCGAAGCACGTAATCCAGCTGCAAAAGCGTTGTCTGGTAAGCGTACACGCACCGAATCATAACGTAAGCGCTTGGTGAGCTGGGGCAAGGGACACACAGCGCTCACGGTTAGCTGCTTTAGCAGCGGCGTCAGCACGTCTAATGATTTGCGGAGCTCAACCGCGGACTCGGCAAAAGCGGAAAAAGTGGCAGTAGTAACAACCACTTCTTGGTCAACATCGCTACCGCCTTCTAGAGGCGGGTGTCTTCTCGAATTGGTCCCCACAACATCTTCAGACGTGTGAAGCGTAGCACGTGGAAACACCGAGAAATTTTGTTCTGCTGCATTCGTACTACCAACTCGAAGATGTTCATTCACGCCTTGCAGCTCTCGCCCGGGTCGTGAGAGGTGCGCATGTTCGTCCCCAGACCACCTCTCCCCCGATTGCAGCGGCCTTCCAGAAGGCACATGATTATGATCATTCGGTTCTTGTAGCAACCGGCCCGCTGCGACTGCCTCCTCAGCCTGGTTGCGTCTTCCGCTCAGAATGCGGTCGATCTCGTGCTGGTCGTGTGCATCGCATTCCCAGGAGCCAAGGTCGAAGTCTGGTACGTCTTGTTCCGGCGCTCCGACGAGGCCGTGCGCCTGCGTGCTCGTCCTCGGCGCTTGGGAGTTATGAGCCTCGTCTGCTCGTCCGACTCCGAGGCCGCCGGTGGTATAGTTATGTCTCAAACCTCCTTCTTCATCAGGGGCTCCTGCTGCAAAGGGAAACAAATCTGAATCTTCGACGAGCTCCTGATTGCGACTTTCTTGTCCGTTCGACACGTTGTGCGCGTATTGTCCTTGTGTGTCAACAGGAAGAATAGCTTGGCGGCGGTGCGGGAAAAACAATCCTTGCAAGCACCGGCTTACCTCACGCAAAACGTGCTGCGTCGGCGCGTGAAAGCGTCTCGCCCAAAAGTCGCTACAGTAGCTGCGTTGCGCCCACCGTTTGCAGACCAAACTGACGTGTGGAAAGTCCTCCTTCCAACAGAGATAGGAAAAAATGGTCTCCAGCGGCACATGCAGCGACAGCTCGTCGAAAATGATCATCCACAGGAAAATCCTCGTCCCCGACACTTTTTTTACAACCCCATCAAAACACATGCACCCAGACAGCGTAGCATTACTCACTTGTTCGGCGAGTAGCAAACAAAGACAAACTCTAAATCTAATATACAAGAATCTGCAAGAGCAAGTATGCTCGTCCTCCATCTTTGCGGTTCAGATTTTTTGAGGCCCGATTAAGATCATGTCGATCGCTGCACTGATTCCGGTTCAGCAACATTCTGGCCAACATGCTGAGCAATTTATTTGAGGCGATTGTTTTTGGCTTGCTCCTCCAGGACGCGGACATAAGCACCAATTTCGCTTCCGTAAAGTTTGTTTTATCATCCCAGAAATCTTCACGATGATGATGATCATCCAGCATCTTGGTATACCAGGAAACGCCAAGCGCGATGAGCTTTGCGTCACTCTTCTGTCACTTGTAGCCTTTTCATGATGAGATGTCGTAAATAGCTGCAAGAATCAGAGAAATTAATCATAAGCTTGGAGTTGGATTTGGAAAGAAATCATAGCTGCAAGAATCATAAGCTTCCCTTGGAGTTGGAAAGAAACATGAGAAATTGATTTACTGTTCTTGTTCTGTGAAAATACCACGCGATATCGAGAATCTTGGCACGCCTTTCCGCTCTTGCAAAACAACCACGTCCGCAACGGCAAGCGGGCCAATAAAGCTCGACAGGCTACTAGCCGCTGTCCGTCTGTCTTCTAAACTTCAGCACCAGAGAATGAGAAATGCATTGCTTTTTAACTAAGTATAGTCCGATACATCAAATGCAAACGAGCCTCGTTTACGACAAGGCTTTACTAGCATTCGCGATCACAGCACAAAAATCGCAACTGCTGAGAATAAAATTCGTACGGTATCATGTACGGACCCCGACTAACTGTTTCGACTTTTGAAATGTCTAGGCACATGACTCCTCGATGCGAGTGCGCGATTATACCTCGAAGAAGAAGGAGAAGAAGAAGAAGATTTCGAGCTTGCTCTTGTGAAGAGCAAGCTCGAGTTCACTCCGATTGGATACATGAAGACGAAAAGCTAACCATCCGAAAAGCAATAGTACCAAAAACGACACCACGAAACAACCGAGATATCGCTATCATATAGATGAACTGAATGGCTGTCACCTGGTTTTCATGGGAATGAAGTGGCTGCTTGGCTTCTTCTTGCAAGCGGGTTCTTAGCCCGAAGAGAGCCGCACTCACTCCAGGGGGCACGATGCCATTTGTTACTTTGGTACGCCGAATCTTGTTGAAACCATTTGCGAAACGTAGTGCAGTGGATGCAGAAGGAGCAGCACTAAACTCACGATCACGTCTTTTTTTATCGGAGTTGCTGATCATAGTCATTCTAAACAGCTGTCGTCGCGAAGCGGGTCCAAGTAGAAATTCACAATTCATCTTCAGAGTAGTTCGTTGTCACTCGAGAGCTGTGGGAATGTTAATAGTTTCGTCATCCTCAAATGTAACACCGTGCTTTATGCGCATTTCGTCTTGGATTAAGAAAAAGATTTGATTGACGTAGCGACACCAAAATGACTCCTCCTCGATGAAGCGTGGTACAATGTCATACCGAGCCTGCCCAAGCGAAGGTATCTGGTCCAGCAGTGCCACGCACCAGTCTGTTGGGGGCTGAAAGCTGCCTTCTATTCCCAGTTTGTCGCAGATTTCCACGTTCGTGCCCTCCGTGAGATCCTTCACAAGGGGGTCGATGGCTTCCAAGATTTGCAGCTGAGCCTCCCTGGACAACAATCGCTTTTCGGACGCGTCTTTCGAAGACTGAAAGACATAATCAATCATGTCGCGCCACGGATAGAGGTTGGACTCCACGCCCGCTCTCAATTCCAGCCCGAAAGCAGGAGCTCCGCTGCTCGAGCCATTGTTCCCCATGTTTCTTTATTCTTTGAGTTTGTAATGAAAATCAACCCTTTGCTCGCTTCTTATGGCGCGCGAGTAACTGTCTGACATATACAGCTAAATCAAAATCAAAATCGTAATATTGTAATGAAAATCAAAATCGTAATAACATATACAGCTAAATATTGTAATGAAAATCAAAATCGATTTTTATATATGAAAACCTCTTGAATGCGGTTACGCCTACGCGTGCTTCGATTTTATACACGCAATGGACACTCTCACTCCTCTAGGGGTAGGGACGGAGGAGTGAAGCGGCTAAACCAAAAGCGAAAATCACCATCATCATCATAATGGACTCGGATCGATATCTTCGCCGAATCAATACTACTTACACTTACTACAATGCCAGAATAGAAGTCATGGCGACTCGCTTCTTTGTCATTCCTCATATTCACATCAGGACCTGATAGAAAATTGCGCTTCCAGTAGCCTGAGTCAACTTATGTCTTTGCAGCCAGCATTACACCCGCACGCGTAGTGAGACTGGCAGAGATGAGATGTAAACTCAGCAATGCCAATGCAGAAAGGCAACGGTCATTCAGATTGCCACTTCCTCCTCACATTCGATTCTGCTCAAACCAAGAAATAAAGGCACTGGGACCAACACAGGTTTTCAACCGATTTTCTTTCTGCACAATGGCACGATGGTTACAAAATTCAATGCTACGGAGTAGGAACACTCTCACTTCGTCGAGCTGGAACCGAAGTGCATTGTTGTTTGAACAGAGCCCGTGCCTGCCGCTAGCAGGAAACGGGAAACACTTGAGAGCTGAACTACAAGCGGCGCTTGTCAAGCGCTCCAAATCAGTGCGACCGGTTTCGATATTTTTCTTTACCAGTATCTTGTATCGAAATCTCCAGAAGTTTGCAGGCATTTTCATCTTCATACGTGTAAAGCAAAAGAGTTTACCTTTCCTGCGCAAGACGGACGCAATGCGCTCGGAAATTTGCGCAACTTGTTTCGAGGCGATGACCACGAGGCGCACTTCATCTTTCTCTTTACAAGCAGATTTACGATGTTCTTCATGTTGTTCTTCGTTCATCCCCATCTTCAATAATATTCATGCATGTTTACAAAACATGAAGCATTTGTGTGCAGCGTTACTTCGTAAGTATCTATTTGTATTTCTCTGTCTCCTAGCTAGTGCCAAGAACAAGAATGCACAAAGAAAAATCGTCCGTTTCCGACGAGCAGTAGAAGCCTCTTCTTCGGATTCATGGGTTGTTCTTTCATGCACTTGCAACCATGTATGATGCTACCTTGTTATGACCAACGGAAAGCGTAAGAAGTGGACGAGGGCAGACAATTGTCATCAGTCCCTATTTATCAGTCCAGATCGTCGTCGCTCTCTAGCACCTTCAAAATGTCAGGAAACGGAGGGCAGTTTTTTTCATCATCGACCCTGTTCGTACAGCCACGATCTGAGTTCTGCACTGATCCGAAGAACACCTTTGTAGCTTTACCACGCCGCGATGAGTGGGATGACGGTGAAGACGCAGATTCTGCTGAAATGCCGTGAGACTCAGGGTGGACACCCACTGCATCGCCGTGCTCACTGGCGCTGCTCGATCCGCTTGGCTGCCGGGACAAGAGCGGGCGAGTTGTTTATCGTTTTGAAAAGAGCCCTCAACCTCCGGCCATTGTCAAAGCGGCGATATAAATGAGCTGTGCTGCTGCTCACAGGATAATCTGCAACCGTGCTACCTGCCACATCAATGTCATGCAACAAGTATTTTCGCTCCATACTTATCATTCATCTCCTACTTTTCAATTTCAACTTTAAATCAAAATCTGGATCTGATGGACTTTCTCCTTGCCGCATGCCTAGCTGCATTCCGATCCCGGCTGCAGTAAGAATCTTGGTGTTCATCATCTTTGCGTTTTTGTTCAGGCTCGTCGTTTTTTCGTTCGGAGAGCAAAGGACTGCTTTCAACACAATATCGCAGGGCGCATGGGTGACGGCGCAGAACAAGTGGAAGCGGACGACAGACTGCGAACCTTCCCAGACAGTTGAGGCTGTGCGTCCTCCTGCAGGACCTGTTGCTCGGCCCGAGTCGTTCCAGTAGCGGGACCGACGTCCCCGGGCTTGGAAAAAAACTGGCGTTCAGGCCACGGCACTCCTAAAAGTGGATCATCTGCTTCATCGTGTGCGGCGACAACGTGAGCAGTAGGTTTCTTCTGGAGGCCGTGCAACATCATTCTCTGTGTTGCCACTTGCTTTTCTCTTTCATGCTCCATCAATGGCAACTCTGCTGTCTCCCCGCCGCCCAAATACAATCCTGGCCAAGCATTGCATGAAAAAAAGCTCTCCCAATAAGTATACATAAATCATGAAGATAACATTCCCTCGAGGGCAGCATCATTTCAATGTAGGGCGGCGATTACGTAGAATTATGTTTGTCTTTACATCTCGGACCTGCAAAAATGTTGCTGGTGCGTCGAGAGCCACCTCCTGGATTTCTCACTAAGGGGAAGTAACTAAACGGAGGTATTAGCAGCGACGTTTCGAAGAGCAGCCCTCTTAAGCTTTTAGGGCGGCGGGCATGTGAATGCAAAGGTGCGATGAACAACGACAACCCTAGTTGATGCTGCTACTGGTGTTGTTTCTCTTCGACGTGATATTCCATGATACTTCTGTTTGTTCATCAGGATTTTTTTCTAGTTCTGCCATCGAGGCTTTGTCATGGGAAAGCAGTTCTTCAAAGTTCGTAAGGTAGTCTTCCGGTTTTTCCCAGTTCCGCACTTTGCCTCCAAACGGATTCTGGGACATACGGAGTTGCTTTGGCATTCAACTTTGCGCGCTGCTGGACGAGATGAAAGTCCGGCACTTGGACGTGGTACTCACTGAACTTCTTGTCTTCTTTGGGAACGGAGGCAGAATCCGTGCTGCAGACCAGAGGGTCATCTCCCACACCTGATTCTACACCGCCACAGTTTTGGTACGTCGCCAGTTGCGCGCGCGCGCAGCCAGATGCTACTACATCGGCGTATGATAGTCCTGCGTGATCATTCCATAGCTTTTGCGCGGGCGGTCTACTCTTTGCAGTTGGTGTATTCAGCACATTTTTCTGGTCGTGCACCTCGACGTCGTGGTGCTCCAGGACGGACGAAGCTGCATCTGGGGTGCGGAACATACCAATCACATCCTGCAATTTCTTGCCGCAGGCAGTGCCAGTGCTCTCCGTCGCAAAATCGGTATTGCAGGGAGCTGGCCCCGCGGCAAGAGGGGAAATGGCGGCAAAATATAAATCTGTGCTGTCTGAAGATGCGCTGGCTGGCACAAAAACAGGCGCATCGTAACGGAGAAGACTTCTGGTGGTATTGGGTTGCGGTTGCGCCGCCCGCGCAGCGACCACATCGACATCGTCGTTGGTTCCGACACCAGGCGTCACATTTATTTTCTGGCTTTCTAATTCTTTTTGGGACTCGTGGTCAAGGCCAAGTAAAGCATTGTTATTGTTTTCTAATGGTGCAGTCCACGCCTGTTTCGCGGCGATGCGCTTTTCAATCTTTCTGCTGGCGGAACTGAAGCCGTGCCTCTGTTCTACCGTGTCATGTTGCTGTTCGTGCTCGATGGGCACGACGGGCACTGCTTTTTCCGGTTGCTTTTCATTGTCCTCCGATGTTCCTGCCCCAACCACGAAGGACCGCAGTGCTTGCTCTCGAATAGATCGCCTGTTCGGAGGTATGATCCGTGTACTACCCTGAGGAACCATACTCGGATGCTGACCGATGGGCAGCGCGTTTTTTGAGCGCGTCGATCCATTACCGTTATGCGTTTCCCGGTGTGGTAGTGGTGTGCTTCCGCGCTGAGCAGCAAGGATCTTGGTAGCAGATTTTGTTTTTCTTGTTCCTCTTGCCGCATCAATCGTCGATACCGTACTGCCGATCCCGAGCGCATGGAGGGGCAGGACGCTGGTTGTAACCGCTACACAGAGCTTCAGCATAATGCTCTATGTTCTATGCTAAAACTTCTATCTAAATATCGGATTCAGAAACAGAGTCTTCTTTTAGTATGCAGGGGTCCTTGTGTTTGTGTATTGTAACTACAGGAGCCAGACCTTATATTTATTTTTTCTTCATGAAGTCGCGCAAGAGCAAGTGCTCTACAGGAAGGACACGCTTGGCCTAGATGTGACCACGAGACAAGTGAAGAGAATAAAAATTGGACCACGGTGGTGCCCGCTGCAGACTCCTGGTGACGCATGAGACAGCTCGTTTTTGGCGAAAAAAGGAAAAAGTGCAATGATAATTTATTAGGTACTTAGATTTACTAGAAGGACTGCTGATTCGATCCGGTTTACATTTTAGAAGAAACATGCTATCCAGTGGAGTATTTCACATCTGTTAAAATAATCGAATAGCCTGAGCCTCCGCTTCTGGGCAACGGTAGCAAAACAACCTGCTCCTCCACCATAAACTAGAAGGAGATCTTCATCTACATCTTTTATAGAAGTACTTTTAATCTAACAACTCGCACTAACTTTCGAAGAAGATCCATATTCCTACAAATGCAGTAGACACTAAAGATGCGCACGCTTGGCTTTGATCCACCATCAGCTGCATAGTACTTAACACAAAGCTCCCCCGGGAGCGTATTCCTTTGAGATCAACGACAGGGACGTCCCGAAAACGGTCACGAACCTTTGTCTCTTTCCACGTTGCTTAGAAATGAAACAAAACATATTCATATTGATTCTCCGAACTGTGGTTTTCGTAGAATGCAATCACAGCCATTTTAGTTTTTTCCTTTCTTCGTCTTCTCCGTGCGTTCTCATCTGCCAGAAACTATGAAAATAACTCTGAAACCAAATAATTTCATGGAGGGCATTGCCACAGCCACATCCTACACAAGTCTACTCAGCGACTACAAATTTTTGTATGCCCTCAGTTCAAGGCGCAAATCTGTAACGATCGTCTACTGGATGGCGCGCTTGACGAGCTGCCTCGACTTGGATTTGCTGCTGACTACGGCTGTCAAAAAATCAAATAAGTGCAGTCAATCTTATTGCATACTAGAGCGATTTGGATTTGAAACGGAGATGAACTCCTTACTTTGCATCTCATATGTTCAAGTTCCCTCCAATTCCTCCGATCGTAATTTTTCCAAAAGGCTTGCGATACGATTAAAGAGTTCCGCTTTCCTTTTGACGTGCTGTCTGTCCTCCTCTCGCGCCAACAGACTTGCATGCTGAGCTCGACTTCCATAGTGCCCGCGTACGAACTCGCACCATCGAATGGCATCACATAATATCGGAAAGGAAAGCGACGTCCCTCGCTTCCGGTTGTCTTCTGCTAGTGCTACGTTTGTTCTTGGCGACGACGTAGTTTCTTTTCCAGTTGTGGCAGCAGCATTTCCTTCACACTGGATTTCGCGTAGCATTTCGAAAAGCGTCGAGGGGGCACGCAGCCACTGCTCCACTTCGTCAAGGAAGGACACGTACGGCCGCGCCGATGGAGGTTGAAAGAAAACAGCACCGGTAGAAGTACCGGTCTGGCGATTCCTGAAATTCATCTCCAGCGGTCCGTGGCCTTCACGGTCTTCTTCCATGGGAAGTGCTGCATGCGGCGACTCTAATCCGGTGCTTTCTTCACCAGAAGAGTCGACCTCGTGTTCGTCATCCGCCACAGAGGATGTGTTTTGTCCAGCTCGTGCGCCATTTTGGTATAGGGTAGTAGTTATCAAATGTAAAAATGTCTGGGTCTGGAAGAATGCCACTTGTCATGCTAAATCTGAAGCATGCAAAAATCTGTGTTGCATGATCACCAAAAGTCGCTCAGGTTTGACCAAGTCGGGAGGGAGTTTCTCATGCAGGATAGGCATGAGAGAGATCGCACAGAATCTGTCATGCTAGGTCCTGCATTCCAGACCTCATGGGTCATGAAAAAGCTGCATGACAAATCGCGCATTCTTCCAGATCCAGACCCAGACATTTTTGCAATCCATAGTAGTAGAATCGCGGTCGGTAACGACCACCTCATGCCAGAAACATAACCACGCCTTTATTTGCCGCCAGGATCGAGGTCGACGCGTAACTGGCGCAGCTCCACCAGGCGTGTTTATCGCACACTCCTTCGGTCTACTACCTGCGACGTTTGATGCCGATGTAGCCACCATGGTGCTTTGCGCGGAGGAGTAACACAGCTGTTGTGGTGGTGGAAAAGCAAAAAAGGCGGCCGTGCTGATGTTGTTCTTGTTGGACCTCCTCCCCCCACGACCTCCCTTGGGACCGGAGGGCGAGCGTCGCAAGATGGCGGCAACATCCGCGTTCAGCCATACACGAAGGTAGTCCCTGACGGTAGCCTCACCAAAATTTTTCGAGCTTCGCTCAAATTGGCACAGGCTGGGGACATCAAGGAAGACCAATATCACGAAAACGACCTCGTGCGGAAGATCCTGTATGCCTCGAATTACACTGGTTGTGCGGCTCGCTTGTGCCGTTGTGGCAACGCTGGCGTGTTGCGCGTGCTCGTCCCGAATACCCATGCGCGAAATAATCAAGGTGTGCTGTCACATGAGATGGAGAGCGACCAATAATTCCTCTGAAACAGTTTCTACAACCACACAAGCACTGAACGCCATTAACGCATCAACATCTAGGATTCTGATGACACGAATAAATAGCTGCAGCTTGTTGAAGCAGCGGACGATAGAATATCTTCGGGCGGCTTGCTGCCCTAATAAAGACACACTTACGCCACGACCAGCACGACACTTATATTCATTGCGTTGCGGATGCGGAAGACGAAGAGGCCCGGCATCAATATATAAAATTAGATCCAACGCTCCTGACCCTGACTTCAATACAAGATAAAAATGCTTATCTCCTTCGCTCTCATCGCTACCCAGAGCTGATTGATAATGACAAGCTCCTGTTTTTTTTTCCACGTGTCTGACCCGAGCCATTTCGTCGGTCCCTGCTCGTCCCGTGGCCAGGTATCAATATCTATGCGTCGCGCATCAACAGCAACTTGTACCGATGAGGCAGAGAGCACGTATAGAGCACCAGGGCATACACGTCGCAAGCACGGGTGCTGCGAGCGAGGCTCCCGCGCGGCTTCCGCCACACACTGTCACTGCGTCTCTCGCTGCTGTGACCAAGTGATAATTCGCCTCTTTTCAACATGTTGTTTCATTTCGCAAATAGATACAAGAGTTCCTAATTGTAAATACAGGGCTGCGAAAGCGAATCGGTCACATATTTTCTTGAGAGTTGTTGAGAGGTTCGTTGCGGCTCTCGTTCTCATCACCACCGCACGAAAGCAAGTCTAAATAGAAATACTTTTGAAGCACATTATAAAGTTGAAAAGAAGGTGTAGATCTAGATGGCAGTGGGAGCACCAGCATACTTCTTGGCGGTCACAGCTAACGCTCCACTTAACCATGAAGCTCGTGATAAACTAGTCTAGTCTAAATGATAAAATGAGTCGACGATGCTGATGCTCGGTTTATCTTGATTCATTTTTGCGTAAAAAAGTTGTGTGCAATAATTGGTTGGAATCCAACTATAATGTGGTCAAATTAATTTTGGTTTATTTTGTCTTTTCTTTCTTGTTTATATTGGTTGGATGGATTCGAAAAATCAACAGCTGTCCTGCTTGTAGGTATAATTGGCGACACTGCTGCTTTTATCTACGGCGCAGCACAGAGCGGAGACGATTAGACGGGTCCGACCCGCTAATTGCTCTCCAGTCCGTCTATGGTTCCCGCCGTTGGCAAAATTTAAAGCTGTATTCTCAACATCTTCGGAATTTTGGCTGTTGCCGACATTCTGAGATGTCATCTCCGATCAGCCCACCTCAACTTTTGCGCATTAAATAGCAGTAGCATTATCTGCGAAGCTGAAAGCTCTTGTCCGGCTTTCTCGGCGGGCAACGAATTCGAACTGCATTATCATTGATTGCGATCAAATGGAAATAGTTCATCGGATTTCGATTTTTTGATTACCTTTAAGTTTGTTTTTGATTTACCGTCTAAACTAAGCTTGATGTTGTAACATACTGTCGTGATGTCGTCTAGCGAATGAAATTAGAAAGTCAGCATTATCTGTTCCTTCTTGTTCTGCGTTACCTCGACCGTGATCAAGGTACGCGTACGCGGCGTTTCTTTTATCACTGGAGTTCTTCTCGTGGTCTTTTTACTTTGACTGATAAACGACGCGCTCCTGCTTTTACCGAGAGTCCGGCTTTACAAAGTTGTTTCGCTGGGCCGCTGGCTTCATCGTGTCAAGACGATTGGGATCGTAGTTGCCGGTCTGCCACTTGTCCAGCACTCGTTCGCTAGGAATGCGGCGGTCGCTTGCCATTGTCCGTGCGGTCGTTCTACTGGTGCTTTGATTTCCGCCCGGGATTGACTGCGCGGGGGCTCGGCTCGGGCCCCTCTCGAAGTCGATGCTTGCTTGCCATCCCGGTCTGTTCTGGCTTTCCTGCTTCGAGACCGCCCCGCCGTCTCCTACCAACCTTGGCGGCCCGGGGTCTATGGCACCGCTGGAGCCGTAGCTCGTTCCCGAATACGGTCGGCTCCCTCCGCGGGTCCCGCCGAATTTCTGTTGATTGTTGTTCGACGCACCGGCGGCTCCACTTCCGGACAGCGGCCTGCCTGCTCCCCCTATTCGCGCCTTCATCTCGAAGGCGTAGCTGTGCTCACCCTCCATTATGTTCTTGCCGTTCGAGCTCGGAGGTGCCGGTGAATCGAAGTCATGCAAGAGCCGCGAGGACGTGGGACTGCCTTGCGATTCCATCTGGAACCTGTCGTAATTTTGCCGGCTGGAGCTATCGCCCGGCGGAGGACTCTTCTGCCTCCCGCCGTGTTGCGACATGCGACTACTAGCTTTGTTTCGGCTGTTCAGCTGGTGCAGCGGCGGAGGTATTCTTTTCCGCGCAGCGCCGGTCTTTGCTTTAGCTTTGGCCTTTCCGACGGCCGGTAGTCGCCCGCTGTCGGGAGCTTTGGTTTCTGTGGCTTTGCCGTACATGTCCTGACCCCCTAGACCGGTCAAACCGCCGGCCGTACCTAGGAAGTCGTCCGCGCCCTTCACGTTGAAAGCAGGATCTAGCTTCTCCTCGGTTGGGTCTTCGCTGGTGTATTTCACGCCCTGGTCTGCCACCTCCACACAGACCCTGTTGTTACGAGGCATCAGTTTTGCCTACTATGCAGGACAGTGTGGATGTAGATGTTGATGTTGAAGCATTCCTACTTTCATCGCCATTTCGCAATGGCATTCATGTATTCCCACAGTTGAGGGGAGAGACCACCTCGAAACAAATCCAAGTTCTTGCTAAAGGTTCAACTAAAACTTCTGGCTCTACTTCTTTTACTCGATGTCGATGAGCGGCTTTGACTCCGGTGCTTTGACCGTAACATCAAGGAAAAAAGATCGAGTTGTCACTAGCAACCTGTACCTGAGTTGGTTCCCTGAATGGACGTTTATTTGTCCCGTTGCGGTTTTGATGACACTTGTTACGCCCTCCATGACCCTCAATTGATCGTTGATTTTTTGGATGCCCCCGCCAGTCAGCGTGTTTCTTCTTAGGTCGAGGGCCTTCAAATACGGAGTTTGCATTACCAACTGGAGTAGCTGGTTTACGGCGTCGTCGGTCAGACCTGAAAATTTGAGAGGTTTCACCTTCAAGAACATGCATTTTTTCACTGTCACGCGGATTACACATACTCCTTTTCTTCCTCTTTCTGATGCAGATTATTAATTTCATTCTCGTAGAAAACATAAAGATAAAGAGTAAAAAACTTCAGAGTTGTGAGTGTCAGAGCAAGAGACGTACTTACTATAATACCGTTTTCGGCAAGCGAGATGAAGTAAACTTTTTCTTGAATTTGGTATCGCTGGAGCAGCGATGTGAGTTCCTGCAACTCTCTCGGCGTCAGGTTCAGGCCGTCGAGGTTGATATTGTGGTGGTCTCCAGACTCGAAGAGATTCATCATATACCGCACCAGCGCACGTGTTTTGTAGCTCTCAAACATCGACGTCTTTTCGAAGAGGACCAAGTTCTTCTGCCGAAGCGCGGATACCAAGCTATTGGACTTTGCTAAGTCGCCCAGGTACTGGTCGCAATGCCCTGAAATATGTTTATGAGTATGGGAATGGGTAATATGACACCACGACAATGAAATTTATCTGTAAATGCGTTGCTCTCTTCCTCAATAAGGATCGCAAGTTTCTTGCCATTGTCGTGTGCTTGTGCACTTGTAGTGACATTGTATCTGTAACATGACAAAACCTTTCCATCAGAACATATTGGTGTCGCCTAGGCACGCGATTCTCGCCGATAGTCCTGATTCTGATTGTACTACATGCGCATGCCAATCTTTTCCTTGCCAACTGAGTGATTAATCATGAGAAGAATTTTAGTTTTACATGCAACTCCAAATCGACAGCATTAGAAACTCATGTGTACCTTGCGCCGTATGCAGTAGCTCGAGTAATTGTGCAAGTTTTTCGACGCTTATCCCAACTAAATTTACCCTCACCGTCACTACGGAGACGCAAACTGTTTAAACTTTCGTTTAAAGGAAATGTCGCAATAGTCATTGTATTTCGATTTTGTTGAGGATTTTAAATCCTCAAACAAAATCAAATTTTAAATCCACAAAAGCAAGTAAATTTTACTTGCTTTTGTGGATTTTCAAGCACAGGTTGAGGTTGCGCGAAGAGGACAATGCTGCTGCTATAACGTTCATGCCCGGCAACATACACGTAAGGTCCCATGGTTCAAGCATGGTATGGCGCTCGCGCTGGTGGTGGGGGCGAAAATTTAACAAAAGATAACGAGGCTCGGCACTGGATTCTTGTTTTGCTGCGCCTCGTACAGGAATTCGTTTATCTGCAGCTTCTCGAGAAGAGTCGACTCGTTGCTCTGAATCAAAATTGGGCGCTGCCTCCCTGTCTCATCCAGCACATCTTCTCGTTTTACATACTCCAACTCTGCCCTGTGTTTTGTAGTGAAATGAATTTCAGATTCAATTTGGTAGTTTCGTTTATAAGGGTAATCCTGTTCCTGATTTATTCGTTTTTCTGAATGACAGACACTGACACGTCGCCACGTAGCCGCAACAGAAAACAAGAATAAGCATGTGGACATACTACACTACCAGCAACACTCTGAGTCTGATCACCACTACCTTAGATTCACCGTGGTTTCTCTGATATCCTGCAGAGCCAGGTCCAGCTTGTCAATCTCTTCTCGCAAGAGATTGTTCGTTTTTGACATATCTGCGAAACGATCCGCGGACTTCTTGATTTCGCCCTTCAGACTGGACTTCTCTTCCTCTTGACCGTCTATTCTGGACGCCAAATACGCGTTTTGCGTTTGCAGCGCGTTTATCTGCTCGTTCAGCTCGACGATATGCTTTCCGATCTGTATCAGTGTTCGTCGATTTTTGTTTTCTATTTTTACTTTCTTAATCTTATAGTGTCTTTCACAACTACAAAAGGTCGCTGTCTGAGCCTAGCTCTAGTCATGGAGACTAGAAGTGCGGTGGACCACGCCGGCAGCAAAAAATGTTGGACAAAATTTAGGAAGAAGGAGATCACGACTCAGTGAAGACTTGTACCTGTTCCTGCATATTCTGCGCGGTTGCTATGCTTTCCTCGATTTTCTTGTTTTTCTTTTTGAGAAGGGCGGACTCAGAGTCAGCGTCGCGCTTCTCTTGCTCCGCGATTTGCTTGGCGTCGAGTTCCATCGAGATCTTCGACTGCACGTTGGCGATCAGCTTTTCGGTATTCGAAAACTTTTTCTGCTTTGCTGAATTCTCGGCTTCCATGCGCTTCAGCTCCACCTGGTTCAGGCGCAAACTATCCATCAGGCCGTACACCTTGTCGGCCATCTCTCGAAACTTCTCCGCGGACCGCCGGTTCTCCTCGTGCAGTTGCTCGTTGGACTTCTCCGCGGTGTTCAGCGTCTTCTTGAGCACGTCAATCTGCGACTCCAGGCTTTCTATCTTCTGCTGCAGAGAGGCCTTGTCTCGCTCGAAAGAGCCACGCTCATTCTGTTTTGGTTGAAAAGTAGGTCGCGGATGATGTGAAAAGTAGAAGAACACATAATTCTTGGCACAACTACAGATCATGACGTGCCACGAACATCATTTCGTCCCATGAATTGTTGACACAGGTCGTGCAGCAACAGCACAATTGTGACAACTCAACAACAAGAAGATAAATACCTCGTCTCCGTCCATTTGCTTCTTCATTTGTTCGATCTCCTTCTTTAGCCCTGACGCAGTGTCCCTGAGTCCGGCCAGCTCCTCGTTGAGGTGCTGTTCGCGGGTGTCTTGCTTCTGCAGCTGCTGCATGTATTCAACATTTTTGTTGGACACCACCGTGAGCACTTGGTTCAGAGCTTCGATGTCCACCTGGGTCTGCGCATCCACGCTGGCAATGTCCGCTCGTAAGGACTCGTTCAGTTGCCGAAACTCGCGGAGCTGATCTGCTGTTTGCAGTATCCCGTATAAAAACGTCCCCACCCCAGAGTCAGCCTGGGGATTTTGCAGCACAAGCCTAGAAGTTTGGGGACTCACGCATCACAAGTTGCAGTCCGTAGTGTAGTGCAGGTTACTAGCAAGGACAAACGCGTCACAAATCCATCTGCTTATCCTGGTTACAGCATTACAAATTCCAAAACACGACTAGAATGAAACGCCTCTCATGGAGATGCGCATTACAAATGTTCCATTAACCTCAGCCGTCCCGTCGTGTAATTCAATTTTTGAAGCATTTTTGACGAATTTGTGAAGAAAGGCCATTTTGAAAATGGACCCACTACGCACAGCGATTTTCCGAGCTCTTTCCGCCTGCTTCCCGACAACCGAAACAGGGGCGCGACGGCAAACAAAGCGCGCTCCGTGTCCCCGCGTGCGCGGCATTTCTCCCTTTCCCAAGTCGCGGTTTGTTACGATGGTGTCACGCGACAAAAACGCGACATATGGCAAAGACGAAGCTGCCAAGGTCAAATCGGCTGCAGCTTCCAAACAGCCCTTGGTGTGGCAAGCCGCTAACAAAAGCGACGGTCCCCAGTGGTATGTAAACACCAACGCCACAACTCTCACCAAAAGAGGTGGGCTTCCAATCCTATGGATGCAGCTACAGAAGTACAGTTAGCGGCCCGAAGGGCCGCGCGCCCCGGGCTTTTCATGCGAGTTGGTCGCCCGAAGCCGAAAGGGCGCGGACGAACCAACGTCATTTGGTTGCAGATGAATCTTGAGAACGCCGGAACCTGAAGCGAAGTCCCGACACTTCAAAAAAAAGTCAGGACATTTTTGAAGAGAGTCAAAAAAGAGTCAAACGCAAGTCAAAATTGACCGTCACAATAGGGGACGCAGAACTTGACTTTTTTTTGACTCTCTTCAAGAATTTCTTGATTGCCGTCAAAAGTTGTTTGATTGCCGTCAAAAATTGCTTGATTGCCGTCAAAAATTGTTTGATTGCCGTCAAAAATTGCTTGATTGCCGTCAAAAATTGCTTGATTGTCGTCAAAATATCTTGACGGCCGTCAAAATATCTTGACCGTCTTCAAGTCTAGGTGACTGCGTTCAACAATTGTGGATCTTCCTCAACAATTGTCGACCGGCTGCACTTACCGGCGAATTGACCGGATGCATTCTTGTTGATTCCCCGCAACAAGTGGCGACTGTTTCAGGATCGTCTGAATCCAAATCAGCCATCCTTCAGAGGCTGACTCAGGGGCGGGGCAGAGCGACGTGATATTGCTTCGCACGACTGCCGCGGATGACACGCAATATTGTGCACGCGATTCACCACGCGCCCGCACGAGGAGACGAGTGGAGTCGGGTCGCAGCAAGGACTGCAACGTCACAACCAGCGGACTTCGAGCCCCAAAAACAGCAGGCAAGAGCTTCGCTTTTTCAAAAAGTGCTTTCTTCACAAATGCTTCAAAAATTGATCAAAAATCAGTAGCACAACAGGCGGTCTAGCGTTAATGTTCCAGTCATTGCAAATCTGCATCACAACTCTGGGGTGGGGATCATGTTTTTACAAATGATATGCAGGGACTCTTCCTTCTTGCCCTTGATCAGGTTTTCGATCTCCTCCTTGATTTTGTCGAACTCGCCCTCGAGGACCTTCAGGCTGTTGTTCTCCTCATCGAGCTATGCAATACAAATTTCCCGTACATGTACAAGATGCATTACAAATTTCACCAATTTGAAGCGTAAAACTTGCCATGCTAGACTAGGATCGAAGCCAATTTTTGTCATGCAAAGACCGCATGCGTACGTGTACGGGAAATTTACTGTGGATACGAGCTCCCCTATCTTTGCGACCAGGTCCCGCGTTTTCACTTCCTCCAGCTCCAACAGTTCGAGCATCTGTTGGTTCTGCTGGGACAGGACGCGGACATGCTCGTCCTTGGAGATCAGCTCGGTTTTTTCCTGCACCAAGGCGTCCTGCAAAACTTGAATCTTCTGCTGCACCGAGGCTGTCTCCACCAGCATCTGCTGCTCCTTGTCCTCCCATTCTCGCACAAGTCCTGTTGGCGAAAATAAATGTTTTCCAAAGCAATTTTGTTTCGTTTGTTGGCACTTTTATATAACGTGACAGCCCTGATGAAATAAATGAGTCAACACAGAATTTTTGCTTATGGCTACCCCGAGAAATAAAACAATGCTGCGCCGATAGTAGTGAAGAGCAACAATTCAATTTCAACAGAATACGTAATGTGTTGTCGCGCTCGTCTTCGATATTTTCCAAGGCTTGCAGAACATTGTTGTTCTGCTCCTGTAAAAAGGCGATTTCGCTTGCCCGGAAACCAGCTTCGCCAGTGGTATCTTCTTGCTGGTTCGGATCCTGCTCCAAAATCGAACTGGTGCTCTGCATGGCCCGGCTGTCACTCTCCGCCGGGCCGCGGCTCGCCTCGGAGGCTGCCATATTGTTCTTCTTGCGAGAAGGACTCTACGTCTTGGTCTTCTACTCCGCGACCGAGGCTTTATCTACTTACTTGCCGTCAGAGGCTTCTGCTCCTCGTCCTCACCAAAAATGCACCGCAGCGCCGCGAATAGAATCACTCATCGGCGGAAGCAGGGTGATGAGTCGGGGGGCCTGATGATGCTTTAGTAATCGTTACCCACACGTCGACCACGTACCTGTTTGAGAAGATCTCCTTCTGCTGCTTCTTCGTGGAAAGCGTGGCACCGTGCAGCGGGCCGCGTCAACTATCGATTTACTGGCTCTCACAAAAATGACGTAAAATCCATGTCGACTCGTTTTTTTTGTAAGATTTTATCGTCTTATAAGTTGACCTTCACCTTTCACTTCTACCAAATTGCTCGTCTATCATGTCCTATCATAATTAGCCTCATTCCATAATATCCATAATTGATGCTGCCGATTGGTTTGTGATGCTGGGGAATATCATCCAACGAAAACGATGACGAATCGAACGATATAAGAGAACTAGGCTCAGTCACGACCACGGGGTCCAGGACCACACACAACTAACTATGTCTAACCCTCTCTCCATGTCTATGTGTGTCCTCTCGTTATTCTCATTCTCTCGGATCATTCCAAAACGTCATAACTCTCTCGTCTACACGATAATGAGTTCCTCCCTCGCTATTTTCAACATATTTACAACACTCTGCGCTGTCTCAACTCAGGTACAGAGCGAAGATGACGATAATCAATCTCAAACTCGATGGAGGGATACAAAATTAATTGGCATGGGCATGCACATGCAAGAACGGATACGAATCAATGCGATGGCACGATTAACGAATTAAATTCCGCTCATGCTTAAGTCATCCTTCTTTTTTACGAGGGAACACTTCGAGTTATACAGATAGCTGACCACACGAAGACAGAGCCAGATGAACTCGCTAGCGTTTTTTCCTGTACTTCCGTGAAGTAGAGATGGATTTCCGCTGAAGTTGCGTGCTTTGAAAAAGCAAAGAAATCATGAAAAGTCTAATGCCGGCGCAATCGCGGCCTCATTCAAACCTTCTGTGGAAGCGTTGCACTTCTTGTGATAGAAACACTCCAACTCAATGCTCAAAGCAAGAAGCCGCGACCTTCTACCAAAAGCCATGTCGTCCACCACCTCGCTAAACGTTCATTATCTGAGATTTTCTTGATGCGAAATCAATGCGTATCACCATCACTGCATCTAGAAAAAGTGGGAGCGCGAAGGCTGATGCATTTCGTTCTCATACAGAAAAATCATGCAAGTGGTGTCTACTAATCGTTATCGTGTTATTTGTGTTGAATATGAAAGAATAATACCCTTGAAACCGTACTGGCCTGGCAGCGCACGAGGTTTGCGGTCGTCGAATCGTCACAGGTTGAAAGAGCGAACTTGTGATTGTAACACTGAAAGAATTCTTCTGCGAGAGGAGCGCAATCTTTCGATGATAATGATGCGACGCTCGTGACCGCCTGAAATTACATACATCACTGTGTGCGTAATTTGCATGATCATCATGTTTTATTTGAGCTTCCAGCCACAGGCAAAGGCAGAGAAGATTTTGCAGAAAGAATGAAAGTGAAAGAATGGGTAAGCTTGTTCTCAAGTACTTAGAATCGCGCTCCATCATCTCATCTGAAACAGCGCTTGAGCAAATTTCCTTAAAAAACAGCAAGGAACTGAATTCAGCAATTAGTATGGTGATGTACATATTGCAGCTGCTGTTTGCAGGCTTCGGGTCCTTTCTTGCTGACGCACTCCCGGAAGGACCGTACTTCCTGCCGTGCCTCCACCGGAGACGCCATTCTTGACGATCTTGCAATTATCTAAGTGCAGCCGCTGCCTCTGTTTCTTTATTTTTTTGGTTGGTGTCTCCATTCGTATCCGGGTTCAACATAAGGGAGTACCCAACAGTACCAGTAGATAGTGCAATGGAAAATCCTTCTTGAGGATAAAGAAGATTGATCATACGGATGAAGTTCGTGGTTCATTACCAGGAATCATCGACGACGATTGAGAAGCAACAACGATTTATGCTTTGCAAGAGCAAGCAGACCGCTGCGAGCTCTATACACAATGACATTAGGTGTACTCGACCATATTCTACTGGCAATTTGAGAAGGATACATGCAATCTCTTTGATGTGCGGAAGCAATGGGAGGAGCACGAGAGGATGAGCAAAAATAAATGTCGAATCAATTATAAGGTACGGAACCGAAAAAAAAGAAACAAGCACACGCGCCTGAACACGACAGGCATAAAAAACAGAATTGACAATTGTCACATTGTCACGGAAATCGACCACAACTTTAGAGAAGCGATAACGTTCATCAGCCGTAGAGGCATGCGTTGGTTGCGCGAACAATCTTTGTATGCGAGTCTTATGTGCCACGATTTGTAGCACGATGATCAACACTTGTGCAGCTGTTGCAAGTGCAACATATTGATATGCCTCGAGAAATTCATAAGCATATTTACATCTTCTATGCGACAAGTCGTGCGATGTTGAAGTTTTGTATGTGAAAGCGCCCATCCTCTCCGACGGAGAAGACATAATCTGCGTTGTTCCAAGCCGTAACCGCCATGACACAATGGACGTCATTGTTGTGCTTCTTGCTTCGGTGAAGTAGACGGTATTTCCTCTTGCTGTCGTGCGGAGTGGTTGTAAGTTGCTCGATTTGCGCCAGTTCGGCAAGTTTGCTGGCCTGGTCCGTCCACCTGGTGCGAGTGTGAGAATGAAAAGTTCAATCTCAAATCAACATTCTGATACGCACGTAAATAAATGAAAATGAATGTTGGACGAAAACGAAAAGGAAAACTCGGGTTGTGAAAAAATAAATGGCGTTTTCCACTTCGCGAAAAATATAGTAGCCACCTGCCCTCGTTGTCCAGTTGCGTCTTTTGGGCGTACCGGAACTTGAGTTTCGTCTTTCGATTTGTCGCTTTGGTGGAAAAACTGTCTCCCGCAGTGTTCAGCAGAAACGTGCGCAGGGTGTTGTCGCCACAGCCGGTGAAGAGAACGTCATTCCCGACACCGTCGGGTAGGCGAGCCCAGCAGATACTGTACACGTAGTGCTCGTGCACCTTGTCGATCGCAAAGTCCTCCACCCAGTAGCGGTCGTGCAGGGAAGATTTGTCGTGCTGCGAGGCAATCTGCTCGTGCTCGGTGCCCGCGTCCGCGCCCGCAGAGCCGCCGGCGTGATTGCGGCTGAAGAAGCGCCCGAACAGCGGAATTCTGCTGCGCCAGGTCGTCGAGCCGGCCCTTTTCCCAGGCGACGAACCAGACGCGCCGCCCTGCTGGCTGGACGTCCCAGCTCCCGCGTTCGCGGAGGTGCCCTTTGCGGTTGCCGCGTTTGATGCAGATGAACTCGCGTTCCCCGTTCGGCCCGACGAGGATGCAGTTGATGCGCTTCTCGTTCTCGAACCGCTCGACAAAGACGCTGATGCATGGGCGGCGGCTGTTGAAATGTTGCCTCCTGTGACCTGGGCGATACCCGTGAAAGGACCCGAGTCGCCACTGTTACGTTTGATAATGATCATGTGCGACAAAGTCAAAACATCAAAGAACAAACGTCATCCTGTGTATAATTTCAAAGGTTGAGCAAACAATGAAAATGTATTCCAAAAAACGAAGGCAAGAGCATTCTTGTTCTCACGTACTTGAGCAGAAGCAGATCGGTGGCAATTCTCTCGACGTCGTCCATGCGATCGCTTTGGGCGGTTTTTTTTCGATCCTTCAGCAGTTCGTAGTCTTCCAAGCCCTTCACTTCGCGCCAAACGCGGACGGTTTTGTCCTGGGAGCAACTTGCGAAGTGGGACCCGTCCGGGGAGTAGGCGAGGGACCACACGATGTTGGAGTGGTTGTCCAAGGTCATGTGCAAGCTCCACTCTTCGGGCGCGTTTTTCGCGTTCATGGCACGGTAAACGCGAATGGTGGAATCGAAGGAGCAGGACAGTAGTTCGTCTTCGCGGTTGGGGCGCCAGGCGAGGTACTTCACGTCGCCGGTGTGCTCTGTGAAGACCGCGATGCAGTCAAAAGAGTCCATGGCGTACAGGTAGACCGCCTTGTCGCGACCGGAGGTGGCACAGAAGGACCCGAAGGGGGAGAAGCGCACGCACTTCACCTCGTTGTCGTGACCGACAAACCGCTGGTATACGGCCCAGGGGGGCACGTCCAGCGGCGTGCTGGACACCAGTTCTACGTCCTCGTGCTTCACTTTGGCGCTGCCCGCGACGTTCTTCAGCGGCTCTCCGTTCGGGTTATGGTGCAGGATTAGTGTGATCGCGTCGAAGCTGGCGCACGCGAGCAGGATCCCGCCCTTGCCGGTGGGAGCCGGGGAGAAATCCAGCGAGCGTATCGTGCGCGCGCACTCCTGGGAGAGATCCACGCTGCAGTAGAACGCAAAGCCCCCTCGCGTCGCAGTGGCTGAAGGTCGCTGCAAAGTAGAGGACCCAGATGTCGAGGAAGATGATGTGGAGGCACCGGCAGCCGACGCTGTTGCAGTATTAACTCCGGACGGGGTGCTGGGGACGTATGTGCTAGACGAGGAGGAACTGGACCCGCCGTAGGATGCTTTACCTCTTGTACCAGCTGCTGCTGCTGCAGATGGTGCCCGCGATGGAGGATCGAAAAAGTCACTGCAATGCCGGTAGACGGCGATGTTCATGTTCGCACGACTGACGGCGACAAGACCGATTTCTGGAGAGGACACCGCGCAGGTCCACAACACCTCCTCGACGCCGGCATTCGGCCGTCCGAAATCGTGCAACAACCTGGTCTCTGCCGAGACCGTATGCAGGTCCAGGTCAATTTTCTTGGTCGCCATTGCCGTTTCAGTTAGTTTCACCCTAGGGAATGGAAGGAAATAAATCGATTCTTTTCGGGAATAAAAGATCAGGAATTTTTTCTATAAATATTGTTACTTTTTCTCTACTTATCTCTACTCCAGCCTAACAGCGTGACTAACCAGAACGGACAAATAGTACGACACTCAAATATCATGCAGTAAAGCTGCACCTGGTGCAAGAATACACACTATTAACAGACGAGTGCTCTTACTGGACGACCCCTCACCGTGATTAGTAGGTGAACTGTCGATCACACAGGTAGCTTATGACTACGCTAATGCGTGTGAGTGTGTCGCTGGATGTTAATATATATCAAGTGTAAGTCGAGCTGCAATACATCACTAGGTAAAGCTGTAGTATGTGCGTCATTGTTCGTGCAACTAGCGCGGTCGCTTTGGTGCGACTGGCATGCAGCGATAGTTTAAATTTATTGCATGCCCATATTTTTTTTGTTTCTTCTTCTTTGTATGTGTGCACACACGACGAAATCGCCTGCGCCACTGTGCGAGTACAAGTATCAACATGATCCACTACAGGAAGGTCTAGGACATTGAGATCATCCTTCGTCGATGAGCCGCATCTTGCGCATGTATTCCGATGCGCTTTTCATTGTGAGTAAGTACGAACTATGATAGAAGGAAGCTAACATTAAACTACTTATAGAACAACTTCCAACTTTGTCTTTTCAAGATCTTTTTTGTGTTTCTTCTGCCGCTTTTGCTTTTGGAAAAACAAAAAGAACTTCGCGGCCTCGGTCGACATTCGAGTCGAGAACAAGAGTCACATACCAAACTTCTATGCGCCATGCCTCACCTGCGACTGTTGAATGCAGGCCGTGTGGTGCTGGGCACGGAATTTCTTTTCAGTTCACCACAGTGCTGCTATCTGCTTACATTTTGCGCTCCTTTTTGGAACTCCCTATATTGTACAATAAGAGACAGCACACAAGTGTTGATTTACACGCCTTCTCGTCTGTTTCTAAAACTAAAAGTGAAAGGATACAAGCGATCTTGTTCATGATCATGATCTCAAGTTGTTTTTACTTGAGAGTCTAAATATCGCTGTGCGAGCACGTAGTATGCACTCCTTAGCATTCTGCCGTCTTTTGAAACGGTTACAACAATTCCGACATATTACTTGCTGGCATAGCTTGGCATCGTTAATTTCCAATAGATTCGATTCCAGGTCGTCCATGATGATGAGAATTTAAATTTACTGAGAACAAGTAGAGAGCAGAGGCAAAGGACGGAGTTCTAGTTACAAGAAGATAGTGCCAGGACGAGCATTCAGAGTCATCACTGCAAGAGCAAGGACAAGGAGCCTTCGTTCAATGTTAATACATTCTTGCGCTTACTGTTGGTGGATTATACAGGGAGGCACTTCTACGAAGCCCAAAAGTCCAACTGCTGCTCATGCATTTTTTTGGTCGTTGTAGTTCTAGATGTAGATTGGTAATATCAAAGAAAGGTTATACTGGATACGTTGGTCTAGGTCTTGGTTTATACGTTTACGCTTTTCTATTTGATTGAAGGATAATCTTCAACCACGATCCTGCACCTGCACCAGTTCCTTTACGAAGGCAATTCCACTGCAGGAGCAACTTTCATCTCTCTTCGTCTTCTACTGCTTTCACGCATCGAAAGTCTGCACTTTTGGCGGTCGCTTGGTTCCCAGGACGAGACGGTAGCGGCGTTTCTCGCCCGTGACGCGCAGCTCATCCTGCCACGTGAAGGGCCGGACCGCTTCCCATAGCGGCAGGTCGGCCATAGAGCGCCGCACGTCCATGATCAGTGGCGAGCAGCCCAGACAGGTGATGTTTGCGGAGTATCCCCCGCAGGTTCGCTTGGGAATCTCGAAGCAGTAGGGGCAGCGAGTGCTCCAGGCGTCCTTCGACTCAAAGTTGACCACTTCGACACTCTCGAAGGGGTCCCATCGCTGCCTCAAAAGCCGCGTGAGCGGCGACACGTAGCTGGTTTTCGTGGCGCAGATCAGTTTTTGGAGGCGCAGCAGCCGCTCGGCCGTACCCTGGTCAAACAGCTTCTCGGCTCGCTGCTGCTGCTGCACTTTACCCAGCGCTTCACTAAACAGGATGTTCTTGGAACTTTGTTCTACTATGGGGGCCTCGTCCTGGGCTTTCAGCGCCATCTGGATTTCGTTCTGCTCCAGCAAAACTCGCAGCTTTTCGTCCTGGCGCACGGCTTCCGCGATGATGTCGTCAATTTTGGAGTAGTATTTCTGAAACTCCGCTCGGATGTATCCAATCAGCCACAGCGCTTTCACGTACGTGGACGCGCTCTTCTGCAGACTGTTGCCGTTCTGGAGTAAGTGGTAAAACGTCATTTTCAGCAGGGTTTCTTGGAAGGCGCGCTTGCCGAAAATGCGATACGTCTTCACGTTCGAGGTCGTGGAGGCGGTGCTCTTGTTTCCTTTTCCTGCCGTGCCTTTACTGGGAGAGCTATTCACCTTCGACGGGGAAGACTTCTTGCTCACCGGGTCCGGCGTTAGTACCTCCTCCTGACTGTTTCGCCTGCTTGGTGGGGGCGGGGGCATCTTGATCAGTTTCACCATGCCGGGAGAGAACCCGTAGTCCTCGATCTTCAGGAACGTGTGGCCGTGGTCAACGGACATGTCGACCGTGTCGCCCTCCAGGGCGCGCTTCTTGCCGCTCTCCTCCTTATACCTTTTCAGGATGCGGTACAGCTCCGACACGGACAGTTCGCCGCTCGCGTCCTCATCCATCATGATAAACATTTGATTAAACTTATCCCGTGTAGTAAAAACGTCGACGTCCCGGCTACAAAATAAGTAGTTCTGATGGTCATGCAGAATTTGAATTTGAATTTTGATCAGGTGCTGTAGGCATGTGACAACATGTGTCTGAAGAAGCGACTCCTCTCCATTAATGGCAATGAGACGTAGTTGTGGTTATTTTCTCTATTATAAAAATTGGAGACGTTTGTCTTTGTACACAGGATAAATCACGTCCACTGATGGCAAGGGGTCTAACCGCGTCTGTCGCAAGCCCATGCGGAATTCCTGGTTTTCCATGTTGCATTTTTTGGCTCCTATGTAAATCCGACAAGGAAAAGCTTGAAGACGTCGTCAGGAAATTTAAATGCTTCATCTCCACCTGCCACTTCTAGTTCTGAAAAACATGAATAGCACCACCGGACGAAAAACAGAAAAGATGAAAAGTACGGAATCGGAACAAAGCGTTTTTGATTTTCTTTATCATCCATGTGCTTGCGCTTGCGCATATCAAAATCTTCACAATACCTCTGCACTAACATCTCCACTTCCATCCACGTCGAAGAGGGAAAAAAGTTTCTTGATGTCTCCACCCCGATTTTCGAGCCAGCCGTCCAGCGACGCAAGCACGTGCCAAGTTTCGTATTCCATCCGGGTCATATCCTCGAAGGGTTTTGTCCAGAACGTTTCGCGGTCCATCTCTCTCGCCGCGGCTTTCTCTTCTTCCTCCTCCTGTTGCCTACTGGAAAACCCGAGATAGAGCCGGTTCATGGCCGCGGTGTTGCTTGCTGTTCCAGCCCCAGCTGTGGGCTTGGTCGCAGACGAGGAAACGACCGCTGCTGTGGAGGTTACCCCGACCGCTACTGTCTTGTCTGGACTGTTGATTGCGATCGTTTCGCTGTCCCCCATACCGCGAGCCCCCGTCGTACTCGGTGAGGAGGCAGACTGCCCGGCTACTACGCCTTTGCTGTCAGATCCGGCGGCGTCCACTGCTCCCGCTCCTGCGGAATTACCAGATGCGGGCGGCTTCGATGGCGACGAGCCGCCCGCGCCAGCCATCATAGCGGTAGTAGCCACCACTGCGTTTGCGGCCGCCTTCTTTTTGGAGCTGCCCGGGCTTCCTCCCTCCTTCTTGACGGGGGAGGGCTTCTCGGGCGGCAAGACCGGATGCAACTCCGCCAGGTCTTCCACCAGTTTGCGCTCCTCATACATGCAGATCATCGATAGCATCTCCGCGAAGCGTCTCACCTCGGGGTCGCTGCTGTTCTCGAGTTCCCCGTCCTTGAAGACGCAACACTCCGCGGAGTGGTAAAAGGTAAACAAATCCGCAAAGGAGAGCACCATAGGGAAAAACTTGAAGTCCACGGTGAACCGCAGGAAGGCGCCAAAGGACATGTGGCCCTCAGACCAGCCAAGCAGGTCCGTCGGGAAGTCGGCAAACGCGTCAAATAGTTCGTCGAACACTTGTTGCCACTGCCATTGCCATAACCAGATTTCGGGTTCGCAAAACATCTGCCTGATCCGGACCAGTACTGAGTTGGCTTGCACGTGGAAGTTTACCTAAAGGGATGATTTTATAAATTTCTCGTCGTCGGAATTCGCTTTGTTCCTTGAGATGAACATAAATGTGCCGCTTCGTCCGTCCTCGATCCCTCTACCTAGTTCAATCTAAAAAATCATCGAAAATCATATACTTACCATCTCAGGGACGTCCATGCTGGTGGCTTCGTCGAGTTTCCGAATGGCGGCGTTGAAAATTGCGGGGTCGACTCGATGGCTGAGGTTCTGTACCGGGTAAAACTTGCGCTCCACTGGTTTCCGCTTGGTTAACTTGAGCGGAATGCCCGCTTTTTCAAACTTGGTGGCGAGACTCTGAATAAACACGCCCCGCTGCTCTTTGACGCGCATTATCCGATCCGCAGCTCGTTCGAGAAAATCGGTGAAGAAGTCCGTGCCATTTACAATATGTAAAATTTTCTGAATGATCGGCAAGAAATCCTCCAGGATGGACACCGTCCCGAGGTAGTTCATACTCTCAATCTCGTTTTTCGCGGGCTCCTTTATTGAGGTGCCGGATGACCTTGTTTATGAAATTTTATTGGTTGATGTAGTTCGCAATTCCCACGTGGTGGGTATATTCGGAATCGAACTGAAGAGGTTGCTAGTCTCTTGCCATGCTTCGATACCCACTCCCACAGTTCATTTACACTTGCAACGAAATATGACGGGCAAACTTCATCAGCAAGGTAGGGCAAAAATACTGATCATTGGCGACCGCAGGCTCTTGTGGGGATGGAACCGCTCCTGGTGGTGGTAATTCCTCTACGGTCGTCTCCTTCTTCAGCTTGCTTACAGGCCGTTTGTTCTTGTTTTGCTCCTCCAACTCTTGCGAAAATTGTCGCTTTTTCTCTTCCTTTGCCACGGCATACTCGCGCCGCAGAATTCGGTCGACTTGCCGCTTACGCGCCGCATCAATTGCAGCCGGGTCATAGGTGACATAGGAATCGAAGATGTTGCAAGCGTAGAGCATACCAATCTTGCCGCTCTTCGTACAATCCTTGACGACCTAGTACGTTTGGTTTTCTTGAAAGGATCAAAATCAATAGTATTGCGCGGAGCGAACTAATGATACAGATGATTTGCTTTTTATCGTTTTTATTTTTTTCTATTTTTTAAGACATACATAAAGACTCAGACGCACTCTTATACCGCTACGCCGTCTAGCTCCACAATTTCGCAGTCCAGGAGAAATCTGCAGAAGGTGCTGCGGTGCAGGCGTTCTCGTTGCATTTTGGAATTCGTCATACCCGAGGCACATTCGTGATAGTCCTGAATGACTTGCAGGAGTCGAAAACAGTCTTCGGGCTGAAAACTAGTTCCGCATGTGTCCACCCATACACCATTGACGAAGGCGAGATTGCGATCCGGGTCTAGTCTTTTCTTCTTCTCCGGCAGTCCTTGGTTAGTTGTGCCTGAACCTATGAAGATGAGATCATGTAGATGTAGTTTCGCGTCTTCTACAAGAACTCGTAGGATCTCCATGAGCTATGTCAATCTTCCATATACTTCTCAGTAAAAAGTCAAATGTAAACAAGGCTTCAAGGCTTGTTTATATTTGACTTTTTCCACCTTTGCCTCTCGGAGCTGCAGACCTCTCAGGATGAGCATAAGAAGTAGAAGTTAGTACTGTACATGAAATAACTGAAATTGAAATGTCGCACTCCCTGAATCAGAAATCAACAGAAGAATGATAACATCAAATAAAAGAAAAAGCAAGTACCCTCCTCCCCCGCTTGTTCACCTTCCTTTTTCTTTTTACTCGGCGCAGGAGGAAGAGAAGGGGGACCCAGCGCCCCTTGTCTCTTCCACCAGTAGGTAATGAGCTCGCGGATTGGTGGTGGACCCTCGTGCTTGAAAGTCGGATGGCGGGGAGCCATTGTGCTGTCGATGAACTGGGGCGGGACATTACTCCTCCAAACTGTGATGTCGTGGTTGGAATCCAGTTCTTTTCGAACATGTGTATGATACGTGGTAGACCACATGATCGACAATCGACATCTCATGCGCATTTTATCCAAGTACAGCGTTACTCGTTTTGGTAATACGGCTACAACTACGCCAAGAGCGGTGGACCCCTGGTGCTCAGGTGCATCTGCACAGACGACAGCGCATGATCTGATGCTGATGATCACTCCTGCACAGCAGCACATAAATCATATAATACCATTGCAGGAGCTCTAGCAAATAAACTAACAATTATACGCGTCCCAGCCATCGTGGCTTGCTGTATTTCGGCGAAGACGTGCAGGACGAGCCTTTCGTCGTACAACTTTTGATTTTTGTTGAAATCGTCGGTGTCGCGCTTCCACCGAGCCTTGATCTCCTTTTGGTAGGCCTCATCGTGATCGAAAGCCCGCCTCACAGCCATCATCTGGAGCTGCCGCTGCGTCGCGCGGCTCACCTCAAATTTTTCGGGCGGAAGCTCCCAATGCATGGGACCCAGCGTATCAGTGACGCTAAATTCCGGTGCATCCTGGTGGTCCGTGGACGAGGCCGCAGTTTTGCTCTTCGGGCCCAGCAGCCGGCCAGTCTGCGAAAAGCTCTTGCTCACAGAAAACATCTCTTTGTTCGTGTGTGCGTCTGGGTTGCGACCCGCGGCACCACCAAGCTGCTTCCGCTGGATCTCCGCTTTGCGCTGGTACTTTCGCTGCTTCACCCAGAAGTGACTGCTTTTCATCACTGTCGCGCCGCGAAAGAGACCTGCAGATCATTGATTGATGTAGGAGACAGCGAAAAGTGAGGATCAGCACGTGCTGTCGCACTTCATACCGAGACGTAAGTAAGGAGACATTCATACTCATAGATACTACATACACACATGCACAAACGAAGCCGAAGACACATTCATGCTCTTGGTGCATGTGAGTGTGACATCACTACTGCAGATGTAACGCAGCTCCGTTCTGTAAGTTCAAGTTATATGTATGTGTTTCAAAATGACAGGGGCAAAAATATTACTCGCAGACGTTGTGTTTGCGGGGTCGGTGTTGACGCCCGCTGGAAAAGCGTAGGGGTTGTCGTCTTCAATTTCATCTTCGCGAATACCAGTACCTGGAGCCCAGGACGAGCTACTGGACAGTAGTTTCGGCTGTTCCTGATGTTCCCCGGGTCTGAGTACATCTCCACTACTTGTTTTTCCGCCGCCAGAGTCGAACGTTTTGCGAAACTGGGATCCACCAAAGGTTGCGGCAAGGGTCGGATGATAGTCCAATCCGGTCGTGTTTCTTGTGGTCGTGAGGGAGCTTCGCATCCAACTCCGGGAATCCAGGTCATAGAGCCAATCGTTCTGGCTTTTGCGGACCAGGCTCACCCGCGGAATACTGGCATCGCTGCCTGAACTCCAGCTGTGCTTGCTGCGACTCTGCCACGCGCCAACGTTGTACAACATCTCGCAGTTGTTCTCGGTGTTCGCGGTGACGAGTAAGCGGAGTCCTCGGTTGACCAGCGAGTATCGAACAAGCGTATTGTACTCAAGTGGAAGTGACAGTGAGTGTGATCCCCCGCATTTGCGTGGTGATAAACGTTCTCATGCCTGGTGTCGCGGTGGCAGCGGTTTTCGGACACGCTCACGCATTTTTTGGTTTTCTTTTGCGTTGTTATGAATACACGTACCAAATCGCAGCCCTTCAAACCCGGCGCGTGCTTCTGCTTACAAAAGAGGAACAATGTTAATAAATACGAAATAGAAACGACAACGCAACTATTTATATTACCGCGACCGCCCGTGCTAGATCTTACTACAGTACGGAAGACAAATAATAATCTCACTGTCGATGGGATCGCTAAAACGATGAATAAACGAAACGAGGTCGATCACTCGACGATACTGCAACAGAGCGATGTACCATTGCGATGAATGTGAGGAATTTACTAAAACAAGAAACTATGTTTTCTACACTCAGAGTCTTCACGTCCTAGATCAACGAGAAGTTTTCTGGGACACTTGGTCTTGACAGCGACGAACTCAACATAGTGACGATAGCGAATAAGCCGAGGACAAAACAAAATCCGCGCTAGAGCGAAGCAACATCTATGACGGAACAGGAGCAGCATGAGAAAATGCCAACAAAGTACCCAGCAGATACGTATGCTTCGTTATGTATCACGTGCGCAGAATTATTTTCTGCGCCTGGCCGACTGCTGTATGCCGGCCACTTTCAAGATGAAGAGCCAGCAACCAAACGTGCTCGTGCAATTGCAAGCAGAAGTCGGATAGATTAGTGACATAGTCCTGAGTCTTATCTCAACTGCCTGCGATGAAAAAGCAGACGTCAATCAGACACAGGACGCGGCCCGAAAATACTGGCGCAGCAAGCATTGCTCTGTACTACTCGAGATGGCTGAGTCTGGTGTTAGCTTGTTCTGCCATTATAAATGCTTCTGCACAACTACAAGGTCGCCGACTAGTACACGCAATATTACGCAATAAGAAGAACTTCCCGAGAGCACAATAGTGGATGAAGATGTGCGCACGCGCATTTTCTATGACGAAAAAACATGAAGATACAGCGGAAAATTAGTTGCTTCGAAACAACGCACGCATGTTCTTAAAGCTGACGCAACATGGAAACGTGAACTTCAAGCGTGTAGAAGCGGATGCAACTAACGAAAAAAACTGAGAGTACATTTGATGTAGAACTTTTTTGTTCCTTCAAAACGAGGAACATCCCCAGGAGAAAAGTGCTGTCTTAGCAATATAGAAAAAGCAGCTCGTCGTATATATTTGTTTCTTGGCCCACTGCACACGACACACTCACATGACGGTGCAGAGCAGAAAAGGAAATGGAAGAAAAAATTGTTTGTGGATTACGTTGCGCGGTTGCATCATCGGGGCCCCGTTATTTTCAGTCCATATACTTTCCGTTCTCTATAATCGAAGTACTAAGAGCTTCATTAGCCTTTTTTTCTCATATTATCTCTTTTTCATCGTACAAGACCTTCATCGGTGTCGTGTTGCAATCATGGTCGAAAAGTTGTACAGAGCGTAAGCGTTGATTTCTTGCGATTGCCCTTTCCACCTCTCGATGCCTCCTGTAGGCTTACACCGAGTGGCAGTCCTCCTGGCGCCGCAGCTAGAAACTTTTTGAACTTTTCTAATTTCATGGTTCTTCTTTTGTTAATTTGTTGGTAGGTTCTTGCAAAATCGAGACGCTTTATTCGTAGAAGCAAAAGTCGAAGCTGCTATCAGTTACAATAGTAATCATGTCGCAAGCTGTGCAATGAATAACGATACCGACGTCGGAGTCGATCTCGATACAGAGCCTATCATTTCTACGTAGCAATTGCGAGGACGCACGCCAGAAAATCATACAATTGAAAATCCTGAGGGGCAGAGTCAACACCTTTACCATCTGTACCGTTGTGTTGAATGCCCCAAAATCAAAAAATTGCAGTGTTTCACCCGGCAATGTGGTCGCGGTTGCTACTCGAAACTCCTACCGCGGTTTCATTTTCCGCCGACTGCGCTAGGCACTCTATGTACTATGGATATTCGTGGAGAAGAAAAATATGGTGGCGTAAATTTAGTCGTTCTCGTGCTTGAGCTTGATGTTGTTATTGTTTGGTTCATACTCAAACCTTAACTCCACTTCTTGTCGTGCTACTTTGCTCGCCTGTGCGAGTGCTGTAAGCAGCAAGCCATGGAGAGGCTGAAGTTGTCGCAGATGCTTGTAGTTCTATCAAAGCAAAAGTTAACTAGGTGGCGGCGATCGCGATGAATGTCCTCAATATGGTTCGCGAAGAAGTAAAAAAGAGCTCAACAACATCTGTATTTTAAATGTTTATGCGATGTCGGCCTCGCAAACTAGTTTACACTAGAAAAGTTGATGGACTTGTTCGCATACTGCAGCTGAGAGGTTGATTTTCAGCAGTGCCAAACAGAAACGGACGGAGTGTAGATGGTGTCATGTCGTGTAGATATTTAGTTTTCATCTATACGGGAATGCGAGGTGCAAGGTCATTGAGGTCGTGCTGAACTTTTCTAATTCGGAAAAAAATGCACCGATAACGAAAAAAGTCGTAGGATCGCAACCCGCAAAGAGTTTTCGACAATTCAAGTCATAAAAACTATCTGTTCGTATTCGTCACCCATCCCCGCCGAGTCTGTGCATATTACGTATGCCACAGAAGCGCTGAGCATCCTGTGTGCGTACAAAGAAAATGTTGAATGAAAATCATTTTTCTAAAAAAAGAAAGTGCTGTAGTCGCGATTGCCGATCTTGGCCAGACGTACCAACGCAACATAGTCAGGGGTAGTTGTATTCGGGTAGGGAAAATGGAGTAGGGAAAATGTTGTAAGTGAAGCTATAGACGTAGAAATAAGCACTCAACAAATAAACACCAGCTCTCTATATATCATTCTTGTCGCGAAACTTTTCTCGACGAAAAGTCAAATATGGAGGTACGATTGGCTTTCATCTATCATGAAGTTTGTCGCGAAACTTTTCTCTAGAAGTGAAAAGTCAAAATAACGTCTTCGTTGGCTCGTCATATCTACTTTAGATCTGCAGCGATTCTCCTCAATAAATCATCCTGTTCATTTTCGTCTAGATATTACTCGTCGTACATCTTCACCTTCTTGTTGACTACATTTTCATTGCACAGTTCGCTTCTTTATTTCTTCTTAGATGCAGTTTTTGCCGCTGGCTTTTTTGCATCCTTTTCATCGTGTTTGATCACGTTGAGGCCACCTCCTTCGAGCATCCACGTCTCGTTGCACACCTTTTCCGCGAAGTCGGCGCAGTGGGAAATGCAGATGACGCCACCCTTAAACCGCTGCAGTGCGACCGTAAGTGCGTCCAGAGTCTCCATATCGATGTAGTTTGTCGGTTCGTCCAAGGCTACCAGGTGTGGCTTGATCCAGAACGCTGCTGCCAGGGAAACCTTCGATTTCTGCCCGGCGGAGAACATCCCGATGTTGCGATTCAGCGCCAGCTCCTCGGTAATACCGAAGAGTTCCAAATGCTTCGTGATTTCTCGCTGCGTCAGGGGTCGCTGATCCAGGCCGGCCTCGATCGCCGCGGCCCGATCATCGTAGGCCAACGCAAAAGACTCGCAGCCGAGCTTGCGCAAGTCCTCCATGTTCACCCACGTGTTCTGCTTGGAGTCATCGAGGTTCCACCACTTGGCCTCGTACCACATGTCTTTGCCCCGCAGCTGGCGCCCGACCAGCTCCTTGAGCGCGTTTCCGTACTTTCCGTGGGCCTTCGCCCGCTTCTCGCGGTCCTCTGCCTCTTCCTGCGTCTTCGGGGTCAGCAACCGCTCCTGCAAGGCACCGTCGTACCCGTTTTGGTACCGCTTTTGGATGTAAATGTAGGGCGAAGTTTCCATGTACTCACTCATGTGGTGCATGTGCTGCTGCGCCATGTAGGCCAGGCGGCAGTTGCGGTGGCGGTCGACCTTCCCCTTCTGCGCGCACGCGGACGCGTTCGGGTGGACTTCGCCGCAGATCAGGTTCATGAAGGTGGTCTTCCCCGCACCGTTCACACCCTTGATGTGGATGCGCGAGTTCATGGTGATCTTCGCGGAGACACCCTTAATCACGTCCCCCTTCTCCTCGTTGTACGCGTAGGTCAGATCTTTGATCTCCAGCACCGGCTTCGCCAAGGACGTCATGCCTTTGACCTTCCCCGCGATCGGGAACACGATCTTCGCCTTGCGGTCGGGTCCCGCGGCGCCGGGCGCGGCGCTGTCCTCTTCGCTGTCCAGGGCCTGCAGATTGGCCGTGGAGCCTGCGGACTCGCCGGCCAGCGAGGAGAGCTGCGTGCCCGTGGAGAGCGCCTTTTTAAGCGGCCCCGCTGCCTCTGTTGCGCCTTGCTTCAGCGGGCTGACGGACCGGTCACTCGCCGCACCGTTGGCCAGCTCCGCGATGGAATTCGAGGAGACCGCGGGCGTCAGCGTGTTGGTGGGAGTGGCAGTACTGCTTGCGTCGGCCTCCTTGATACCCGGCCCGGCGCCGCGCTCGACACCGTTCTCCGACACCGCGACCTGCCCGGCCAGCAGCGCCTCCGCGTCGTCCGAGTTAATGCCCAGCTTGGCCGTGAACGCGTCGAAGTTGCCCTCGTAGTAAACCAACTTTCCGCTGTTGTAGTTGATGATGTTGGTGCACACGCGGTTGAGAAAGAAGGGGTCGTGCGAGATCACCATGATGGCGGACTGGTCCAGCGAGACCAGGTAGTCGCAGAGCCAGTTGACCGCCTTGAAGTCCAAGTGATTGGTCGGTTCGTCCAACAGCAGCACATCCGCCTTCTTCATCATCGCACCCGCGATCAACAGCCGCATGCGCCAGCCGCCGGACAGCTCGCCGATGGTCACGTCCCAGAGGTCCTCTGGGAACATCACCTTCTGCAGCGTCGCCTCCAGCTCCGCCATGCTGTGGTCGGGGTTTTCCTGCTCCATAAACTTCTTGCACTTGGTGTTCAGCTGCTTGTCGAGCACCTCGGGCTTCACGTGGATGCACGTCATGGTTTTCGGGATGCCCGGGACGCCGCCGCTGGCGATCAAATTCATCAGCGTCGTTTTTCCCGTTCCGTTGCGTCCCACCACTCCGTACCGCTTGCCCTTCCGCAGTTCGAACGTCGTGTCCTTCAGAAGCATGTGTCCGCCACCGTACATGAGCATCAGGTTCTCGACGTGGCACAGTACCTCTTCCGGGTTTTCCAACTGCTTCAGCTCCTTCGGGTGGTAGTTTTTGTACACCTTTTCGTGCAACTTCTCGGCTTCCACTACCCCGGCACCACAGCCCAGCAGCTGCAAGTCTGCGGTCGCGCCGGACTCCAACGCGCGTTGCGCGGTCGGGTACTCCTGCACGTAGCACGCCAGGATGGTCTGCTGCAGGGGCGTCAGCGCGTCCGCGAAACCCTTTTTGGTCAGGTCCGCCAGCTCCTTCCACTCCGTCTCGTCCTCCTCGTCGTCGGCGACGTGGGACACCTTCTGCTTGCTGGACGGCGACAGGTCCTCGTCCTCCACCTTCTTTGCGGTGTGGTGGTGCGCCCCGCACACGCGGAGGTGTTTCCCCTCCAAGGCGAGCTTCAACCGGGAATCGCACTTCTGGATGGTCCAATCGAAGGACCGCAACGCGTTGTGCTGCGCGGTGTCGGCGGCTTCGTACTTCTCGTCCGAGAAATCGTAGTCTTTCGCGTTCTCCCGCAGGTCGTTCAGGCAGCGGTTCGCCGCCTGGACTTTCGCCGCGTTCGGGGTGGCCGTGTTTTCGCTGTTGGTGATGATGGCGCGCAGCGTGGCCAGCAGATACCCCAGCGTCTCCTTCTTGGTCTTCGGGACCGACTGCAGCTGCTCCGCGAGCACCTTGTTCGACTGGCGCCGCACCTCGGGGTCGGCGTCGAGACGGCAGATCTGCAGCAGCGTGACGAAGGCCAAGCGGGTGCGGAAGCTGCAGCAGTCCATGCTCATCATGTCGGTGCCGTACTTGCGGTACTCGCTGACGCGCTCCACGAGCTGGCGGAACAGGGCGATGCACATGGCCTTCGGCGACAGGCTGTTCAACCGGTGCTGATGGTCGAAGCACAGGACCGCGTCGGCCAGCGGGAAGACAAAGGCGTCGGCGTTGCCGCCCCCAAACTCGCGGATCATCGCAGTACCGGTCTGGAACGCGTGCTCGTGAACCAGGGTGGACTCGTCCCGCAGACCCTGCAGCACGTACTGCAGGCCACACTGCTTGCACACTGGTTCGAATGCGTCAACCTGAATTTGAATTTATAGACGTGCTGGTGACACTTATTTCTTCCCGCCGATGAGGACCCGGCGAAAAGATTATCTGCAAAGCATGACTGTAGATTGTCATTGTTTTTTACCTCAACATCGTGCACTTGCATCAAGAACAGAAACAAGGAAGTAGATTGTACGGAAAAAAAACGGAGAAGCTTATAATTGTTCAGCCTCAAACTCAGTATACCTTGCACAAGAATTCCATGAGGGAGAAGGCCCCCGCCCGCTGCTCCGGCAACGGGCCGGACAGAGCGCGCGGCTGGACGATCTCTTCCATGACGCGACCGAGGAGGCTCTTGTCGAGTGTGACGTTGAGCATCTCGGAGAGCGCGTGAGCGGACCCCGTCCGTTCGTTTTCACTGTTGTGGGAGTCGCCACGCGTGGATTGCAGGTTGTCCAGCGCCCACGGAATCAGGTCCGACTCCAACAGATCCGGCAGGTTCTTCCCCAGCGACCCCAGGGACTTCGCGGCCTCCCGCTGAATCTCGAAGGTGGGGTCCAAGGCCAGCGTTTTCAGAATCGGGAGCAGCTGCCCGAGGTAGCTCTCCAGGATCTCCGGGTCCTCGATGAGCACGACGGCGGCGCCGATGATCATGATGCCGTTCTTCTTGCTGTCGAAGGTCTTTTCCTTCATCGCACGCTCCACGATCGGGAACAGCAGGGCGAACGACGCCGCGTCCACGTACGAGAGAAACGTAGTGTTTGCAATCTGGTACAGGGTCTCGGTCGCGAGCTTCATGTTCCCGAAGTTCTTCAGGCAGTTCACGATTTTGTCACTGATCGCGGAAATTTCCGTGCACGTGACCATCTTGCCAACCTGCTCGAGCAGCTTCGCGCTGGTTTGTTGGATCTCGCTGCGGACCTCCTTGCTGCAAGCCACCAACACGCGAACCAGGGATGCCATCTCGTGCAAAAGCTGCTTGCGGCAGTGCTCGGCCAAGGCGGACAGAAGACCTGGAAAGATGGTGGAAATATTTTTTGTGTTCTAGTACTCAACGTACATACACAGACTTAGACAAGAGCAAGACGGTAATGCGAATAACTCGAGCTGAGCCATGATATGGTTGCTAGGGTTGAAATTATAATTTTGTCGATGAGTCATCTTCTACAAGCAAAATCTTAAAAATTTCTCGTACCAGAAGCCATGACTTCCAGAGCTGCGACCTTGACTTTCCATTTGTTCTGGGGTGGTTTTTCGATGGCACTCAGGATGAGCGGGAAGAAGGCAGCTGCCAGGGCCGGACGGGCCTGCACTGCGCCCTGCAACACCGCAAGCGCGGGCTTTGCCAGTTTTGCGTCAGCCGTCAGAACCAGCAACTCGGGAACGACCTGCAAGACCAAAAGAGCGAACTTCGCCTTCGAGTCAGAATCGGAAGCTCCTTCTTGCTCCTTCGCAAGCTTGCTCAGCACGTTGGTCACTGCATTTCCCTGCTGCTTCTTGTCGGCAAGGGCCTTCTGCAAGAACGCACCGGCCTCCTCGATGTTCGCGATCTCGAACAAAGTGCAAGTCCCCTTCTCCAGAGCGCTGGACAAGACCTCGGTAGTGGTCGACATTTTTCTTTTCTGCGGATTTACTAACTTCAACAAATGTAAATGAGAACAGATCGAGTTACAAAGAAAGGGATGCAAATGCAAGAAAGTATCCTTCTCGAAAATCGATGCTGTCACAGTTATGCAGTAAACAACTAAAAAAATAATTTGCGCCAGAAATTTGACTCTTCAAAAAGACTCGCTCGGATGCAATTGCGATTAGAAGCCCTGAGCCTGATGTAGGTTCAAATACGATTCAGGATTACAAAATCAAAATGGTGTTTTTTCTAGGTTGTATGTATGTGTAGCCAAGTATTTTTGCGGTGAATGATCTTCCGTCGGATTCGGTGTTTGGTTTGAGTTGTTCAAACAGTTTCAGATTTTCAAGACAACTAAATTTGAAATGTTCAGTAGTTCTGCCACGAATTATATGGAGCTAGGTGTTTAGGTGTGAGTGTTAAAGGCAAAACGGACAATATTTACTTGTGCTTTGCGAACTCCTCGTCAATTTGTGAGCGGTTATTGGGTTCGGAAATAATCTTTTTAGGTGGATAGGGTTTTTCGGACGTGCAATAAAGAACGATTTCGATTTTTGGCTCGTTGTTAGAGAATCAATCCTGGAGGAACTCGATGTGAATGCATTCGATGGAGTTGGAGGAGATGATTTCTATTGCGCTTGTCATTTTCGCTTATTAGCCTCTTACATACTTTATGATCTTCATTTCGGATCCAAACAACCGACCTATCAGCTCCCGATTTCTTGTCGCTCTTTCGAGTAAATCAAAATTAATTTCGCAGCTCTGTCACTATACAGGATATCAAAAGAGCTAGAGCTACCAAACAGAAAGTTTTGTGTTCGTCTGAGACCGATCTTCGTTTGTGCTTGTTTATTCTTTACGTCTCCCTCACTCTCCACCTGCAGGAAAAACAAAAATGATACCCAGAAAAAATAGAAAGGCTGTGCAACATCAATGTGCTTCTGCAAGGCTACGAACATGAACAACTGCAATCATGTCAAAATGTTGTTTGTTCTTGCTTTGGTTTTCTTTGTAAAAAGCGGAGCGGAAGAACATCATAGAGCATCACGAGCGGTTTGACAATGGGAATGCCTGCGGCCTCACTATTGGCGAAATAAGTGAAAGATGCAACTACGCCAAATCTACAGTTGTGATAACCCTCGTAGCACCATTCCAATTTCTATTCGATGTTGATCCATTCTTAAACACGAGCGTCGTGTACCAGCTGGAGGAAATCGCGATTGTTGTGACGAGTTTACCAATTTGTGTCTTTTGTTCCCCCGTCGTAGAGCTTTGCATGACCCTCGTCGAGGAGCCACTGGTTCCAGTTTTTTCCGGCACGGCGCCATCCGAAGCAAGTGGTCTTTTCTTCCACTACCTCCGCCAACAGGCGGCCGTACTTCTCCAAGGCCACGTTTTCCAAGCGCACGAACTTTCCGAGAATCTTCTCCCGGAGCGCGTCCCGAGCCTGAATGGCAAGCTTCTTTTCCTTTTCGGAGACATCCTTGCCCTTCATTTCCGGTGTATCGATGCGTGCCAGGCGCACCTTGAAGAGTCGTGGCCCTGCGGAGCAAGTTGACTTTGCCTGTCTCGCGGCGATCGTGATGGTGTCGCCGTCATAGACATCCACGACGAAACCGCGCTTCACGGCGGGAACGAACTTTGGCGTGTTCTCTTTCGTGCATCTTCTCAGGCGGGGGTCGTCCAACAGACAAGTCTTGAAACATTTCAGCAGGCCACAACACGACGCTGCTCCACCTGCGCAATTCGTCATTCCACCTTCAAGATGGTCGCCGGTTGAATTTTTCTGCTTAGTACTAGGTGGCCCTGCCTTATTGTTGCTCTGCAATTGGAACTGGGGCGGCAGGCCGAGACCGTGACTCGGGTCAACTGGCTCCTCTCCGCGAACGATTTCCCGCGACAAGGACCACAGCGGCGTGCTTTTTTCGAAGGGGAGATGCAGAACATGATTGCGCGCTGAAAGCTTAATTTCCTTGTCGTAAGCGTGCAAAACTTGGATTCCATTCTCCAGATCTGTTTTCGCGTAGGAGAACTTGTCAAGGGGAAGGCCAAGGCGCAACTCGAATGCGTGAATCAGAACCTGGTTCCATGAAATTGCATCTGGCCCTGCACCAGCAAGAGCTGCTGTGTCACGTTCTTGCCCTTCACCTTCTGCAACAAAGTCCTTGCGGCCTTTCCCATCGTCTTCACTGGATGACGAGGAAACCGAAGCGCCGGATACCGTTGTTGGCTGAAAGGCTTTATTTTCGACGACAATCGCCATACTTTATCTGCCACTGTACTAGCCTTGCCGCATGCAGCAGCAGCACATCACATCTCTTTCGTTACTTCGATGTAAATCCTGTTGTGATTCAACTGAACTGGAGCGTTATACGTCCCAGAAAATAAGCACCTCACCGCTCCTGATTTTTCTCAACTACAAGATCTATCACGGCCAAACCCTTTCTTGTTTGTCACACACATCTCACTCTCCTCGTGGTAACCAATGACGGGCAGGCGGTTACTTATTCACTCATCCTGTTCCTGTGCCCCAACAAGAACATGCAAATCCAACGCTGTCTCGTGGTCGTGGTCGCGCCTTCCTTTTCGCATTGCTCCGCAACACCATCCATCCCTTACAGACGGAAATAAAAGCCACTTGCACTTCCTGACGTGACTGCAGAAATTCATTATTTCTTGTCAGACAGGCAAACCGGAAAGGGCAATCGGAATAGGGACGAACTAGCTCTGATTGTCCTTTCAAACGAATCACTTCATACAAACATAATTAGTTCGCCGGATGTCGAAACTAATATGTGCAGCCATACCCTTTATGCACATATTAGACGTACATCAGAGCTCATTTTGACGCAATTGGATTTGTCGGCCTCGGTCATTCTAGCACACACGACGAGCACTTGTATTAACAAGAATCTTCCTTCGAAGTCCAGCCCGGGACTGAAACGGGCCGGAAACATTTTTTCATCAAACAGAGGACCTAGTTCGTTGGAAGATTAAGTAGGTCGTCCTTTGGACAGCACGACGAAGACGATTAAAAATGACGCAAAGCTCAAATTGTATGCGGACAAGCCACCAGCAGAACCACACAGAGAAAGTGGTCATTACATTTTTCAGATTTGCATTCACATCTCGTACACCGGTCCTTTTCTCTAGCGACGCTACTTCTTGCCGAAGAGGTAGTTGAGATTCCCGGCGTCGGCGGCGAGCCGCTGCTCGTTGCGCCGGGCGGCTGCGTAGGCGGACTCGTGTGTGAACCGCTTTGTATCGTAAAACGCAGTGGGCTTATCGGGTATGTCCTCTTGCACTCGGCACGGCTTGTTTATCACTTCCATCGGCAAGATTTCCAGGTCTGGGAATGTTTTGTTTTTAAAGAGACTTCCTGTTCCTTCGACATCTATTATTCGATGGACCGACGCCGGATATTCGTTGCAAGATGGTACGACTTATAACGCTGGACCATGCACTATCATAATCATACCATAGACATAGAAGCGAAAGGATCTTAGTATCAAGACAGTCTACGTTGCGTTCCCCTTCCTTTCTTGAAGAACCATATTTGAAAAAAAAGAAACAAACCAAGCACATTTTTGTCACAGATACCTTTGAAGCTTTCGTTGTCCTCCGTCATGTTCTGGTAGGTCGTCTGTTTGGCATCGTTTGACCTGTCGCCGGGTGTGACATGCTCCAGGATGCTGTACTTTCTTCCACCGTGCTGTTTATTTCGTGAGCGAGATGAACGCTTCAATTGGATTTGGATCACGATTTCTTGTTCGTTGAGTCCGAGGGATTGCCAAGATGAAAATACAACAGGTAAGTACGATAGGTTTATTGGCCACGACACAACCAATATATTCTATTTTCAGTGTTGTTCTACAGCTAGTACATTGTCGTTTCTTATGTACTACCTTTTGAGTTTTGTTACACTCGGAAGCGAAATAGTCACAATGTACCGTGCTAAGGTGCTTGGCAACGTTTTCTGATGTTAGCGATGAATTTCGGTGGTGGCGAGGGTCCTTCTTTAGCGGCGCTCTGCTCGGTAGCCCTTCTCGGCGGCTGAACTTCGGTGCCCTGGAGCGCAGGTCAAGAAGTGAAAATTGATAAAGATGTTTTTTGCCTATTGCATCCTGATAATAATTTTTGCTCGCCAAGAAATCGAAATAAGGTACACGTACAAGACGCATTCGACCCGTGCGTTGTTATATTCACACAGTTTTCATCACAAAAAAAGAATGAAGGAGAATCGTGCTTGGAAAAAAACGTGTGAAAACCTGCAGAACCAGTTACCTCGTTCCTTTCGCCGTAGACCATGCTACAGCAGGCTTGATGTAGTCCGCTGCACCGGGGTTATCACTCCCGGTCATGTGATGCACATCTCGGCTTGCCTTGCCGAAACTCATTTTGTGCGGCTACTATGGAAAGAAATTTACTCGGACAGGCTCGGTTTATACTTCGTAGTTCCGCTTGATGCTCCTGGAAACTTGCTTCGCTTCTGCAATGGTAGACAACAACCTTTGTCACATGTCTAGGGCCCTCCGACACTTTTTTCGTGGGTGAAGAGTGTTATTTCCACGATGAATCAAGAACGCCACAGACCATCTTGCTGTGGAATCCAAAGAAATAGAAATGTGTGATCGAAGATGGGTTCGCCACTCCACTCGCAGCACGACTCGACACCGTCACTCACGATTAGGAGTACGCTAACCGGAAGCAGCTAAAAAACACAAACAATACGACTTCGCCTTCACGTCGAAAACGAAACGAATTTCGATTCATACGAAAAAAAAGTCCACCACGATGGAACGCGACACGATAAAGATACGACCTCTTCCTCTCGAATTGAACTTGCACACTGTCGGGCCGAACATCAAAAGATATAAATCGCCGTGTCTCGCAGTGGGGTCTCCATGCGTTTGAGCTTCAAAATCGAAGGCCTTTTATGTCCTGATCGAAATCCATGTCGTCTGGAAGACCCTCGTCCTCTGTGCATCTGTACATTGATTTTTTCTTTTCCGACCTAAGTCTAACGTTTTTTCGGCAAATCCTAAAAATGCATTCGCATTCACTATTATGCAACATTGTCTTGGACAATTTTCATGACTTGTTGAAACTGTTTATTTCTATTTGCTCTACTCGTACTGGAGATACTTGGTACGATCGAGAGCAACTCGTACGTCTATGGATTTTGTTTCAAAATCTTCGTTAAAAAAAGCTTTTTCCTTTGCAATCATCTTTTATTCCATTTACGAATAGTACGGCCCCTTTCCCTTTGTCTACTACGTTGTCTTTGATGTTCTCTACAAAGTGCAAGTTGGTCCTTCCATAGAAGTGACATTTTGGCTTGCGACGTTCCTCTGACGATGAATACAGCCTGCTGGTGGATCCTGGCTATACAACTTTATTATCCTTTTTGAAAAAAGATCGATGCATAGTGCTAGTGTTGTGGGCCTGTTGAGTATAATCTACAAAACATCTTCAGCACAGTCACTTTACCTCACCGCGAGTTTCTTTCGCTGCGTGAGAACGTCGCCTTCCTTCGCCTCCATCTCCTGCTCCTGCTGAGCCTCAGCGGCATCGTTGGCCTCCGCGTCAGAGGTGGACGGCTCCGAACCTTCTTTGACTCCACCGATTTCGGGCTGTGACTCTCCGGGAATACCGTCGCTGTCTTTGTCTTCATTCTGTTCCAGCATCTCCTCCTCGTCTTCCTCCTCGTCGCCCTCTTGCTCTTCCTCGTCCTCTGCATTCTCCTCGGCACCAGCTTCGTCCTCTTCTTGTCCTTCATTCTCCGGGTCCTCGTCCTCTGCGTCCGCAACATCCTCCTCCTCCTCGACTTCACTGTCCCCTTCGGTCGCAGGGGCCGCATCGTCATCTACTTCACCCGTTACATCATCAACCTCTTCGTCGGCCTCGCCTTCGTCCACCTCGTCGTCCTGCGGCGGGAAGCGCGCGGCGCAGACCATCTCGGTGGTGTCGAGGCCCACGGGCTCCTTCTCCTCGTACACCCGCCCCGGGGTGTAGCCGTCGGTGAACAGCTTGCAAGATTGATCCGCCTCGTTGTACTCGTATCCCGCGCAGGTGTCGTAGTTTTCGCCGTTGCACTGGTCCCGGCACTCTTTTTCACTGTCCGCCTTCTCAGCCTCGAGTTCCTCGTCATCGTCGTCATCCTTTTTCTTTCCTCCAACGGCGGATGTTGAAGAAGTTGTAGATGCAGCTGCAGCTGCGCTCTTTTTCACAGTCACTGTGCTCGTCTGCGTCTGCTGCGACGTCTTGGTCACCATTGCGGGACTTCCACTTGCAGTAGAGTTTCTTTGTGCTTGCATTTTCTGCTTCGCGTCAGCGACCCGTTGAGCCAACCGCCTGCGCAGGTCCGACATACCATTGCGACCTGATGCAGTAGTTCTGCCCGTCGGGAGCTGCTTCTTACTGTGTCTCGTTTTTCGTCCGCGGGAGCGGGACGTTGCAGCTCGTGTGCCTGCAACTTTTGTTGCCAAAGATGAGATAGGCTTCGCCTTACCCGTCTTCGCAAACGCTCTAATTGGCGTCTTGTTTTCTTCGCTGGCCACCTCCAGGAAGGCCAGCGGCTGGCGCTTGCTTGGCTTCATCATGTGTTTCTTAGCCATGTGCTTGCTCTTCTTGTGCAGCTTTTTATTCGCCTTTTTCATCTTCCTGGCTTTCTTTGATTTTTTGGACGTCGATGTGAGTTTGGACTTGCTTCTTGTCTTCCGTGCTTTTCTGGAGGACCCTGCCCGCTTTAGCTTCTTGGAAAGAAGCTTCACAGACTTTTTGTGGGTCCTGCCGTTGGACTTCTTCAACGACGTCGGTGAAGATGGGTGACGAGAGCGTGCAACTTTCTTGGCGGGGCGACGGTGTGCCAAAGTCAAGTGGTTCCTCGAGGTTTTCCTAGCTGACGATTTCTTCACCTTTGCGTGGCCGCGCAGTGTTTCAGCAAGTACCGTTGGACTCACCTCCGACCCGGGTTTTTCGCTAGCGGGCGTCTTGTTCAGATCCTCGAGCAAGTGTGCGATGCTCTGGAAATCCAGGCGCTCCAACGCACCGGCTTTTTCTAGCTGGTGCAGTTCCGCAACGGCAGCGGGACTCAGCTTCAAGCCTGCTTGCTGCAATTCGGTCAACGCTGCGTTGATAGTGTGTGCCTGCGTGGTTTCCTGTTCCTTCTTTCGCTCGCTCGCGCCCTTTTCGATCTCCGGAACCACCACCCCGCTAGGAACTGGCGGGACCCCGACGGGATCGCGACCGTATGAAGCAAAACAAATTAATCACCTCCCGCCCACGGTCACAACTTTGTAAAAAAGTTAAAGATTTGTTTTTGTGTTCTTCTCCTTCAGTGACATTGTGTCAAGACGAGGCTTGTTATTTTCATCTTTTTTCTTTTTTGGCCTTCTTTACGTTCGCATTCTTTCATGCGGGTAGAGGCAATGGGAATGGCGTTTCCTAGCAAACAACATCATGATATTTAGCCAGACGGCATGAAAATAAAGAGTACCAACATCACCTTGCCACGTCACAAAAATGCAAGAAGATATTCTTTATCCTTCCCTGTGAGCAAAATGGTGATCCGAGTTATTGTTTCAACGGGATATCACTGGAGCTGCCGTTACTGGTTGAACTTCTGGACCAACTTTTTCTTCCTGGATCGGTTTGGTCAGCGCCTCATGCTTGTCGACCACGATGCGGGATTTCGCGAGTGCTGCTGCCGCTTTCGCTGCAGCCTCCCTCAACATTTTGGCCGTAACGTCATCCTTGTCAGCTGCACCAGAAGATGTTGCTGTTGTAGTTCCGGGGGTTACAGCTCCCTGCTCTTGCTGATCGACTTTGGCACCGGACATGGGGTACTGCTTGTTGAGTGCAGCTTCCTCCGCTTTCTTTTTCGCCTGCAGCATGCCCTCCGGGGACGAGCCGTCACAGCTTCCGGGCATGACGATGAAGGGCACGGTCTTTCGGGAACATGTTTTCCCCTCGTCTTCTTTCGGGTCGTGTTCCCCGACCTCGGACGGGTCGACGATGGCGGAGTTCATCAGAGCGCATTGCTTGTCTTCCTCGCCGTATGGCCCGAAAAAGGAATGCTTCACCTAATAAGTTGTTTCTGTGCCTTTTGTACTGCAACTGCATCACTACTTCAGAATTTCTCAGGTAGTGATGCAGTTGCAGTACAAAAGGCACGGTAAATACATGACATGAGTCGTCGCGCGGAAAAAGGTCTATGACAGATCTCGTTCCGCGCGGCGCATTACAGACCAATAAGTAAATCAACGTGAAGCAGTTCTTTTTTCGTTTTTTGCGGGATATGTCGTACTCGTATCCGAAACACCCTCCTTCGCCTTGTACTGCGTCGGCGTCTCGCGCCACAGTGTTCCGCTCGTCGCAGGCCGTCATGCAGTCGTCCTCTGTTTTATCCTCGAGTACCTCCGGTTCCGCATCCGTCCCCTTAATGCTAATGTCGATTGCGCAGGCGCCTTCGTGCTTCACGTACGGGAAGGTGCGGGGAGCACAGATATCCTGCGTAAAAACGTCTCCGCAACCGCACTACATCTCGACGTAAGTAGTTGCTGATCCGATGCAAATCACTCATGATCTGCCCTCCGAAATATGTTTGTTAGGCTTGCGCATGCGCATGGGATATGGAAATGCAAATGGATTCATAGCTGGCAGCACACCACAAAGCGCAACTACACTGATGGGATCCGATTCTTTGATACTGATAGGAAGCCCAATACTGTTCATAACCAAGAAGGAGCGCAAGCAAGTGCAACGAGGACACAGAGACGATATTTCCTCTATCCTGACTGGCAAGCGAGGTGGCGTTGTTTTTACACAGCGGGATAGCAGAAGACGGTGCCCCACTCCCCAATCTGAAGCACGTGTGTGACCTTATGCAGTGAAAATATTGCAAGTTGAGAGTCAAAGGAAACAAAGTTTTAGGTATTTCATGCTACGTCTACGTGTTATTGTTTTGCCTTGCGGACAGTGTCAACGACAGCGATTTTAGAAAGCTCATGATGAACAGGCACTGTAGCTGTCAGCTTCCACAGAGAGCACTGTTACTGTCAGCTTGTAGTTCTGAAGCCGTGTTGATGCAAGGAATCGGATCACGTTCACGCAGCACGCCAAAATGTACAATGCCGCAAGTGTAGTTACGTTTTCCCTGATCTCCCTGTTAGCATCATTATTTGCACACGATAAATCCGTGTCGTGTGCAATTCGCATTCCGACCGCGGCTGCGACCACTCGTATGCCTGGCAGCCCTTGATGGGGTCCTTCTCGTAGCTTTCGTCGCACAACTCGGCGCATTTGTCTTCCGCAGTGATGTCTTTGACAAGCTCGAATTCGCCCTTGTCTCCGTCGGGACTGCCATCCGCCCGGCACACACCCTCGGTTCTGAAATACGGACTGCTTTCTTCTTCTTCTTCAGTCTCCCCCTCATCTGCTGGTGCAGGTTCCCCTTCCTCGTCTGGCTCCGTTCCTTCCTCCTCCTCCTCCTCGGACGTCTCGGCTTCCTCCTCGGCGCCCTCCTCCTCTTCTGCTGGGGGTTTGGGCGGTTCCACGGCGGGCTGCTCCGGTTCCTCTCCCCCCGTCTTCGGCGGAGTGGCTCCGGACACCGGTTCACAGGTTTGTGGCTGCGTACTGGGGTCGGTGAGTTCTGCCGTGGAGGGGCAGAGCTCGAATCCAGGCTCCACACAAGCCACGCACTGCTCGGACCCGTGCTCAATGCAGTCATACCCTTTGGCGGCCTCGCCGTGTTTGCAAGTGCAGATTTTTTGTTTGCACGTGAAGTCGGTTTTGTCCAGGTAGAACCCCGGGTCCGTGCAGTACAGGCAAGATTCCGCGCCGTGCCGGGGACAGTACCACCGGTTCGCCGCCACCCCGTGCTCGCAGGTGCACGCGTTCTCCTGGCACGTGTTGCCATCCAGGTGAAACCCCGTCCAACAGGATGCGCACACCTCGTCCTTGTCCTTCGGGCAGGAGGCGCCCACCGCACCGTTGCCGTACTGGCAGTAGCACTCGTTTTGTTCACAGGTGGGGGGAATGCCGTAGAAGTAGTACATGTAGTAGTTGGCGTTCTTTAAGTGGTACCCTGGCTGGCAGTCGCTGCAGTAGGTTGCTGCGTGCGCCGGGCACTCGTAGTGGGTTGCGGCCCGCCCGTTTTCGCAGACGCAGGCATTGGGTTTGCACTGGGCAGAGCCATCCAGGTAGAACCCGTAAGTGCAGCTCTCACATCGCTCGTCACCGTCTAGTAGACAAGGGGACATAGGTGTGCCGTTGTCGCACACACACGTGTTCGGTTCGCAGGTGTGGTAGTCGATCGCGTGTCCGGTGCCCTGGGCGAGCCGCTTCTTGCTTTTGGTGGTCCGCTGGCTTTGCAGCAGAAGCTTGGCGGTTAGCGAAGGCGATAGGGGGCTTTGATGTTGCCCGATCTTGCTCATCCTTGGAGAAAGAGGTCCAAAAAACAGCTTCTGGAAGAACAGCGGTAATTTCTTCACGTAGCTCGCGGACGGTTTGTGCTGCTGAAAGAACGCTGACATTTGCTGCGGCGGTTTAGTGCCTTGGCCTTGCTTTGACGGGACGAGGTGCCGTGTTATGGGAGGATGCTTGCTGTCGACGTGCTTCGTGCTTGCTGCAATCGTGGGGTGGTTGGCGGCCGCCTTCTTCATGGTGCGCGCGAGAGTGGCTTTTCGCTTTCGCGCCATCGCTTTTTGCATTGCGCTTCTCTTCTTCTGCATCTGTTTTTTCAATGCTTTCATCTTACTCGCGGCGCGCGCTCGCTCACGCAGCTTCTGCTTTTGCAGAGCCTTGGCGGCACCAGCGAGTCGGCCGGCGTGCTGACCTCCGGAGTGAAGACTCCCTCGCTTGAGCTGCTTGCGCCCCCCGGCCACTAAAATTTCCTCCGCCTCTTGTTTGGATCCTGGCGGGGGAGCAGGCATACGAGCTGGCACCTCCGTATCCTGTGCCTTCGCACCAGGAGGTGTAGCAGCTGCATGCGGGTCCTCGTGTTGCGCTGCTGGTTCGGGCATGGACTCGCTTTCGGAAGGCTCTCCCATCTGCATCTCGTCTTCGGCACCCTGCGCCATCGGATCATCCTCTGCCATCGGATCATCTTCTGCCATCGGATCTCCCTCCGCCATCGGATCTTCGCCCTCTGCCATGGGATCTCCTCCCTCTGCCATTGGATCTCCGCCCTCTGCCATCGGATCTCCGCCCTCTGCCATGGGATCTCCTCCCTCTGCCATTGGATCTCCGCCTTCTGCCATCGGATCTCCGCCTTCTGCCATTGGATCTCCGCCCTCTGCCATCGGATCCATACTCGGATCTCCCCCGCCCATCATGCCAGCCGCAACCGGATCTTCGCGAAAATAGTCTGTGCGGAGATGGTTAAGGTGAAACCCTGTATCGCAGCTTTGGCAGTTGTCCTCGCTTTCCGTAGCTTCAACCGCCGCGCTGCCAAACAGTTGCTTCAACATGTCACTTTGCGCGGCCGACGTTGACGACACTTTACCCGGATATTCATCACAGAACGCTGAGGGCTCGCCATTTTTGCAGGTGCAATCCTTTTTGCCACCTTGTCCCGTCGCTTTTTCCGTGACTGCTTTTCTTGCGATTCTCTTTCTGCTGTTGACCCGACTTCGTGCTTTAAGAGCTTCGATTTTGCTCAGCGCCGCACCATTTACCACGGGAAGAAACTGCACAGAACTAGGACACAGGTGTGCCAATCCAATCGCACCTAGCAAACCCACCCGCATCTTGCCGTACGTGCTAACACGTGTCAAATTGATACACTGTACTCCTGTCGCTTTTTATTGTGCTGCACTACACCAAGAACTAGCTACTTCTGTGTGACTGTGAGTGTTGTGCAGGTCGTGTCGTTGTTTTTCATTTTCACCGACTACAGTTGTATATGATCAACGACGGCAACTACGGCATGATCGTCATCGAGCGCCAAGTTGATGATCATGATCGTGTAGTATCATGGAGACAAAAATATTACTATTAGGTCTGTCGACAAACTTCGTCTGCAACTCGCTCTCACACTTAACACAGGGAATACAGAGGAGCCAAAGGGAAACAACTTCATCTTTATGTTCTCATTCTTTCTCTATCTCTTTCAGAAAGTCTGTCGCTCTCTTGTCCTTCATAGTACAAAAAATTCATCCATGTCCTCCATCGCAACAATAATGTGAGCGCAAGACGCTGTTGTTCACACTGCAATGCACACACACGACACAGATCGAGAACATTCAACTCACAGATTTCAAACGGGTATATTTAGCGTACTTCGGAGTAAGTACGAGCGAATCTTTTGTCGTTTATTTTTCGTGTACATTTTGAAGCCAGGCCACCAGTCGGTTCGTTCCGAGTACAACATATTTCGGATTTACGGAACTTTGCCTTCTGCAAGTCTTCGACGCTTGTTGATGTTGGTTCTTGCTCGCTGGTATGCGTCATGCTCAACGATGAGGAACGGATGATTCTGTTGCAACCCAGTCGCAGAGTTTTGGTTGTACCGCTCCCACTGACCGACCGCCTTCAGTTCGTCGGGCGTGACCTGCATTTTGAGGTCCTCGTAGATCTCTTTGCTCCTGCGGTTGCGGCAGCCCTCGGAAGTCCAACGGACTAGCGTCACGTTCGTCAGCTGCAAACGCTGGCGATCCTTCTCCCACAGCTCTAGCTGTGTCCGCACGTTGTCCGGAACAACCTGTGGATTGACCGCAGCAGCAGAGCCGGCCCCCCTATTCGCGAAGGCTGCGACCCTCTGAATGCGCGACTCGTGAGCGGAACACGTGAGAAAATGTAGGATCTGCCGAGCGGTCAGCTGTTGGTTCGCAAAGGCGGACAAGATACTATCTTGTGTCAGCTCCCCGGTCACCCAGAACCCGCTCTGCCGCTGGATCTGGCAAAAGGTCTTCAACAACTCAATCTGCGTTTGGTCGTTGGTGCAGGCGCGCACTTTGAAGTTGGACTCAACAATAATGCCCCGAAAGTGTACGGCCATGGACAGTCTCTCCACCGCCGCGTCGTGCTGCGCGCGATCCTTCTCGGAGCTGTATCCTGAGTAAAAACGTACCCACACCAGAGTTGCAATGCAGATTTGCAAAGACAGGAAGACTTGTAATGCGCATCCCCATGAGAGCCATTTCCAATCGTGTTTTGGAATTTGTGATGCTGTGAACAGGATGAGCAGATGAATCTGTGATGCGGCTGCACTTGCTAACCTGCACTACACTGCATAGCGCAACTTGTCATGCGTGACTCACAAAACTCCTAGGTTTGTGTTGCAAAATCCTCATCCTGACTCTGGTGTGGGTACGTTTTTACTCAGGATAAGCTGGTACTGGTTATCATCTTCAGCTGCGATGAGGAGCGCGCAATAATTCGTTCCTGGTGGAACTCGCCGTGGGTGACCGAAAGCCCGATATCCTCGTGGAATAGTGCAGCGCAAAAGGCGGTGGGGTAAAAATACACGCACCGCCACGGTGTCGTGCACAGCTGTTGCGTGGTCAGTCTCTTCTTGATATTACTGCTCCCAGCCTCATCTACCCGATCGGGTTGCAGCTGGTGACCCCGAAGAAATCCCCGCGGCCCGCCCGGATGCTGAAGGCCGTTGCGTGAATACAGCTGCGAGTGCATCGAATGTGCTGACTGCGCCATAGCCTCCGTGGCTTGCCAAACTTCTTCGAGCGAGTAGGTGTCGTCTGGACAGCGGTCTGTCTCGGTGCCCCCTCTGCCACTCCCCGCAAACTTGGAAACATCGTAGACGGCTTTTCCGAACAGGACTCCTATTTCCTCGAGGCGATAGAGAAATTCGGTCTGTGCCCCTGTTAAACCCGCGAGCACAGCCGCTCGCTTGTGAGGCTGCGGCTGCGCCGCTCCATGTGCACCTGCCGTTGAGGATATGGCTTTCTCGCGCGGCTCGACCGAGTGTGTCCAAAGTATTGCGGTTTCAGTGGCTTTTTGTTCCGTTTCCGCAGCCGCCGGAGGCTGGAACATCCAGGACCCTTTTACTTCGGCGCTGTCGACCACCTCGTCCGGCACGGGCCCGTCCAGGTCTACAATTTGCCTGTTGCGCTCCGGGATCATCAACAATGGCTGGCCGATGCATGCTTGCGCGAGCTGCAGGAGTAGGGAGTACATACTGGCTTTCCGCTTCATGTCGGCTTCAGCCCCTGCGGGATTGTCAATTAGGTCGCCGTGGTGCCCCTGTTGCCCTCCTGTTGCCATCATACGTGAAGCGTAGAGTTCGCAAACGCCGTCTACGATGGAATGGATTAGCGTCCACAGCTGTCGATGTCGGGCGGAAAAGACAAACTCAAAGCCTTTCGAAGTGAGATTGAAGAAGCCCTTCGCACCGGTTGGTCGAGCGCGATTTACAAGGCCAAGCTGGTCCCGCGCGCGAAGCGATTCTCGCATCCAGGGAGGCACACGAGCCGTGCGCCCCTCGCGGTCCGCGCGCGCACCGGCGGCTGTGAGCGACGAGGGGGCTCCTCGCGCCAGGTACTCAAGCAGCGAATCGTAGGCGGTGGCAGCGTGCGAATGCAACTCGGCCGCAAAAACGCTATCGCTGGGTCGTACGCGGTGGTTTCTTCGCTGCAGAGCGGAGCGCTGGAAGTAGCAGTCCTTCTCTGGCGGCACGAGACTGCGCTTTGTCACTTCGAGCATTGCTCTTGACACGTGCGCGGGTACTTCAAATTTCCCGAACACGCGTAGATCGTAACACCTGGACGTCGACGCCGTAGCGTTCCTCATGTTTGCTCGATAGCTGCCGCTACTGGAAGACGTCCCATTGAATGTCCCGCCAATCGTTTGTGGTGTGCCCAAGCGGTAAATGGGCTTCACGAATCTGCTCGTTCCTCCAGCTCCTACAGACGCAAGACTAGCAGCACTGCGCGACTTTCCGGCTGACATCGTACTTGGCTCCATACCTTCTTCAGAGGACGACATGCTGTTTGGCAAGAACAAATCGGAACGCGGGTCCTGGGCCTGCCACACCACTGCCGCGCATTCAGTGTGCGGGTCGATAGCCACAATTTTTCCAGGAAGACCGCGCCGTCCGTCGAGGTCGCCGAACTCCCAATCCTGATCGTTCCGCACGACCGCCAGACCTACGCGAGCTTCTGCAAGGTCGGCACTTCTCTGGAGGGAGACCTTCTGCCCGCAGGGCTGAATGAGCCCCGCATCTAGCAGCTCCAGGTAAACCTTGTGCCAGTGGTCTGGATTCTTCAACCACGCGCGGATAGTGACATTCACTGAAAAAACGACGGCTTTGTTTTCGAGCCGTTCATGGCGATGTTGATGGTTTTTTTGGTGTTCTTGCGCTGCCTCTTGTCGGTTTACGTCGACGACTTCTTGTCCACCCGCCAGCAGAAGCAGTCTCGAAAAGATGCACCTCGTGACTTCGGAAAGCCGCTCGACGATAGTTTCGACAGCGAGTTGCGAGTCATGCTGAACTAGGCGCAGTTCGTCTGGGGACAGATGATTCTTCAACTCGTACAGAACCCGGTCTCGGGAGCCGCCCCCACTGCTGCTGGAAAAGTTCGACATCACACCCCACCCCACGTGAATATCTACTACAGGAGCCACACTATTTCAACTTCTTTCGATGGCAGCGAATTCCAACTCATGGCTTCAAATGCTACAAAGACAACATCCATATTTTTAAGACCGCTCCTTCTGCATCGGCACTTTCTCTTTCAGGGCTACGTGAAAAGAGTATAAGAATTAATCGCGGTACTAAAGAATCGTTTGAATGAATTTCCGATACTAGTCGGGGGCGGCATCAACATCGCTGTATTGTTTTTATTTGTGTTGTGCATTGGTCTTTGTCAAAAAGAAAAAGCAAACGAAGAAATCGCGGATCCTCGAGGTTAAAATCTCCACTTCTTTCCAGTAAAAAATATATATTGAATATAGCCAAATGATCTAAAAACTGTGGATGTTCAACGGATCATCTTCGCGGTGAAAGCTTTAGATGTAGTGCACCACCATCACGCCTTTCCTGAGAAGTTTTTCCATGATTCAGATTCTGTTGTGTTCGATGAAAAACGAAAACCGAATAAGTTGGTCCTTGAATTGCCATTTTCAACATTGCGTCGCCTCTTTTTTTCTTAAGCGCGAGCGGCTTGTTGGCGCAGAAGTATGAAAAGCATGTTCTAATATCAGCACCTTGACCTTAGCCTACTCGACAAAACGGGCAGTCTGAGTGTCTTCCATTTTGATTTTGCGCTGCTCTTGTTCCTGCGTGTAGTTGTCCGCAGGACGAAATGGGGCTGGAAGCAAGCTGACTGCAGACGAGATTTGCTTCTCATCTCTCTACCTCGCAATACAATTGGGAACATTTTCAGTGGTTTCTGTTCTTCTTGACATGGAAACAAACCTAAAAGCACATGGTGAAAACTACTCTTGCAGAAGCACATGTAAAAGTGACTCTATGTTTGTACTCGGCTTCTTATTAGATTTACAAACGTCAATTATACAGTTACATTTGATCATCTATCTACGTGTATAGAAAATCCGTGCGAAAGCTTGCAACTCGTAACAGAGAGCGAGATCTCGACTTGCGTTAAATGTCCACATCTACTGGCACTAATTCTCAAATTCTCCTGTACGAGGAAGCTGGTTCTGAAACAAGTAAATAAAAAAAGCGGGCGTGGGCGAAAAACTGAGCGACCTGTCAGTTTGTGCTTCGGCACCGCGGTGCAGCAATCGATTTATAATTGCGACCTGCTTGAAGTGTACTTAAGTGATAAAATTATATGATTGTAAGAGAGCTTCGAGGACGTCGTGACGAGACTGCCCTTTATTTATTCAGCATCGTTAAATTGAAAATGTCTCGAAGGTTAGGTTGAGGTAATGAATTGGTAATAGTCACATTGTCACCTACTTGCTCGTCAAAGCACGACAGCCCGCCCAGTCCTTAGGCGGTTTGAAGTCGTGCTGTTCCATGTAGTTGAGCAGCGTGACGCTGGGCATGTCTGTTAGGAGGCGGGCTCGCTTTGCACCGGCGTCTCGCGTAATCAACATCGTCTTCGTTAATTTCAGCATTTCCCGGCACACCACCCATTCCCCAGCAATGTAGTTGCGAAATGCCATGTGGAACCGCTGGAAGAATTCTCGCGAGTAGGCTTCGCGCATGCAGAATAGGGTCAAAAAAAACTAGTGTTAGTCGCTGTTGGATTGAGTTTGACGATTTCAGTTTCTTCTTAATGCATTCACTACGAAAAATTCGAAGCCGATCTTTTCGTTCGAGTGTATGGAAGCAAAAAAAAGTAAAGGGACACGATTGCTAATGCTATCGTCCTGCGTAAATGCACCAGGGCTTGGGCTTACTAACTTAAGCACGTTCGATCCAACAGCAAACAGACACGAGTACAATTTTGTTCCGTAGCGGAACAATTTCGGGGTCTTCGAGCAGTTCACGGTGAGGTTCGTAGTCGTCAGCCCACTTTCGGTGTTTTTTCAGTTCGCGAATTTGCCGGACTTCGTACTTTCTTCGCACCGTGAACGCACGGTGGTCAATCTGCTGCATCAAGTCCTGAACGTGCAGGACGCCCGCCGTGAAGTCGCAAGTGTAGAGCCCTACGGGCTTTTTGCTTCCCTTCACAAACACTCGGTCTATCTGGCGGCATGCGTCACGGAGCCCCGGACTAGCTTGGTCGAGGAGAAAGTGAGACATCTGGTGAGTTATTTGAAAGTAGATACAACAGTTTCTTATGCATTTATTGGCGTACTAGAGTCACAGTCTTGAGTAAAGAGTACTTTCTTCTGATGTTAATGTTATTTATATTTTCTATGATCACCAGAATTTTTTTCATTTCGATAGAGGAAGAGGAGCACAATGATACACAAAAGCGGGCACACGAGAAAAATAGTTACACTTAGCGCAGTACCAGCAGATGCACTCCAAACTGCGCACAAGCCGCTTCCAAGCGACTGGCCATATTGACGTTTGGCGATAAATAGGATGCGTCGATTTTGAATTCGCTCCCAATCGCGCCTTCGATAGCATATCCCAGGTGCAAGCCGAAACCCATTTGCACACGGTAATCTGTATCCTAGGTAAAAGCGCACCTATCCCATGATAATTACAATTAGCTGCAGGTTTTCTATAGGATTATGCGGATTTTGTTATGCCTGGAGAACATGTTCAACTTTATCGCCGCGGTGCCTGCTTTTGGTGTTGGCTCATCCTCTTCACGTCATGTACTTACTCAAGAATGGCCAGTGAGTCGAATTACGATTACTTATTTCTATTTGTTACGGTACAGTTCTTGAATTTGTACCACTATCATGCCAAGCTGCGCTGTTGCGGCATTACAATCTTTTCGTGTGCTTCGGTGCATGTCCGTGTGCGCTTTTTCCTAGGATAGTCTGGGTAGCGGGCCAAGAAGCCAGGATGTGACCGGTACTCCGACAGAATGGCGGACTTATTGATGGCGGAAATAGTGAAACAAAACGCCACCACGCTCATGTCGCACATGCGCATGCGACGCATCCTGTGCTCGCGCGTGATAAATTCGTTGTCCTCCAATTCGCCGCTGACGTCCTTCGGCACCGTCGCTGTTGGAGAAAGATCATTATCATTTTCTATTTTCTTCCTCGTGCTCCTCTAAGAGTTGAAGTTTGAGCAATAGCATCGTCTTTTGAAGACACGACAGCAACAAGTCGAATTCTTGCCTCGCCCCTTCTTATGCAAGAAACAGAAGAGATGAAAGCATCGCCCACTCATCAAGGCGTATATAATAAAGAGGTACCGATTTTCCAAACGAGCAGGAAGGCGTCGCCGATGTTTTTGTTTGCGTTGCCACCGAACATGTCTACCAGAGAGTGAACGATCTCTGCCACTTGGTTAACGTAGATCATGATCCGGTCCTGCAAAATTTCCGTGGCGTCGGAAAAGTGGTAGATGTTGCAGAAGCCGAAAATGGCTTCGATCTTCACACCGGGAACCATGGCGTTCACGCCGGAAGCGTCCCCGGACAGGTTCTGTCCTATGATTTCGGCCCCGGCGACGCCGAACCCGACGGCGAGAAGGCCCCCGAGCTTGATCAGCGTCGACTCCAGAATCACAGTCTCCATGGGCTCCTGCACCCGCCGGGTCGAGGTTTTGTTCGCGCCTCCGCGGTTTCTGCCGCTGCCGCACCGGGACGCCAGCCAGCCAAGTGACCCGCGCACCACTCGCCGAGCGTTCTCCAGCAGTGTTGCATTTCGCCAGTTCCAATCGGAATGAATTTCGTCCATTTCCTGCTCCCGTTTCAGCTCGATCTGCTGTTTACGGAACTCCTCGTCCCCCAGACGCATGGCGACCAAGGGGTTATCGCGGATGCGGTGCATCTTGGCGATCATGCGCTCGATGGGCTCCAGCACCAGCTCCTTCGCGTCCTTGTTGAAGAAGGTGGCCGTCAGTCCGAGGACGATGCACACAAAGATCGTCTGCATCATGCTCATCACAGACTCGAAGTAGACCAGTCGCCGCAGGTCGTAGTAGGCGAGCAAGCTGTCGGTGTTTACCATGTTCGTCTGCGGGTGCACCCCTGGGGTTCGATTTCTTGAGAACGTCGATCATGATGTTCTTGCACAGAAACAAGTTGTGATGCAAACACTAATTCATTCATTCATTCTTTCATGTGTATCCGGGGTTATTCAGTCGTTGTCTTCTTCGTCAACTTCTTTCTCGGATGTACATACAAGTGCTATTTTTCCTAAGTAAGCTGTCGCGCGTGCGCACCGACCTCAGCGCGCGGCCCATGTTCCATCACTGTCTTTCTGGAACCACTGACCACATACGCGCACTTCCTCTCTGCCTGCAAGTGCAAACACTAATTCTAATATATAATAAATTTTTCACTGTCTACCTAGTCCAAAAAGATCGACAGCTACAGTGCCAGAACTACAGACACAGAAGCATCAACAAGCTCAAACAAGTAAGAGCTGTTTATACCTGCCCAAGGGAAAGCCGGATCCACTTCGTTGAAGCGCAACTTTTTTGGCGGACAGGGAATTTCAGCCTTAAGTGCGACTCCGATCACCGATTTACCAAGAGAGTCGTCGAAGCAGCCCTGGTTGTTACTCCAATCGTTGGTTAAGCGATCTTTGATTACCTCCGGGAGGGCGCCGCCTGCGAACCCAAACTCATTTCCGAGGTCATAACGGTTATGCCACTTTTCCCAACTGCTTTTCTCTGCCGCCAGTTCCGTGATATGAATTTTGTCGCGCATGTCCCACATCGGCTACGACATCATAGCGAAATCTTGAAGAACTGCAATTGACGAGACTAGGCCGTGAGACTGAACTTTTCGAAACGCAGTCGCTTCGCTTATATGATTGTATGCAAATGTAGTCGTTCATGCGTTTATGCAGTGCAGATACAGAAGTCAGAAGGTGGTGCAAGGCGCGACATAGTAACTTGAGGATTCAAGATTTCCACAAGGATAAGCTCGTTTCTATTCACATACCCAATGAAGAGAATTTCCGCGAACCTGAAATCATGTCCATGGTGACGGTGAGAAAGTGTAGCTGTACCTGCTCCACCGCGCATGTAAGTATGCGTCTCACATTGGCTACTTCTGCATGATGTTGAGACTCTTTTTCTTGTTCTGTGCATAGACTAGAAGGAAACATACAGAAGCAACATCAATATTATTTGCAAATGCATTTCATCTTTGCTGCATCATGTTCATAATTCAATCGTTGCAAATCATTGAAAATAAAAGAGAAGCGATAGTACTGGGAGTCCGCACAGGTGATATCATATTCGTCGCAATAATCCGCACTGTACTGATATGAAAGACAAAGCTGGACCTGTGTCAGTCGCTGTCGGAGATGCTTTCTATTCGATATTGTGTCGGTTCAACATCATCATGCTTTTTAGAATGGAGCAGGAACTACACCCAGCACGACTGCTGGATGTACTGAAGTAGTTGCAGCACCACTTTATCAGGAGTCCGCAGTCTGAAAAGCCAGAAGATTTCTAGTTCCGCGTAGTTTTTCGAGGGCGTACTAAGGCAGGTATGACTATGATATATCATGACACCACAGATGCAAACATAGCAATACCAGCGAAGGAGCTGCCGTCCAGATGACGACCTGACCGCACCACAAGCCTTCGCGTTCGTACATTTGGGTTAGAATCGTACACGGCCTTGAGCAGTGCCAGTTCGTACTGACGCCGGTGCTCCTTGACGAGGTTGGAACCTGCGCTGCTCCCCACGGCTGTTTCGTAGTCCGCAAGGAAGAGCTGCAGCAGGTCTAAGGAGTACTGCGCGCTGCTCTGCTTATGCTGAAAGTTCTCGCTCAGTTGGAACTGCGGCACCACCAACATCATGGACAGGACCAGCATAATGACGCGCCTCGTTGTCATGTCGCTGAGTTTCTTGCCCACGCGGGACTCCTGCACCGCGTTCACGCCGTCCTGTTGCAGCATGGCAAAGTTTTCGTCTTCGAAGTCGATCAGGTCCTCTTCCTCACCCGGCGCCACGCGTTTCGCGTAACCCTCCTCCGCTTCCTTCTTGCGCTTGCGCTCGAGCGCCGCCTTCACCTTCTTGCGTTGCTGCTGGTCTTGATACTGCTTGTACAGTTTCACGATTCGAATCAGTCGAATCATCCGCAGTACCCGCAAAACGCGCGCCGCCTGTGTACCTGGGACAAAGTTTTTGGAAAAAAGAAGCCTATTTCATAATCATCACTCATGAGTTTATTTGCCGTCATGCGCATGCTTTCTGGATCTGGACCATGCTCCACTGTAAAGAATGGCGCCAACAACTGTTTCTTTCATTTCCAGCACGACTACAATATGTACACCGAGGTGGACACGACCGAGATGATGTCGTCATCTGTGTCTATCATTTTCACCTGCTTTGAGTTGTCCCGTACCCCCGCCGGATATCAGCTTTGCTACGCTAGTGATGTCGAGAATCAGCGACAGTGTGGCGATCACGTCGAGGTAAAAGAAGAACGAGAGGAAGTAGTCCTCTTTTCCCAGACTCTGGGCCACGCATTCTAGAAAGAATACCGCAAGTGCCACCCCAGTAATCCAATCAAAGATAATGTCGGCCGGTTCGCTCGTGGTTGCTAGCCGCAAGTCGTCACCGAACAGGGCATAAATGGTCAGAATCATGGTAAAAGTGTTAAAAGCCGGATCGTCAACAATGTTCTTGCACAGCCTCGTGACATATCGACTACAAAAGGAGCGGCGGCCTTGTCCTCGCCACATTGACATTGCGTGAGAAGGCTGTCATGATGATGCATGATGACCATGACGATACTACACATAGCAAAAACGCCCTCGTCCGCGAAACGTCAAGAGAACCTAAGTGCAACTCCGTGTAGTTCTTGCACAAGGCAAGGCCACGACGCTCCTTTTCTTTTCATAGCAGTGCCCGACTGAGTTGACCTCCGCCGGTGTCCACCCCAGCAGCACGGAAGAGATTTTTCCGGTCTTTTGTGCCGGTGGTCCCGGCAAGCTGATGCCCCTCCACCGCCATGATTCCAGACAGCCCTTTTTTTTAGGTGAATTTCGATGAGCCACCGCCTGCTGCAAACTCGCCAGATATCGCTGCCGTCGGTACGAGGTCACGACTGTGGCTGTGACTGCAACCGCTTCATGAATTGCTCACTGTAGCTGATTGCGGAACGCGTGGCAAAGGACACTTGCCCACCACATAAACCCACAATCCACAACAAGCCCTGCCGCAGAGGGCCAGGGATCTTCTCCCGATCACGATGTGGTCATGTTGGTCATTTTGGGAGGGTGTAGGCTTGACGACATGAGAATAACGAAACCTTCACATAGATAGAGCATGAAAAGGATATCGATATCCGCGACCCACATGAAAAAACATAAATGCAAACATTCAATTTCAATTTCAATTTATTCACTTCACTTCATTGGGTGGCGGTTGGCGGTGGCCTCTTCGCATGTGGCTCACTAGACCGGGGCAGGGAACGACGCAACGCTATTTGTTCAACAGCGAGACTACAACCCTATTTGTTCAACAGAGGAGTCGAAATGAGAGGAGACTCGATCTTTCAGTCCTCGCGCGCGCAGGGACTAACTGCGCGAGGCTCTTCGTTTCAGCGCCCTTACTCCGGGGTCGCATCCGGAGTGTACTGCTTCGTGAGGTCCCAACCCAGTTGCACTATCAGAATAATCCATAGATGAATACGTGCGTGCACAGCTCGCTGAATTAGAAGATGGTCAACTACAATTCCTTCGCCTTTCGCTCACCCTCTTGTTCATATCAATTCCACTCTTCGTGTGTTTCCTTGATTCTTGGCGTGTCGTGATGAAGAGCTCCTAACAAGTTCTGGAGCCAGAACCCACGGCACCCAACGCCAACATCGCGCGGTTGCATGTCTTCTCGTATTTATTAATTTACATGTCAGCGAGACATAAAGTCCGTCTCCCATCGCATCCTTTCATTTTTTTTTTACGCGCGATGCCGATGGCTCGCTTTGTCGTGCTACGACCGTGGTTTGGCGTACAAGCATGATACCGAACACGCAATAATTTATTGACGAAACAGCAGCAGCACAAGCAAGACAATGTTGCACTCCTGCATCACCAGCAGCATCGTCATCAGGTACGGTGATTTCTTTCGCGACCCGCCAAGCGGTACATTAGCCGCACAGTTAGTTATTTGGAAACAGCGGACTGCAGCAAGGATGACGCAGTTAAGTAATCGTGATTCATCTGGGCGGTAGAGCGATTATGAATTCAGGGGGGAAAATAAACGAAACTCCTTACCTTCACTTTAGTCTGGGAACAGACACTGAAAATATGAGTCACAAGCTTGATGGGGTAGGGCTACTTACTGTCGAGTCAGTGACAGTGTCGTGCGTCCCCGCCTTTTCCAACGGACACATAATAGGAAGAGGGGATCATATTTGATTTGACAACTGATGTGTTCACGGTTACGGGCAGAAATCGAAACAATAACAAACTGTATCAAAGTGCAAAATTCGAAGTTCGAAGGAAGACCTGAAACTTCCTAGAGTACGATGAGGTGTCTTATTGATTCAGCGAGCAGTTGCTTTCGACCTTACTTACTTAGCCAGTCCGTCGCGTGTCTGCGTTTGACAAACAAGAGAAATGAGTCGAGGTAGCTTTGTTCCACTACTCTCCGCTCCTTCTTGTACTTCTTTCAGACCACCGTCAAAAAGGTAGTTGGATCTTTCCAATTTTCCCGCTCCTTTTCTGCAGCAGTTCCGGTTTCGTCATCGTCGTCTTCGTCCTGATATATAAATTTTCCGACAAGTTTGTGCCTGTGAAGGCAACAGAAAACGAGATTCCGATTCGGCACGAAAAGAAAAAAGAGGCATGCTACTGCTTACAATGGTAATTCTTCATTTCGCATGGAGGTTCGCGAGTAGATGCGGCAGGGATAGGCTTATGTTGTAACAGCTGTGCTCGTCGTCCTGTGTCCATCAGGCGAAAGTGAAAGAATGAGTACCTGTAGTTTCTCAGGACGAGCAGATGCGAGGTCGTGGCTGTCGTCCGTGTCTTGAGATTCGGCGCGACTTCCAACAGCTGCATCTTCTTCACCGTGGCTCCTGTTCGGGCAATTACAGACAAAAGCATGCGCAGCGGTGCGAGGACTCGTAGCGGTGATTTGCTGTCCCGCACCAATATCGGTGCTTTGTTGCAGAAAGGATCCGGAGCACGAGCACCCGCCTCCGGCGTCTACTGTAGAGTTCGCGCCGCCGGCGTCTCCTGCTGGAGCGTTTGATTCACCCGCCCCTGGAGAGTTCGCGCCGGCCGGCTCTTATACATAGGGAAGCTTGAGCTTCATCAACCTGAACCTCTTCGTGAAACTTATATAAATGAATCACAGTCGCAACTCTCTGTGACAAAAATCACAATTTTGTACATGCCCATGTCCCAAGTAAAAGTGTCGGTGCCGCTCTTTCTTCCTGCCTGAGAATCAGTTACTCGTCGAGGACTAGGAAGGACGGACCAGGGCGTATGTTTTCTACATAAAAGATATCAACCGTACATATACAACATAAATGAAGACTGAGACCCTGACATACTCTTTGATGGCGTACACGTCGCTCACGGAAAGTGCGCCAAGGTAATCGTATCAAAGGTGCTACGCAACGAACGAGGAAGGTTGAGTTTTCGTGTCTACTTCATAACGGCTGGAAGTCCGCCGGGGGCGACCAAGGTGTTCCGCCTTGGCCACTGCCGCTCCCGTCTTTTGACGGCAAATGAATCGAAAACTATGCAAGCCAAACCTGTTGCGGCCGTAGCGCGTTCAAATTTGATCTACAAAACGGCATAACAAACAAATGGAAATCATATCATGACGTCATAGATGCAAAACGGGGCTCGTCGCTTGCTTCTGACATTGTCATTCCACCAATTCATTATGATTATCATCGGCAAACGTTAAGATCATTGACTTAAATTCATTTTTATGAGTGGCGGAGGACGAAACTCCTATACCGTGTCAAATTCAGGTATAACATGATTCCCCGTGTGCGAAAATCGAAATGCTCGCGTGCATCAGATGAAAACGAAATTTTCGTTTTCAAAATTTTCGTTACGAAAATAAGATTTTTTATCGGCTTCATGAGGTTTGGTTCTAAGCATACAGGCAGTCCCTTCGGCTCTGGCCATTCTGTTTGTGTGGATCCATCTGACTTGAGCACCTGGACGTCCGCACAATTGCGAAACTCTTCGGGGTGTGTTTCTCCCTGGTGACACATTTGGTTCAAAGCCACTCCAGTCCACTTCATCGTTGTCCCCAGCGTTTCCTCCTTGTTCCACTCCTGCCATTCCGCGCTGCTAAAGTAGTCGACCATCTTTTGATCTGGAATGCAGGTGTTTGAGGTCTTTCAGACCCATTGCAGCGTGCAATGTTGGCACTCGAAATTACGGGGAATGTCGTAATACATGAAATGGAAACTTTGCACCTGTTGGTCATATTGCAGATCCGTTTCCGCCTGCTCATCGCTCGAAAACGTGTGCTCTCCCTTTTCCAGTGGAGGCGTGTACCACCGGCCTTCCTGGCCCGCAAGTCGGGGTTGGCAGTCCGCATCGGACTTTTTGGCACCGCAATTCCGGAGGCTCGGGTCGGACCGCCACAGTGGATTTTCGTCCAGGGCTTTTTGGGCTTCGGCGTTGGGAAGTTCGTGGTCGATCAATTTGTCGGACAGATAAAACTCGTAGAATCCATTGTGGTGAGTGCCGATGCCGATTACAATGTGATAGGCCAGACCGGCTCGAAACTGATTGGCGTGGGGACTGGACAGTGCAACAAGGGCGAAATCCACGTCCGTCAGTGCGTACCGCATGGGCTGCTGCTCAAAATCGTCCGGGTCCCACTTTTGCGACGGATCTTTCGAATTCACTTTCATCCCATCGGCACCGCACTGCTTCGAGTTCTGCCGAGGATCGCCGCAGAGCCCCACGGAGTTGTAGTCTGTGGGCAACTTGTCGTTCGCGTTAGGCCCACACTTTTGTGAAAGGAAATTCTTGATCGACATTGAATGTGTCCGAGTGGTTACGGCAACTGCAATAATTTTCACGAGTACAACACGGCAAGCGGTTCACCTGCGTGGTCTGCGATGAAGGGCCTAGCCTCGTTCGCGATTTCTAACAAGAGGAATCCATTTGCATTTGCTAGATGCATCACATAAATGAGGAGCTATTTTCCATTTTTTTGGCATTGACGAAGATGACAAGATCAAGGGCAAATCGCTTTTCTGAATGAGCTAACCAGTACGTCCCTCTTTTTGATCTTCGCCTACCTGCATCTGAGGACGCAGCCGCACGGACACACTCTGAATATTCAAGTCGATCGCGATTTCATTTCGCTTCCATAACATCTGCATCGAGGTCGGATTGTAGTTGAAAGTGCGTCCTTCTTTGTCCGGCCATCCGTTCAAGTTGAAAGACATGTCTTGGAAGCTACTGCTATCCTGTGCAAAAACATTCCCGGCGACCCATGATCACCACGCTAGTACGTGCTGCCGTGTGATGAGATCACGTTCTATGCTGTCAAGAAGTGCGACACTGTCAACATGCAAGCATGAGAGGCTTCGTGCAGTTGAAATCGCCCCCTGTCGTGAATCAGCCTCGTCTCTTCGCCTCTCTGTTTGCAAATCGAGGCTGAGGCGATTGGTTTTGGTTGCACAATGATATTATAGGCCGCATCAGGAAAGGCGGCCCTGGTGTCCGCCCTCATCTGGGACGACATTATGCCTGCACCGCTTGTGTGTCATTTGGGCAGCATGGGGACGTGTTGACACGGGATAGCTATACGGAGCACTGTATGGCAGGCTCGGAGAGAAAGGGTGCTGGTTGTACCACAAATTCCGGCTGATTGGCACGGCGAGCAAGGAGTGCGAGCTTGCGAATATTACCACCGAAGGCTGCATAAGCCATACGTGGTAAACGAAAGCAAAGTTTGCAGGTAACTGCACCATCGGTCGTTCTTTGTCACCTCCAATATTAAAAACAAGAACGATAAAATAACCGCACTCCAGTACGTAGTCTCCTGGCGAAGCACCACAGCCTCAAAAAATGTTCTTTTCGTCCGGAAGCAGCTTTACGGAATAAAAAAAGACCCAAACTCAAACCTGAAGATGAAGGGGTGCTTCACGTCACTTCGGCGGTGGCTGGCTTACTAGCTTTCTTTGACCCTAGCCAGGCGGCAACGGGGCCAGAAGCAACTAAATAATGGCGCTTGGGAAAGGCGTGCCTGAATCTCAATAACAATAGGGCACTGCGCTTCTTCTCCTGTATATAATCCTGTGTCATTGAGTAGTACTTGTACGTAGTGGTAAGAAATATACGTATCAAACCCGATAATTACTGGTGGCTTTTTTACTTTCATGCCAAAAACTGGACGAAATGAACAACGGAACTCTATTGATGACTGCGAGGACATAACAGCCGAAGGCTGGCACGATAACGATGGGACGACTTCGATTTCTTGCAATGTCCGGACGAAAGAGGCTGGAGAAGGAGAACGAAGGCCACGCAAGGCAATCAGAAACAAAAATGACAGTGGACGAAAGAAGGGGAAGAACATCGACATCGTTGTTGCAAATAGAAACTGAATGCCACTTTCTTATGGTCGTCTTGGTCAAGGAAAAGATTGCAATTGAATTTGAAGTTGAACTTCTGACCTTGGTCTCTACCGAACGTTTAGTAATATCGCTGAACTACCACAGGAGCAGCGGCAGATTTATATTTTGCAGTCTCGCGGACACGTGAGACGGGATCAGTTCCATACAGGTATAGGTAAATTAATTGCGGGATTCCTGTACGAGTACCGCTAGTGCTAGTCGCAATACGTGTTGGTTGAAGGATTCAGAAAAGTGTTTGTGTTGTAGTACGTGTAAAGCGATTTAAGATACGAGCGCTGAGTTCTTTAGTTGAAACTTGGCTTCCTGGATCTCCAACAGGAGCAGGGGGGATACAAATTACTTAATTCTGAAGCTCGATACAGCCGTAAATTCAGCTGCCGCGGATTGAGGCACAGCAATGGGGCGGACACATCACTGGCCTGATTTTTTTACATTTGTGTCTCAGTCTTGGCGAAGAACGCTTGATAGTTTTTGAATTTATTTTATTGTTTATTCAAAGAAAACGAGCAAAAGGGATAACGGTAGCGCAATACAGATGAGTTTCTTCTTTTACAATGAGAATGGCTCTACAAAGAGCACTAGCTATTCATATCGAGGAGTGTCGGATACCACAGATAATCTAGTTTAGCATGTTCAACAAAATAACCAAAGTAAGTCCTTGATATTGTTTTCAGTTGAAGTGTCGTCAAAGTCATGCCGCACAACTGGTTTATCAATCTCTATCTTCACGGATCACGGTTGATTCTGCCATCTTCTGGGTGAACCGAATGGGTCTGCTAGCTCCGTCTTGAAGATTTGATCTACGCACTAGTACCAGCAGGACGAGTACGTGAAAGATGTAGTTAGATCCACCTCGCAATAACTGCAACAAGTGCTGTTATTTGATTTTCGTGCGGTCGCTACAACTGATGTGGATCCTGGGACGCTTTACTCCTGGACATCGAACGCAGGCTTGGCTGTCGCAGCTTGGATGTGACAGGAGGATAATCAGATGACCCTTCACCAGAGCCATGTCGCCCGCGCACCGACCTCGCGGGTCCCGCGCTGGAGTGTTGCATTATAGTGGATCCGCCCGTCACGCGGGGGGGCCTTCCAAAAGCTCCTTTCGGTGGCGAAGCCCGCATCAGTGCGTTTTTACTTGTCCCACCGGTGCCCGAAGCCGCAGAGAGCTTCCGCGGCTGATCGGGTTTCGTGTTCTTAGCGGCCGTCGTGCTCAGCGCCTTGCTTTGATGCTGGCCTATTTGCGCAGCGTTGTTCAAACTCTGACTCAGGAAGTTCAAGTTGTGTTGCTGAGACGACGAGGAAGAGCTAGCATGCTGCATCGGCGGTTGAATGTTCGCCATCGGGTCAACATTCTCGTCAGTGTTGCCACGCGATCGCGGGCCAGCACTGTTCGATCGGTAGTCGCGGTCGCGGCTATTATTGCTGCCTTGGCGCGAAGAGGACTTGGGGGCCTGAGCACCACGTGCTGCCGCTTGTCCTCCGCGGTCGCGGCTGTGACTCCGGAAGTCACGATCTCGACTGCCACTCCGAGACCGCGCAAAACTTGTCTCGAGATTGAAATTGTTGTTCAAACCGGTACGGCTCGTGCTTGCCAGCGGATTCCTGTTGTGTCCCGGAAAGTAGGACGTGCCTTGCGACGAGTATCCTCCACCTGAGGCTGGCCCGGTGCCAGCAGAGGCCTGCTCGAAATGACGACCCGAAGAACTAGTTGCTGCTCCAGCCCCAGAGTTCACGTTCCTGCCATTCGGTTTCAAAACGACCGGTGGCGCACCGTGGGGGGTGTTGTGGCGAAGGTTCGAAGTTGATGCGGCGGATGAATGGTTCACACCACCACCACCACTTCTGCTATTGGCGATCGGCTCGATTGCCGGTCGTGTCCGCGCGGAAAAGCCGGCTGGCTGTAGGGCTGCCGCGCTGGGATTCTTGCTCAGAGCTTGCGGTCTCGGACCCCGGAGCCCGGTATCTATCCGCGGCGATACTTGTCGGACGAATCGAGCAGTACTGTTTGGGCCACGATTCCCGTTCCGTGGAGAGTTGGGTCGTTGAAACGAAGCGTTCAGCTGACTGCTCTGCTGGGCGGTGTTCTTCTGCTGTGCAGAGGAAGAGCCCGCCGTCCCTCGCCGTGCTGCAGGGGCAAAGTTGTTACTTCTCGACGGAGTGCTGCTCGCGTTCGCCGGTGGTCCTCCCTTCGGGGCGGAATTCACCCTACTCCCAAACGCAAAGTTCTGCTGGGTCAGATTGATGTTGGATCTGTTGGCAGTTGCGCTCCTCTTCTTCCCGCGTTCTGTGCTTTGAGGCCGGCTGGGAGCGCCGGCTGGAACGGTGCTGGCTGCTGCTTTGAAGGCAGTCGCAGCCGCAAAGGGCTGGGACGAAACTTTATCTGACGAAGGTCGCGGTGACGAGGAGAGTCTGCTTCGGGCGGAATTCGGTATCGGTTCGTTTTGTGAGGATCGACGTCCCTCTGCTGACAGCGGAGCGGTTCCGAATCCGATCAGGTCGACGAGCCCCGCTCCTCCAGAAGCAACGGGAAGCTCCGCGACCGCGGGCACCCCTTCCGCTCTGCCACTGCCGCTGTGGCGCGGCGCAGCCTGGTCTTGAAGACGTTGGTCCCTGGTGTTGCTTGGCGACACCGAGGACATTTTTCTGCTGCTAGCACCACTCCGCGCGTTCGGGCTCACGCCACGCGTCATCAGATCGCAGTGCACCGCCTGCACTTCTGGCTCTCCAGCACTTGCAGTTGGCGGAAACAATGTTGCAGCTGCTGCTTTCGGAGACGCATCCCGACCGCTAGCGCGACCCTCTTGTTGGTCAAGCTCTGGCTCATGACGAGCATTACTTGATTCAGCAGGAGCGAGAGTGTTTGCTCCAAAGCCAATTTGCTGTGCAGAACTGGACGCAGCCAAAGGCGAAGGCTGGCGGAAGCTGGACCGACCTAGTGGCACACGTGCTGGCGAAACTGCGTTGCGGAATGGCGGTTTGCTTTCCTGTCGCAGCGGCCCCGAACCTGCTCTCGCACCGGCGGATATTGAACGCGGCGCGGAAGCAGACCCTGATAGTTGAAGAGAGAAAATGATGGCAAGGAACTGCAGCCGGTGGTCGCAAGAACACACATCGTCAGAATAAAATACTATTTTCATCTGACTGTAGAGCGCATTCATTCTCATTTGAAATTGAATTTGCTACAATCCCACCCTGCACCTATCTGCTCACTAGAAGAACAACTACGACTGCACAAATTGACCGCAACTAACAACTAAGCATCGAAGTAGAGCGAGTATACAAGAGCCGGCACTTGTTCTCACGACCACGGGCAGTCATTCTATGGCAACATAAGGAAGAATGTGGACTACAAAGTCAATGTAGAAAAAAATAGCTGCCTGGTGGCAACAAGAATACGTGCGCGCTCTCCGGAGTGGCTTCTGGTTCTGGGCCGAGATGCCGCTCGATGGTTGTTTGGGATATTTTCCGCTGGGTTCAACAGGTCGTTGCTGCCACTCCGACCACGTCCGAAGGCCACGCCGGCTGCCCCGCGGGCCGTCGGCGTAGCGCCGCGCGAGTAGGTGATACGCTGGGGCGGCTGGTACGTGTCGAAGCTTCTACTACGCCCGCGCACAACCGCGCCACCGCGGTTCATGGTGCTCGAGGATGCCGGTGCCTGTGGCACGGGATGGCTGAAGTCGTTGAATTTTTTCAGCGTGCTCACTTGGTAATTTTTCGGCACCGCCAGCTCCTCCATGCGGGCGCGCTGTTCGGCGGCCGACCTCTTCCCCTTTGCCTTGGAAGACACAGCGGCTCCTGTCTTCGGGCGAGCAGTGGAAGACGTTGCCCCACCGGTGCCCACAAATGCCGGCTGATGCTCGTCGCGGCCACCTGGTTCTACCTCGAGTTCGTTCGTACGCCGGGGAAACGGAATCTCGGATGATCCAAGGAGTTCGTTTTTAATGTCGTGGACACCAGAAGACCGCAGCTTGATGTGCGCTGTGCTGCCGCTTGCTCGGCGCATGCTGGCCCCTGCTTCGCCGGCGCCGGTCGTGCCTTTACTAGCCGCTGGGGGCGGCAAAATGTCATTGTCATTCGCACTGTCGAGAGCTAGCGGGCTGCACGCGTCGACGGTGGCATTCGCCGCACCTTGCAGGGGCGAAAAGCCTTCGATCATACTGAGGTTTGGGGTTTGAATGGCCACTTGCTTGTTCTCGGTTCTTTGCTTTCGCCTCCGTACCAGAAACACTTTCAGCCAAGCCACCGTCAGGAAGAGCTGTCAGTTTCAAATAGTGAATGTTTCTTCTGAGTTAGAGATACATACAAATACGTTCAGTTTTTGGTCAGGACGACGTGGTGCTGAAAGCATGGAAACGAGGTTGTACAACGAACTTCTACTTTTTACTTAGGTTTAGTACCTGCACGCTTCTTTTCGCCTGCTGCCGCTGATGCAGGAAAGCCGCACTGCTTTGGCGTTTGCGCTGGTGAATGGCTTCCTGCTCCAGCTTCTTTGCTTCGTCCAACTGTTCCTCCCAAAGCTGCTCCTCCTCTCGCTCTCTTCGGCGGCGCTCTTCCGCAATTTTTTGCAGCTCCGAACTGTATTCCGCTCGCGCCTGTAGGGTTCCGTCCTGCTCCTTGAGGGCTGCCTGCAGATGCTCTTCCAGCTCGCGTTTTTTTCTTTCTTCGTACTGACGCTTCTGCTCCGCTGCGACTGCAAGACGCTCCGCCTCTTCCTTGGCACGGCGTTCTTCCTCTTCCCGGGCCAGCCGCTTAGCCTCCTCGCGTGCGAGACGGGCCTCCTCTTCCCGCTTCAGGCGCTCCTGTTCCTCCTGTGCACAGCGCTTCCTTTCCTCTTCGGCGCGCTGCCTTTCTTCCTCTTCGCGCCGCCTGGCCTCCTCCTGCCGCTTCCGCTCCTCAATTTTTTCCTTCTTTTCCAGCCGCACATTGCGCATGTACATCTTCAGCAGTGATATGCGAAATATCTCGTGCACGAACGTCTGGACACGTGCTCTGTGGCGCGCCGCAGTGTACAGGCGGGGCCGCAGATTCTTTGTGATGTATCGCCGGCCGTACACCGTCAGTAGCAACATCCGCCACAAGTGCCGCAACAAACGCTGGGCGGCGAGCCGAACCCTTGTGCGGCACAACCACGCGTCTAGCCCGATGGCGACCCGGACCGCCTTGTGGACCTGTTGTCGTGGTATTTTTTATTTTTTTGCCTACCGAAAGAACCGAATGCAGAGCGGATTTGGATTTCATGATTCAAAGGAGCACAAAAGACCCCACATCCGAAAAATCTTTGCGTTTCAACATCTTCTACATCTTACCCTGCATGCCAGCGTTGCAAGCCGCTTGTTCCTAAGAAATATCCTCGCGCGCCCCGCCCAGCGCATCAACCGCAGATACGTTCGCGTGACGCGTACTAGACCCATTCGGATCGCATTTTTCCGCACGTTCTTCATTATGTTTTTTAGGTGGATGCTGAACCGGATGACGTTGAGGCAACGGCGAAGCTTTTTCTTCCAGACGAGTTTGCGCAGCTTTTTCAGCACTGGTCCACTGGCCTCCGCACCGGAAGCCTTAAGCGCCTCGAGCACCGCCATGCGGCCCGCTTTGAGGAACAACCGCGTCGTGCCCAGGGTCCACTCCCGCAGCGGGACGTCAAAGGCAAGCATCAGGGACTCCACAAACATGCGTGGATCCGTGTTTTCGCTAAACTCGGGCGGCAGCAGCGGCGTGAATCGGTGGTAGAGGTCCTCAAAGGGGCACCGGTTCGGGTAGCCGTCGCGCATGACGCGCACCAGCTCGATGGTCCCCGATTGCACCATCTGCTCCAGAATGGTCTGCCCCTGCCAGTAGTTCGGCCGCTGCTCGTTGTTCGGCTTGAAGCAGCGGATGTAGTGCAGGGAACACTTGTCCAGTGTCTCCATCAACTTCTCCAAATTCGTCACGTAGCTCTTCCCGATGGTCTTCGCCGTCGGGTTGTCGGCCAGGTTGCACGCCTCCTCGTCCTGCAGCTGCTGCACCAGCGGGTTCACGCTGTCCCGGATCACCTGTTCGGGTCCCGTTTTCATGCGCGTGTTGTTTTTCTCGATCCAGCTCCGCGTCTCGTACTCCACCTCACCCGCATAGTGCCGGATGACGAAGCCGGCGTTTTGGGCCAACGCCTGCTCCCGCCCGGCGCGTTGCACCGCCTTCTTGCCGATGAAGGGAAACTGCACGTTTTTGCGCCGCTCCTTGTGGATTTTTTCGCAGAACTTCTCGTCCGTCGCGGTTTGCAGTCCCTTGTTGGCTTGCTTGTTGAAGTCGTTCAGCTCGGCCAGCACAAAGCGGACGTCGTCCAGCACCGGCTGCGCGTCGGGGAGCGGGATCGGCTTCCAGGTCAGACCCTCGCGTTCGTACATGGTCTGCTCGGCCACCAACACTTTCTCGACGAAGAACTGCTGCAGCCGCTCGTTCGCCAGGTTGATGCACAGCTGCTCCAGGGAGTTGGACTGCAGCTGCTCGAAGCCGTAGATGTCCAGAATCCCGATGTAATTCCGGTGCGCCTCGCCCTTGCTGGTGTCCTTGTATGCAAGAAAAAAACGGCGTAAGTGTAACTCTGTGATGCAGAACATGCAACAGAGTTACACCTGTCATGCCAAACGACCATGAAGTCCTCTTTTCGTGTGTGTTTTCCCTTACGACCCACGCATGACAGGTTTTCTCTGTCATGTAGAGCATACTTGTGATGCTGTCAGCCAAAGACAGTTACACTAACACAGTTTTTTTCTTGGATACCTTGACCGCACGGTTTACTTTCTCCACCATCCAGTCGAACAGCCGGCTGTAGAGGATTTTCATCAACGATTGCAGCATCCCGTTGGCCTGGTCCTTCGTGTTGTGTTTCAGGCAGATCGAGTCCTTCATGTGCCGCGCGATGGTGTTTTTGGTCGTGGTCAAGTGGTCGTACAGCGTCACGTCGTCAAACCCCGCCTGCGCGCAGGCGTAGTCGAAATGCTCCTTGTTCGCCATCTCCAGCTCGCCCTCGATGCCGTGTTCCCGGTCCTTGAACCGCACTTCGCCGAGGTGGATCAACGCGGCCAGCACGGAGAGCAGGTCGCCCTGTTCCTGGTCCTTCACGTTGACAAAATCGAGGCTCTGGATCAGCACTTTGTAGTTGTCCGCATCGTCTCGCGCCTTCGCCCGGGTTCTCAGCAAGTTGTACTCACCGTCTGGGAGCAGAAAGTAGTCTTCCAGGTTTTCCGCACCCGCGAAAAACTCGTAGAAAACGTGGTACCTAGTAGTGTCGTGTGTGTGTGCGCATTTTGGAGGGAAACATTTTTGAGTACTTTTGTAACTAAAACAGTTTTCGTTTTTATTTGAAGGACTAAAACCAGGTCCAGGCATGATCCAAAGCGACTAGAGTACACCTACAGCTCCAAGATCCGAGAAAAGCTGTAACCGAGGAGGCGCAAAGATTTGCAGCCACTGCTCACTGCATCGAAATCAAATCAACAAGGGGTACGTTCGTTCGGCTTCGGCGCTGTTCAGTACGCGGCTGGCCTCCAAGAGGTATGTACGGACCTCGGCCCCCACCAAGCTCCCGACAGCGTTGAAGCAAAGGTTATTGTATTTGCCAAACCTCGACGAGTTTCCTGTTTATCGAATTATTTCGGATTTTTTTGGAGCTGATGTGATAGTACTACCGTAGAAAGTAGAAATGCTATCTATAGCATGAGCACCAAATACAGTCCATCTCGGCCAAAAATCGAATACTACGCCTGAGTGTCTTGCAGTTGCACCTAAGCTATTTGGGAAACTACAACTAGATGGTTTGATCGTGATGACCAACAACGAAAAATCTACCATTCCTGATAGTTGTTGCGTTTCCGAATGACTCTAGCAAAGGATTCGCCGCAGAGAGAATCTTCTCTTGCAAGGAAGCTGCTTGGCTCTGTTCCGTGCGAGAGCGCTCGCCGAGAAACTTCATGACCATCTTGGCCGTCTCCGTCTTCCCGGCCCCCGACTCCCCCGATATGACCATCGCCTGGCTCTCCTTGTCGCAAAGCAGTTGTCGATAGGCAAGATCAGCCAGGGCGTAGGGATGCGGCGGTCGCTGGTGGATGTTGGTAAGGTTTTTGTATTCCAAGCGCTTCTGGTCCGTGTCAAGGTAGACAGGCTTGTAGGGATTCACTGCAAATAACACCGCCCCCGTGAATGTGTAAATTTGGTCCTCACAATACCGGACTCGCAGGTTCTCCAGGATGTTCGCTTCGTCTAAATGGGTCAGGCTTGTGCAGTCGGGCTTCCCCACCGCAACGGCGGTTCCCACCCGATTTCGGAAGCTCCCGCTGTTTGACAGTCGCAGCCCTCCGCTTGTCCCCGTTTTATTGCTGCCAACCGCAGAAGTGCTAGATCCTCCGCCGAGCAGGCTCGTGCGCCAGTTTTTGCTACCTTGCCTATTGTTCACAGCTTCCTCAGGCTTTGGCCGTGGGAACACTTGCCGGGCTGCTGCAGTCGTGCCAGTACCGAACGCATTCGTACCGGGTGTGCCAGGTCTAGTCGGCGTGCCAGGCCGCTGTCCGGTCGGCGTGCCAAGACGCGTTGGTGTGCCGGGACGGCCGAAATGATCCGCACCAGCACCGACCTGGAGACGCGCACGCTCGATACCTCGTTCGGGATCGGGCTCGCACTCGACTACAAGTGTTGGCAGGGTCTCCACAACGGTACCGGCCAGGTACCCGTGCTCGGGAGCAGAGACATAGACTGGATCTCCTACATTGAATGCGGTGGAGGACGAAGCAACATCGTCTACCACATTGTCCTGCGGCACGGGAAGGGACAAAGCAGCGCTCGGCCCCGTACTCGCATGTCCGCCTGTAGTTGTACCTCCAAAGGCGAACTGTGGCCGTGAAGGGGTAGACGTTGCCGCGCCTCCATTGATACCTGTGTTCGACATCGACGAGGATGCGCTGCTTCCACCCCTCTGAAGATTCGAGGACGAAGTGAAAGGGGCTTGGTTTTGTGGAACGGCAAAAGACCCGTTGCGAGGACCTCCTCCTAACCACGACATTTTTGCCTAGTTGCAGATGATTTTGATTACTCAGAAAACATTATCGAAATTTGCATTTTTACTTTCCCGTATTGATGTTTGACTTCTTTGATATGATACGATAAAGTAAAGAGACACGAGCAGCGATGAAAGAGTTAGAGTTCGCAATTAGAATTCCAGCACACAAAAAGGAACCCTTGAGTCTTCTTCTATTTCGCATTGGTTTTGGATTTCATTTGGTGTAAGAGGGAGAGCATAAAGAAAAAATTGGTATGTGCGACTTTTCATGCACTTGCACAATTTATTTATTTTTCTTTAAATCTTTTGGTGCACACCAGTGCGGCGGATCGATTTCATCAACATCAAGAACGAGACACCACACCACCGACGACGAGTAACTACGGAAATAGTTGTGCGGTTTTCTATTTTGATATTGCGCACAGGTGGCGTTGCTCTCACGACGATCACCGTGTCGACTAACTCTATTTTTTTGGTAACGAGACGAGGGCGTTGATTTTCATAGCAACCGGAACCACTGCAACAACTTGTAGTTGGCATCACATCTTAATTAGCATTCCTCCTCCTTCTGCAGCGGGAGCAAGACTATGGTAAGGGGCCATCCTACTTGCCGAAAGATACATTCAACATCGATGTTCGACAGTCATCACATCTCTTTCTGTATCCGAATTTCGATGAGACTGAGACTACTTCGATTGTTCGGTTTGTTTTCTTGTGGTCTCGCAGGAATTTTTGCACAAAAACGAACGATCGATGTTTTCGACGAACACATTGAAGTAGTCGCGGTTCAAACGACCGTGCATCAATTTAGAAGCGAGGTCGACAATAAATCTCCCTCGGCATTTGCTTCTACCTTCTTCTATGGAAGTGGGTTTCAACTTGTTGTGGTTTAGCGAGCATTGTGAAGTCACATTTAAATTTATTCACATGAAAGCTTTCTTTCTCTAGATACAGCATAGGCTGCACTTTAGATACCGGAGATTGAGATTTCACGTCTCTCGTTTTTTGAATTGTGTAATGCTAAGTCTATCGATCATCTAGTTTGATCTTTAGAAGCCGGCATCTTGGAAGAAGAAACTAATGAAGTTACTTCCCGTGCGAGTTTTTTGCAGCTTCTGTTCGTGTTCCCGCCCTTCTTGGCGTCCTCCTCGTATTGCTTTCACACTACAGAGGTAAGAAAAAAAGACTCTTGTTTTTTCGAGGCAGCAGTAGTTTTCGGTAAATTCTTTCTCGGTGTGAAATTTTCGTGTGATTCTCAGTGGTGACAGTAGTTTTCGGCTCAAAATTCTTTCTCGGTGTGAAATTTTCGTGCGATTCTCAGTGGTGACTGAGATCGTGTGAGTTTTATACAACTTGAAGAATAGAGGCATGCAAATTTCAATTGCTTTTTGCTTCTTGAGCTTCACCGTGTCCTTTACACAATTACGACGTATTTTCTGCACCGTCGGATAGGGATCCATTGCTGTCGTGGCTGCTCTCCTCAAAATCGTTCCACACGTTGTCTTCATCGGTATTGTTCTTGTCAGCTTCCCAGAATTCGTCCCCCTCGTATTTTTCCTTAGCGCGTTTCGCGTCGATCTTCCTCAGGTGCTTCAACAGCCGCTTTTCATCCTCCTTCTGGGCAAGCTGCGACCGAGGGCGCGAGTCGTACAGCGACTCTTGCTCTTCAGTAAGCAATGAAACTATCATGGAGAAAACTTCGCCGGTCAAAAATCATCAATGCAAGTTTCAGTTTCTTGTTTGTTTGGGAACGACTCTGATGAATAAATTAGCAGAACGAATACGAGTAGAACGCCTATACTTTTTGATTTTTCTCTGGTGTTGTGGGCTTCTACGTACAAAATGCCCTCGCTGACGAGATGCGTGTGTGTATATTTTTCTTGCGTGGAGAAGCCTCACAGATGAAGCGATAATTCACATAAACCTTTGATGGCTTTGTTGACTTGAGTGAAGCTTTTCCCTCTGCCGGCATAAAGGCCAGAGATTGCTGTTTTCGAAACCTCTGGCTATTCTTTCGAAACTCCGCCTTGAATTTTTCAACCCCTTTGGGCCGGCCGGCCATCAATGCTTTATCAATATCGTCCGCGTCGGCAACGAGTCCGTGTGGAGTGGCCTGGCTTGGAGTGACACTTGATGCGCCGTAGTCATCATCTTCTGGTGCGTTAATGGACGAGGATGAAGTGGATGCTGACCTGTGGTGAAGATGAGTGGACGAGTTGGCGTTGACACAAAAATTGCTAATAGCAATTTTTGAAAATGCAAATTCAACCACCATGACCATTGATTCAATTTCAGGAGACAAAAGCTGACGAGTTCTTGCATCATGTAAATGAAATATACCCAGAATGGTCATGTGAATTCTCGATGTTTTCGGGCTTCTCCTGCTTCTTCTGCTTGTTGTTCACGAAAAACTGGAAGGAGCTTGCCATCGACGGAGAAGCTGCTACTTTTGTTCCAGGGGCGTTTTTCCGTTTGCCAGGCGGCGTTTTATTGTCCGTTCCAGCGGCATGTAGTGCCGAGCTGGAGCTGCTGGAAGAGGACGGTGCTGTACCCCCGCTGCCGTTCTTGCGTGGTGGCCGCCCAGCAGGTGGCTTCATCTTGTTGCTTGGCGGCCCCAGGAACGCCGCAAAGAAATCCTCTTTTGGCTTGGTTTGCAGCAAAGCTTTTTGCACCGCTGCGTCGCGCTTCGGACCGGGTTTCTCCGGAATGTCCACGCCGCCAAGTCTTCGAATCGGGGAGCTCGTTACATCCGCCGCTTTGATGCTTTCTTTCTGAGAAATAAGCTGTTGCGGCTTCTTATTTATCGCTGGCAAACTAATCTGCAACGACGACTGTGAAACAGCGGCTGGCGCTGCATCAGCTGCAGTAGCTTTATTGGCCTCCTGTAGGTGTTGCAGCTTCGGCTTTGCTGCCGTGCCAGCAGCCAAGGCTAGGGCTTCTTGATCTTTCTTCTCGGACACCATGGCCGACACAGGTGGAGCAGCACATTCCTCGCGTGGTCGACCATCGCTGACGCCGGTGCCGATGGCAAGGGGCTTGGCATCTTTAACTTCCCCCGGTTTGCTTTCATCCCTGACCCTGCTTTCCCTCGGTGATTGTAAGGAAGCTGAGGGCGCCGGTACTGGTGCGGTGGGCAGCTTGGGCTGCACCTTCTGCTCCTCCTTCGCATCGCCCCGCGCCATCAAGGCGTTTCTTGCGTTGGACCGCCCCCTCGTTCCTCTTGCCCTTGCCGGGGACCTCTTGTTTCCCCGAGCCTTCACCTCCCATTTTTCCTTTGCGGCCCACCTCGCTCGGCATTCTGCTATGGGGCGACCGACGTCCTGACTAACCCGCTCCCAGTAAGCCACGTCTGCTAGGTTGTGCCGGCGCGCCGCTTCGGCTAGCTTCTTCTCGTCTGCCTTCGACCAGTCTTGCGGGGCCGCGGATTGCGAGGTGGACGACGAGATTCCGTTCCCTGCGTCGCCTGCAGCTTCCTTAATATCCGCGTTTTGATGGCTTGCCGCGATCGCGAGCGCTGCTTTCGACTTGTCTCCCGCTGGTGGAGCCGCAGCCTTTTTAGGTCTACCTCTACCCCTACCTTTTTTCGCCCCAGCCGGGCTGGCGGGCTTGTGGTCCTCTTGTAGTTCTCCATTCTGCAGCAGCGTGCGTCCCATGCCGCTGGGCTGCTCCTTTGCGTTCTTAGATGTGTCTGGAACTCGATCCTTGTCCTCGCGGTCACTATCGCCGCGCACTGCTTTCCCACTTCCGCCCGTGAAGGCCGAAGCTTGTTGCTGGTGATCGGGGTGCGGTGCCCACCTCTTCTCTTCTACTTGCCTCGACACAGCCCCATTGCCGCTCTGTCCAAACACAATCGCGGCAGCTTGTTCATTTTCATCTTTCAAGTTGGTTGCGCCGATTGCTTCAGCTATGTTATCAGGAACATCTCCTGGCTCGATACCGGCACGGCGGAGCTGCTCTCTGAGGAGGTTGTTTTCTTCGAAAAAGGCCTGTCCTTCCGCCCAGATACGGTTGATTTCTACGTTTGCCTTCGCCACGTTGCCGTTTGCCTGGTCTATCGCGCTGCGCATTCTCGCCATCCCTCTTCTCGCCTCACTCTCTGCGGCTTTGCGGGTTTCGTTCGCAATACTTGCTTGCTTCTCCATGAGTGCCTTCCAATGCTTGTCCAACTTTTCTTTCTGCTCTGCCTTTTCGCGCAGCAGCGCCGCTCTTTCCTTGTCCCACAGTTTCTGTGCAGCATCAAGTTTTCCCTTTTGGTGAAGGAGAACCTCGTCCAAGCGATCTTTTGCTTTTCTCTTGCAAGTTTCGAAGACATGCGACCACTTCTCCTTGAGATCCTTGAAGCTATCGCCCTTCGCCGTCTTCGCGGCTGCCTCCGCAACCTCCACCGACGCCTTCAGCTCGTCCACCTTAGTTCGCAGCTCGATATTGTCCGCTCGCCACGCGGCTACCTCGTCGGCGTGGTCTTGCTCCGCTTCCGCTTGCTCCCGCAGGCGCGATAACTGTGCTTGCAGCAGCTTCTGCTTTCCCAGTGCCAATCTCTGGTCAAGTTCCGCAAGGTCCCTCCTCATCCGCTCCTCCGTAGGATTGTGACCGCGGTGCATGGAATTGGAAGTATTTTTATTCCCGCCGAACATCAACGCAGTACGAGGACCAAGAGCTGCACCAGCCGCAGTGGAAAACTGCATCAAGGTGTTCTGCTGAATACTAGCACCTGCTTGCACCAGCCCCGAAGCCATGGCGGTGGCCTCGGCTAATCTGACCGCTAGCGGTTTGATTTCAAAACGCACCGTGTACCCGAGTTTCAGTTGCACGATGCGTTCGGCCTCCAGGATATCAAATGTAAAAATGTCTGGGTCTGGAAAAGTGTAGACTTGTCATGCAGAATTTCCATGACCCATGAGGTCTGGAGTGCGGCACTTAGCATGACAGACTCTACGAGGTCTCTGCCATGCCTATCCTGCATGAGAAAGTCCCTTCCAACTTGGTCAAAAGTATACCGCTTTTGGCACTCATGCAACACAGATTTTTGCATGCTTCAGATTTACCATGACAAGTTGCAATCGTCCAGACCCAGACATTTTTGCAATTCATACAGGAGCAGCTGTGGCAATTCCTCGGCCATGGAATCCAGAAAGCTTGAGTATGACACCCTCAGAATGGAAATCCTCAAAGTGGAAATAATTTGTGATGCATGAAATGCGACACCAAAAAGACTGTATTGCAGAGAACGCAATGGAGGCCGACTACTGTGCTTCTACGGGTTCAGAATTGGGCTGCTGATTAGCACGGGAGAAGGGCACCCCTTTGCCTAACTAGCATGACAAACACGTTTTGAGTGCCCGGGAAATTTGTCATGCGCCGACTATAAATGCTGCTCGAACTGGCGTCGTTTTTTTGCATTACAAATTATTTTCACTTTGAGGATTTCCAACCTGAGGCTTTCATATTGACGTCTGGTTATGGTAAACCAGCATGCCGTCGAAACACAGCGCGGAAACTTGGTATTTCCCATTGGTCGCCGCAATGACGCGCTCCAACTCGAAGAGCACTGCGTCCTCCAGCTCGCCGATCACGTAGGACAGGAGGGTTCGCTTCGGGTGTTGTCGACCCGAAAACAGTTGCAGCAGATCCGGCCGCGAGCGCGCCACGACCTCCATGCAGACATTCGCTTCCTGCTCAAACCGCCGCACGAAGCCGTGGTTCCCGGGAACAGCGCTGCCGCAATGCTGCTTCCAGGCGTCTATCCCGCCTCCGTAGAGAAGCCGCAACAACAATTCCTTAGCGTCCTCGCGCGTGACGTTGTAGTAATTTTGGATCCGCTTCAGGCAATTCTCGCGGCCGTTAGTCGTGTACAAACGAATCATCGCCAGGGGATCTGACAAAAGTACGCGGAGACAGTAAATTTTGTTGGTTTTCTCGCACTTTTTCTAAAATTTCGGTTGCACGGATGAACTTGCGCTAACTACGCGTAGCTGTACTTTGTTGAACTTGATAATGCTGTTGATCATGAAAGTGTATTGTAGAAGATAGAGGCACGACAACCACATTGATTTATCAAGATCAACATTACAATACCTGCACCCCCGTCAGGCAAGCCGTGACCCTCGCGAAATGCGACTGGTTGTTCCTTGACAACTTGTGCGAGATTTTCCGCAAAGGCAGGCTTATCAAGCAGCTGCACCAAGAGGGTTGGGTAGCAATTCTGCAGGTCGACATCTGTTGCGAGGTGTCCGCAGGCCGCGGCGCGGACAAGCTTGGAAACGTGTTGCAGCGAATACTTGTGATCGGCGTAGCGACGCCCCATTCCCTTCGGGCGGTGGTAGCTCATTGGAATTCGACCTTCATGTCGGAGCGCTACCGCTAGCAACTCCTCTGCTTGTGCGAGATACTTGCGGCTTGCGGGGTCCGTTCGAGGGGCGAACTGTAGTTCCCGAACGAAGTACCCGAGAGTGTGCACATCAACAACTTCGGTGTAACACGTGTGCTCCGCTGGGATTGGTCTGTAGTCTGGGTGCACGCCGGGTTCTGGGGAATCTTCCTCCTGGCCGAATGATGAAGATTTCATTCCTCCTCGGCCTGGACCTGAAATCAAGTTCATGTTCTTGGCAGCTTCTGGTCCCTTGTTTTCATCCTTTTCTGAGGCCGCCGCACTGGACGATGGCGATGACGTTTTCGTTTTCCTGCGCTTCGCTAGCGGCTCTCCTACTCCAGCTTCATTCTCCTGGTCCTCCTGGCTGCTCTGCAGCAGCACGCTCAGATTTGGGCTTCTGTTCGCTGCTGCTGCTTCTTCTTCGCTGCGATGGTAGGGCGCGTGTAGTATCAACTCAAGTTCGCGACTGAAACTGCTTTCACGTCGCAGCTCATCTCGGTGTAGGGTTTCGAGCGGAGAGGCCGGTCGACTTTCCAGGGCAAAGCTCGCCTTCGCGACATCACCATTTTCGTCCCTGCTGTCGTCAGGCTCTTCCACACTGTGTTCGACACTGAAGGCAAGGTCGCTAAAACTGAGGGCCGGTATTCGCAAGCACTCAGGTAGCGGTCGTACCCGTAGAGGTTTCTGACGTCGAACCACGCCGGGATCGCCAGGGAGATTTCCTGGGTCATCTTCGAACTGCTCGTCGTGCTCGCTGTTTTCAACATCGTCTTCTGCGCTTGGTTGTGGCGCGTGGTCTGCTGTGCCAGCGTCGCCGGCAAAAGTGCTGTCGGTTTTTTTCTGATCTTGTGCTAAGAGCAGGCGGACTTCTGGGTTGTTGTCAAATGACTCCGAGGCACGTAAAAGATACGCCGTGGAAAAATGTTGCGGGGGTGCAACAGCCTCTTTTTGCAGCGGACCGGGCCCGCCTCTGGCGGAGTAGAGTTCTTCTTCCTTTCTTGCGTTGTTAGAGTACCCTCGCGGCATATGGTGCTCCATAGATTCCTCATTCTCGTGTTTCGCCATTCCTGAGCCATCTTGCCTAACATGATCGTCGCCGGAAACTACAGAAAATTGTGAGTCCGGTGAAATCGGATCTACAGCTACAATACGGGCGTTTGCGGGGAGCTTCATCAAACGCGGACGCTTTCGCTCCGGAGACGTCTCGGTCTCTTCTGCATCTACTTCTTCAGCAAGCGCTCCTATGATGCTGGCCCCATCCAGGAGGTCCGTCATTTCGGAGAGTTCAACCATTCCGGACAATTCAACTGGAGGCTCCTCTCTGCTGATATCGACCTGACCAACGGCCGAAGAACGCGAAACGAGATCGTGCCGGCGCTGATCGTTGTTCCCCATGCGCGCGGGGGCGTCAAAAATACCGTGATGGGAGCCTTGCAGCTGCCGCCGGCTCTCATTGTCTACTTCCCGAACACCCCCTCGAGCATCATCATGATTGTGTCTTCTCTTCTCGCTGGCCTGGACAGGTAGTGGCTCCAACTCCACCATCTTCTCCAACTTATTGCCACCTAGCAGGGCGTCGTCTGTATCCGTCGTCTTTCGTGGTCTCGATGTTTCGTCAGGGACGACCTCGCGGTCGTCGTGACCGACTTCGACTTGGTCCGTATGAGGATGATCGTCCTCAGGAGCGACATGTTCCACTTGCGCATCTTCTTCTTCTCGTACTATCACAGATGTGTTGATATCGTATGGCACTTCTCGTCCCTGCTGTGGCGTCGCTTGCTTCCCGTTTCCACTTGCCGGTGGTGAGACAGAAGTGGAACGCCGGCGCCCCTTCAGCATGTCAAACACATCTTCTTGAGAGGAGTGGATTTGGTAACCAAGCACCTTCTGCCTCTCCATGATTGTACTGGAAAACATCTCGAGGAAGCTGTTCCGCTTCGGGGAGGAAGTGAATTTGCTTTGCTGCTGGTGGGCCCCGCTTGAAACGGACCGCGACAACGCTGGCTCGCTACGCTGCTTAAGGCGCGCTCGATTTGGGCTCGGAATGTTCGCCATGCTCATCTTGGAATTCCTCGGGGGAGAATTGGTATGCGACCGGCCGATCGTCCACCCTTTGGATAGTACTTGTCTTCCTAGAAGCAAAGGGGCAAGGGCGGGGGCCGGTGCATACTGCGAATCATCTTTATTTTCCTCACGACTTCTTGCTGATAGTGATACAGCGTCCATGTACTGGCTGCTCCTGCTTGCAGAAGCAAGCGACCGCTGCGAGGAGAATACGTCTGCGCCGACGCCGCCCAATGCTGCAGCAGCGTCGCTCCTGGGACACTGGGCGGCAGTCCAGGTTCCGTAGTTGCTCTTCTGCCTCGCTGACGCCTGCGCAGTATTTTCGCGTGTCCGCAGGTGGTGGAAAGCAGCTAGCGCAGGAGTAGGAGAGCCAATCGGACTGGGTCGCAGGCCTACGTTTATATTTTGTTGTAACACTTCTGGAATGAAAAAGCTTCTGGCGCCGCCAGCAGCTGCACCACCTTGCCCGTGAGAATCTTGTACATAATTCCCTGCGTTTCCGCTTGCGCCATTGTGATGGTCTTTGTCGAGGGGGAAGCGTTGCAGTCCACTCTCGTCCGAATTGGAAAAGCGGGCGTTCATGCGCTCCAGAAGCGGTAGCGAGGACTCGTGGTCACCGGCAATGCTACTCGGCTCGTCGCTTTGCGTTTGTTTTATGAAAGCGGTATCAAGTTGCTGTCCAGCACACTGAGATGATGAGGCGGACGAAGACGGTGCAGTACCGACCTGAAAATTTTCCATCCTTGCGACGAGTGAGAGGGACGACAGCCCATCTGTAGCGGACTGAACTTGATGCTCATCAAAAGCATCAGTGTTGTCCTCCGCTACCGGTTCGGGTAGTAGAGGCGGCCCGGCGAGCTCGAGGTCTTCCTCCAACGGAAATTCGCGCAGCAGTTCCGAATCCAGAATCCACTCTTCCCGGAATAGGCATACAACGGTGCGATCAGTCAGGGCATAGTTCGCAGAGGCAGGAAACATGCGACGAACATCCATTCTGCGCTTACCGAAGCCGGACCAGGGAATAGCTTCCGGAGGCTGCGGGAAATAACCGCGGCATAGCCCGCGCGAGGCAGCGTTTGCGGCAACGTTTGCATCGAACCGAGCGAGCAGGTCGCGCGACTCAACAGGTAGGTAGTCCTGCCCTGGGATCTGGTAGGTGATTGCCTGCTCTGCCTCGCCCTGTTGCCGTAGACGTCGCCAGAAAAGTAGTTGGCGGAAGTTTCTGGGGAACCCGTCACACTTCTGAAAGCCCACCTTCACGAAGTCGGGTATGTGTGGATGGGAAAACGACTCAAAATTGAACGTGTTGTACTGGACCGCAAGCAGTTTTCCATCGCGAAGCGCAAGCCGGTCGGGTCCCACCGCATGCACGATTGGAGCAGACAAATGGCGGCCTTGTTGGCACTCGACCGCGTCGCGCCCCTGAACTCGCAGCGTCAGCCCTGTCTCGGACACGGGCAGGTGGTGTTCCCGCCAAAAGGCCTCTTGCTTTTCGAAAGGAAACATTTCGATGAACCGATCGAAAGGCACCTGCTCGCGAAACTGCCACACCGACCGAGTCCGCACTTCGTCCAGAAGAACGGGCCCCCAGTCGTCATACTTCAACTTTGCTGCCGCCGGTGCAACGGTTTTCTCTTGCTGTGCGAGGAGTTCGGCACAAAACTTACAGATCGGCTCGCCAAAATCATTTGTCGGGCGAGGACCCGATCCACAACAATTGGCATTGCAGATCATTGCACGGCAACTACCGCACTGTCGCAGCGAACCTGGAGTATTGTAGAGGTTTCGTTTGACAAGCGCTACGAACACAATCACAAAGACAAAAATGACATAACAGAAAAATAAGTGATAAAAAGTGTTTCAACTCAACATAGATAGTACCCGAATCACAAGAATCGTCGCCTGCGGGGAAGCGCCTGCATTCGACACAGACCGGCAGCAGGGGGTCCCATCCGGCGCACATATCGCAGCGGTAGCCGTGCTGTTCGATCTCCCTCAGTATAGCCTTGTTTTCGATGCCCAATGCCCTCCAGTCCGGATCGCTAAAAATTGGCGGCCAAAAGCACTGGCGGCACGTAAAGCTGCCGCACTCCTGGCACTGCACATGGTATGCCTCTTCGCGCCGTTGATCAGCCGTGAAGACCAGGGAGGCTATATTCATGTTTGCGCAGTATTGGCAATCGTCCAAACCAAGCTCCTTGCTTCTTTCACAAACAGCAGCCGCACGATTATTCTTCCCGCGCGTGGCCCGGCGGCCCGTACAGGAGCTTGGATGACTCGGGTGACGTCCATGGGCGGGGCCGCTAGCACAACTAGAGAGACCGCTCCTTTCGACATCGTCCAGAGAACAGAGCGACCCGTCGCTTCTGACACTGCCACTCGGGCTCCCGGGCACGGCAGTGTTTTGTTGGTAGGGGAGCGGGTGGGCGGACTCGTTACGCGGCCATCGATCAGTGCTACTAGAATCCTGCATGAAAGAACCATGCAGCGGCCGCCGGTCTTGCTCCACTACGACCTCCACCTGACCCAGTGCAGGCGCAGGCTGTGCAGGTTGAGAAATAACTCTCTGGCGTTCTACTTGTTCTACTCTATGATCAGCAATGCCTCCTCCGGTACCGGTTCCGTACTGTGAACGTGAATAATCGCTACCTGCTCCTCTTTGGTGCGCAAAATCAGATTGAGATTGCCCACGTCCGGGTCGTCCACGGTCTCCGTGGGAAGTTAGCGGAGGTGGAGTTCGCGGAAGGTCGGGAAGACGAACATCTGGCAGTGTTGCAGCTCCCCCAGGAGGACCTCGCTCCCCGCGGCTTCGTCGTCGTGCTGTCACTGGAATTTCGTGTCCGCATTCTACACTTGCCGTGCCTGTTCGTTGTTCTCGTTGCAGAGACGAGTGCAAGAACACGTCAGTTTCATTGAAGCCGCGCTGTGGCGCTACAACCGCTGAGGAAAATTGCTGAGGATCTGGATGGGCGCCCCGATTTGGAAAAATGGTCGGCGTCATCTGCTGCAGTACCGGAGAGGACGACGAGGACGAGGACGCGGATGACGTGGCGCCAGCCACTCCACAGGCTATCCAACTAGCGCCACGATGTGTCGCTTGCGGAATGGGATAAGTTTGCATGTTATTGTATGCGTATGCCATTTATTTGATTTTCTTTTTCGTCCGCGGCGCAGGCGCAGCGACAGCTGCAGTCGCCTGCTCCTTTGCGCGCAAAAACAAAACTTCAAGCTTGCTCTGTTTCGCTGGTGGAGCATGTATCGCTGGTTTCCACCATGTTGAAGATCTGAAGTGAACTACAGCACCGCAAACACTATGATCAGCTTCCCGATGAATCGAAAATACTCGCCTCTTAAGTTAGGATGTACTCGATCAATGTGTTGGCGGAAAAAATCATGAGTTGCAGTAGCAATTGGTCAGCACGTGCTAATCCTATACTAACATGTACATGGAGATGAATCAGGCTCACTACAAAAATAATCACTATCATTCAACTGTGGTTAGTGTTCATTATTACAGCCTGCAACTGAAGAAAGTAAGAGTATCCGCTTCAAGATAACCGTTGAGTGCACTTTTGTCCTACTTGTGCTTGCAATCCTCCTCCATCTTCTTCGTCATCCACCATGGTTTTTCACTACTACATGTTCTGCTCGATTTGGTGACCGGTTCTCATTCGTAGTGACTCTCGTTGGATGTCTCCTCATGCTCAACGTCATCCCCTTCTTGCAGCAGCAAAAATAAATAACACAAACAAAAAGACGTTGAACTTTTCTGTTTTATTAATAAGAGGAATATAGTGAACTATCAATATGCTGGGGGAAGGGGACGACATTTTTCTTACATTCAGGCACGATACGGAGACAGAATTAATGTAAAATACTCTGTCACTTTAAGGGAACAAGCATGTCGTGTCTGTGTGAGAGCGTAATATTGTAACTACGGGGCTCCGGTTCCTATCGGCGGACGGACATTGAAAACTTGCGCGAAAAAGACCACCTAGAGAACAACGAGTTTAAAACCCGGGATCCGTTTCATAGCAACGCAAATACTAGGCATAGCCCTTTTCGCGATGCGCATAGTGTTTCCTTTGAAAAGATGATATATAATATCATCTTGCTTCTGCTTGTGCTTTTAGCGCATTCGATTATCTTTTCCACATTTGGAATTGGATCAGGATCAGAGGACTCCTCCAGCTCTTTGTTCTTGTTAAAATGTGTTTATTACTCGGCATTGAAGAGTCCTTAACCAAACCGGAACCTTCGTTTCCCAATCAAACAGTGCAAGCATCGATCTCCTCCTACGCATCAGCCGTGGAGGACTATAACAGGCCTCTCGTCCTCTTTCATCAAGCGAGCGCAACTTTTTGTCACGGCGAGTCAAACACTCGCTGTGACGCGGAGACCGGCGGATCCCTACGCCCGGATATCCTGTCATGGTCCGTGCGACGGCTGGTCGTGCCGCGTCGGCTGGCTGAGCCTGCGTTGTCGACATCGAACGGATCCTGTGTACTGAAGAGGCGCACTTTTCCGCAAGACAGTAAGTCGTCCTCAGGGTGTTGGTGCCCCGCAGCAACGCCCCCGCCAGAGGAGCCGATGACTTCGCTGCTGCCCCCGGCGTGCTGCGGCAACCGGCTCGCTGCTCCTGCACGCACGACCGACCGCTGCTGGTGTTGCTGCTGACCCCCGCCACGAACCGCGGAAACCGATTCGAAAATTTTCCCGGCACTGTTCTGCTGCTGATCGCGTCGCCGGGCGCTCCAGTTCGTGCTGTTCATCATCGTGCCCCCCCGAGCGGCGATTCCGCCAGCCACACTGGGGCTCAAGTGCAGCAGCGACAAACGCCTTTGGTCAGCTGGACTGGGTCGCGCCGGGGGGCTTTGCGCCGACGCGGCGGCCATCTCGTCGTACACGGCGAAGTCCGCGCGGGTGACCTGAGTCACGTTCTGAACGGGCACGTTGGGGTTCGGCCGTCGCCTTTCGCGGCTGCCGCTGTTGTCCCGCCGAAGCACGGCAGGCAGCGGCTCGGAGTTCATCTCTCCAGGATGGCGCGGGTTGCTGTTGGACCGGAACAGCGGAATTTGCGGGCGGTTTCCAAACAGCATCCCGCCCCCGGCGCCCGCCCGTGGGTGTCGCGGCGAGAGACCACTGATGATCCGCCCGTTGTTGTTCACCACGACCGGCGGGCCAGCACCACTCGCGGAGCTACTGCTGCTACCACCTCCCGTGCCTGCTGTTACAGCGCTCTGATTCATGACCAGGCCCCCGCCGCCGCCACTCGTCGATATGTGGTGCAACAGTTCTGCGGAGTGCTCCAGGGGAACCGCGTTCTCGTCGGAAGCCGGCCGCTGAGGAATTTCCATGGAAACATCACGGCGCCCACCGAAAACCGCGGAGTTGTTCAAACTCATGGACGGTGAAGCGCCCCGAGACGGTAGTGGCTTGCTGTGAGATCCGGGTGGTCGCTTCTGCCCGCTTGAGGGACTGCGCTGGCGGAGCATGCGGTCCTGTAGGCTCTTTTTCAGCGGCCCGGTGAGCTCTTGTTCGCGCTTTTGCGACAACTTCGAATCGAAGGAATGGTGCGGCCGCAAGATTTTCTTTCCCGAGCCCGACGAGCGGGCGCTTACCGCGGACCTTCTCGCATCCGCCTGACCACTCTTGCGCCCGTCCGCGATGGAAGATTCTCTGCTGCCCGCAGCACCGCCAGCACCCTGGCTGGTTTTTGCCTCGGATTTCTTTGAGTGAAAATGAAGCGCCGGCTGTGATTTTGATACGTCGGGAAGGCTTGTTGAGGCCCCGATGATGGAAGAATGTGCTTTTAGCTGTCGTGGCCGCTTTGCCTTCGGCGCCAAATCCTGAATTTTCCCTGTCGTGTCGTCGAAGAGCGCGCCAACGTCCCTCATGGCGCGCTTGGTCGCGAAGGTGAGCTCCTCCTCGTTTAGCGCCACACCGTGGGCAGCGGCGCCTGAGCGGCCGCGGCCAAACAAGCCGGTGTTGTTCTCGCCGCCGCCCTCGAGAATCCGACGCACTTCCCGAGTCATGTTGCCGGCGTTGGTCATTTCCGGTTCGATGCTGACATGTGGGCGATCGCGGTGCTCGGAAAATGGCAATGGTTGAACATCATGATCGGCATTCATCACGTTGTCGCGTTTGATGTCATTCCTGCCCGCACTGGTAGTGCCTTGTTGCGCGCTTGATGAAAATTGCGGTTCTGACGCACCTTTTCTTGTCGAGTGATGCTGCTCAACATCAACTCCCCCTGTATGTGTATCGCTTAGCAGGCGACCGGCGCCGAGTGGAAGCGGCAGGATTTTTGCAGCACCGTCGCTAGTCTCTTTCTTGCGCCACGCATCCCAGAATTTTTCTGCCCGCATTTCCTCTATCGATATTCCGGACGGCAGAAAGCCGAAAACGAAATTGCTTTTCTTTCGGCTGTCGTGATGCGACTCCATCGCTGGGAGGGGTCCGGAGGTCGGATCTTGTTCCAGGATCAACGTGACTTCGTGGCTCAGGTCGTTCTTACTCTGCATTTTTAGCATGTCACTCTTCTCGTTTCCCCTGTTATCCACCCGCCCTCCACCAGGAACCAGCTGATCATTGCATCGCTGTAGTCGGTGACCATATGTAGCTGCTGGGGGACCGCCCGGACCTTCGCTTTCGTGCCTTAGCACTTGCATTTCACCGAAGTGCACCCTCGAGCTCGAACTACTGGAGGGTTTAACTGGCTGATCGCTAGCGCCAGGCGTGGTGGTTGCTCCCGGTACTGCCATCGCGGCGCAAGCGGGCTGAGAGTCTTCCATCTTTTCCTCGGCCACGTCTAGCACCCGCCCGAACGCACGCTTCTTGGTTTTCGGACCCGATGGACAAGTCACAGAAGTAGCTGCCGTAGATGGTGCAACAGCTGTAACATGAGGGCGCTCATCTTCCTTTTGCAACGCCTCTGAGTATTCCTGGAACTCATCGTCGCAAAACAATTCAAAGGAACTGCTTGCAGTGGTTGTTTTTTTGTTCGGTATGATGTTCCTGTAACCTGACGATGACGTCGACGAAGCGGGCGCGGCCGGAATCGCCTTCATTCCGTCCCAGTTCACAGCCTTCTTGACGTTTTCGGACCGGAAAGCTGGCGCTGCTTCTAGCGATGTGGGAAATGGCAATTGACTCCACTCGGACTCCTATGGTATATGTTGTATTAGAATTTGCATTTTGAACTCAAGCAGCTGCACATGGACAAGCACATGAAGTCACCAGATACGTATGTGCATTGTTTTCTACTTTTTCTACGGCAACGGCACGTAAGCACACAACTGATATGAAAATGCAGCAAATGCAAAATTCTGTACAAAGTCAAATATGTTCTGTCGCTGTGCCCCAGCAAGTTCGTCCCTCGGCGACAGGACGGTCCAATTGCGAGCCGTGGCGAACGCGCTGGCAGAAGCGGGTGGTATTGAAGACGAGGTCTGACCAGGAACGGAAGACCCGGAGCATGACGTTGCCTGTCCCCAGCGGTCGTTGCCAACCGGTTGCGGCTGCGATGACGACATCATTTGGCCGAGCAAACCGCCGACGACCGGACGTCGCACCATCGATTTTGCGTCCTTCCCACTCAGTGGGTTGAAGGCCTGACGACTGCTGGAGGAACTGGCCTGCTGGTGCTGCGGCATCTGCTCCATTTGTTCAGGTGGCACATCATCGCTCTCGTTCTGGTCCTTCAGATCGCGCTTCACCCGCTCCACCATGCGCACCTGGAATCGGTCGTAGTCCTCCTGCAGCTTCACGAAAGGCTCGGCCTTCCGCGCGAGACCCATCTTGTAAACGTCTTCGGTATCCTCGAACCGACGCGCTTTCTCCAGTACCGAGGCCCAAGCCATGTAGAAAAGACCTGTACAACGGAAGACGTTCTTTTGATATCAACTAAAACGATCGGTAGATGAATAAAATAGATCGATGCGACCACTCAGCACAGTTGCTAGCCCGTCGTCCACTCCTTTGACTCTGTTAAGTGCGCCGCAGTAATAGATGCTGAAAATGAAGCCATCTTTACATGATCAGTGAGTTGGTGGTCTTATAGGAAAGTAATCGAAATACAAATAGACTATTTGTATTTCGATTACTTTTGAAATAGTTTGATACCGAAGGTCTGCCCAATGCCATTAGCCCAGAGAAATGGAAACATATCGACGCTGTTCTTCAGACAATGCTCGCCATACATGAGCCACAGTGTCAAGTATCGGTAGTCGCTCTTGTACCGGGTCTCTGCGAAAAACTTCCGGGTGGCGCGTTCGAGATATTGTTGAAATTCCATTGGGTGGGCTTTCCGCGTCGTTTGCTGCTGCCACCATTTGGCATAACCGTGCCTGCAAGTTTCATTTTATGGTGCGGAACGAGTAGAAGCACGTGTACGGGTGCGGAAGAGTACTTCTTATAAATATATTCTTTCAGGTGAGGAGCAAATCAATAAGGAAAAGGAAGACATTATGAAGCAATGGGCTGCAGCTCGGGGTAGTCGTAATCATAAAACATATTTGTTCATTTTTGATATCTTCGTCTTCCTGTACCAACAGTGGCACGTTCATCACATCATACACTCTATCGATCCGGCTTGCTTATCATGCCTTTCGACTTCATCGCTAAGAATGAACAAAACAACGGAACGTCCGACCAGACAACACAACTACAGAAAGAATCAGGTGAAATGGAAGGTTTACCATGCGGCCAAGGGGTCCGGCGAGGATTCATTTCTGATATCTGCCTCCCACCGCGCTCGCTCCTCGTCCAGTCGTGAGTCCTGCTGCTCCGGCTCCTCGTCAAGAACCACTAAGGCAGCAGCGCCCCGTCCGCGCTTCAAGGGCACTATGTTTTCCTTGCATTCCTCGACCTTGCCGATGTCGAATACCATGATCGACGCGGCGGCGGGTTCTACTTCTACTCGTCTCGTAGCAAGATATAAAAGATCGGCAACATCGAGCTTCCCGACACGGCGACGCGTCCGCAACCAAGTGCTTCACCTTGAAGGAAACCAGGATCTTCGTGCTCACGCACAACTTCTACCTTGCTCACAACTTCCTTGGCAAATGCCGGTGCTTTCCGGTCTTGCGTTACAGGCCGGACGAGGGTAAGGATTTTTGGTTTTTGTTTAGAAAAGCCGCTCGAGAGTGCTATCAACGGCTCTTAATGTTCGTGAAGCAGGGGAGTAGATGTAGATCTTGTGATGCTTCCACTACTGGAAAATCCTTTTGCGCGCAACAGAAGCAGCACCATCTTCTGCCGCTGACGCTGTGCTGACATAGAAAAAGTTCAATAAGAATAAGTATCAAAGAAAGCGAGTGCAGCCACCGAAGCCACTAGGTACCCAAACTATATTTCCATTGTTCTTGCTCCTATTGGCTTTCGCTAGATCTAGAAATACGGTAGTGACAATCAGAAGAGCGACTTTGTAACGGACACGAAGCAAACTTCGACGAGGGCTTTGCTATACTGCTCAGGAAAGAGTATGACGGCTGCACCAGCACTACTTCTCTCTTTTTCTGCTCATACGCCAGCATCTGCGAAACATTCTACACCAGCGTGAGTGGCTCGCATCCAGTGGCTCGCGTCCTCCAGATGTCTACGTTGCATGCTACGTGGCCTCGTAGTTTATGATCTCTTAACCTACTTACACAAACGACTCCTAGAGTTCGGCACGTGTTCTGTCTCTGACTGTCAGCAAAATCACTTCGACCTCTAAAAAGTTCGACGTCGAGTGCGAGCGGCGAGGACGGAAAAAGGGAACGCAACATTTGAACAGCGAGCCTCTCCTCGTCTTCATTGACTTTTCCATGGTGCGTTCAGTAATATGACAAGATTGCCATCACCGGATGCAGCACTACGCGGACTCTGCAGCTTCAATATAAAAAAAGCGACTTTTCGACACACACTCTTTGCATTGGCATTTGCAATTGCAGTGCAATCGTCTATTTCTCCTTGACCGTGGTCCGACTCCGAGGAGTTGACCTCATCTACTCAGCATTACACATAGTTCTGTTTCCGCTATCTCGTAAGACTCTTTACCAGGATATCATGCACGAGTTCTTCATGTTGACTCGGCATCAACTTCGTTTGGTTTGTTTACGAAAAGAAGTAGTTGTAGTTTTAGATAGAAGTACTGCTCCTACTCCACTCTATCCGAATGCGTAACCTCAGCTCGTAGCCGCCGCAGTCATTTTCTTGAGGCGAATCAAGTCGGGCTCAAGCAGTTTTCGGGTCATGTGGTTGCTCTGCTTCGTGTTTTTCGGGAGCTGATCCACGAACGTGAATGCCTCTTCAGCCGCATGAACGGAAGTATGAAACTTCTTGAGAAGTCGCAGAAAAGTGGTATTTTTGTCAAACTCCAGCTGTAACCTCGTTGACGGCAACCCGGCTACGTAAATGCGGAGCTGTGATTGTGAGAGAATGTGATCGACAAGAAAAAACAATGATCGAGACCTGGTGGAGAAGATGGAGTTTTTCTTATATGAATCTACACACCGCATGATAGTCGGAGCAAAGTAGTACGAGCCGATCAGTGCAATACAACGAAGGCCAAAGCCGAACAGCTGCACGTCCGGCTGAACGAAAATCGAAAACACTTATCAAAGCCACCACTGCTGCTCCAGAAGCACATCAATACCTCGAGATAATCCTTCACCACGTACTTGCACTGTTCGAGCCATTCAGGCGTAACCTTCGACTCGTAGAAAATGCAGGCTTCCGCGAGGGGAACCGCGGAGTCGTAGAACGTTTTGCTTTTTAGCTCTTCATTCACACCTATAACGTAGCTCCAGTTGTCGTGGATTATGCCCTCGATCTCACGCGTCTGTAGTTGTTCTTTCAACAATTTTCTCAGCATGTAGCAAGCAACACGACATAAAATAACAAGAAAAAACAGAACAAGTAGAGGTAGACCACAGCTGGTGTTTGTCATATGAATCTGGAATTTTTATGATTACGCTTCTAATGCTAATTTCTAAAAAATACGAAGAGGTTTTCGTATTCCTGCTTTCTCGCGATTTCTAGCCTGTCTTCTGCGTCCGTGAGCTTTTTCTCGATCTCGACGAGGTTTGTTGGCTGCCTCAGGACCTGTCGTGTGGGTCAATGAAATATATTTTTGATAGTCTCGTCTGATGTTGTGGTATATTTTATTATCATCTGAATAGAAAGGAGCAAAGGCGTGGCACTGTGACTCTGCAGATGCGGCGAGAGAATCATGAAAACAAAACAAGCCAAGCGTAAGTACTTCCGAGTCAATGAAGTTTTTCGCGCCAAGGTACATTTCCTCGTAGGCCACCCACGCAAGGTCGAACTCACTCAGTTTCTTGCCGAATTCTTGATTGAACTGTTGTGAGATTTTTTGAAAAAATCAAAGATGCAAAACCTCGGTCTTCACATCCATGCTCAGGCAGAAGCCTTGAAATTTCAGCGAATGAGAGGACTGTATCGGCTGCCCGCCCTGGTACCGCGGCAATTTCCGTAGCTTGGCGTCAGCGTCTTCTAGGAGCGATGTCACATCATAACAAATTTGAGTAGAACGCCTCTTGATACGCTATGCGCAACTGCACAAGGACAAGCCTGGAGATTTTTCTTAATGTTTTACCTTTTTCAATCCTGTTGGAAAGTCTTCTTTGACTTCCTTTTCCATGTGCGAGGCAAGTGTCGTCATTGAAGTGTCCAGCATCTTCAGAAATTCCTCGGACTTTGCGGCAAGCTCGGGAGCTATCTCGTTGTAATCAAAATCTCTTCCATTGAACGAAACCGCCGTACTGGCGCAGATCGCCCTCGCCACTTTTATCAAACTCGCGGGGTATCCAGTCGGAAAATATTGTGGTGGCTGAAAAGTGAATAAACAATGAAATGACTTCGGCGAGGACGGTAGCGTGATCCATCATATCATACCAAAGTAGCTATTACTATCGGTGTTTCTGTCGCAACATGGTGCGATGCTGCAGAATGAAAAATGAAATATCAAGATCATAACGTTAGAACTTAGATGCAACACCGTCAAGTAAAAAATGATATAGACAAGTATGCAGCACGCAGTAGCTTCTGCTTGCTGTACCGGAAAGGCCAACATGTGGTGCAGTTTGAACCGATATTCCTTGGACGCGTCTGCCTTGACAAACACCGTTAGTAGCCCGAGCATGCTCAGGAAGCGGGCGACTTTTCGAAACGAGAGGTCGTCGAGCACATCGGAGGCGACAAAGGGTAACGATTCTTGTATGGCGATGCATTCCTTCAGCATGGCAAACTCCTTTGTGCCCTTGAATTTGATCACCTCCGGCGTGCCGGTGATCTTTTCTTTCTTCCCTGAGAAGTTCTTGTAGTTAATTTTTCACTGGTACTGGTTAAAGAGGGATTGATCACGGCCAGAAAACGAAATTAAATTTATACAACTGAGGCTGTCCTCCTTTATGTCAACAACTTCCTATTCGCCCTCGCAGGCACGAAAGGACTCTGCTTTATTCCCACAAAGAAAAAACAGGCGTAGTTGTAAAGCTAGTTCTCGGGGTACCCTTTTTTCCCATCTCTTCGGCGGTTGGCTGTCGAGAACTTTTCAATCAGCCGGAACCCAGCCCTCGGGAATCTCGGGTCCTGGACGATACTCCCTCGGCCTCAATGGCGCCGTGGGACCCGAAGAATCATAATTTCACTCGGTGCGCTCCCGCGTGGAGCTGATAAGTCGTATGACTGGATGAATGTGGTTTGGTTTTCTTGTTGAGCCGCCAACTCAACGAACACGAACGGCAAGCGGAAGCTATGCTACAGCTCACATCACTCAAATTTGCCTCCCACTCTAACTCCGGTCTGGCGCCGCTAAAGTCCCTCGTTGGAGCGATATTTCGGCCCAATCCCATCTAGATGAATTAGATACGCGCCTCCTCAACTACAACCTTCGTGCTCGTCCTCGGGTAGCTCGAAAGTTCAGACTACCGCAGAACAAGAGACTTTGACTCGCGGGCAGGACTTGCCCTTCGCCTTCTTTTACGCCACGAAAACAACGGAGATCGACGCGCGCAAAGTCAACTTTGGAAGTGCCCATCATGTCTCCCCTTATTTACCTTTACGAACGACTTTCTGGGTTTTAGTATCAGGTTTGATGCTGATTTTCCTTGGTATTTTACAATGCTCGGATGCAACATTTCGAGGATTGGTTGCTCGCAAATTCACATGTGAAAGGTCAAGGACGATGTTGAATTGAAATAGAAATCCTAATCATACACTTGAAGCGGCAACTAGACATGTGTTGGGTTTTGCTTTTGCTGTTTAAGACAGGTTCGACTGGCCCTGCGTAGTGAATTTTTCATCCGGCGAGGTCCACCTCCATACAACCCGGTACTTCATTCATGAATCAGTACGTTTCCGTTGAAGAAAATGAAAAGAGACTGCCCTGACATAGATATTCTTTTTGAAACTTTCACTTTCTGCAGATTCAATAACCTGACAGATGGAACTCGAACTGCCAAAAAAAAAACGTCATGCTCAATCAATAAACGATAGCGCGAAGGAGAGATGATTCATTGAGGACATCAGCTGGAGTAGTGAAACTACCGGGGGTTTTCTGGATTTCGTTTCGGTATTAGAATCATTCACTGCCGCACACGCACTCGAATCAGGGTCGCAACTTCCTCCACAATCAATTTCGCCCGTTGGGCTGCCCTCGCTCCGACGCCTAGATCGATCCACACTTAAGTCCATTTCCCGTGTCCAACGGGTTCGACCGCACGACCATCTGCTTTGTTGCTGTTGCTGGGCGAGGACAGCGAAATCGCTCCGCTCAGTGGTGCGGCCGTCGCTCTTTTGCTGTTCTTGCGCACACAGGATAGCATCGGGCTTGAGAACCAGTGCTGCTCACAAGCATTCGTGAAGTTCTTCAAACCATGCCCCAGCGGAGAAGCGGGATTTAACGACCAAAACTCCGGAGCCCAGGCTTGTCGGAAACCGAGAATCCGCACCGTCAGATGGGAAATAACCTGATTTGGGTGTGAGACGACGACTTTCTCCTTCAATGATTTTTCGCCGTGCTGCTGGGCTCCTACTGCTACTTCGCTATGCGCTTTCGCTAGCACAGCATCGGTAGCCGAAAGGAGCACGCCCTTGCGCCGTTCAAAGTTCTCTCCGTCCGGATGGCTCTCTGGCGTTGAACCCATGCCAAGACGCTTCCGAAAACAACCCATCACCTGTTTAAGTTTATGGAACCAACTTGAAAGACATTACCAGCAGAAGAGAAGACTGGTCATCAATCAAAGCGCCTGTATACACTTAGCGTTAGCTGCAATAAAAACGCCTCAGAAACAAGCTACGAGAGGCCCACCGGATCAAGCAAGCTTCTTCATCAAGCATCAGACTCTTTTTCTTCCACGATTACCGGTTCTTGCGCTCTCTCTTTATTTTGTAAAACTTAGTAACTCGACATAACCTTAATAAATCACTTGACCTGTGAGTGCGCGTGTGTTTTTATTAGACCGAGCTGTTTCTAGTACACGTGCTAGCAGGGTGGTTGGAGTTGTACACATGCAAGCAATACACAACATTTACATGGACAATTCGGCCCCCACACAGCAACTCAATACCCTAGCGTGGGCAACGAAAATGTCCAGTCCGGTCGAGCCCGGCAAATTGTGAAAATCCTCCTCACAGCGAGAGGCCGGGATACCGAGCGCCCCGAGCAGGGCAACGTGGAGCGCGCCGTTGTCCGCCGAGTCAAAGCCTCCGACGTATTGCTCTCCCTTCAAAAACGGCGTGTGCTTTTCCGGGCGGCGATGCTCCAGAGTTGCCCATTGGCGGAGAAACCGCCGCGTGCGCGGATTGTTTCGAACCATGTAGGAGCCCGCCATGACATCGTTGTGGTGTTCGAGGCCCCACCACCGCTCAAAGAACATCAAATCAGCCCCGGCCGCTGACGAAGAGTCTGACCGAGGAGGAACAAACGCCAACCGCGAGGTGCTTGCTGCTGCGCGGAGGTGTTCTTGCACTGTGAATGTGCTTTTTGCTTTCGTTGCGTTCGGAGGCAGCGCACTGAGCGATCCGGTGCCGGTCATAACAGATAACCATGGCGCAAGATCCAGGTCGAACGAGCGCGCCCCAATGTCTGAGTCCAACGCGATGTAGATCGTCGGATCTACGTGTTGGTCGGCTTTCGCCTTGTCCTCGCGGTCAACATCGGCAGCAGGTTCATCTCGCTGAAGAAGATGGCCTTCACTTGATGCTCGTCGCGTCCTCACTTTTGACTCAAGGTAGGCGGCCAACAGACAGTGTCGGAGGAAGTACGGGTTGTTTGCGCGGTCGAGACAGCCCTTCCGCGTTTGCGGGGACGCGGCCAGAGCCCAGGCTTCATTGGTGGCCGTGAGGTTTTTTACGCCGAAAGTCCGAAAGGAATAACCAAAATGATTGGCAAAGCATCGAACGCTCGCCATCTGCCTCGCATTCCTTTCCTCCTCCTCGAGCCAATTCGCGTCAGCAAACACTAGCAGCTCGACCTTCGGACGAGACGAGGCCGAGGTACCAGCACGATGCGGAGGAAGATGAATCGATGCCACCAGCGGATTTTTAAGCTTGGGAAAAAACAAAAGGGCAAGATATGTCCTCCAGATCCCGGCGATAATAGCAGACGACGAAACGAGCCGCGTCCGTCTATGACTAGATGACATCCCATGGTGGCTGTGCATGTTAGTATCAGCCTGGCACTTGCGCTCGTTCGCTGTCGCTGCTCATGTGCGACAAATAATCATTTTTCGAATTTGAATTTCACATCACAGCACGACATCGAAGATGACCAGATACTTATATCGAAGATGACGAAGAGGATGACGACGACTACATACAGAAACAAACAAGAAGGACGATGAAAAAGTCAATCAGAATCAGGTTGAAGAGAGTCATACTTTATGTGTACGCGTCTCACTTTCATCGAAGACAGAGGCGTGGATACCATGCGACCGCACTTTATCAAAAGCTGCAAGCAACCTGTTCTGGTCTCTTTCGGTTTGCACACTGTAGCTCTTCCTCGTCCCAACTGTTCTGGTCTGTTTGATGCTCTAGAATCTCAATTTCTTTATCTTCCTCTACTTCCACTGCAGCCCCGCAAAGCTTGCTGAGAAAACAAGGACAAGGAGGTCGATGCAAGTTTTGTCCAAAGAAGTTCGACACAAAAATCTGCATCGCATCAACGCATGCATTTCTGAATTAGCTCACAGACAACCAGGCCCCTTCAAAGTTATTTGTTCTTAGTTGGAGTGATCGTAATTATGCTAACGAATCGCATACGTTTCCTCGTTGTTAATCTGTGAAGTCCGAGGTGAATTTAAGCGATTTTTAGATAGGCAACTCCGCCACACAGGCATTGTCGGCCAAATCGTAATGGATACGGCATCGACCACATGCATCGTGAAGATCGTCCACACGACCTTACAACGGGATCGCATCGGATGATAGGACAAAAAAAAATTACAATTACTTAAAAAAATGGCTCGAGTTGTTCTTACTTGTAACCAACACAGGAGCAATAGCAATACAACTTCTCGATCATGAAGCATATTCATTTACGCTTCTCGGATCGTGGTCTAGGCGGTTTGTTATTGTTTCTTTTCCGGTGGAATTACCTCCGGAAGAAACACTCCGGCCTGCGCCACCTGCTCGACATCCGTTTGCTCTCCAGCGAGTCTTTCCGCTTTGTCGATCTCCGGAGAGCTAGTAGCCATGGTCCGAATGGATCCGGCGCGCTCGATCTTCCGGTATTCTCGCAGTAACACGACAAAAGAAAGCAGCCGCAGAAACACGGTGATGCCCAACAAAACGAAGACGGAGAAAGAGGAATTTTCAGAAACTGTGTCACCCACTGGCCAAATGTCGCCGGACGTGAGTCCGAGGGATTGCAAGGCCCCGTCGCAGGTGGTGACAGGACAGATACCAACGGTGCCGACGAGCTCCCGCGAGTCGCAGCAAAAAGGGCAGGGCGAATCACTGCACGTCTTCGGCGCTGGATGTACACCTGAACAATGGGAAATTCCAGACAGGTCTCTACTCACGGTCGTATCGAAGATGATCCACGTGGCGTTATTCTTATCAATTTGGCTTTGGAAATTCAAATCGAAGTGCAAGTGCCGATACACAACTACGCCACATATAATCCATATGTTTCTCTTTCTCTTTCTGGTACTTTTCAACATCGTAGACGTTGCAGTCCCAGGAGTTGTTGACTCCTGGTTTCAGTTCTTTATCTTTCTTCTCTTCACTCTTTGTGATTGTGAAGTAAGTCTTCATCATCTAAGAACATTTCGGCTTTCAGTCGGAGGTATCTATGGTTTCATCTAGGCGAAGAAAATAAAAACTGAAAAACTGAAGTGCCGCGTCACAGCGTTGCGGTACCAGGGTGCCCCATTTCCAACCACGCGCTGGTTCGACACGACGCGTCCGGTTCCTTGCAATTGAACTCATTGAAAACGAGCGCCTGCCACGCGTAGCGGAACGGCGTCACGTAGGAAAGTGCGCCGAACGGGAAGAGGGGCATCGACTCGACGTCGATCATGAAGCCGGAGAGAAGTACCTGGGGCAGCACGACCACCGGCGTGATGGCCAGGGCCTTGTCGATGCTGCCGGCCTTCGCGGACACGATGAAACCGAACGAGGAACCCACATTCGCCTGCAGCATGATCACCAGGACAGCGACCAGAAAATTGTCAAAGGAGTCCTGGTTTAACCCGATGAGGTTATGGCGCGCGCAAAGTTGCTTTTTGAAAAGTACTAGAATTTTTTTTTTGCAAGCGCTTCAGTGCTCAAGCCTAGCTAATAAAACTAGCTAATTCTAAATATGCATGAGAAGTTCAGCGCGAATAAGTGCAAAAGCACGTCGGCGCCGAGAGGTAAGTTGGCTGGTACTCTTCGAGGCTCTGGTCTACGGATCTGTCCAGGGCGGTCCCGTCGCCAAGCCTTGCTGAGGGTCTTCTACTCGGAGCTGTGGCTAGGTGTACGGTCCCAAAACGACGAAAACCGCGGGGAGCTTACCAACCTCCGATACCTGGTTCCGAACATCCAGCCAGATCTTGACTCTGGCGCACGATGGCGCTACCTACACTGCGACGGCGCATTAGCTGTCGCACATGGGAAAAAAACCTCTGCGAATCTATTGTGAAACTTCGCCCGAGTTTGCACCCCTCCGCAGATGCCAACTGATCGGCCTCTTCGGGAGGGGTAGTTACATCGGGATTGGCGATTTTTTGGGGGGGTGTTTCGTAGGCCATTTTGCCGGCCCCTTCGAAGCCCCTTTGGGGGGCCTCGTGTTGGGGAAGGCCTGCGTGCCGGTTGCTCTTTTCGCTGCGGTCCACAACAGGCGGTCTCCGCACTTGCGTATTGCGAAGTCATTCGCAAACTCGTACTAGACGCTGAACGTCATGAGATGGTCGCTCTACTGTTTCAACCGGAGTAGATGACTGTGCGCGCAACCAGAAACATGTCCGCGCTCGCCACGACGTACCGATAGCGTTGCGGACAGATCCGTGGACCAGCCCCCCTTCGTGGAAGACGACTTTACTACCTCTGAATTGGACGCCTTGCTATGCATGCAAAACTCCATCTAGTATAATTAGCTAACTCTATCTAGTCTAATATAGCTAGTTGCCGACGTGCCATGCAAACATTAAAAAAAAAATTCTAGTACTTTTAAAAACGCAACTTTGCGCGCGCCATAGAGGTAGTAGACGATGCAGACCGTCAGCCCTGCGTAGAAGCTTTGCAACGGAATGTCCAGCAAAACCTTACTGAGCCAAAACTGCCACGGGGTGTACAGGCGGTCGAGCGCCTCGCGCAGAAACACGGGACGTTCGCCGATAAACACATTCAGCATTCCTAAGGCCGAAAAGAGAAGCTGCGTGAGGCACAGCAGGAACGCAACCGCCGATCGGTTCCGCACACCGACGACGTTTTTCTCGAGCTGGAAAAACAGAAAGCCAACCATGAGGCCAATAAACACCGTCTGCGCCAAACGAATTTTGGTCAAGAACGGTTCCCGTTTCATGCACGTGAAAGAACGGTGGAGCAGCACCTTGAACATGGGGACAACTGGACCGCGCTTGGCTACACCAGCACTGTGGCTAGCTGCACTAGTACTAGCGACGTCCACCATTCCGATGGCAGCAGGGGCGACACCAATGGCACCAGCAGGTCCGCTTAGACTATTAGTGACTGCGACCCCCTCGTCGTAGCTTTTCTTCATTTTTTATCCAGGAAAAAACACCCATCCCCATCCAATTTGTGATGCAAAACATGCATAAAGTCCCGTATTTGGCATGCAAAAAATGGATGGGGATGGGTGTTTTTTCCTGGATATTTTTCGCACTACTTCCGGCAGCGTCTCGAGAACATCCATGACGTGGTCCGCGGGGTTCGTATCCGCTGGGACCGGACAACCTAGTTCCTTGAACTTTGCGATGAGCTGCTGCACGGTTCCAAAAAACACCGCTTCCCCGTGTCCGGCGAGCAGAAAGACTTTTTTGAACATCCTGAAGACCTCCGCGGAAGGTTGGTGGATCGTCGAGATGACGGTGATATGCATTGCAAAAGCATAAGCATCGCGGCACTAGTAGAAATCGCATTACGAATTCGGTCCGCATTATGGGGGGACAAAATTCGGAAACGAACTGAGAATGGCCTTGTTTTTGCGTCTAGATATAGGCTCGATTTCTTGGGTTGCTTGATTTTTTTGGTTCGCCAGCGCGCCCAAATGCACGCGCACGGATTTACTTTCTGTGTCCATGGCAACCATTTCCGGAGCCAAATCGGCGGAAGTCATTTTATAAAATATTACGCCCCCCTGGTGTATATCCACGACGGGACGGCGTGGATATAGGATACCGCGCTGGATATTCAATATTTAGGGCGGAATGGGCGCGGATATTCTATAGAAGGTATTTCTAGCGCGAGCGCCGCGCCGTTTTCGAAACAATGCAAGTGGTGCAGGCGCGAACTTCAGGTAGAGAATTCGGCGCATTAGGCCGCTGCTATTGCGCAAAAACTAGACGCAGGGGGCCTCGCCTGAGCTTCCCCGAAAGTGGGCAATTCGCCAAAAACCCGCTATATCTAAGCCTCGAAAAAAGGCCGTTCTCAGTTCGTCGCCCCTAGTTTGTCCCCCCATAGTCCGCATGAGAAATAGAATTTGTCATGCTGTTTCACGACCTTGGGATGGAGGTTTGTAATGCATGACTGGGATTACTACGAATACGATACTTTTGCACAGGATAGGTGACTCCCTTCACTCCCGCGCCGTCGTCGTTGGTCAGCTGCCGCAGATCCTCAACCAAGGTTTTCGCTTTCCGGCTGTCGAGCCCGGAGGTCGGCTCGTCCAGCAGCAGCAAGTCGGGATCAGAACAGAGTGACAAGGCAACATTGAGTCGCTTCCGCTCGCCCCCACTCAGTCCACCGGCGCCGCCGATGGAGGACGCTTCGTCCCCAACTTTCGTGTCTGCGCACTTCTCCAGGCCCATGCGGAGCAGCATAGAGGCCACCTCCTCGTCGACATTCTCGTAGTCGGCCCCTACCGAGAGCAGGCGGTACCGCAGCGCCTCGCGGGGGGTCAACACGCGCAACATGATGTCGTCCTGCGTGACGTAGCCCATCCTTGCCCGAAGCTCGTCCCGTTCCAGCTGCGAACACGCTGTCATGTTGACGCTGTCAAAAACTAAGCTCCCATTCCAACTGGCGCCCACTCCAGGTCTTCCCATCAACGAATTCAAAAACGTAGTTTTTCCCGCGCCACTCGCTCCCATGATCGCCACGAACTCGGACTCCGCGAAACAGACGGATACCTCATGCAGGATCCGCTTCTCGCCCCGATTGACGCAAAGTTTCTCACAACGGAGTGCGATTCCGCCCTTTCGAGAGGAGCGTCGCCGGGCTGGGCTTTGGGGAACCTGCAAGTGGAGGTTACCGCTTTGCGACGGCGTGGGCGGGCCGACGCCCGCGTCTGTACTCGTCGCGCTGCCTGTCATATCTTTCGACCTACTTTTGTGCTCCTTGAGCTCGAGGCCTACTGCAGCTGCAATAGATGCACTCAAGTAAACAGGTGAACACACGAAGAACTGAATAATGTCACCAAGACCAATACTCAGAAGTAAGTACAAAACCAAGTACAAGAAGCAGCGGCACGGCTGCCACCAGGAGTCACTAATCAATTTCACGCCCTACAGTCAATATGCACAAAAAGAACGATCTGATCACGGTGGGGAATGAATAGTCATAGCAAAGGGCCGTGAGTAAATCATTATCGTACATGAAAACGACGAAGCCCAAGGGGATCCGAATATATACATGCTTTCCTTAAAACGAAATAAACATAAACCGAATTACCGAGTATGAGTAATTTGATGTGGCTCTGAAGGATCTCTTCCTTGCCTCTTTGTTCCTGCGTTCTGGTTCTGCCCCTCCCTGCACTCCTACTTTCATACGTGACGAGACACACCCTCATGACCATGAAGATGTTCTTGTTCTTATGTCACGATTGCGAATGCGATAGGCATAGGTGCAAAGATCATCATGGCGATGGCGGACGCAAAGCCAAAAGTTGAAGTGTGTGGCTGTAATGTTGATGAACTGCAGCGCAGCCTACAGCACGTTTACTTCTACTCCTTTTCGTTCGCCTAGATCACCGAGGCGGGAAGAGAAAGATGAATTGCATTCATGATGACCGATTTCGTGGTGTGACAGTAACTAGAACTTCTACGACAACCACCCTGTTGCATAAAGCAGATATTACAAGCACTGCCTCGTTACCGGTGCACGTAGTTTTACATTTGACACATTCAAAGCATCTTCACGACGTCCTCGTCCTTCACAAGTAAAGAACGTCCTTTGATGCTACATGCAATGCTACTGGGAGGATCAGCTTCTTGAACTTACAGAAGACGCTAGTGCAACTGGAACTGGTACAACTGGAGCGTGCTGAGCTCTGCGAGCCAATATGAAAGCGATACCAACATTCACGACGACAGTGCTGTTTCTTTACCAGCTTCCTTTTTTTCGTCCGCACACAGCGTCTGACTGCGCCATCTTTGCTGCCACCGCGACAATTGCACGTCCCGCAGCGCGTACATAGTCACATAGCTGTACCCCTCGCCCATGCAGCGCGCGGAACGGAGCCAGAAGGGGTCCAGAGCCCGCGGCCCGCTGTTGCTGTAAGTGGCTCCGGTACTTGCTGCGTTAGGAATGTACAAGAGGCCGTAGTCGTGATCCAGGAAAAAGTCCAGCAGCTCCCGTGCAGTGGCGTAGTTCTGATACAAACCCGCAGGCCAGAGTTCAAACATCACGAGTTTCACAAATCGATGGTAGAACAAGTTCTCCGCGCCCTGCAGGATTTGAAGCTCGTGTCCCTGTGCATCGATTTTCAACAGGCGAATATTCAAGGAGCGGCCAACATTCATCTCTCTCGGCGTCAGAGGGACATCGCTGGTGCTGGCCGTGCTCCCGACGTTCCCGCGTACTTGATGTGACATCTCTTGGTGGAGGCCAAAGGTTTCGACTGTACGCGCAAACAAAAAAAAGTTCTAGCTTCATCAACCAGGCTGCTCATTTCAATATTAGTGACGGGGGGAGAGTCTGTGACGTCGACCACATCCACAGCAACGCTAATTACAACGGAATAAGGAGCAAAAGCGCCGGTATCTTCTGTCACTAGTTGGTTGCAAATCTCATTCACACATACATTTCAACATTTGCATCTGTGTGCTTTTGATGTTTCCTTTTTTTAGAGGACGACGAAAACTAGAAAAACAAGAAGTATTCATTTTCATAACATCCAGCGTGGTCGTGTGTGTTTTCGTGATATCTTGTGGGCGTCCGTTTTTGTACTGAACGAAGTCCTCTACTTGTAGTTGAGTCGCATTTTGTTGCAGATTTTCTTCTTCTGCCGCCGAGTTGTCAGCATCATGTTCTACATCACTACTTATCATTGCCCCACCTCGCTTTATTTCCTCGTCTTGTCCTCGCAAGACGATTCCGCTGTCGCCACGATTCCAATGATCACTGTAGAGTACTCTGGTCCCCCACGATGTGTTGGACGCCGCCATTTCGACCAAGTGGATTTTCTTCCTGCGCTTCACCGAGGAGGGCAGGGCACCGAGGCTTTCTTTTAGGTAGAAGAGATTTTCCGGGACCGGCTCGAACGCAACGGCGCGACGCACGTCTCGGTTGTGTAGCATCGGAATGAGGCACGAACCGATATTCGCACCCACGTCGACGTAGGTACGATTCTGATCCAAGAAAGAGCGCGGAAAGTTACGCATTGCGAAGTCTGTCTCTGCGCTCCTTGTTTCCGTTGGACCTTCCTTTCCAGCAGTCGACATATCGTTCGTCTTATCTCCTCCCCGCAGTAGTTCTTGCGCCGTCGGAGCATTCGCCGGAGTATGGGGCAACGACGGAAAAAACTCTTCCAACCCGCGTCCCATTTCATCATCAGCGTAGGGAATTGTCGGCGGCTCGAAGGCGATGTCGGCCACGACATCGTCCCGGGGCAAGGCTTCCGTCGCGCCGTCGTGGTCCACCTGCGCGTCATCTTGTCCGCTGAGAGCTGGTGTTGTTTTCTGGTCGGGCGGGTGCGTGCGAATCGCTTCTTCTGGAGCGGATGAGCCCACCGTTGCTGGTTCTGGCGGACCACCAATTATATCGCGGCGATTCCTCGCCTTGTCTGCAAACAGTCCATGTTGAAACTGTTGCATGTAAGCGTCGGCGGATATGAGGTTCTCGAGGCCGTCCGCCGCACGGATGAGGGGCAGGCTTCCGTTATACTTGTTGTGGAGATATAGAATTTCCCCCTCGGCGTAGTACCACTCGTGAAGCCAGGCGCGCTCCACATCTTCGCAGTCGCTCCAGCCGCCGTCGCGCCGGATGGCGTTGGATACAGCCTCAGCATTTGGGCGGAGACACAAGTCGACCTGCAGGCTCGACACGTTGGATGGGCTCGTACGAAACCACGCGCAGCGCGGGTCCCTTGTCGAAACTTCTGGAAGAACCTCATGCTTTTGCAATTCATTTGCAAATGTGGTTGGGAGGCTGCGTTTTTGTGTCTGCTTAGTACGGAGTCGTGGCACGACCTCGTCATGCTCTTGCGCTTTTGCGAGCACCGCAAAGAAAAAACGTGTCGCGCAGTTTCCAAACAAGAACTCCTTTAGCCACAGAACCGCCAAAGAAAACAATGACAAGATGAAAGCAAAAAGTATCAACTTGACGTTGACGACATTATATCGTCTACCAATACGAATATGGATGCTCTTCTTACGGGAGTAGAGCGAACTACATATTGCAGCTCGCTGTAACACTAGCAGGTGGACCTCCCTTAGTTTATTGCTTGTCGCGCAGCGAGATTGAAGACACATTGACATTATGTTAAAGCAGATGCAGATGCAAGTGGCTGCCCCTGAGCCTGATACTAGCGTACTACAAGAAAGCATCCATGGTCAAGCGCAAACATGTTGTTCTTCGTCTTGTTCAATCTGCTCCCTGTATTATATCTATCTCATTCAGTGGAGCCTGCTGCTCATGTTGAACGGATCCTCTCGAGAGGGAGAGCCTCGCCTACTGTACTATATTATCCGACAAGAAACTTCAAGCTCATCGGCCCCTTGCCTCATGGCTAGAGGAAAAGATGACGCAGATGGCGGCCCTCTCACCCTTGTTCAATATGATCAGATTCCTGCAGGCGGCCCGGTGATCGAAGATGAATCGCCAAACTCGTAATCACTTGCACAACAAAAGAACAAGAAAACTTTTTCGTCCAGAGACACGGATAGAGGACACAGAACTAACAGCGACTACAACTGGAGGCGGCGCTTTACCTCTATTTCAGCTGTGCTCCTGTGCGGGTTTGCCCCCCCCCTCGTAGTCCTATTGGCCGAAGCAGCTGGGAAATAATTGCCAGACTTCGGTACGATAGTCAGAAAATAGTTGGTTTTTAACGTTCCTCTTTCTTCTGCCTGTAATCGAGGTACCTTCGCCAATACCTGCGTGCTGAGTTTTCGTTTGCTACTTTGCCGTATGACTTCAACCCTGATTTTCATTTTTTTGATGTACACACCTCCTTCAATCATTCTTCTCACACTGCACCATGACGCGTGGTGGAATCATTCCTAATATTGCTGCAGTCGATACATTTAGCAGGCATTGTCGATACATTTAGTAGGCGTGATGAAGGTGGAGTACTAGGTGGAGACACCTTTCCTTTACACTTTTTTGCAGTCGTCCAAAAGATCTTCCTCCATATTTTCCAACTCCACGGAGCCCAAACGACTTCGACTTCTGGTGGTGCTCAGCGCTGCGGTCAGAGCCTGTTCGTCAACGACGTGATTCATCGAGATGGAGTATACGCTGCTGGTACGTTGCTTGTCCGCCTTGCTGTATACTGTAATCGAGCGGCCATCCTGCGACTGGTAGACGGAGCGTGGGACCTTTAGTTCCTCAACCTTCTCGATTTCCGTTTCTGGAACGGAAGGCGTGGGGACGCAATAAACGCTCGCGTAAGAATAAACGAGAACGCCAAGAATAGAGAGCACCGTCGCAATTCCCGTGTACCTGGAAATCGAGAACAGTTTAAACAAGATTGAAGCTCAATCACATCATTTGATGTAGCACTTCGACCGATCTTCATACAATCAAGAGTCAACGCAGATGCTGAAACTGATGCAACAAGATCCACCTTGCCTTTTATTTCATCATATATGTTTCTTGTATATACTTGTTGCAGAAGAGGTGGTCGATTTCCTAGTCACTCAACAACAGCTGAAGTGAAGAAGCAGAGCAAAAGGGTTCATGTCAAGCACTAGCAGTACGTGTCGATGCACTGCTTTGGGTTCTTTTCGTAGTCACACCACAAGAAATGGGACAGCATGACGTAGGTTCCTGTTTGAGCTCCCTTGACCATGGAGCAGGAGACGACGCCTATGTTGCCCAGGAGAAAGAAGAACGCGGCGGCGTGGAGCCAACTGGCAATCAGGAGCCCGACGGATCCGATCATATCCACAGAAAAAAACCCATCCCCATCCATTATTTTTTGCATGGCAAATAGTGGACTTCATTCATGTTTTGCATGACGAATTGGATGCGGATAGGTGTTTTTTCCTGGATAGATCACGGCAAGATCGTACTTGTCCACTTTGATAGGCTCAACCACGATATCGGAGAACTCGGGCCAGACCCACCCGGCGAAGTAGAAGCTATACAAGAAACAGGAGATAATTCCGATCATCACAGCAAGAGACGCGGCAGGAATCGGCTTGATTGTATCGCTGTTGCAAGCCTGTCCAATTAATATGTGGAGTGATGGTCTTAACATCGCTTTTCGGTGGAAACATCAATGCGAATATTCGAATTCGTTAAAGCATGTTTAAGTTTATCATTATCTGTCTGTCGAGTGTCATTCACAAATCAAGGATGGAAGAAGACCTAAGCCAATAATTTCGTGATCAATCATGACCACGACCAAGCAAGGAGCCGCACATCAATAGTGGTGTTATACATGAAACAGAAACAACCTAGCGCTTGAGGAACTACAAAAACCGGTATCCAGAACTACAAACCTGAAGAATCTTCTGATTGAAGACGTTAGTCAAGCTGTGCAGAATGGTCCCTGCGAGCATGAGCACAATGGCTAGAACGTCACTGCCCCCAGATTTTGTGATTACATCGAAGGACGACTTCGACTTGGCCATCAAACCCAGAATCACCAGAAGCATGCCGATCTGTTGTGTTGTGACCAGGTTTTGATACAAAGACCACGCATGGTCGTGCTGCCCGCAGCATGCATCGCACTCGATTTGAATTGTTCGCTCTTTATGTCCTTCGTGGTCGTTGGTTTCCCAGCTCGAGTATTTCTAATTCCATATTCATATTCTTGTTCTTTAATACGCTTGGTAAGTATTTCTGAATTTATCATGTCCAGCACAGCTCAGCTACTTCCGTGTGTGCGAATGTCGCTCAAAGACCACGACCAGGTCCACGATCGCATCAAGAATAAGCATCAACTTCAAGTCCTACGGTACTCACAATACAATTTGCCACGTGTTAAGTTTCTTCTGGAGAAACAGCCAGCAGCCGAGTGCTGACCATACGGAGCCGCTGCAGTATATGATGGTTTTCAACTGCGCACAGCTGAGGACGATTCCGGTGAAGAGGCAAATCTGTGCTAACCCCTCGCAGATCGCAGGACCAGCTGCTAGCCCCCAGTTTTGCTTGTGCAATGTTCGGGCCTCTGATGGCTTGAAGATCAGCACCATCACGTTTCCAAGACGATGGATGAGTTCGTATGAATGCAAAGACTTCGGAAGGCGCCCCCGGAGGTGATCACACACTAGCACCTGCAACTGCATCATTATCATTATCAGGCGGCACCATTAGGTTTATAACACCCCTCTACTTGTAGTTGTACTTTGACTAGACACCATAAAATTCTTCGCCGTGCATTTTGATATTGCTGTGTCTCGGAATCGTGCGTCCGGATGCGTTAGTTCCCGCTGGTTGCGCAGTGCTACATCACCAACCTGAAGCGTCTTCTGTTACGTCTCATAAAAAGGAGAAGAGATGCATAGGCCTTGCAATCATCTTGGTGTTCACCCAGTTCTCCGCGACAGCTTCTTCTGTATTATTGTAGGCAATGTACTATTCATCTTCAAATCGTGATCGCGAACGCAATTTCATAGAGGGATTGTGTATGAGTTTTTACATAATTCTTGCGACGAGAAGTAAGTGAGACGAGCTCCTTCGTTTTTTTCTCCATGATATTTCTTGATGATGATGATGATGATGATGATGAAGCGTCGAAAATGTCTTATTGACCGAACGCTTACTGCGTGACCTAGTGCTTCCGTACAAAAACACTTTCCGCCGGTGCATCCTCTTGGGTATCCTAAAGTGAGTTACACCGTCCGGCGTTGTTCTCACTTTGTAACGAGGACCCCGGGATGCGTACCTGTCAGCGTCTCCGTTATCACGTTGTCCTTCTCCAGCTCCTCCTTTTGCCTTCACGGCGTAACTAATTACTGTCTTGCCTGTTGCCACCAGATGCTCATGACTACTAGTGGCCGGCGCTATTTAAATTTTACTGTATCTGCACAGCGCCCTTCACCGCCTCGTCCCCTTCGCTTCCCGGTCTTCAATCCACTACATAGCACTCATCATCTCTTCAGGCAATACGGACTCCTATTCTTAATCAAGTTCATCATTTATAAAACAGAAATCTGTGCTGTGCCACTGTTGCTAATCAAGAGAAAAAGTAAGCAGTTAGGAACTGCGTCATATACTGAGGATTCTCCTTTCTGGCCGCCTCCTTTGTGAACAAATTCTTTCTCTACTGATGGTAGAGCTTCTCATGGCTTTCTTTTTGTTTTTCATTTTTCTTTCTCTTTCTGCCATCATTCACTTTGTACAAAATCTGATCACTTCACGCTATAGACCAAGCATTCGAATCTTACAAGTTCAGCTTACTTTATCTTACATTTGTTTTTGTAATTTCTGCAAAATTTTCTTAGCTCTATCCCCCACCGGCTTCTTGGTATTTGCTCTGCTAGATTTTTCCAGTGGTATCCCTTCTCGTGGCATCGGTGTGAATGCTGTGCTGTAGTGCACTGGTAGTAGCTTCGGGTAGATGTCGCACAGGTCTCGTATGAACCGCACTGCTTCCCCTGGTTTTTCCTTCAGAATTTTTGCTGCTAGTTCTGGAGTCGGTAGTGCAGATTCAAACCCGAAGCAGTTCACCCGTAGCTCTTTGATGGAGATCGCGTGAAGCACATTGCCACCTTGACACTCACAAAGGAGGTGGTCAAGGCAGCCTGAGATCTCCATGATATTTCTTCTACACCTGAAGACAATGGATGACGCGATCGATTGGCAGTGGCGGCAAAAGCAAGACATACCTGGATTTTCCCGCATTACGTACTCGATCTTCGCAACGCACTTCTCTAAGTCGCTCTTCGCACCAGCTGTCTGCTCCACTAGGCGTCCCATGTTGTGAAAGTGGGATATGGGGTTCTTGCTTCCCCCCAAAGCAAGTGGGCTCGTGGAGCCACTGGCTCCAGTCGACGTTCCTGTGGCGTTTTGTTGTTCTTCCCGTTGTGTGTTGGGATAGGCTCTCGTCCTTCCTACTCAATTGTAATGGACGAGCCTGTCATTTAGCAAAACTAGCGCTCGCGCAGTTGTGGGCGTCAGTAGCAAAAAAAAAATATGTCGACTATGAATAGTTCAACTATGAATAGTTGGAGTGACGCCGAGACGATCATAAGCGCGTATTGCATCGGAACGACGGAACTGGTGAACGAGGAAAACCTGCTGCTGGGAAAATGTGCTCATTATACATAGCGACCTCGGAGGATCTGCGAGGCAGTACGTATACGTAGCCTTGCGTATATACCTGGTGTAGTTCCCTGAAGATCAACAATGCTGGCCCCGACCGCGGGCTGCAGTTGCTTGCTGTGAAAGATATCCAACTCCAGTCGCTCCCCTTTCGCGGGTCGAATCATGTGGCATATGGTTGAGGTCGGCTCCGTTTCCATGGGCCCGGTCTTGTACGCTTTGTCGGTTTGAATACTTATTTTGCAATCGACCTCATCCTGACAAGTGTTGAACCATGCGAGCAGCAAGGTGCTTTTCAGCATTTTCGAGGTAGTTTCCAGATCCTCACCGTCGACAGCGGACAAACCGAGCGAGGCGGCGTATGGAAGCGTCAGGTTTGAAATCGTCAAAGTTGAAATAATCTGTAATGCATAAAATGCATGACCCGAGGCACGTGTGTTGCAGAGCAGGCAAGTGAGGCCGATTGTAAGCCTGTTTGGGGTTACAGCTCGAGCTGCTAAAGTAGCATGAGAAAATCGCTCTTCTTTGCCTAAACAGCATGACAGACTGGATTTAGGGACCGCCGAAATTTGTCATGCGCCACTTGGAAACTGGGTTCCAACTGGCATCCATTTTATGCGTGACAAATTATTTCAACTTTGTCGATTTCAACTCTGACACATCCATACGGCGGAATTGGAGGAGGCGGGCGGCTCCTGTTGATGTGAGCGCTCCGTGCCGATGAAGAACTGGCTCGGACCCGCACCTACTTGTGACGTCACCGGCGGGGCGTTGCTTTTGACGGTATCCGCATCCGGATCGATTTGCTGCGCCGGCTGAAAGTCGTCTGTTGTCAACAAACCTTCTTGCTGCCGCTGTTGACCTAGCGCCGCCAAGGATGAGCCGACATGCGAAGTACCAGATGCGCCCAACAGCACATTCGTGCCGAGAGTGCTCGGCAGGGTTCCGGGAATAGCGTTTTGCACTCTCAGGGGGAAGGTGCGCTTCTTCCCGTCAGCAAGGTCTGCGTTATATTTGAAGTTCCAGTAATTCATCTGCGATTCGTTCATCAGGTCCGGAAAATAGACCTGTCGTGTAGTTGTGTATGTGTTCCGGATTCAAAAAAATTAAAAATAAAAGCTACTTGTTTCTGTTTGTAACGTCGGAAATAAAAGCAACAGATGAAGCTGAAGGAACTTCCAGCAGCATCGATTTGTAGCGATTGCACGTCATTGAAAAAAACGGGCCGAACTACACTGGGAAAAAGAAGATTACCACTTTTGTTTCATCCTGCGGAACAAACTACAATTATCCTTTCTCATTCTCAATTTCATGAAAAATGACGTTTCTCGTGTATACGGATAGGAATAGCTTACCTCGCCCATAGAGGACAGCCACAGGATGAAGAGCAAGAATGGGGTGCTACAAAGCCAGCTCTATCCTTTGCAAGTAGAGTATCGCGCACGCGCTCGTACTAATTGCGCTTTTGTATAGACAAATCTACTTTTTTAGCAGAAGCTAAGTCAGCATCTACAAATTTCTGAGTAGAAATGCAATTTGTACTAATCCCCAGTACGATACTTTTGCAATGCATAAGCTCCTGCTCAAAGCATCTTCCTGGTGTTGCTCGGGCACGAACTCTTCCTCGTCGCGAAGCTCCTCTTCTTCCTCCATGATGGTGTGAGATAACCCATTATGGTCGTGGTGATCCTTCCCCTGGTGTAGCAATCCCATGTTGGACAACCGCTGGTCCGGAGAGGCAGAAAAATTTGCCCCCAAGCCGTTCAGGTGTGTGCCGGATTTAGATTTTCGGAACGGCGCGACGGTCGCAGCCAGGAGGGTGTTGGCGGACCCACTCGATCCAAGGGTGCTGCTGCTCACGGTATCATGCAACGGTTGGCAGGCACTTTGACTCTTCGACATCATACTTCGTGCCACCACCACAAGAACAGCTTAGAAATTGTATACCACTTTAGAGTTATGATTTTCACAGCCGTATGCGTAGGTATTGTTCTTAGACGCAAAAAAAACAAGTATTATCAAAATATAATTTTGGATCTAGTTCTTTTCGCCGACATACACGGAAGTCTAACTACCCTAGACAGGAATCGGCCATTGAAGATGGTGTCACACTTATAAAATTCACCATATGGTTTGACAGATAGATTGATTAAGAGTTGTGCGAAGCCGATTTCATGCAGTTGCAGAAGAACCATACATTTACATAGGTGGAACCGATCCACTTATACGATCCACACAACTTCTGGCGGAAACAATGGAGATCTCGTTGCTTTTAGGAAATGAAGAAAGAAACGAACAAAGATGAAGCACATCAAAACAAAACGAAACACAAACGATCAAGCTTAGGATCGCTAGTACACATGGCACAGTCTCTCTCAAAAAGAAAAAAAATAACCATGGTTTGTTGAGGTCGGGTGTACTGAACTGATATTTGATCTGTGCAGTGCAGATTAAAAAAATTTTCCAATATGCCTTGCATTGCTGGATCAAGGCCACCACATTCCACCAGACAGAGACAAAGTCTGAGAGTAACGGGCATTCCACCAAACAGAGACAGATCCAAGCAGTCCCGCCTCGATGATGCATAGGTACGGAAGACACCTCGGCAAAGTTATTCGAAAATTATGTCATCCTCGTCTCTCCTGCTGTTGCGGACTACTGCCCTTGTTTATTGAATGCGGAAACTTCCGGACATGCCTACAATCACACCAGGAGTACGCCACGAAGCAATAGCTGCTCTAGCTGCCTTCGTCGAACACATCTTTCCACCTGTGCCGGCAGATGTCCACCTTCGTCAGCATGTGGTCACTGACGCACTCCTCGGTCAGCACAGAGTAGTCGTCGTTCCTTCGCTTGAGTGATTTTTTTGACACCCACTCACACGTGCGCGAAATTTCCTACACACTTGGAACGCGCCGGCAGGCGGTCAACGTCAATTTTGATTGTATAAATTTCCTTGAAGATGCTGCATCAAATGCTCATCTGCTTCACCGCTTGCAACCAACGCGATGATCGTGAAGACGCGTCGTGTCTTCGACTCTCCACCGACAACGACACCCTTTGGATATCGACCGAAAAGCGGTGGAGAGATGTAATATACTGCGTTGATAAAAAAGATAATTGGGTGAGTGTTGTTGAACTTTGTTCTTGATCTTGAAGTTGATTAGTGTTGTTGAATGTTGAATGAAGTAGAAGTTGTGAATACTAGTGAGTTGTTTGTTCTTGAGATCAAAGCTGTTAGGTAGGAAAGATGTTGCCTAGGTACAACAGTAGAGTGAGAGATTGAGGCAAGTCATCTTCATGGGGTCTTGACGAGCACGACAGTGCTACTTTTAGCTTTTGTTTTTATTGAAGCTCGAGTTCCTCGGGCAAGGTGGCTCAATCTCCCTTTGGCTTTGTTTTTGTTGATGGCAAGTTTGTTTCTCTTTCTCATCGAGTTCGAGCAGGCGAAAGAAGCTCATATATCACTGCCACTGACCAACACATGCCAAGTATGCGATCTTGTCACGGTGGCTGTGGACCGTGCAGCGAAAGGGAGAGCCGAAGCAGTGACCCGCACGAGTATGATAGATGAACAGACTCCTGCAGGAGAAGGAGATAAATAGGGACAACAGAGGTAGTGATTTGGAGGGGTGGCAGTTAGCAAGCAACTACAGGGCACACACCACGATGCAGCACTCTAGTACAGAAGCAAGTTAGTGGGCGTCTGCGGGTGCTAGTGCAGCTCGAGAATGAAGAAGCTCTAGTCCTTTGCGAATGTTGCGCAACGAAAGAAGTGGTCATTAGATGTCGATGGCGAAGTTTAATTCGTTTTTCTTTTTGATGAAAAATCGTTAGATCATTTCGAACTGATGACTGCGCGAGCAGCTCGACGCGCCTTCGTGAGCATAATCGCAAGACTCTTGCGATTATGCTCACGAAGGCGTTAGAGATAGATGAGAGAGATCGGAGATGAAACAGGTCTCAAACGACTCTTAGAGTCGTTTGAGACCTGTTTCATCTCGACCTATCATCTCTAATTGTAGGGTGTCGCTCGCTCGTAAATGTAGGGAGGCACGATAGCAGAAATTTGTAGGGGATCGAATACGAATACTGAATGCAACATTGGGTAATTATATAGGGGAAGACAACCAGCAGGGCGGGTGGGTAGGCGTCGAGTTAGCAGTACCTCATCATCTAGCACGATTTGGTGTAGCTCGTAGAACATCAAATGAATCTACTTACTTGGCCTTTTGGGTAACGACAGGCAAAGCCGAATGCCAATGCGCAACCTCGCTCAGTGCGTAGCTAGTACAACGAGAATCTGTCGATCCCGCCACGAACCGCGCACCTCCTGCGTGTGGAAGGACCGTCATCAACGTGCAACCTCCGCGGCGTGTTCTTGTTCATCACTTGATCTGGTAGGTTCGAATGATTCTGGCGATAGGGTTGCGGCAAAGCGGACACAAGGATCCGATGTCGGTACTGCAACTCTGACAGACGACCTGGTGGCCACAATCCAGGATGACCGTATCGATCGGGTTTTCGAAGCACACCTTGCAGATATTGTCCAGGTCGTCGCCGTGATCCTCCTTCTTTTTCTTCTTCTTTTTCTTCTTTGGTTTCGCGTCCGGATCGTCGGGGTCATGAGGCGTCCCCGAGGTTGTTCCGCGCGTGTCGTCGAGCTGGTGCTTGGATGGACTGTGACTTAGATCCTTCGAGGATCCCCGCTTGGTCTCGCTCCCAGCGGTGAGCTGCGCCATACTGGAGCCGCCCGTTTCGTCGAAGGTCTGGCTCATGCTCTGCCGGATGGACTTCGACTGCATTGCCGACTTTTTCGGGGCGTTCAGGTCGATGCCGCGCTTCCTGGCCTCTTTTATTTTCTCCGCCATCTTTTTCCACTCGGTCTGGAAGCAATTGCCGAACACGCGGTACTCGGGATTGTTCAGAATGTCGATCAAGCTGCTCAACTCCGCGCTGGGTACGCCGTCCTTCAGCCCCCGTTCGACGTCCTCGCGCTGGTAGCCTTGACTCACCGCCGCACCGGTCAGCCTTTCCCGCTCCTGCTGGAGGAACTTCGGCATCTCGTAGGGCTGCTCCACCTGCTTCAGCTGGATCTGGGACCGGGCGAGATCCTTGATTTCCTCCGGGACTGACCCCGGCTTGATGTTTTTCTTTTTGAAGTAGTTGGTCACCTCACGCGGTACCTCGTCCAGCGTGCACATCGCGAGCTCCAGGTAGCTGCGGTCTTTGAAGTCAGCGAACGGCACGAACTGGACGATATCGCGCTCCATGTACACGTTTTCGCTGGTGGAGTACAACGGCTCCTCATCGGCATCGAGCTCGTCCATCAAAGCGAAATCCTCATCCCCGACCCCCACAATAATGATCGACATGGGAAATCGGGATGCCCGCACAATTTCGTTGATCGTATCCTGCATGTCGTTGATCACGCCGTCCGTCAAGATCAACAGGATGAAATACCTGCCAACAGTAGATTTCGTCTTTTACTCCTCGTCAAGGGATCATCGTTCCCAAAGCGGGTGAAGACCCCGTGCTCTCGTGCGTGCACGGTTCTTTTCAGCCTTTTCCAGAACTGGCTTATGCAATTTTATGACATCTTCCATGTGAGAATGAGAACTGAAAGTGATCAACTGAAAGCAACAAAGCCAACATGAAATTTGTAGCAATAGTATGAAATCCAGTTTGCTACAAATTGAAGTGAGGACAACTAGGAAATAAAGGAATGGAAATGGCAATGGATGGACGACAACTAATATACAAAAAACACGAGCGATCCGAAACTCAGTACTTCATGTCCTCTTCCTGTTCTGGGTCCTTGTACGGCTCGGCCAGATTTGCCGCCAGACGCACTATTTCGCGAAACTCGGTGGGGCCGTGTAGCGTTACTATTGGCAGTGTCTTCTTGTAAACGTCCACTACTCCTTCGAGGCCATCTACCTGTGATTGATCATGATGAAAATCCAACTCATTGAATCAATGCAAAGCAGAGCGCCATTTTGATATTGATGCCATAGCGCGGACAGTTTTTTGTTCGCTTCTATCTCCTTCATTCCCATTCGTTCACCTTGTAGTACGGCAGCAACGTTACATAAAAATATGTTTTTTGTTACCTCTGGATCGAAGAAGTCGCCGTTGAGTGCGAAACATCTGCTCGTTGTTGTGTATCCGGGTGGTATTTTGGCACCGAAGCCGTATACAGGATACCTCTTATCACTATCGTAGTGCTGCAAAATCTCGCAGACTGCCCGTATGGCCATCACATAGTCATTGGGCTCTCCGTCCTCTTCCATGTGGTGCAAGGAACCAGGCTCGGCAGGATCCCCATTGGACCGCGTGCAATCCACAGCAATGACCAGGTTCATCTCGAGGCCACCGGCTATGTAGTCCAGAAAGGTGTAGCTCTTCTCGATCTTTATCTTGTCGAACTGTGTGAGTTTGTGTATGTGGAAAGTAGCTGCCTCTTGCGAGGGCTCGGTGAAGGTGACAGATTCAACTCATCGAATACATCAAACAAGAGTAAGTCGGTGGAAAAAGCACAGTTATTAAACCACATCAGAAACAAAACTGTACGATCAACTGCCCCATGCACTTCGGCTTTTTCTTTTTCCCTTTCGACCCGGCTGATGCGTCGAGATTTTCATACAAGGCCAATATTACAGGTTTCCCGTCTTCGCTCGCGCGCTGCAGGTCTGCCAGACACGTAGTGGCGCTCCCGATCAGCTTGTCTGCTTGTGTCCGATTCCAGTCGTAAACTTCCACTATTATACTTCTAAACTCATCGCCACGACATAACTGCTGGACGGACAGCTCGGTCTGAAGTAGATGATGTTGTCTTCTTCATCATGCGAAAGCGATTTTGGAGGTTAAGTTCTTGACCATCAACCTCTACCTCAACATGTCAAATCCTGCTTGTGCATTCATTGTACTGGTACGGCTGTGCTACGATTTAACATCTTCAGCAGAAACTAACCGAGAAAACGTAAGCCACCTGAGCTATCCCAGTGTAAAAGGAAAAGGATTTAAGGAATCAAAAATAGAAAATAAAAAACAATCGAATATTATACCGGCTCCCACGTCGGATTGAGTGTTCGCTTTACTGTCTCTGTTTTAAATACAGGCACTTTCTGCTTAAACTGATCCTCTTCGCTGAGCCGAACATTTGGAACGGCTCCACGGTAAATCACGACGTAAGGATCGGCTCGGCGGGAGAAAAAATCCATCACTGGAAGAGACTTGGCGCTGAGCTGAAAACTGCACTGCATTTTCAAAGACTTCATCTCTTCCGCCTGCAGGTGTATCGTCCCGTTGTTCTTGCGCGCATGGTGCAAAATTTCCCGCTCCACGTTGTCCCCCTGGGCCGCGACCATCTCGCCCACGAATATTTCCTGTGAAAGTGAATGTATTTCAAAGGTTCCTGTGATTGGCAATGGCAATGGCATTGGTCGTGGTCTAGAAAGCTACTTAGTTGAAAAACAAAAAAAACGACAAGCCTCCGGTTGCACTGGCACCTCACAACCAAAGACGCCAGGCATGATGTCAACGATGCAACACCAGCACGGTGGTGCTCCTCTGTATAAGTATAATATGTCGTGCTCGACGTACTACGTGTTTTGTTCGTTTTCTTTTAGTAAAAATACGCGCACGCGACGACTTTCTTTAAGTTTATCTTTGATCAGTTTCAGTAAAATACAATTTTATTTATCAAAGCAAAGACTAAATAGAAATACCGCGCTCCCCAAAAAATCCCACTCCGATATATTTTCCGATTTTGGGTCGGGGGTGTGGTACACTTCAAACCTTGTTTTCTGCTGGATCTCGAAATTGTATTCGATGGTTCCAGGCTATCCACAGGGAAAAATGCAACTTTTTCTATCCTAATCCTCCGTAGCGAGAGGAAGCTTTTTATGATTATGTTCATGAACGCTGGTAACATCAGCAGGAGCAGGCGTGTGACCATCCTGCGTCTGCCTTTGGCATTGCTATGTGACTCATCATGGGCCTGCAATACACAAGCAATTACTTACGCACGCAAAAAATATCATTGCATTTTCTCTTGGATAGGGACCTCACAAACGACCCCGCGTCTACCCCCATCAGTGTTTCCGTTTTCAGCACTTCCGTCCATGCCTTGTCTTGCGCGCGGCGAGTGTATATCACCACTCTGGGGTTGCATTTCTTCCGCAAATCTTGCACGCGAACGTGAATTTCGACACGACTGGAGAGGTCCTGCTCCAGCAGCCCGCCCTGCGTGGCCAGCTGCGCGGCCTCGGTCACCTCATCTATGTGGGCGGTGGCTTCCGCCTGGTTGCTCTTTACGGCTGAAGAGGCAGACCCCATCTTGTTCGGGGGCGAGAGCTATCCAACACGGACGACGAGGAGGCTCTTTCCGCCCGTCCTGCCAAACAAGTCTCGATGAAGCCTCGGCTTTCGCCGACGCTACTCCCCGCCGAAGCTGCTCCTCCGAAGTTGGAACTACTAGGAGAGCTGCAGGACGGTAAGCTATCTTTCGAAGGTCGCAAATAGAAATGCCTTTCTTCAGTTGTCCTCGGGTAGAAGATTAAGACGCCGGGCACACACCGTGATTTATAATCTGGTGTTCAGGTGGTCGTGGAAGATACACGTCATGCTGCCTATCGCAACGTCCGAAGCCATGTCGATGTTGCCGCACCTCCAAGGTGCTACTGCTATTCCAGAGCAGAGACGAGGACTCACTGCACGATGTTCGTCGGACGAAAAGCAAAAGGATTAAAGCTCCTGCGGGCCGCAATTGTAGTCAACGAACGTCAAGAGCAGAGATACCGTCACGCATGATGCAGACAACACAACAAATCGAAATCGATGGTAAATTGGGTCGTTCGCGATGTGCTACGTCTACTAACTTGAGTAGTCAGTCATAGTGATAGTGAATGGCTACAACGCCATAGCAATAGGAGAATCAAGAAACAAAGTCGGTGCGCGTAGTACGCCTCTGCAATAGCTGCAAATAAAGCAAAACAAAAACTAGATGCAGCTAGAACATTTTCTCTTGCAATACTGGAGCTGTGTGTTCCATCTATGGGTGCACTGATGCTGCGAATCATCAGGAGAGAAGGTTTCCGAATTGACGACCTGTTTCTACACCTGTTGATACTTTAAATCTATAAAAAAGGGCCTTTGCCCCCATTATAGAGGAACTCCATGCCTCTTCGGTTCAACTCACCATGTCCCTCTGCTGGTCATGTCTCCTGGTCCATGAGCATGACAATCAACGACAACTCTCACACATTGCCACTTCTTGAGTGGACCAATTGGTGCGAATAGGAATATGTACATGCGACGACTACTTGCGAATACTATCAACTGTAACCCTTTCGTGACTTCCACTCACACTGACTCCGCCTCGACGCTAACAAATAACGATAATAATTTGTATAACCTCGTCCGTGATCGATCTTGACCGAGTTTCACTACTTTTGTTTCGTGTTCTTCTGTTTTACTTCTCTCACAACTCTTCGATTGGGATTGCCTCGTCGTACACATTCAGAACACGGCTGCTGATGGATCGATGAGCTTCCCGCTGTACACTCAAGGAGCTGCATACAAACAATCAAGTCTAGCCCGCCGGGGTCATCCTCATCTAATTGTAAGGACATGATACCCGTCGCGGTTGATTGCGCTTGGCTTCGGTTTGCCATGAAGATGAAGCCTCGCCACGACGAGAATGTAGCTGAAAAAGAACAGAGAAAGGTCTGAAATCTAGTTCATTTATTTTTGACATCGGTCGAGGAGTGACATTGACACGTCGCAGCACTGCCACAAATTTAGAATTTATTGAAGAACAAGGGCACGTTTTTATAATAATTTCATCTGCATGTTCATACATGAATCAAGTACAACTGCAGGATGAGTCCGCTAGTGCGTATACCTTCAAAAGAACAGCTGCGATTACGTCCATTTTGTTTCACGTGGATATGATCACGAAATGGTCGCGTCGCTCGTCGTCGTCTTTAGCAGCTTGCACAAATCGGCATATCTGGCGTCGGTTTTGTCAACAAAATCGATTGCCCGCTTCTTTCCCTTTAGCTTGAAGTCCACATCTGCGCCTTTCTGCACCAAAATTGTGCACGCCTCGAGGTGACAATTTGCCGCCGCAGCGATCAGAGGCGTCACCGGCTGCGGATCATTCAGGAAGCACGACAGTTCTTCGCACGCTTTTCGTGTTTGTGATTGTGGTGAGGATTTCCCAGCAGGGCGTGTGGTGGCAACATCAGTAGAGATGCTATCTTCACTCCTTTCACCAAGACTCTTCTGCGCCTGCTCCATCTTTGCAATCAGCAACGAGATCAATCCGACATTGTTGCTGCTGCTTGCCAATACCAGGGCACTCTTCCCGCAGGAAGGCACACACTGCAACAAAATTTTTTGGTTTTCGATTTCAAAGTGGTCGAGGAGCGCACGGAGCAGCTTGGGCGACTGGCACCGCGTAACCGCGTTGAAGCCTTGGCAATCCTCCAGCAGCGGGTCGGCGTTGTGTTCCAGCAGGAGATTGACGACTTGTAGCTGCCAGGGCAGCGAGGGGTCATCGTCGTAATCGCGAACGGTGCTGATGGAAAATGTGCTTCCAGAGACAACATCTGGTCTGCCACCTTCTAGTCCTCCTGCTCCGGCAGAGCTTTCATTTTCGTTTTCTTGGAGCTCACCACCGCCCGCCGGCGCGCCTCCTTCGATATTATTAGACTTTGACGAGAAACAGGTCGTCGTCCCGATGTCAGCAAAACTCGCAGAGCTTGTGCAGGCCAGGACAAGGGTGGGCACGCGGGTACTTTGCTCGATTTTGTTGACGTCAGCGCGTCTTTGTCGAACCATTTTCTCGATGAGCCGAAAGGATCGGTTTTTGCGCACGGCGGCTGTGAGGGGAAGCTGGCTTCCCTCCAGGTTGACGTCTACAATGTCATGGTCCAGGATGCGTAGGGCGATGGAGTCTTCTTCCTGCGTAGCAAAAGAATCGTTTTCGGTAAGTTTTTTCTTGGCGAAAAGAGCGTTGTTCACAATAGCGGCAAGCAGTGGCGAAAAACCGTCGCTGCGACCGTCCCCGTCCGGACCTTCTGTGGAGCCCGCTTCCGGAAGTACATTCAGCAGATCCTTGCCTCCGCTGCTGTAAAGCAGCTCGAACATTTCCGCACTCTGGAACAAATTCATCGCCATGTGTCCATTGACAGAGCACTTCGTTAATTCAAATCCAAAAGAAAGCAGGAGCCGCACCGCAGGCAGGCAATTGGCGCGGACGGCGATGTGAAGCGGCGTCTCTCCGTTCAATGTCACAACATCGTTGACAGATCGGTAGTAGTTCGGCGCAACTTTATCAACGGTTGGCGCGTCTGCGTTCTGTGCATCTTTTCTATTTTTCACTGCCTCGTCATCGTCTGTATCTGTTCTGCCCGCGGTGTCAACAGCAGGAGCGAGTAGTTGCTTCTTGTTCCTCTCGATCAAGTCCGTCAAGCCTAGCACCGCTGTGGAGATCAGCGCCACGTCTGCTTGCGCGGACCAGTAGTGCAAACACGTCAGACCCGCGGCGTCCTCCCGAAACCCCCAGGGGTCCGCCTTACAGGCGATCAGCGTGCGGCAGATACGACCCGTGCCCTTCTGACAGGCGTAAAACAGTGCGTGATCGAGGGTCTTTTGCTTGATCGCGTCATTTATGCAGTGCCAAAGTATCGCTCTTGTGCTTCTACTTGCTCCGGTAGAAGGTGTTGTACTACTATGGATTCCGATAGTCGGACGTAGTACAAGTTATTTTCTCAAGAAGTTGAGGTAGTGATAGTGCTCGTGAGGCGGGTAGACAAAAGCTCTTAATTTTGTCCCTCATGCAGAAACGCTTGCACTTCTAATTCTATATTCATACGCAGTTGTTGTAGAGTGCAGCTGCGATACTTTATTTGCAGCGCTGGATAGCGTTGGGCCAAGCTGCGTTGTTGATTAGGTACTCGATCACACCCACATCGCAGTCCTCACCGGCACTGGCCTGGGCAAGGGCCGAAAGCTCGTCTTCCACAACAGGGCGCAAGCTAGACGACGCGTCGTCGCTTTTGACGGTGGAGCTCCTTTTTTCACAATTCTCATCTACTCCTGCCTTGCCGTCATTGTCTTCCGCGGACGTAATATTCCGTGCCGTTTTTGTGGCTCCTCCGGCAACCGCAAGGTCAGTAGATTGCTTCCCCTCATTATTTCCCGTGGTGACTAGTCTGCGCGAATCGACGCGCGTAGATGCATTGCGAAGAAGTCCACTGTTGCACGACTTGAGACGGTCCGTACATGAGTACACCTCAGCTTTGTGGTCGAGTAGCAATGTGATGACAGGACGAGCAGACACCGCGTACCGCAGGCTCAGCTTTAGGCACGAGCGCCCCCGTGGGTCCACCGCATTGGGATTCGCGCCTGAAGTAAGATCATGCACATGCTGCAGATTGTTCATTCAATGCGACTACCGATTATAGCAAGTTAGTTCGACGTAGTCTTGGCAGCTGCAGCTTGCTGGTTTGACATACTGATACTATGTGAATGTGATTGATGCAGATATTCATTTATTATACCGTGCTTCAGAAGCTGTTCCACTAAGTCCTTCTGGTTTTCTTTGCACGCGAGACAGAGAGCCAAGTCTAGCGACAGCCCCCATTTTTCCACAAACGGCTGGAGCTCGTCGGTAATCAGCCCGCGGCAATTCGCCTCGAGATCCCTTTTGTTTTTGCGCGTCAGCTCGTCCTCTTCCTCATCTTGCAACAGCGTCGATGCTTCGGAGTTCAACCGACTCTCCAACTGCTGCCATTTCGCGTAGTCAGTAGGGCCCATTTTATTCTTTATTTTCCTTTTGTAGTTTAGGGGTGCAAGAGCAAGTTTTGTACGTATGTGTGAGTGTTTGTGATGCTGATGTCCTTCACCTTCTGGCAAAATTACATGTATGTTGATCTTCCTTTGTGAACCCAGCACATTCCCGCTAAGCTTAAGACGACGCAATCAACCATTGAGCCCTTGGTGCACTGGAACTGAGTGTCCTCGAGAGGCTGCAGGTTCTTCACCTTACACAGCGGCACATAGAAAAAAAAGCGCGACAAAGCATCCAGCATCCCCATCCGGCGAGCCCACAGCAAAATCTGCGCTAACTATATTGCGGCGAGCGAGGGCCTTTTTTTTTTCGTTGTCGCGGATCCGCGTGGAAGTAAAGACAAAAAAAGAAGAAAGACCAAGAAACGCAAACGAAGAAAATTCCTTTACTTATAGCTCGCCTTGCGTAGCGACGCGGAAAAAAGCAGGACGGGCATCAAGGATGCAACCCATTGCAGAACTTCGCATAAAAGAACACTGCCGTTTCTTCATCTTTGTGGGACGAGAGCCACACAGGAAGCCAGTATGCGAATCAAATCAAATGTTGTGCTTCATCTTTTCTTATCTTTTCTTGTATGCTTGATGAGTCAACATCCTGCTTTAGTGATTCTAATGTTTGGTACAAGGATCAATTTGCAAAGTAAAGATTCATCAAGCAGACAATGAAAATACTTGGCACGAGTGAGCAGGTTCTTTCCGTTCCTCGACGCGTGGGATCATGAAGTGAAACGAAAATAGTGAAGAAGCAAAATAAGCGGTCGTCATGAAGACATCCATAGCATTGCATCTTATGAACCAGAGCGCTGCTCCATCTTCGACCGCTCGCTGCGCGTTTGCGATGAACTGGACTGCCTCTACTACCGATACTTTGCTACAATTATCGACTTTCTTCATAAAAGTGATTGAAGTCTTCAAATTTTTTTAGTAAATTCATTTCACCAAGAAGAGTGTAGATTTGTAAGAAGCCAAATTTCAATCTATCGCATTTTTGCATTCAAATTCATCGTCGCACAAATAGAAAACTGTTCCGATATCAAAAAGCATTTTTTGATGACGCCACGGGCTCAGGCCCCTGGGTCCTTGCTTCTCAGCAATATGTTCATGTTCTTAAAATATCAGAAGAAAGATCAAAGCACGACGAGAAAAGAGATACGACAAATGTAGAATCTTATTGTACAGATGTAAGTAGAAGCCTAGAAGGCTGCAATAAACGATAAACGTAGTAGAAGCTAAAAATACGTGCCAGCAGCTGCAGGTTGGAAATAGGCCGAAAACAGAAGATGATGTACAAAATTGATGTGGAGTGAAGATATATTTCGACTCGAAATATACGGCGGTATGAAAATTTTGTTACAGTTTTTTTTATTCAACAGAAACAATACGAGCGAATTGATGAAAATAAGTAAACGATTAATTACGCTGCAAAGCGGCCGACCGCAATGCGGGTGAGCAATAAAGTGTAAGTGGAAGTGTATTAATTAAGTGAATAAAATAAAAAAATTCGACAAGAGCAGTGCTCGCCGTCAAAGTTTATACTTTCTTCTGACAAGCACACCACGATCGTGGCGGCGGGTGTAAGCAGAACGCGTTCCGTTCGCATCTCGAAAGTATGCGCATGGAAGCGTTACTTACTGCTACGTGTACTACTTTCTACATTCACATAGGCCCACAAAATGTTGATGATTCAGGTGGTCGTGACTTGTAGTTGTAGTTCGTTGTACTACATGTAGAAGTTTTATTTCGCAGAGGAGACCTCCTTCATCGTAGTTACGGCCAACTCTTTTTTGTAAACAGACCAAGCGACGAGGTGCAGAAGATGAAAAACTCTTGATAAACAATCGGAGCAACTCTTTTCGCTACTATCCGATCTGTCAGTCTGAGAATCACAAAAGTACATAAAGGTTTTACTTGCACCAAACAAACATTGATCTATAAAATTGTGAAACAGAAATAACTGCATAAACTGAAAAACAATTAACGGCACAACACAATTCAATTTTTTCATTTGGAATAAATGAGTATAGAACACTGAGCAGCCAGGGCGTAGTTGGTAAAGCATAGCTATAAGCTGAAGGGCAAGTTGTACAACCTTCTCACTACCATCAAATCCGACGCGCTTGTCCACGGCCACTGGGAACAACCACGGTGTGCACGTGGCTGGAATTGCGGAAGTTGCCGGCAAAGGTGTTTCCCGCACCCATATGATCCGAACGCGACCGGGCCAGGTTGCTGTTCGAAATGTCTTTCCAGGAATCTATCTTGGAGAGGGAAATCACACCTAAACCCCAAGGTATCGGCTCCCCAGCCGACATTACCGACCTGAGAGAAGTTGTAGAGAAAAAAAATAAATGTCGGATTCTGTTGACTTCCGCAGCAGATCTTCATGCAGTTCACATGCAATACAGGATGACTGAGCATCACGTTTTGCAATGTTAGTACCCATTGCTTCTGACCCCTAATTTTCTTACTCAGGACAAAAACTTGCACTTGGCGAAAACTTCATCCCGTTCCCGTCCGCAAATCGATATCGATCTGAACTCCCATTAGACCTAACTGGGAATAAAATTTGACAACTCAGGCTCACCTCTGCTCCACCATCATCGTGCTATTTTTGGCTGACGGCTGCATGGAGCCCTCACTTCTGAGCATGCCACGATGGTCCGTGCGCACGCGAGCCTTCAGCAGCCTGAGTCGATCCTTGATAGAGTGATCATACTCGACGGGCACTGCAGTCGTCCCGGAGGAAGGTGCTGACGCAATCGAGGTCGCCGAGGACGTAGTAGGCAAGCTCAGAGTTCTTGACGGCGGCTGGTGATGATGATGTTGAAGGTGCGACGCAGCGACAGCGTTGTGGTGGTGCTGCATGCTGTTTCCCGTGCTGTGATGAAACGGTGGCGGATGTTGAGACATCGATGTAGTAGCCCCACTAGTTGTACTGGCACCCGAGGCTAAAGTTGGCACAACTCCACCTCCGCCAGGAGCACCGCTGCCGCCCACAATGCCCGAAGATCCGCCCAAGTTCGTAGCCGACATGTTGTGTATCAAAGCACCCTGATACGAAGTGGATGAACTCACTGCGCCTGCTGGTCCGCCGTTTGATCCACCATGATGAAGGGCGCCGAAGCCTCCGGAGGAATAATGAGACTGGTTGTTCGCGGCCGTGAACCCGAAGTCGGATGACAGGTAATTATGTACTTCTTCGGCCAGAGATGAGGTTGTCGTAGTGCCCATGCCGGTACGGGTTGCGCCTCAGTATCAAAGTGAAACGCCCCCCCTCCCCATATCAAAAACTAAACTTCTGCTGCAGCATTTGCGCACGCATCAAATGGATGCGGCCGCTATTCATGTAATGTAAGAACGCTCAGAATGCAAATAACCTACTTAGGTTGATCCGCCTACTAGTATCCACGTCACTGAGTTCATTGGGGTACAAAGTTCAAAGGTTCACGAATCAGGCTAAGCCGGGCACATTCGTCATGACTGTGCTGGTCATTTTTGTCATCTCTCTCGTGATCGATTTCATGGATTCATGCTGATTTGCTTGGATCTTGGCGGTGGGTCAACTGTGATTTGGGTCATTTGATCCCTATGCCTACATGTAACTAAGGAACTGCAGCCAGATTCTCGGCCTGTTTGCGAGCGTAATGGTCTAGCTGTTTAGAAGCATAGGAAACGCCCGCCCTGCAGGCTCATCAGCGTGATAACTCGCCTCCATAATGCGGCGCGTCATGCCTTGGCGTTTGCCGTCTTGGTCTTGCAAGACAGAAAAAGAAATAATTTGTGACAACAAATCTGCGTCACAAATTTTCAGAGCGATGTCTTTTCAAAAATATGGGAAGGGAGGACTTTTCCTCAAAATACTCCGCGACCCAACTTCGCAGGGGATCCCCGGTACTTGTTGGAAGGGTTTGGCGTTCCTGTGTGATGCTGCAGAAACCCGTTCATTTTCATCCCTGCATTTGTTCGATCACCTGTATTTTTCATGTTTGCCAAGGGTCGCCTCCAAAACGAAGTCAAAGTACGGGGCATTGTCACAGCAGAACAAAAGTTAACGTGCTTTCGTCATATCTCCCTGCCATGGCTTCGTTTTTGTTCATCTTGATATTACCATCTCCATCACTGTATTTGATGCCTTAAAAGGCATTGGCATTCTCTTTTTTTCCAAATCTTTCGAACTGCGGCACATCAAAGTAATCCAGGACTTCTTTACCTGCTGACCACGGATCCACCCCGAGGTGATTAATTCCGCTAGAGGAGTTGCTCGAAGAAGAGGACGCACCGCTAGAAGAACCGCCACAAGTCGACGATGAGCCTGTGAATAATCATCGATGGCATGCAACGCAAAATTCACATTGATTTTTTTTTTCCCTCCCACGCCCGCCATTCTTTTGAGCATGCTTTTTACGAAAGACGAATATGTGAGTAACAGCCAAGTCGACGGCAAGAAGCAACAGACATGCTATTAGGGGTTAGTTACTGCTCTTGGCGCCTCCTTTTGTGAACTGTTCGTCTCCGGGCTCGGAAAACGTGACACGACTACGAGCTCGACTGGTCGTTGAGCCCGAAACGCAACTCAATCGGTCGTCCTCGCTCCTGGAACTTTTCAGAATCGGGGCTGGCATTTTTCGTGTGCCGAATATGTCGTAACCAATGTTGTAGTGGTTGTGCTGCGCCGCAGATGCGGGCGGAAACGTTGCGGAGCTGCTTCCTGTGATGCGAATGCGTATAGTAATTGCTAAATCATAATGAAAACAACAAGACGCACCTTCTTAATCTTATTCTAGCAAGTATATTTTAGTCCGTCTCCTTGTTGTCTTTGATATACGCAAAATAGCAAGCATAGCAATACTCAGTGGAGCGACCACCGCTTCAGAATCAACATCGTCTTTTCTTACTCTTATGGCAAACGCGGACAACTTCTCACTGGCTCGGTCACGGGCTTTTTTATCGCGAGGAAATAAAAGGTAGCGCATCATCAAACCTTTGGTACCTTCTAACGTAGCTTGAATTTCTGGTGCATATTCCACAGTTCCCTCCTGATCATTCAGGTGTGGTAGTGGCAGGTCGCGTTCCTTCGCGACTTGGGTCCGGAGAATGTGCAGGCAGAACGGGTTGGTGTGGTTGTATTCTCTGGCACTTTGCAGAACCTGTTTGTTCCGACACTCTCGTATCCCCTGTAAAAGTACCGTACAACACGCAAAATCAAGTAAATCCCCAAACTCTTCATCTGTAGTATTTGACAAGAGCGACAAGTTTTTTTTCCTTTAGCTTCGTGTCGGCGAAGGTCAAGGTTGTAGCTATCATCTATTGAAGATTTTGCGTTTGTGCGATAAGTTTGTGTTTCATATCCCGAAGACAGACAGCTATTCCCTCGCCCAGCAACACTCCGACCCGCTCATCCTTGGTTTTGTCAAACCACTTCTGCAGCTTATTCGCGACTAGCTCAGGAAGGAGGAATGCGTGTGGGTCGTGGTCCGTCCGTGGTGCGCGATTCCCATTCCTGCTGTTAACACCTGCATAAGAGGATCTGCTACTGGCGTATGACAGCACAAACCCAGTCAAGATGGTCAGCAACGCCTCGCACTTTGCGCCGTTGCTGGTTGATGTCTCGAACTCCTCGAATATCAAGTGGGCCATCTGCTCTAATTCTGCGGTCGACGTCGTTGCACTGTGTGACGAAGCCACTTGAAGTCCGCTCAACATCGCACCTGTCGTGCAAATTTGAATTTTAATTTTTCAACATATCATAAGTTGTTCGCATCATAATCAGAATGCTGGAGGCCATCATATAGAAGCTCGCGAAGTAATACAAGCTCGCGTGAGAAAGTTAAAGTTTCTCACCAAGTATCTTTGTGATGAGTTTGCTCGCTGTCTGGCGGATCACAAATTTGGCGTCCCCCAGTTTTTCGAATATTCTGGGAATGATGCGAGGAACGATTTTAAGTCCATTTTCCTTCAGTTCTCGTCTGCCGGGTGATTGCATCGCAGTGGCCAGGTCCGGAGCAACCAAGTCGCCTATGATGTAAAACGTAGTCAGTGTCACCTTGAAGTGCGGAATCTGCAAAATTGCATCCACAAATTTCTTCAGCACATACGGGTCAGCCAAGGAAACGCAGGCACAGGAGACGCAGTCGAATCTGAGGTTCGTTAGTTTCACGTGTCTTCATGTTGTCCAAGCGTCGCTTGATGTCCCGCTTGTCAACACATCACTTCGATGTGAAGATCCACAATCAGCGAAAGTAGAACATACTTAAAATCAAAATCGAAGCTCAACATCATGATGATGCACCGGGGTAGTTCACTAACAACCTGTGCAGCAACTGGATACCGTATATTAACCGTTACTATCTTGAAAGAGGTCATGGGAGAGCAGCAGGTACGAACAAGATCATATACTTTTACGTACGCTACAGCTAGTACTAGAACGTCCACATTTTTCACCACGTCCCGGAGTAACGCTAACGAATCTATGATACTTTAATTCTATAATCTATAAAGCTCATCATCTTCAACATCGTGTTGTACTCTTACCCTATTGGTGACCCGCCCAGAATTAGCTGGTGGACGTCTTCTAGCAACTGCATGACCGCTGCGGTGTCGGGAGTCCGGAGCCGCTCGATAAAGTCCTCGGGAATGAGAAAAGGTCGTAGCCCAGCCGAATTTGCTCCGCTGTTAAAAGTACTACTGGAAGACTGCGATGTTCCAGCTCCTTGCAGATTCTGCAGCTCGTGCTGTTGGTTGGTGTGTTGCTGTCTCCCCGCAGACGCGGCGAAAGCACTCCGCAAGGAGTCGTTGGAACCTTCAAAATCAAAACTACTGTCCAGCTGGGTCGAGGTAAAACTGGCATTCACACCTGCTGCTTGGCCGAGCGCGCCGCCGCCGCCGGTAGTCGCAGAGGGACCAACATTATTTGCTCGCGAATTCATAACTGGTGATAGTTTATTCTGATTGATGGAGGTCATCTGATGCGGTGCCGAGCCAAATCGCTGCAGATCGTGGTGATCAACCGGCAACATCGCACTCTGGTTTTGTGTGTGAACCTGGTGCAAGTTGCCGTTTAAACTAGCAGCACTGTGGGTCGCATGGTTGTAGCCATTCAGGTTAATTCCTCGCGGGTCGCTGCTGGTGCGGAAAAGACCTCCGCTCGCTGGTGGTTGTTGCATGCCGAAGGATCCGTCTCCTGGGAGCGCTTCGGCCTCCCGCTCCTCTGAATAATACGCAGCGAACTCCTCCCAAAGTGCGAGGGTTTGCTTGGCTGCCTGTTTCACCAGGTCACTGCTGTCACTCTCCAATGTTGTGCGGAGCGCGGCTTGCAGAATTTGCTTCTGCTGGGCGTTGAAGTTCTGCAAACTCTGCAGGGCCAATATTGCCTGCAGCCGCACCTGCCACTCGCCCCCCATGTTCTCCAGGCTCGCCAAGAACGCCGGCACCAAATACCTGAATCAAACATTTCAAGTAGAGAACAAGCACGTCTTCATTGAAGTAGATGAAACCAGTGGAAGAGTCGCAGGCAAATAAATTAAAAACTGAACAACTTGACTGTGCCACAAAGAACGAAAGCAAAACACATTTATGTTTATCTACGAATATGTTGTCTTTACTCGGGCATGTCGAATGCGTTGAGGCACGAGAGGATGTGTGTTCTCAGATCCGCGGAGGTCGCTCCGAGCCGGTGCACGAGTAGGTGCAGTAGTGATTGTGTCTCGACGCCATCGCTTTGCACAAAAATCTGGTATCGTGATGCGCTGGTGCTTGCCATGCGTGTCAAGAACTGAACGCACGCCAGCTGCTGGTCCGCTTGGGTACTCAACAGTGCCTGCCGGCATCCTCTCCGGATCTCCGCAGGACCAGAACCTTCGAATTCCCGCATCCAATCCTCCACCATCATGCTTTTTTGCTGGAGGTGGTCCGGTTCTTGACCGAAGTTTATTTCCTTTTTGGAGAAAGCAAAAGCTGCGGCCGCCTGGTCCTGCTAGTTGCACCGAGAACGGAGGACTACGCTACGCATAGTGGGACTTGCATCCTCGTGCAGATTCCTCGCGAACCAAGGTGAATTTCACGACGGCGCCAACCCACGACACCCTCCTTGTCGCTCCCGTCTTAGTCGTAGTGTAGGTTCTCCCTGCTCTCCCTGCCACTGCCGTGTCGCAGCCGGGTGCGTTTTCGCGTTCAATGAAGCCACTATGGCTATCTATGCTCCTACTGCCGACGTGGCTATTTCCCTACTACTAATCTTGCGCTTAGACGGCGGTAGTGAGGTGGAATAAGCAAGGAACTTCAACTTCTTTTCTACACTTCTTATTTCTCCGAAAAAATCTATCGTTGCACATCACTCTACCGCCTCTGTTGCCTCTATCGATTGCCAACCAAGCTGCAATGCAAATGTCAATGTCGGAGTCGGCTGCAAAACAAGATGATATTCATAACCACAACCGATCCGATCGAAAACACCAAATGCGATAGTGAATGATCGGACGAGAGAAAGAATAGACCCACATGAACGACACTCTTCAGACTCCAGCTCGTTCGAAAAAGGATAAGAAAGCATACCATCGCGAAGTGCACGACTTCATGATCTCATCTCGCAATAAGTAGTTAAAAAATGCACCTACCTCCCGCCACGGGAGGTTCAAAAACCGCTTGCATTTTCAACAGATAACTCGACAACGAGCCCACCCCGATAACCCGGATCTTTCCCTCAATCAATGACTCCGTTCGCAGTTGTCCCGGTTCTTAACATTAAGATTAACGATGAGTGAGAATACCAAAGCAGCTCTCTTGATTCAAATCTGTACGGACTCGGAGATCAAGAAAGAGAAGAGCAGCGACCCGATGACGATTCATTACGTTTACAACGGTGCAATATTTGTACAAGAACGAGAAGCAAGTACGAATACGTCACAGCTGATCTTCGCTTAGCAGAAAGCATGCTGCACGATTTTCATCCGCTTTTTCTTTTTGCTATATTTGGATTGTTTCATCTTAGCCGGGATTCAGTGCAGTTACGACCTGGACCGTGCCGACAACTCTGAGTATCGGGTTCGGAAGGATCTATAATTGTCTTCATAGAATTCAGTCGCTGCTTTATCTCCCGACGGCCGAGGCAATCGGGTGCGCGAATGGAGCTGGGTCAAACCAACGCAGATCGTGCGCAGCGCAGCCCAGAATGCCAGCGGCTCTGCTCCCACCGAAATGTGAGCGCGCATGCTGCGCCGATAGCTCCAGTGCGGTTCTGGCTTTGTGAAAATTCTCCGAGACGGTCGGTTTGGCGGCCGCGTAGACAGGAGTAACCAGCCATTCGAAGAAGGATTCGATCTTCGATCTTTCGACCATATTTTTCGCACTTCCCAACGGCTGTAAGACCGCTTTGTCGAGAAATTCCACTTCCGCCACAGCGTACTGCTTCTTCAGCAAGAAACGAGCTTGGTTCACTTTTTTGGTCGCGATATCGATCGCCTGAATATGATCGACAGGAACCCGTGCCGGGTCACAATAGCCAGCGGTTACGGGAAGCGTCGAGAGCTCGGCGTGGTAGTCCTTAGGTACAAGCGGGTCACCAAAAACCACTTCCTTCAACGGATTCAAAACATCCCGACGCATATCAAACACTTGCGACAACTCCGAAAACGACATTTTGCTGCTTGGGTGCTGTTTGGAAATCACTTACAAAAATACGAAGTGACTGCACACGTATTTGTTCCAATTGGAAGCTACATGATTTTGATTTACATTTACACTCGGCACGTAACGAATATATAAACTCGTCCTTTACTTAGCAATCATAGCCTCGCTCTTGTTGCAATTACTACTTTCGGCTCCTGTGATCGTCCCAAAATGTTCTTATAAGTTTTTAGGTAGGAGCACAGGCAGAATTTCATTTTGAAATCATCTAGATCTTGATCTACATCTTTTCTCGAAGGATGAAAGCTAGCTACAACGAAAGACGAAGCACGCAGCAGGCAACGACAGCAACCTACGATAGCGCGGGCGCACGCGCACCTCGACGACAATACGACCAGAATCAGAAGGCACATTATCTATCACAATGACGATACACTCGCGAGTACGAGTTGTTCTGAATAGCCGTTTTCTTTTCCCAACCTTCGTTCAAGCCACGACGTCGATGACGATGATCGCTTGTTTCGATTCGAAGATGAAAATGAATGCCCGAAACTCAAACTTCCAAACCCAATGCGAGACAGATAGTAAAGACCACGGGCTTCACTCCGGTGGATGAAGAACAGCAGGAACATGCCGAATGAATGAAAAAAAATGTCCAAACATCAAAGAAATGCTCTGCCGGCGGCGAAAGCGATAAAACCGTATACGGTTGCGCTTACGGGATTCTGCTTGTGCATGTAAGCAGGTAGTTACACGCTTCGATGAGACTCGAACTGCCGCTGGCAACTCTCAACGCCTGTGTTCCCTTCAGTATCAGTTCTCGATATTGATACTTTCTTGCAGTTTTCGAATGCGTCCGCGCATGCGGCTGTAGATGCCTGATTTGGACTGTTTCACGTGCATAGCCAGAAAGGGACGGACACTAGTGATGTACTGCGCGAGCCACGAGACGCGTTTCGGGGATCTGAGGAACCCGTCCATGGCATGTACGGTGAAAACAAACACGCCTATGGAAAACGTCTCGGAGAGTAGTTCTTCGAGCTCCTTACGGGAGCGTTTCAGCAGCCTAGCATCTTCGTGCTCCACCTCTTCTTGTTGCTCGACTGCCATGTTGCTGCTGTGTCGTGGATCATCTACTGCGCCGGCGATCGCTTCCTGCTCACGTGCAAAAAGGGACAGGATATCGCGCTCCTGGGGAGACGAGCAGTTTTTCTCTATTCTCATACGAGCTTGCGCGTTTCTGAGGTGTTCCTTCAGCAGATCGAAGGAGGACTCGCTCCTACGTGCTGCGCCGGCAGCACTTGCCGCGTGATCGTCTGCTGCAACAACACCAGGTGACGCAGTTTCGGCGAAGAGGAGTCTGTGCGGATAGAACGAGCACGGGACGCAACTGCCCGTCACGCTTCGTTGAGCTTCTTGAAATTCTTGGCAGGCCAACTGGCCTACAGTCACTTCCAGTGGATCTTCGTAGTGAATCGGCACCACAATTTGCAATCGAGGGTCTTTGGCAGAGTCGAGCTCGCGTGGGAAGGCGCAAATCCAGATTTTATCCTTGCTTGCAGGATCGATCAATTGGTAAAGTGGCGCGCCGGACGCGTCCTTTTGACCACCTGCTTTAATAGTCTCGACTGGACCTTCTTCCTCACTGCCGGAACTGCAGTGAAACGCGTACACGGGAGGCAGCTCCTCCAACCGGCCGGCACGCATGGCGAGCAGGTAGGCACTCAGAGGGAGTTTTAGCATTGTAGCCGGAAGCCGCGCAAGCCACTGAAATTGCGACTCATGGTAAAACTGGAGCGCGTTTCTAGTACTTGCAGATATGGCACCAGCTCGCGTGGAGGCGGAAGAACTGGAACTGGTTCCGCTACTACTAGCCGGGAGCGGCAACAGCAACACCAATTCGTTCCTGTAAATCTTCAAGGAATAGTTCTGCTTCAAATGGTCTAAGGAGTGCTCCTGACCTGACGGAAACGATCTGTGGCTGAACAAAAGCCCAAGCTCCTTGTCCAAAACGGCACGTGCTATCTGTGTTACCTTGTTCTGGTCCGTCTCTTGCTCGCGCGAAACCAACTCGTTCAGATATCGAAACTCCAGTCGAAACTCGATCACGGCTTTCCTCACAGAATTGCCGTCTCGATCTTGTACAGCAGATGGAGGATCTCGATCGGCATTTTTCCGAAGCGCGGAAGCGGTGGAGCTCGGGACTGGCGCCGGAAGGAGGTTTACCGAAGCTGTCAATTCTTCTACCTCGTGCTGGCGCAAATTGATGCGCCCAACGTAGTAAGAGAACCCGTCAAAGTCCCGAATCCGATTCAGCTCATTTTGCGTCGTCCTCCCGGCAACGGACCGGAACAAGGCTTCAACCACTTTGGGGTTCAGGCTGTCGATGAAAAGGTACAACTTTTCCGGCGGTATCACATACGGATCCAACACACCACACACCGGCCGCTCTGCTCGGCTGCTGCTACTCTGTGGCCCGCTCCTATGCAATGTGTGCGGCATGCGTCCGACATTGTTCCCGGTGCCGGCCCCTTTACTGTGCATCATTATGCTCACCCGATCTGGCTGTGCTGAAGATTAGAAATAGAGATGAATGGTGGAAAGCTGAATAGATCGAAGATGTAGCTGCTGAAAATGAAATTTCCTCAGACTTCAGTAATCAGAATCCGAATTCAAGGAACTGTTCTTGTGCCTGTGCCTGTGGCACTGCTGATCGAGTATATCAAGATATTTACACGCTTTCTTGTTATCCTGAAGAAAAACAATAACAAACCAACACCGCCCCCATAATAAAGTCGCGTGTCTTAACAAAGTAGGGAAGATCGATTGTTGCATCTGAGGGTGAGCAAGAGCATGAGATCGGGTCGCTCACACTGAAGCTATCGGCTGTAGTTCGTCCCCGTCCGATATTACAAGATACACATTTACAACCCAGCTGATGACATGAAACGCAGCTCTCTGCTTGTTCAGGTGCAGTACTACATGTAATGTTGAACAGTAGTATTCCTTTGCTTTGATATCGATTTCGATAAGTAATCATCGCGCAATCGCTTCTGCGACGTTCCATAGACACAATTTTCATCAATCTAGAAGTACCGCTGCTGCATAGAAGACAGTACAAAACCCGCAGAAGTCCAACTCGGCGTAACTATAACATGGAGTGAGAGTAATGATCAGAATCGTGCCGCGGCCGTCCTTTTAACACAATCTTCAGTGCCAGCGCGCTGTATGCACTGCCGAGCCTGAGGGACTCAAGCTCAACCCGAGCAGGTAGGGATTCGCGCCACGCTCCTTCCTTCCGGCAAGTCGCAGCTGTATGGCGTCCTCAAATGTTAATACATTCTCAACTGTTACATGATTTGCAATGCAAAATCACAATCAGAATCGACACGATCAAGCTGCTTCGCATGACAAATTCTCGAAGAGCCAAACAGGCTGAGAATCTTTGCCAGATCTGTTATGCAAGACGCGCAAGGTGACCCCTTTCACTTTTGCCATTCTTGCATCACAAATCCATGTAATAGTTGAGAATGTAACAGTTGAGAACGTCATAAGCTGCGGCTGCCCCTTTTGCTGTAGAAGTTCATCTGCTGTCGCAAAAGCCGAGACTTCAGGAATCTCTATCTCTGGAGAAAGTGATTGAGCGCAGTCTGGAAGACTAGTGAAAGCACGACCAGCATGATCGCAAGCAACAAGCTGATCACCGTTCTCCTGGATCTGCTGCGCGTCGTGCGACAAGAGATCATCGCGCAGCACTGACATAATTGAGGAACAAGGTCCACTTCGGTTTTCGTGTGCCTTTTCGACCCGGTTTCCACTGCTGCTGCTGGCACGAGTTCTTGCCAGCGTCATAGTCATAGACTGCCTCGAGACAGCTGGCGCCCTGGGTGCAGCAACATGATGATCACGGGAGAGGCAGGACGTCGACGCTGACAGCTTTTGGGTGGAGCTTGCCCGGCGTTTGGGCGGTTGGAACGAGTTGTTGTATTGGCTGCCAGTACTGCTCGTCCTCGAAGCAGCCACGCATCGACTCTCTAGTCCTCGGCGTTCCGGTTCCCACGGACCATGGCGGCGGTTGACATCCCCGGGAGGCGCAGCTCCCCCCGAAACGCCACTTGACGTGGGTGGTCGCTCCCTTCTGGTGTCGTGCAGGCCATTGAAAAAAACCGACGCAGTGCTTCTGGACGTGGTCAGTCCTCGCTGTCGTCAAGTGGTTTCTTTTTCGCGCCCCAGGTACAGGTAGGATCAACAGGAGACCGAGACCGAAATAATGGAAATTCTTCTTAACACGAATTATACAAAAAGAAAAAATGAAGCAGAGTTGATGTAGTGGTTGCAGAACATACCCGTACGAAAAAGGAAAAAGCTATAGCAGTGCCAGTTGTCATAAGTATTGAAGTAAAAGTATGATATTAGTGTATGTACTTGAACGCCGTCGTGGCTGCGCCGTACTATTGTGACGGGATCCGGAGCCCTTTGCCTTTGCTGGTGTGCCAGGAGATGGGGGGCCGCTTCGAAGAATGAAGCGTTGGCGCGGTCAACTATTCCGCCCCTAGATGGAGCTGTGTGTGGTTCGTTGTCCAGTCCACTACTGCTGGTCCCGTAGGGAGGTGACAGCAGTGTACTCGTCCGGCGAAAATGATGCAACGCTTGGTGAATCGAGGGTCGCGGAAGGGCGGCACTCGCAGTCCCCGAGGATGTGCTGGGCCGCCTCACGCCTCGTTTGCTGTTGCCAGCTGCGTTGGAGGCTGCTCTACTTCCGCCAGGGGCTACAGGAAGCATCACGCGAGGCTTTAAGATCGAAGGCGAAGCTGCGACCTGTTGAGTCCATAAATGATTACCTCAGGAGCAGGTATGTATTCACATACATTTGTGACAGCAACCCAGTCGGACACGGAGGGACTCATCCTCGAGCATAACAAACATCTGCTGAAGCTGGTGAATCCAGATCTTCATCGTCGATCTTCTGGATCAAAATTTATCCAAAATGAAGAAGAAGCTATAGGTGATCAGTGTCAACACGCACCACGACCAGGGGCACAACCGGCAGTATTTTCAAACAAACAGGACTAGCTCATCATCCTGTCCATGTGTTCTAACTAGTAGCTAAGTTTTGCAAATGCTAGCGCTGGAGACGCTAGCTTTACGTTGTACCTGCAACACTGTCCCCGAATCTCGTTTTGCTCCAGCAGAATTGCCGCTCAGCGTGCCTGTCCCGACGCCTCGAGTGGTGCTAGTGCCTGTTTTACTCAAACTGCTTCTGGAGAAATAAAGAGGCCCCCCACGCTCCGAGTGGTCGTAACTCCCCCTGTAGCGGTAGTCGTGCAAGTGTTCTTGATGCGGTGCTGGGGCCGGACTTGTCACGAGCTTCGGCGACGCGACGAGCACAGAAGCAAATTCAGAACCTTGATTTGCATCGTCTGCAAAGGGGCTGCATGTGACTGGCTGCAGATGATCACGCTGGAGAAATTTTGATGACGAGGAAGCCCTAGTACTCTTTGTCGTTTTTATGATTTGTTGTCTCTCGTCGTCGACGGCCCCCGCACACTTTGCTACATCTGGACCTGGAAGAATTTGATGCAGGTTTTGCGTTTCGTTCCTTCCAGAGGAACGTTCGCACTCAGGGCCAGGTGCTGCTTGCTCTACTTCATCTGTAGATTCGCGAAGCATCGCAGCGTCATCCATCTCATCCAAAAGTGACTGGCTGAAACTTTTAAAAGTTGACGTTTTTTCTCCAGCCTCAATCGCTAGGCAAGCGCTGTTAACATGCTGTTTCTGCTGTCGTTGCAAAACGACTGTGGACGAGTGCTGGGTAGGAATCGGCCGTGATGGTCTTGCTGACGAGCGCGCTAGCGCATGATCATTTGCGATAGAATGAGGAGGCTTGCTTATTGACAAGCGGTTTTGAGTTGTCCCCCAGTCTACGAGGCCACAGGGATCAAAATCGGCAGGCGACATCGACTCTGGAAGCTGCTGCGAAGTTCGTGGTCTAGAAGAAGTCTCAACAACATCAACACGTCTGTGCAGGTCTGCGTCTGTTCGCTCGCTGCGGTCTTCTTTATCCTTATGCGTTCTCCTAGTGCTCGTCGACGTTGCGGATCTACCTTTGATATTCATTTTATCCCGTCGCGAGAACGAGGCAGCGGTCGTGTTTCTTTTGTTCGTTAGCATCAGGTCGGGAGAGATGGATGAAATAAAAGCCTCGGATTGTGCCCAAGAACGGTCAGCAACTGGTGCAGTTCTTCCCGGATCCTCCAGATCTCCACTGGCGACACCACCCGGCGGCAGTGGCCAGGTGGAAATCGGCTGCTCCTCTGGCGCCACGCAACTGGTTGCCGCACCATCGCTGCACACGGGGCTTGGCGATCCCAGAACAGAGAGTGACATGCAACTACCTGACGACTTGCTGAAGACGGTATCCGGGGACGGTGCGGGGGAGCAGATTGACGTTTTCTTGCTCGAAGACGATCTCGGGTTTGTGTTCGTCGTCGAGTTTGACTTACGATTCCATGAGGACCGTGCCACCGAGACGGAGACCGGGTCTGCAACGCTCTTACTCGTGCAATCCAAAAATGTGGTTGGACTCACAGAATCGGGGTCCTGATAAGCGTATTCATTTTTCATGCAGAAGCAGGAGTCGTGACCCGTATGAGGGAGTAGAGGGAGGGAAGTGAAAACAAAAAATGTTGCTTGCGAGGTGAGGCAGGGCGAAGATGTTGACCATGCATTTTCCTGCACCAGAACACAAGCACTGACTAGTACACGAAAATCATACATTATACTGTTCTTGTTCATTTACGATGATCATTACATCAATCTCGTCCTGATCCTACCGATACCATCAAAATGTGAATGACGCACTAAAAACAAATGATCGGGGCGTTAAAAATCAAAATGAAGAAAACCATCGTAAGTACCTGGACGTGAGTCGCCGTCATTCGCTGGCAGTCAGGCAGCAGTCGTGTCTTCGAAGATGAAGCAGTAGACGCGTTGGCGGCGTTGCAGGGCTTTTTCAGGATCCGCCTGCGGCCAGAAGAGCTTCCGGGTGGTGCGGACGAACCTTGTGGTGCTGTGCCTCCTGAACCTCCAGTCAGACTTCTGAGACTCGGTTTGGTTCCGCCAGCTGCGCCTGGTGCCGTGGGCGGCATGCCGAGCCCGTAGTTAGTGCTGGAACGTTTCTGGGTGGCGGTATCCCCGACGGCATGCCTGCTGAATGGAGCGAGCGGCGCTGCTGAGGTACCAGAGGTGCTTGTTCCACCGTTGCCCGCTGGACTGGGCAATCCGCTCTGCAGTCTTTGTTGCAGGTGCAACAGCTCTGCTTCGCGGCAGAGCTTTTCTGTCAGAAGTGCCCTTGTCGTCTCCTGTTGTTGCTCTATTTTTTCGATCAAAATTTTCAAGCGAGCCTCCATCTCGCGCCCCTGCTCCGGCGGAATCCACTTGCTTTCGCGGGCAAGCTGGTGCCAATTGTTGCGATGCGCCGAACTTGTTGGAGGGGACAAGCCGAGCGGAGGCCTATTAGTTGCCTGCCCCGGAGGACAACGAAGATGCTGTGTGTGATGATCTGGAAATTTGGCCCGCTCTATTCCTTGTGCGGCAACTCCCGACCACAGGTTTTTGCTCTTCCGAACCCGCTCGTGGTCCACGGGTGATGCTAGATCACCAGCCACGTCCATGGGTGAAAAAATTCGGTCGGATGCGTCGTAGTTAAAACAACTTCCAAGCACCTCCGGTCGGGGCCTTAATTGGTGTCGATAGTCCTTGTCTTCGTCTACTTGGCCAGCACTCTCCTGCCGATGTTCTCTGCTACCTTGTTGCACATCCTCATCCAGCACACCCTCTTGCGCCTCGTCCTGATAGTGCTGTAGATCCGCCACGCGTCGGCGCCCTAATTCGTTGCCGACAGAAAAAGCTCCTTGCTGTTCCACCGCGGTCGTTGGCTTCTTGAAGGAAGCAGGCCTTCGAAGGTTCAGTATCGCTGTTGGTGTGCCGCCCGGGCTTCGCCGCGGCATCAACGTGCGCGTATTCAGCTCAATGGCCGAACTGCTCTTGCCCACTGTGGCATTATGGGGCTGCGGTGAGATCGTCTCCTGGCTAAAACCGGCTCCGTCAAATGTTAACGTCCGTCGCAGAACTGGAGGGCCAGGTCCACCTGCGGGAGTAGTTACAACATGATCTCCAATCCCACGTACAACTTGGTCCTGCGGATGCAGTTGCGAAGATGTAGTCCTCAAGGTGGCTCCTCGTGCTGGATCGATGCTCTTCCTGGGCTCCGGATATGCACTGCAAAAGTATCGTACTAGTATAAATTGCATTACAAATTTTCCCAAGAACAAAAATGCAGTTTGTCATGCTATTTCAGGTAGAAAATTGGATTTGTCATGCATATCTGTAATTACTACGAATACGATACTTTTGCACAGGATACCGGACTTCCGCGTCGCACAAATGTGGGCGGGCAGAAGAGCGGCGCGGCCGTACTGGTTTGATGTCCGCTGGCGGCCGTGGCTGAAACACCAGCATCTTCAGCACACTGATGTCGTGAGCCACTAAACGAAGAGCAAGACGGTGTTGATGATGTCGCAAACAGAGTGGCTGGTCGGGCGCCGGTTGGCTCAGTAGTTGTACCAATAGGTTCTTCTAAACGAGCTGCCATCATTTTCCTGTCATCTTCTTGAACAACCAATGGGTCCGATAGCTGCGACGGCAGGCCGCCACTGAAACTCGGGGTCTTGCAGTCAAGGCTCAAATGCACCAAATTATCCGTCTCTTCCGGCGACCCAACGGGGGCAGCTGCTACGGCAAGCGTGTTGTTTCTCGCCTGAAACGAAACCGGAGTTGTGGTCAGCGAAACAACACCAACTCGGGCTGCCGCCGGTGTACTGCAACCGCTTGTCTGATGTGAGGCGGTCGCGGTTGAAAAAAACCTCAAAGGGGTTGGAACCGTACGCAACGCTGCTCTTGCACTGGCGGATGCAGAACTGTGAAGGGCCATGCTTTCGGACGATGCCGCCTCGATCCCGATGGAAGGGGCAGAGTGGTTCGCTCGCACTTGGTTAATCGTTTCCACAGCGGATAGCCGGACAGAAGTTGAGCAACTTCCTCCTACTGCCCCAGACTGCGTTGGATTATGCTGCAAAGAGAGCTGCTTCATTGGCTGCTGTAGCAACATTTTTGGTATCGAGGAGGATGCAATTCCACCCGTTGCAGCAGGTCCCACGATTGGCGAACGCGCGGCGGACATGAGCGGACGAAACGAAAAATGTAATAACTAGTGATCGGCTCTACCAGGTTGGCGTCGTGGGGAAACGACGCACAAGCAGATAATTCAGGATCTCAATATAGCAGCGCCTCGCGCTCATTGCAAGGAGCTATATAGTAAGACGAACATGAAGAGCAGACACAATCTTTTTCGTAGATCTTAAAGGAAGTTCCGTCTACTACCTGATTCGTAAATAAACACACAATGATTTTTACTACACAATCTTCATGATTCGCGATGCATCTTGCTATTACTATTGGAAACAACTACGACGCCCTCTATTTTATTCGTGTTTCGTGGAACACCTGGCCTGTGCAAAAACAGTTCTCTGCTGTTTCGCACGGCATGATTGGGCGACTATCTCAGGCATGAGAGTGAGAGCATACGTCAGGAAGGCAGCCATCGCGCTCCCTGGTCGAGGTTGTCTTTATTTTTCCTTGTCGTAACGTTTTAAAAATTCCTAGGCAATCCTCCAGCACCCGATCGCTTTAGTGCTCTTGATCTGTAGCGCAGACTTCGATAAAGGTTCACTTCTGAACTTTTGAGTTCATCTTCACCGTCGACAACGATTTTTCGGAGACGTGCCTTTCGACGCCGAACAAGAAGCAGTGTCCTACTGGATGTACGACGAAGGTCGTTGTGAGTGCGATCTGGGTAAAATCGTCCTCATATGGTGAGCCTCGGTGTCAGTGTAGCAGTCAAAGTCCTTGTGCAAAAGAAACGCACACCAATTCTTATTCGCTTGTTGTGTATTTTTGAATCAAAGCGCCGGCACCACCAGCTGCTTCGAGCTACTTTTTCTCCGCCTGCTCCGCATCCTCCTTTGCCCTGGCATCGGTGATGATCTTTTCCACCTTCTTCACTGGCACCCGCTCATACTTCACCTTTCCCGTTTCTGGATGCTTAGTGATCAGCGCCATCTCGTACTTCTCCGGGTCCGGGGTGGTAGTGTCGCCGTTCTTAATGATGACCTTCCCAATCAACGCTTTCACTGCGGCGTCCGACATGTCCTCTGCTTTCCAATCCTGCTTCAGTGTCGAGTTCGTCATGGGATTATCCCAACTGCCAATCGAATGCGCTCGCCATCCGTCGTATTTCCCCGCTGGATCGGACTGGTACAATTGAAAACCGAAGTGCTTGTCGTACCTGCAAAGGAATAGGTGGTAAAGTGTGTGTGTGTGTGTGTGAGCCCCCACTGCATGTAAAGTTGCGTAGGTGTTAGGTGAGGGAATGAACACAAGCATGTTGTACAAGCTTCTTTGATAGTTTTTCTTTTTACACTACGAAACGAAAATAATAGCAGCTGTTTGCTGGATGGTGATGCAGGACCTGAGCAAAAGAAATCTGCCAAAAAATGGATCGAGCTGGCATCATAGACTTGAGAGTGAGAAAGTGAAAGAGAGACAAAAAACGTATAGCTCAAAGCTTGTATAAGTATATGTTGTAAGAACTTACCCTGCGAAGAGGAAGGAAACGCCGAAGGGGCGGAGGCCACCAAACTGGGTGTACCCCTGCTTGAAGTCACACAAGTGGACAACCAACTGCTCAACCGGGATCGGCTCTCCGTAGCGGTACAAGTACTGTTGGGCATAGAGGCGGAGCTTAGCAATCAGGGTGTTTGCGTCGGAGGTAAGTCCCGCGACCGCGCAACAGATGTGGTCGTCGATTTCGAAAATTTTCTCGGGCTGCTTGGCTTGGTCGAGCAATTTGGACGACGTTTTCTTCTCGCCCACCAGCGCAACGCAGTCCTTTCCCAAAACTCCCAGCGCCGGCCCCGCAGCTTTTGTCGCTTCGATCGCATACTCCACCTGAAACAGCCGCCCCGCGGTGTTAAAGGTCGTCGTTTGCTTGTCGTACCGGTTCGACATCTTTGTCTTTCTGCTTCCAAAACTTCAACACCGATGATGTCAAACAGAAGTTATTTGATACGCATAAAAGACTGACAATGGGAATAGCTTGGCTGTGTTCATGTATAAAAATACTGTAGTACACTGCTAGGGAGGGTGGAGAGGAAGAAAGACTCAGGGCAGTCTCATTTCAACAGCGATAATAGATTCAAACATTAGGATAAGACAGGAAGAATAGGAACATTGCGCAACAAAAATGTAAGAGAATGTAGAAGTTTCTGACTGTTTCTGTTTTTGGTTACAAATGGTCGACCGGATGCACAAGTCGGTGTCGGAAGTCAAAGTAATTAAGTCTCAACAAGTTCTTCATGAACAAAATGCGCGTGTCCTCTGCTGCGGCACTCTATACCGCAAGCGGGTGTAAGACGAACTGTACGGTTAATTAGGATAAGATTGGTGGTGCTGATCCTCATCCTTCTTTCAGATCATCGTGAGCAGCATAACCATATGTGAATGTAATAAGGATATGTAGAGTGGAGATCTTGTTCAGCTGCAGGCGCATCTACATCTATTGAGGCTCTGGAACATCTTGTGGCTTTGTTCGAAGGTCACGCGCCCCTGCGGTCGTATCATGTTTTCATCATGATCAACATGAAGTCGAGTTTTATTTGTTCAAGTTACGTCAAGACGGACACGGAGTGGCCCTGTTGTAGCGCTCGTGCTCGTCTTTCTTAGTATCAAGTTTCTATCTTTCTCGTTGCGTCAAGAAATATCATGTATGTGGAGGACATAGGAGAAGTCATGTTCTCCTTGGTGCAGCCCGTATTTTGCTCTTTCGGTAAAAGCTTTATGGCTGGCGTCTCTTTGTATACTTACCGGTCGTAGGCCTAGGTTCTCAAATCGGCAGGGGAGTCAAAGTGATGGTACTGATACGTTGAACTTGAACAAAGTGAAATCGGACGCTAAGATAGAAGTTGATGTTGATGTGAATGTCGATGTTGTAATAAAAAATCTCATTAATTTTCTACTTCACCAAAGGCAATCTTCGTATGCGTCGGCGCGCAAATCCGGCGACAAACATTCACTGTCGACCCAGGTCTCGATGTAGTAACCACCAGAAAGTTCAAGCGCACTGGTATGAAAACCTTCAAGAAATGTTGCTTCATCTTTTTGTGTTTCCATCCATCGGTTTCATCATCAGACAAGCAAAAGCACCATGAAGTGGAGGGTTGAAAGGAACGTTACGTACTAGCAGCTGCTTTGTAAAATGAATTTTGAAACTGAAAGTGAAACGGAAAGCTTGAGGAGAGGAAGCAAGCAAACAACTTCGGCACACACAGGAAGTGAAAAATCGAATGCCAAGAAGATTGGTTGCAATCACAACAACTCCAAGAATGTTCTATGTTCGTATATCATGTCCTCAAAAGTACCTCCTGCCCCTCCGTGAGCTTCCTCCTACGCTGCCGGCGCAGCTGCTGCGGCCGCGGTCTTCGATGCAGTCTTCCAGGGGCACCCTGTTGGTCGTGAGGAGCTCTTCAAGGCCACATGTTGGTTTAGCTCTCGAACAAATACCGTGGAACTGGCGCCAACTAGCGTAGTCGAATACCATTTTTCGTTCACTTGCACTTCGATTGGCGTCTAGTTTATGCAACAGTCAATCCTACTCGGGAGTTGGAGTTGCACTTCTACGGCAGTCTGGATGAACTTTAAGAAAACACTTTTTTTTCCGAAATGGATCGAGGTACTTCATGACAAGAGCGGGACGACACGACCAATTGCCACAAATGCTGCACCACAAGCTGCGCAAGTACCCATTTAAAAATCTTGTTAGTTTTTTCGATTTTTTTTTGAATTTTCATATGCTCAACACAGCAGTGTTTATATGGCGTGTCGGCTAACGCGCAACTCCGACCATGTAAGAAATAGTGGCTTCGTTTGATACGCATGCCGATGTTGGTGATACCGACAGGAGGGGCCATCCCCTGTGGGGCGGCCATGAAATTGAAGGGCCCATTGTTGCTGCTCGACGAAAGTGAAGAAACAGCCGCTGGAGTGGTGGTTGTCGACGCGATCGGGCGAGTTTGTAGCGGGGTTCCCGCAGAGGATGACCCACTCCCGGTCGCGAGCTGTGGCGCTGCTATGGTCGGGCTTACCATGGGCTTGATCAAGGTCGTTTTCACCATGGTGCAGTCATCCTTTCTAAACTGCTGACCGTGTTCCGACACGACGTGCTGTCCGTCTTTGCTCAAGTACCTGATGCGATGGTGATGGCAGACGCAGAAATGAACATTGCACATCATGACCGAACCTGTACGCAGGGGAGGAAGAAAATGAATCTCATCAATTTGTCATGCGTGGGAATTTTGGGCGACGTGCACGTGGTGGCATCATGCATACATAGTTGTACAGTCACCATGTTATTCTCCAATTTCAACTACAAAGTAAAGGAAGTATACCCTTTGATTTTGCTGTCCCGCCCTTTTACCAACCATGTTGACATCAAGCTCTTGCCTTGTATCGTTGGAACCTGCAATGCTGATGGCTGCTGCAGCGTCAGTCCCGCCGGCTGCTGCATCTTGATGAAGAATTCGTATACCAGAGTTAGATCGCAAGGACACTATGACGATTGCTATTAGAGTACAAAAATGCACATACAGCTTCTGATCCTGCTAAATGTCCACACTCACTAGACGACGACTATAATTGCGCACGTTGATGAAGAAGAAGATAGCTGCAAGTGTACTATCATCTGGTGCTTACGCTTAGTGGTCGTGGATTTCGTAGCCTGTAGCGAAAGAGCATTTCTCCATCAATAAATTGGATTGCACGCTGCGAAGCAACGCTAATGCCTTCGATATTAGCTCCAATCCGGACCAGCGATGGGGGACGACAGCGAACCTATAGCCCTCTGCCATGTTCCAGTTCTACAAGAGTGAAAGTTTTTGTCGTTCACTGTCACTCATACTGGTAGTTACTCTTACTTGGACAGCTTACCTTTCTTTTTTCTTGTTATTATACGGAGCTGCTGCACATACCTGGAGCACTGGAGCACATCAAAAGACACAAACTCGAAGAAGCGTCTCCTAAAGCGGACGCGCGCAACACAGATTCGCAGCGGCACGGGCAGCTATGTAGAAAATGAAATTTTTGTTCTTAGGAGAAGGAGAACAAGAAGCCCTAAAGAATACACCCGCTACGTCCGCCAGACAGATGACAGCTGCTAGTTGAGATTGAGTAATCAAGTAAAGGTAAACGCCGTTCTTCTTCTTTCTACAAGAAAAAACATACGACAAGTGGCCGCGCGCCAAACAATCAAAAGAAACAGGAACGCTCTCTCACCTTTTCCGAACGAGCCATGACATTATGTAGTTCTTCATGGCCGCGCTCCGTGATATCAGTCATGATGCAGTATGTTGATGTTCTTCCGCGTTTCTTTCCATGATCTGGCACCATAGAGGATGTAACCATAGCATCGATGTCAGCCTCAGTGTAAGGAACCGCAAATCATGCTGCAGAGACAGACACTCGGCTGGAGGTGGTCATGCACGTGTTCACTTCTTGTTCTCCCGATAACAACTTACAATTCGTTCCTTGCCGACGCTTGTTCCTTTTGTTTTTTCAGCATTGCGTAGTACTCAACCAGGATTTTCCAGCCTTCTGGGTGCATGAAGCCATCCGGCGGGGTTTCGCCCGCTGCGGCAAGCGCGCGCATTTTGGTCCCACTAATGGAAACGAAGTCGTCTTTCCTCTTGGGGTCGAAGAACCGCATCTCCCGAACGGTTTTATCGTAGGCGGCGAACTGGAAGGGCACGATGGTCATGTCAAACTTGGGGTTCATCTTCAGCATCATCTGTCCGTGCCAGGCTGAATACGCGTCGTCTTTTGTCCGCGGGTGCTTCATACCGGCCGGATCCCGTCCTACGATGTAGTGGGTGGCCCCCACTTTTTGTCGCGCGAGTGCGTGCCATTGCACCTCACGAGGGCCTGCGTACAGCATCGGACTCGGGAAAATCGACAGCAAAGTTTTCAGCTCATCTCCGAAAACTCTGTTCTCTAGAAGCTTCTCGTGCTGTCGCATGCGCCACGAAAGTGGAACCTAAAAATAAATGTTGGTGGTCTCAGTCGCTTTCATTATCATTGTCGTTGAAAGGTACTAGCATAGCCCTTCTACGACCATGATTCTGTTTCAGTTTCAGATGAACAACTGAGCTAAAGTGAATAAACATTATTCTACAAAAACAAATCTATGTGTACGTCATCCTCTTTTGTCCAGCCGCCAAGGGGATTGATCCACAGGAGCGGGTTCTTGTAGCCCTCGGAAACCAGTTGGCGGTGCGTGTCTTTCATAAGAAGCGCGTGCCCGTTGTGGATTGGGTTTCGCAGCTGAAACACGAAGACCGCGTCATGCTCCTTGAACACGTGACGAATTTGCGTCGGCGTTAGCCGGTACTTGTCGAGCCCATCGCCCCGCGGCCAACTTTCCTGCAGCACTTCCAGGTCGCCTCCGCAAAGGTTTTTCGTCGCGGCCGGTCGAATCCAGCTCTCCACGTACGGGTAGTCGTTTTCTATCAAGCCAAACGTCCGTGCGATGCGCTCCTCGACCCGGTGCTCGAACACCTGCACGTTGCGCAATATCGCTACGGGTTTCGGTTCTGCTGCGTCAACGTCTTTCTTAAACGCGTACCGGAGGCCCAGCGTCGGGTCGCTTGCAGTTTTCTCCCAGCCGACCGGAAGGTCGCAGGTGAGCACGATGGGCACCGGCGGATCCTGGTGGTGCAGCGACTTCAAATATTGCTTTTCATTCATGAACCCTCCCAGGTCACTGGCCCAGCCCTGCGCGAGCACCTCAAGCCATTCCGCCTCTTCGTCGGTCAGTGTCTGCTTCTTCTCCACCTGAGCAAAACGTTGCAGGAACTTTTCAGGGTCGTCCGTTATGATCGAGGTTCGGGATAGCCCGCTGACTAGCTGCACCTGCTCCAGTAGTGACGCACCGAGGCACAGCACTTGCCACCTCATTGGGGTCGTCAACATCCCGTGACGGTGTCGAGGACAACGACGAGGTCGACTGTCCAGGAAAAAAAAATCAAATATCAGTACAGCAAAGAGTCATAGCATGTCTCCACTTTGAGAACGTGATCGCTTTTTTTCCTTGTGCTGTTTTGGTGCGCTAACGACGAACCTGGCGGAACAGAGAAAGGCGACGAGGAAAGCGAAACAAGCTGCTGCATATACCATAAACATAAACGAAAGCCGCACTTGATAAACTATCTTGATAACTACTTATCGCATGCGATAAGCGTATTTTTTGTTCACTTTCGGCACTATTGTCGCTGTTTTTTTGGGAAACGTTTTCTACATCATTCTTTTTACTTAGTCATAGACCTGGTTCGAGAGTCGCTCAGTAGTTCACTCTTTGCTCGGCCAGTGAGCGAACTTGCACATCAACTACTTGTAAATGCTCGGTCGAAACAGGCAACAAAGCTGAGCAGCCTTTCTCGGTGTCGTTTTTGTCCACCATGTGGAGGTCGCTACTTTCCATACTTCTTAAGGATTCCTCGTGGCTTGGTGTTAGACGACCACTGGAGGCTGGTGCAGATAAAATGGAAACCGAAAGTGCGCCTTTTTCGCCGGGTTGTTGGACTTGTGGACTCGGAAGCAGGTTGGGGGAAAGTTGTCCAACAGAATTCACGCCATTTCCAAAGGGATGTTCGAACCGCAGGCCCAAGGCGAACAAACACAAACCTGTGGTGGGAAACACTTTTTCCTTCGCTTCCTGCACATCAGCACTGTAGAGCCGGTCGCCCAGAATAGGGCACTGCAAGAACTTCGCGTGTTTTCGCAGCTGATGCATCCGCCCCGTTCGTGGAAAAAAATCTACCACCGTCAACTTTCCAAGGACTCTGTCGGTCAGATACTTCAAAACCTGCACCTCCGTGCACGAATTTCGACCGTCGATAGGCTGGGTCACGTGGAAAGTCGGTGGCAGTAGACTACTTCTTCGCATTTGGTCCTTCTCGTCGGAGTCCACGGCCGAAAGGTTGGCAAACAGCATTTGTTCGAGCTGGACAAGCTTGATGCCGACGCTGGCTCCCGTTTCCGACGACGAGTGCGAGGTTGATACGAATACTGACCGCGCTCGCTGGCTACTATCTTCCCTGCTGTGTGCAGCGTCAACATCTCTTCGTTCGCCTGCACCACCGTGTTCTGTTGTGCTGTGTTCGTGGTTTGGCAGCTGTACATGTCCCCGCAGAATTGCCCGGTATCGTTTTTGCACTCGATGCTCGCGCAGAATGCGACACAGGGCGCGGCTAGACGCCTTGGTTTTTGCGAACAATAGAAGCCCACCCGTATCTTTGTCGAGTCGATGCACAGGCTCCGGGCTGGACATCGGATCGAAATCCTCCGGTGAAAATTCCCAACAGATATTTCCATTCAACTGGTCGCTTGCTCCCTTTTCATCTTCACTCGCACAACTGGGGTCATCGTCATGTTGACCACCCAGAGGCATTTCTACTCCCTGCCCTGCTACCCCGGCGCTTTCTGCTTGACGCCGAGGACCTGTGACATCTCCCTCCTCGTTTTCGCTAATGTTCGTTCTTTTGCCCCGCCGTCTGTCTTGCTTTCTTTGTCGCTTTCGATCTCGCACGCTTTCGCCCAGCTTCTTACTTCGCTTTTGCAAATGGGACCGGCCCAGGAAGAGCAGACACTCGTCGTGCTTAAAGCGCATGGTTTCGACATTCCGTGGCTTCCACACGATGCCCAGATGCTCGTCTTCATACACGATGCTCCTCTGATGTTGCCGGACCAACTTCTGAAGGAAATGCCAGTCCTCCGCTGCCGCGATACCGCTTGGTGAAGATGCGGGCGAAATCGTGTCCCTCAAGAAGTACAGCCCGGCTGCCCCGGACGAACTCCCTCTTCCTCCAGACGAACGACATGCTAAGGTTTCATGAGATGGTGACGAATCGGCTTCCGCATTGTGCTGGTCGTGGTAGTCCGTCGACCAATGACACTGCACACAGTGAAAGTGAAGGTCACCAAAGGACCGAAAAACTTTTTGTTTGCGTTTGGTCCTCTTGCTTGCTTTTGTACTCCCCGTGCCCTCGTCTCTACACGCCACACTGGTGTCGCATGACGATGCTTCTGCCCCACCTTCCACCACACCCCGCCGGTCTTGAGTTTCTACACGGCCAGCGCACAGGCGACACGTCAAAGCTAAATGCATGGGGTGTGTCGCGTTTTGTTTTCATATGAAGAGACCAAGGGTGAATGTGATGTCTGGGTCAACCTTCTGATTGGCATCTTAGAAACACAAACTACTTGACGCCCGCACCGCTCAGCTCCTGGTCGTACGTGAAAAAATAAGCTGGTCACTTGATTCGGTGGTAGAAAAAAAATCTATTTCCAACACGGTGCTGCCAGTTCCACTGTACACACACATACCAAGAAAAAGATAGGAGACTTGACATGAAAACATGATTTAACCTTGACCTTCGCTGATCTTTGTATCTTCACATCCGCACAAGCACAAGTGCGCCCTCCTGGTCGTGGTCCTGATCGATGATCTCACAGTTTTCATGTTGAGAGCCCATTTCAATTTTTTGTTTAATCTTTCTATCATCCACCGCGTCGTGATCACTGATCCACAGATCTTCGCCTGATCATTCTCGGATCTGATGAAGTGATTATTTAGGGGTTCTCCTAAACTTCAATATCTGTATCTTTCCAAGAAACACCAGCGCCATACTCGAGTTTGTTGTGGATTCATTCTGGTGGACAAAATGAAAATCTATGAATTTATAATTTGTACTTTCGGATGAATGAGGACGAGAATAATCACCAGAGGAGCGTCCCCTCAGAGTAGTCGAGTTCAACTTCGCCCAGCGAGGGAAAACGAACGAAGCACCACCATGGATGTGAAGAAGAGCATCGGACACAGGTTCATTTGGAGTATCTAAGGTCAAGAGCGCTACCAGCGTCTCGAGCTCGACCTCCGCCTAATAGATACTACGTAAGACTGATGCTTATCATACTCATAGTAGTTCAGCTTTATTATAATGCACGTTTATTCCACCCTGACGGGTTGCGACTACCACTACGAATTTGGGACTCAAAAATACAACGAGGTAGGAGGTGGGCTAGGGGCTTGCTTTTACAATTGGTCGTGCACCAGGTAAGTAGTTCATGCATTTCGTACTTTCTTATGTGGCAAAAATTGCAAACACTTACAAAACGTGCACATTTTTAATTTCGGCATCGCTTTGCATTTGGATACTGACTTTGTTGAAGTTGAAGTAGATGAAGTTCAATTTACAATAGTAGGAGTAGCATCTTTACCCTGTCTACTTGTTGCAAACGTGCCAGAATTTGATTTTTGTGTGGTCATCTCAAGACTGAAAATGGTACGCTTTGGGTGCTGCCTCTGCTGCCACTTCTATCTTGTCGGCAACCTGCTGAGGGGCGGCTTCCGCAAGTGTCCCCACACCATGCGAAGAGGATGCCGCTCCTGACAATTGCGGTTCGGTGCCAGCAGCTACAGTGGTGTCTGCTACGTCAGCTTCCCCCAGAGGAGGCGCTGTCTGTTCGTTTTCGGCGGGAGCACCTCCACCGTCGTTATTGACTTCGAGCGTTGGTGATGGGAGTTCGACATCCGCTTCCTCACCACCCCCTGCCGTACCACCTTCGGCATCCGGCGCTCCCTCGCCGCCACCGTCGGGACGCGCGGTGCCCGGGTAGACGGTCGCGACTCCCGGTACATTGCTCGTCTTTTCCTTTTCTTCGCCGTCGATCGGGAGCTTCAGCGCTGCTCGCCCTTCCGGGCTCATGGGTTCCCGCCCCATGATCTCGTGGATGCGCCGTCGGGCTGTCGGATACGTGTACTGTTGCAGCATGGCGGTGTAGACTTCGTCGTCGATGGCGGTCGTTTCGCGACAGCGGATTAGACCGAGCCGGTCAACCGTCTTCTCGGCCATCTTCACAAAACGCCCGCCCTCCTTCAGCATGTGTTTCTTGCCGTTGACCACATTATCCTGCCAGTCCTGGACCAGTTGCGCAACCTCGCCGTGGATGGAAGCAAGGTACCTACGTTGACATCGACACAGAGGAGCTTAAGCATTTTGGTCTTTACACCATTGTTGCAAAGACATGTTAACTTTCTATCTATATCCGTAGTAGTTGATGCTCCCTCTGAATCAGCATGGTTGATGCGAGGAGAACAACTCAAAAACATACTTAGGGGAGCGAACTAAGGCAGGTTGACCACCACGTCGACGTAATTTACTACAGGGAAGCTGGAGCTCCAGCTGCCAGCACATCAGGACAGTGAAACCAGCAGCGATGCGCAACATACGCTTTTTTTGATTAAATTTCAATTTGGGTACCTTCGATTGTCCTCGACTTTGTCGCGTAGCTTTTGCCCGGCTTCTTTGATGCTTCTTGCCTCATCGATGCAGGTTTTATTTTGCGACAACTGCTTATCGATCTTCTCGAGTAACTGGCCCCGCAACTTTGCTAACCCCTTGATAGCATCGAGCGCTTCCCCGATTGCGGTCTGAATGCCGGCTTCCGCCGTGTTGCGGAACCACTGCTTCACATCCTTCCGCGCAACCTTAATCTTTTCGAGCTCCTCCTCGCAGTCCTCTTTCATGCCCGAGATCGCCTCCTCCGTGGATCCGCACTTGGCTAGGAAATCGCGAACCTGAATTTTGATTTGACATAGTGGCTTTATTGCGGAGGAGGCACTACGTATCCCGTCTGCGACGTTCCGTTGAGGGAGATGTTCTTGAGGCTGTTGATAACCGCCGAAAACAGAAAGAATCGACATAAACATACTTACTTACATACACGACAACGATGCCAATGAAAGCGCGTGCGCATCTATTGATTTACCTTTCCCTCCATGCAGTCTTTTGTCCGATCCTCGCGAGGAAAAACGTCCGCGCAGGTTTCCGGCGTGGGCACGTTTCGAATCAGCGCTTCCAAGCGTTGTTGCACCTCGATTACCCGTTGCCGCTCGAGGGCCTCCTGCTCGCGAAGCTCTTCTTCGGTGGACTCCCCCATGACGGAGGAAGAATTTTCGTCCTGTCGCGAGCTGTGCTCATCTTTGTCCAAATCCACGTCATCTGGCACTTCATCGGTTTCCGTGACTGTATCCTCTTTCTGATTGTTGTTTTCGCTGTTCGAAGAGTTCTTCGAGGAGGCGCGCTTGCTGCTGCCAGCACCTCCGGTGCCTTGCTTGACCGACTTGCGAGCGCCCCCGGACTTGCTGCCGGACCGCTTGGCTTCGGAAGCGGATGAATCCTTCGAAACCGCTCGCGAACCATTTTTCGAGCTTGCCGAAGATCCTCCACCATTCGAGCTGGGGGGCATTTTGCTTTTTTTTTCACGACAATGAATCGAGGGAAATAGCTGCCTGTGACGTCGGTTTTGGTTGTTGTAACCGAGATTTTGGCCTAGATGAACTGCTGCCGGTGCCGCTGCCGGTAGAGCATTTGCATTGATGACCAGAAGGAGCCCACTCTCGTCAGCGTTGTGGTCTCTACTCTTCTTTCGGTTGGTAGTACACACGAGATAGACGATGACACAGCAGCTTTATTCGTCTCATCAATCACTAGCAACCAATGTAGATTTTTGAAGTTGATCTCCAGACGAATAAAATTCCGCAAAATCATTCTGCGACAACTGTGGATGGCACCCTCGATTTCCCTCTGACAACAAACGAAACATTGCTGCTCGATAGCACGAAGAGGCTCTAGACACGATTCGATACATTCCACTTCCAATTCCAGCCGTGTTGTCCTGTTAAAGAGCAGCTTTGCTTTCACATTCACTGCTCTTCTCTTTCTATTTTTTCAGGTCTCCAAAGTCCAAACTTATTTTTCTACAACGGTAGTTGTCAAAATCCATAGTACTTTGTCGTGCAACAGCATCCGACAGATGCAGCACATTAATGAATGTGAATGTCCAACGCTACTTGTCTACACGAAAAAAAATATCAGGGCTTCCGCTTCATCATGATCATCTCCTGTCCGCAGAAGCAGCTCTGTTGATGATGTCGATAATTCGATGATCTAAAGTGTAAGTCTACTTTTCGATTTCGGGTGGATGATTTTTACATAAAACTAAAACACGTATAACACTGCGCATGCGCATGCGAAGGTATTCAGCATAAAGATAGATAAAAGTAAAGCTAAAAGTGAAAAATTGCATTAAGCAGGATGGCGGAAGAACAAGAAGCTCTAGCTCAAGTTCATAAACACCTGTCTGTGTGTAGCATTGAAGAACGGAAAAGCGTCGAAAGTGTCCTGGAGAGTAGTCGGTCACAGGCAGTTGTGCTATGTTCATTTTCTTGATGTTGAAAAACAAAAAAATCGAGACCAGTGACCACTCATTGTCTCCTCTACTCCCGGCGTTAAAATTAGGTCGGACTTCCGCCGCCCCTTTGCCCGGGCGGCTGCGGCAAATTTTCGTCGGTCAAGTCCATATAGAGTGCCCGGTTCGTGAGCTTCATTCCGACACCGCGGCGCTTCTTGTACGTTTCCACATGTTTCACTACGCCCCAGGGGATAAAATACTTCAGCGAGGCGCATCCCTTTTTCGGAGGGCCTTGGATGTACCAGCCCCTTGGCGGGTTGTACATGGCATCTTCCTTGTCGATGCCGCCGCTCCACTTCATGTCTTGCAGGATCACCGTTTGGTACTTCGTAGTTTCAGCGTCGCCCAGACGAAACATTTCCAGCGCCAGCCGCCAGTCCTCCTCCACCTCGAGGTCGAAGAGGTGGAAGGTCGACTGGAAATTGGAGATGTCCACCTTGTCCTTCATGAATTGGATGCGCTCCACGACCTGTTGATAATTGTCCTGGCGGAAGATCACTTTCGTATTCAAAATCTTGTTTTGCTTCTCCACCTCCGCTGGGTTTTCGATCTTGGACTTTGCGTACCGATTGTCCAGGTTGATCCAGTCGTGGCAGACCAGCCGGCCTAGCCGGTAGCTCACCTGGTACATCGCGAACACGTCGAAGAGCAGGTTGCTGTAGAGGCATTCCACCGAGGTGACGCGCTCCAGGTCCGTGCACCTTGAGAACAGCCGCACGAACACGTCCGCGCGGGTGTGGTACTTGGTCAAATCGTGGGCCACCACGCGGTCCTGCAGGATCCGCGCGATACCGTCTTCCGCGGTGGTGAAGCCGCCGGTCAGCCGCGTGATCAAATCCTCCTCCACAAAGTTCTCGCCGAAGTGCGCGGAGCAGTCCTTGGGCTGTTCTTCTTGAAAGACCAGCAGAATCCGGACGAAGTCCTCGTAGCTCAAGATTAGCCGGTCCGAAATCGCCGTCAGGGCGAGAGCCCGACTCGCCAAGGGAATCTCGCGCAGCGGGTGCTCTTCCTGCGGCGCGTCCAGGCCCGGGATGTCCACGTGGACGTGCTTTTTGTGATGGTGTTTTCCGTGATGTCGGTTGTTTCGCCCGTAGTGGTCATCGTGCAGCTTCGCAAACGCGGCGCGTTTCTGGACCCCCGTGGAACTGGCAGGCTGTTCCGGCGTCGCCGGAGTCTCTGCTGCTTTTTCCCCGCCGCCAGCTTTCTTCAGTGCAGGTCTCACTGGGCTAGAAGTACTTGTTCCAGCACCCGGGGTCGAGCTACTAGTTGGAGACTTTGCTTTCGCAAACCCGGCCTGCTTCGCAGCCGCTTTTGTCGGCGTGGCATCGCTGAGAGCGTCCTGCGTCATCGCCATGGAGGATTTCGCACTCCCGACGGATAGGTGCGGTTTTTTTGGCCTGTGTTGGTGATGGTGCTTCTTGGAAGTCATGGGAATGACCTTGGGCAGGTGCTTTTCCGTTTCCAGCATGTAGCACAGCGAGTCCATGACGGCGCTGTGAACGATCGTGCGGTCCTTCTTCAGCGGGTGCAGTGGCGAGTAGTAGTCAAGCTTTAATTCAAGTCCCTTCTCCTCCTCGCCTGAGGCGCCGCCTCCCGAGCTGCCGCCGCCCGCGGAGGCCAGCAGCGCCCCGACCGAAATCTTTTCCTTCGATTTTCGGTTCATCAGAATTCCCCCGCCGGCCAGTACAAAGTGCTCCCGCCCGTCCACGAACACGTTGCGCATCAGTTGTAGATCGCCGTGCTGCGCGAAATCCGGGCAGTTGTGGGACTGCAGAATCTTTTTCTCCCACGCAGCCAGGATAACCAACCGCTGGAACACCTGCACGTCGCCGTTTTTGTTCAGATCCAGAATGTACCGCCCCGAGGGGTTCATCGGGTTGAACCGCACGTACGTGATGAACTTCGCCTTCAGCGCCAGCCGAGGTCCCGGAGCAGAGATGAAGTTGTACAGCTTCGCGTGGGTGTAGGAAATGAAGCTCTGGTTCATGGTCTCGTCCATTTTCACGGCTCCCGCCAGCTCCTGGACCGCTTGGAACCGCTCCCAGGGCGGAAAGTTTTGAATCACGTAGCGAACCTGGGCGATGGAAAAGATGAACTCCTTCGACAGTGACTGCAAGAACATCTGCCGCTCGGTGGGTCGCGCGTCCGCGATACCAACTGTAAAAATGTCTGGGTCTGGAAAAATCCAACTTGTCATGCTGATTTTGGATTCTAAAAAAATCTGTATTGCATGAGCAGCAAAGAGAGTCCAAGTTTTGCCACACGGACAGAGCATTTGTCATGCGGTATAGGCATCAGGAATCCCTCACAGACTCTGTGATGCTAGGTTATGCATCACAGACATCAGGAGTCAGGCAAAATGTGCATGACAAACCTGGCAATCTTCCAGACCCAGACATTTTTACATTTGATACACGAACTTCCGCAGCATCTGCGACACAGCCACGAACTTGACCAGGGGCGCGTAGATTTTGTTTTTCTCGAGAAAGTATTTCAGGACCTCGTGATGCTGTCGCGGCTTTTTGGTCTTCGGGTTGTTCACGTCCAGCATCTGTTCCGTCTCCGCGTACGCAAACTTGCACACGGTGTACTTCACCTTGCTCTTGGACCGGGGAGACTTGGACCCCCCTCTGGGACTCTGGCTTCGCGGGGAGTCCGTCAAATTTAGCTTCAGCGGTGGGGGCTGCGGCACACGCTCGAAGAACCCCTCGTGGAACTCGAGCAAGTTGTCCAAGTAGACGGGTCGGAGCACGGTTTGCGATCCGGACAGTAATCGCGGTTTCACCGCGGGCAGGCTGCCGAAATTGCTGAAAATCTGTCCGAACTCACGGCAGTTCCCCCCGGGCAGAAACGTCACCTGGCCCTGTTTGTACCCCGAGGCCTCGCGAAACAGCAGCGCCCGCAGCAAACACCTGTCGTAGCTCGACCGGGTCAGGTGCAGCGTGTACTGGCTCCGGCTCGGGTCGCTGTTGTTGTAGCTCGGGGCTTCCGAAATGCACGTGAAACCCGTGTTGCGCAGGGAGTCCAAGGGCAACCGGAAGGTGCTCCGCTCGACGCCCTCGGTCGCGACCCGCGGGGTCATGCGCAAGTTGGTGTAGTCGATGGCTATGTCTTTCAGCACTGTTGGCTTGTACGACTTCGCAGTTTTCGGATCGTAGATGTTCGGTTCTGCGTAGCACAAAGCCCGGTTCATACTCTGAATCCCCTCGACGCCCATGGGGTTGAACTGGCAGTACACTGTGTTGATCGAGGATTTCGTAGAGAGCAGCGTCTGCTCCAAAATGAAAATCGTTTTCGCGGTGCAGTTGCAGTGCGACACGTCCAACACTTCCAACTGCTCGTTCTCGCGCAGACATTCCAGCACGAACGGCACCCCCACGTTGTCGATGTCAATGGATTCAACGTGGGACAGCGACAACTCCCTGAGGCTCTCGAACTCGTTTCGCCGCAACGCGTCGCCCAAGTCGAACAGGTCTTCGTGGAGCAAGTTATGCGACAGATCTAGCTTGCGGAGCTTCATCAGACTGTCGCGCACCACGGCGGTAACGCCGGCGCCATCGTGTGCGTGGCGCAAGTAGCCCAGACACGTGTCCGCGAGGTCCAACTCTTCGAGCAAGGGCAGCTTTTCCACGGATGTGAAGAAACTTTCGTGCGGCACGGCAAACAGCTTCGTCCCGCGCAGAGACAGGCACTGCATGTGCACCGGAAAGGGCACCATGCCGCGACTGAGGTCCAGCTGCGCCGTGATGAACTTCCGCAGCTCCAGCCGCGCGGTCGACTGCGTCGCGGTCACCGGGTAGAGCTGCGACTCGCGGTCCTCCACCTCCCCGATTTCGTGGAGGTGGTGCTCGAGCAGGTCGTGCAGCACGTGATTTGGCAACTCCGCAAGATTGTTCTCCGCGGCCTTCTGCTTGGCGAGCGCCTCGAGGTCCGCGCCCTCGTCCTCAGCGAGCAGATCTGCTGCGCTGTTCATACTGCGCATGAAGGATCCGAAGCTGCGCAATGTTGCGCCACCGTGCTTCTCCGATGCGTTCACTTTGCTTTTCGTGGGCGACCGCTTGTTCATCATGACACTCCCTGCAGTGGACGGCCGGCTTCGGCGTTGCGCCGAGCTCGGCCGCGACGTGCCGCGCAACACCTCGCTCTGTTTCTCCAAGATGGCTTCAAAATCGTCATCGTCGAAGTCGTCCATGCTGGAGACCCCCGAGTAGAAAATACCGCTCTCTTGCAGCGAAGATCGTCGGCCCTGCGGATTTCTTGTGCTGAAAAACCCGCTCTGGCTGCCCACGCGGCTACTGGACGTGGGGTTGCGCCCACGAAAGGCGACGCCCTTCGGACTCAAGGGCGATGTTGGGCTTTGCTTCGGGCTACTCGACCCCCGCGAGGGGGTCGACAAGCCGGACGCCTTAGTCTCTGGATAGAACAGCATTACTTGCTGATGTGGCGCACTGCCAACTGCTGATGTAGTGATGTCCCCGGTGTTGATATTTCCTTCTCCTGGCACTGCCGTGTGGTTTTGCGCCACGAGACTGGCAAGACTAGTGACACGCCTTTCGTGTTTCTCGTTCTGCATGTGCATGTCGCTGGAACGCTTGGCGTTCAACAGTGGGAGCGTTTTAGTCAAGGCTAAGGTGCTCTTCGCATCGCCCGCAATCATCGGAATGTCGATGCTGGGGCCATGAAATGCATCCGCGGCGCGGCGCGGCATGTTGACCACGCCCGACAAGTGCAGCGCATCTGCGCTGTCGGGAAACTCCTCGACGTTCGTCGGTAACAAACTTCGGTCCACGCCTGCACGACTCTGGTCCCCCAGCTTTCCCTTCCAGGAGAAACTGAAGTCGTCGCCCGGAGCATGGTGCCGAATCATGTTTCGGAGGTCTGGTGGATGCAATTTCGAACCGTCGCTCGATAACACGTAGGTGTTGTGTTCGTTTTTGTACCGTTGCAGGTTCTTTCCCCCCGACTGGAACAAGGCCTGCAGGGCCATCACTCCGAAGGTGCGGTCGCCCTCCAAGTTGCCCCAGATCTCCAGCGTCGTGAGGTTGGACCAGGGTCGGGACGCCAATACGTTCAAAACCGTTACCCAGTGCACGCTCCCCCCGATGCGCAGCGTTTTCCATTTGTTCGTGTGTTCGTTGTCCGCGAACTCGGCACTCACCAGCTGCTTGTCCTGTAGGAACGCGAATCCGTCGTAGTCGACTTCTGGGCCCCTCGGAAGAATTTTGTTCTCCTTGCACGCTTTCGCGTACCTCGCCTCCTTCGTGTTCAAAGTCGCCATCGCCGTGAAAGGCCGCGTCAACACGTCCGCGCTCTGCTGCAGGTTGGGCTTGAAAGTTGCTTTCAAAAATTCTTCCTCCGCGTCTTTTTTTACCACGTCCTTCCGCACCGTGTTCATGTCCTCCCGGATGCGGCGGAGCATCTCCTCCTTGCGCCGCCGACGCTTGTCAAACTCCTCGCAGATCATGAGCATCACCTTCAGCCCCTTCTTGTCCGCCAGGTTTCCCTGGTGTATCATTTCCTGGATGCGACGCTTGCGCTCGTCTTCGTCATGTACCCACTTTGTGTCGTCTTCGTCCTCGCTGCTACTGGACAGCGCCCCGAAGCCCACCCGCATGTTGAAGGCCTTCTTTAGCTGCTCGGCCGCCTCGGGCGGCGCGTCGTCGGGAACCTTCGGCTCTTCCAGCATGTTAAGCTTCGCTAAATTCTTCTTGGCTTTCCGCATCAAGTTTTTCCGATGGGCCTTCAGCGCCCGGTCCTGCGCCTTCTGCCGCCGGTCGTTCTTCAGCTTTTCCCGCAGCTTTTCCGCGTTGTCCTGCGCTGCAACCAGGTATCCGTCACCCTCCATGGAATAGGGTTCGTAGGCTACGGTGACCATCCCGGACAGGGTACTCGACGCGAGGCCGCGCATGCCGATCACCGGCCGGATGCCGTACCCGAAGTCGCTCCGCGCCCGGGTCCGCACGAACGCCGCCGTCAGCGGCCGATGCGTGATGTTCCGCTCCCGCATAGCCAGTAGCGGCTCCATGATGGCGCGCTTCGGGGGGTTTTCCCCGTCTTCATCAGCCAGGTACTGCTCCTTTTCCTTGAAGATGTTCCTGGCGTCGTAGTTCTGCTTCATAAACCCCATGGAGTCACAAAGGGTCGAGTGCATTTTCGCGCCGCGGAAGCCTCCGAGAGTGGTGTGCTGCTTCCTTGTGTGCTTTTTGTAATACTCGGAATCGATGCGCATGTTTTGCAGCAGATCGTTCTGCACAGACGAGCGCTGCGCTTCTTTCTCGTCCCCCGCGTCGTTTGCGAACAACGCCTGCAACCTTTTCGAGACGAACACACCGGCGTTCTGCCGCCGCAACATTTTTCCCGATTGGAGATTATCGAGCGACTTGTTTTTGTTTCCCACCTGCTCGCCCGCGGAGCTGTCTCGCGGGCCTGGACTGCCGGTCGTGTCGTCCTTCTTCTTCCGCCTCCGCCCCCGCGTGGCTAGCAGCTCCTGGTCCTCTTCCACCTCCGTTGGCCGCTTGACATAGCCCACGCCCGGGAAGACCGTCTCTACTTTACTGACATTCACTTTGCTCTTCTCATGCGCCTTCAGCTTCCCCAGCACCCGATCGCACTTGCCCGTTCGCTCGGTGGGCTCCACGTGCTCCGCCACCCCCAGCTCCGTCCACCACTCGTTGGCGCGCGCGTTGCCGCGGGTCCGCTCGCCCATGAAATCGGAAGTAACGAAGGTCAGCAAATTGTCAATCAGTTCATCTCGAATTTTCAGCCCCTTAATCTGCGTCCGCACCTTCTCGATGCAGCGAATCATGGCTAGGCACGCCGCATTAGGGGGCTCCTCCGCGTCGGACGAGTCCGGGTTGTCTAGATACTTTCGCCGCCTCTCCTCGGCTTTCTGCTTGGCATCTCCACCCATAATACGAGACTTCGAAAGAGAACTGATGTGTGCGTGTTTGTCTAACGTATTTCGCTGATAATGAAGATGTCTCGCTATTTGTTTAACGGAGTTCGGTGATAATGATGTCGCCGAAATTGATTTTGGTGCAAAATTGAATGTATGGCCCGGACAACTCGTGATTTGACAAAACATTTTTTTTTTTTCATATAGCTACTTTGGCGAACCTTTGCCCGCCCTCAAAGTGATTACGTATCCATTATCTAGCTCAAGGGAGCTACTAAACTAGATAGATAATGTAGCTAGGTAATGAAGTAGAAGTAGGGTCTCCGGCTCCGGCTGTTGCCGCTGCACTGCCGAAAACCAGGCGAAGCTGAAGCGGGCGCCCTTCCACTTGAAGGCGCTCGCGATCACTAATAGCGCCGCGTGCATGGCCCGCCCGAAGGCGGAGGAGATAACCATCGAGCCCGGATGCGGAAACCTGTATGACGCGATCCCGGATGGCGCATGTCTTGCGTGTTTTTCCTTCCAGGGGGATGGTTCACCCCCCGGGGGGGGGGATGGTTCATCCCCCCTATGATGATCCCCCCTGACGATCCCCCCTGCCGATCCCCCAAAATCCGCCCCGATTTGGGGGGGGATAAAGATCCCCTCTTTCGATCCCCCCCCTTTTGCAGCTAGCCTGCGCGCTATGCTGAATTTTTCTTGCCGCATTTCTGAGGGGATCATCAGGGGGGATCATAATCCCCCTGAATGATCCCCCTGATTGATCCCCCCCTTCGCCCGAAAATCCATATACCCCTTCACCCCCCCTGTAAGGGATATCCCTATCGGGCCCCCAACCAGCCCACATCGGGAGGGCAAGTCGTCGTGAACTTGTAATGCAAATCTATTCTTCACATTGAACTTGTCACGCCAACTTGCTTACTTGTAACGAAGGTGCGTTCTTCCGACCACTCAAAATCTGGCAAGGCGATGCTTAGGGGAACGGATGCGCGATGGCGCCGCTCGTTCCTGACGATCGTGATGACTCTCGGCCGTGGCAACTTCTTCAAGTTCATCAGATAGCTAGCCTACCTACCTACATCAGGAGCTACCCCAAGGGGGACCAAAAGTAACTATCTGACTCAGGCGTAGCAGAAGGATCGCCGAAGTAGCTATATTATAAAAAAAAAATGTTTTTGCAAATCACGAGTTGTCCGGGCCAGAGAATGTAGCATCAGATGCTAATATCGATGCATAGATACGAAAAAAGAACATGGACAAGAAGTGAAGCCTAAATCAAAAACAGAAAGAAGCTGCCGTACAAGAGCTTCGACTTTGCGCCGGTCCAGTTTCGCTTTGCGTTGGAGTTTGAGCTGCTACTTCGCCCGCCGCCGGCGAGGAACTCCTCTCGCTTCTTCGCGAGCGTCGGGTTATTCAGTAAGTACGGATTGTCTGCGATCGCGGCGTAGTCCTTCGTGCCCCGGATCAGCAAGCACTGCGCGCTGTGGGCGTTCGTAATCTCGCCAGAGGCACGCATGATTGTTTGCCGGTTTTGTTTCTCCCGCGAAATCGGCTCCAGCACGTTTACCCCCTCGTCGGCGCGGCCCCGGGCCTGCGTGTCCACCTTGGTCCTTACCTGGATTTGGGACAAGTATTCCCGCTGGACCCGCGCCTTGCGCTCTTGGAAGCCCTTCGGATCCACTTGGAACTCGACGTTGCCCCACATTGCGTCAAACAAAATTGCCAAGTGGTCGCTCCCTTCCTGCTCGAGGTCCTGTTGCTCGAGCGCGGAAAGGTTCCTGTGCTCGGCCATCTTGTCCACGCCGCTCGGGGCCAAACCCGTAGTCAGCATGTCCAACATCCGCACCTTGCCGGTGCCATCCGGCTGGTCCCCCCCTGCCTTTGCAGCGGGCGTTGAAGACATCGTCCGGGGCCAAATAGGAAGGTGATACGGAGAAGTCCGCCCGGTCCTCTACGCAGAAAGAACCCCGTACATCAACTTAGTTGATCTGCAAGTGCTTGCGCCGCACGAACGTGGTTTCTCTTTCTACTGATCATATAGGTATTGCCTACCCGTGCGCCCGGATAGTTCAGGTTGAAACAGCTCCCGATACATCTCCATCGCAATCCGGGACGAGGCAGAAAAGAACTTCTACAGAAGTTGGTTCATGTTCATCTTGACTTCCGGCTCAAAGTAAAAAGCCCACGACCTCTAATTTTTTTCATACAACCAAGTCCGTGTCTGCAACCCAAACCAAGAACTGGCTGGTGCGTGCTCTCTGAATTTGAGTTTATTAAACTTGTAGTTGAGCAGTCTTACCAACATACGCGCTTGTGTATGTTAGTTTTTTCTCCACGTCGGCGAAACCCTAACAGGTGAGGCCACGATCAGGTTTGTGCACACTAATAAAGCATCGCGGTCCAACAACTCTGTCTCCAACAAAAACCAAAAAAAAAATCTTTCTGGTGGTTGACGGTAATCTCTAACTCTAAGAACTCTATAATCAACAAAATAGACGGAAACGAATATATGGATGTCTAAAAGAGACACCGACACACAATGAATTGCAATTGATTCAACAACTACAGAAAAATAAGTAACGACACGAATCATTTTGGCGTCATCAAAGACGAAGACCACGACCACGACCAGATCCGGATATCACGAATCCCAACACGAGTTTATTAGATGCGCTTACCCTGGTCGACGTGTCACGAAGAAGATTACGATTAGGTTTAGGTGGACAAATCGAAATCAAAATCACATTACACTGTGACAGAACCGATAAATTGAATTTCGTGTCGTAAGTGAGGGCATGCTATTGATTGGGTATGCAGTAGATAGATCATTCACATTTTCGCCTAGACACGATAACGTAAATCGCAGAAAAAGCAAAAGCAAAGTCGGTTTGTTTACGACGCCTCGACGACCCATGGCGATGCCCTCTACGCCAGCACCAGCAGTTAATCAAATTACGAAAATCTTCAACAGAAGGAATGTCTTTACGCAGGGAATTTCCTGCGCAGGCACGATTAATTATAATTATGCGGGCAGGAAATAGAAAATGAATATCGAGATCGACACCTGCTGCCGGGGCTGCATGCTGCAACAACGACATCAACGCCCAACTTTTGGGAACACACACCAGAAGATTGGCGAGATTACTCATGTTAATGGTGCTGCATGCTGATGCTCCTGGTGATTCTTGACAGCCATAGAGTGTTTATTCCGTATACTGTCTGTTGCAATTCCAGAATTCAGCTCGGCTCCACGCGCCTTGTTCACCCAGACATTTCACCTGCTTCAGCCCTCCGTTTCCATGGCACTTGCGCCGCAGTCTTTCTCGCGAAGGCTCATGGCAATCGCTAAAAGTTCGCGCTTGACTTCTTGTCCGATGCCTTTCTCGTGGCAGTGGACCTTCAGGAGCTGCTTGAGCTTGAGCCTTTGCTCCCCGTTCAGCTCCCCCTTGTACCGCTGCACAAAGATCAGCAAACATCGGTGCCAGACAAGAGGCAGCTCGCGCTCGTCTGCTAAGAACGAGTAAAAATGATCCACCAGCTTGTCGATCACAGAGTACGGAAGCGAATACCTTGATTTTATTTTTGCAAGAAAAGTGGAATGCTTCTCTACTTGTCGCAGATGGAGATCATGTATCATGATGCCCGTGGTTGCCCTCCTCGCACAGATATAAATCTCCGTCGCGACCTTCTACTGTTCTGTGAAACAACTGCAAGTCAGCGAAGAGACTCTCGAGCAAGAACGAATAGTGCAAATGCAAATCTGTCATGCAAATCAACCAGAAAAACTAAAGACGACATGCGCATCAACAAGAAAAACTAAAGACGACATCCGCTTGATGTTGCCCGTAGGTAAAAATTGCTGCAGCAAAAAAGTACTTTTTGTTGATGAGCACGGCCATGAACATCGCGGTGGTCCCGTACCACGGCGAGAATTCGGCTAGTCGCACCAAGGATGCGCTCGCGTGCAGAACTGGGACAGAAATTTTTCCCAGCACGGAGCAGACGATGTGGGCCTCGCGGAGTGTGCACGACTCGAGCGCCAACGGGAGCAGAATGCCTTTCATGAACGCGGCAGGCTTGAACATGGCCTTCTTCAAACACTCGTAGTAGTGGAAGTTGAGCTTTTTGTTCTCCACCATATCGCTGCGGACCGCGGGCAGTAGAACCAGATTGAAAAATCGTTGTGCCATTTTCGCGTTCAACTGACTCGCAAAAATTTTCACGGCTTCCCGCATCGCATTTGGACTCCAATCCAGCGGGTTAGTCAAACACAAGACTTCTTCCCAGTTCGTCAAACTTGGAATCACCAAAAACGGCTTGGGCATCTTCCCGCTCTTGTAGGTCTTCAACCACTTTCCAATCTCGGTGTAGACCTGGATTACCTTGGGACTCAGCTCGTTCTTATGCTTCGCCGAGTTCTGCGTGCTTTCCGTGGCCTCGTTTGGCAGTCGCGTCAGTTCCTCTGTTCGCTCCTTGAGCTGCTGCATCACGATGTCTGCCAGGGACGTGGAGCCATTACCGGATTCATCCTGCTGGGCTGTTTTGTTCGCAGCTGCGTGCTCTCCTGCACGGGACGATGTGGACGAACTCGCGCCTCCTGCAGACGGCGGAAGGAACATCTGCAGTGCCGCCTCCTCTTCGGCCGTAAGCTGTCCTACGCCCAAGCTGTCAAGCTTGAGAAACCCGTCCTCATCCTGGAGCTCGAGGTCTTCTACCTCATCCTCCTCATTGGCGTTACTACCAGTGAAAGCTGCGTCTTCTCGCGCACCATGCAGGTCCAGATTTGCGCCTTCATCCTCGTCCTCTTTTCGCTGGGCTGCAATGGAGTCCAGTACTTTTCTCGTCATCTTGGAATCCAACATATCTTCCCCTCCTTCAGTCGCGTTACTGTTATCTGCCGCTGTTGGTGTGATGATGAATGTGCCATTTCTATTGTCGATCAAATTCTACAAGGCGTTCACTGCCAACATGTGTCCAACAATAATTTATCAAAGCATCAACATGAGACAATCTGCTTCTGCTGTCTGACTTCCTTCTCCCATAAAAATAAAATTTTGAATTTTTGCGGATTTCGTAGTCGCATAAAAATAAAATTTTAAAATTTCGCGGATTCGATTCTCCGACAAAACATCAACCTTGGCGATAAAAATGAAATTTTAAAACTTCGCGGATTCGGTTCTCCGATAAAACTCAAACTTTGGCTTTCTGTGGCGATAAAAATGAAATTTTAAAATTTCGCTGTCTTGCTGCAAGACAAAAGCGCTGCGCGCCCTTCGATGTTCGTCTACTCCATACCTCTCCGGCAGTCGCGGAGCGACCGCCCGTGCTAGATAAGACTACAACACAATCACCATTTATCAACCGGAGACAGAAGTTGTAAGTACCTTTTGTCCGATTCGGCTTTTTGCGCGGAACGGTCCTCAAGTTTCGCGTGGCGTCGTCGTTTTCCAACTGCACTGATAAAGGGTCATGTCGTGCGGCAGCTCCTGTTTTCGATCGCCCGACTTTCGGCATTTTTCGTGTACCAGGATGGAATGGTGTGTACGGAGCAGAAAAAATAAGAGTAGAGGTTGAGATGCTGAATCCTATCAAATTTGTACTTAACTATTTGCCGTCTCAAAGAAGAAAAACGCGAATGACACTAGAAAATGCCTTTTTTTGGAAGATATCAGAAGAGGAGAAAGTCTTTTCTCGAAAAGGCGCTGCAACACTTCAAATCTACCACACCTTCTCTTCACCTGAATGTTTGTGAACAAGTAGCCTTCATCTTTGTGAATAGCGGAGGAGCAATAAACTTGGACCTAGAAAATGGATCTGGACCACTTATGATCTGGATCTTCTTTGCGTTCTTGTAGGGATCCAGTTGATCACGTGATTTTATTTCACATACACGACAAAACTGATAAATGATCCTATTTTACTTCGAACCAAACAATTCTTTCCATTTCCTCGCTTCACACGAAATCTCTACCATGACTAGATATAAGTCAGAAAACCCATTATTTAATAGTATCCCGCAATAGAAACAAAGAATAGAAACGAAAAACAAAAACAAAGAACGGAAACGAAAAACAAAAACAAAGAATGAAAACGAAAAACGAAAACAAAGAATGGAAACGAAAAACGAAAACAAAGAATAGAAACGAAAAACGAAAACAAAGAATGAAAACAAAAAAGGAAAACAAAGAATAGAAACGAAAAACAACAACAACGACATGCAGACAAAGTGCCCAAGCTTCTAAGCGGCGAAGCCTCGAAACGCCGGAGGAAGCAGCGAAGCCTCGAAGCAGCGAAGCTTCGAAGCAGCGCAGCCGCGAAGCAGCGCAGCCGCGAAGCAGCGCAGCCGCGAAGCAGCGCAGCCCCGAAGCCTCGAAGCAGCGAAGCCTCGAAGCAGCGACGCCTCGAAGCAGCGACGCCTCGAAGCAGCGAAGCAAGCCACGAAGCCTCGAGGCAGCGAAGCCTCGAAGCAAGCCGCGAAGCCTCGAAGCAGCGAAGCCTCGAAGCAGCGAAGCTTCGAAGCAGCGAAGCCTCGAAGCAGCGAAACCTCGAAGCCTCGAAGCAGCGAAGCCTCGAAGCAGCGAAGCCTCAAAGCAGCGAAGCCTCGAAGCAGCGAAGCCTCAAAGCAGCGAAGCCTCGAAGCAGCGAAGCCTCGAAACAGCGAAGCCTCGAAGCAGCGAAACCTCGAAGCAGCGAAGCCTCGAAGCAGCGAAGCCTCAGGTTTGTCGCTGCGCCGGACCGGAGCGACAAGTCCAGGAGTCCCCGGACCCGTCATTTTGTCGTTGCGCCGGACCGGAGCGACACAACCAGGGGTCCCCGGACCCGTCATTTTGTCGTTGCGCCGGACCGGAGCGACACAACCAGGGGTCCCCGGACCCGTCATTTTGTCGTTGCGCCGGACCGGAGCGACACAACCAGGGGTCCCCGGACCCGTCATTTTGTCGTTGCGCCGGACCGGAGCGACACAACCAGGGGTCCCCGGACCCGTCATTTTGTCGTTGCGCCGGACCGGAGCGACACAACCAGGGGTCCCCGGACCCGTCATTTTGTCGTTGCGCCGGACCGGAACGACAAATCCAGGGGTCCCCGGACCCGCCATTTTGTCGTTGCGCCGGACCGGAGCGACAAAACCAGGGGTCCTCGGACCCGCCATTTTGTCGTTGCGCCGGACCGGAGCGACAAAACCAGGGGTCCCCGGACCCGTCATTTTGTCGTTGCGCCGGACCGGAGCGACAAATCCAGGGGTCCCCGGACCCGTCATTTTGTCGTTGCGCCGGACCGGAGCGACAAATCCAGGGGTCCCCGGACCCGTCATTTTGTCGTTGCGCCGGACCGGAGCGACAAATCCAGGGGTCCCCGGACCCGTCATTTTGTCGTTGCGCCGGACCGGAGCGACAAATCCAGGGGTCCCCGGACCCGTCATTTTGTCGTTGCGCCGGACCGGAGCAACAAATCCAGAGGTCCCCGGACCCGCCATTTTGTCGTTGCGCCGGACCGGAGCGACAAATCCAGGGGTCCCCGGACCCGTCATTTTGTCGTTGCGCCGGGGCGGAGCGACAAAATCAGGAGTCCCCGGACCCGTCATTTTGTCGTTGCGCCGGACCGGGGCGACAAAATCAGGAGTCCCCAGACCCGTCATTTTGTCGTTGCGCCGGACCGGAGCGACAAAATCAGGAGCCCCCGGACCCGCCAATTTGTCGCTGCGCCGGACCGGAGCGACAAAATCGAGGGTCCCCGGACCCGCCAATTTGTCGCTGCGCCGGACCGGAACGACAAATCCCGGGGTCCCCGGACCCGCGAATTTGTCGCTGCGCCGGACCGGAGCGACAAATCCCGGGGTCCCCGGACCCGCGAATTTGTCGCTGCGCCGGACCGGAACGACCAATTCGGGGGTCCCCGGACCCGCGAATTTGTCGCTGCGCCGGACCGAAGCGACAAATTCAGGGGTCCCCAGACCCGCGAAGTCCGGTGCCGGACCATGGCCGCCGAGCCGGTGCCGGACCATCGCCGCCAAGCCGGTGCCGGACCATGGCCGCCAAGCCGGTGCCGGACCATGGCCGGGCCCGCCGCCCGGCGCCAGAACGCGGCCCCGCCGGTGCCAGCACGCAAGATGGCGGCAAAGGCCAACCTGCCAGCCGCGCCGGTGCCGGATCGTGGCCAAGCCAGTCTGGCGCTTTCAAAATCGCAGGCGGATGGGCCTGCCTGTGCTGAAGCGCCGGAACCGATTTTCCACAGATGGACGCTGAGTCTGTGCTACTATTCATCTAGCGGAATACTATTAAGTCTGCAGGTTACTGGACACGGGAAGCGGGATAAGGCTAGTACTGAACGAAGATAGGACTCTTTGGGATCTTCTTTGCAGCTTTAGTTTCAACTCTGCCGTTGCCTCTTGCACACTTCTTCATGTGAACCATTTTCTGTCTCTTCCAATCATGAAACTCCAGAATCATGTGCATAGATAGTACGTGGCTCTGTTCGTGGTAAGTAACCGACGTGATGCTGTGACTGTGGTTCTGTACTCAAGAACATTGTCATTGACTACTGTACTTGCGTGGCCGCGCCTCGACTCGTCCGTATTTGGCAATAATTGCCTCTCTGAGACTCCAGGCGCAATACATTCCGTCTTCATCTTCTGTTTACCTGTATAGGCGGAGTGCTGTCCCGTTGTCTTTCACGTTTTGCAGCCCCATGCCTCGTCAGTGCGACCGTTCTTTTGTCGCCAGCAATTCCTCACTGAATTGCTGTAAGTGCTGATTTGATGCGCTGATTAGTCGGTCTATCTCTGAGTCGACGTACTTCAACACCAGATCCCGCAATGTACAATCTCCGTACTTCTGAATCAGCTCATGCAGCGCCGTTTTGTCAGTGCTTCCGCTTTCTTGTGGTCGATGGTTGAGGGACGGTTCGTGATTGTGGTTAGCATTGACTCCTGCACCGCTGCGCTTGAGACCAGTCGCGCTGCCCCCGGAACCTGTCTCAAAACTCGCTGAAGCTGTTGCACCCACCATGCTCTGCAAAGAACTTTAACTCAAGGACTACACCAATGAATTATCTTTGGTATTTGGGATTGGGACTACTGCAACAAACTACTCACCCCCGCTGGATTGAAAAATGGGGTCAGCGTGGTTACTCTGGCTATGCTCGGTTTGGCGCGTGACACTTTTTTTCTCGCCCTCCTAATGATCTGCTACATAGAGATAGACATAGACATCATACAACAGGGACACATAAAACTCAGAAGGAAAAGCAAAGACAATTCGAAAGACAGAACCAAGTCACCTGTTTGAATTCCGCTCTTCGACCGAGAATCAGCTTCAAGTTCGTAAATGCGAATCTGACCACCTGCTGATACGAATCCGTATTCGAGTTTTATTTCGCAAGTACAAAATATAGCCGCCGGGGCGGGGGTAGTGAGGTCGTGGGCGTTTTTTTTGCCGGCCGCAGCCTTGGCCGCGGCTTTGCTTTTTATGGGCTCGCCATACCGCCGTGAGTAACGTTATGCCGCACGGTATGGCGGCCACTTGGGAAACGTCGCAAATTTTGGCACATTTCCAAAATTCCTTTCCGAAAGCCAGCCCCGATGCTATGGGGCCGATCCGGGTGCCACGGGGGGCGCCCAAAAAGCGAAGAAAAACCGGGCCCATAGCATGCGGATTGGCTTTGCGCGTCTGGCGCGCTTTTTATTTTTCGCGTTTTTATTTTTCACGCCGGCGCTTTTTGCAAAGCTTCCCAGGCTCTAAAACCGGCGAAAAGGCGGCCGCTTTCGCGGCCACCCAAAATACTCCGAAATCGCGGCCGTGCCGGGCTGTTTCGCTGTTCTGATTTTGGGCGCGTTTTTTGCGCGCCCCTTTTTGGGCGCCCCAAATCGCCAGAAACCAAGGCGGCGGGCGCCTCAGAAGGGCGCCCCTTTTGCCGGCTCCCCTGCGTCGTTTTATCAAGTGCGAATCGATAGTTTTCAACCGGGCTTGTTTGATGGCAACGCCCCGGCCGCTTGACAATTGAAAATTTTTTCTGTCAAAAAACACTTCCGCCCGCTTCAAAACTGCCGGTCGTTTTTCACGGGAGGTGGCAAAAAAACTCCCCGGTTAGAACCGTTCGGTGACCTCACTACATATTACGTACTGACAGACTCACTCACTCACATGGCAATATTATTTATACTTATCTTCCTATGTCTATATCGCCACCTCGCAGCCGATAATCCACCTTCCTTGGCACAATTTTTGCATCGCGAATCATGTGTGACGTTTTCTGCGCATCTATCTGATTTGTGTGAGTGGCTGCACAGTGCAGTCCGGGCGGGGCGTGGATTCCACTTCATCGACGCTATCAAAGATGACTCATCGTTCATCGAACACGCTCCATTGCTTGGCGTTTCACTCAGGCACGAACGATGCCGAACAGGAGCCACAATCGAGTAATGAGCGATGAATTTCGCCAGCGATTCATTGTGTCAGTGTCGAATCGAATTTCGACTCGGAGTTGTCTTCAGATCCATAGACTGACCTAAGTGAATGTCATTATTTTCCAGGTAGCAACATGGCCTCAAAGAATTCGCTTGTAGCTGCAGTGGTGCTAGTTTATGTGGCTATCACTGTACGCAAAAAGTCCTCCAAAACGGATTTTTTTACTCTCTGCCGGCGGTTGTTGTTAGGAATACACACCTGCTGTAGTTTTGCTCAACTTGACTATAACGGCGCAGCCGGTGCCGTTTCTGCAGCTGCAGTATGAACTGGAGTTTCACCAGCGCAGCAAGAATTCATGTACAACATCTCTCGCAAAAGACAGCAGGTACAGAGTCCTTGTTTGCCGTAGTCGAATTCTTGGAAAAAGCAGGCTCTACACTTTGTCATTTTTCGTGAAAAAAAACGCTATTTTTTTCAAGAAAAACCGGTAAGGCCGCCCGTAGAGTTGATCGGACAGGAGCTATCCATGTAGTCAGCGCAGAGTAGAAAGCCGGGTATATGGCGCTTTGACGGACCGTTTTGTTGACAATGGAAATACGTACAGGTACACCGAAAACGCAAAATTTAAATTTACAATTGGATAAAAACATTGTTGATAAAAAATGGTCGCTTGTTAGCTTTGAAGCAGGCGAAATGTGACAAAGAGAAGAAACAGAATTTCCTGTTATTGCAAGCTATATCCTCCGGTCTTGCTTGCGAGCTGCTCCACTTTTCATTTCCTAGCAGCTACTGTGAAAAACGAAAGAAAACAAACCATGTGGTGAACTTAACTCGGATTTACTTTTATTGTCGTTTGATTGAATCAAAATGCTTTTTAATAAATTGGGACGTCACATAGCAAACGGCAGCCTTAGTGTAAAAAAACTATGAAGTGTCCAAGGAGATCAACAGTATGCCGCCGGCGAGCACGAAACAGAACTAGCTTTTCTCGCGACTACAACTCCTCCTGGGAATCCGGCAAGGCATCCTCGTCCAGGGCATCCTCCTCCTCGGGGTCCATCTCGTCGAGCTTGTCGAGTTCATCCAGCTCCGGCATGGGCTCCAACTTGCCCGAAGCGATGTCACCCAAGAACGTCTCCACGGCCTCGGCGGTAAGCTTTGCCGGCTCGTCGCTGAAGCTGCGCACAAACTTCTCGACCTAGTTAGGTTTTCGTTTTTGGTGGGAGTAGATGATTTACTGAATACTTTTTTGAATTTTAAATGATCACACGCAAAAGCACTGCTATTGCAACCCCGCGGCCGGTATAAACATGCATATTCTTTTTACCACACTCCCAGTATCACCTTTCTACGAGGCTACCAGTCGAACTTGAAAAAAATATCGATTGCAAAATCCTACCTTCGCTTCGGACTCGCCCATTAAGTCGCCGCGCTGCAGGACAATCGTGGGGTAGTTGGCGCAGCCCAACTCTTCTCGCGCATGAGCTTCAAACTCGGCGACATCCAACCACACAAATGGAAAGCTGTAATTTTTAGTTTTCGACATCTTTAGTAGAGTTGACGTGCCTGCGGCTACGAGACGTCAATGCTGTCCCTCGCACATCGGTGACTCAATGCGCAAACAACGTCAATCTAACCACCTCGGTCTTGCACCCGGGTGACCAATGTAGTCTATTGCTCTAGATGAAACACAAACACACCCAAGATTCTACAAAAGATATTAAAGTGTATCAAGTGATTTTTGCGTTTAATCATATGCAAGAACGTATCACTGCTTTGCTTGGGCCACTTCTAAGTACTCTAATTTTATTAGCAAGTACACGTCCTTTCCAGCAGCTGCCTGCTTCTTGTAGGCCTCCACCAAAGCCGGGGACACGGAAGTGAGCTGCTGCTCGATGGTGACCGGGTCGAGGCACACCCAGAACAAGCCCTTTGACGCTCGCTCCACGTAGAGCTCAAAGTTGTCTTCGTTGATCTGCCCGAAGAGTGGAATGCGCTCACTCTTCACCCAAGCGTCCAAAGCAGCCGTTTCGAACGCGCCACTGTACTTGATCTGTGATTTTTTGTTATTTTTTTTTCTGAAGACGAGCGAAGACCATGTTCTCCTACCCCGGCTTTCCTTGGCACTAGTTTCAGTTGCATGTTCGTACGGAAGGAGAAATCTCGCAAAAGCTAGGAAACCTAAACCCCAGGCAAAGTGAAACAGTACGTAGCGCCCTGTCACGACAAAAACTCTAATAAGCATCAAGGAACTGCCACGGATAAGTACACTCTCTGCTGTTCCACGATAGAGATCCACACTGGTGGACGCCGCTTCGGAGTACACAAAGTGAGTCATGGTTGTGTTCGTCGCGACCTCAGTAATCGACTCGAGCAGGCTCTTGTCCCCCTTCGCGACCACAAGTCCCTGAGACCACTTTCGCTCCTTAAGCGCCTCGCCAATCTCCGCTTCCGTCAGGGTCTTCACCACTGTATAATTTTATTTGCATCTGATTTCAATTTACATTTAGTGCGCTTTTTGTACAAGCGTCCATGGCTACCTCCTGCAATTATTTTCATGTTTAGGAGAAAAAAGTTTTGAAGAAAGCAGTAACACTCGAGAAGTACCTGGTCCCATGTTCCCTTTGACCCATTCCACGATTCCGTCTGCAGATCGGGGTCCGGAATACTCCTTCTTCTGTCCCTTGACAAATCACTATGCATTTAAAAACACTTACACCCCCCTCTCAAGTATCACGCTTCGCGATCCTGACAGTTGCACGCAGCTGTGTTTTCTGACACCTCTCCAGCTAAAAATAAAAACTTGAAACAGAGCGAAGTCAGCATACCCGCTGCAAATACGGCAGAAACAGAGCCACGAAAGAGAGATACTTGGTACGAGTTGGAGTATGTTGCTAAATTTGAATTCCATAGCCAATAAAGTGTGGGGTACCCCTCGACCTTGTAAGTGGTAGCCAAGTCGTTTATGAAATCCAAAACCTCCGAGAATCCCCTGTTCGTGCAGATCAACTTCATTTTTCTTATTCGCCGATGGCGATCATGAAATATATACAAATTCCGATATTATCAAATCGCTGCATTACAAAAATCATGGTCAAAGATACATACTCAATGCAAGACCTGCCTCATTTTGTTTTTGTACGATCAATTGACTTTTTGTACCCAATACCAGACGTTCATTCGTCATTTACTGGTAATAGTGGTAGTGCGACGAGGTCGCAGAATCGACAACCAAGTGAGAGCACGTCTTCTTCCTTTGCTAGCAGGAGAAGTGATGCAAAACGAGGGATTCATCACAGCTTGCGTCTCGTATCTGTCTCGACCGTTGCATCCACCTCTGCCAGCACAACTCCATCTTCTTTCAACTTCGCTGCGGCTTCGATGTAGTCTCCGGCCATCGACTGTATAAAAAATTAGATATGGTTATCAGTTTAGAATTAGTTTTGGGTAGCAAGCAGGGTAGCAACGTATTCGCGAAATGGTCCACTTCTGACTTACATTTCGTTTCGCCGTTGGCAAAGAGTAGTAAAGTACGAGCGCAAGCTAGCTTTATAACACATCGCCTTTTTCTTCGACGGCTCTCATCTAGCCCGTCGCAAATTGTATTCTTGCGAAGCCGAACCTCTTCTGGTACTTTTCGAATCTAAACATCTTCACGGCTTTGTGTATACCTTGCAGTGTCCGCACCACGGTGCATAGAACTTGACAAGTACGTACTCGCTGGACAGAACCTCGTCGGCATTGCTACTTGTCATCTGCACCACATCTGACGCGTCTTCCGCCAAGATCGCTACTGGCAGCAACCCACCGGCTGCCAAAAGGTGTCGCAAAACGCCCATTCTGCTGCGCGTTCACTTATTCACTCAGCTCCGGACTTCAAACAAACCCTGAAGGCCTCCGGACTAGCACGAATGCGTAGTCAGCGCACACTGTACTGCTGGTAACGACGTCACAACGGGTAAAAAAAAACTGCAATCAGGACCGCGAAATATTTATTCCAAAAGTAGAATCACAACAGGTCGAAATGAGATTGCGAGATCGTGTGGCAACAATATGATTAAAATGAAAAGAACTCGACAGCTACATGAGATACCTACTAAATTGCACAGAGTCTATGAAAATCTTTCGTGTGCCACCGCCTGTGCCAGAGTTTCGAAAAAAAGAACACTTGTAGAATCTTTCGTTCAGATGATGCACGCATCATTTTCTTCGTGAGACAGGGTCATCTATGAAACATGCCTGTAGTGCTGCGAAAAAACCTTGATTGATCTGCGACAACAGTCCTAAAAAACTGATCATCTCCCCCGCGGGTCGAGGTCGCCGTATCACCTCACTGATTCTAATTCTAAATTGGAGCTTCGCTTTCAAAGTACGCCACGACGAGGTAAAATCAGTGGCTGAGCCTTGGGCCGAAAAATATTAAGAAAGTGCAAGTCATCCCTGTTCGCAGAAGGACAAAATGCAGAGATTTGTTGTTGTGCGGGGGGTAAACATGTTATGCACAGCAATCAACACAGAAAATCTAGTTCGTTCTTCTCCTTCTAGATCTCGGCAAATAAGAAATATTGCATGAGTGGGAACGAAGAGATAGAGATACCTCGGCAACCATCTTCAAGAAGGTCAACTTCACGTCCGTGGGAGTCATTCTCCAAATGGAAAAATAAGTGAGAAACGGCTCTCGCTACCAGGCGACGATCTATAAATTTGTGGTCGGCATGATGTGACAGCTCACTGCTGAACTGTCATATAAAGCGAAAAAAACCTTGTTCGTCATACCGCCGAAGGTTTTCCCGGCACCCAGAGGCCGTCCCATTGTTGTACCAAGTCTCCGTACATTGTTTGTCGCGTGTGCGCGGCACTGCTACTGGGAAAATGCTCTCCGTCGAGTCCCAAATGGACCGCTTGCCGCAGTAAAAGATCTCCGATGCTCGTAGTATCGTATATTCCGTCTGATGGCAACTTTACGGTCGACGAAGCCAGGTTTCTTAATCGAGCTCGCGACGCTTCTCTGTGTTCCCTCCACAACGTTGCGCGACAAAAAGCCACTTCCTCCGCGTCCGCAGCGCCACCGAACTCAATTTGCATCTGCTGTAAGAGGCTCCACGCACCGAGAAACTCTTCTGCTGTCACACCATGGCCCTCGATCCAGTTCAAGAAAACTTCCAGCACTTTTGACGGAACTGTCCGCCAAGACGTCGCCGTTATTTTATCGGCGAGCTCAACGGGTGAGAGCGGTGCTGTCCCTACAGAAGATGCCGTCCCAGCAGAGACCCCGGATGCCGTCGTTGACACACTAGCTCGAGCTACCTCCGGTCGTCCTGGAGACTTGCCACTCGTTCCGCCACTTGCTCTTGCAGGGGCTCCTGCGTCAGATGATGACTGTGCTTTCGCTTCAGCGACTGCCACAGCACCCTCGGAAGGTGCTTGGGCCGTGCTTGTACTCGACCGCGAGTTTCGGCGATTATGATTATCCTCACGCAACCATAGCCAAGGGTGAGACGTGCCTGCATTCATTTTCTGCCCAGTGCCGCTGTCAGAAGCAGCAGAAACTCCTTCTCCTTTGCCAAGAGAAATTGACAGTGAGTTATTTCTCTCGGAGCGGGATAGCTTGTTCAGCAGCGCTTCCGCGTACGTGCGCAAATAGACATCTGCATCCGCGGTCGCAAAAAGCGTCTGCAGCAACAAGTCCGGCTCCTCGCAAATCAGCTGGGCAACGTGGGCCACCAGGGGACGTTGTTTCCACAACGCGCAACGATTTTCTTGTCGCTGCGGCTCGACCTCGGGGACCAGCGGAGATTGCCATCCCCGCCGAAGTCCTCTCTTCTCAAAGAAGTTGTCGACCATTGCTCTCTTCTTCTTGAAATCCTTGCTTCCTTTCCGCCACTCGCGCTTCTGCACCCAGGAAGAAGTCGCGTAATCATAGACAGCGCAGCGGTGCACCTGCTTCCGAAACACGTATTCCAGTGTGCATCTTTCGTTGTCTTTCCACCTTCGGGAACCGTGAGAGACGCGCATCTCGTCAGCCTTTGGCTTTGCCTGCGCGCCCGCGCGCGAAAAATCAGAACCTCCAGACACAATTCGCTTCGCGATCATGATTTCGAACATATCCTCTTTGCTTGGTCGTGCTGGTCTGGCGGTCCCCGGTCTGTTCGTCGTGTTCGTGTAGCCAAAAGATGCCGATGCTCGTGCTTTCTCGCCGCCTTTTGGCAGTTGCTTTCCGTTTCGTCCTTCCGATGCTGTCGTTTTTTTCTTGCCGTTGCCTTTGGATGATGTATTGGTGTCCTTGTCCTTGATAGGAGTGCTGTCCTGAAGATGCACTGCATTGCCTCTAGATCCGGGCGAGAGCAGGGCCTGCTGCTCGACACCTTCGCGTTTTTGTGTGTGTGCTGTCGCTTGCAGCTGTGGCTCAATTTGTAGCGCATCGCTCTGGGTCGGATGAGAAGAGGCCGAGTAAAGAGGAAGATGTTGAGCGCCACCGCTGGCAAAAGAAAACAATGCTTGATCATGTTGAGAGTTGGCGTCGTACCAGAAAGAGGAAGAAGCAGGGAACCCGCCTCCATGAGCGGGATACTCTATTTCGGGTTCGGCTGTGACATCAGCGTACTCAAGATTGTAATTCTCGGCAGGAGGAGGAAAGCTTTGAAAGCTTTCCGGTGCTTGCGCCGCGGTTGCTAACATGAGGTGTGTCTGGTGGGTCATCGCCCCCGCCGGTATAATGTAATTGACGTCAACTGGCGGTACCATTTCTCGGCCGGGCAGAATGGAAGTGGGAAAATTGCCATCAAGAGAACCTGCTGGTGCGAAGGAAGGCGGCACCATCACGTGTCGCGCAGGAAGCTGCACAGCAGTCGCGCCGGCAAACTGCAAGTCGCACCACGTAGCAAAATCAGGAAACCCAGCATCCGCTTCTCCAACGCGAGTTCCAGTTTCCGAGCGGCGCTGCTGTTGATACAATTGTTGCATCACAGGATCATCATACATCATCCGACGCACGTGGTCTCCGAGTAGTTGTTCAGGTGGAGGTCGCGGGACAAAATGAGCAATGTGCTCTTCATACGGAGGCTGCGGCAACGCCACGCCTCCAGCTGCTGCAATAATTGAATATCTGCTCGAATCCATGATATCCTCGGTTTTGCTTTTGCCCATGGTGTGAGCGATTGCGATATGCCTAAAACGAGAACAAATACAAGACACTAACTCGAATATTTGATGGAGGTACTAGTACAAGTGAAGGAAAAGGAAAACGACATATTATAAGTTTAATAACAAGTTGCTGTTCTATCGCTGGGACTTCTAGGGGATAGGGAAAACCAGAAATCCTGAAGACAATTTGAAAAAAAAAATACGCAGCTTCAGCTGACAAGATGTCAACTTGATTACAAGATGCGCTGACGACTAGAAGGTGGATAATATCTGAAGAAATTTCGGCTCCCGTTACCTTCTTTCGAAACGATGCTAAAAATTGCTGTCGTGGCCGCATCCTTTTCATCTTTTTTGCTCGAGGAGAAAAAAGAAACGCATGGAGCGTGGTGAAGGTGAAGCTCAAGCTATGACATTATACTATCGTGAAGCTTAAGAACCGACATGTGACTGGAGACTAGCTACCAGCGACCGAGAAAGGGTGTCATCTGGGTTGTGAACTTCTCACGACCGAGGAAGGGTTTTGAACTTCTTGCAGCAGACCGATGACTGATCTTTAGCGCCTACTCGCCGGACATCAGATTCGTTTCATACATAGTGTTCCACGTTTTTTCATCGCTCGATTCAGAGAGAATTTGAATTTCCTTCATCATCATCTTCTAATCATCCTTTTTGTATAGTTAGAAGCCGCATAGTGCACATCGATCGTGCGACGTAAAAAGAGGTGCGACAGAGCGACGATAGAAGCCGACGACGACTGGCAGTGGTCGTCCACACGGCAACTCGGTCGCGTCATTTCTCTGCTGAGAAAATCCCAGGACTACCCCGGCACAGCTTCGGCACGACTTTAATTGGTTATAGAAAGTGAAGCTGTTGTAAATGCGTTCTTCAGAAAAAAAAATCCCGATCGTGCACGCAAAGCTTTATACCTGGTTTCGCTACTTTTACTTTAACTTTCGTGCGTGAAAATATTACACGTGTATTACATCAGAGAGCGACGATTCTTGGCGGCGATGAACTACGAGTCCACTAGTTCGTTGTAGCTCATGACGTTGATTGTCTTCCTTGTCACTCACCAAATTGAATGATTTACTCCGCTACTTTTCGTACTACGAAATCACAAAAACTTAGAAGTGGAGCCTGTCACGACGCTACGGGTCGGAATTCAATCTTGTCTGAAATGTCACGACATCGCACGCACGCTAATCGCCGACAATGAGTGTTCGTGCGACGACCTCGAGCAGCGCGAGGACCAACACCAGCGCAGTGCATTTATTTCCCAAAAAGAAAAAGAGACGAAGCACCAGTACGTGGAAAAACTCGGATCCTTCGCTTTGCGTGAGGTGTCGTTCTTGAAAGAAAACTTTGATTACGGAAACATGTCCTAGCCATGTGGAGGAGCTCAGACAGCTTCCGGCGGTTCTTGGTGCCGTGTCCGCGTCAAATCCGGGGCCCATCCCCGACCACGGATTTCTATCTTGTTTTGTATTGTAGCACCACACCAGCCAAGACTATGCTCAGTGTTCAGTGTTCGCAGTCTGCCACCCAAAATTGTATTGTAGGTCCTGCTTGAATGATTGTAGCCTGCCACTCAACGCTGAGTTCAGTCTTGATTTTTCTGCAAGAATCCACTTGCTGGAGCCTCCAATCGATGTGCGCTCTTCCGTCAGCATTTCAATGCGGTTGCTGAAGGTGTCTGCTGTCTTCCTTGCAGAGTCCTTCCACGATGAAACGGATGGGGCGTTCTTTTTGAGTTCTCCCAAAACCCGTCGCGCCTCGTCTTTCAACCGTTTCCATTTTTCGTCCAAATCGACAGCTTGCTGCAGTACTTCGCGAAGATCATCTCCTGCTTCCTTCCAGAGCTTCGTCGCTCGTTTGTCCATTGCGTCTTCGCCGGTCTTTAGCTCATAAGACAATTCAACGTTCATTTTTGGTTTATTATTTTTATTGCGACGAGCCCTTAGCTCGTGAATGCGGCGGCGGCGGTACTTTGCTTCCAGGGCAGCTTTCTCCTTCAGCGGCTCTTGGAAAGCATGAACAGCGACTGCGTCAAGTCTTAGCAAAATACGATCCGCACGCTCGTTCAATTCGTTCCAGTTCCGGTCTAATTTGTCGTCCGCGGCGGACGAATGACCCCTGGTGTATTGTCACGGGCGTACTATGACTTTACTTTCTCAATTGTCACTGCGAAACGCAAGATGAGTGTCAAGTTGACCCAGACCTACTGTCGAACATAGAGGGAGGCTAAAATAAAACGAAAGCGACTACTAACTTCTTTTTTTTTGCATGATACTGTGGCGCGAGCTAGGCTCAAAACTAGACCATACAACAAGGGCAAGGAATCTAGAAGTGATGTTCTTGTTTCGACGTTTGCTTCTATTTTCTTTTGAATCGCCCCCATACACCACACTGCTCCTGTGAAAAAATACGCCTGGACGAGGTGGGTTGCAGACCTGTTCTCAAGAAAAGCTGGACCGCGCGGCCTCTACTAGAAGCGAGCATATCATGTATATTATACATCTACAGCTCGGCGCCAGCAAGCCTCAAGAAGGCAACCGCTACAGGTCATCCCTATGCTATGGTATTACAAGCCTCCACCTCCCCGGCGCCTATCATGTCTTTAAATTTAAAGCAGTTTCTAACAAACTTTAGCAGCTGCTGCAGTGCTATTTTCAACATTTTTCTATTCGTTATGCGCCGATCCCTGCGCCATTCTGTTTCAGGAGCCTGCAGGCCGGCGCACGCCCCGACTACAATTACGCCCGCAGCAGAACGAATATAGAAAAGGAGCGCGTTGATTTGAATGCGGTATTCTCGCGTGGTGATGATGATGAAAGTATTTACGCTGCCTGCATGCATTGGCGCGCAAACCCAAACGCCGGCCAGTTTTCTGTCATACTCCTTGCCCAAAATCTGCATACTTGCCCTTGCCTTCCCGCGAAAGGCAGGCCTGTGCAAGTACGTAAGTGGCAGATCACCTATCTTTACCTAGCACCAGAGGCATTTTACGAAAGCAACCGAGGTGGCTTTTGCAGTAAGGAAACACCATGACAGGAGCGTACCCTTCGAATTCCTCCCGGAAAGCGTTTTCCTCGCTCTCCCGCATATAGTTATTCCAGTTTTTCAACAAAGAACGAAGTCCCATAGCTCCCAAACTGACGACACCAGCGGCCGCGCCATAAGTAGCAACAGCTTCGGGTTTGATGTTCTGAACGAAGGACCGCACGCGATCGAGCTTCGACGTTGTGGGCTTCTCCTCCGTTCCAACTTTTTCCTTTTTGTTTTTCTTCCTTATCAAACAAAAAAGCACACCCGAAGTTCTTTACAACACTCGCGATGGGTTGCTTTGCGTATGCGAGTTTTTGCGTCAGTAAAAAAACCGGATTGGCAAATTCCAAATCTAGAAGATCAGTATCAGGACCCACGTCTTCACATGTCGTGCACTCTGTGCCTCTTTGCATTTTTACCAAGCCCCGACCTGATTTCTTTCGGCCGGCATTGCACCGGCCAGGCGATGACTGCTTGGCGGGGATCGGTGGCCTAGATGTCGGCACAGATGATTCTACTCCAGATCCTGTCGCAAATCTGGATGCAACAGCACTCAGGCCAACACTTAGGTCAGCACACAGGTTGCAAAGCATCTAGATGAGCACGGAGGTCAAAAAGGAGGTCCGCCACTTTACGAAATCGCCGGGCGAGATATTGGATTGCTAGCTACACTAACTTTTAGCATCTGGAAATCTTTTTGCTGATCGTCTTTTTTTTACAAACTAATTTGGTTCTTTCATTAAATGAAAGAGCCGTCAAGTATACTAATACTAGCTTTACCGACACGCTTATATTTTACCTTCCTGGAATAAGCGGTCTGGAAGCAGAAGCACTTTAGTCTTAGTCTGGATGTGTTTTTCTGTACGATATCCCTCTGCTGCAGGAACCCGAAAGTCGCGGTCGTCGTGGTGTTGAGAGCCGACACGCCTTTATCCTGAGTAAAAAAAGTTCCCTCCCCATATTTGCCATGCGTATTTGGATTAATAGGATTTACATGCCCAGACTGTCGGAGTCAAATCGGCCTAGCAACTGGGTGGCTTCTGAAACGCGCTCAAAATGTCCACTACCATGGCCATGGGACGCCAGGCGGCGATAGGGAGTGGCGCTGTCGAAGTGTTTCTTTTGGCCCCAGAGCCCAACACAAGAAACACAAAAAGAAGACGCGCAAATTGGACAAGTTCCCAGCTGCAAGTTGCCAGAAAAGGCCTCAGTTAGCGGCCAGGCACAAATGCGAGGGCCTAGGGCGGAAGGTCACCGGGCCCCTCCGGCCAGGCAGCAGCAAAAGGCGCAGCGGTCTTGTTCAACAGGTCTCGGCTGACAGGCTTTTTCGACAAGTTGGGGCCGCCAAGTTGCAGAAAAAGCTCGTCTTTTCGTTTCTTCGCAGCTATCGCAGCCAAGAAGCCGGCTTGCACCCAACCGCGCGCCCAGCTGCGCGCCCAACAATAGCGAGGAAGCATCGCCCGAGCCAAAGAAGCCAAGCCAGACCAAGCGCGCGCACTTGCTCGCGGCAATCATTTGGAGGCCTTTTTCTGCAACTTCGGGCCGCCAAGTTTCAGGAAAAGGCCTCTTTTCCCTTTTCCGGGCGCTTCGTGCTCTCTCCCATGCCGGCCAACCGACCCCCGCCAGCAGGGCGGGGGCGCCGGTCTTGAGTACTTTCTGCAGCAAAACATACAGCGCGGCCTTTTTCTTCAACTTGGAGCTGCCAAAGTACAGAAAAAAGCCGTATTTTCTGTTGTTCAAAAAAGCAGAATGTGGCGCAAAAAAAGGCAGTCGAATTCGGGAAGAAAAGGCGCAAAAAAATGAACACGCTCAGACAAGCAAAACGTCCAAAAAGTGACACGCAGTTGACACGCAGTTGAGTCCAAAAAGTGACACGCAGTTGACACGCAAAGTGATACGCAAGTGACACGCAGTGCGTGTCACACTGCGTGTCACTTGCGTACCGCAATGCGTGTCACTGCGTGTCACCAGAATATAGGTGCAAAAAGTGACACGCACTCAGTGCGTGTCACCGTATACCATCGGGGAAGACCAAAAGACGACAGGCGTTGTCTCTCTCCTGCACGGTATGGTAGTGACACGCATCTAGTGCGTGTCAGTGCGTGTCACTTTTTGCACCTATATTCTGGTGACACGCAGTGACACGCACGACCGAATCGCTGGTGGCGAGAATACAGGCGTGAAGAGTGACACGCACTTGACACGCAGTGAGTGCGTGTCACACAATACCGTCGGTGAAGGATATTTCCAAAACTTTCCAAAACCTCTCTCCGGTCTGTAAAAGTGACACGCACTGACACGCACTCACTGCGTGTCAATTTACAGAGCGGTTTGACAGTACACACTCGTCAAAAACGAGAAACAGGTCGTGTTTGACGAGTGCGTATCAGTGTGCGTGTCACTCTGCGTGTCACTTTGCGTGTCAAAAAAAAGGCGGAGTGCGTATCACTCTGCGTTTTTGAAAGCTCCCAAAAATTTGCCGAAAATCTACCAAAATCCGAAGGAAAGGCTCAAGGAAAGGGACAAGGGGAAGGGGCCGCTATGTGGCAGGCCATACAGCTACGTGCAGGCGCACCGGCCGGGAAGGCCTCGCGGCCCGCCAGGAAGCCGCCGGTTTGTCCTCAGACACGGTGGGGCGCTCCATTTTCTCCGGTTGGGGGCCCCTCCCAACCGGAAAAAATCGAGAATCCCACCGTGTCTGAGGACGGGCCGGCGGCTTCCCGACGGGCCGTCGAGGCCTTCCCGTGGCGCCTGTTGCTGTTCTTTTTTCGCCCTTCCCTTCGCATTTTCTGTGGCCTTCAGGTCGGTTCATTCCCCCGCCCCTCTTCCGACCTGACTCAACATCTCGCGACCTTGGGGCAGACAAGGGCGGAGGAGTCCTCGTTTGGCCCTCTACTAGCTTTACCCCACACAGAGGGCCGCAATGCTTGGTCCGACATTCGCACGACTTCCCCTCGGCACCGCTACGGAGCCTGCGCGTCTGTCAAAAAGCGGCGCGTCTGCTTTGAGGGTGCTTGTCGCAAAATAGTCCTCGCGATAGTCGCTAAGCAGCACGCCGGTGGCCGGACAGCCCAGAAGGCATGCGCGCACAGCCGCGCATAGAAATTCGCGCTGCTCCCGCTGGTGCCACCGAAGGCCGCCAATTGGCACACGGAACGAGGGCGCGCGCGTCAGGGTAGAAGGGGCACAACCTGAAAAGGCCGGGGCGCTCTTGGGCCGCCCTTTCGTGCTTTCCTGCCCCGTTAGTTGCCGTTTTGTTTTCATTTGGTCGGCGTTTAGGAGCCTTTTTCTTTGCTAGGCCAATTTGTTCCTAAAGACTGTGCCTACTGCGCAGCCCCATGATGAGGTGTGATTTTTAATGATATCTGACACTTTATCATAGTAGTCTAAGCAGGAGGAAGGAAGCGCCAGACTTGTCACGCGACTGCGCCAGATAGTACTTTAACAACGGCTACATTAGAGTCACACACTCGTCGTGCGTGGTAAAAGCCTAAACTTCTTGGCATGTTATGTAGCAAGGCTGTCAACTCGTTTGTACTGAGGATAACCTTCGTCAAGTTGGAACTCGTTCAGAGAAGAAGTCGTGGCCTGTTCAACAGAGACAGAGTGGTCGTTGTCAACCGATTTTTCCTGGTGCTGGCCACCAGAGTTGGTGTGCTGAGTCTGACCCCCGCCGCCACCGCGCCCACGCGCACGCTATGGCCTGCTCAACTGCGACGATCATAAATGAAATGACAACTTGTGATGCAAAAGCAAAATGCAAATAGAAATACATATTGGTGCGCACCAAAGGCGCCCAAATATATTTCATTTGCTTCGTTTGTTATCCTTATCTCATCTAGCATGACAAGTTCGAGTTCCTAAAGGAGTTGTGCAAAGTAAGTAAGTGCGCCTCCGCCTGCGCCCTGAGTGATCCAGAACAAAAAAAATACTAATACAAACATAAGACGCCACGCAGATGACCCAAGTTTAGGCTCCTTCAGATTCTTGCTCGTTAATCTTACTCTCTTGCGTAAGCGTTTACACACCTGGGCCTGCGAGGACTCTTCATTGTTCCATTTGAGATTGCCTCCTTTGAGCACACCATACGCGCTTCAGCAGGTTCTTTCGTCCCCCCGCGTTCTTTTCCACTTCCATCGCAGTGACCAAGCCGCACGAAAAACAAGTGGCATCATCTGCAAATATGTCTCGGGCTAGAAAGTTGTGCTGACGCACGTCTATGAACGCTGAAGGGCGTAAGTTCCGCAATACGCAGCAAAAAAGTAGCGTGAAATTCTTTACGCTCCTATGCCTTGCAAATGCAACACGATCTTTTCGCGCCATTGCATGACAGAACTTAACTCAGAGTCGTCTCAGACAAAACTGACAAATTGTGCGACCTACGTTCCAGACCCAGACGACATTTCTGCAGAAGTGGATAAACGGCCGCAATAAAGAACTGCAACAGTGTGCCCGCCATTGCGTACGTACGCGTAGTGGTCTGACCGGCGCTGCAAAGTTGTTTTCAGTCTTAATTCCAAATCACGTTTATGCATCTGTCATTATTTACACAACGCTTCCGCATTTGTCGTCACCTAGAAAACGGATTTCATGCGTTTTTTTGGCGATGGACGAGGGAAAAGAAACAACCTGCTCTTCTACTTGAGGTTGAAATAGAAAAAGTCTTCAAGCGAAATTAAAAAGTGTAAGTGACCACCTCGTAAAAGCGTGGGCCTGGCCGGCGCGTAGTTCGATATCGATGCTCTGGCTGTGGCTCTGCCTTTCCTCGATCGGCACGCCCTGCATGAATTTCGTTCTAAAAAATTCTCACTCGTCTCTACCTAATGTCAGGCATGATGCTTTCAAAAGTCGCGAATGATGGAGATTTGCACTGAGGAATAGCCGAAACCACATATGTACCAGGAGGACCTCAACAAACTACCTATGAGCTATGACAGCTTAAAATTTCACATATGTAATGAAGGAAGGCGGGCTCTACGCGCAACTAAAAACAAACTCAGACCCGCAGTTTTTGGCTCTGAGTTGACAGTCTATTTTAATTTTTCTTTTTTGAAAAGAAAAATAAACTACTAGCGCAAGAATACGATAAATCTCCCGTCGCTGGGCGCAAGTCTTGCGCTCCTTGGTGAGGATTTGTACAGGATGGAGCAAGCGTCACGCCATTCCCATTCGTGGTTGTTGAGGTCGTTGTAAATCTTGTCCGTCGCTTCTTCCTTCGCTAGCAGAGTTTTTCGGTTCGTTCGTCAAGGTGCTGAAAGCTGTTCGATATCGAATGCAAATATGCCTGGGCCTGTGTAAAGTTCGAACTTGTAGTGCTGGTGGTGTGGCAGTCGCATTCCTGTCAAAACTGTACTGCGTGACCTTCTTTACCCCTCAGCCCATAATTAGTCATCCACTTTACGAACAATCACAATGCCTTGGGATATGATCTCGGGAAGATTAGATCAAGCTCTAGTGCGGGGTCGGACCTGAGTTGAGGACACACTAGAGTGGAAGGATGTCCTGGTCGATTTCCATGACCAACAAAAGTCGCAGGCTTTTTTGTCATGCAAAAATGCAGTGTCTCACTCTCATCAAGCGGTCTGCGTATCAGAGAGCGTTCTGGAAAGATGTCATGCTTGGCTGCACTCGAAAGTGTTTCCATCATCCACATTTTAGCATCACAAGTTTCCAGGCCCAGATGACATATTTGAAGTTGATATTCCAGCTTGTTCTTCGGCTTGAGCTCGGTCTCCGTTGTGTCTTGAGTTTCGTTTAGTGAAGTAGTTTAGCTGAGACTTGTTCCGCTTCAATTCGTTGTTCTTCCCATCCAAAGTCTACAAGAGAAGCCCTTTAGTGAAGTGCGAGAGAGTTTTTTGGTGTGTCAGTTGTTAGAAAAGAAATTTCGTTAGTTTTGAGGTTGTCAAGAGGAAAGTAGTCTGCGCGAAAAATAAACAGATCCTCCTTGTCGTGCCACGAAGTGGAGAAAAAGAATACAACTCACTGCTTGGACGATGAAAAGCACACGACAACGCCCGGAAGAGGATTCTTATTCGTTATACTTTCAAGAACTACAGGGAAGGATGAGTTGCTGTGGCAGGGGTTGTGTATTGTTTTTGCGAAAGTTTATTCACTTCGTTACAACGGTACACAAAGACTATGTATTTCGATACCGATGTGGCGAGAACAGGCCCGCTCTCCCCCGCACGCAAACCGAATCGCAACCAACGTAAAAAAGACAGACGGCTTTCGAGAGAAGGCAAACGATGTTGCTGAAGCGAGGAAGAGAAGTAACCGATTCTTGTACATTTTAAGTACTTTCATCGCTGAAGTAGAGCTGGGGCTCTGACAGGCTTTGCAAATGAGAAACAGAAATATCGAATTATCCATCTGATGGCGGAGACGGTTGCACGAGATACCGATAATTGTTTACCGCAATTCGGGAAACAGAAACACTCGACAACTTCAACGTTTCTGTTAGTCTACCGACATCTTTCATTCTTGACGCGCAGCACGGCTGCAAACGAACGACAACGACCAATGGATCATGATCTTTGAGTCATAGCTACGGCAAGACCGAATATCTGGCAACGTTTGCTTGTGACTACTTAGCACCGATGGTGAAGTGAGCGGCCCTTGATATTGCGATGAAGCAGGCCGACTCACTGATGCACAACAGGAGCAAAGAAGTACAACGTCTTGGCGTTCTTCCTGTGCTAGTAGTACAGAGACTGACTGCGTCGCTGAGCGGCTTTTTACACTACAGTTACAGAGTCTAACACCAGAGCAGCCCGGACAACTTGTCGAGCGAGGGTTCTTTGCACTTTGCAGTGACATGGAGCTCCAGGTTCTTGTCTGGTTGTGTGTTCAGGTGCAGTCATTCCAAGTTGCAGTTGGTTCGTTGCTGTCCTCACATTTTGTTCTCCGACGTTGATGTCGATAGAAGACATATTTCGGATCAACATCTTCTGCAGCACCCATGTGTGGTACTCTCCAAAGCAGGGATGAAACTAGTAAAACTTACTCTGCACTGTTTGTGAAAAAATCGGGTGTTGCTTTCACTATCCGGCTGCCACCAGCTCCGCAGGATTTGGCAGCGGCATGAATTCCGGGCTTTTTATGCTGAGGCACAATGCGACCTGCCCTCGCCAGCTCCAACCGGATTTTTTGATTTGCCTTTGTGTTGTTCCCGGTGATCATCCCCCTAGTAACTTGCGCTTCTTGCGCGTGAGGTGCAGACATAGACCAAGGGTCCATGCAAAAAGGAATTGAATCGTAGCGGTCGCGGGGACTGTTCCTCCGCCTAATACGCTCCCGAATAATTTTATCAAAGTTTCATGTTTGGATCCACCATGATTTTTTTTGTTCTGATGGCAAAAAAAAATGCGGTTGAGCGTGAGGGTCGCAGTAGTCATTCGCATATCTCCCCACTGATCTACTGCGCAGTAGTCCCACGTCCATCGGTGTCGCAACGAATCCACATGGAAATCTGAGTCAGCAGATAAACAGGAAGCTAGTAGTAGTACGCAAAGCTTGCTTCCGCAAAATGTAATTGACATAAATATTAGTAGAATGCACCAGCGTGCGACCTGCGTCCAAAAGCAGCAAATACAAACTACATACACAAGTTGGGGTTATGAATTGAATTGCCTGCTGCAGGCAGCTGTGTATACTTGCTTACAACCCTCTCGGCTCTTGGCTCGCAATTTCTACAATATCCATACTCAAAACTGCCTAAGAATGTCCCGTGGATAGCCAAGGAAGTGGTCGTTCTCCTGAAACTTCCCGTCGAGACAGGACATTTCGACAGGGCAAACCGAGAACCCGTTGCTGAAGCCGGGAATGCTGCGACACACCTGCTCGCTCACGGCGGGCAAGCGTGCCCCGCTCGGCGGCTTGTCGGAGGGCGAATATTGCCCGGCGAGGACGACCGCGAGCCGATCGCGGAGCGGAATTTTGGTGATCCAGGGACTCGAGTCTTCGCTGGAAGTGGAGACGCCGAGACTGAGGAAGTCCCGTTTCCCCACCAACCGATCGTATTTTTTCTGGAAAAAGTTCTTCCAAAACGCCATCTTACCAGCGATCGAAACTTTCACGTCGTCTTGTACTGCACCCGTGACGCACGTGCAGCCCGGATGGGAGGTGCTCACTCGCGCGGGCGGGAGCTTCGGCCCGACCGGGTTCGCGTCGCCAGGGCCCGGGACGGCGCAGTAGTCCCAAAACTTCGAAGTCGCCTGCGGCCCCCGGTCCATGCCGAAAGAGTGCTTCTTCACCTGCTGTGCGTAGAGCCGATGATCGTATCCCGAAGGGTCGATTGCCTTCTGCCCACCGGCCAGCAGCCCACAGGCCTTGGACCCGTCCACGCGACACCACTGAAACGGCATGCCCTGCTCACGCCCGCACGCAGAGATGCACTCACACCCGTTCGACGTCTTTTTCGCGCCTTCTACCGCGGTCCCGCCGGCATTGTCCATCATCAGCTCGGCATCGCTCACGGTCAGCTTTGGCCGTCCGTCCGCATTGCCCTTCAGTGCGCGGGCCTGGTCCTGGAGAATCGCGACCTTGTTCAATGCGCGGTCCAGGGCCTCCGCTCCCATGCGACTCCCACTTAGCACGTGCTGTAGCTTTCGCAGTTGCGTCCGCCGATCGGCGCCCGGGTTCAGGAGAGCCCCTAGCGGCTTCCCGCGATTTATCTCGCCGAGCGCCTTGTTTGTATCGTTCTCCAGAAGCGGCTTAAACCCCTGTGTGAACACCTGCAGGAATTCGCTACTGTCCTCCGTCACGTCCGCTTGTTGCTCCCGAAACATTTGACCCACAACGCGACGCTCCACTCGTTTTGCCTCCTCTACCATGTCCTTCAGATCCACCTTCGGATTCGTGCGGGACATTTTGTTTCTGTGGCGTCCACCCTTCTCTTTGCAAATGGAAATTCGTTTTATTCAACCTTTACAATTACACTACAAAAAACCCGAGAATGGTGATGGTCGTCATACACATAGTTTCTTTCTTCCTAACTTTTCGCTTTGTTCTGCATGTCGGACGTCAAACAAAGAGAATATCACAGAAGATGAATTCATCAAGCTTGCTGAGAAAAACCAAAATAGATATACTAGAACGCAGGGACGATGACGATCGCCGATCAATACACGAAAAACGAGAAAACGACTGGATCGAACACGAAAAACGACTGGACTTGCCGTAGCCAAAACCTGGATCGATGTCACAACCCAAGAAAAGGACGAGTGGGAAACTGGGAGGACGATGTCGATACTCTTCTTCAGACTTTTTTTACCGAGGTGATCTAGTAGGGATAAAGATTCGACATCGATGATTTTCAATTTCATCTTTCCACCTCCTCGTGGTCGAATTGCTTTAGCTCAATCTCAAAATCACGTCTGAGACCGCGACTTGACGATGACGATCCCAACTCTTTACCATTCTAGCACGCGTGGCGCGCTTCTGCTTTCATATATGGGAAGATACGGTCGTACTTATTTGCTGCGGCGAGGATATCACACACCATACCCGTGCCGCAGATGTAGATGTTCTTGCGAGACCTTTTTATTTTCACGCTTTGCACGCACTGGTTCTTGGAAGTCTAGAATGCTGCAAGAAAGTAGGGGCAGATAAGTTTTATTTTGATGTCGAAAATTCTCTTTGTAGTGTTCAAGTGTCGCCAGGTGGCTGATCGGAATGGATCACCGCCGGGGCGCGGTCGGGGCGCTTTGCCCACGAAGTTTCGTTGTGGTTGACAGTCCCGTGGTAAGTCAGGTGAGCGGTTGGGTACCTGGGGAGATGATTTGTATGTCATTTTGAATTGGTGAAACTGAAAATGCTAGAAAACATGTAATAAGCCGAAAATCTTTTACTTACCCTGCAACTTGTCAGGTCCGATTAGGATGAAGTTCGGGCAGGTGGAGGCCGAGAAAGAGAAAGACGGATCATCTACGAAAGCACGAGAGCAGCGGCTCATCATGAGGTCGTGCGGCGAGAAGACAAGTAGGAAGCGGAGAAACTAGAAGGTAGACATTAACGTAAAACAATAAAGGTATATATAGATACCGTGGCAGGTCGTCGTCTCCGATGGTGGTGTAGTTTTTCCGTATTGGAACAGCCTCGTTGTAGTTTCCGAATTTCGTCAGTTCCCGTAGTCTTGCGGTCTCGGCCTGGAGACAGTTCTTCTCGTGCCGAATTTCGTCGATCTCTGCTTGCTGCAGGTCAATGAGGCGCTGCTGCTCGCGCAGGCGCTTCAGAATGCGCCCGTCCGCGACGTTTGAGACATCCTGCACTGTGTGTTCGTACTCCGCGGTCGCCGCATCGATCTTCGCCTGCAGCCGCCGCTCGATCTGCTGTATCCGTTTACAGTCTTTTATTCCCTGAAAATCAAACTTCACCCGACCCCAGGCGAGGCCCAGCCAGCACTTTTGGCATGACAAAACGCGACTTCGCTTTGCGTGTGCCAACATATTTTGCATCGTGACAAATTGGTGGACGGGAATGGTTGATTTTCAGGAAATATCTTCCTTGAACTCCGCCAGTCGTAACTCCAGCCCGTCCTTGAACATAATGATGGTCGGGTCCGCGGCCTCCAGTACTAGCTGTCCCGAAGCGTTCACGTACCTGAGTATAAGCAAGTTGTTTATGCATCTATTTCCGAGAAGTTCTTCTTCTTGTGGTTGTTTCTTTGCAAGAACTGCAACTAGATTTTTATAGAACCTAGATTTCTACTGGTACTACTGGACTGGACCACTTCTTCTTGCACTTGGACTTTATTGCAAAATTGAAATATCTCGGACAGTCATGCAGAACGGAGATAAAGTCGACATCGACTGTGACTGTGAGTCAAGAACTAGTATTGAGTAATAATACGGCAAAAGCATCTGGGACAGGCGCTCCTGGTCTGCCTGGAGGAGCGAGTGACAGGCGTTGAGCTCCACGAGCTGCTGCTGGTACAGGTCGGTGAGCTGCTGAATTTCGGCGTCCTGGCGTGCGTAGTGGGGGAGATTTCCCGGGGTTCCGCCGATGCCGTGGGGGTTTGCAGAGGACGAGGAGCCGCCCGCGGTCAGAAACGCTGCCGTTGCTGCGTTATTGAAAACTTCCGGGGCGGCAGCACCGTACACCGGGGGTGGCTGGTATGGATCGCCTCCAAAGCCAGCACCGGCACCAGGAGCCATGGAGGCACCATAGGCCGGCGCGCCACCACCACCGCCCATTCCCATCGGCGCCATGGAGGCCATGGCGCCGCCGCCCATACCCATTGGTGCCATCGAGGCCATCGCGCCAGGGCCCCCCGCCATGGGGGCCATCGATGCCATCGCCGTACCGCCTCCGCCCCGTGCCATGGGTGCCATGGAAGACATCGCGTTTCCACCACCTCCTCCACTCATGGGCGCCATCGATGCCATAGCGCCTGCTCCACCACCAGACATGGGCGCCATCGACGCCATCGCGTTTCCACCGCCCCGAAGTGGAGCCATCGAGGCCATTGCGTTGCCGCCTCCGGAAATTGGTGCCATCGACGCCATCGCATTTCCGCCTCTCGCAGACGCTGGTGCCATCGACGCCATCGCATTGCCGCCCCCGGAAAGGGGTGCCATTGAAGCCATCGCATTACCACCACCCCCGCTCAGCGGAGCCATACTTCGCATTGCCGCCATTTTGAATCTGATAGTTCTCAACTGAAAAACTCCAGGCCGACTTAAGTACTTACATTTTCAAACAAAAACACGTCGTAGGTGATCACCGGACTGCCTTTGATGGTTTAAGCTAAAGAATAAGGAAAGACGCTACTGCACTCTGCCACAACAAAAGTGCAACTTAGTCGTAGGCTGCAAGTGCAACGTTTTCAACGACAGCACGATAAAACTGTAGGACCGCATGGCTACAGTCATGGACTATGAAGTCTAATTAGCCCATTCGATTGGCATTGCGCCCCTCATATCACACCTCTTGCTTTACGAGACGCGAAGTCAAACTTTAGTCCAAGATACTGTTGTTCTTGTTCGATCTCTTGTAAACAACGACAAACGAACACGCTCTCTACTCTCTTACTCTTGCTGATCGATGTTGACATAACGCCGACGATGTTCATGAACAGCAGGATCAAAAGACAGAACGCGATCAAATCAAAAGATCGCGCCACTAGTTGTATGATGTAGCTCTTCTGTTTGTATTTTCCTCGCACACAGTGCCGAGCCAAAGTTACTTGTAGGAGGAGCTGCGTTGCTTTTGTTCTGCGCGGATCGATGTCAAGAAACATTTTCGTAAAACAAGCTTCACAACGATATGCCATTTTTTTTTCTCAGTCCGCCGAGACGGGATCCTAGCGGGCGAATTCGCTTCTCACGGACAACAGTCAGAGCGTGTCTACCGTGTCTCGTTTTGTTTTCAAACTCAACTTGAGCCTCCGCATAATTTCATCTGGCACGACACCGTGTCACTTGCAGCAAACGGGCCCGCACACGGCAGTCGCGATGGCATTCAGTTTGCCAAGTAGCGTTTTGGTGGGGTCGTTGTACGTGGAATCCATACTGAATTTGTCCTCCGCTCCTGCTCGTGTTGCAAGCGGAGCGTTCATCAGTATTCCTCTATTCACCACATCTGTTACGTACTGCTGCACGAGGTTTGTATCCTTGCGCAAAGGGATGGTCTTCTGCAGCAGTGCCTTGTCCCTCGTTTCGAGTTCCGCGAGTTCGCGTGGCATCTGGGTTTTCAGCGCTGCCTTCAATTTCTCCGGCTCGGTGATTTTGTCACTGCCTGCCACAATCTTCGGGCTCATCGTGCCAACAAATTTTCCGTAGTGCGCAGTGGCAAGCACCACCGGCTGGATGTCGCCCCCCCGGTGCTGGAGGTCCTTGAGCATTGCTTTGTATCCGACCGCGGTGTGTGGACAGAGCAAATAGCCAAAATCCGCATGTACGTCAGCTATGGTCTCTAGCGTTTCCGTTTCGTCCACACACCACGCGGTAAAGTACTTGCGTGCCTGCTGAAGCTCGACCGGAGAAACCTGAAGAAACAGGAGCATGAAAGCAATTTGAGAAAAATTATGTTTATGACTCGTGCGTGATCGACCACGACCACGAACTTCAACCTGTACCTGAACATGTAAAAATATCAATCATGCAACTTGACCTGTCTCGTCAACGATCGATTCTTTGATGAAGAAACAAAAATTGATGATAGCTTTGTATGTAATCACACAACATCAACACAATGCGTAGCTGCTCCTCTGAGTTGTACAACTACCTCGAAGCTTTTTTTGTTTTTCAGATCCGCGAACCACGCCGCGACCTTCGCGCAGTCACCTCCAGCCACGTCAAGAAGGAAACGCTCGAAATTTGAGGACACCTGGATGTCCATCGAGGGTGACAGTGTCGCCTTCACGCTCTTCGCGGGGGTGTAGGCGCCAGTCTCGAAAAATCGCGTCAGGATGTCGTTCTCGTTGCTCGCAATAACAAGTTCGAAGATGTCGTCCAGACGAAAAAACTTCTGGCAGTAGTACCCCGCCAGAATGTCCCCAAAGTTGCCAGTAGGTACTGAAAACCGCATCTTTGGCAACCGTAAATTTGTGCGGGCCTAATTATTTTTTATACATTGTGCGTCGAATTTAGTGTAGTAGGTTTTTCCCAAAGTCAAAAAGATAAATACGTATAAAAGATAAACAAGAAGGCGAGCAGCAGTCCTCATTGTTGAGGACAACGCGAAGCAACGATTTAATTCTCTTTGTGCTGTCGTCGTGCAAACTGTCTTGACATGATCACGGGACCACGCATTTCAATCAAAACTGATACTGAATTTTGAGACCCAAACGTAAATTAATACCAGGTTCGCGCCGAGATTTCGGCGCTGCTCGAGTATCTTCTCGTTGTGCCGAAAGTAGCAGTACAGGTAGTAAACCATTTGGCAGAGTACGCGAGCGATGTTGATAGAATTGACGGCCAGCACGTTATTCTGCTCCACAAAGTCTTTCTGTTGAAAGATGGCCTTGACGATAGCCTGACAGTCGTCGAAAGTAGCGTCCTGCACACTGCAAGCGTGAACCACATTTTGTGCTACCGGCGGTGCGCCCGCGTTTTTACCGTCGTCGGTCGCCCCCGTTTGGATGGTGTTGAAGCTCAGCATCTGCAGCTCTTGGATGTACGAGACTCTATTCTGCGGATACAGCACTACCCCACTTACGCCTTGCTTTCCTGAGACGCCTGCCAACGCCGCGCTTCCAGTATCACCACTTGTAGCACCTAGGATGACGGCACTTTTTGCCGCTTTCTTTGCACCGGCCGCGTGTGTTCGCTTCGCGAGCGCAACCTCGAACAAATTGCCAAGAAATTGCAGAGCACAATCCTTGAAAGCGAAAGTCGGGCCATGAAACAGCTCTAACAGTGTGATGTGATCCAAGGCCTCACGCTGAACAATTTCGCTGCCACTGCGCCACCGCACGCCACCATAGCTGCGATCGCACAAATCCTTTAGCGTAGCATCATCGAACTCGTCCTCGCCGATGAAGAGCCGGAGGACCTGCAAATTTGCCAATTTTAAATTGAATTTTGTAAACCGTCGTGAACGTCGTCTAGAAAAATTGAACAGGCATATTCAACTACTTGTAGTGGTCAATGGCACTATCACAGACTGTCAACACCTCGACCTCCTGCTTCTCTTTGATAAAATGACACGCATTTCAGGTATGCAATAGACAAAAAAATGTTGATCTGGAAGTGTGTAAAAAGAACATTTAAGGAGGACCAGCTACCTTGAATGCTAGTTGCGCATAGGAAAGATGGCCCCACTTTTCCAAAACGAAATCTTTGTCGATAGTTGCGGGAAGATTCATCTGTGGCACGAAGAGGCCACCATCGGCGGAGAGACCCCGCAGTACCGCTTGCAGAAAAGACACATCCTGCTCGCCGCCACGTGTGCTCTTGTACAGCATCGCGAACTCGTCGAGACGGTTTCCGTCTTTTGTCAAAAAGCCACACTGTCTACAGGCCTTTCACGTTTAGCTTTGGCCTTGACGGAGTGAAAGTATTCCTCTTCTTCGTTCTGGCGCTTGCTCTGCGTCTGACTCTGGGGGTTTGTTGATGAGGATGGAGAAAAATACGCCACGAGTAGCAATAGAGCTAGACGACCTGGGCCTGGCACATGATTTTTTGTTCTTCTATCTAGTGTTCAATGCAGTCAGGGGCAAGGAAGGGTAAAAAGCGCAGCTGTGAAGATAATACGGGACAAATAGGGTTTCACTGGGGACCCTGATTGTGCAAACGCCGCCTCGCAAAAGTTGAGTTCCATACTCATCATACGAGAAAAATCAGCTACCCTTTATTGTTATTTTAGTGTTACTTTTACGTTTACCGTTTACGCCATCGCAGATACATCACAACAATCCCAATCCGAGTAAGAACGGTCGTATGAGAAACCGAGAGAAACGCGTGAAGCAGGGCGAGCAAACACCATCAAGAGACCGACAATGAAAGAGAACGGAAAACAACCGACAAGCAAAGCGAAACTAGTAATTAGGTTCGTTTGGGACGATTACGACCACGACCGATGCCACTACCGGAAAATGAAAACGTAAGATCAAAATTGCTACGGAAAACGGACGAAAAGGTCATGATCTTGATATAACCTCCGTGAACCCAGACGACATAGTGGATCTGCAAAAATTTGTGGAGGCGCGATGTTGACATTACCATTTACCACCACGTATGTGCGCGACAATGGAAGAACAAACACGAGAAACAAATTTTGGAGCCTGCATAAGGGACTCGTGACGAGGAGCATCGCTGTGCTTACCTTGTCTTTAACTTGTTCTTCCTGTGACTTCTCCTTCATTTTCGACCGGTCCGACAGAAGGAGTTAATGTTAAGGAAAGATTCGTGATGTTGCTTCATCTCTTCTGGTTTTCGTTTTGTTTTGTCGTCAATGAATATGAATGATAGACAAGCTTGAATTTTGGAATGAAGGTCGTCATCGTCGTTGAAAAGAAATGGATCTAGATTTACTTCGCCTAGTTTTGATGTCGTGTCGTGGGACCCTAGTAAGTACTCGAGGAGGATCTTCTTCCACGAAGAGCTGCCATATCGCACCACAGTGATGTCGTCGTCGTCGTCCTGCTGGGGTTGGACTTTATCTTCAGAACCGGATTCCCCGGGTTTGGAAGGCGAGCTGTCTCAGGCGTGCGTACTGCTGTGGGTATTGGTTTCGAAACCTCTGTTGGTAACACTGGTGCATGCAATAGCCCGGATCGACGTCCCACACAACGTCCACGAGCTTCCCGGTGTACCGCCCTGCTTCCAAGGTGAGATCGGACGCGGCATCTTCGTGTGTGTGAGTTCCAGCACCGAAACGCGGCAGTGCAGCACTCCTGTGATGTCCTCCGTTTGCCGATGAATTGTGCAGCTGCAGGGAGGCAGCTGCTGCACCGCTTCCGCTGCTGGCAGCGTTTATATTTCGTCCCTGGTCCAGAGGATCCTCGTCGAGTGCTGCAGGGGTGAGAGACGCCCTGTCGTACGTACCGCGATGAAAATTATCACCCGCACCAGTCGCGGTGATGTCCTCGTTGTTCGCCTGTTCGAGGGCTGCGGATTGGCTCATCTGGCAAGCAGTGAAGAACGCACTTCCAATGGCTGTGAGAGAGCCAGGCTGCATTACCCCGTCATAGGTCGCTCCACCCGCTGCCGGCGGATGAAGTAGACCGGCTGTCCCACGAGATGCCGATACGTTTCCGAAGAGTGCGCTTGCGCAACTCGTGGCTCCTGCCGTGCCGTCAGCACCGAAAGCGCTCGCCGCTGACGCTTCATCTGCCCCGCTGCGGTAGACCGGAGAGAACCAGCGCAGAGCTAGCATCGGGTCGTCGCCGAAGAGCCATGGCAAATTGGCTTCACTCGCATTCGCAGTGTTGAAGTACTGCTCTGCGCTTGGTTTCTTGCGTCCGGCCCAACTCCCATTACTTTTCGTCATTCGGCACAGCGCAGTGGTTGTAGACGTTGCGACCCGTGTCAACGGAGGAAAGTGAGGCCTTTTGGTTGAGATTGTACTCTGGCTCGCAGTTGCGCTCTTAGAATTATGCGCCTGTTCAACTTCTGCAGAAACCAGATCCAAAGAATTGAACTCGGCAGAAGAGCGGTCCACTTTTGTCTTTTTTGTCACAACAACGCGTCTCCGTTTCAGCAAGGGGGCAATGCCGGCACTTCTGGCCTGCTGGTTATTTCCTGCGATTTGGGACGAGCAAGAGGTACGACCCGGTGCGCTATTATGTGCAGCGTTCGTCGTCGAGTTGTAGACATATCGAGTCAAAAACGAGTCCAGATCAAGTGGTGCATCGTCAGAATTGGAGGCTTTTTGGTTCATCTCGCCCATGTGCATCTTCTGCTTGTCGTCTTCGACGTCGACATTCGCTTCTAAATCTTTCGCGGCTGATGATTGAAGTGCAACTACTGGCTTGTCTTCTCGTCCAGCTGCTCCATCGCCCACGACAACGTCGACGTTGCCATTACGACCGGCATTAGCTTTATTTTGGATCTCGTGGGCCACAAGATCGACATCTTCGGCTATTGTGTCAAGCTGAGCCAGCACTTGCTTCAGTTCTTCGTCGTCCTCGTGGCGTCGTTTTGCGGCTGCTTTGTCGTCATTCGCCAGCTGTTCTTCAATGAAGCGACGGTTGTCATCGAACTCCGCTTGGATCGCGTCGCACTGGTCCTGCAACTCCGGACCTTCTGTTTCCCGGGTGATCTTCTGCTTGGTCTTCAGCCACGGGCAGCTTTTCCGTCCGAGAGCCTTTTGCTCGCGCAGGTGCTTTCTCTGCATGCGTGGCAACATCTCCTCGCTGTGGTCGTTCTCACAACCAGCGGCGCCTGTTTCCTCCGCAGAATTTTTTGCCCTTATGGAAGGGTCACTCTCATCAGGAGCCGCGGGAGCATTTGGGGCAACTCCGCGAATGTAGGCAGGCTCGTCCTGCGTTTGCTGCGTCTCCCTGATGTCCGCGTCCTCGAGACCTAAGATCCGCTCGGCAGTTTCATCATCGGCAGGACCAGGTTCCACGTCATTTTTCTGGGAGGCTGGTGCAACATCGGCACTCGCAGGGGTCTCACTTACGCGGCAGGTATTGGCCATCCCGTCTTCAGCATCTTCCGAAGCCATATGCCGCCGACTGCTTTTTCCGCCGTCTTCGTCGGCGTGGTTCTTCTTACTCTCGCTTCCGCGATTCTTCTCCTCGGAAACGAACCGCAGAGAGAAGATGGGGCGGTAGCGTTGATGATTTACGGGGGAGATCTGCAACCGGTGGTACAAGTGCTTCAGCTGGGCGAGCCTCTGCTGGCGTTCGTCTTCTTTTGTCGTACCTGCGCCATCCGCGAACAATCCACCTATCATGTCGCTGCGCGGTATCCCCGCCCCCTTCCTGCCGGACGAGTTGAAGTGGTCACCGTCTCCATCTTCTTCGTCTGAAGAGTCATAGGGTCCCTTTTTTCTTTTTCCCATGCGCCCGATCGCACTCTGATTGTTGCCGTCGAAAAGCGATGCTGCGCCGACGCCATCGGCTGTAGTAATCAGTTGGTAGTCCACGTGCAGGAACACGGTGCGCCGTCGTTTCTCGAGCAGTTTCTGCATTTCAAACTCGTGCCAAAATAGACGCGCCACAAACAGCGCTAGCCGATTTTTTCTCAGCGCGTTCGTACGGATTTTTTCCAGGTCGACGAAACTTGCATTGGTACTACTACCGACCGGAAAAACAGATGTCGCTCCTCCGACTGTGCACGTCATGCGCTGGTCCTCTTGTTCGCCAAGATTGTTCACGACGGTCATGCCCCCAATCTTCATTGCGGGGGTGCGGTGCTGGTGATACTGTGAAGAAGAGGACAACGTCGTTGTTCCTCCGCCTGACGATGTTGTGTACAGCACGCAATTCTGCGCCATCAGAGCTTGCAGCGCTTTGTTGCCTGCGAACATCTTCGCATACCGCGCTACCCGCATCGCCTCGTGGTCGGTGGAGGAGGTCACGAGGTTGGGGTCGTACACGCCGAGCGGAGGAACGTCGATGGTTTTCAGGGTGTGTGCCACGGTCCCACGGCCAGGACACGAGAGCAGCGGCGTCCCCCGGAACAGCAGCGCCAACGTATGAATCACGTGCTGCTTCATGTAGTCCTTCTTGTTGCCACTTGTCGTGCTGAAACTCTTCCGCACATCCTGCTCCTGCTCGTCCAGGTCCTGCACGAGCATGTTTGTTCTCTCGTCGCCGAGGACCTCCGCACTAGGGAGTACCAGGTCCCAGCGAAACGACGGACTCAGCGCCAGCTGCCGCAACCGGTCCTCCAGATCTTCGTAGTTCTCATTGGCACGCTTCTTCTTCGTCTTGTAGCAGAAGCCGGGGAAGGGGATGGCCTGCAGGTGGTCCTGGTCGGCTTTCTTCAGGAGCGCTTGGGAGCGGGCAATCACGTTTTCGATGCGTGGGGGGCAGTGCGCCGCGACGTCCTCTACATCACTGATAAACAACAGCAACGTCGCCCACTGCCGCACCAGATCTGCTAGGCTCTGCAGAAAGTGGTAGGTCGCAAAGGAACTGTTGTCGTTGTTCTCTGAATTAGATTCTACTTCGTCGTTCAGAAGAAGCTCCAACTGCGCGGCCTCGCTTTCCAGCGCGGCATTCTCGTCGAGCAGCGCGTCTGTTGGCGTCTTTCTGCGCATTCTTCTTTGCGCGCTGAGTCCGTCCGGAGTTGCGCGCTGGATGGCAGATGCGAAAAACTCCTGCACCTGTTCGACCACGGACAGTCGGCAGATGTTGTGATAAGCTGGCTTGGCCTGCTTCAGGGAGTGCCGATCCAGTTGCTCCACTAAGATGTCCTGCCAGAACTCCCAAATTTGCTGCGTGTGTGGATTGGTCGTGGTGCCAGCATTGCTATGTCCTCGACGTTGTTGACCGAGTTGGTTCACAAACGGCATGCGGCGCAGACATCGCTCCGCAAGAACCGGGACGACTATGTCTGGTCGCTTGAAGACCGTGTCAAAGAGCTGCTTTCCCCTTTGGTCAAGTGCTGCCTCGAGCCGCTGCCAGTGGCTTTTGTCCACCAACAGGCCGGCATAGTCACGCTGCGTCGCTTCCTCCAGTCGAGCGGGGAACGTGCTGCAGCTACTGCCCGCATTTGAAATCCCGCCCGGTGATAAGTCTACGTCCTCGGCATCCACATCTGTCTCTTGTCCACCAGCTGCCATCCGCAATTTTCTACTGCTCAGCATCTGCGACGACGAGTGATCAATGTCTATTCGGGTGCGCCGGTCATCCGGTTGGTACAGAAGGTCGCACAAGGAAAGAATGTCCGCTGGCAGAACGCACTCCTTTCGTTCCAGTTCGATCTTGGCAGCCACTTTTGACAGAACGACAATTGGCAACTTATCTGCGGAAGGATCATCATTTTGCCTCGCTGCTCCTACACGACGATCCGAGGACGTGCCGGATGAGTCGGCTTCTGTGGACAAGAAAATGATGCGCCATAGCGCCATCAATAGACCGGCGTCTGTTCTAGTACTGCTCCGATTCTTTCCGTTCTTTGCGCTGCTCCACAGGATGTCTTCATGATCCACAACATCTTCTTGCAACCCGGCTGTGTTGTAGTTGTCGCCGTCGTTCGGGATGTTCCAAGCAGCGTCTACCTGCGAAGAGGCTTCTCGCACAGCTCCAAGATTAACATCATGACCGACGAACAAAGGCAACTGCAACTCCCCCTCGAGTTTCCGGCGCACTTCCGTTCGTTTGACGTATCGGCCGGCGCATTCAGGGCAAACGCGTAGCGTCCCACGATCGAAAGTTGCCACCTCGCTCTTTGTCAGTGTGCCGCAGACTTCACAGCTGTACTTCCAAAGGGTGTAGTAGTCGACGAAAGAGTTACCCAAGCGCGACTTGGAATCATCCACGTCATCATCAACGTTTTCATCCTTCGCGGAGGTCTTCTTTTTCTTTTTCTTCTTCTTCCCGCTTGTCTCAAGCTGGATTGCATCGTTCTGCGGTAAAAGGTCGCTCCGCCGCTTGTTTTGGTACTGGTAGGCATCCACCTGATCGTTTCCGAAGGTTTCCGCCTGCGGGTGCTGACCTCCGAGCTTCTGCTTTTTCCTGTCTGCCCGTACGAGCCAGCGGGTGCGCTCCTTCGTGTCGAAGCGGTCGATCAAGTTTCTGTAGTGAAAGTGCTTCACTTCCGGCGCCAGGGGAACAGTGCAAATCACTGCACGCACCTCCACGGGTCGCAGAAACGGGATAATGTGCAGGTGCCCGACCTCCTCGAGGACGCAGCGAAATTGCTTCTGCCGCTGCTGACTCCTCTGAATCAGTGTGGCGATCGGGGCATACTGACTGCTGTCGCTGCAGCCCGATTGCTTTCGGCATGATGACGTAGATGAAGGCTGGTGCCCAAGAAGTGGATTTGCTGCCTGCTCTCCGTTCTCTCCGTCACCTTTGGCCTCTAGCAACATAGTTTGGACGGGAGGAGCAGGTGCTCCGCTAGATTGAATCTCGCATTCTTCCATCTACGCTCCCTGGTCATGATGTTGACATGAATTTTCTTAAATTGTCGTGGTCGAGTCGCGGAAAAAAGAATAAGAAAAACAAAATAGAAAACGAAGTAGCCTGGATCCAACTTTTTACTTACGACTTACTAGAAGATACAACCCTCAATTTGATGAAATGAGTATGGGTATGTCTTTGTCTTACTTTTAGCTTCTTCGTGCTGTCTAAGAGTATCGTCGTGTCGCGTCGCTGTACAGAAAAAGTTGAAAAACTACATCATGGACATGGTCGAATACCGATATTATATTCATCTACAGAGGCAGAGCCAGAATTTGCTTGTTAGTTTTCTACCGGGATCATCATTGTTCACATTTCGAACGCGCGCCTTTGGATCATCAATTTCAACAAAGTGTGGATCTCATAAGGAACTTTCCAAGTGAAACTTTTGACGAATCTGATTTTCAATCGCAATGAGTCTTTCCAACTACTTCACCGTGTCTCATGAAGAACAAGATCAATTCTCATCACATGTAGTGCTGTTATTTTGCTCGTCGGCGTCGGGATCTGATCAGTATCATTTTCCAACGAAAATAGATCACAAGTTCTTGTCACGACTGCGAGACCTCGAACAGAAAAGAAGATATGAAAGTAGGTCTTCTCGTCGTAAAAGTACGTGACGAGCATAAGCAGCTTCGCTCGTCATGTTTTGCGTTTGTCTTTGTACATGCCTCTGTGTGGCTTGAGGAATAGAAAACAACTTACATCAAGGAGTAGCCCTACCCCTAGCGAGTATTTCTTCTGGTGCGATTGCTACTTGAAGATGCGTTTCTCGAGGTCGCTTTGCTTCCGTTTTCGACGTTTTGTCGCGCCGTCGAGCCAGTGCCATTTTTACTTTTGTCCGCCTGCTCTCCGCCCGAAGATGAAGACGAGGACGCTGCTTGCTCGGTCATCCGTGCGGAGAATTCGACAATTCTTTTCCAGAGCCACGCGGCCACTGCGGCCTGGAGCCGGGGGTTGCGCGCGACCATCTGGAAGAGCATCATGCCCACGCTGCCCAGCACGCGCGTGGCCGCTAGCGCGATCCAGGGAAACCGGAACACCAGCAAAGAGGGCACCACGATTCCGAGGACCAGCCCCTTGCGGCGTTTCGCCAAGTCCCAGAAGGGCTCGTAGCTTTGCTTGGCAATCGCCGTGTCGTAGCTGTTCTGCACGTCCTGCACCAGGGTATCGTAGTACATCTGGAACCCGAACTCGTTGAACACCTGACGAAACATCGCGTAAGCAGCGTCCACGTCGGGCATGTCGTCGAACCCAGCAGAGGACCCGGGCTGCGACGGAGCGTCGTAGTTGCGGTCCTGATACCCGGAAGCGTCGTACCTGGTTAGAAACAAACAAAAATTGTATGTGCGTTAGAAGCGGTTCATTCAATTTCGAAGACTAGAAGCTGCCTCATCAAGATGTCTTTGAGAAAGCGGTTTCTTTTCAGTATGCCTTAGTTTGTCTCGCGTGAAATAGAGCTTGAGCTTCTAGTACTTCTTATTCTTTATCGATCAAATACAGCGCTTTATCATCTTCAATACGAAGCTTTTTTCCTCGGGTCGCTTAGCACGGCGTATGCAGCGGACAGCTCCTGAAACTCCTTGGTCTTTGCCGTGCCATGCAGATCGGGATGACATTCCTTTGCTTTCTGGAAGTACGCCCGTTTGATCTCTTTTTCGTTTGACGGCGGCACCAGGCCCAGTCTCTCGTAGTGGGTCATCCAGCGGGCCTGGACCTGGCTGTGCTGGTAGTACAAGCCGGCAAGACGACGGCTGGGATCTCGTCGATTGCGAGGGAGCGCCAGTGATGGCGTCGGGGTTGGAGACGGTGGCGCGGTCGTGATCTGTTGTTGCAGAAGTACTGTTGGGCACATAGCAGACCTTCTGTTTGTTGACGTCCTCGTTCTCATTGTTCCAAGCCAACGCCTGGTCTGCTGCGGCGCTTCTGTACTTTTGCACGCTCTGCGTATGACTTCTTGGCCTCCGCGGACGACTAAGTGGCTGCAGCCCTGCCTTCTCGAACTGAATGTAGAAGGTGCTAGATGCACTACAGCCCGACTGTCGACGGCTTTTCCCAAAATTGAGGTTATGGAGCAGCATGTCGAGGTAAGTTGTCGACAGGTCGTAGGCACAGGGATCGCGTAGTTGCAGCACAGGGAACTGCTCATGCTCATCCTCGCGGAAGGAGTGGTAGTCGCAATCGATCTTGCTCGCAAAGAGCTCAACCATTGGCCATAGTCATATGGGTGAGTAAACAGCTTCGCTATCGTCCACAACGAAAAAAACTTCCTGATATTTTTGTTTTTCTACTAGATGATGTGGCACTCGCACTGCATAACTTGTTCGGGGAGCCGCAATATAAAAGCACGTCACGAAAAACCAGAATTACTCCGCGGTAAGGCGAGTCGTTGCCAAAAGCCCCCGCTGTTGTTGCTCATTCGGGTACCTTCTGGTATCTGAGCTTGTGCTAGTCAAAAATACATCGATGACATGAGATCATCTCCGGCTTGATTTGCGAAAGGCCCATGAACCGAATAAAAAGTCGCCGCACATTGCAAGAACGCGCTCTTTCGCTTCGTAGTTTGGCCTCGAGGAAGCGATCCGTATACCAAGCAAATGGATACGCATCATTGCGTTTCGGTCATTCTGCAGCCTTGACCGGATTGGCAAAAAAGTTCAAGTTTTCATTCTCTTTCTTACTCCTATTTTATCTGTGGCATCATTATGTCGTGCTCTTGTTTGCAGCAATCGCTTCTCGGTAGTCGCTAAGTGTGTCGCAGGGGTATCGTTTCTGATTTGCGTCGATAAAGACTGCCCCTTCGTGCGGGGGAAAGGTCATAGCGCGGATAAAGCGCTCGACCTTTTCCTCCGCCCAATCGGGCTGAATTACCCCGGAGTGCGGTAACTTCCGCCGGTGGTAGGATGGCTCCCCCACTTGATCAGCTCCTTCCGGTAGAGAATAAGAAACATCAGCCTTCTCCGCTGCAGCGGATGCAGTTTTTGACTCGAAGAACATTCGCAGCACGTTCAGAAAGCAAGCCTGGGTGACCGGTAGCAGGGCATCATACAGGCTCTTGCTGGTCTCTTGGTGAGTGAGCAGTAACTTCTCGACCGACAGGATTTTGCCGCGGTCAAATTTCTCCTCCATGTGGTGGCACGTAACACCGGTTTCCGTATCGCCATCGAAGATGGCCCAAAAGCCCGTAAAACAGCCACGATGCTTCGTCGCTATGAAAGAGAAATACAGTGGTCGGAATTTTCTAGATCGACATAATCTTCGTGCCGCGGCCACATTGACGTCAGTGAATACGAAGGTGAGAGAGTATTGGCTGCCCGAAAGCCAGCTGCATTGGAATTGAAATTACAATGAGCGTGTACAACGTAACAAAAAGGCGTCGAGTGCCTCGCGCTGTTGAACACAAACTAGGAACATCAGTGGACACATCGCTTATCGGGGCAGGATGCCATCCCCATCCGTGCCAAATGCACTACAACTGTCTTTGCCTTTCATAAGCAGTAGACTCGGATGAAAGTTGACGCGGTAGGGTGCGAGGTGGAGGCAGTTGATGCGTTTCCGGTAGGAGACCGACATCATTAGATCAAAGTTGGCATTCCGGTTCTGCAGCAGCAAGGCTTCGCTCTTTTCGGGTGCGATGGAATCGGGAAACAAGTGGCACACATGCTGCCCTCCATGGAAATATAGGGTCTCAATCCTCTGCCCAGATGATGCTACCTTGTCAGCATCTGGAGCCCCCGTGGTGACAGTGCTCGTGGATGGTGCAGCACTACTGCCACTTCCGGTTGCTGTGCTGTTTGTCGTTTGCGTTCGCTCTTGCTCGACGAGGTCAGTTGCCGTCGTAAGGAACGCTACTTTATTTTCTCCGTCGGTGCTAGCTATGTTCGTGGTGCCTGAAGAACTTGCTCCAGGTTGTTCACCGCACAGCTCAGCCAGCTTAGTGTCCAATTGATTTTCGTCATCCTGTGCGGTATGACTCACGATCGTAAGATCAAACTGCCCGGGATACTCCCGGAAGAGAACTTCCAGGCACTTGGTTGCTGCCTTCCCCCATCCAAAGAAAATGATCTGCGCTCGCTCGTTATTCCTGGCGGCCAACGCATCTTGTGCGGATCGCTGCTCGTCCATGGGCTTGGATGCAGTGCCACTGCCACCTGAGGACCTGCGCTAGACTTGGTAGATAACGAAGACGCAAACAGACAAACAATAATCGGATGACAGCCTACGCATCCATATTCGCTGTGGATTCGGACGTCATTCAGACTCTGAACGGTATGCCTGTCTGTGGCTCGTCAGGGAGATCGACAGAGAAATACCAACATGAAAAACCTGCAATGAATATTGCAAAATTCACACACTAAAGGAAAAGTTGCCAAACCGTGTTTGTTGATTATAGATCGGTATTCATGGCCTGGAGCTGGACAAGGCAATGGCAAGTGCCACAGATCGATATTCACCCCTCTTCGTATCGTCTTGAATATTTATGGAAGGGCAGAACCATCAACATCAAGTCGCTGCGCAGACATCAAGAAACTGAACCTGATTGATCGCAACTACTTCTACTACTTGGAGGGAGGATAGAACAAGAGCTGCTCGTCCATGTCATCGCCATCGGGCGAGGTTTACAGTTACTCACTCAAAACCGGCACGCCACAAAGCGTCACTTTGCTGATGCTCGGAGTCGGACTGGGACTATTACTATACTCAATTTATACATTTTTGTCAAAACAAACGAAACATTGCCAGGGTCGCAAAACGTGATCATACAAACATAGCTCTACTTCTCCTGATGTGTTGGAGTACAACATCCCGTTGAAAATATTAAGTTCGCATATTAGTTTTCCTTTTCGTAATCGTATTGATTCATTCCTAGATAAGCGGTCCGTCAAAAGTGGAAGCTCTGCTATACTATCGAGCCTTCGCTTGGTTGTGGTTCTGATTCCCATTCGGCTATAGTACTTAAAAATGTTTTTTTCAAAAAACTCTCCTGCCAACATTCTTTGATATAAACAAATTGTAACAACGCGTCGCTGTAAAAAACTTCATCTTGATCAGTTAGCACTCGTAGAGAGAGCGGCATCAAGTGACCAAGAACAAACAAGAACCCATACACAACATCCCTTCGTCGCTCATTTGACTCCAGACTTCCGCACCCAACCATCACGATCAGGGACAACTTTGTGACCACCTCCCTTCACATACGGACCCGTGCTCCAATGATTCTCCACGCACCTTCGAAACTGATCCCGTTTGTAGCTCGGTACGTGATACTCTCGAAAGATCCCAGTCCCGCCACGCAGCTCATCCAGCGCGGAGGGACCGATGCGTCCCGGTGGTGGACCCATCGATTGATATCCCGATCTAGTCTGGCGATCCTGTCGTCTGCTCGTTTCTGCTTCTCCCGCAGCCCTAAAATTATTTGCCGCGGTCGCTACTGGTACGGCGAAATCATGCATGCGTGCACCCGTTGCAAACGCTGCTGATTCCTGTCCTCGGAGTGACAGAGCCCCACGCGGCTGGGCTCGAGCAGCAGGCAGCGTCGTGACTCCTGAGCTGGGAACCCTCGCGGCGAGGAAGCTCGTTGCAAAAGAGCTGGGTGCTGCAGAACAATTCACAAACGCCAGGTTGTCCGGTCTGGAAGAGCCGGAGGTGCCTTGTGCTGGAAAGGATGTGCTTCTTGTGAAAGTTTGTTGCTGCGGAGCGCGCGTTTCTTGCTGGTGTGCCTGCACAGGGCCGTTATTTCGGTCCTCTTTTGCGGCTTGACCATGCACCGCCGAAACATCCGGTCGTGGTAACTGATTATGTAAGAAGGGATCGGTTTGCTCTACTTGTTGAAGTTGTTCTGCACCTTGAGCTTGATTTTGCTCCACCGGCGGCATCATGTTGATCAGCTTTGATATGTCGGTCCGCTCCCCCACATGTCCATGTCCTGTTTGTGCGCCTGTAGCTGTACCACGCGAACGAATATCGATTTTTTCTTCTGTTCCACGTATCGCATCTTCTTTTTCTTCTTCTGCGATCTTCGCATCATGCTTCCCTTCCTTGTGGTCTTCTTCGCTGGGGCAGTCCAGAGCTTCCAGCCCCTGGCCCTGCACGATCATCGCAGACGCGGTCGCATTGGCATTCGCAATGACATCATTCCTGGCTGCTCCATTATTTTCCACCTGATCTCCAGCAGCTCTCTCAGGTGCCTTGTGCTGTATCCCTGGGTGCGATTGAAACAAGGATGAAGGCGGGGGAGCGGAAACGGCAGGTACTAGGCCTCCGCTCATGCTTAAATCCGGCTGCGGTGTGCTGGCTTTTGCTGTGGGCGTTGCGGAAGCGTTAAAGAAGCTGGGTTGAAGAAACGTTGGAACATCAATCGCGTCTACTACACCACGCGTGGGTTCTTGTAGCTGCTGCTTTTCCTGTATTTTTTGCTTCTTCACAGGCGGAAGGAACTCGTTGCAATCAGCTCCATCGTCCTTTTCAGCAGTTACTTCAGCCCCGTCGTGGCGTCGAGCAGAAGGAGATGGTGGCATCAACTTGTTGTCCTGTGCTTTCTCACTCTCGAATAGAGAAACAGCTGCTGGAGGTGCCACGTCAACGTCAATTTGTGGGTCGTCCCTGTTGTGGCATTTTGAGCCCTCGCCACGTTCTTGACCAAGATGATCCTTGTGGTCGTCCTGGATATCGCGTGCGCGCAGGAAAGCTTCGGCCTCCGCGCCCGTCAGGATCTGTGATTGCGAAAACAGATCATCCAGAACGGTGCGCTTTCGCTTCCCTTCTTCTTGCCCCAAAGCAGCTGCTGGCGCGTCCCGTGTCGCTCGGAGCGCTCGCCCGGAATTGCCTACTTCGGTTTGCCCGCAATTCGCCGTGCGTCCGCTTTGGTACGAAGGGTTTCCTGTGTCCTTCTTGTTGATTGAAGAACCGGCGAAAACGCGTAACAGATTGTCCCGGGCGGTTGTCAGCTGCACGAAGTCGGCGCCGCACGCCGGCGGTTGGACTCCTACAGATGAAGTGTGAGTGCTATGCTTGTCCGGGTGGTAACGAAGAGCCAGACTTCGATACGCTTTCTGGATTAGAGTCTTCATGTCGAAGGTCTGCGCTATCTCCTGCTGCTGCCCGTTATTTTCGCCTCGGTTAAGCGACTTATCGGAAAGTCCCAAAATCTGAAGATCGCGCTTCTGACTGTCGGTCAGCCGCGGTGCAACGTGGAAAAAATTCGCTTCCTGCTCCAGCGCTTGCCACATTCTCTGACTGTGACTGGTGGCATTTGCAGGCGAAGAGCTTTTGTTCGTCACGCCAGAAGGCTCGCCGTGTTCTTCGAACGCCGGAGTTTGATACTCGATCTGGTTTGGAAGAGGAAGACCGCTGTTGCCGGCGCTCTCCTGGTCGGCTTCTTGCTTCGTAGACACATTGTGTACAGCGTCAGCACCTTCTGGACCAACAACATGCGGTGCGACTTCGCTTTCCACAGGCGCGTTGCGCTTGCTTTGGAACTGGTCGTGCAAAAGATGCGCCTCGCTCGATGAATGTGCATGCAGTGTCTTCTTGTTCTGCATTTTTACCAGCACATTGCGTTTTCGTGTTGGGCGCGGCACATTTCGCGGGGCCGCGTCTCCCAACACGTGCCCGCAGCCCTCGTGGACTGCACGAGCAGAGTCGAGTTCCACGACTGATGTGTTCTTTTCTGCATTCGGATCATCGTTTTGCGCGTTTCCAGCGAAGTTGGCATCCTGGTTTACCATGTCGCCTACCGGTAATGGCAAACCAGTGCACCTTTTGGCTGCAGAGCAGCTAGACCCAGCGGGAAACTCGGAAAGGTTGAGAATGACAGCAGAGTCGTTCTGGGCCGCTGGGAATGTTGGCAAAGGTCGTGGACCAATATCGTCTACCCCTACAGTTCTGGGCGGGAGCGCGCCCCTCGGGAGGTCCTGCGGTTTCAACGACGTCCCATGTACTCTATGCCTCGCTTCTTGCTGCCCGACTTCAAATTCTTTCGTCTGGGAAAACACCACCTGTGTCGGCATGGCAAGGCAATCTTCGGCCCTCGACATCAGAGACGCAAACCACGAATCGTCAACGACGTCTTGACAAATACTCGCGTCCTTGTCCTTTTTCATCATGTCATGGTCCGACTGTTGTACAGAAACAGGATGTACTTGTTGACCAGGCTTCCCAAGATGATCAGTGGGATGCCCGTACTTCGCTTTCGGCGGTACAGGTGCGGGGGGGAGCATCGTCGGTTGCCTGTTGTTCCGGGAGCACTCTCCTGCTGCGAAAGAACACGTGGTCGAAGCACGCTCCTCGTCCGGTGCGCTCATATTATCTGTGCTGTGCTGCATCAGACTCGTTAGTGCGCCGGCTTGTTCTTTATTCAGTGCCGCCTCTCGCCCTGATACTCGTTCTTGCAACTGCTCGGCTTTTTTCTCATCGTCACCTCCTGCGGCAGCACCTTGTTGTGCGTCGCGGCGTTTTTTTTGGGCAAGCCACTCGGTGTAGGCCCGGGAATTTTCGACTGCGCAGAGCTTCGAAGAATCTAGTGCAAGTATTGCCGAGTACAAGTCTATGGCGGAATTGACGGGGAACGGGTAGAAGATGCGGTCAGCGTCTTTCTCCTTGTGGTTCTGCTTCGCAGTTTCCTCGAGGGTGCTAATCTTCGCGTCATCTCTTTCTTCATTCTTGTTCTTCCCGCTGTAGTCCTGCTTGACCACAGAAACAACGACGAGCTTCTCGCCGCGAGTAGTAGAACACAGGTGCGGCCCACTGCTATCGATGTCGACTTCCTCCGCCTGCTCTCGGTGGTTATACTCTTTACCGCCGCAAGCAATGACGAAGTGTCGCAAACGGTCACGGGATCGCTTGTTCAAGAAAGCAAACCGGAAGGAGGCAAAAAGAACGGACGCGGAGCACGACGACGAAGTGCTGTCTTCAGTTCGTCGCTCATCACCCGCATGTTGAGGCAGCTGGGGAGCAGGTCCCTCGTCCTGTATTAACTTGTCTTTGTCACAGACACGTGCCCTCTCCCGAAGCAGCTGCGGCAGAAGCCATCTCTTGGTTTTCTCCAACCCGACGGCCAAAGAGCTTTGCAGCTCCCTTGGAAAGGACGTCTTCATCTTTCGCACTTCTCTGGACTTCTGCCCATGGATGTCTTCGGTCGACGTCACTGTAGGGAAAAACGCGAGGGGCGCAGGTTCGAGCGGCAAATTCACTTTCACAACGATCGGATCTGTGGCGCTGCTACAAGTTCCCGACTGATGAAAGACGAGTTTCTTCTCTTGTTGTGTTTCCCGGCAAGCAGACAGGACAAAAGCCTCGGTCACGATGCTGCATGTCGGTTGTTGCACCCACGCTTGCAGGAAAGGCTGCGTGAGCTTGAGCTCCTGCATCACCAAGAAGGTCCTCGCAGCCGTCCTGACATGTCTTCCTCGGAAGTTCTCTGTCCTCACATCAGGCACCAGCAAGTCATTCTTACAAGCAGTCGAGGTTGAGGTTGACGTCGTTGCTGCTTCCATTTTTTCAGAAGTTGGAGATGCGAAGGAAGTGTTCCTCGTGTTTGCTGCGCCTCCCATAATTTCTAGCTTTTGCAGCAATTCGCCGCCTAGTTTCTTTTCGATCAGATACTTCAGAGATTCGAAACCCTGGAACGACGGTGTCGCTGCTCCCGCCAACATCGCGTGCGCATCTTCCTCTGACAGGTTCTTTTTTCTTCTTGTGCAGAGTGACGGAGCGGCAACATGCGAGCCAGCTTGCGGTTCGTCTACTTGATCTTGGCGTCGCGATGAAGTAGAGTGGGACAAGTGCATCTCCTTTTCTTTTCTGCTCTCGGCGGCCAGCGCCTTGTGGATGCAGAAACGCCAGGGCTCTATGACGAAAACGCAGACCGGAAGGGGCGAGAAAAAATTCTTGCTGCAGGTCTCCTCAGGCGATGACGAGGGGCCGTCGGGAAGTCTTCGCGTGCGACGACTCGTCTTGCTTTCATTTTCATGCCGCGGAGGTAACAAAAGATCGTCGTGCAGCGACGCGCTTGCCGCGTCGTTGCTCGAAGTGGCAGTGGCAGGAGCCGTTTCAATTCCTTTAATGTCGCTTCGCAGCAGCGTGTGGATCGCAACTTCTTGGCGCGCTCGAGCTCGCGTTCCCTGCCCCCCTGTAGAAGTAGTAGGGTCGGCGACATTGGCACTTCTGTCGTTGAGCTCCAGAACTACACGATGGGACGGAAGCAAAACTTTTCCGTTGCATCCGACTGCCTCGCTGCTCTGCAGCACTGCTTTTCTCCCGGACAACACGTCCACTTTCAACCGGAAGAGTCCCTGCACTCGCAGTTCGTGCGTCCCCAGCGGCAAAACAAAGGACGATTCGAAGCTCGACGGAGCCAAGCTGGACGCTTCGAAGTTCGCTGGAGCGCCATGACAGGAAGTCGCCCGAGCACTGTCGGAAACAGGACCACCGCAAACACTTTGTTCTTCTCGTCTATGTCCGAAATGGATGAGGAAAACCATTTTTCGATTGGAATTTTAAAGAATAAGAACGAAGAGATGAAAGTGTAAAAGATTCGATAGATGAGTAAAGTAATTTAGCAGTACAGATCAAACAAGCCGACAAGCAGCAAGAGCCACACAAACTTGTCAATCTGATCCACTACAGGCCGATTATATCGGGTATACAGCGCAAAAAAGGTGAGTAACCAGAAACCGAGCAGAAGCAGGTGGCAAAATAGCAAAAAGTAAATCAAATACAGCTCCAGTTCGAATTCAAAATCTGTATCTTTGTTCTGCTTCTGCGTAACTGTGCTGATGTTGAAGGTGTCTGTACTAGAAGTGGCGTTCGTAGTTAGCGCATAGTCTGGTACTGCTACTTTTAGTGGAAGGTGGTGCGTGGACATATTTGTAGCAGTGTGCGTATCTTCGTGTCGTGCGGCACTATTGAGTACAACTTCACCGCGTAGTGGTATCTTTGCAAACATCTGTGCTGCGCGGATGCAAGTAACACGGTGCAGGGTGTCGGGCACAGCAACTAATTGAAGTCAACACGACTGCTGGTGTCACTGCTAGATATCAAAAAAAGAACCTGCTGCCTTTCTGTTTTGGATCATGGCATTGGCTCTCTCTGACTTCTTTCAAAAGAACGAGACGAGAAGACAAGCGAAGCATGTTTGTTGGTTACACATACACACTCACCAGAAGCGAAAAATAAAAAAAATGCGAAGACTATTCGAGTCGAACTCGAACCGCGTGATCCGATGCCGTAAATCAGATGCTCCTTTCACTCGAATCTCCGTTTTGACGGTCTCTGTCTCTCTCGATCGCACAGTATTTATAGTCAAGCTCTACTATGGTCGAAGATTTTTCTCCTCGACAAAAAAAAAACTGCACCACGAAAACTAAACAGCAGAAAGATGAAAATCAAAAGCTGCTTACGCTCAAAAGCAATATCGAGAAGTCGAAAAAACCAGCAGGCCCGACATCAATTCTACTTGCATGCGATGCCTGCAGCTGGAGCTGCTAATAGTCCTGACCCTGAGGACAAACCAAGAACATAAACAGCCCTTCCATGATCAAATCTGAAATGGGAAGCAGCATGATGTGGTGCATTCATCCGCAGACCACTCGGAAGATATCCTCGCAGTTGCCGCAGCGGAATCGTAAATGGGTCGCTCATGCTCTTGCGGTTCGCAACTTCGCGTGCACAGTTTTCATGTGTTTTCGATAGTCCTCCTCACGGTCTTGTGAGATGAGGTAGTCTTTGAAGAATTCTAGCAAGTCGAACCGTCCTTGAGTCATTGCAGTCTCAAAGTCTGCAGACTTGAGCTGGAACCCGTGATCAAGCACGTTGCGGAAGTACTCTACCGTCGTAACGCGACTGTCCAGCACCACCGGCGCCTGCATCAACCGCTCAAGAAAATCTTTGTTGTCCCCATGCAACGCTTGTGCCAACTCTTGCTCTGGAGGTGGCCGAGTGGTCGCTAAAATTCCACCTCCCGTCGCGGCCGCTTCCGCCACCCGCGACTCCTGTGCGAAGGACTCCTCTGCGATGAGTTCGATCGTTCGCTGCTCGAGTTGCTGTGAAAGCGTAGCTGCGACGCCGACATCCAGCTCCGCGTGCTGATCTTCCACGTCGGAAACGTGCTGAAAAATTTCCTCCAACTCCACCACGTCAAAGTCCTTCAGCTTCGTCATGCGACTGCGCAAAACTTGCAGACACCCAATACCGCGCGGCGTCACGCTGCGCAGAGAGATACCACGCAGTTGCCGTGACCAGCACTCGGGTGCGGGTGGGCGCCTGTTCGTCGTGCCAGCGCTGCTCGACGTTCCACGACCAGGACCATCCCTGCCTTGATTCTCGTCCACCTCGGCTATTTGCATGTTCGCGAAGAAACGCAGACAGTCGCGTATGTTTTTCCAGTCCCGCGAGAACCGACACACGAGCACTGGAAGGGGCCAGTCCTGAAATTTCTCGCTCGCGTACGTAAAGGACACCTGGTGCGGAAACGGGACGGTGGCGTTCGCTTGCGCCAGTTTTCCAGCCAGCTTGGCGAACAAGCCTGCATCTGCGAAGACGCACGCGGCCGCGTAGAAACACACTTGAACGATGGGATTCCAGAAGGGTCGGAAGTTTGAAAAAAAGTAGCGCTCCAAAAGCCTTTCTTCCAAGAGTGGGCGCAGACGACGCGTCTGGTCTTGCTCGGAACGGCGGTAGAGTTCGAGAATCAGAATTCCCGGGTCCACGGCGTCGACCTCCACGGCGATGCTATTGATCTCTACGTTCAGCTCTGAGATGTCTTTTGGGTCTGTGGTAGTCGAAGGCTGGCCAAAGGTAGGTGGCGGCGGGGGGGCTTTGGTCTTACTCGATTTCTTGCTCGGCGACAGCGTCGAGGAATGAGAGTGTAGCCCCACCGCTGCGTTTAGTACCTGCGCTTTCTGTGGCTGAGGCTGTGGTCCGTCAACAGAAGCGGGCTCGGCCTTGAGAGCTTTCTGTTTGGCAAACGCACTAACGTAGGTGCCACCTCCTTCTTCGTCTTCCTCCACGACTGCAAATGGAGCGGGCGCCGTAAGGGGCCGAGGTCGTCGACGGAGTGCTGATGAAGTCGATGATGCGCTTGTGGGTGCAAAAATAAGCGGGACAACGCCTCCTGGCGTCACTCCCGGCGCTGCGCAGTACCGTTGTAGTTCCACTTTGGCGCTCCTTTGCCTCTCGGACTCGGATCGTGGCGAATGCTTCACCATCAGGCGCCGCTGCCGCTCCTTATAGCTCGCAAGATGCGGCTCCTCATTTACGATCTGGCGCTGTTGATCATCATGATTTGTTTCTTTTTCCGATATAGAAAGAACTTGCTCACCTACTACCGCCGCCGCTGCGTGATTAATAGGCGAATTGATACTGCCTTGCGTGCCAGCGGGGGCCGTCTCGTGAGATATTGCTCCGTCGCCACCCGTGGCCCCTCCTACCATTTCTGGCGCGGAATTGCGACGCTGGCGCAGCCCTCGAACGCCGCTTGCACCGTGCTGCTGCTTGTCCTTGCTGTTCATCGCTGTGGGGGAGCCACCGCTCGGTGATTGCAAGACTCCTGAACCGGGACCGTTACTCTTTCCACCTCTGTTCTTGAGAAATACACAGCCCGTCACTGGCGGACCCTTTAGTGGAATCTTTCCCTGCGGCCATCCTCGCCACAGAATTTCCACACGATAGTTTTTCTGACGGTACTGCTCGATTTGTGTAGAGAGAAACAAGATTGCTGCTCCGGTACTATCCGCTCCGCTTGCTTTCTGTTTATTCGTGTTAGTATTTCCGTTCCTGAAACCATCATGGTCGCCCTGCTGACTGTTTTCCTGCACTTCTCCGCGTCCTGCCTGATGGCTCTTCGACGAAGTCGACGACAAAGCGGCTGCCACACTCGCTGGTGGCCGCGTTGTCAGTGACAGGAGGAACTCGAGACATTTGCGCGCGTGGTGACTACAGGCAGTGACCACTTGGCTGGCGGACAGCTCGAAGGTGGTCGTGGAACTCGTGGTGGTCCAATAGTCACAAATCACCTCCTGCAGATGCTCCACGTCGTCCTCGCGAAAAACCCTATCGAGGATCCGGTCTGGCGTAAACCGCAGGCCAATCAGGTGCTGCGCACACACGTTCGGATGCTTTCGCTTGTAGAAAGACAGCAGACGCTGGTACCGCACGCTGCTCTTCGCCGCCGCCACATCGTGCAGGAACGCCTTGTCGTGGCCCTGCCGCAGAATGTACTCGTCCAAGAGGTCCTCATCCTGGAGCTGCAAACTCTCCCAAATCCGGACCAACTCGCGAAACGTGAGGAAGGGTGAGACGAGAGACAGGATGAGGGCGAACCTCTCCTCTTTTGTCACCCATCGCGGCGCAGCCGGCAGAACCAAAGCTGATGTCTCAATTAGTCCTCTGGCTTCTTTTCCGTCTTCAGGAAGAAAATTTTTCTCCATGGTGCTCAAACAGGAAAAGTTTTCAAATCACCATCGCCGCGTTCGTCAACGTCAATCAAATCCTACCTCGCAGCCGTTTTATCCCGGGTTGACCAAACGGATCGGACCGGTCCATGCAACTTTCTTTGGCGTTTCTCTTTCTTGATTACCTTCGTTTTGTCAGAGTCTGGCTCCGGGTCCGGCGTGACTTTTCGCATGAGCAAGTGGGAGTTGCTCCGAACGGATGGCTGCAAAATGAAGAAGGAGAGCGTGGTCGCGAGCACAAAAGGCGAATCCTCAAATTCATGGTCATAATTGTCAAATGTCAACATATTGATCAGGTAGAGTATTCAGGGTATAAGTTGCGGCAGCTTTAGTCTTAGCGCAATGGATACGCCAAACCAATCGAAAAATACAATCGAACTTCATTGCGTCGGGGAAACATGCGTCGAGCGAAGTGACTTGTAATTGTTCCGGTGTGGGGGTAAAAGGAGGTCCTGCTTCAGCAACATTGAAACAAATTTTCTGAAAGTCAAAGTTTCACTTCGAACAAGACTCCGACAAATTATAGAGGATAGGGGTCAGAAGCACAACCGAGGATATGCTGTTCATGGCAGGCCTGAAGTCACCGAAACAGTCAGGTACTGGTGTAGCAAATACTCAGCTCCGTGCTTTCGCGTTGAATCGTAGCAGCAGTGCACAGGCGAAACTCACAGCGGTTGCCGATGAAACAAAAGTGAATGTCTAGAGCCGATATTGAAGTGCAAGTACTTATCGACCGAGTAAAAAACTTACGCTTACCGATCATCACCAGGGAAGCAGATAGGAAAGGTAAAGCACAGCGCATGAAACGAATAGCTGTTCTTGTTGGCACTGTTTTATTTGGACTCGCTACATTCATCCTTCGCGAGCTGCGCTGGGTCGAATTCGAATAGGAGCAATTGTAGTGCAATTTCTCGTCATCTTATTCGGTCCGTACAACCTCGTACCAACGATGCAACCCGCTTCGCTAGTATAGGTATACCCACGGCATGATACATGAAGATAGAATGCATCGACAGATCAGTTCCTTCTCTTTTCCTTTTCTGTTGGTTCTGTCTGTTTTGGTGAAAATTAACGCTAAATGTTGGAATGTCAAAAAGTACGAGATACAGCCACATGAGGCAGTTGAATATTTACCACTAGTTGTACCTGTGATCATATCATACATGAAACGCTAGCTGTATCAAAAATCAGCCACTGTCCCGTGCGGTGCTTGCGGTGTGGCTTCTCTCCGACGCGATCTTCTTGAGTATCATGGTCATCTATATTTCCAAATCATGATAAGAATAAACAAAAGCTCTATCTCAACTTCTGCGAGGTGAGTTTCTCGGTGTGCTGGCAAATACCAGAATGATGTATGACTAAGTACGCAAACACCTGCGCACAGAACTAGCCACACTTCCTGCTGGAGTTCGCCCGCAATTTGCTGTCTAAGGCTCTTTGTTTCCAACTACTCTAACAAAATCAAAAATATTTAGTATTCAGAATCAAAATGAAAATATCAATATCAACTAGAAGTGGTAGCAAAGGCAAAGCTCAACTCGTCCCACGAAATAAACCCAGTAGGCGTTGCGACCACGATTGCGTTCCAGTTTGTTGCGGTGGGAGATGGTCTGGGCGGGGTGGAAGCGGCCCCGGGGGCCCCGTCGCGGGGGGCGGCGGAGGATCGGCAGCGTCCACAAAAGCCGGCGAGAAGATTGGAGCTGTCGCTCCTGTAGCTGGGTCCCGCCAGTGCATCCGGTTTGTACGCTCTTCAATCGGCAAATGCGGCGCGTACGGCGAAGGCGTCGTGCGGGTCCCTATGAAACCAAACAACTCCTCTTCGTTAGTCTCACTCGGAGCTAAAAGAGTAGTCTCTGCGCAGGTATGGAAGTGTAGAAAAACCGTATCTGCTACTGCATTTATGCCTATCTTGTTCATCTTCCTCAAATTGCCACGCACAGTACTCTTGGCCACGTTGCCACCTCCATGTTGACGATCGGAAAACAAAAAGACCACGCCGATCAAAATCATAAAATATCAACATATAGTACAAATAAGTGTAGACGCTACAAAGGGAAACGGGTAGATCATGCATAGAACAGCAGCTGTCCTACTCTGAAAAAGTTCTTTAAGTACAAGCACAGCTGAAGACACGGTGACGCGATACCGTTACCATAGCTCTGGGCCTGGACGCAGCCCTGGGTAAAGCCACTGCCTGTATCGGTTCCGTAGAAGTCCGCGCGGCTATCCACAAAAAAAGACCCATCCCCATCCAATTTGTCATGCCAAATATGCATAAGGTCCAGCGTTTGTCATGCAAAAAATGAATGGGGATGGGTGTTTTTTCCTGGATAGTGGCCCCCGTCTTCGTACGCTGCAGTTGTTTGCGGGTAGATGTGCGGCGCCCGCCAAGCAACCGCTGCCGCTGCCTGGTCCTCAGGTGTCTTGAACTTGAACTTGCCGTTTCCCCAATGGTCAATCTCTGTGTCAATCACTGTCGGGCTGTTCAGGACGGAGTGCTGCATCGTCCTGCCCGGCTCGTCTAGTGCATGGTCCGCCTTGTTATTGCGCTCGTTTGTGAACTTGCCGTTGTTGTACTGTTTCACCATGTTGAAGTCTCGCGGCGACCAGGTGGCTCGCGGGCTCACTTCCATCGTGCCCGTTGCGCCCGCTGGCCGGGCGGGCAACGCACTGCCCCCCATTGGGTGTTGATACGCCACAGTGGCCTGCCCACGATATGAGGCTCGACAACTCCCCCGTCGAAATCTTTAGTGCTGCTAATAGCTATTGATCTTATGATTTGTGGTCATGCAAACCAGCAACATGCGCAGCTACGCTTCTACTTGTTGACCTTCGATGGCCGCAGGGGAGGTACTTACGATGTTGCCTACTATGAACATGTCACAGAAGTTGCACGGCCACGTCAACTTGAAATACATGAAAAAGAGGAGCCTATATTACCATGAATGCGTGAGGTACTTCTACTTCTATTGATGCAGAAAAGAACAAGAGTAACCCGCAATGAAAACAGTGCAGCTTCTGTTGCAGGCCTGGGACGGGCGGGGGAATTGGGAACCTGTAGCGCGTGCTACCGCTGCGTCTCTGTCGTTGAACTTGAGGTCTTCGGTGTGGGCGGCCCTCTGTCGGTCGCTCATGTCTGCGACGGGCTGATCCTCGGCGGGCCCTTGGTAGAGGTCCGCGTTAGTGACCAGCCGCGTATTGCGTGTGGCCCAGTTGCCCTGGTAAACGGCCTGCAACTGTGGATCGGTCGGTTTGTCGGGTTGCGCGGTCGCCCGCGCGAAGTGCATGGTCGGCTCGCCCGCCTGGTGCTTGTGGTAGGTGTCGGCAACGGTACGGATCACGGTGTCCATGTGACGCGGGCCCTGTTCAACCATGTTGTCGTGCAGCGTTCCGGCCGTCGTGCGCCGGTAGGTCTCTTGCGCGGCCGCGGCCGGATTCGCCTCGGCCTGGTGGACGTTTTTCATCCGCTCTGGTCCGCCGTTTGCCCCCTTTTTCAGGGCCTCGGGCCCGGTGGTTCGCAAGTTCTGGATGTCTGTGGACTCGGCAGGCACCATGTAGGCGGTTCTTCCGGGTTCCTGCTGGATGGCGTGAGGCGGAAATTTGTTGAAATTAATCACCTCCCTGATGCCGTCCACCGGGTCTGGAGCGCCCAGGACCGCGCGGCCCCTCGCTTGACTGAGGTCACTTTTCATATTCCCGAGATTGTTGATTTTTGTGGTTAAGTTTGCGATTTGCGCGGTCCTTCCTGGTGTCTTCGGCAGCGCTTGCAACGCAGCCTTTTGAGCTTTTAGCTTGTTTTGGTAGGCCTCAACGGCAGTGCGGTCGTTGTCAAAAGCACCCGGGGGGTTGTTCTGACGCCGGACTTCTGCAAGCGTCGGCCAATCTTGCTTTGGTGCCACGCCGCCCGGGCGATCGACATACACATTGCCGGTTGCTGGGTCCAAGTCACCCATTGCCTCCAACTGCGAAAATCGACGCACGCGCCGCTGGGGGTCGTACTCTTGATAATCTTCCGCTGCGTCAGGCTCGTCGGCTGCGAGGTTTCCTCCATCGTCGCTGCCAACATCTTCTCCTGTTGCGTCGCAATCTGCGGATCCGTTACACTGCTCTCTCAACCACTGGTACCCTTGCTGGAACAACCCGGATATGCTTGTACCTCCTGAAGTTTTTTTTTGCAATTTCCGACACACTAAATGCAAACTTAAATTCAGCTACATACTGGCGTCAACGCCATCAGAAGTTTGACATCTTTGCACTTATCTGAACCAAAGTGGCTGATCTTGATCCACTTGAACTACCTGATCAACTTTCGTCCAGGATGTATAAAGATCCGTGGCATCAACAGCGAGCTGGACAGTAGAGAGCTCAGCCATCAACAGAAAGACAGATCGTGTCCGTGACCGAAATAAAAATTTCAACAACCAGACCAAACAACTTGGCCAACAACAAAACAGAAACACCAACCGCCAACATCTTCAATTACAGTGGTGCCGATAGCACACCACAAAATAAACCAACCGAAATCCTGGAAACAATAACAAATGTCCCCGGCAACCCTACAGATGAACTATGAGAAACGGTTTTTCAGAGCTGTATTATTGTTCCAGCGACAAAAAAGCTTTTGCTGCAAAGCTGCTGCTCCTGCTCAGGAGGTGCTTGCTTCGTGCCGCTTATCCGGATTCGTAAAGTGGGCGTCCAATCCTCGTGTGCAATCCTCATACTGGCTCTGGCTCCGCCGACCGCAACCCTCTGCGGAACCTGCAACACTTCAAGGCACCTTATCAACTTTGTTCATATGCAATTGGCATTATGCCTATCCTTGCTTTGTGGAAATAAATGAAAGCTGTGAAAAGTCAATAGAATTCGCCCGAAGATCAGAACAAGTTAATACTTTTTACTGCTTTCATGAAATAATCGACGCGACCAAATTAATAGGTGTTGCATCACCTGCTCTAAGAACTACACCACTCTCGAGTTCGATAGAGAGAGAGTGAATCTTCTTGATGTAACAAAGAAAATCAATAAAATCACTAAAAAAGCTCGCTGGATGCTAGAATTCGTGTAATACACCTCCATTTCCTGAATCTGAAAATTGCCGGCATAAGAATGAAAGGGTAATCTTCGAAGCTAACACTTTCCAGGCAACATCCACAGAAATCCTTTTAGTTTTTAGCCCGATAGATTGAGATTGTTCCGCAGAGATGATACGTACCGGCGCAAGTACTAGTAGAATTGAAGTAGAGTGACGAGGCTATGCCGCCCTCGGCGCCATTCCCATCTCGTCATTTGCAAAGCATTTTACATCTTCCGGTGGAGGTGACGCAACGCGCATCTTGATCTTCCTGTTCTACACATGCAAACCAACATATTATCATCTGTGGGCGAGGGCATATTCACTTGAAAACTAACGAGTATTCTTAAATTACGCCAAGCAAAGAGCTGCTCCTGCAGTAGCGTAGCTTTACTTTTGATTTTATCACCTATCCTCACCGCATATTACAGTTGATTGAAAATCCTGCTGTCTTGCTTTGTAGTTTTGACCTCTCCTACTTGCCGAAAGAGTGATTATTTTTCAGATCCGGACCACAGTACAGTGCAAAGTGTAGTAATGGAAGGCCCCGTCATGACGAAAACCACACCAGACATCAAACTTCGGTGGTTAGGAAACAGTACGGCGTCCAGACGACATCTCCATGCGGGAGTCGTAGCTAGTTCTACTGTTGTTGTCGTTAGTCTTAGTGCTGCTCCTGCTTCACTGAAAATAAACAATTGTGCTTTTTCTTTTGCTCCTCCGCGCAAAAATCTGCTACTGAACCAACAATATCAAGCGTTGTTGATGTACCAATTGTTTCTTCTTGTGCTCTTATCTTTTATCTTCCATGATACATCTATGAAAGTTGTGCTTCCAGTCACTAATTTCCCGACTGAGTCGAAAAGAATCGCACGCGGCCGGGCCTGCACAAAACGGCTCAGCAAGCTCCAGCTCGTCGTGTTTCTGTTTGTGAGGATCATACTTCATACTTGAAAGAAATTATAAAAAAATCGCTCTCCGTAATATCAACAGGGTTTTCCTAAAATCAGTGCTTTCTACATAGACGCATAAGCACAGCGGACCGACGAGCCATTGTTAGTGGCCCGGTGTGGCTCTACCTTGCCTTTGCCTTACGACGCCATGTCAGCTGGAATGATTGTTCTGTGTGCGATTTGCCAAGGCTCGTTTCGTAGGAACTTATCTTCGCCCAGACACTTTGCCTTCGCGGCCTCCTCGACAGTAAAATCCGTTTCGATTAGGAAGCGAAACTCGCCACTGCGTGATTTAAAATGTTCATCCATGTCCTGGCCCTCATACGGTACAGTCGGAGATGTCACCACCCGGTAAAGTACAGGCGATGAACCCTCCGGCTCAAGTCGCTTCGTTTGGCGTTTGCTGAGAAGCAAATCGGCGCCTGCGCTACCAACTCTCGACACGAACACGCCGGGCTCTGTGGTGCTCCTGCGGGGCTTATTCACGCCCCCGTCCTTCGCAATGAGCCGTTCCCCGATGTTCAGAAAGTACTCCCGCAAGTAACGTTCCGCAAGAGATATTTCGCTCGGCTCGTCGTCTTCCCAATCGCTGCCCCCGACTACATCCTCGGACACAACTTCCGAAACAGCACTATGACAACTTTCAGTTTCGTCATCATCTACAGCCTCCATCATAGCATCATCTTCAGCTTGTTCCGCAGGCACAGTCACCCCCTCGTCGTTCTTACCGTGACCGTCTCTTGCAGCGTCTTTGTTGTGAAATATCCAAATCCGCATGGGTCGTGAGAATGGCGATGTTTCCACACAATCGTAGTATTCTTTGAAGGTCGACCGACCAATTGGACCCAGTGGAGGAGCACTAATCTCCATGTAGTGCATCTTTATTGTGCTTTCAGGACGGAGAGACGTGGCATGGTCTTCTCCCAAGACACCATGTTCCTGCGCTTGTGCGTTGGTAACAAGGCCAGCTGGCAGACCCTCGACTTCGATTTCTCTAATACCCTGAAAGGGATGAAAGAAATTCCAGGTGAGTAGGCTCAAGTGCTCGCCCCAGCTGCTGCGTTGCTTTCCCCAGATTGCTTCGAGGACCAAAAACAGAAGCGCACGAATGGTCGCCCCGGATTGACTTGGCATCTGGAAGGCATATTGGTAGTTTCTTCTCCAAGGAGTTACCACTAGGTCGCCCTTGCCGGGGCCGGCAAAGTCGCGGAAGACTTTGACCTTCTTGCGTGGTGACGGGTCCTGGTCGCGATCTGTACTAAGCGGCAGCGCAAGCCATTGGGTATTTTTCAGCAGATCGGATGATCCAGCAGCCGGTTGAGTCGACCAACCCTGCTGGTCCCGACGCTCTCGGAGGTCCCGCCCAGCCTCGGGTGTCGTCTCCAAGTTAGCAGGTCTCGCGCTTTCTAAAAATTCGTGCGCGCCAACGGCGGTGAGACCACTACTTTCCACCGGTTCTCCGCCGGTGGAGGTCGCACCATCCCCTACTGATGTCCGCGGCAGAATCAATTTGAAGTTCTGTGCGGTATCTGGGAGACCCTTACCAATTCCGTCGAAGGGTGCGCGCCCTCGAAACTCGATGGTTTCTTGTTGATTAAAAGGCGGCGGCAGGCTCCCCTCTTGTGGAAACTCCGCGTCAGCGAGGACTGGCGACAGCCGATTCTCGCCATAAATGACACTAACGACCCTCTGAGCGCCAGCATCTGCAGTCGCAGCGTATTCAAGATCACTGATCGTGACCGCATCAGCATCTGTGGTACGCGGAGCAGCGTTGCGGCCGTGTAATAAACCATCATCTTCAGAAGCTAACCCCATATCGACATCTGCAGATCCAGATGATGACCCTTGTGTGACGTGCCCCGTGACTGCACCAACTAGATCTTTGTTCCAGAGCGGAACGGGGCCAAGGACATACGTGCCTTCAAACTCAATGTAGAGAAACGAGTCGTCCGCCACAAAAAAATCTGAAAACTCTGGGCCATCTCGACCTAGCTCGCCAATTTCAGCGAGTTTCATCAGTTCCTCGTCTTGCTCGCGTCCTCCTTCCGTTTTTGCTTTGTAGCTTTCATAGTCGTGAAACACCGTGCGTTGCAGCTCCTCAGACAGAAGGCCGGAAACATCCCACCAGGTCTCGGTTCCGGAGGTACTATCCGAATCCGAAATCACTTGCCCGTCGGCAGCAAGTGGCCCGATCCACGCAGAAACGCGGGTTCCGGGGCAGAAGTCGATATCCTCGCCGGGCGTTCCGTCTTGCAACTGGACGCCAACCGGCTCTTCGAAGATTGTCACTTTCAATGATGAAGATGCGACAGAGGAAGCGACGGCTTCGGTAGGCTGGGTAGGGGTAGTGCCTGGAGTTATTGATGATTTTTTTTTTGGTACCAGTAATCCACCACTTCCGACATCTCAACGAGTGGTAGATAAGACTGCGTGTCTTTATAATCTATCAGTATCATTTTCGATTGCTACTAGTACTGCCTACGACAGAACGGGATTTATTTCACTTTCCTTATTCTGAGGGCCATCATATTCGAAAAACTTCAGTAGATTTCGCGGAGAAGAAGTAGGGTTCTGACTTAATGTTAATATACTTGCAGTACCTCCAGCCGGTTCTCCTGCCGCTGCTGGGTTCGCTTGCGAAGTAGTAGACAAAAGCCGAAACAGATTGGTTGTAAAATGAGGATTACTACTGCCCAACAAGTCGCCGCCCGGCGTTGGGGTTTCAACGACACTCAGGCCACGAATGGCCACGGTCTTTGACCGTCGCGCCTCCCTGATACTCCCCTGGATACGACGCAAGTGGGCCCGGACGAAGTACTGCATGGTCACTTTCGCGCTCGACGCTGTCGGACCCGGAGCGGAGGCCATGGGAATCACCGCCTGGACACCAGAAACAATGAGAATCGTTGAAATCAAAAATGAGAAATAGATGGGTACACGTTTGCGGAGATGAGATAGAACTAGAAGGCGGGAAGTAAAAGTTGCTTCTTTGCTCTTACAAACACTCGACATGGTGAATTCTGTGGGAGGTGGGTGACGATTCACAATAAAATACGAAGGTAGAAAACGAAAAGCCGTTTCGGTGAAAGACGGCGGGAATGACAGTCTAAATCAAAAGAAAATGAAAATGTAAATGGTTTTAGTAAATTATAAGTAAACAGTGCCCTAAGTCATACCCCGTACCACGAGACAAGTAGCGGCCGCAACCTTGATCTCAAAATTGTGTCTACAACTTATTTTTGCTATAATCGATGTGGGTGAGCAATAACGATTTATGTTTGGAATATGCGGAGGCGTTTCTTCTTGCCGTGCACACGTGTGCTTGAGCAAGCATAGTTTGTTCTCAATGACTGTTCGTTCATGTTGGTGCGCACGCTTTCGGACTATGTCTCCTTGTCCTTTCTGTATTCATAAAAACTGATACCTACTGACGCTATCCAAGCCAAATGGACCTCGTCTTACCATGAACCAGAACGTCGTAGCTGCGGGCGGGTTGAAGATCCTACTTCTTAGTTACCTAGCATATCATCGAGCTAGGATCCGCCTGCCAAAGTCGACGCGACGATGGCAGTGCTGAGATACGTTCGGTGGCCTCACTACATCCCACCATTAGTATCATGGATCATCATCCTCAGGTTTGTCACTACACAGTGTCGTAGAGAGATCCTCAACGTCGTGATCGACTCAACAAAAGCAAAGATACTACGAGATCACACGCAGAGTGACAACATTATCACTAAAACAGCCTCAGCCTAACACGAACCGGCCAGACTAGAAGTCGTTAAAGATCTTCTTTTCGGTCCTATTTTCATTTAGAAATCTGATGAACCAGAACCACGAGTAGATCTCTGTCGTTTCCTAGTAGTGGAGAACACCAGGACTAGAATAGGCTGCATATGTTACAATCGGAGGTTCGAGTTAGCGGTTGAATTTGATCGCGGCCCGAGATATTAAAAATAAAAGCCGTCATGACAGTAGTTACGCGTCCCGGGGGCTGGGGTCGCTGATCCAAGCGTCGCGCTGACGCCACAACACGTCTTTGAACAGCGAGCAGTCGAGCGAGCAGTCCTCCGCCAGGGTCACTTCCGGAACGTCCTTCCGCTCTAGCTTGCCGACGTTTTCGGCACCCTGAGCATCCTGCTTCGCGTAATCATACACCGATTTCCGGTCGCCAGCAATGTGAATCACGCCCCGGTACTTGACTTTGTCCGCGAAGATCAGCTCCAGCATCTTGGCGACGTCCCGGCTAGCGGTTTTCACGGGCTGGCGCGAGGTGAACTGGTCCACAAAGGCCTTGGGATAGGGAAATACGTTTGGCCCGAAGGGGCAGCGAATGATGACGAATCTAGGCAGCATCTGCACCACGCACTCCCCCCCGAGTTTGCTCCAGCCGTAGTTGTTCAAGGGAAAGGTGGGGTCCGTCTCGGTGTACATCCCGCCCGGCTTCTTTCCGTCGAAGACGTAATCCGTGGAGATGTACACGACTTGCAGATCGTATTTCAGTGCTAGCTTACAAACGTTTGCCGTCCCGATCACGTTTGTGTCGATTCCCTTCGCGATTTTTTCGGGATCCTTCATGTTCACAGTGGAGACATAGGCCGCCAGGTGGACGATGGTTTCGATTTTCACGTTCTTGTTCGTTGGGGACGAGGACGGACTGGGGGCGCCACTGGCGGACGCTTCAGTGTCGTGTTCCTCTCGCGGCGCTCCGCCATTGATTTCTTCTTGTGAAGAGCGGTCGGTAGTGAATGTTGTCTTTTCGGAAGCCGTTGGTGCGATCATTTCAGTAGCAGGAGCGGGATATGAAGATGAAACCGCCTGCGAACCTCTTTGTTCGTACCTTGCCCTCTGCTCCAAGAAGTAGGTTTCCATCTTGCTATAGTCGGAAACATCAAACTCCACCGAACTCGGCGCCAGCACCTTCACGTCAGCAAGCAGCCTTGTCCTTTTGCCAAAGTGCTTGCGCAAATCCGTCCCCAACGTCCCGGAACCTCCTGTCATCAGGACCATTCGGGTAGTGTGACCGCTTGAGGTGCTCATGATTTGATTGGCACAATTTCAGTTTGTTGCTCGAGGTTCTCCGTAAACTCGAAAAAGTTTGCCGCTTTTTGCAGCCACCGAAAATAAATTTGAATGACGATGACGTACGCGCCAGCACGCCGAGGACGCTCTATCAGGGAAGCACAAGTACCGACTCATAGCTGTAGTGTGGCTTCACAGCCAAGTCTATTCATAGCTGGTCGCACAGAGACCAAGTTCATTTCTCCTTGTACCAGTAGGATCGGGCCCGCTGCAGGTGACAAGCGTCCCGCTGGCGGAAAGAGCAAACTAGATTGCCGACTGCGACTGCAGATGAACCAGGCTCGTCGTGCTAACAGATTTTTCATTGTCTTTGTACCTAGAACGCGTCGTGGATGGAAGTATGAAGCACGTCGTCGCGACGCCACAGCTTGCGCTCGAACTTCATTCGGTCTTCGGACGTCGGCAGTTACGTCGAGGTAACTCACTTAAATCAGATCGAGCGAGATGAGTGACCAATCGGAATCGACAAACACTTAAATGTCGCGGAATCAACATCAAGCGCAGTTGTAAAGGATCAAATACGTCGGAGCTGCAGCCGCTGTATTCCGGGTATTGTACATATGTCTCTATGTTCGTTCCAGGGTCGTGCGAAGGCACACACACCAACCTGAACTACCTCTGTCACTCATCGTTCAGCCAGAATTGCTTCTTCTTTCCTCCGATCTGTTCGCGCTTCGTGAGGTCAAAGTGTTCCCGAAATCGCTCGGCGTCAACGAATCCTGCGTCCATCTTCCACAATGGGTTCACGAAATCCTCCACATCCGCGGCTTCCTGCGCATCCTCCTCGACGCCGGCCTGCTTCACGAGAATCCGCTTCAGTAGACAATCGTGGAATCCGCTAAGCATCCCGGATCGAATCTCGTCCAGAGAAGAAAAGGGAAGACACAAGGATGTCGCGGACGAGTCCTCCTGTTGCAGTTCTTGTCTCTCCTCTGCTATTGCTGAACCATCTGCATCTGTAGGTTTCTTGCTTGACAGTAGGGTCGTGCCGGGCGTTATTGTCATTTGATCGACAAGGTCGTCGACCAAATTCTGCTGCGCCGCAGAAATCTTCGTGTTGATTTTCGGGAAAGGCCACTCCCGCATATCTTCGCAGAAGGGCAGAAGCGACAGATACAACACATACCGGTTCATTGGTGGAGGGGATGCGTCAGCAAGTAGTGCGTGACCACTTCCCGCACTGTTTCTCACGACATTACCGGTGGTCATCGGGACGTTGCTAGCGAAGGCCGGCGCGTGGCCACCACCGGCAACGTCTTGGTCTACTTCCCCCCCTGGCGCCACGAAGTCATCATCTAACTCGTCTGGTCCGTCGTCTTCGCCAGGTTGATAGGGGCGCTTTAGCGAGGAAGAGGACGCTGCTGCTGCACCTCCCCCAGCTGGAGGTTGCACACCTGGGCGATCATTTGTGGTCATCATGGCTTGTAGACCCCGACCATCCAGAGTGGGATGAGGAAGATTTTTCCGTTCATTCTCCTTCTTTTTGCGTTGTTTTTCGTCGTGTTTGACCAAGACGGGATTTCGTGCCGCCTCCAGGACCGCCAAACGCGGTTTGCTCTTGTCGCGTCCAACATAACGCACCAGCAGAGAGTGGTCCGTCTCGAGCATCTCCTTCGCGAGGCAGCTGAACAGCACAGCGTCACAATCTTTTTCGGGGATGACGTAGTCGGCCAGGCCGAGGTACCACTCCGGCTTGATAGTGTTGCTCTTCACGGAACAAACGACCTCTAGGCATTTGGGCGCGCCGAAGTTGAACATGTGCAGGTCCGCCTCGCCGATGGGTACGATCTCCCCGCCGTACCAGAAACCCTTGATGAGCTCGGAGAAATCCACGTATTCCTCGGTGTCTTCCTTCTTATACACCTTCTCCCAGCGTGTGGTCACTCCCTCCGCCTGCACTGCCTTTTGTCGCTTCAGCGTCGGCACGAGCTTCTTCTGCGTTTTTGCGTAAATCCACACGGGCAACTTCAACTTTTTCGCTGGCTCCCCGTCTTCGTTGAAGTCAAGGCCGATCTCCAGGTCGCATTTCGTCTTTACCGTCGGCTTCACCTCGCGGAGCACGCGCAGGGCGCTCGAGAGCTGCTGACTTTTCACTGCCGCCGTCAACTCCACGATCTCCACGCCAAGTGGTGAAGCGTTGCTGTTGATCGCGTTCAGCGTTGCCAGAGAATGGCTACTCGCCTGTTGCCGGTACTTCTGCGAGAACAAGCCCCAGGCTGCACTCCCCTCGACGCCAAACGTGTTGGGCTCGTCGGCCGTGACAAACAGTTTGACCAGAATATTGAACTTGCGCAGTTGTGCAATGATGTTCTCGAACGCATCGTCACCAAACGCGGCGTCAACCGCTTCGGGGCCGCCCCAGCCGAGGGCCGTCGCTTTCGTCAGGAAGAAAACGATTTCGCTCCCGCTAGAAAACGTTTTGGCTCGCTTGCCGATGTGCTGCTCGATGAGCGTCTGCGCCAGAATCAATGCGTCGGTGACCAGGTCCGGGTTCCCGACGCTACTTCTTCCTGCTGCATTCCGCTCTATCACGTTTACCTTCCGCACAGCGTCGCAGTCAATTTCCGCGACAATATGCGGATGCGCCCCCGTTGCTTTCGCCCGTTTGCCAGTTAGTTGCTGCTCGTCATTTGTTTTTCGCGGCCCGTAGGAGGCGACGAGCTGGGAAAGTTCCACCATGGCCAGGTTCTGGTACACATCGCCGACCAGCTCGGAGCTGTCGTTCGCCGGTAGCAGCTCCGCCTCGTCGCCGAGTTGGAGGTCAAGCCTGTCAATATTATCAGGACCACCGTCGTTATTGTTCTCGACTTCATTCGGGCTGAGCGCCAACGGGTTTGAAGTCCGGGCCGCTCCCACTTCCATCACGCCCACATCACTTGCTTCCGACACCATCACTTTGAGGCTGCCGGTTCCCAAACACTGCAACAGCTTCGAGCCCATGTACTCCACGGCGGCGTCCCGGAGGAACGCGTGCTGGTCTTCGGTCTCGGAGAGTACGTCGACACAGACAATGGACACTTCCTTGCAGTGATTAGCGCGCTTGCACGCCGATGGCTCGTCTTGCAGAAAGTTCGACCCGGCAATAAAGGGCAGCCGGGCGGCTGAACTTGAAGAACTGCTGCTGCTGGTAGCCATCATCCTTTATTCGATAGAGGATGCTTGCGTTTAGGTTTACCTCGATATCTACTCCCTTCCCAATTTACTACTAATCTCAAAACTAGTCGGGGATGAACGTGGGCCTTATATTAGTTGCGTCATGTCAACACACTCACACCCAAAGGGAAAGTAAATAGCATGCTACTAAGCATCAAAGGAATGTATGTTGATCGGTTTCGGTAAAAACCAGAAATAGCAGCACCAAAAAGAAGAATCAAAAATACGTGAACAGGTATCTCTGTGCTCGGATGACGGAAATCTGAGTCTCTGAAATTAGCGACACACATGATGATCATGCCGTATCCTCGCAGCAAATACATATACCGCAAATAAAGAGGATCGCGTCGTGAACACTTTCTTGTCCTCAGGCCGAACATGAACAATGAGCAAAGTCAAAGCAATACAGCGACCATGTGATCTTGTTTGCGAACTTTCGTCTTTCATGGGGAAGGGGAACACTTCAGTCCCTAGAATCGAAGTTTTTTTCCACTTGTACTCGTCGCTTCGACGGTTTCGTTTTTGTAGGGAGGATACTAGAAATGGAATCAATGTAGAAAACCCCTGATTCGCAGTTTTTAGGAGGTCCCTAAACTTTGTCTGTGGAAGTCGGTTTCTGTCGCTGGTATCGATATCGGTCTTCAGGTGGACCGCACTCGTTCATTGGGATCGGAAGCGTTATCCGGTTGATTGCAATTTCAAACCGTCTCATCTTGCGCCACGTGTTTGACTTGTTCTACGTAAAGTGATTCGGTTGCTATCTCGGTTTTGATTTTTTATTACAAAAACTACTTTTTTCTGGCTTCTTACGTATTTCAATTTGCAGACGAAATTGAAAAGCTGTGAGCTTCTTGTAGATACAACTACATGGCGTGAATAGGGACCAGGAAGTGGTGGCGGAACAGGAGAAGCCCATCGATCCTAACCCTAGTATTCGTTGATGTTGTATGTACATGCAGCACAATTCAAAACCAAATGGGAGGAGGGATGACGATGACGAGAAAGTACTTTTGGCTTCTAATCCGCAGCGTTCTTGTTTTGCCAGAAGGATTTGCAAATCTTGACCAACTCGTCATAGCCGGACTTCAGGATTTTAAATGCTTCGTTCGCGGCGTTCCACGATTCTTCGTCGCTCCTGTCAACCTTGTCCGGGTGGACCTCACGGGCGCGCAACCGATAGGCCTTCTGCAGCACGGTGTCGTCCGGGATGAAAAGCGTGTTGCCGCCGTCGTCTAGCCAGGTATCCGCGTCGATTCCGAGGCTGCGCAGCTGCTGGTAGCAGCGCGCGAACTCCGGACCACTCCACTTGACCACGCTCACGTGCGTTTTGTTCATCTTGGCGTTGGATTCAGCAGGAGTTGTGTAGTTGTTGAACCCGAAAGAACTGCCGCGCCACCCGTAATTATTTCCCTTGCCCATTCCTTTCGCGTTTCTCTGGGCCCACCAGGCAGGAGTGCCGTCCGCGGGGGCTTTGTATGGGAAGCGCTTCGGGTATTTCGTCAATCTCGGGTCCTTGCTTACATTACCATTAGATGAAGAACCGGCACCACCCCCGAAGCCCGATCCTGCTTGACCGGGGTTGTAACTCCATCCAGAGTGCGCATTTTGATGGCCGAAGCCTTGACGTTCGTCGCTCGCGCTGCTAGAGTAGAAATTGTTGCCTGCGTTATTGTCGTGTTCATCAAAGAACCAGTTGTACCATGCGCCCGATTCGAAAAAATCGCCGCCAACACCGTGCCGGTTGTTACGGCCAGAAGACGTTGCAGGACCGACCCCGAGGTCAATGAACTCAAAGTGGTCCCTGAGATTTGGATTTTTTTGCAGAGCGGCTTCGGGGTAAAAGATGGAGCTCGGTTCCGCTTCGTAGCCGGCGTACCACTGTTCCAAAGAGACGACAAAGCATTTCCGTTGCGCGCGCGTAATGGCAACATGCATGAGGCGGCACTCTTCCCCGAAGTGCATGTCCAGCGTGTCACTGTCGGGAAACTCGGTTGGCTTCTTTTTCGGCGCTTTCCCTTCGACGTGCTTCACGGGCTTCGGCTTGTCGTCCGCACGATAAATCGTCGGGAGGAAACCCTCGTTGAGGTGCGGAATGAACACATACTTCCACTCCCGGCCCTTTGCTCGGTGAATTGTGCTGATCGTGACCTTATTCTCGTCCTTCTGCTTAGCACTGGGATCTTTTTTGTCGTCCATCTGGGCTGCGCCGAGATACTCGCGAATCGCTTCCTCGCCGCGTGCGTAATTTTCTTCTACCGGCTTGGTTCTTTCCTCGAGACCTGGCCCCTGACCGAAAAGCACAAGGCCCTGCTCCTGCAACAATCCGAAATCCTTTGCGTGCTGCACAATCTTTTTCACCCGCCTCTCAAATGCGTCTTTCTTGCGCTGCAGACGCTCTTCCTCAGCGTTCAGAGGCCGGCCGTCCGGGTGGGTCTTTGGAGTTTTTTCTGCCTTCTTTCGACGACCTGTCGATGACCCAAAGTTCTGGCTTCGATTTTCACCAGCACCAGCAGCCCGCTGGCTGGGGCTGCCTCGTTGGTCCTTTCTGCTTGAACCGATATTGAAAGTCACTTTCTTTCGCGGAGTTGTTGCTGCGCGCCCGCCCGGAGGAGAAGAACAAGCTGCGCGTTGATTCTGGCTGGACGCTCCGGTCGTCCTATCAGCGCCAGCGCTGGGGCCTCCGCGCTCTGACATTGCAGGCGAGCTATCGAAATCCAGATCGTCCCGCGCAGCATCGGACATCTCCGACGCGTCTTCTTCCCCCGCGGAACTCTCACCCGACGAAGACGACACTTCGGCCCCTTCCGATTCATCTGCAGCGGCCTTCTTCGACTTCTTACCGCCTCCGCGTCCCGTAGTTTTTTGCACATGGCTGCTCGCCTCAAGGTAGTTGGTTTCTTCAATCACGAGCTCCATCAACTCGTGCGCCGCGGCCCCGCGCAGGTTCTTTTGCGCCATCTGTTGCCTTCCCTTCTTGACGAGCTCCATAAAGGCCGTAAGGCCCCTGCGATAGGACGGCTTCAACGCTTCTTCCGGGTTCGTCAAGAGCCGGTCTGCCGCTTCAAACATGGATCCACCACGGCCTTCTCTTTCCGCCTTTAGTAGAGAGGTGAAAACGTTACCCAGGCCCCGCGGTGGCTCGTTCATCACTCGCTGGAACGCAGCATCGCTGTCGGGGTCGACAAAGAGCTGGAGGTAGGCAAAGAGGTCCTGCGCTGCTGCGTGCTCCAGAAAGCTAATTCCGCCGAGAATCTTGTACGGAATGCCGATGTCCTTCTGTGAAAAAACATCTTCAAACTTGTCGTAGCTCCTGGCCTGAATTCTGCCAAACTTGAAGTTCCGCAGCAGAATGGCAAAATCCGCGTATCGCACAGGTCCTGGACGACCGTTGTCCGCCCCCGACGAGGAGGAACTCTTCGAGTTTGCTTCCTCCATCGTTTTCTTGATCAACTCGGCGACGTGCTTTGCTTCCGCATCGATGTCGGCGACCCGGTAAAAACTGACGGGCTCCTTGACACTACCTTCCACCGACTTCTCGAGCCCGAAAGGATTTCCGCACGAGCGCAACACACGCACGTCCGCCCGGTCTAAGACCGCCGCCGCCACCTCCAGGATGCTCTGCGTGGAGCGGTAGTTGTCTTCGAGCTGAACTTCTTTCGTGCTGGCAAAAGTATCCTTGAACCGATTGAAGGTGTTTGGGTGCGAGCCCGCGAAGGACATGATCAATTGGTCGCTGTCGCCGACGGCCGTGATCTTCCCTGCGTTACCCTTCGCCTGGGAGAGCAGTTCCAGAATCTCGAGCTGCACAATGCTGGTGTCTTGGTACTCGTCAACAATTTTGTAGCAGAACCGGCGCCCCACCGCTTCCCGAATGTCCGCGAAGTTTGCCAGCAAGTAGTGTCCGTTCAGCAGAATGTCCGTGAAGTCCATGGCGCACAGCTCCCGCATTCGCTCAAGATAGAACTGGAAGGCAAACCTCTCCCTCGTGCCATTCGCGAAGTCTTTCGGGGAATACCCTTTCGTCTTCTGCGTGCTGATCCAGTGTCGCTGGGACGTGACCTGTTGGAAATTGAAGTTCTTGCCGAATTTCACTTCCGCAGTTGGTTTCCTTTGCTTTTTTTCCTCGTGTCTAGCTAGTTGAGGATTCCGCAACTTTCGCATGTCGTAGAGCAAGCAGCCACGAAAGCGTCTCCGCCACTCGGAGGTCGCGTTCAGGGCGTAAGCGGTCCTACCGTTGATGAAGTCCACGGGCGCTGGCGGTTGCTTTTTGCCTCTCGTCGACGTGCCCGGCGTTGTTGTACCTCTTTGGGAAGCTCCAGCTGCAGCTGCCCCGGTGTTCATTTTCCGTCGCTTTCCCGTTGCCTGGGAGGACTGACGCTCACCTGCGGTAGTGCCGGTCCTACTGTCCTCGGCGTTTCCATCTCCTCCCGCTCGCGGCGTATCCGCGTTGCCCATCAGATCAGAGATCACGGAAAGAACACTCGTCTCGCGCTTCAGGGTTTTCTTTGCTCCTCGCGTCGTGTTGTTGCCGCTGGCGTCTCCGTTACCGGTGGTGCTGCCCGCACCCGCTGCTGATGCGGCCTGTTTCTGATTGGACGATGCCGTCGATGCAGCGGGAGCCGCTTTAGCAGGAGTTGGCTCGTTTACGTTTGCTTTACCTTGTCCTCGCTTCTGCTCAGCTCGCCCGGCGAACATGGTCATGACGTCGCAGCCGCGAAGCTCGTGCCTTGATTGCACAAACTCGTTGAATCTCTCCGCGTCCTTTTTCTGCACCAGCACCGGATTCTTTTCTTTGCGCACCAGCTCACCGGCCCGGTCAATGCAACTCTGATACATGTCGGGATACGTTGCCTTTGCCATGTCAAGCAGTTCTGACCAAGTTTTGTACTTCTCGGATTTGGCTTCCACCGGAAAGAGGTACCGACTCAACTCGGTCCGCCCAACCTCAAAGCCATGCTCGAGCATACCCTCCTCGACGATTGCTTCTAGCGCCTTTTCGTTTGCCATTATGCTTGGGCGCTTGGAGTACAGTCTCCTGTTTGTTGACGAAGATGTTGTTGTTGATGGCGCAGGAGCGGAGGACGGGGTAGGAGCAGCCGCGCCGCTATTAACACCAGCAGCGAAAGGCTGCTCTAAATCAGGAATCGCCGCGTCGCCAACAGTCTCGGGCTGTGATGCGACGGGGCCATGTTCCTGGTCATCTGTCTGGTCGTCCTCTTTGTAGCTTTTGAAAGCCCCGAGGCTTCTGGCTGGAATACGATCCCAGAAGGCGGCCACCACCAGATTGGCAAGCTTGTGCAAGGTGCAGAACATGAGCTGCCCCTTGATGCTAGGAATCAGCTTGGTGGTCCGCTCCCGCATTTCATCCGCCGCCGTGTTCGTGTAAGAAACGCATAAGATGCGGCTGGGAGGAATCAGCCTCTCTTCGATCAGGTATCGTAAACGCCTCGTGACCAACGTCGTTTTTCCCGTTCCTGCTCCCGCTTTCACCAGCAATGGTTTTCCCGGGTCCGCCAACGCAGCCTCGAGCTGTTTCGCGTTCAAGTCACTGTTTTTTTGCGAGCCGCCGTCGCTTGGCGAGGACGCGGATGGCCCAGGAGGATGGGAAGAATCAGAACTTCGCGGCACACTGACTATCGGCAGCAACCCGCCAGAGGAGGCCACACCAGACCCATGATCTGCAGGCCGAGAAAGCTGGTCGTCGTCTCCTGATGAAATCCCTAGCTTCATCCTGTCCCGTTTGGCCATGAGCCGCGCAATCAAACTTTCCGTGTCGGACGGCTGCGAGCTGAGGTTAAAAGTTTCTCGCATTGGCACTTCTCGCAAGAATTGCTTATCTTCGACGACGTTGACCTTGTACTGCAACCTGAGCGTATTCTTAACGCTGCTGTCGAATCGCTTTTCCGCAGCCGTGAAGTCTTGCGTTGCTCCTGAACCAGACACATCCGAGCGATTGGCCATCTTCGGATACGCTGAGGGCATCGCTGTCGCCATGTTTCCACTCTTGGGCGATGTGGAGTTCAACAATCACGGAATATCATCATCATCATCATCTATCCTCCACCTGAACAGGTCACTATTAAAAGTCTACGTGGTAGATATGAGCGTCATCTTCTTCCTCCTCTGCTCACGACCTACCATCAAAAAGATAATGCTGTATGAGTAGGACAATGAATGACTTAGCATTTCTAGCTAGATAACACATACACCTGAGATATCTCGGGCTACTGACTGTTTTCTTTCGATGGTTCAATCGCGATTCCCTTGGTAGAAAAACAAACCACAATAGGAATAGCACACCATCCTTTATTGATTTTCATTTTGTACGTAATAATTCGAGACGATCGAGAACAAAGCACTCAAATAATGTAATCGAGAAGATGAAGAGGATCGATTTCCGTTTCTGCGCCGCCATAAAATTTCCATCTGGCACTCACGAGAACGAGGACGGTAAACCGACACGTCGAAAGTCCAACGAGCTTGCACGTCAAGTACCGACACAATGGACTGCAACCAAGAGAGGAAACAGCAACAAAAGAGTCGTGGTGAAGTGAAGAAATCGTACATGAAGCACTGGGCCTCATTCAAGTTTTTTCGCGACAAGACATATGAAATCCATGACGAGACGTCGCTGTGTTTCTATTGCCTCGGAACCACGCAACTGGACGCAACCACCCTTGGAGATCCCCCTCTTGCAGGCAAGCCCAGCAGTTCTAGCTAGTGCTCGCTGGTTCTTGGCTCTTCTTTTCTTGCGGCAGTTTCTTTACTTTCCAGATTCTTACAGATTTTGGTCACAGCATTCTTCAACATCAACAGCATTGAAAAAAAGCACCAGGGGCGGGTCTTACTTCGCCGAGTTTTGCGAAAGAAAGCACCAACAAACAAGACTCTGAAGCTCAAACAAGCACCGTCCCCGAGTTGGCTCGCGTTTTGCAATTATACCGGTCGAAACTATTCAATGTAAAATTGAATTCATCGTGAGGTTTAGGTTTTTCAATTCTTACTCTTTTTCTAGTCCTACTAAAAGCTGGCGCAGCATCATATAGTAGCTTCATTCTTTTTTGGAATTCATCCGAGGACGATGTTGTAATTGTGTAGTCATTATATTTCAGATTTGTTTTTCTTTTTTTGTGGTCGTTGGTCGAAAACCACGGCGATAAAACCGGAGGCCTCTATGTACTAGTTCCATGCGCGCCGCTTCCTGTCTCAAGTCTATGAGATAACGAGGAGTCTTCGATGTGACGAGGAACTGCTCTCTACTACTCCTTCATCTCGTTGTTTCGCTTGGCCAGAACTTTGGCTAGTGTTGCCATCGCAGCAGACGTGTTGTCCACCTCCTCTGCACCAGCTGACGGTGCAGCTTCCTCTTCCTCCTCCTCCGCGACAGACCCCAGGGTGCGCTTCATCGTTGCCAGACTGTGGTTGGGTCCGGCTTGGTCGCACGTGACGGCGTAGTACTTTCCGTAGTGCTCCCGCGCGACTTGCATGAAGTAGCCCCACTTCTTGAACTTCCCGTAGGCGGCATCCCGTTCGATGCCGTGGTAGCTTTGGTTGGACAGCGCGCAGGTCAACAGCGTCATGGAGGTCCACGCCGCACTTTTGGACTTGTCTTTCATTTCCGTGTCCACACGATCCGCCTGTTGCTCCTCGGTTTTCTCCACGAGCAGGGTAACCGGACCACGCCCGTCCTTCGCGATACTCTCGTTCGTTTCGGCTTCCAAGGCGGCGACTTTCTCGCAGAGGTCAGCGAACTTCGGGCTGGCGCCGTCCGCGCGAATCAGCACACGCCTCGGGGCCGATGCACCTTGGGTCAGGATCCACTCGACAAACAGCGTGACGGCAATGACCGGCCCGAGCGGCTCGGGCTTACAAAAGAGCTGCGCACCCAGTTCCTTCAGGGCCGTTTCGTAAGATTCCAAATCGGTCGCGTCAACCAGAAAGGGCTCATCTTCGCTCGATGTTGCCTTGCCGCTGCCGGTCGAAGGCTTGTTGCTGGTGTGCGCGACGCCACCATGAGGCAGCGCGGCACCAGCAGAGGCTGGTAATGGAGGAGGGGGTGGCGGCGGGGGCATATTTTCCGCGGCAACCATGACGAACCCGAAGTAGTCGAAAATCAAATAAATAGAAGCTCGCACAAGAAGTAGTGAAGTAACAGATGAGTGGTCCGTCGGTTCCCAAACAATAAACGGTGTTCAGCGTTCGCTCGTGTTCAAGCTTCTGCACTGGTGAGATTTTTATTCGTGATGCAGCACATAGTCATAGTAGAAGAATGGAAATGGCGGTAGGGAGCTAGTACCGCTAGGTACTTGAGAAGGGCGAATCTCGGCGATTGATAACTCTCGGTGCTCATACCTCTTATTTGAAGAGTACATGAATCGCGATCATCTCTGGAGCGATCGCTCCTCGCAACGCTAAGATGGCGCTCTCGCTCCGCTCACGCTCAAAGTAGACGGCAATTATCGTCTCTGGTCGGTAAGTAAAGTTCGCTCTTCTGTCATCGTCATCTCACAACACTACTCTGTCAAAACTTTGCAACTTGAAGAATCAGATTCAGAACGGAAGCCGGCTGCTTAGGCAGCGTCGAACAAACACGGGATTGGGTGCGGCGATGCGACGGCAGAATGCTCGTCGTGTCCATAGTAGATACGGATGGGTTTTTCCTCAAGCTCAAAGTAGCTCCGCTTCGAACCGATAAATTTTCTGTGGCATGCAGAGAAATGGGATCTTGAACTGCTTCACGGGAAAGTAGGTCGAACTCGAAGTCGAATTGTTGAAAACTCCAAAATGAAGTTACTGCCGTTGCAGCTGCACCTTTGTGTTCAAAACCTGCATTATTCATCCGCTTGGTCAGTACCGGCGCAAAATTGCAGTGCGTGCGGGATATACAGCTTTTCCGAGCCGATCCGTGCTTCCGAAACCTGAAGGACGATTTCACGCCTACGCTCGTCAGCACGCTCTTGCAACAGGTGTCCGCGATTTCCATCCTGGTCTACTTCTCTGTCGTTTTTTTCTCCAGCAGGTCCCCGGATATTATCGGGTCGTTGCAGATGCAGCTCCTGACCTACTACACCGGCAGGGGTGGTACGGCAAGCGCTCCTCGCGGTAATCGGAGCACCATTTAGTTCGACGTGCAGTCGGAAAAGCGCCTCGTACTGTGGGTGGTCTCTCGGTACAAGCATCCACCCAGATTCGAACGAGAACTGGCACAACAACAGGGATCCCAGTTCTTCGTACTCATGGATGGCGGCTACCGTCTGCGGCGGTCCGAACACATTTGCGTTGAGCTCGTCAAACGTTAACCGCCAGTCGCGGCTGCGATCCAGTATGAACTGCAAAAGTATCGTATTCCTATTCGTATAAATGCATATACAAATTTCCTCAGCATGAGAAATAAAATTTGTAATGCGAATTTGCCTTAATTTAATGCATGATTGCAATACGAGTACGATGATTTTGCACGGGATATCCAGTTTCGCTTGCCGAAAAATCTCGAGCAAAACCAGCTCCTGATGTGCCGGGTCGTGCTGGTCGCCTGGGCCTGTAGTGGCCGCAGCAGCGGAGGCTGATGATGTGCCTGGCGGTGCCCCATGCTTTTCGCTGCTCGGAAAGGCCGACGCACTACCGTGCATACGAGGACCTCGATCCGGTCTAATTTGTTCCGCGCCGCCGTCCACTTCGAGAAATAACTCGTCGGCTGCAGGGCGTTTCAAACTTGCTCCACGCGGCGGCAAAAATACCTTTCCGTCCAGCTTGTCCCGCTCCCGCGCTTGCCGTCGTCGGGCGTGGTCGGCCTGAAAACGTAACAAGCCCTGGTACACGCCGTGTCTGGCCCAGATGTCCTGTAGTAAGTGATATGGTTCATTGGATAAAGTTAATTTTGCGCCCCTGACCGGGTATCATCGCTGCCGTCGGAGCTCCTACAGGGCCGGTCGGTGATGCGATCATAGGTGGATTGATTTTCCCAACGGGTTGCGGTATGAGCGAGCTCGGTGGTGCGTGCGCAGGTGGCTTGGGTGCGTGCTGCTGCCGTCGTGCGAAGGACCGAGGCAATTGACTTGCATTTACACTCGAATCGACCGGTCGGTTTTCCGGGTTGGCTGCCTGCAAAAGTGTCGCCGGGGCTGAGTACTGATGTTGACCTGCTCCGCCAGCGACGCTACTGGACGATGTTCTTGTGGCCGCCGTCCCACTACGGGAGGACGAACCGCCAACAAGTTCCGAGGCTTGGTCTCTGGTCATGTAGTTGCTTAAGGGAACGACCCCGCCCGCTGGAGTTGTTGTAGTCGTGCCCATCCCGGTCGCCCCGGCGCGTTGACGGACTTGCTGCGCCGCTGCACCTCGCGAAGTTCCACCGGAGGTTGATGAGAAACTGTGCAGCGGAACAAACCCTGCCTGCAAATTCCTGGGCTGGTAAAGGGTTGGCTTCCCAAACGGCGGTGGCGGAGCTCCTGCACCGCCCGACATCTCGTTGCTGTTCAAGACAGACCCAAACTCGAGGTCTTTCAAGCTGTCGTAGTCTCGTCGCCGGCATATGAACGTGTAGAAGAGCTGACAAGCCACCCGGATTATACCGTACAGATTGGCGCAACCTGTTGATTGTACATACGCGCTGCAGAGTAATTTTTTGCTATTTCAAGTGAATGGGCACATCTTTTTCATCTCAATCCGGCAACGTAGGGAAGCTTCAAGTAGGGCCAGAGGCGCCTCGTCGGGTTTGGGATGTTACAGTTACTACAGCGACCTCGGTAATCAACACAGAACTTGAAGAAAGCTAAGGCGCCAGCGTTCTTGTACATGAAAAAAGGAAATACATTCTCGCGTTCGTTTCAATGCCGCGGGGGAGCGGCGATGACTTCGGTTCGTGTAGTAGCTCCCAGCAGGCATTGCGATGAGGTCGTCTCGTTAGCTCGCGATCTCTTAACCCCTTGTTGCTCACTTGATCTCAAGCAGCATGCCGTAGCAGAGAGGAAGTTTCGCTGCGTTGCGGGTTCTAAGTGACTCCGAACTTGAATTTACGTAGCGAAATCTACAATCGGAAGTGTTCAGAAAAGTCAAAAATTCATTTAAAATATTCGCGTCGTAAAACTAAATGATGAAAGAGCTTCAAACGAAAGAATCGCGTTGAGGGAGGTCATGCAATGGGTGCATCATGAATACTTATGCGCGGGAAGACATGTAAGTGCTTAGGTTGACTGCTTGTCAGTGCATGGAGAAGTAGCCGGTAGTCGTTGCACAAGAAATTCGAATTCCAACTTGACCACTTTTTCTTGTTGTTATATTTGTCTTATCTTTGGCAAAGAGCAGGTATCATGAAACCCGACTCTAATGACCGATGGCTGGCGTTGCCGTGTGATGCTGTGGACGCAAACAGACTGTGACTGACAGACGGCGCAAAATAATTCCGGGGTTCTGACTGACAAGTACTCGTATTCTTTTTTCGTTCGTTCGCTCATCTGCACTCAAAAGTGATCAAAAGTTGTTTGCGACCTCGCCCTTCTGGCGTTACTCGAAAAAAAAAACCTCAGCTCTCTCTCTTTTTCAGTGTCAAATACATGTAGCTTCGTCGCAGGCCTTGGTATATGCTTCTACTAATTTTCCAAAGAAAAACAAATTTTTATCTTAATCCTGCAGGATGACACAGAGATGTTAAGGACTGAAAAACTAAAAGTACTTACAACGCCATAAACGAAGGGCCATACCGGTGTTGCCCCTTTTTCGCATAGACAACTTATCATCTGTCGCATAAAATTCGTGTTCCTGGGCGTAGCGCTGCGAGAACAACTACAGCTTCAGCTTCTTGTTTTGCTGCTGCATAGAAGTAGGTACACAAACCATTCGAACAACAAACCAATCTATATCTATTTGGTGACAGAATTATACCTGGCTCGCTGACACGTGCGACGTTGGTGCGTTCGCAGGCACGTCTCCGGCTCTGCCCCGCAGGGCATCAAAGCCAAGAAAACCATCATCATTCGGCGAGGCGTCGACAATCGGATCCCCCGCACTGCTTGCAGAAAAGCTTTCGATCGTATCGTGCTGCGTTCGTTTCTTGTGATTCATCATATTTTATTCGTTTTTGAACATCACAATGTTGACCAAGTCGTGAGTAAACCGCTCGCAGTTTCTTCGACGTTCTCAGACCCGTTCTGTGAGTTCGTGAGTCGGCACTGCACGTCCGTTATCAAATGTAAAAATGTCTGGGTCTGGAAGATTACCAGGTTTGTCATGCACATTTTGCATGACTCCTGATGTCTGTGATGCATGCCCTAGCATCACAGATTTTGTGAGGGCTTCCTGATGCCTATACCGCATGACAAATGCTCTTTCCGTGTAGCAAAACTTGGACTCTCTTTGCTGCTCATGCGATACAGATTTTTTTAGAATCGAAAATCAGCATGACAAGTTGCATTCTTCCAGACCCAGACATTTTTACATTTGATATCCGTCCTCTGGTTGCAACAGTGCCTCTTCTTCGTCACGGTGTACGGCCGTACCCTGACAAAAAACGAACCTCCAAAAAACCACACAACACGTCCAGAAACCGTGATGAAAATTCTTCTGCTGGTGCACCGGACTTCCAACCTTCGCCGCCAACATCAGACGAAAGACGCCTGCCACAATACATAGTGCCACGTCACGTTTTCGTTATTGGACATATCCAAATTGTATGTGTCGCGCTGCAGGAATCAAGCGAAAAAAAAAAAATATTCATATTGCTCGTTTTGATATTGTATATTTCAATGAGCCGTCAGCAGTACTCCTCCTTGTCCTTTGAACTAGTAGTATAGAGTATCTATGAAACTGCAGAGGAAACAAGATTAGAAGACCACGACTTTACACCAACTATGATGATACTGCAATTGCGCACCAGAGCCAGAACAATATCATATTCATTACATCACGCAAATGATCATCAAGCGTCTCCGAGAGCATCCGTTCGAGGATGTGGAAACAAGCCGCGCGTTGGCAAGAGGATAATTCGTGCACATTGGCAAACCCTTTGTAGTTTTTTCTCTTCGGTAAGGGCTTACTATATTCAAATTTATGAAATGCGTTCTGCACCAGAGGATGAAAGAGAACCACTGTCAGTCTGGGCTCCAGAAGTTGGAGAAAGAGAAACAAAGTCACCGGCTTCGTACTTGTTCGCGATACGCTTGCAAGCAACCAAGCAAAACGCTCGCACAACACAGGGCAAATGCCACTTGTGCGGGTCTCTGAAAGCACTGCTCCACCGGATGACAGAATTCCGCCGAGGGGTCTTGCTCCGCGTGCGCTTCGTCATACGCGTGTCCGGTTAGTCGAGCCATAAACTTCACCGCAACGGACATGAAGAAAACCGGGAAGGCAAAGCCAAAGACCATGTTCTCCTTCCCGAAGTTGCTCACCATAAATGCTGGAAGCGTCGCCCAGTTGGCACCGTAGCAAAGGCCCACGAGCAAAAGCCAAAAAGAAGACGGGGCCGAGGACGACGCTGTCGCTGTCGGCGAGGCCGTCATCAGCCCGAAGACGCAAGCCGCCGCCATACCGGCCCCGGCCAACAGCATGAGTCTCGCAATTCTGCCCGGATCTTTTAAGTCATTTCCGCCCACCGGTGCTGCGGAGTTCGTTGGGCCCCTGCGCTCTGCAGCAGGCGGACCACTACCTCCAGAAACAAGAACTACCGGCCGCAGGATGAAGTAATCGATGCAGAAGCCCGCGAACAAACGGCCGCCGGCGTTGCAGAAGCTCACGTGGGTGACCACCGCATCGCGAACGCTAGGAGCGTAACCGTACGCTCCCGTGATCAGCTTCAGATTCGCCATAAACAGGCCACTCCCAACGCACTGCGTCAGAATGAACTGGATCACGACGAAGTGAAACTTGGGCTCGCGATACAAGATGTCGCGCCATGTGAGAACCCCAGAAGGTGTGGCGGAGCTTGCAATCGATGCACTGGCACCAATTATCCCGGCAGATGGTACAATTCCAGTGCGATCGGCGATTCTTACCTGTGGTGCATCATGTTCATGATCATGAAGATCTTCAGCAGGAGGACCCCAATTGTAATCTTCATCATCGACCACTTCGTCCTCATGAAGAATGTAATCATTCGGATTTCTGGTTGCGCCCAGCATTTTCACGTGATTCCGTGCACCAAAAATGGTGGCAGTTGCTGGCTGCAGGACGTTACTCGTCTTTTTACGTGCAGCACTAGATGACGAATGATCATATTTGTGTGCAAAAACCTGTGCGGAATTCGCGTTGCGATGCTCGTATGAACTGCAAAAGTATCGCACTAGTATAAATTGCATTACAAATTAGCCCAGCATTACAAATTTAATTTGTAATGCTGATTTACCTTGAGAACGAGATTTGTAATGCATAAATGCAATTACTACGAGTGCGATACTTTTGCACAGGATAGCTCGCTCAGCTGCAGCTGCTCCCGTTCCTCCTCCAGCTGCGTTCGCGCGCGAGCAGCTGCTATCCAAATAGAAAACGTTGTTAGTGTAAATTTGTAGTGCGCAACACGCAAGATGATTGCGTCTGTCATGCTTGCCATGCGTCATAGGGTCCATTAAAGGGTGTTTTCCCATACTATCTGCGCATGACAGGTTTTTGCTGTAATGCCAGACAAATTTGTAATGCTATTCCTCCAAAAAAGTTACACCTACAATGTTTTTTTCTTGGATAGCTGCTGGAAAGGTCGCAGTAGAAGAAGAAGCAGTAGTGATTACAGCTGCCCTAGTGTGGTCGTCCTCCTCCTCTTCGGTGTTTGTAGTTACTACTGTGCTTATTGGAACGACTTGCAGAAAGACCGCACCCATGATAGCCGTGAAAGCCCAGATTACTCCCGTCCAGTAAATGAACGAGTGCACGCTGTTGTGCAAGATGTGTGTGTAGACGGAGTTCCATACCGCCGCGGAGAGACCGTAGCCAGCGGCGAGCACGCCAGTAGTGCGGCCGACACGCTTAGTTAGGAGGACGCCCGTGTAAAGTCCGTTCTGGTAAAGTGTCACGGACCCGTGCTGTATCAAAAAGTAGAAAAACGCCATTAGGGTACTGGAGACAGATGGCTGTCGTAAAGGTTCTTTTCTCGCCTGCTGGAGCAAGAAGTTGTTTCTTGCGAAAGTTTGCGTGTCGCTGCCAAGCGCATCGTCCGCAACGAGTCCTCGCGTAAGCGTCGTCCCCGCGGCAGGGACTGGCGGCAAATGCATGTAAAAGAAAATGCTGCCAAATCCAACACAACAGAAACTGTAAACGCTCGAATAAAAGACGCCGAACTGGTGAAAGATTGCCCCAGAGAGGAACCCAACCTTCATCCGCGGGAAAATTTTCCTTCCTCGTTGAGGCTGCCATAGTACGCAGGTCGCAGAAAGAAACGCAATCTACTTGCGGCGTCGCGGTACTGGCAAGACGAAAAGCTGCAAAAAGTCACGTAGAAAACTACGAGTAGACAAGTCGACCGATCGATCCTGCATGCCTCGTGGCCAGCCACCTGATAAGTACGAGCATCGGCGTCAAGGTAGAAAATTTTCACAATGAATATGCCCCACGCCAATTTGTCCGGCAGAATACAATACGTCGACGTCTGCCGCTTTCCAGTGCAGCAGTGTCATCAGGTCCGTCTCGAGGCCTGCAAACATGTAAAGCGTGCCGCCACAAATAGCATTCCACAGACACAAACCAAAGACCGACAGAGCCGCGATTTTATTCTTCTCGTCATGATATCCAAGCGCCGGCGCTGATGTTGCCGAAGACGAAGATGCTCCACCACTGTTGGCGGAGGTCGCGAGGACGCCTGTGCTGGCATGCAGCCAACGACTATCATACAGCATGACCGGCGTCAATTTTTTGAGTCATACATACACACGTTGGTTAACAACTCCTGTCTAATCCTTAAATCCATCAAGAAATGCCTTACAAACATCATCACCCTGCTGGAATGGAAATTCTTCTCCAAAGGCACTAACATGCTTCAACAACTCAAGGTCATCAACAGAATTGATTGAAACTGAAAGTGAAAGACGACGTGTATTGCGATTCAAGCAACCGTGGCTCTTTCTCACGAGAAACGATGTTGATCATGCTCGCATATCTACATATTCATATCGTTGTGCCTGCCTCGCACTAGCACCAAGCACCACAGCAGGAATCTGTAAAAATACACTATCTAAATACTTAACAATTGCGAGATTGAAGAGAACGAAGCGCAAACACAACCGATTCCTAGGCATTGAACAGGCCGACCTAAGCCCCTGTAATTGGATATCTACTTCTAGATTGAAGTTGAACATAAAGAAACGCGTTTTACCATCTGACAAGAACTATTACAACTTAATTTTTAGTTTTAAATTCAACCCTTTGCTCGCATCTAATGGAAATGGTGCGCGCCCTGCGCGATTAACTCAATGTCAATCATAATTTGATTCCTCAACATGAGTAGCAGCCGCATGGCAGGCGCCCAAGAGCGGCGGTCATCGCGAAAACCTGTTCGACCGAAGTGTGTGAAGAAAGTGAGATTCCGATTGTTTGATGTTGATGTCTCCGCTTTTTTGGTTCTGTATAATGTTTGAATTCATGTGATCTGCTTCTGCTTCTGTGACGAATGATCGCACGCCGGTGTCGTCCGGGTCCGGGACACAAAAAAGAAACGAACAACATCTTCCGGAAAACCGGACTTGGCAGTCAATGTAACGCTAAGCGATCGGCGCCCCAACGTTCGCTTTGTTCTTGGATGGATTTACACAAGCTTTTCGGTACAACATATACTTACGTCTTATCACAACAATCTCGTCCTGTAGTCTTAGAGAGTCATCACCTCGTATTCAAACTTTTGCGCTAGCGAGCATCGAATGTCATTGTACTAACGTATGTTCTTTCACCCTTCGGCTTCAGTCTCCGACACGGGAGCGGCCTCTTACTCTTACGCACGAAGTCCTACTTGCGTGTGGTGTGGGTCAGAGATTGGACAACCACAGACCACTTTCGGACGTCCTGGTGCTCTACTGTAGTGCGAGTATTCATTCACAACTTTTTCATTTGTTCGGAACCGCAGTCCTGTTTGTCCACGTAGCGCGGCCGCATTTACTCGTCTTCATGCCTCCTGCGAGACAAATGTGCGAAGTTTCTGTGTTCTCTAAAAGGTTCTTGAGGCACTACAAGCTGATCAAATGGCAGTTGCTTGGAGCACGAGGCTGTCGGAACTTTCTTGATATCGGGAGTAGAAAGGCTTCAGCCAAGAACAGTCGCACACTTCTTGCGCGGCAGCGGCTCCTCGATATCATGATCTATGACTCCTGCAAGTCTCGGCTGCCGGTGTCATGCTCCTGGTCGCGACAGCTGTGAAAGCTGGAAGATCGAGGGTTAGCGGATTTACCCGGTGCAACAGCGTTCGAGGATGAAGACCGCGCGTTCTTGACGGCGTCCGTCGCGTCGCCGGAGGTGGAATTCGTCCCACTGGATCGCGGTTTGTTTTTGCGATTCCCAGGATGTGTGCTGCCCTCGGCCAGGGACGGAAACTCGGCATCATCCAGATTCTCGTTCTTGTCCGGCCGATTTGGCTTGGCGCTCCAGCCCTTCACGCTCTTTCGCTGCTCGCCGCCTGTTGACGCACCGCTTATGGTCGTGCCCTTTCCAGTCGTACCAATGCTGGTCATTGGTGTCACTGTGAGTGTGATGAAGATTATTCATGTTGCATGACAATGTCCATAGATATCCAGTGAGTTTAAGATACATATCTTAATCTTTTCCAAGCTTAATCTTAATACCCTTCGGAAGGCGAAGGGTATAAGGTAAAAAAATAATCATAATATCTTAATATGCTTGTCAGAAGTACCTGCAAGCTCGGAGAGATTGGAGTGTCCGCGGTCGCGACCCTCGAAGGCTATCCCAGTGTCTACCCGGGGATACGGCGAAAATTCACCCTCGTCCGCTCGTCTCAAACTTGTCGAAGATGATATTTGCGCTTTCAGGAAATCACCCACCGACGCGTCCGCAGCCTCTTGCTGCTTCGTGGAGGACCACGTAGAAGCGGCGGCTTTTGCCTTCTTGTTCCCTGCCTTGTTTGATGAAACACTGCTGGATGCGGCTTTATTGTCTAGCTGTTCGGTCGAGCTTGACGCGGCACTCCGACTGTCAGCTGAGTAAAGAGCCTTAGAAGTACTCTCTGGGGGTTGCTGGTCTAGTGCTTCGCTGCTTTTCGAGTTCTTGGCTTTCTTCTTGTTCTTTTTGTTGTTTGGGTTGCTGTCCTTATCCTGCTTCTCCTTCCCTTTGCCTTTTGCTTTATTTGGTGCGGCGCTGGTCGCAGCTGCACTGCTAGTATCCTTATCCTTACCACTGTTTGCTGCACCCTTTCCGGACGTTGAGCTGGCACTGCTACTCTTTATTCCACCGGACGAAGTAGCCGCGTCTTTATTTATTGGCTTACTCGGGCTTCTTCGTACTGCAGTTCCTGGCTCCATCCTCTGCTGCAGTTGATGATGCTGCATGTGCTGCGCGCGGAGACTGTCATTGTATGTGTTGTTTTTGCCGCCCGTGGTCGTGCCACCAATTGTTCCAGAGGTAGTACTGGCAGGCGAGCTCGCGACCGTTTGCTGCTTGTCGTTGCTTTTCCGTTCAGAAAACGGCATCTGCTGGGCCGCGTGACTGGCACTTGGTGGACTTGAAACCGCTACAGTTCCTGTTGTCGATCCACCGCCTCCACCAGCCATGGGTGTGCCCGGTGGATCCTTGTTGTTCCAGGCAGGAAGTCGCTCGTGTTCGTGGTCCTCTTGCCACTGCTTATCGCGCACATGGCTCCAGCAATCGTCATCCTGTCCAGGGGACCACACGCTGGCCCCCGATTTTCCGCCTTGCTGCTTCTGGTGTGAATGAGAATGCTGCTGCTGGTGATCGCGCTCTCCTCCTTTGTACGCCTGCTGATTGCCAGAGCGGTGCGACGTCGAGTTACTAGGGTTACTAGTACTGTGCTGTGGCTGTTGACTATTGTTGGGCAACATGTTGTAGTTGTCGCCTTTGCTATTGTTGCCGCCGGAGGCAAAAGACCCAAGGTGCTGGCGCTGCTCGTGTTGATGCGGCGCGTTGCTGCCGCCACCTTTACCGCTACTAGTGCTGTGTGGCCCTTGGCTGTACGGACTGGAACTGTAGTTGCTCATCTGGAAGTTATTTGGGTTCATCTGCGAGCTATGCGCTTGGCCGCCCTTCTGGTTTTGGTTCTTGTTGAACATGTTGCCCATCGGCTGCTCTGAGGAGTGGTAAGAACTGCTGCCTCCGATCGTCTGCTTGGACGATGAGTGCGAGCTGAACGGACCTCCACTTTTGCCGCTTCTGGGCGTATGGCTCATATTGCTGTAATTATTGTTCCCACTGTTCTGCCTCTGCAAGTCACCAAAATGTTGCTGTCCGTGATAATGATGCTGATGCTGCTGCTGCTGACCACCCTTGCTCATGCTCACTGAGTTCTCAGAGGAAGTCACTGGGTTACTGTATTCCTGCCCGGGGCCTCCATAGCTTTGCGAATATTGTGAATGTGAAGCTCCTCCCTTGTTGTGCTGAGGTCCCTGCTGCTGCTGGAGATGATTACTATAGTCGCCACCATTATAGTTGCTGCGCGTATCGGCGTGCGACGAGCTCATCCCGCTTTGTGGCTGCGATAATGAATGGTAACTGTTCTGGTGCTGTGGCGGAAGATGTCTATTATTTTTTCCCGGTCCACCAGGCCCCCCCTTGTGAGCAGGTCCTGAGGAACTGACACTGGAGCCACCTTTCATCGCCCCCGCTTGTTGGTTGTGATACTTGTCGCTTGGCTGACTGGAAGCGCTGGACCCCGGCTGCTGTTGATACGTCATGCTGCGCGGTGTCCAAGGCGCGGTCTGATGAGAAGATCCCCGGCTCGTCGGGTTGTTGTATTCACCTCCGGCACTCCCCCGCGAGTTTTGCCGCTCGTAGGGGCCCACGCCCTGGTTGTAGTTGCTGTTGGACGAAGACGCGCCCATGTACGACTCCTCGCCGCGGAAGGCACCTGCTTCCCCATAATGATCGTTGTGGTGCCCCCCGCCTCCCAAATTTGCCTTCGTCGTCGCGGCGGAGCTCCCAAACAAGTGCTCGTCTAGATAGAAGGTTTTCTTTCGTTGGTTATCCATCTTGGCCCACTCCAGCGGATCCAGGCCTGCTGGCACGGGTAAACCCTCCTTCATCGGCCTCGGCGCGTGGGACATTGGGTGGTTGTTGCCGGAAGAGCTTGTTCCCGATGAATGGGGCTGTTGTTGCTGAGCTGCCGGATTTATTGTGTTGTCGTCGAAGAAAGTCAAGTGGTCCCTGGCGTTGCCCGAGTTTTGTCTTCGGTACATCAAGTTGCTAGTACCGCTACTCTTGTTGTACCCGCCCTTGCCTCCGTCGTGGTGATGTGCCGGTGTGGCGGGGCCCCAACTGGTGGTGGACAGCGCACGGCTCTTGGTAGTCTGTTCTTTATCTTTCGCACTTGCTTGCTGCTGGTAACTAGTACCTCCTCCTGGTGGTCCGCCTTTGCTCGAAGCCGATGCGGTCGGCCCCCCGGCAGAAGATGATGTTGCCTTCTTGTGCGTGTTCGTGGGTGGTGCTGGTCCCATCTCACGACTGTAGTCGATCTGGATGAACCCTTTTGCTCCCGTCGACCTTGACGTTCCGTCCGGATTCAGATCGCCCCCCGTGAGGTGATCTCCGCTGCCCGACTTTGAGCTGCCAGGAAGGTCCTCCATCTCGGAAAGGGAAGAGTCCGGGCCGGCGTTTTGTACCACCAGAACATCCTCACGACGACCGGAGGGAGTCGTGTGCTTGTTTCCCGCCACATGCTGAGTGTTATCGTGGTTCGTGTTTGACGTCATCATCTTTTCCGGTATGGACCTGGGTGTATTGCTCGACGTTTGTTCACCCCCGGAGGCACTGTTACTTGTCTCCGACACAAACCCGGCCGCGCCCGGCGTTCGTGGCCCTCCCTGCTTTCTGCTGCTGGTCGGTTGCCCTTTGGCCAAGCCGCCCGCGGTTGCCCGCTCCGAACTTGGGCGGGCCGAGGTGGCGGACGAGGTAGACTGCTCTGGCAAGGTGCTGATCGGAGCAGGAAGTGGCAACTGATGTGTCTCATCCTCACCGGAACTTGGGTTGTAGGTGGCGCGATCCTTTGGACCCTGCACCGGCGAGGGGATCAATCCACCCGGTGACTGTGGAGGTGGTGACTTTGCGCTTGTTTCTTCCTTGATATCATCTGCCACCTTGTCTTTCTGGTGTTCTCCACCTCCTGCTTCACCAGAAGTCGATAATTGCAGCTGCCGCTCCTTGTCATCGACATTCTGGTTGGAGGTAGAAGTTGTGCCCTCCACTTTGCTCCTGTTCGCGTTCCGGGCAGCGGCCCGGTCACGAATGCTCTGCGCATTGACCCGCTTCGAGAATTGCTCGTGCCAGACCTTCAGCTCTGTCCCTATTTCATCGCGACCCTGCTTCAGCTTCTCCTGTGTGTCTTTGTGCTTGTTGCTTGTTCGCGTTTTGCTCCCGTCGTACGCGGCCGAAACCCGGTCCATTTTCCCCGCCATATTGAACTTAGTGCTTGCTCCGGGAGGAGGCAGTGTTGCCTTGTTTCCGGGCGAAGGATGTGCTTGTTGTCCACCGAATTTGCTACTTCTCAAGCCCAGCTGTGCAGCTGCAGCCCCTGGAAAGTCGTCGTACCGCTGCTGTTCAAGATCATACGCCGTTTTGTTCTTCCAGTACTGGTCCATTAAGTTCTTGCCGAACACATCTTTTCCGTGGCGCGTTTGGGGCCCCAACTCGAGCGCCATGGCATTGATGTTATTCAGGGGCTGCCTGTTGCCCGTCCGGGCGTAGGCACTTTCGCTGCCCGAACCTGAACCGGAAGCAGGCTGTTGACTATCAACGTCGCGATCCGACGCCCTCTGCGGTATCTCGGGAAGGGGCGCAGAGAGCTTGGCTCTTCGATTTGTCGTGTTTGTCGCCTCCTGCTGATGTTGTTGACCAGTACGCGGGGGCTTGTTCGAAGATCCTTGTCCAGCGTTGTCTCCGTCTTTTTTCTGGACCGCAGAGGCACTACTAGTTGCGCTCTTGCTATTCGCTGCAGTGCTGGTGAAGCTCGGAGACAGTGGCTTGTTCACTAGCTTTCGGCTTTTGGTTTGTTTCTGCTGAGAACTAGTACCCTGCAGGTTACTAGTCGACGAAGCCGCAGACGACCCTGCTATGGGCGTCGGCGGTATAACTGGGATGCGTGCCTGCTGCTGCTGTTGCGATGTTGAAGGTTGCTGCTGATTGAACAGATCATACTGCGGCCGGGTCGTGGTCTGCTTTTGTTCCGCCGGCTGGCCCTGCTGCTGATAAGTTCCTAGCAGCGTTTTGTTCTTCGAGCTGGGGTCCACCAGACCCGCGAGAGTCTTGTTATTGTGGACCGCCGCCGCCTGCTGCATCCCTGCACCTGAAGCGCTCAGAAGCGACATCTCATCCTCCGCGTCCACCGCAGCCGCCGGGCGATGGGTACGACGGGTGCTAACGCCTCCGTACTGGTCCGCGGTTCTCTCCATATCAGCATCCATCAAGAAAAGATCCGCGACCAATGAAATGTGGTCTGAAGGCCAGTCGGCATTTGGCATGGACCGCGTGGGGTGCGTATTCCACTGCTCGCACGACAAACGCTCTTCGTCGAAAATTTGCAAAACTTGAGCCACCGCAAAGGGTCTCGTAAACAAAATCTTGTCCAACTCACCGCAAGAGTGGTACCTGTTGTAAGTACATGTTTTTTTTCGCTCATTCTACTTTAGCTTTACGACCAAACACATTCACGATCGTGAGGCTTTTAAAGATCAAATAACTTTAAAAATTTCATTTTGCTTTTTTCTGGCGAAACATCACAAAACAAATCTTTACGTGTCGTTATGGGCCGTGGTGACCGATTTTTCTCCGTTTTCCATGACTGATTCGTCGTTCAGGACGAAAGCGTCGTAAGCGGAGTCGAACTTTTCAAAGACGCACCGCGTTTCGTCCCTGATACCGTTCAAGTCCCCGACTATCAGCACTATCGCACGAAAAAAGTGTTACAGTTACACATTTGTTGTCAATTCAGCAACACAAATTTCCCTGCAGGAGAGAGAAAACCTGCAATGCAGAAATCCTACGGGAAAACACCTGTGAAAGGAGGCTCCTATGCATATCCGGCATGACAGAGCTTGTCTGTCTTGCTTGGCCTGCAACGCAATGTGTAACTGTAACACTTTTTTCTCAGGATAAGCACCGGACGAGAATTACTGTCGTCCTCTTTCTGTTGTTGATCTCGCTTTTCGCGAGGAGAGGCAACGCCTTTATTCCTACCGTGGTCAGGAACTTGCTCCTCAACACGCGACGTATCCTTGTCTTTAAGGTCTTTCCCTTCTGTCATCTGGTGCGTCGCGTTACCTTCCGCGACGGGTGTGCGACCACCGCTTGAGCCGACCGGACTTGGCGCGACCTGTGTCGGTGGAGTCTCATCTGTCGCATTGTTGCTAGGATCGTCCGCGGCCTGGTCTTCCTCGGCAGAAGGGTTCTTCTTGGTTGCGGGAGCCGTTCCAGCATCGGAAGACGTGTTGCCATCCGGCGTTCTTTCCTGATTGATTTCCACGGAGCTGCTGGTCCCGGTTGGGCTGGGATCCATGGTTGTGCTGGTTTCCTGCGTCATGTCAGCCCCACTCTTGCTGTGCTGGGCTGTCGCGGGATGATCTCTGGATGAACTAGTGGTCGTGGTCACAGTGGCTGATGTAGCGGTCGCTCCTGCCCCATTCTCGGCAACTACCTTGTTCAGACTGGACGTTGCGGTGGTGCTGCTCGTCGTGTTGCTGACGGTATTCGTATTTTCTGTGCCCGGCTTGGTGGAGGTTTCTTCGCTTTCTTTTTCGCGCCCCCGACCCGCCCCCGCAAGCAGCTCTTGCTGGCTCAGATCATCGTCCTCCGGGGACGTTTTTGCGTGCGGGTCCAGCACCGTCGAGGCTGGGGAGGATTTCGCTGTCGTCTTGCCGTCACCGACGCCTTTGCCTGGTACTGGGGGTGCGGGCAGCGCAAGCTTGGGAATTGCATTTGGACTAGTACTTGCAGTTTCCCTCCTGTGCACGTTGTGCCGGTTGTTGCCAATCAGCTCGCACGCCCGCTGCACGTCCAGGGCCGGGGCCATGCCGGCGACATGTGTGTTGACCAGGTCGAACTCTTTTCCCTGGAATCGAAATTTGCAGCGCTGCTGCAGACCACCAAACGAGGTCATATGCTGCGAGACCCCGTCGCGGCCCTTGTGCGGCGTCAGGAAAATATTCTCTGGTTGCCCGATCAGCTTGAGCTTGCCACTACCTTCCTTATACAGCACTAGCAGCATATCCTTTGAATTCTCGGTGCGCCGATCTGTTGTAAGAAGGTAAGAAAGGAGTACAACGCAGCCAGTAATTTGTCTATGAGGATCCGGTTCTTCTTCTTCCCTATATGCAGTGATGCTCCAACTATAAAAACTACATTTCATCATAGAACAAAACTTTTACCTTTGTTGTATTGGAAGTGGAGCGGTGAAAATGACAAAAATAAATTATGCACCTTTCTCCAACCAAAATAAAATAAAAAATGATTATACGCGAAGTGGCGACTTTGTATCCACATGTCTTCATCCGGTCTTGTAGTTCAACCACGTGGTTGTGATCGATCTCCTGGAGGCAGATAATGTCGGCCTCCCATCGCTCCAGCTCTTGTGCGATGAGTTGAAACCGCAGCGGCCAACTGAAACAGTCGCCGCGGCCCTCCTCGAGCACAACAAATTGGAAGTTAAACTGGTCCGACAAGTGTTGCGACAGTAGGTTAAAAGACATCACACGCAGAAGATCCTTGCGCCGCATCAGCTTTTTCCTAGGTGTGCTATTGTTGCTGGTGGCGTCCATCTCCGCGAGATTCATCGCGCTCACGGGCCTGTGACTGGGCGATCCAGGGACCGCGCAAGGTAACCACTTGCGCGCGCGCAAAGTGCCGGGCACCGCGGGAGACAACTTTTCGGAGTACTGCTTTACCATGTTGTACGCTTTCTGGTAGGGGTCGAGAAATTTCGAAAACGAGAGGTTGCGGTCCTCTCGGAAAGTGCGCTTGTAGAGGTCCCACAACATCCGCATGTTCAGTGTGTAACTGTGTACCTCTCGCCACGGCGCGGATTCCTCTATTCGCTGCCGAACTTTCGCGACGTACCTGTGCGTATTTTGATTTTTTACGTTCACAAGTTGTAAGTATGATCATAAAAAAACTTTTCGTCTGCAGCAGGTAATGCTTGTACATCTACATTTGTGCGAAGGAGAAGCTTATTTTTCTTTACGAGGGCGACAAGAATGTGAGCACTAATCCAATGTGCTCCATGTCGTCCACATTCTTACGGATGCGAACATTATCCGCTGCGGCTTGGCGATATCCATGATGATAAAATCTTCGTGTACTTCCTCAAGAGCGAGCGCGATCATGCAATTATGTCGATATTACTGCAGGTCACAGACATACCATCGCTCCACTTGGTCTGCGGTCCAGTCGAAGTAGGGGGCAGCAAGATCCATGCAATTCTGCACGTTTCCGTCAAGCGGTCCTTGGCCGAGCATTGGGTCGTTTGGATCTCTCCACAACAGCAGCGGCGTCTCGACTTGCAACCTTCCAGAGATCTTCCCCATGCCGGCCAGCCGCGTGGGGGTTCCGTTTCTGTAGGATCGCGGCAGAGGAATGCAGATTCGAAGGCTCGTGTTCGGGTCAAACACGAACTCCATGGCAAGCGCATCAAACATGTGCTCCCCCGCCATGTTTTCACCCTTGCTAAGCGTTGTTGGCGCGTTGTGCAACATCCCGCTGAGCGGGGTCCCGAGGGGGCCAGTAGCTTGCTGGTACATCAAATTTGGTACGTCGGGAGCAAAGCGTGGGAACATGGCCGGAGTAAGATGCGAAAACTGATGGCTCGTCGGGGTGGTCGTCGCTACACACCCGAGCTGCTGTGCGTTCGCTGGGCCTAGTTGATGGCCGCCCTGCTGCACCGCCTGCTGTTGTACCACGGCTGCGCTATACATATTGCCCGCGAGCAGCCCGAGCATGCTTCCTGCAGCGTTGCTTCCCTGGGCCGCGGGCGTTTGTCCTCCGCCTCGTTGCTGTTGATTCTGAAGCTGCAGCAACAACTGGAGCTGCGCATTCACCGAATTATTGCTCGCGGCTGCCGCATTCAGCTGTTGAACTCCGCCAGCAGCACCAGTAGAGGTTCCGCTCAGTTGTTCTCGCTGCTGCGGCTGCAGGAGCAGGTTGGGGTTCTTCTCCAGCATCAACGACATTTGGGCACTGTTGAGGACGTTGCCTGCGAGAGTGGAATTGCTAGTACCACCGCTTGCGCCGCCGCTCGGAACTGCACCTTGCTGCTGCACTGCGGGAATTGGCAGTGTAAGCTGCGCTCCTCCTATCTGCGCCTGGTCTATCCCGCCAGTCTGCTGGTGCGATGAAAGGTTCATCTGTGGTGAGGATCCAGAAGCAACGTTAACATGGTAAGTAAAATCTTTAAAACGAAACCGCCATCGGATCTTGTTGGCATAAAGGAAGTTCCAAAAAATGAATCCAAAGCCAAACTCAATTTATAATTATACTACTTGCGTAAAAACTAGCATCATTTTCTTACCCCTGGTGCAAGTGGCGCTGCCCCCGCAAAGCCACTGGCGGCTCCGGCGTTTGCAGTCCCATTTGTCTGGGGTGCTATGAGAGGAATCAACGGCATAGCTCCTCCAAGCGATCCGGCCCCGGTGGGAGTACCAGCGGCGACGGTCTGGAGCAGTTGCGCTGCTAACACACCTCGGCCATCGTCCAAAGGCGGTAGGGGCTCGGTCTTCAGCAAATCATCCAGTGCGGGCACGGTGGGTACAACACTTGCTGCAGCGTTGTTTCCTGTGGCGGTCGCGCCCAGCAGGGGGCCTGTGGACGTTGACGCGCCAACTGCCGGGGCTGCATTGTCGTTCGTCCCCGCGAGTGCCGGCTGGTCCACACCGGGCGCCGGCAAGCCTGGGTCAGAATTCTGCGACTGCCGCATGGCCTCCATCATTCTTTGCTGCTGCTCGAAAATCTTGTTCTGCTTCTCTTTATTAGTATCCCCGGTTGTACTTGAGGAAGAGGGTGCGGCGCTCCCTGGTGGTACATCGTCGCTTCCTGTTTGCAGGGCGGTCGTAGTCGTGCGCGAACCTCCCATTGATCCTGCAATCGCGCCGCCAAGCGCGCCGGGCTGCAACGGAGTGCCTGTAATAAATATTGTAATTGTGGAATAAAAATCTAGATCTAGACGAACTCAATGACGTTTCCATGGACAAGCGAATCTCGATGTAAAGCTGGAATCACCGGAAAAGAAAATGAAAATGATGAAGTATCATGCTGCAGCAGTGTAATATATTGATGTCCATCTTAATCTTGTTCTCGCGTCTACAGGTACAAAGAGTAAAGAAATATACCTTGCAGAAGACCACCGATACCCAATGTAGTGCCCGTACCGCCGAGCTGCTGCTGTAAGCTTTGCGAGAGCCTTTGCTGGCCGCCGGGGATTTGTAAAAGCTGTGCTGTGAGGTAGTTTTTCTCTGCCTCGAGCTGGTGTGACTGACGGAGGAGTGAGGCACTGTCATTGGCCGGCTGCACCAGTGGATCCTGCAACAGTTGCTGTTGCTGGTTACCAGCGGCTAGCATCGTTTGTTGCTGCTGCTGCTGATCCGAACTTGCTGAGTTCGCTGACGGAAGCTGGATGGTGTTAGTCATGCTCGTTAACACGTCCAGCAATGCCTTATTCGCGCCTAAACCTGACGCCGTGGCGGACGAGGGAGCTCCTCCTGCAGAGAGGCTGGTTGATGTAGCGCCAGGGCCAGTGTTGCCATTGGTTCCCAATAGACCACCACCTCCTTGGTTCTTTGCAGAAGTGTTGTTCCCAAAAACCGCTTGCTGTTCCGTATTCTGCGTTGGTTGCTGCGCGAGTATTACCTGAAGCAAAGCGTTCACGTCCAACGACAAGTGTTGTGCTTGTGGCTGATTCGGCAAGCTCACCTGGAGCATCCCGGTTGTTGGGTCTATCTGCATTACTGGGTTCGTGCCAGTCGTTGATGAGCCCCCCGCTTGGTGGTTGTTTCCCGCTCCTGGTTGCTGCCCGCTGGCAGTTGCTGCGGCGAGCTGTTGAAGAAGCTGGGTCTGGTGGTGATCGTGGTGCTGCATGCTTCCACCACTTGCGGTCGGCGTTGTTGACACGTTCTGCTGCGGAAACTGGAAGGCATTCAAGTTCAACGGCATGTTATTTGCACCGATAGGACCACCGGAGGGCGTGGCCCCGCCAGTTGCGGCTACATGATTCACAATTTGCTGCTGCTGTCCTAAAACTTGCTGCTGCAAATTGCTGGCAGGCAAAGCAGTTACGCCTCCCGTAGGAGCTCCCTGCAGATGTGCGGGTCCGCCCGCCAACATGGACGTAGTGAGCCCACCCGACGAGCTGGAGGTATTATTGTTACTGTCTTGATTTATGATGCCTGCATTGCCAAGCAGAAGCTGTGCTGCGTTGGTTGGGCTGGCCGCCACATTCAGGTTTCCATGTTGCATTTGCTGGAGCAAATTGCTCAGTAGAGCCCCCGAATTCAATGCTGCCTGATTGGACGCCGCGCCGGCCTGCTGCAGTCCAGTGCCTCCTCTCCCGATGGTATTTGTGTTGCCCCCGGGGTTTGCCGAGCCACCTCCTCCGGAAAGCCAGTTGGTCGCGAGAAGGGCAGCGAGCTGTTGCTGGTTTAGGTTTTGCGTATTCAAGTTCTGCAAATTATTTAGGCTGTGGCTAGTATTGTTCCCCATGTTGACGTTGTTGCCCGCTCCACCAAACTGCTGCTGTTGGTGCTGACTTTGGCTTTGAAAATCAAGCTGTGTGTGGCCTCCGCCTGGCGGCATACCGTAGAGCCCGTGATTGCCCTCTCCCGCACCTCCTTGCAGTGGGTGTGCGGCGGGGGGCGGCGTCACATAGCTCTGGTTGTTACTACCTCCGTAATTATTATACCCGCCAGCGTGGTTACCCTTGGTGTGATTGCTGCCGCCATCGACGTTATAGCCTCTACCATGTTGGTCATTATTGGTTTTCCCTCTATTCTGGTTCTTTCCACGTCCTGCTGTGCCACCATTTGCGTTCCACTGATGCGAATCTGTTTGGATATTTGGATAATTTGTATACTGATACTGTTCGAGCTTTCAGATTGAGCGGGCGCATTCTCTTTTTTCTTCCATGATCACTAAAAGATGCATGCAATGATTTGACTTGAGAAGCAAAACTGCACGCAGGAGAAAAAAATCACGGTACCTCCGCGATTTGGTTTGTTGCTATTTCCGCTGGCACCTTGGGTCGTGTAGTCCTTGCGCTGCTTTACAGGTGGTTGTGGCATTTCTTGATTCCAACCTCCAGCATGGGAACTGCTCGATGCACTGGCCACGTTCCACGAGTTGTCACCATCATTTGACCAGTGCCCGGCGTGCTGGTGCTGGTGTGACCTGTTCGTAGTATATTTTGGATGTGCATAAGGGAAACGGAAACTCAAGCTTTTGGATTTGCATAAGTTTTGATGATATAGTTCTAGGCCTTTCACATTTTCATTCTCTTTCTCTCTGCTCTGGAATTAGCGCTCTTAACCAGCGCGAAAAAAAGAGTGAAAAAGCCAGAAAGGCTCTTGAGACGCATTGGCGTCGGCCTCCATGCACGACACACGACATGCCGACAAAGAACTAACAAGTCAAGATCATGGAAACTAAAAAATTAAAAATCGGTGACATCGAAGTCACAATTTAGATTTTTAATACGCGTATGACCCCATGGCCGAACTTGTGTCATCTTGCCAATTCCCCGTCGATATATCCTGATATTGTTGATACATAGAGGTTGGCGCGCCTGCGTTTCCACCCCGATTGTTTCCACCAACAGACCTCCCTTTGGTGTTCATGTTTTTGTTTTTTGGCGTGGTTGTCTTGCCGCCCGGCACCTGGTGGCTCGGTCCATTCCCGCCCTTCGGACTTATGTTCGTGTTTTGGTTCCCCACACCGGCATGCTGTATAATGAATATTCATAACCCAAAATTATCATATGTGCCGAATGAATTAAGCAACATCATGATTAAAAACATTCGTAGTGAAGAAAACGGCGGGTTTTCTCACCGTCACGCCAGCAGCATCCTGAATTAAATGATAGGAGAGGTCAAGCTCAGCCCATGCCAGCGAGCTGAATTTGTACAGCTGGATCACGCGTAAATTGAAATTTGAATACGTCTTATGCGTCCGAAATAAACTTAGAAATCAAAAAGCGCACCGAAGTCCAGTGTTGATTGCCGTCGTTCCAGGAGCTGCTATTTGCAACGTTGCGCGAATTTTTATCGTAGCTGTTCTTTCCTCCGGCATGCGGTGTTGAAGAGGCTCCCGTGTTGGCGTAACTGGACATTTTGTGCTTGGGCGAAGCACGAACGTCAATTCGATCCAATTACCCGCAAACCTTTTTCTCTGCGGTAATAGAGCCACGACTGCAGCCGATGCAGTTCCAACTGCAACTGTTATAATTCGTCAACTTAATCACACGGCATCCGCATCGTCTTCGACTTCGTCAAGAACTCTCGCATGAGAAAGGATCCGGCTAAAAAATATCCAAACCGTCATCCGCTCTGCCACCGGTAGAAGCGCAAATCGTCATCCATATAGTTTTTGCTTAACTTCACGGGGAAGTCGAAGTGAGGAAGGGATATGGGTAAAAAATTGTGCGGGTTTCGTGTCAATAAAATGGGTATCAAGATATTCAGTGAAAAGAATAAGAAATTGGCAAGAAGTAGTAGACGGTAGTCGTATATAAAAATGTTGTGGTCTCCGTCTCGGTCTCCGCGAAGAAATGGTTGTAGAAAATGCAGTTGGCACATCTACTAGTGGTTTTCATTTACATTGTCATGTCGCAGTTGGTCCAGAAGAAAGCTAGAGGCACTTGAGAATATCTTCCCCTAATCCGTTGATGCTAAGAAGCTAACTGCGTTCCTCGACCACGGCAATGATGTAAATCTACTGCTGGCTACGATGTAAATACTCACTAGATGCGGGTAGGTGCCTTAATAGCGTTTTAGTGTTTATTGTAGTCTAATTTAATTGGAAATGGAAATTGTCTGAGTGTCAAAAAATGACAAACACACAAAAAAAAAAAAATGTGTGAGCCGTTTGGTCCACCAGGAAGAGAAGGGATGGTCAGCGACGTTCGATGGCTCTATACCACAGAAAGTTGTCGACTGAAAGCCACGCCCACGCTTATTAATCCTGCACCTTGACTTTGTATCATCTGTGCCTTAATCGATTGTGCTACAACTACAAGCTAAAAAAAACCACGTGTCGTATAATGTATAGGCCGTCCACATACCATAATTCAAGTCCAACCAACCTACTACAGGGAAAAGAAGTATTCTTTTATCATTTGCCGAAGAGTATAAATGTTGAGCACAACTTCTTCAACAACGGAAAAATATTTAAGCCGTAGTTCTCAGGTTCATCCGTATACTTTTTGTAGTGGTTGACCGCCTGTGAAAAAGAAAGATAATAAAATGAGGTTTTTCCAAAAGCGCAATCCTTATTTGCTAGCCAGAAAAAGAACCATGATGATTTTTCACATTCTTGCTACCACCTACCACTTTCATCTTTGTCTCGAGGAAGAAGTTGTGATCGTTTCTTATTTTGATGATTCAAATTCAGGAACATGGATTTAGTCGCTTTGGTTTCAGGCGGAGATCTTCGGAACCGAGGCGCTTTGCTCTGCTCTTCTGTTGCATTCGTCTTTCACTTTCATCTTATTATGATATCTTGGTCTTGCTCAATTCACTAAAAATTTGACTAGGACCCAATTTTATTTTGCACGTCCGCTTCGTCGGTCGCAACGACGTCTTCACGACGATCGCACGATCGAGGGGGTTCCACAACAATCAAACCGAGGATCGCGAGGAGCTCCATAAAAAAGATTTACATTTCATGATCTGCTTGTCTTCTCGTGCGCGTTTCTTATTTGGCACTTCATCACGATATTGGTTGTCTCATCTACAAAAAAAGCATACATAGTGGAAAATGCAAGGGGCGCCGGAGTGCTGGGGTAAAAAACAGAAAAAAAAAGTGTAGCGAAAATTGAGTATGATGAATGTCCGTAAGCCCTGCCACCTTCTATCGTATTTTTATCATTTCTGCAATCTTACAGCGTGGCCTGGTAATCATATTCTGTAGCTTCTTGCAAAGGGTGCCGCTCTACTGTGCTGCTACAGAAATATCGACTCCGATCTACCAGTCTGTCTAGAACTGTAAATGACTTGCAAAACTACGAGGGGTCAAGAGGTCTAATACGCACAGGGAGGGCAGGGCTGTTGTTGGTTTTTCGAAAGACGTCGATGTGCATCAAAGCTGTCTCCGTGTAGGTGCGCAAAGTACCACGCACGATCGTTGCATAGAAAAGCCACTCGATCTCGAAGTTCCAATACTTAATACTGTCTATGTTTTTTCTGTAATAAGTGAACGAAAGTCAGGTCTTCTTGTTTCTGTTTGCGCACGAGTATATTTATAATCAAAATCATGCTCCAGTGTGAAAAAGGACGAACCGACGGGCACCATTTGTTGTCCATGGTGTCACAAAGTTTGAGCACACGATCGGGAACGAGAGAGCACGGCATGCAAACAGACCGACTACTGCACAGCAATATTTGTTCGTTTGCTTTGGTTGCAAAGGCTGAGCCTAAGTTGTCTTCGTCATGATACAGAAAGCTGCTCCAGGCGTGTGCCTGTCACGATCAACCGAGCGAGCGCGAAGTGTAACATCAATAAAAGAAACCGAGCGACTTTATTGTGTTTCCTAACAGATGCTAGTAAGTAGATCAATGCCGTCGTACTTCTTCTTCTCCTTCCTTGCAAGAACAGACCAAACACCGTTCCGATCAACGATATCAAACGCATTATTGCTATCGTGTGCTTCGACTTTCATCAGCACGCTCAAACCGAGCTCCTGTCACTGGCAAGAAAAGAAGCGAAAATTTCAAGGCCACGAATAGCAGAAATCTTGATGTCTGATTTTTATTCGCTATATGCATTTCAATTTCTTGTTGTTGAAGCATCAGGATCATCAGCTTCTCGTTCTCATCCGTCATTAATACTCGCCCTTCGTCGCTGGCGTATCTCTATCTTCTGCAAATGCAGCACCGATCGATTCATGACTGCGACTGCTTCAACAGGCGCGGGGGGCAGTGCAGCCTATGCAGAAAGGACAGGGTGAAACAAGTATACGATAAAGCCACTGACCATAAAGAAGATCAGGCCCAGTAGAACTAGAACTAGAAAACAGAGTCGAGTGAGAGACACAACAAATCAAAATGATGACATACTCGGTGCGTCGCCATAGCTACAGTCTGAGTCTGACTCATGTAGTTTATGATTAAATTGAGGTGGAAATACCCCCGCCAGCACCACTGCCCCCGCAATTAAATACTCGCTTGACCGAACGAAGCTACAGAGCGCCGTGTAATGACTATGAGTATTCAATCACAATCATATAAACGAAATCTAGATCTACAAGAAGTGCTCGACTTTCTGCTTTTGCTTTTTACATGTGCATGTACATAATGTCAAGCTAGTATTGGGCCTTCTCACACTTTCGCGCGGTATCGAATGCCGTCCGATTTTCTTCTTCCGATGTTGTCGTGGGCAATGACCGTGTTGCGTGTTCCGCGTAGACTGCTTCGGTGCTGGCCCGGCTCGACGACTGATCGTTCGTGTTTCTGGAAGTGTCAGTTACAAAATCTGCAAAGTGACAATAATTTGCGACACTCTGAAATGCGACCCAGAGTGTCACGCAGAGAAGACAAAAGAGACCGATTCGAACGACCCTGATGAGGCTCAATTGGGGGCTTGCCCTTTCTGAAGAGCGTGACAAGAGCGTACGACAGATGCAGTCTAGACATGGACAAAATTATTCGTCACGCGTGGCCCCTTGGAACTGCAACTGGTGCCACTAAGTCCTCAAAATGGGATTTTTTTATGCAAAGAAATACAAATGCACGGCAAACTTTTTATAAACTCCATTTTGGAAATTTCCAACCTGACGCTTCCGTAATCTCGTCCTCGACTGTATTTGTCTTCGCCATGAGAAGCTTTGTCCCCTCTGCTGGTCTTATGCTTTGCTGTTTGCACGCCAATCCTCGGCTGTTGCGCAGAACTTTTTGCGGCCTCTGCTCCACAACCTCAGGTTCCACGTCGTACCTTTCCCCGTCTTCCGCGTCTTGTAATTCGGTCTGCTCTCCTTCAACATTACTGTTTACCCCAATCGCGCCTTTTGTTGAGACGGAAGCACCTCGTCCACCAACCCCCGGTTCTCCTTGCTGTGCGAGTTGCATCTGTTCCATCAATTCCGAGACCTGTTGACGCAACAAAAAATTGGCCTGCTCCAACTCGGCAACACGATCTAGCGTTGTGGTGTAGTAGGAATGCTCAAGCTCCATCAGATCTCCTGGATTCGGGCCGCCTCCGAAACTCGAATCTAGGTCTTGTTCGTTAATACGGAACTCCTCATGTTTCGACGCCGAAGGACCATCTTGCGTATGCAGATGCGGCGTTACCGGCATCGTGCTTGTGTTTCCCCCCGTCGCACAAACGCTGCTCTCCTTACTGGCCCTGAAGAATAAAGTTAAATTTGCTTCTACCTCCCTACTTTCATGCGAATTTTCCTGCTGCTCATCTTTTAGTTGTAGGCCACGGCAAACTTTCAGTTTAAAGTTCCAGTTCCTGTATCTCTACATAAAATCAATCTCAGTCTACTTTTACTTTCGTCGTCTCCTGATTTTATTTGAAAAAAAATACTTACCGCTGGCTTCGCGATGCGAAGATATCTTCCAAGTCGGGCGGAATGAGACTGGGCGAGTTGGCGGGCTGCTGCCCCGGAATGTTCGTAGCTCCACTACCAGCAGTGCCTCCGGCTCCTCTCGCGACTCCCGGGGGTGGCGGCGTTCGCGGAACGGAGCCGCAGCCAAGGTTGTAGCGCGGCGGCAGCCGCCCCAACGGTAGTGCGGGCATGTTCACTCCTGTGCGCCGGGGCGAAAGCAAAGTCGGCGAAGACGCACGCGATGAGGGCGGCAGCGAGCTCACAGCATGCGTCGGGAATGGCGCACTGCTCAGCCCCTTACCTTCATGTTGATGTTGTTCAGGAGACCATTGAGGATGAAACAAACTGCTCAGATTTTCTCCTCCTGTTCATAACTATGACTGAGTAACATTCTGTAGCTAGCGTAGTTAGAACTCGACGCGACTTGTCGACTTCATCTTCGCGGCGCATGTGGTACAATCAGAATGAGACTAAGACTAACAGAAATGGAAATCTCTCTTTGGAGGAAAATAAAAATGATCAATCGAAGTAGTCTTCTATGACGTTGCTTCAGATGCGAACTAGGTTTGGGTAGTACCTTGTTCCAGTGCCAGCAGTATTTTTTTCCCTGCAGAGGAAAGATGCAGGCCCGGACTGTATCCCTCTCCCCCACCGATTGTGCTCTTGTCCCGCTCGGTACATCCGAACAAGAATCCAAGCCAGTTGCCGAGACCGAAAAAGGACCCACCATTGCTACCTCCTCCGCCCATAATTTCAACGACCGAAACAGACATGCTGTCGCTGTGGCTGTCGTCGTCTTGATCCACGTTGTATCTGTTCGAGTTTCTCGTCTTCACACTGGACGACGTAGGTGGAGCGATTCCTGCACCTGCACTGCCAGGCAGCGGGTGCTCGCTCTGCGCATCAAGGAATACCTCCTTGGACGTTGATGCACTGACAGCCAGGGGTGGGCCCCCACTGTCCTGGGATTGCTTACTCGTGTTCTTGTCAGCGCCACTTCCTCCCTCCAGTAGTACTATGTCATTCGCTGCAATTACCGCTGGCTTCTCTGGGTGGCTCAGGTCGAGGCCCTTGCCGGAAAAAATCGACCGCGCCACTTGTCGCAAGGAGGGCGTGAGTTGGTACCAGACCGCCCGGAGCTCGCCGAGCAAATTGCGGTAGTTCAAAGCCTGCTTTTTCCACTCCCGCCGACTGCTCGCCAGTCTCTCGTTCTTCTCCTGCAACAAAACGAGGGCGCGGTCAAGCCGCTGAACGAGCGACATGATTTAATATCTTCTTCTTATCCTTGTATGTGCAGGCGACAAGAATGCACTGTTTCACTTTCTCCAGAATGATATCCGTATTCTCTACTGCTACTTCCTCGTGCGTTTGAAACTCGAAAGACCACACCTCACCGTCTGAGTTCTTTTTCCTGTGCCCGAATCCAACCCGACCGCGTCACTCGCCGCTCCTTCTCGTCCCGCTGATCCAATAGCAGCTGTAGTCTGGTGCCCACGCGCACCCTTTTTTTTTTTTTCGTTTTAGCAATACCCTCTCCGGACGGCCCAACAAGCTCACATTGACATTGGCACTCATTGAGGTGCTGCGGGCGAGGGCGTCTAACTGCCTCGCGACGCAGACTCGAAACCGAAGCGACGGACTCGCAGCCCCAGTATCGGCCACCAGACGAGAAGTGTTCGCGTTTTGATGTTCAAAATTTTTTCGTTTTTTCACCAGACAACAGAACCGGAGGGAAACCTGGGAAAGCTCATAAATGTGAAGAAAGAACACTGTTGAAAACTTACACCTATCACTACCGCAGCTGCAGGTGGTATACAACCGACCAGGACCACCTCGTTCACGTCTGCAGCTGCAGGACAGTAAAAACATGAATCCTGTTCAAAAAGAGTGTTCTCTTGCCTGCGTAGTTGTTTTCTTTCGTCGTGTAGCTGAAACCAGAATCGCCGTATCTCTGGAACGGTGGGACAAATAAAGGACTGCTTTGTGAACGGCTTCATCGTTGATCAGGACCGAAAATAGTTAAAGGAATGAGCAAAAAAACTGTTCTACGCCTGCTACACCTCAGTACTTCGTTAACGGTTTCGTCGTCGTCTGTGCCTCTCCAAGCATTACTTACACTTAGGTCAGCACTTCCCCGCAACTTCACTTCGATCCGCCAGATTTTGCACTCGCGGCTTGTCGCTGCAATTCCAACTTCCGCTGCGTCATTACGCGATCGCGCTCGTCGATCGCATCCTCCTCCGCTTTGGACATGCCATTTTTCTCGCCCCAGCTAGTCAGGGCTTGCATCCCCATCTCCAACATCGGGTTGAGTTGCGCCCCTTTTCGCCAATATCCCGCTAGCGAAGCGTCTTGCATTTTCTTATCCTCCAAACCCATTTGCGACAGAATCATGCGCGACCCGCTCGCACACCCGACGATGGCGGCGTTGATCGAAGACCAAAACGGATACCCAAACAGCGCTCCACACATCCACACGCCCGGCGGATAGTTTCCCTTCGGAGCGTATTTTCCCTTGCCGTACGTCTTCGGCTTGTAGTCGAGCGCATGTATCAAAGCGTCCAACGTACTCGTGCCAGCAGCCTTCGCTGCAAACATCTTGGTTCCAACCCCCGGCGCCTCGTAAGAAGTGATGCCGGCCAGGTCGTAGAATTTTACGCAGTCCTCGATGCGTAACGACTCGGCCAGCCGCACGATCTTGTCCCCAAGCCTCGACTTGCTACCTTCCGCAAGAAACGGCGCCGTGTGCGGGTCCCCAGCGGGGAGGCAGTCGTCGTACAGAAGTTTCAGCCCCGAGTTTCCGCTATCCTCCCGAATATACTCTTCCAGATAGTCATACCAGATCCGAAGTCCCTCGGCCTCAAACAAATCGATCACCTTCTTGTCTTTCAACTCCTCCCGCAGAATGTAAAACTCATCGAATAATCTTAATCCGTCCGACAGCGCACAACACGCGTTACTGTCGTTGCGGCGATAGCAACACAACCCCGAATCTTTTTCTCCGCAGAGGCGCTCGACCTCGGCCATGACTTTCGCGGCCGGTTCACAACCAACGAAGTCAAAGGTAATAATTTTGTTCACCGACTCCTTGTCGATATGTGCTGGGATCAGATTGAAGACCGGCTTTTTTCCCACCACGCAAAGCTCTTGGAGCTGTTCCATTATCTGGGCGGCCGAATACTGATCAAAATGGTGTCTACAATGCCGAAATTCGTAGTTTTTGAGACAATCGTCGCAAAACGGCACGAGGTCCTTGCCAGCACGGCACCACTGTGGCGTCTGGAGCATTTTCACGAGCGCGTGGCCAGTAAAGCTCGGCTTGTATTGAAAAGATTCGATGAACCCGCAGAAAAGAGCATACCCATCGTACTGCCTCATCAGAATCGAAATGTGTTTCATGGGATGATGTGGAATGAGATTTTCGATTTTAATCTTCTTCATTTGTCTCGGATCAGGACTCGGGTTGATGGCCAAAGCTTGGCCTTGTGGTGTTTGGACGAATTTGCACATGTCAACAATAAGTCGCTTGTCTCCGGTTGAGTCGTAGCCGAGGACGCGACACGTCTGACCGTTGAGGTGCTTCTCAGATTCATTCTTGAGGCCAGAAATTTCGAACGGGTGCACTGCGCCGCCTTGTTTTTGGAGATAACACTCCATACCGCGGACGTCCCGGCCGGTGAGAGCGGAAGGCATGTTGATGAGTTGTTTTTAGTAATAAATGCCTGATTTCGATGCTTCAACTTCGCATTTGAAAAAATTCGACAGAACGATGAGGGGGTAAGGCTCTCTGGTGCGCGAAGCGGGGAAAAAATCCATTGACGCGAGAAAGAAATGAGCAGCCCTGTCACGAGCGAAAACCATTCACGGGGAAGGTTCGCAGAAAAAGCGGCGAACCAAACACAGGCCTGTTCCTTCGTTTTTGATTTTATTTTGACATGAGTACTAGCAAGAATAAGTTTGATACAGTTGATTGCTTCGTATTGACGTTGATAGCCGATTTTGATTTATCTTGATGTTGAAGCACGTCCGTGACTATGTTGGTATAGATACTCCTCTTCAAAAATGAAAAGCACAGCGAGAGAAGCGACTATGAAGTCGGGGTAGCTTGTTTGTCGAAGCAAGCATTTTGGGTTGCAACTTGTAACATAGATGACATGACACAGTACGTATGAGATGAAACTATTGACTCGGCTGCAGCAGAAGTTCCTTGTACTTCGTAAAGACTTTTTTGTGGTCACGGCAAATACTAAGATGTCGTGCTCGTGTTGGTCATAGATAGCAGGAATCAATCCTTAATCGCCCGGCGTCACCGTCGTCGAGACGGACAAAAAATAAAAATAACGGAAAAACTGCTTATGTTCCTCTGCTTTCTGCACTTCTAGTTCTACTTGAGCTCTACCATGATTGATCGATGGAGGCTCGTCTGCGTAATTGGTGAATTATACATGTGCATTCGCCGAGGGTGACGTGCTTAAGCTTACGAAAACGAAAGTTTGAAACTGAAACTGATACCCAGTTCACGAATTGTATCGATAATATTCGGCCACATCGATAATTTCTGTTGAAGTTTTACCCTTCGAAAAAAGTGGAGTCTCGTCTGATTTTATGTGATGTAATATTGGTCCTACCACTGTAAAAATAATTTTGCACATTCGATATTGATTCGTCTGACGACAAAACTCAATCATGAGACGTGTCCTCTCAGTCCTCGCAACGCCCGTAGGTTCTTCATCCTTCCGTTCTTTTCACACGCCGCTGAGCAATCTGTAGCCTGTCCAATCGGCAGGAGCGACGTAGTTATGTTGCTTCATGAAGTTCAGCAAACACTGCGAGGGACCGTCCACGGGTGCTTATCCTGATTAAAAACGTCCCCACACCAGAGTCAAGATGGGAAATCTGCTACACAAATTTACTAGCCTTCGTTAATTGGCATGACAAGTTTGTCCTCGTACGTGCAATCCTGTTTTAGCTAGTTCAGAAGCGTCACAGATCTAGCATAGCATGCTGATTCTAGCATCACAAATTCCAAAACACGACTAGAAAATCAAAATGCTTCTCATAGAGCTCCGCATGAGAAACTTCCTTGGCATGCAGAATTGCATGACAACTATGGGGTGGGGATGTTTTTACACGGAATAGTGCTTCGACCTTTTTCACCTGTGCTGCCGCTGCGCCGCGTTTGCTAGGACTCGCACCGGTACCCTCCGCGAGTCGCTTGCTCTTCTGTTTTGTGGTCGTTCAGTCGTGTAGCTGAACTGAATACGCATGGTAGCAGAGGCAAGAAAAACCAACATCAAGGTCGGTAGATCGTCATGCACGCATCGCCGGAAGAACCAAGTCCACTTGAAAAGGTTCAAATGTACTAAATGCGCAAAGATCAAGATGTAGTATACATAGTAATAGTTTTATTTACCGCAAACCACGCGAGGTCTTCTTCCTGTGACGGCTCTGGGACGTATTTTTGAAAGTCCTCCAACTTCTTCCTGGCAACCGTCCACTTATGGAAGCGTCAGGTTTGAAATCGTCAAAGTTGAAATAATTTGTAATGCATAAAATGCGACACAGAAAGTGACTCTATTGCAGAGGACCCACGGGAGGCAGATTATAGTCCTGGTAAGGGTCACAAGTTGGACTGCTAACTAGCATGACAGAAGGCAGCTCTTTGGCCCTAAACCGCATGACAGACTCGCTTCCAGGACCGGGAAAATTTGTCACGCACCGACTACAAACTGTAGGTCTAATTGGTATGCGTTTTATGCATGACAAACTATTTCAACTTTGACGATTTCAAACCTGACACATCCGTACCACTCACCGCTTTCGTAGTTGACGAAGGCCATTCCGAAGCGATGATGGAATTCCGCTGTGAATTGCTCCGTCATGAGCCGAATGTCCTGGTCCTCACAAAATTCGTCGAAGGGGACGTAGTTCTCGCTAAGCCGCTCTTCCTTCGTTTCCTCCCTCTGCAGCCGCATCTGAAACTCCTCCTTGCGCGACAATTTTTGCCCCGTGAAGGTCGATATCTTTTGCTGGCCACCACGTGCGGCCGCGCCGCCTCCTACCGCGGCGCCCGATGCTGTGTTCCGAGCCCGCTTTTTGGGGCTCGGCGACGCAGACCCCGCCCCGTGTCTGCTTGGGCTGGTGGCCGCCGCCTGTAGCAATGTATTGCCACCAGGTACTGTGCCCGTTTCCGTCCGCCGCTGCCGCATGTTTTTCCGGTTCTTCGTATTGGGCGACTCGAAAAAGTTCGTGGGAGGTTGAAGATTTGTATGCTAGGACAGTTTTCCTCGGAGAACTTGCGACCATCAAGTAGAAGGTACCTTCTTCTACCAGAACTCTAACAACGCAACACAACTGTAAGTAGAGGTACTAGTAGCACCTCCAGCAATACTAAGCTCGTATCTGGACCAGACTTACTGTGAAGGAAGCGAGCCAGGCAAGACTAAGAAAAGTAAACCGTTAAAGAAGACATCATGATCATGCACAACGAGGACAGGAGAGTTTTGCAGCATAGATCTTCAGGCAATTGCTGTCTAAGTCGAGGGTGTAGAGGTAGAAGGGCTTCTTGATCCCACTCACTAGCACGCGGTCCACGCGGCGAAGCTTTCGCCGGTACGGAGGAGTCACACAGTGGGCTAGGTGTTCGCTGATCAACAATGGCACACCGTACTGTTTTGTCGCGGCTTCCAGCTGGGCACTGAGATTTACCTGGAAGAATAAAATCGCGGAAAAGGATTTATACAGAAGTAGTTGCCGAAAAATCATGCGTGGGACGAGAGTCATTCATCCAAGGACCTTCCATATCAACAAGTCGTAAGGGTGCAAGTAGCAGCAGCTGCAGAAGGTGGAGGAAGAAATAATAGTTCCATCATGAAGTTGTACGTGTGGCGAGAGGTAGCTGGCGTCCACTTTGAACTCGCTTCCGATAGCGCCTTCAATGGCCCATCCGCGGTGTAGTCCAAAACCCATTTTCACGCGGTAGTTCGGCATTCGATTGAGCAGCCCCTCGTGCAGGCGGTACGTCGCTAACACTGGGGACCGGTTGGTGGCGGCGATGATCCGTGAGAAGCACATCACCGCTAGTTCGCTGATCCGGCACGCCTCTCCGCGGTGAAGCTCCTCGTAGGAAATGTCGGACGACTTCGTGATGTACCCTAATCGCCACACTAGCAGAAACGCGTCACCGATGTTCTTGTTCGGAGATCCGCAGTGCGCATCCGTGACGGTGTGCACGATCTCGGAAATCTGATCGCATTTTTACATTGGAGCCTACGTACTAGATCATTCAAGAGTATATTAACAGCACGCGAAACATCAAAAATCCTACTTATCCTTTTACTATTTGAGCAGGAGAAAGTAAAAACATCCCTTCCATACAAGAAACAAAGGCCGAGCCAGTTTTTGTACCCGATTGACGAAGAGCATGACACCGTCCTGAAGAATCTCCGTGGCGTCCGTGAAGTTTCTAATATCGCAAAAGCCAAAAATAGCGTCCATGTACTGACCATCAACCATGGTGTTTATTGCACTGGTTGTGTCCGAGTCCTTCATGTTGTGTCCGATCACTGCTGAGCCTGCTTCTCCAAAAGCGAGCGCGCAGAGACCCCCGAGTTTGATAATGGTTTTCTCCAGGATCACCGTCTCCATCAGCTTGGAGGACCCCGGATCGTCGTTCCAAAAGGCCACCAGAGCGTGCTTGATTTTCAGGATCCAGCGGATGAGAAAGAAGTTCGACAAAGAAGAGCCGCCCTCCTGCCTGTTTGATCGGCGGCCGCTTGCTTTATTTGCGCCGGTTGTACTAACGCTGGCATTATTGGTCGTACTGGAGACCATCGGCCCTTCCACGCCGGCGCTTTTGTCAACACCCGCATCCAGGACCTGGCCCGAACTGCTCCGATCGAACCTGGAGGACTGCGAAGTGTGGTGACGCACGTCGGACGGGTTTTTCCGGATTGTCGCCAGCCGCTGGATGTTTGTTTGCTGCACAAAGCTTGGCGACTTGTGGTCCAAGAGAGGCTCGTCGCCCCCTGCTATCTGCGCCCGCTTCTCTTTTGACGAGATCGGCCCACTGGTATTTCCAGTTGCGCCGGCCGTCGAGCTACTCGCGCTCCCGGTTCCCGTGATCATTCCTGTTTTTCCCTTGTTATTCATCTCCGCGTCGCGCCGGAGCTCTTCTTCTGACATCGTATTCCCTCAAAATTATCCATCCCCGTGGTGCGCGTGCCCGTCTACTTTCTGCATGAAAAAAGAAGTCAATTTTGTATTTGTTTCGTTTACGTTTGTTGCATGCGAAACTTCTGCATGGGAATCGTTAATTTCCAGGGAATACATCCGGATCGCCTCGAAGGGGTTGGACCGGATCTTGCTCAGCCGCGTGATCATGCGTTCTACGGGGTATAGCACCAGCTTGTTGGCGTCCTTCGCAAATAGCATGCTGCCAACCAGGAGGAGGAGAAGCACGAAAAAAGTCTGGAACATGTTGAAAACCGCCTCTAAGCTCGTCCAAGGAGTCAAATCGAAGTACCACACAAAGACCATGCTCTCCAACCTACAGGATTTTTGGATTACCGAATAGATCCAGATACTGTCTTGCATGGATAAACTAAAACTTTTTCATTTTCATTTTCTTGGGCCGACAAAAATGGCCATCTTTGCTTTTTCTACGTGTTAGAGAGGTAGAACTTCCGCAGTTCAGGAGCGCAGGCAAAACAAAGGTGATAGATGAAGGAGAAGGAATGCTACAAGAAAAAAAACCTCTATTAATACTCTGGGTATTGCTGCCGCAGAAAGACGTCATCGGTATCACGACCGCACGCTTCGGACTCACAGATCATGGGCGCTACCAGTCCGATCTCGTTGTACCGCAGATCTTTCGGACAGCGCTTGTCCTGCGGGTGAGCAATGGAGGCACCATACCGGCGACGGATATAGGACTGGAAGAACAAGTCCACTTTTTCCTCGCAGTTCCCGTTCTATCAAATGTAAAAATGTCTGGGTCTGGAAGATTGCCGGCTTTGTCATGCACATTTTGCATGACTCCTCAAGGTCAAGTCTGTAATGCATGCCCTAGCATCACAGATTTTTAGAGGGCTTCCTGATGCCTATTCCGCATGACAAATGCTCTTTCCGTACTGCAAAATTTGGACTCTCTTTGCTGCTCATGCAATACAGATTTTTTTAGAATCCAAAATCAGCATGACAAGTTGGATTCTTCCCGACCCAGACATTTTTACATTTGATACGTTCCACACCTGCTTCAGATTTTCCTTGAACTCATCTGGGATAGCATTGGACTCGTACACTCCGTCCACGGAGGCACTCGGTTGGCGGGACGCCCGGTACTTTGCGTCCCAGGTGCCGCTGGGAAGCGCCCAGTGGGCCGAGTCGTTGTAGTAGCTGCTGTTCCCTAGCGTCGCGTGCTCGGCGATCTCCTGCCACTCTGCGTTTGCGGACGGCTGAAAGAAGAAACCCACCCAGAAAACGCGATCCTTCACGCTATGGGGGTTTACCGAATACCCGCTGCCACTATCGTACGTGCCGTGCCAATTATGATAATACAGGAAATGCAGGTGCTTACCTAACAGAAGATTGGTGGATTCAGGTTTCAGGATTATATCATGTCTTTCTTACGTAGCGACGATGAGTCAGTGCTGCGGCTTCATCTCGAGCTCAGTCTATTTCGTTCCACCGTGTGCACTAGGCAGCCTCGAGACGTGTCTAGTATTTGCGCGGCGTACAAACAAGCGTAAGTAAAACTTCGAAATTCAGCACTCACTCATAAGCTGCATACTTACGTTCGTAGGCGTTTCGTTCTGCGTCTCGTCGACGGATTTCTGCCTCCGTGGCGCTGGCGCCAGCGATGTGCACCTTTTTGACCTCTATTAAGTATCGGCGAAACGAGTCCCAAATGCTATTCACCGAGTACGAAGCGGCGTCCATGTAGAGGTCTTTCGTAGAGAGTAACCCGTCGGACCGGAAAAGCGGCACCGCAATCAACATAACAAGAACCACCAAGATGACTCGTCGCGTGGTCATTTCTGACAGCTTTTTTCCCACGCGAGACTCCTCCACTTCATGTTCCTCGTCGTCGACGGCCGCGTCAGAGAACACCTGGCGCTCACCTGCGGAATTAATCATTGCAAAGTTCTTCCGATCTTCCACCAATCCCGCAAAGCTATGCTGGGGAGCTGGCATCTGCAAAACCAAAAGCTAGAAGTTGCATGCTCATTTGAAACAGAATGCCAATACTAGTAGCAGTAATTCCATAAGGAGCTCTACGCACCACAACTACACTGTTTCTCTGCGTGCATCGTTGTGACGTCAGAAGTTTCGGGTAGAAGTTCTTGTGTCAACGAAACTTATCTTACCGGGCGGCAAGAGCATGTTCTGCTGCTCTCTTTCGCGCTTGCGCTTCCTCTCCAGGTGCGCTTTATAGAGTTTGAAGATCCTAACCAACCGAATGACTCGGATAACGCGGACTACGCGGCCCATACGGGTTCCCATCCGGCTCGCACGCCCGACCCGCGCCACGCCGCCCCCTCCTTGCCCACCACCGCCCTCGTCCTCGGGGCTGGTGAAAAGCTCCTCCGCAAGCGTGGTGATGTCCAGCACGAGGGATAACGTCGACACGATGTCGAGATAGAAGAAGAACCCGCCGTAGTAGTCCGCCTTGCCCCAGGTGTAAACCAGGACCTCGAAGCTGAAAATGAGGATGGAGGCGTAGGTCATGCCGTTAAAGATGGGGTCGTGCTGCTTTTCGGTCAAAGCCAAGCGCAGGTCATCGCCGACGAGCGCGTAGAACGTGAGCAACGTCATCACCACCGCGAAGGTGTTGTTGTTGGAAAAAAAGCGGCAGAATCCGATCCAGTTTTTTTTCACGATCGCGAAAAAGCTCACGTGCTCGTCCTCGGAGTCACTTAGCAGACCCTGTTGTCGCATCGACTTCATGCCCAGCCGCCGCACTCCGCCACCGGACGTGGATCTTTTAGTGGCTGATTCATTTTTCTCTTGCGTCGTGGACGCCGGACCTCCGCCGGGGGCGGTACCAGCTGCTCGAGTACCGGACCCATTTTTTGCAGCGTCGGCGTACTGGCTGCCTGCTCGGATAGAAGTCCCTTCCGAGCCAACGGACACCATGCTTCGCGAGGAGAACCGGGCTGACGACGACGCGGTTGCGTCGACGCCTCCTCGGTTGTCCGAGGGCATCACTTTCGCCACGTTCTCCCACGTCCTGCCAATAAAGCTCTCTAGTAAGTCTCAGACCACTTCTCCTGGTCTCTCATGTTTATAATCTCTAGAGTAGAACTACAGAGCTTTTTACGCTATGCCTCGCCATCGGTCATGCTTGGTTGTTGCTGTTGCCGCGGTGAGAACGATAAAAGAAAAATCAATGAATTTACTATATCTTTTCGTAGTTTATTTCGGGTAACTTCATGATCAAGCATCCCTTCATGACGCACAGCTGAGCCCCTGTCGCTGTCCAAGCTCCGCTGCACAACGAAAAAAAACCAAAGGTAATGTAAATACAGGTTTTCATTTTCACTTCGTGTACATACACCCTCCATCGTCATCAAATGTACACAACCGGGAGGTGGAACATCACACCCACTAGCACTACATCGATCAAGAAACACCATACCGCATGAGCCTCACAAGGCAGGTTGTTGGAAATTAGTGCTGCGGCACAGAGTAAAAAAGTCTGCCTGTACCAGTAATTAATGCTTCACCGGTGCAAACTCTTCAATGCTCTAGCCCCTGGCGCAGCTTTTTCAACGACGTCCAGGTGAATGGCATAAAAAATCAATCCCAATCCGGGCTTCCAATTCTATAAAATTCAAGGTTGGACGGGAGATATTCTCCCATGTACTTCATTTACTCACGAAACGTAGAAGTGCCTTCGCGTTCGCGGTCGTGATCCGTCATTAAGATTCACGGTCGCGGAAAAGAAAGCTCTCTAGAGAAACGTCGACTCTCTTCACGAACCACAGGGAGAATACTACAGTTACAATTGAAAGATTATTTTCTTCCCCCGTTCTTGCTCTTACGGGCTTTGTCTCGGTACCAGAAGTTTGGGCAGCGGCGCCGTCACTCCTTCGACAAATGGCTCCACCACTGGGTATGCGTCAGTGGCTTTCAGGACGCCACAGGTGAAGTTCACTAGACACGGCCCAAGGGGCCACCGTGCAACCGCGCTGGCGCCCCACACCGCGAGACCCTCTTCCCGTCCAACTGCAAAATTCTCCTCGGCGCGCAACACGTCCAGCGAAGTTTCGTAACGCCCGGCAAACCGCTGCGACGGCGCTGCACACCGGCTTGCGTCCTGCAGCGGATCTTGTCCCAAGCGCAGAATCCAAAATCGCAACAGATCGGATACCCGAACGAAAGCCCCAACAAATGTAGCAAGCAAGCCTGCTGCTTCCACTGATGATGTTAGCGAAGAGTTCCTGCTGCTTCTGGTGGTGTAGTGGTGCGTGTCGTACCTCTGTTGATTGCTTTTCCCGTCCGAGACCCTTCGGTACAGGTCAACTTCTTCTACTGCTACGGGGCAGCTGAAGGATGTGGCATGTTCAGTCTTAGCAGTTTGTGGAAAGTGCATGCGATTTGCGTACTGCGGATACAAACTTATTAAGTTCGCAGCCCCCTTGACTCCGTGCTGGAATGGGTGGAACCCGCTACACCGAAGCTTCGTTGACGGCATGTCTACTACCCAGCTGTGCCAGCGAGGAAGAACACGAATGCGCCCAAACTCGTTCTGCATGGGGAGGACCTCCACCCCCTGGTCGTGATTCCCATCATCATGGTGCGCGTCCGGAAATAATACAGGGGTCTGCCATTCTCGTGGCGGTCCGAGGAGCTTCTTGCAACACGAGAGAAACCGATAATATTTGTGCCAACTCCTGTATATTTCTTCACTGTCTCCGTAATTATTGCCAACATGTATGCCAAGACCCTGATACTCTTTCCGACACTCCGCAACAGCGGCTTGCGGAAGCAGATGGGCTTCTCTGGCCGTGGTCGGCGTCGCGGTTATGTCAAGGGCTTGCTCACGTTCATCTTCTCGGCTTGAGCGTGACGTCGAGCCGTTTCTACCCGTCCTGTCTCGTTGCACCCTTTGCTCTTCAAGCGTGTCCAGCAGCACCATGTGAATTGCGCTCTGGTCGTAGGAGGGTTTCAGCGGTTCCTCGAAGGAATGACTGGCCCACTCGCGCAAAAACTTCAATGCGAATTCTGTTCTCCGAACGGCGTAATTGCCTGCCATGATTTCACTATTGAAACCTCGCTCGTAAAAAATCAGGTCGGGGGCAATTCCTGGTGAAGATTTCTCTCGTTGTATGTCGCGACGAGCAGCGTTGTTCTGTTGCAGTATCCAGTCGGTCAGTGGTAGGTGCATGTTCGATACTGCGACATCTGAATCAAACACGAACCACCACGCACCATGCTCCCGCTCTTTATCTTTTTTTGTGCCTTGTTCATCCGACGAGGGCGGCGCACTGTCCTGAATAAAGTTTGCCACAGCACAGTGCTTCCTAAAGAAAAAGTTCTTGTGCTTGCTGCACGCGTCCCCGCTTTCGGGCACAACCAAAACCGTTAGCCCATATCCGTGACGTTTCGCATAGCAATCCATCAACTGCAACTGAAGCCGGTTCTTCTGCGAGAAAGCGGCATCTACTACTGGTAACAGGGTGATCTTCGTGCTCTGTGCGTCCTCGGCACCGAGTTCCGAAAAAGCGTTCCACCTCTTGCGCCATTCATTCTCATGTGCATCTTCGTCGGTGTGCAGTGCTGCATCCTGTTGCGTGCCTCTCAACGTCGATGTCCGAAATAGGTGACGCACAAGACGAGTTCTTGGATGATCCGGTTTCCTCGTACTGAAACTGATCCTCACGGTGCAGTAGAGCAATGCGGCAAACCAGCACGACGCCACAGAAACGCACTTCGGTGGGGCAAAGATGCGAAAAAAAGTGAGATGATACAACACGCTCCTTTTCATATTGGCACGCACACCGCACTACTAAAGTAGACCAGGTTCTTCACACTGATTTTTAATTTAGGGAAAAGGTTCGCTCTCTTTTGACAACACACAAAGAACAAGAAAAGATTTTGTCAATTTATAGTCAACATGAAGAGAAAAATGACAGCATCAGTACAGCATGACTGGTGCTGTGCTCCGAACTCTGGCGCTTGTCACTCTACACCACTTGGCTATGTCTTCCTACACAATATCTCCGAACAGATCTCTTCTCGTGCGCGCACGAGCTCCAAGAAATCATTCAAGTCAACTGCCTGATTGATGTGCGATTTCGTTTTTACGTCTTACGTGCAAGCGCCAGAGAGATCCAAGGGCGCGGTCGGCATAAAATTTTATCATGTCGCGGGAGAGACAACCACCAAGGGTAATAAACCTTGTCTACTGGAGTTCATCTAGAGCCCTCTAGTCTGCATCGTTTGTTCCACCTGGGCCAAGATGGTTTGGCGCGCCAGATTCGGGACTAACTTCCTCATCGGCCTCATCCCCGGGACTCCCAGGCGCCTGGGTGCTCACGTTATCCTCGAACTGCTGCTGTTGCTCCTCGTACTGACCTTCTTCAGCATCATCGACGGCCAGTCGCTGGTATTCTGCTTGGCACCACCTTAGGACATGGACAAGTTGAACGCATTACAAAGCAACTTTCACCTAGACAGAACAAACAAAAATGTACAGGTTCGCTCAGGGGAAAATCTCGAGGGAAAGCGAAACTACTGATCAGAAGCTGAGTCAAAGGCGGCAGAAATTATCAAAAACGTCCGCACCTGTCCCACTCTGACAGGCCGTCCCCGGTCGTCTGGTGCATCTGAAAGGGATCTCGGTGTTCCCAATGAATGAATTTTTGCAGACTGATGAAGATGCTGAAGAATGTCGAAGCCGCTTTTCGCTGGCGCAGAAAGTCGCCCAGACTGTAGACGTAATCTGCGCTCGCGGGATTCGCCCGAAAGCCAAACAGCGGCGACTGGAAGGGAGCGGCGATGTGGTGCAGCTGTTCTTGACGTCCTAGTCCTACCTCTCGTCTTTCCTCTTCTTCCTTCATCAAGTGGCGCTTCACCTGGGGCTGCAACATATCATGAACTTGACAGGCAATGTCCGCAAACGCGATTGGCTCGTACTGGAGGTAAGAGAACCGCTGCGCCATCTCCTCGAAGAAGTGAAACAGCTCCCATGGCCGGAGAAACCCATCGCTGTCCAAGTCCATCACGCGAAACCAGTAGCTAATGCTACGCTCGTTCAGCCTGTCCTGGTCACAAAGGAGAAAGAAAATAAAGTCCTCGTAGCACATACGGCCCTCGTGCCCGGAGGTGAATCTGTGGTGAAGTATTTTTTTTTTTTGCGATCAACACCGGTAAAAAAGTGTCTTCATCTTCTTTCGCATCAACGCAAAGCACGACGACGGGGGCAGCCGCACAGCGAGCCAGAGGCACATCAGCGCAGTATTGCTGCAGCAGTAGCTGTTATTGTTAATGAATCATTCATAGGGTAAAAATAAAAAGTAAAAGTGATGGTGCTATGTATAAATATTGATTCCACGACGGACTTTCCACATAAAAATAGCAGCAGGGCGAAGACAGACAGAAACAGTTCGAAACAACACTATTCAGATTGAGTTAGAGTACTTTCTCGGGATTTCGGAGAAAATCCGATCGACGGCCCGTCGCGACAGAGCGTGCGTATCGTACTTGAGCAGGTCGTCTTTGTCAAGCAGGCAATCGTGATCATTGTCGAGCTCCCAGAAGGTGCAGTAGATCACGTAGAAATGCTCGTAGGAGAAGAACTTGCGAATCATCTTCATGTCTTCAATTTGATCGAGCTCGAGCCAGGTGTCTACGATCGATGGGCGCCGGCGCCGCAGGTCATTCAAGCTGATGAGCCCATCGTCTTTCACATTGTGGATAAAGTAGATCCGCGCAATCACCGTGTCTGCGTACTTCTCTTGGAACTCAGGGGTGTTCTGAAGTGTTTTTTGAAGAGAAGAGTTGAAAAGCATTCTGCTTGTGCGCACATCGTAGTGCTCGCCCCATTCACATTCGTCTATACACGATCATGCGCATGCGTAATGATATCTTCGACGTCGCATAAACTATATGGAATCTCTTGGTTGAGTTCCAAAAACAGAGGGCACCATCCAAAAATACCTTCAAGAATTCCAATCCCGGGTGTTCTTGCAGCACGGTGTCGAGCAAAGCCCGGAAGTCGTCTTTGGTGAGTTTTGGGTCCTCTCGTTCGTTCAAAGCGACGCCACCGCGGGCGATGTAGAAAAACGACAAATGGTTGTCGTCTGGGTCGCAGTACAGACTGCAGTAATGCTCGAACGCCTCCAGAGGGACGGCGATTTCGGCTTCCGCGGGCACGTGCTGCTGAGATCCGTAGAAGTTTCGCAGCAGCTGGTCCCACACCCGCTTGGCTAAGTACTTGCTGAGATGTAGGAACTTGTTGAGGAAGGGATGCAGGTCTGCGGGTCTGCGAAACACATGCTGTTGCTTGTTCGGTGTCGCGAAGTGATCTTCGGCAATGCGTTGCAGCTGGAACAGCTGCTCCTCGTTCAGCGCCGTGGGCCGCATTTTGCGCGGCTCGAAGAACCGCGGGAGCTCGACTTTCTGTTCTGCGCTGAGTCCCGCCAGTCCGCCGCTCTGCTGGGTTAGCTGGTAGGCAAGGGTCTTTTCCAGCGGAATTGGCGGGTGCTTGCTTTTATGAACTGTAAAAATGTCTGGGTCTGGAAGAATCCAACTTGTCATGCTGATTTAGGATTCTAAAAAAATCTGCATTGCATGAGCAGCAAAGGGAACGCAATTTTTGCTACGCGGAAAGGGCATTTGTCATGCGGAATAGGCATCGCGAAACCCTCAAAAAATCTGTGATGCTAGGGCATGCATCACAGACATCATGGCCAATGCAAAACATGCATGACAAGTCTCAGAATCTTCCAGACCCAGACATTTTTACATTTGATAGCTTTGCTCCTGTGCGGAAAAGTGAAAGTCATGTTCGGGATCGTACGCTCCTTCAGCGAACTGCTGTTGCCCACCAAAGCCCTCGTCGTCAGCTCCCGGTCCAGCCGCACCCCCTCCCGGCTCGAAGTTGTCTACTCCTGCGCCATGCTGGTGTTGCTGCGTTCGTTGTTCCTCTGGCTGAGAAGACGGCGGACCCGCAGCGTGTTGAGGCGATGTAGCCACCGCTTCTAACTCATGTTCTGATGATGTGCCGTGTTGAAGATGAAGACCAGCTGCCCCTGGGTCCTGTTGCGTAGAAGCATACGAGTGGTCTTGTAGCGAACCCCCCTTGTTCGCAGCTGCGTGTTGATCTAGGACTTGCGCCCCTGCGGAAGAAGTTGTACCGGTCAGAATTGGGTGCTGTATAAGATCACCCCGCTGCTGATTCTGAGGATCTAGCCTTCGGCTCGATGACGAGCTGGGACTCGAACCGGATTCCACGCTTAGCCGTCCGTCTCCGTACTGTAACCTCGGCATCACGTCAACCGCCACGCCGGGCCCGCGCGGGGACGTGGTGTTCGAAGTCGTTGGCGATATAGGCCCGAAGTGCTCGTTATACTTCTCGGGCGATATGAACTTCGGCCGCTGCTTCGCTCGCTGTGGCGAGGTCGGTGGGCTTTGCGGGTCGCGGGCATCCGCGGTGGTTGCACCGGAAGTCGGAGAGCCCCGGACTGGGCCCGTGCTGCCAGAGGACCCGCCGGCCTGGTGCACCTGGGGATGGGGTTTCGATGATTTTCACATATTTCAGTTATTTCGCTGGCAGGAGCATACATTAGACTATCACAAAAATCCTACTACTGCTATTCAAAAAGATTAACGCAGTCGCAGTAAGACAGAAAAAAAGCGGGTACGAACACCTTGTCAGGAAGCAATGGCTTGGACGAGCCATAGCTCTGCGTCGTGGCACCCAAGAGGAGGCTCTCCCTCGCTGTTCGACTCTGCTGGTCGCCAGGAAGTATCCCTGTTTCCGACAGCGTGCCTTGAAGCAACTGCTCGATGAACCGGTGCGTTTCCGGTAATGTGAGCCACTCGAAGAAGAATTCACAGAGCTTGCTCTGCACTAAGTCATTCGTCCGCGAAGGAATGTAAGGCGGCTTACCCGTGATTTTGTTCTTTCGCCGGCCGCCAAAAGCGAGATAGGGCCCTGAAGACGAACTGCTGGGGGATGTCCCCGAGATACCCGGAGTGCCGCGAGGCACCACCATCTGCTCTCTGTTGGATGCTTTAGTGCGCTGTTCCTGTTCCCGGGTTGGTTGATGTTACTCTGCGTAGTCGTCGATTGGGCGAAAGTAAAGAATTTCTACGTAGCGAGGACAGCGACTAGTGCCCACGAAGATGAAGATTGTCATGCAGCTCCAGACGAAACATCATTCTTCACGATGTTGTTGGAAAAATTTGCATCCTGAAGTCATGTACGACAACATCGTTGAGAAGTTTTTTACTTGATTTACATTTACTCGAAGCTGCTGCGGAGACACTGTGCCTACGAAAGACCTAAAACAATGGTTACGTCGCATGTTGCAACATCGAAAAAACACGACGATGAAAATACGGCTTGTATGTATCACCAAAACCAGAAAGAACGAAGAAAAATTGAAGCAACATCGGCAGCAGAAACACAGCCTGAGCCTCTTTGCCAATAATCATTCAAGATCACTGGGAAACAGACCGACACTTCGGCTCATTCGCAACTTATTTTGCGTGTAGCCACCTACTCACTCAAAAAATGCAGTTTTGCATGTAATACCCACAACTTGCAGCCATCATGGCTCTGCGTGTAACCAATACAGTCGTTATTTCTCTCAATACAGTTCGAACACTTACATAACTCAATCACAAATAGCAATGAAACACACCGGCACAATCAATAGTTTCCTGATATGCATCCTCCGTGTGGGTTGCTTTCGAGTTTCGTCCGAAAGTGCAACATGTTGATATACTAGATTCATTAAATTGTCGTTCGTTTTTTCGCAAGTGCAGCGTCCGCCCATAACTCCATCGTGGTAATACCAGGGCAAGGACTTTTTTCAATCAACATTTTTTGTCGTTGTGTGAGTAGGGCTCCGGGAAACTGGTCACTGCTGGATAGTAAAGGGCAGGGGGGATCTATCTTCAAATCATATGTCAAACTTAGTCGCAAGCGTAACTTTCTCCCTGGAAGTGTGCCATTAGCCACTTTTCCCAAGGACTGCGAGAATACTTTCTTCGCTTCAACTGAATTCGACAGCGATAGTTTTCATCGTCTTCTATCACAGAGAGCAGGTGTCGATACTCGGCGAGAAACTCCTCACTGGCGCCTGCATCTTCTCCGGCACAGATCAGCTGTTTCAATTTTTTCCGAAGGGCAGCCTCGGCACTTTCCTCTTGATCTTCGACGAGGCATTCTTCACGGACACGGGCACGATCGTCAATAGTGGTCTCCGATATTTGTGATGAGCTAGCCTTAGCCACCTCCAGGACGACAAATTCCAGTGCGAGAGCCATCAATTCCAGGTCAAGCAGCTTCAGGCTGCACAGCACGTCTAGCCCCAATATCCTGTACTTCTCCCTCAGGCTGTGCACGGTCTCCCGCAATTCGCGGAGCAGGCTGCTTTTCACATCTCCCTCGATATTCGTCCGGTCAATTATCAAAGAAGATCCTGGTAGCGTGCTGCACGAGATGCTTTTGCTGATGTCGTTTTGCTCTACCATAGAAGAACAGGCCTCGTCACAACTATCCGTGCGTCGTCGCTTTCTTGAAGATGCGTCTATGATATTATTGTCGGGCGCATCATGGTCGCAAGCAGAAGCAGTCGCGGCTTGCGGTTGCGAGAGGAGGTCGAAAAGCAACTCGCGAACTCTGCTTTCCGTTTCACCTAACCTCGCCCGAACCCCATCACTTGCAGCTGTTATTTCCGATGCAGCACCACAAGCGGGGCAATCACACCAGAAGCCGTTCTCTGCAAAAAGCATCTCTCGTCGCTGTTTGCGACTGAGAAAGTGGAAATCCGAGCTTAGGTTTGCCGCGTAGTGGTGCACGATTTCGTCACCCGGGTTGATGTCACGCAGGGCTATCATCTCTAGTTGAGTGTGGCTTTCTTGATCTTCTGTTGTGGCAACGTCACTCCTGCTTCCCATCTCACCACGATCAGCCTCGTTAATTCTGTCGTACCGTATCCGATAGGCACAATTCGGAACACAGCTGTGGTTCGTGCGGGAATAAAACGCGAACAGTCCGGCCCGGTGGCAGTTGCTGTTCATGTCCATTGAATTTGTCAGTCGTGCCGAATTCGTTGTGAAGATATCTGCTCGCCGTTTCTGCCGTAAATCCGTTCTCAAGTCGCTGGAGCTGCCGCTGCTAGCTTCTGCTGGACGTGGTGCTACCATGTTCGTCGAAATACCGGAGTCAGTATCATTTCCGAAGAGGCAATCGAGCTGTTCCTGTGTCTTTGCGGGCAAACTGTTCCACTTCTCGTCTAGAATTTGCAACTCCGATCGTCTGCGTCGCTGCAACTTCACTTCATCTTCACCTCGGTCTACTTCCTGCTCCGTGTTTTCGGCTGCTGATGACGACGGACCATCCCAAATTTCGACGACGATAGCGGGCCTTTCAGCGAAGACTACACCGCGCGCTGGAATCGCAGCTGTTGCAAAAACACCGTGTCGGTGATACGCACTCCCCTGTCGAATTGCGACGAGGGACAATCCAGGATCGTGCTTTTCATCCTTTTGCGGGAGTACAACTTCTTCTTCTTCTTGTTCATCTGGGGGTGGCGGTAGGGAGGACGTGCTGGCTGGGATTACTACGCGCGGGTTTGGTGACAGCGACATCTTTGCACGTCTTTTCCCTTCCTACTGGTACAATCAAAATTGGTTTGGACTCCTCGCTTTCGCAGCCCAGCAGGCTGCAAACAAAACCGCGCTTTCGTTTCCAGACGTATTTCTAGCAGAACGAAGATGAAGACCCTGTATATTACGATAATGCAATTCGTTAATCTTTGGAAATGCGGCGGAGTCGATGCTGCGATTTGACTGTTTCTAGGTGAGTATCAAATCAAGTGTCATTTGACCATGTTGTCCGCATGATCTGATCAGAAACATATGGACCCGAGAAAACATCAACCAGATTTTTGTTCGCGTATCGATTTCGGAGAACGGTGAGATCGTTCTGGCATTTTGTACTCATTTTTTTCCAAGACCACGTCTACATTGCTCCAAGGCATCAACAACTGAGGAGCAATAGCATAGGCAAAAAAAATTCGAGTCCTGCGACGATCACATTTATTCGGTTTCCAAGAATATTCGAACGGAACTTGCAAAAATACTACGTACAACAGAAGCACACCATATGGTTTTTCAGAATGATCTTCCAGGTACCTCACTCCTGCTGCAGAAGTGTGTGAAGCTTCCTAACTTCAAGAGTCCCGGCCCGAAGCGCGATCGATGACGCGGCTTCAGTTTCTTCTGCTCTTCTATGCAACAGCGAGCATCGCTCGACGGTTTCCGGATCATCCCTGCCCGGACGCGACAGATCCACAACGAACCACGTTGAGGGGATACCGAGTTTTTTGCACGCTTGAAACTCTTCGGCAACAACCGATCCCCCGCCTTGACAAAGGACTACTAGCTCGTATCCGTTGCTGAACTCCTCACGCAGCGAGGTGACACCGAGGGCCGAGTACTTGTCAAGGTAAGAAAGTGGAGAAGCAGACCCTTCTCCACCCAATCCTGCGCTGGTCAGATCTATGCCGGTCACATCAAAGTCGGCCACGCAGCAATGGCTCCTCTCGCGGGCGGGATCTTCATTCGTGTCCAGCTTATTAAGCGCTCCGCCTGTCGCAATTTTATCGCGCGTTGTCGCGACGTGCGGGAAGAATATTTCTGCAAACTTTTCTGCTGCAGTGGCCGTGAAGTCATCCTCGTGCGCGTCCGCCTCGCGTGAAGTTCTCGCTTTCTTAGCACGAAACTTCAGATGTCGTGCCTGGACAAACCTACTGGACGTAGTTTCGTCGCTTGAAGACGTCGCTGCACGGGAGCCGGCGGCTGCACCTGTGTCCGGGTCGTGATCGGGTAGATCATTCTTCCCGGACGAGCTGACCAAGAGTTCGAAAAATTTTGGAAACCCGGCCGTGAAGCTGCTACCCTTCAGCGGGTCTCCGTCCCACATCACTTTTCCGATTTTCTTACCTGGAACGACAATTTTCTTGGCTAAGTGAAAGAGCTCATCGCCAGAAAGCGGCGCCGTCATCCGACTCCCGAACCCCTTGAGCACGAGGCAAACCTCGTTTTTTTCCTCTACGACCCGTTGTGCTGCGCACTCATGCGCTCCAGACAGCTCTAGATTCCGTTTCCCGTCCGGATTAGGAACAGGACCTGCTTGTGATGAAGCCATCGGGATGTTGATAGCCGACGAGGCCGTGAGGCCTGGTGGGCAAGACGCAGCACGGCCGCGGGAAGCGGAAGAAGTAGTTGTGTTATTATGTTCCGCTACCCGTCGACGCTTTGCTGCGGGTTCTTGGAGTGGGGTGCGTATCTTCAGGCATGCTGTATTTTCCAAATGGACAAGGACGACAAGAAATGAAACAAAACTGAACATGTCAAAGGCAAAACTTTCGAAGCAAATAATCGTCTAAAGTGAGGTCTTCTGGAAATCGAAATCAACTTCAGAAACGACCATACATTAACCTGCAACAAGGCTAGTAGTTGTAGTGCGATGCAACGAAGACAAAGATCGTCGTCTTGTTCCTGGTGTGCGAATACAAAGCTCTGATCCGAAGAATCTCAAGGTGTAGAAATCAACATGATCGACTCCATCTTGTTCATCTGATCAGGGACTACCTTCGATCGTCCATCCTGTGATCGTATTATGTACCAAGCAGGGGAAGAACAGACAAGGTCCAGCCTCCCGATGTATCACTGAGTTTCCACGTGTCTCTTCAATGACTTTGAAAGCTCAATTCGCAGTAAACTAAAAGCTTTTTTGCGGTTTGCCTCCTGCGCAAGATCGATGAAGATCAGAAATTCTTTTGCTTTTGCCTCTTCGTTTCTATGATATTCGTCTAGATCTCATCGTCGTGGAGTAGCATATTCGGGATTCCTTTCTCCACAGGGAATTCGCGACCAGATTCTGGACAAACCAAGCTCCCGTCGATTAAAAGGACATCGAGCATATGGATTGCAAAAATGTCTGGGTCTGGAAAATTCTGAGACTTGTCATGCACGTTTTGCATGAGCCATGAGGTCTGGAATGCGAGACCTACTTAGCATGACAGATTCTGTGAGATCCGTATCATGCCTATCCTGCATGAGAAACTTCCTCTCAACTTGGTAAAAAGTGGACAGCTTTTGGCATTCATGCAACACAGATTTTTGCACGATCCGGAATTAGCATCACAAGTTGCAACTTTCCAGACCCAGACATTTTTACATTTGATAGAGCAGGATCGTGTGCAATTTTTCCAGCAATGCTTCATCGTCCTCCCAGTTGTCTGGAAGCTCTGCTTATGAAATGTAAAAATGTCTGGGTCTGGAAACTTGTAATGCTATGTTGGGAATAGTGAGTGCTCTGTAATGCACAGCCAAGCATGAGAAATATCTGCGCTATTTTGTGTTGCTTTGTTCGCATGAGAAACTGCGTTTTTGCATGACAGGCAAGACAGAGGGTCTCTTCTTGGACACGCATCACAAAGTTTTTTGTCATGCCAGGCAAGCATGACAAATCTCGCAATCTTCCAGACCCAGACATTTTTGCAATCCATACTGCTGGAAGCACGGGAAGCTCTGGCACAGGCTCGCTCTCGTTGTTGTCCGACATGTTCTCTGGACCACCATCTTCTCGTACAATGCTGCAATGCCGGATGTCCCTGTCAAGTTTTGTTCAGAAATAATTTTTTGTTACATCATTTCCATCTCACAAAAGCGATACATAGGAGGTCCTTTTCTTCAATCGAGAATCACGCCTGAACGAATGAAAGTGAAACTTGATGTGATATTAAATGCAAACCGAAAAGACAAAACCGGTAAAAATATACTCTATCGCTTTCAGCAGTGCCGGGTATTCGACTTTTCGGACCATGGCAGCGATAAAAACTGCGTTGAACTCCGTTTCCTCGTATACAATCTTACTGGCTTTTATTCTGAGAGGGAACCCGTTCTGGACGCCTTTTTTGTTGCACTGCAGCATGTTATGAGTCAGGAGCCTCATTTTGACCAATCAATGTTCTTGTAAATGAATAGCTTTGAGTTTGAGTTTGAGGTTCGATAATGTCGCAGAAAAAAATAAGCCGATTCAAAGCTTAGTTCGTTAGACTACGCGTTCTTTTACTTTTGTAAAGCACCAAACTTGTTCCACATTGATTTCGCTGTCACGGGTTGGGATCTGTCACGTCAGAATGAAAATGATGCTTTAGCATTTAACGAATAATCCCCACGATCGGAACGCCTAGCGTAGAAACTCTCGTCGATCGCAAGGGGAAGAAGAAGATCTTCAACATCACAATAAGATATATTCTAGGCGGTGCAGCCCGTCATTTCAGACTTTGTGTTGGATCTTACCTGTTTCACTTTGGATCGATTCGTGTGTCTTTTCACAGATTGAAACCGATAAAAGTCTTGACCTACAGGTATTTTGACTTGATCTGTCTGTTTGTTTTGTGTTGTTCTTCTCATGGAACCGTCAGCTGCAGCAGTATCTTCTGCGACAGCAGAACGTGATCTTATTTGTCTGGTCTCGCTTTGTAGTGATGAACAATTCCACGTAGGTCAGCACCTCGGTAAGCAAGCGAGAATGAGGATCTTTCTATCGTTCGACTTGGACTAAAATTGAAATTCGAAAAAGCGTACATGAGGCGTTTGTCGTCATGGATGCCGCTCCGGGCGCGATTTAGTACACCTTATGTCTGGTCCTCAGATAATTCGGCGCCCGCGCATACCGTTTTGCCCCTCATGAAGCGCAAAATGCGTGGGAGTGCGTCTTTCGCGTTCATCCGCAGCGGTGTGTGACCCTCTGGTACACTCCAGTGATCCACATTTACGCGGATCAGGTTGGCTCGCCCGCTAGCGCCGCCGCAAATCTCCATTGCTCGAAGGGTCTGCGCGCGGGCCCGGCTGGTGTATTGCTTTTCCTGGTCGTCGTCGTACTTCGCTGCCTCAAGTTCCAAAATTGCCACAGTCCCACGCCGCTGGTGGGTAAGGTGTTGCGCTAGTATCAAATGTAAAAATGTCTAGGTCTGGAAGATTAAAACTTGTCATGCTAAATCCGAATATATGTAAAAACCTGTGTTGCATGAGTGCCAAAAGCTGCCCAATTTCGACCAGGTTGGGAGGTAGTCTCTCATGCGGGATAGGCATGGCAGAGACCTCACAGACTCTGTCATGCTCGGCGGCGCATTCCAGACCTCGTGGGTCATGGAAAATCTGCAAGACAAATCTCGCAATCTTCCAGACCCAGACATTTTTACATGTCATAGCTAGGTGAAGAAAGCGATAGTAGTTTTCCTCCGCCTCCTCGTATTCTTCAGACCGAAAGAATTTCGTTTGTTTTTTACATCCATCTTTCGTGGACGAGCGGGTTCTGACGTCAACATTCGGACCTACGTTGGTTCCTGACGTCTGGCACCCAGGACAAACCGGCAACACGCACCGCCAATCCGGGTCGTAAACCACCTTCGGCGCGTCATCTCCAACCGCAGCCGCACGACTTCTAGTTTCCTGCATGGCACTGGGTTTCGGGTATTTCAGAGGAGACAGGTCGGCGAAGTTTTTGCTTTCGTTCCATGTTGGGAGATTATCGGTAAATCTGTTCTTGGAGGGACTTGCGTCAAACGAGTTCTTTGTACTCGCCGTTGTTTTCTTAGCAAGATGAACGTCTTTGTAATGTTGTGTGTTTCTCTTTCCCTCTTCTAGTTCCGCGGCCAGCAACGCGCAGCCGGTGCTGACTGCCTGCATGGCCTTGGTTGCTCTTGTAGTTTTCGACAAAATTCCGCGTTCCCAGTCAATATGTGCTTCTAGAGCTCGCCACGTCGGCTCTGCTGGCCACACGTGGCCACAGTTCGAGCATTGTAAACGTGCCACGTCACCGCGCGCAGCGTGAATAATCTGCTCGGCTGGCTGGTGCACGAACCCGCCGGCAGGAGAGGCAACAGGAGGCGTCTCATTCGGATTCGTCAGCAAGTCGGTACAATTTTCCACCACGCCTTGTCGAAAGTACCACTGCTCGCAAGGGTCATTGTGCCAGATGAAGAAGCGCTTTTTCTGCAGTATCTGTCCCAGAACGCGATGCAAGTACGTTCGCCCGCATGCACTTGTAGATATTGCAGCTCCTGGCGCGCCGCGACCTTGTTGTGTGTTTGCTTTCGCAGCGTGCGAGCCGATCTCGCTGGCAAGGTTCCGCAGAACTTTCGATGCAGCCGGAACGTCCGGATAAAACACTTCACCCGAGGCGGATCCCGTTCTTCGTGTCTCCTCCATAGTACTACAGTCGACTCCGCCGTAGTAGAAGCCGGAGTGCAATTGCTGCAGACTAGGTAAATTGGCCACTGCCGACGCCGCTGCCGCTACACTGCCGGTCGGGGAGACATTGTCTGAGCGCCGCTGATACCGCTGGTCCTCGCCATCTTGCCGCATCCAAACGGTGTGCCGAGCGAGAAACGGAAACAAATACAGTGGGCTGTGTCGCAGCTCTTCAGATGAAAATGCCTCCGCCACGCTGCTGATGCCTGCCCAGTCGCGCGCCAGTCCCGGGTACCGGTCCTCAAAACCATCATCGTCGCTCGCCAGTGACTTTCCGACGATGACGAGGACGCAGCTGGCAGTGGCAATCAAATCAGCTGCACGATCGAGTAGGGCGTCCATATTAGTCAGAAACGAAAGTGAATCTGAATCTTCAACATCTTCCCGGTGGAAACCGAATTTTCATACACTCAGTGTAGTGAGTGTGACTAGTACAACTCGCGGCTTGTTTTAATGTAGTCACGATCATGTAGTTTATCTTTGTGTTTGTTCTACATGCGCAAAGTGAATAAAGAACGAGGACCCGTGGATACGAAAGCGCGATTATCGTGGCGATGGCGATGCTGGAAGGAATAAAAATTGATGCACGACCATCTAGATTGACATCATCAATGGCAAACACCGACCTGGACACATCGATGGAAAACACCGACCTGGTCACTGACCCTAGTAAGTACTACTTACTTCCTCCTGCGACCACAAGAGATGAGACGACAGAAGCGAAGACTAGAACTAGTCCCCGCGACGACAACGACGACGGACGATCTTCGACTTCCTACTGCGCCCCGTCATACGAAGTATTCTACTTTTCTTTACGACCACAAGACAACTTTTGCTGCAGAAAACACAAACACAACATTGAATAGCCTCAATGAGCGGCATCAAACTCATGCGTTTGATTTGAGTAACCGACTGTGTGTACTGCTACTGCCTCACCAAGATTAAGTTACCTTTGATTTTGTCATCGTCCAATGGGGAGCTTTCTACATTTCATGGATGTTGTGTTTTTGCTTAGCTGGACACGAAGATGCTGATTGAAATTGAATGCTTTCTATCCCTATGAATGACATGAAGATGTGGGATTGCGACATGTAAAAACAACTACTTACTGTACACGTGAAATTATATGGCAATGCTGCAGTATGAAGGTTCTTTGAGATGCATGATGTGTTTCACGCACCTGTTTGAGTCATATCACTACCGCCACCCGCTGCACTGTGGAGAAAATTGAAATTTTTACTGCAAACGGGGAGTGAAGATTACTATGCGGCAACGACAACTCCGAAAGCGAGTGAAAAGAGCAACAAAAAATAGCTTTGCCACCGGTCCCAAGCAGCCGAGGCTGCGCTAGTCGTGGCGGACATGGAAGACGATGCTGAAGACGCTCTTGCTGCCGCGCCGGCAGTAGTGGACGCGGCCGCACTGCCAGTACCGGTTGCACTGCCGCCAGATGAAGAAGGACTACTAGCACCTGCTGCACCGCTACTGCTGCTAGAAGTGCCTGACGAGCCCGTCCCGGTGGTACCTCCGCTTGTAGATGAAGTGCCTCCACCCGAAGAACTGCTTCCTGCGGTTGTACTTGTGGCGCTGCTAGAAGTGGACGTCGTCGTAGCTCCACAGTTGGCGCAACCGGCGGCAACTAGACTGTCGTAGCCGCCTGCGTTGTAGACATTTGTGTACCCCCATCCCTCGAGCTTGGTTTTGGCTACGCCCGCTCGCCCGCCGGAGCGGCAGTACACGACTACGCGACGGGTCTTATCTGCCCCGATCAGGTTCGCCGCCATCGCGCTCGTCAAGCTTGGGTTCGGAGCCAACTGGGCGCATCCCAAGTGCCCGGCGTCCCATTCACTCTGGTTTCGCACATCAAGAACTGCGGCTCCCGCCTCCGAAACCGCAGCGCAACCTGCAGCCGAGCTGCCCACACTCAGAGGTGCGGCGAGCAGGAGCGCTGGCACGAGCGACTTGTAGTTTGCGAAAATTCGCCACGTGTTCTTGAACATGCTGCCTGCGGAATTCTATCAGAGCAACAACCGAGCCTAATGCACCAAATTTATCGCAGTAAGAAATGACAATGGGAAGCGCGCTCCATCTACAACATTCTGGACCTGCAGGGGAGAGAAACTGATGCTGCATAATCTACTTATCAAATACTTTTTATTGATTCACGTGTCAAATGCACTCTCCTCTCTAGTACTTCGCGATCTCGTACGTCAAACACTCAAGTGTTGCTTCTTCAGTGAAAGGGTGAAACACTCGACGGACAGGCGTCCATCTCAATACTACCGATGCGTGCTCTCATATCAGTACACATACGACAGAACACTTTGAGACTCTTTTTATCCTTGAGAGGCCAGTGGCTTGAAACATTTTCCTCCTTCTGCTCCTCATCTCTGCTTTTTGTGCGTTAGCTCCAACTGGTTTTCTTTCGTACTGTAGTTTTGCTTTTGCTTTATCAGTGGTCTGCTTTGTTACATAACTTGTTGCGTTCTGCTTTCGTCATGACGATCACGTACTGCTGATCAACGTAATATTAACTCCAGTCTGTCGAGAGTGCCGGTTATAGTCTAAATGGAAACTTTTTGCTGATGAAGGGTCACGCTCACGGTCTGTCTCTGTTTAATGTTAGCATTCAATAAAACAGTGTTATTTACAGTGCAACGTACATATCAATCCGGAATTTTCGAGTGTCTACGCGAAGAGCTCCTTAACACGGGCTTTGAACGTCGCGAGATCCACCCGGTCCTCGGCGAAGGTCATTTTCTCTGCCATCTCGTGCTGTGCTTGCGTGTTTACCTGTAGTTCAGATTCTGCGATTGATCAAAAGTGCTTCGCCAAATTTCAAATTTTCTACTGAAAACACATATAGAGTGTGTTTCGTGGGAGAAAAGAAAAAAAAAGGAATACGATGCTGCAGAGTGCTTGTCTGCACTGCGAGGCGGTGATTGTTCCGACCTGCATCAAGTCCGCCATTCGAAAAACTGCTTCGATCTCCGCGTCTTCGAATAACATTGAGGTCGCAGGCGCGCTTTGTCGCTTTTTCAGCTCCTCCACCAGAAATCCCTTTACCTAAGTCAGTGGTTTTAGACTTCCACACTCGAGGTGAACCAATTTTACGCATGAAAACTGCATGATGTCAAACAACAACAATGCACACTAGTAGTCGTGCCCGTGACCGCATAGGTATAAAAAAGTGCAAGACGTTGACGATCTCACCATCTCAATTCAACAACGCGTCATCAAATACGTTTTCTGGCTTCTTGTAGCATAGCGCGGCGCAGAGGTCGTTGAACAGCTCATTTATTCTGTGCTTCTTCAGGTACCTAAAAAATTCAGTTTGAGTTTTTTACTTTTCTTTGCATCCTCAAGAAAAAAACGCATAGTGGTGCCAGGCGTAATGTATTGAATGATACAGATACTCGCAACTCGTTACATAATCGTAACCCAGTAGACAGAGTCACGAAGTTTCAATTATGATCAGTTGTAGATCAAATATTCTCGAAAAAACAGAATCAAGATCAACCAAATTAGTACTGTTCTGCTTCCTGCACGGACTCGAGCTGGTACTGCGCTCGATGGTCCGCCATTTTGAATGCCCTTTTCAATTCTGAAAAAAAAGATACTACTTTCGGTGTGCTTGCTGTGTCAACATTACTCGATTTCGAGAAGCAGTAACTCTTCGACCATCTCCCCTTGCTCCCCCCAAATGATTTTCCTTAGCCGGCTCCCGAGCAAAGACCGGTTAGGGCAGAGATTCTTGTGGTTTTGCACGAGACGTAATCTTCTGTCGAATATCGTACAGTGTTACCACGATGATATAATCTCTCAACGATAATTAGAAACTTTCGTCCTCTTTCAGCGAAGCCGAAGACTTTTTTCATGCTTCTACGCCTGCGCGGTTCGCACGACAAAGTTCTTGCTTGCGTGGAACACGTTCACGGTTCAGACTATAATATTCACGCTGTATCCACAACGAAAATCAAGATACGACCAAGCCCCCGTACTTCTACTTGATATAATCCAATGACTTGGATAATCTCCCTCGTACTTGACGTTCTTCATCAGGTCATATGAATACGTCACAACTCGAAAACTCATTTTGCTGCTTCCTTGCATCACAGAACAGTGACAGTTATTTACAAATTTTCTAGTGAATTCCAAATTTTTCTTGTCTGAGCATTGGTCATTTTCTATTTGCCTGTTCTATTTTTCTAAGGAGATCGCGCTCATTCACGAACACAGTCCTGGTCCTCGTGTTTGTGTTATTACCCCCTTCGAAGGCGGCTCGCGCTGACGGGTCAACCACGTATGTCGTGACCCCCTGCACACCGGGTTCTCGTCCGACGACTGTACGTCTATTCGAAATCCACGACTGGGTGCTCATTTTATCTACGTGTAACCATTCCCCACAGTTCGGAACCGGCTCTTCGCCGTCGCTTGGTCCATTGACCTAGCCCGCCTGCCCCGTCGCTTGGTCCATTGACCTAGTTCTAGCGAGTGGTGGGCAGACGATTCGGTATGTAGTAAGGAACACCTGTAATCCTGCAGGCTCTGTGGCCCGTGCGAACTCCCTTCTTCCGTGCGGGGGTTCGAGGTAGTAATTTCTGTCTGGCATGGACTTTCATATCTGTTGCAGTGCCCCGGCCGCCTATGACAGGGCGGGGCTGGAGGCTCGTGTCTGCCTGACATTGGCAAAATTGCGTGCGGTTTTTGGGTCTCACTCTTGCAGCGGAGAGGGAGACGACCGATTCCAAAATTAATGTGGAGCTATCAGTATCAGCATTGTGTGAAACTTTTGCTCATGCAGCCTGAGCATCCCTCTTCGGGCGTGGCGGGCTGGTCGGGAGCCAGATTTTTCATTTTTACGATTAGGATTACGAATTTTAATTATGAAAATTTACGAAGCCTGTACTATCAAATAAAAAAAGGCATACGCGACGACCCTAAGAAATGTGTACAAATTCAAAAAAGAGTGCATATTCATCGACGAAATTTTTTTCAGATTTTCAATACAGAGGTGGTTTTGCTGCTCATGCTCTCTTCGTCTTCCATTACAGTTATTGAGAAAATTTTTTTCAGTAATACATTTACAGATTTTTCTTGTCGAAGCATCGGTCATTTTTTAGTTGCCTGTTCTATTTTTCTAAAAAGATTGCGCTCGTTGACGAACACAGTCCTGGTCCTCGTGACCCCCCTGCTCATGCGGGCTAAATAGGTCCGTGCCTGATGACCCTGACCCCCTGCTCAGCGGGTTTTCCGGACGACAGTCTCGGTTTTCTCCTTCAAGCGAATGTCCGGCATGAACAGCAGCATGAGGATGCAAATCACTAGCTGCCAGCCTAGGGATATACCGGGAGTCAGAGCGGGGACGGCGAGAAAGGCGAACCAAAAGGGAAGGGTGGCCACCGCCAAAAGGAACGCAAGCAGGAGGACGGTGCCAGCCATCCAGAACATGCCCAAGAAAAAGGCAAGGCAGATTTCGAAAGGGGTGGCGGCGCGAACCTCGCCTCCTCGAACAATTTGAATTTGAAGGCTGCCTGTGTCATTTTTACCAGCAGACCACAATACAGATGGGCCAGTGGCGCCACTCTTCTCCTCGCCGAGTAGCGTGACAAAGGAGCTGCTGCTGCTCGTGCTCCTGGCCGCGGCGGCATAAAGATCGTGATGGTGATCGATGTCGTCCCCGCCGTGGACGTGGTCGTGCGCTGGCATGTCCCGCAGCATTTCGTACAACGAAAATTTCGCTCCTGATCCTGCTCTCCCCTGTTGTACTTCCGTCAGCATTGCCTTTTGCAAAAACTGCAAGAAAGGCTTCCACAAGGCGTCGACAAAGACCCGGGCCATCACAACTTTCGGAGGCTGCTCGCGGCGAGCAGTAGTAGATAAACTCAAACGACCCACTTTGACGTCCTTGAAGTACATCTTCGCGAGCGGAGCCTTCTGCAGCGCTTTTTGCACCAGGTTCTGCTTCTTTTCCTCCAGGCTCGACATGATGTTTTTCTTCGTCAGGTGTTTATTTGCGACGTCCAGGCTCAAGAACCTGCTCATCTTCAGATGACCAACATTCTCATCATTTTCAACATTTTCATCGTTCTTATCGCTTGTGGTATGCTGGTGATGTGATGAACGAGGAGCAGAACAGCAGGCCCGCCTCCACGAGGGCAGCTCCTCCATCTCCCGACTTGTGTTGCTCTCCTCGAACGAGCCGCTGCTGCAGTCAACAAGGCTGCAGAGCTCTTTCTCCTCTTCCGGCCCGAGCTCGGCGGGAAAGAAAACGGCGCCACCGTCTTGAAACATGGACACTTCAAAGCTTTCCACGTCTTCCAGCGACAAGACACCAGGTGCTGCAGCAGTCGTGGTCATGCCACTCCCACTTTTTCCCTCGTCCCACGTGTTCTTCATCTCCGTCGAAGTTTCAGTGCTCGTTGTACTCCCTCCGATTGAACCTGTTCGACCTTTTTGTTTTTTGCAAAACGAATCTTTCGCCAGCGCTGCCACCTTCTGGGCAATTTCTTCCATGCTCGCTTCACTCCGACTCTCTGCGGCCTCCTTCGCCTTCCGGGCCCGGTGCACGTTGTAGCGCGCCCGGAAGCGAAAGAACCGCGGGAGGTAACCAGAAGTGCTGTCCAGAGCCGAAGTGTGCCGTTCGTAGTCTCGGGTCGTTCTCTCCACGTCGTCCTGCTTTTCGGCAAGCAGTGCTTCCTTGGTGCTGTCGTGCACACCGTCATAGATCAACCGCGGAATGTCTTCGCTGAACTCCGTATCCGGACGGAAAAAAAACTCCGGACTTCCACTGGCAGCACCGGACGTCAAGTAGAGCCAGTACGGCGCGCTTCCGTTCATACCTGCTTCGAAGCCGCGGCCCGAATTGGAAACACGACCAGCCGCTTTCTTGGCTTTGACTTTCACATTCACGCGCACGCGCGGCAGGAGCTCGTCCTGCAGAGTGAGAGGACCATGATGGTGCTCGTCCTTCGAAGAAACAGCCGCGACTTCAAGAACCGGAAAAAACTGAACGTACTTCCGCAACAGGGACTCCCGCTTAGCACGCGCAGCTTCAGTGTAAAACAACAAATCTCCCCCAGGAGTGTCGGTCTTGCCCGGGTTCCCTTCGTCTGCCGGGGAGGTGCTCGAGGAAGGGGTCGCCGCTGCTGCTCCACCACCATCATCTGTAGTCAAATGATTCGTCAAAACCGTAAACTTCCCACTGCCACCAACTTCTTCCAAACTGCCGGGCGTCACGCGGTACAGCTTCAGCGTGTCTGTGTCGGTTTTTTCCCGCCCCTGCAATTCCAATTCCTGCTGCACCACAGATGAAGGGGTCTCTCCTGCTTCCGTCGCGTGGTCCTGACCTCGATGCTGGCCGGAAGTTGTTGTGCTGAACCCCATTGCCGCGAGCTCCTCGTTTGAGGGGGGAGATACGCCATCCGGCCGCGGCCAATGCACCAAGACCAGGGTGCCTGGCGGAAAGAACCACGGGTTGGCCTGTTGAGTTTGATGACGTTGACGGTCGTCAAATTCTGGTTTCATGCTTCCGTCCTTCCTGATCACGCACTGCAGCTGGTCCAGCGACACCTCCGACGCCGCCCGCGGCGGCCGCACCACCGATCGTCGAAAGACCGCTGACGCGTGCGCCCAGATGTTGCGGCCCTCGTCGGAAGAAGTATTGTTGTATTCGCCTGCAGAAATCTGTGTCTGCACAGGATCATCTTCAGAAAGCAGCGAAGATGTTCCCGACGTCGGGCCGCCGGTCGTGGTCGTGTTCGTGGCAGCGGCCATCACTTTCGCCAATGGTGCGTGGTACTTAGAAAGCCAGGAGAGCCAGGCTTTGGACATAAACCGCGACAAGGGAGAAGACGACGTCGACTTGCCTTCGTCCGTGTTGTAGTCGGAGGAGAGCTCGGTCGTGCCGGCCTCGCTCGCCTTCGTCTCCACAACGACCCGAGCTTCCACCTGGACATGATTCCAGGTGTTGATCCCGAACAGGAGGGGCATCACCATCAGGATCTTCATGATCGACGGAAAATAAATCGGGTTCGGGGCCGCCCATGACGCGGCTACAGTAGCGCGTACCATGTTGATCCCGAAGATGGTTTTGTTTCACGCAGATCGGTTTTTGGAAAGCGTGACCCACAAGGTGAACCCTGCGGGGTTTCCCGTACTTGCGCTAGTTCCCGAGCAAGAGAAGGTGGAAGCAGTAGACGAGGACTGCCTAGTTGCAGAGGTTCTTGAAGACCCTCCTGACCGAAGAACGGTGTCGGTGTCCTCGACTTTTTCGATCGTCCAGCTTGTTCTACCAGATTATGTCAGTGTGGTGAGCAACAATTTAACTTTCATGCGGTTACGATCCTCAAATGCAACGCGCTTTATCAATTATGGACTCCAGTATTGGGCGTGTATTTTTGGCTCCACAAGAAAGCCTGACGCTGTTCCATTCAAAAGCGAAAGAACACGTCTGTCTTCTTCTTGTCATCGTCGGGCGTGTGTTCTCATCATGCAAGTAGTTTTTAGAAGTACAAAGCTGCTACGCTACTGCGAGAAATGCGCGATGGTCCGAATAGTTTAGTTCTGTACGAATACCGATGCTGTGGCAAGGGGTTTGCATTCAAACAGAAATCGGGCGCACGTCCATACCGATGAAGACGTTTTGCATTCAAACAGAAATCGGGCGTACGTCAATACCGATGACAGAGCAGCACGTCTAATCATGATGACGGAGGAGCGTACATCAATACCAATGACAGAGAAATCGGGTGTACGTCTAACCATTCCCCGCAGTTCGGAACCGCTACGCCAATTGCAAGCCTTTCAGGTGGCACTGCTCCATTCTGTATGCGTTTTCTGCGTTTCTGTCTCTCTTGCGTTGATGAAAGCGCTCTTGTTTCTGCGTTGCGATAGTTGCGTTAACAATGTCCGAGCCGGAGGTTATTATTTGGGCTACTTGCGTATTCGAGAATGAGTTCTTCCGCGTGGTTCATTTAGCTCATCGAAATCGGATGGATGCGGAGAGCTAGATTCAAAGACGAAATCGGGCAAGGTGGAGGCTAGTCTACAAGGTTTTTGAATTTTGTGCCAGAGAGATGGGTAGTACCAGTAAGTACTTCTTGCTTCCGATCACAAACGGCGCTAGTAGAGGAAGTATTGCAAGGGATGTGGAGGCAATGCGGGTACTAGAAGTTGCGGTCAGCGGTGTTTTTTTCCAGTTGATTTTTGACTACACCATTATAGCTGTCGTAGCTCGGTTCGCCGTTTAACCCTCACCACCACCAGCTGCTCCGCCGACTTCCTCCCCGAAGTCCCACGGCGTGCCGGTGCAATTCTGCATGGTTACCAGGGTATACCTGGTTATTTTTTTTCCAAGCGTTAACAAGGTTCACTGAGTGATAGACAAAACGGCTCCTCTGAAGTACTTCCAGGAATTATGAGGAATGCGGGGGAAGTAGAAAGCTTAAGCTATGAAAAAAAAAGTATGGCACTCGTTCGTGGCAATTGCGACCAGCTCCACACCGTCTGATGTTCTGAGCCGTACATTCTGTAGCTCGGATTCTGGACCGGGTACCAATTCTCGGAGGCTCTTCTTACAGTTTTGCACGTAGTCCATCATCAGTGCTGATATCCTGAACGAGATTTTTTCCTTTTTCATTTTCTACTTCATCATTTGCGTACTAGCAATTGGCGATCCGTCATCAATGACACGAAGATTCATTCGTCGCAAATACATACTAATCAAAATCGGCTGTAGCACATCAACAGGGACCCATCGCGCGACCCCGTAAGTGGGTCTCGAAAGATAAAATATGAACCACCCCTACCGGAAACCCGGGTAGAAATGCCTGGGCCGGCAATTTGGCTGGAAGTCAAGGTAGAAACGCCAGGGAGTATGGCAATCCCGCCGGTCCCCGTTAGCCGGCCCCCTAGCTCAAAAAGGTACCCGCATCGCGCGCGCAGCGCGCGCGAAGAAAAATTTCGCATGGCACACGGCGACACAAGCAGCCGCTCTTGCTTCCTTTGAAGGGCGGGGGTGTGAGCGCGCATGGGCATGGGGCATGCGCGCCACGAATTACTTCTAATCCTGGAAAGGATTCCCCAGGCGCGCGGTGCGCGCCGGAAAAATGGCAAAACCCCACAGGAGGTCGAAGGAGAAACACTGTACCGGGCCCGGCATTGATTCTTGGAAAGCTCTGCCCTAGCACAGACGGGCCTGCCCTGCCCCTAAGCAGCCGAAAACCATGTTAACGCGCGCGCGCGCGCGGAATTTTTTCTCAGCTACCAGCTCCGAATCCGGTTCCCAGTCAGTTTTTGCCGTTTTACCGGCGGGGCCGTAGCAACAAAATAAAAGCGCGCGAGCCAAAAAAGAATTTTTGCAAACCAGACGAGAACGAGAAGCGCCCCCAGGGGGATTCCGGGGGGGCTTTTTCGTGTTTGATTTTTCGATCGGCAAGAAAAACCACGGCGGGCCCGGGCCCGCCGGGTAGGCCGGCCCGGCGGACGGAGGGCGGGCCTCAGCAGAAAAAGTTGCCCGCCGAAGCCGCGCGCGAAGCGCGCGGACTAATTTTTTTGGCCAGCAGGCAGCGGCGATGCCCCGGCCCTCCACGCAGGACACACGCAGCCCGCTAGGAATTTGCACACGCGCGGGCCTGCGCGCTCGCTGCCACACGCCTGTAGGGCGCGCGCGCCCAATAGCCTGAAGACACCGCCGCGCGCTTTTGTGGCTGCACACCCCGGCGTCCCCTAGCGGCCCTGTGGATGCACGTGCGCCGCCTCGGTCAACCCTTCCACAGCACCACAAGGACTAGCTTCATTCAAAGGCGTGAAGGAACTCCGCGCCCACGTATTGAAGCTGCAAAGCAGCCACGGATGCCGCTCGGCCTCGGCGCGGATTTTTTCCAAAAACAATAAAAACGCACGCCGGCCGACCGCGCGAGGGTAGGCGTGCATAAGCTGCGCCACTGTCTCGCGTGTAGGAGGGTTCTGCGACCATGTTCACCGCGGGGAGTTTTCTCTGCACGACGGAAATTTTTTACGTGTGGCAAAGTTTTCTCTGTGCGGGTTGGACTTTTCTCTGTCGGTTGATTTTTTATTTTTTTTTTCTAGACCCACTTACCTGCCTAGACAAAAAAAACATAGCACAGCAAGCAGGTATCGACCAGACCCAGAGTATCAGTATCGAGTCGCAAAAAATTACATTGTAAATACATGACAGCGCGGTCGTAGGTCACGTGCTCGGTGTCCCATTTGCACGGTATGCCGTCCGAGTTCATCATTACATATCCGATGACTGTTGGGTACCTGATAATTGTTGTTTTGCCTTTTTTCGCCCTCGTGTTTAAATGAACCTAAAACTACGCTCGCACAGTCTCCGCATTAACGTGCGGGTGCGATGCTGCCTCTTTCGTGCTAGTGACCAAAGGATTAGGATTCGAAATCGAAGTCGAGACATAAAAAGCCATCGAGCAAATCAGTACTCCGTCTGGTAGGCCTTGAGAATACTCTCAACATCACTTGTCTGGCCCCCCGCCATGGTTTTCGCTTTTTACATGGAAAAAAAAAACACTTTCCTTTCCTTCTGTCAAATCAAAAATTTCATCGACCTCCATCAAGTTTTACTTTTCAAGTCGGCAGAGAGAATGAGCAACGGTATTCGTTTCGTATTGGTGTCAGCCTTTCGTACGTATTCCCGATAACGATACATTTGATTTCACGACGATTTTCCCCAGCTCTCGTTTGCATCTGCCTCTGAGCTATTCTTCGCTCGTGTTCGTGTCGTGCGTACTTGTACAGGTGCATCAATTATCAATGCATGTGCAAATACTAGATTTGAAGCTCTTGATCTTGTGACAGAGACGATGTGAAAAACTACGTCAGTAACCCCAGCTCATGATCTGCGAACACGAAAGCGGATCGAAATCTCTAAGCATAAAATTAAATGGAACACGCTTCCATGGCAATAAAACCAAGTCCTGTGACTGTGGGCGTCTCCGATGAAAGAGAACTCAAGTCTGGCTTTGGCGTCTCCCAAGCTACTGACCTGCTCGGCACCGACGCCAAAGATAGCTCTTGTGGATTCGAGCACGCGGTAGTCAGCTATCATGGCCTTCTATCTACTATTTACCCTTCATCATGCCGTCCATTCCGACGTCCCGTCACTCTTTTCAACCCAAGTTTCATCAGTGATGACCGTGGTCATCGTGAAAGTGCGCTTGGGCCTGTGGAAGCGGATACAGATCCACCTTGAGTGGATCATCCACCTCTTCCGGCATCATCTGTCGGTACACAAACGGATACTGCACGCCCGGGTACCTTGTAGAATTTTTGTTTTCGTAGACGTAGCCAACATTTTTGGCAGTGTCCGATTCGCTCTCTAAACAACAGAACAAGAAACGAAATTGAAGCGACACAGCCTAGTTAGTAGTACTGCAATCACTTAATACACGAGGGAGTACGACATCCTCGACAAGGGCAATCTGAACAACATAAATTCGTTTACTCTTGAATGAGGTAGTTTTCCCGAAGTTTGAAGTAGTAGTCCTTGATTTCGTTCAGCGTGAAGGGATGGTCGTTGCCACGGTAGTAGTAGCGCAGCTGTAGTAGAGAGATGTTGATCACATTCTAATCATGATACTCAAACTCAATCATGAGTACCTATACAGCTATCATGCCTCTCCGTCTGCAATCAATTTTTACATCCAACAACCAAAACAGCAGCCATTCCTCTCTTGTAGTTATGGCTTTCTTGGCTACACAAACAGCGGTCTTTCATCATGCTTTCTGATGAGACCAAGATCATCATGGCAGTTAGAGTTCGGTAGAAGTCGTGTGGATAATACCTTTGCCTGCTCCTGCGCAATTCTCGCAGCAGGCCTGGTTCCCGGGTTCGCGTTATCAACAGGAAAAATCCCCCCTCCCCATATCAAAACGAAGTTTCTGATGCTGGATTTCCGTACACCAATCAGATTAGTCTTGCTGGCGAGGACTGCAGGCCCATATCAAGCCTGAGAACACAGGTTTTGGCCTAGGCGCTTAGCATGGCAGACGTCTACGCTGTAGGAACATGAGCATGACAAACCGCCTGGAAAATGCGGCGGAGCCTGTGGAGTTGCCTTCATGCAATACATAGACGATTTGCGGTCTCAAATCAGCAACACAAATCTCCGGAATCATACCGTTTCGATATGGGGAGGGGGGATTTTTCCTTTTGATACGCGTAGGCTGTTTGCATGCGAAATTTCGCACTATTCATGTAGTACTTTTCTCTTCGCTCTAGCGGTGCGGTGTCCAATGCCCCACAGTACCAGAAAAAAAAGCACACCGCCAAGTAGCCGGAATGGTGGATGTTGAACAGGTGTTGCCGATTCACGAAATTTTGCGTCCAAATGTAACTCCAAAAGGGCATGCGCCGAAAGTTTGGCACTTCAAAAATTCCGTTCAAGGTGCCGTGGTTCGGGCTGATAGTAAATTGCAATTGATTTTGTGGCAGCTCGCCAGAATTGGAATTGCATGCCCATGATCTGCACCTAGAGGTACTAGTAGCGCGAGTAGCTGAATCATGTAGAACCTGCAGTTGCGTGGATCCCAGGTTCAATTTCACGACAACTACAATAATTGAAGACTATCTTACTCGCATCCCTCTTCACCATAATTTGAGGTACTGCTAGAAAGTAAAATCACAAGTAGCGGCTGGTCCCACGTACCCTATTATCTCCTCTGCGCTGACATTTCGTGAGAGTCGGGCGATTTCTCGCCTTGCCACGGTTCGAAAGAGCGACATGGTATCTGTTTTTCACGCTTGTTCTCCTGCTGCGCTCCCGTACCCCACCCTCGTTGAAAAAACTCGCCCGAAACCTTGCCTCTTGATCAACCCGTCTGGAACGCGTCCGAGCTTCTAGAGGAGAAGTTTCTCAGCGCGATGATGCATAAGCCAAATCGAAATTCCGTCGTCTTTGCCGCAGTAGAAATATTGACAAACGACCACTGGTCATCACCAACAGTCCTTTGTGCACATGTGGTCACATTTTGAGGATGACGAAAAGACAGAACGAATGAGGAACGACTTGTGTATTGAGGGTCGAAAAAAAATGTATCGGATCACAGCAGTTGCAACTCTCACTGGTGTTGAAAAATATGCGACAGTTTGTAGCTGCAAGCAGCCGGCGGGACGAGGAGAGAGATTCATGCCCTAGTGGTGATAAAAAAAACACAGAGCACAACGCGAAGAGCAGAAAAACATTTCACGGTGCTTCCGCGCTTGCAAACAGAAAGCGAACAGAAGGCATTTTTAGCTCTTCCAGGCATGCCGCAACGAAGATATGAGTACGCTCTTCGCCCTTAAGAAACGCGGCTGCGCATCACGCACGGGCGGAGGTGCGGAGGTTCACTGGTGTCCTTGTCTTGTTCTCTTTTTATACAATGGTCGAATTTGGTACAAATTCAAAAGGCGTTAGCAGCAGATAGATTATCGCAAAAGTTCGTTGTCTCGTCACACTTCAGCGTGGTCCTCCGCTGTAGTTTTTCGCTTGTTGCTCTTCTTCTCGTAGAACAACGTTTACTGTACTCTGACCACGCGAAGGCATTTTCGTATCTGGTGATGTAATTGGAACAGTAAAAGCACAATAAACAGCAGCTAGTTGCTCGTCGGCGTTCGCAGCTCAATAAAATGCGTTCGATTTTTATCTCCCCCCTCTTCCGCCAGGTTCGGTGTCGAAAATAAAGTCAGCACTTGAACACCAACGCGGAGACTTCACCCTGATAGAACACCAACCTGAGAAGTCGTGTATAGTGTAGCTGTTTATTTCCCGCTGGTTCTCCTGCTGTGAAGAGGATCTGCTCATACTGATTTTTTTCATACTTATATCAAGACGAAACCAGCGACATAAATCAAAACCGAAGAAAATCAAGATGAAGATCTGAATGATCTGTAGCTGTACATTAAGCTCCCGGTTTGCGCTGTGACGTCGTAGGAAAAGCCTTTTCCGAGGATGCAGTGCCACTGCGCTCCGTACTGTTTGTCAAGGGCGTCCTTGATGGCCTTTGCGGCCGGTTCAATGTTAAGCCCGTCTGAGCCGGTCTGCTTATCGATCACACCAACGATTGTGTCCACAACCTCCTGCTCTTGTTCCTGATAATATTTGCATTTGATTATGAGGTCATGACGAACTTTCTGTTTCTGACACAAGCGGGCACATGAACAACTATTTCGCTGAAGAAGTTCCGACATCTTCGCCCGGGATAGTTTTCTTGTTGCATCAACCTCACACTGCACAAATTCGTCAATACTGGTGTCATGTCGGTGCTCTTCACCAATGCCTTCTGCATTTTCTTCTTGATATCTGCCGGTATTGTCGTCATCTTGCCGGGGTTGGTCTTCCTCAGAGATCAGAAAGAGGAAGGCAACCTTCGAGGCTGGAAAAAACTTGCTGTTTCTCTCTACACCACCCTAATTGATTGACTTCCGGCAAAAGACCGGATAAGTTCTCAAGAAGAAGCCTAGACACCTACTCTTACCTAGTTTATTAAGTAAATACTTCGGTGATGCGTCAATACTCTCGATCATGCTCGATTTCTTCGTCACCACACGGTGCGCGCATCCCTCCTCCTTGATGTCACTCAGAGTCAAAAACGAGCAAGAATTCATCGGTTGACTTCCAATCTTCCCCTCTCATTATCACGACGAAATAACAGGCGCAGTCGAGCAGGTACGATCGCAGACACGATCCATTCCTCCTTACCTTTGGATGGATGGTGGCCCGGAAAAGATGAGTAGATCGTGAACAGACCGACGGGGGACGTGTAGTTCGATGCATCTTCTTAATAAACCTGCTCCGATATCGGAACTGCTATGCTGATGCTATCTATGTCATGCCGCCAAAAAGTCAAAATGTCTTGACCGGCACCAAGGTGACTTTGTATCGTTCGTCCCCCATACTCCTTTGTTACCATTGTGGTTAAGGACCACTAAGTACAAGGGAGGCGCTTGTTGTGGAGCATTTCCAAAAAAAGCCACACGCGTCACGGGTTCAACTTTTCGTCCACTTCTTTGATTTTGTTGTCCACATCTTCTTCGAGCTTCGCGAGCGTCCCCTGGATCCGCTCGGTGAAAGACTCTTTCAGCTTTGCTGCTTGCTTCTCCTCCTCTGCTTTCTTGTCCAAATATTCCTGCCGTCTCTCGTCCTCAAAGAGGTCGTAAAGGAACGGCTGTAATGCGAGTTTTCTCTTTTCATATCAAATGCAAATGTGCATCAAATCAGTGCGAATTTAAATTTTCGTATCATCAAACTCAAACCAACACTGATGCATTTTCTTCATGATGTATGACTATAATGTCCCCGATGCAAAGCAAAACCGCAAAAAAGATCAAAATCAGGACTGCACGCTGTTGCTGTCTCCGAAAAATTATGAGTACATGATTCCTTGGGTCGATTTCGTTTTCTGTTGAACAGACAAACGGAGCCTTCAGAGAATCGTCGTTGAGTGCTGGCGTTGGTTTTACCTTGACCTCCAGGTCTCGGATGCAGACATAGACGTATTTATACCTGAAGTCGGTTTGGGTCCATGCTTATCCTGCTCGTGCAATGCTGCCTCCACGAATGAAAAACTTCAACACAGCAAACTCTTTATTTCCACTAGCTCAACATCTTTCAGAACGTAGCAAAGAACGCGACGGACGAATTTGGAAACCAATTGATGTAGTACATTTTGTAATGACGGAAGAAGGTATCCAGAACGTAGTCTGATATTGCTTTCACGTCATTCAGGTTGAAAATGCCACTGGAAAAGGGTGGTCGGTGACACGAGTGCTTGAGGAGCAGGTGCCGGAAAAGCTCGTAGCTTTCCGACATACTCAGGCCGAGATCAAACGACTCGTTGTACACCGTCCGCATCATACCTTGCATATTTTCATTTTGATTTTGATGCTGTGTTTCATGCGGAAACGAGATCTGCATCTATTTGTACTTTTGCAGCTCGCTACTGCGATAGCTAAAGCTAAAACAAACATCAAAAGCAGGGACACCTACTAATGTATGATCATGTGGTCTTGCCTAGTTCGGCAACAGATTTACGAAAGAAAACCAACAGAAAATCGAACGAAATCTGTTGGTACTGAGGTAAGTCGACATTTTTGGTGGTGTGAACTTGAGAGATTCTGCGAAGTTGTAGTTGTGGAAGTGGAAGTCCGCTGCAATTTCGAAAGGAAACGTGCCCTCATCGTGATCCACCTTCATGCATTTCGTCGCCAGGTAGTGCTTTCGCTGACTTGTCCCCTGCTTCTGCATCAATAAAACCTGGCACATTTTCAATTTACAGTCTCCGTAGGAAAAAAAACAAAGTGTCGTTGGGGTGAGCAACATACGCATAGTTCTAGTACAAGCAGAATAACAAAAGAAATCACAATCATGAGTGTTACATCTTCCTCCGACACGTCGGTGAATAAAACGAAAGGCACATTGCTGTGCATTCCCGCATTTTCTGACATGTACTGCGGCTTCTCTTTTTTCTTTGCCCCCGCGGAAGACGGCATGGCTCCGAATGCTTCTGGGAAATGAAAGCTCACTCGTCGAAACTAACTAGGGTCTTACTCCTGATGTGCTTGAGGTCGAGGCTCGGAACGTCTCCAAATTGGTAGGCAGCGAAAAACAGATGACGACGAGGCTCAGTCACGAGTCCCTTCGTTCTTGGGAACGCCTTGAGAGGGTCCTAGACGTTTTCGTTCTTGTGCGTCTTCTATCCCGGCCGCGTCTTCAGTGCTGGAAGACCTTTTACGACACACTTCTGCTCCTGGATATGAGTCGTTTCTTTCAGACCTAAACGCCGCGTTAGTTTCTTCAGCAAGTTCTCCAGCCTTTGCACCTCCTCAAGGCGAATCTTCGGGAAACAAGCAGTTGCAGTGAGTGAGCGTCCTCGATCTTTGTTCGTTTGTTTTTCCGTATTTCTAGTACTGCCACACCGCACCGAAAAAAAACAAAATTGCTCCACAAACTTATTGAAGAGTACCAACGCATACGCAGCACGGCCCAATAAATATCAAGAATTACAAATCTCTGTATACACAAGTCGCGCTCGGTTTCACTTCACGAACGGCCTCATACAGTCAATCATTAGTGATAGATTGTAGTTTGGAAAAGAACCGCACTCACGCTCAATCGATATCGAACGAAAACAACACAACCACAAGTGAGTGTGGCAGCGCCAGCGCTTCCTCCTCGATACATGAAGAACAGGACGGAGGCATTGGGATTGGCATTGAGTGTAAGTCTAAGCGATTGCGTTTGATAGTATTTACACAGGGGAGCTTGTTGGGTGGATTTCATCCTCGAAGAAAGTGCCGATGCGTCCAAATTAACGAAGAAAATGCTAAGTGAGTACGTGGGCGGCACCAAGACGCGCGAGATGAGTAGCGCGCGCGACTTGCTTATCTATATTTTGGTTACACAAGTGATTCGAGATTCGTCTGCCTCTGCAACTGCAAAAAATGATACACCAGGTGAAGTCAAGCGAGTCCGTGGATCAGTCTTGAATCATGTTCATGATACGCAGTCTCAAAAAATTCTTAAGCGGCAAATATAATTGGTTTCGATTTGAAAAAGTCAATAGATGATTGGTCTGGTGGTCGTGCTCCTCGAAAATACAGCGACCATCTCACGCAATCCGTAACCACTTCGGCGACGCGCGGAAAGCTTCCAAAAACGCGGTATCGTTACTCGCGGTGGACTTGATATGCCCCAGCGGGAACAGCCTGCTAATAAACTGCTGAGCAAGCATGAAATCGGGCGTGCCCCCCGCCGTTTCGAACAGAGCATCAACGGTGACGACGTTGAAGACCGCGGTTGGGTCCACTTCGTCCCGCTCTACACAGGCGATATCCAAGGCCAGTACTTTTTCCAGTTGCGCTTTTTTCTCCCCGCTCTTTTTCAGCTTCGCCGGCGGCTCGATTTGGACCTGTGCGGCCGCAGTGGTCATCACAAAGGGCAGCGTGTACAGCAGCAGAGCGTCAAGGTTGCCGTCGCACAGCAGCACTGTCTTGGTGAATGCTTCGTCTGTACCACCGCTGTAATCGATCGGGCACCGCTGGAGACCGAACAGCGTGGTGCGAGCGCCGAAGCCGACTTTTCCCGGCTCCTTGCAGGCATCAAGAAGATACTCCGCGAGGACCACGGCGTATCTGTGTTGGGGTTTTTTGAAGAAAGGCTACGGCCATACGAAAAAGACTTCAAGAACTTGCGCACCTACCATGATTGATGCTTTTACTTCACAAGAAAAAAACCTGGACCTGCCATGTCTAAAAAATCTGCCGCGTCCCTTTCGTCTCCTTGCCCGCGTAGGTCACTACTGTGACTCTGACAGAGAAAGCGTAAGTCTAAGTGCCAGAGAGTAAGTACTATCCTACTAGCATCTTCTATCTAATATACCCCTTCATCTTCGGGTCTTCAATGGCTGCCACTACTGCCTTTCCCGTTTCGCTAATCGCCAACCCTCCTGCTTCAGCGGATTTCGTAACCAAGTACTCCTCTGTGTAGACGCTGTTGTACGCTGCAACCGCGGACGGCACCACCATGGGCGCATGGGAATACTTGAGCATCTCCTTTCGCGGCGGAAACTCGCCGAACACCTCCCCGTCCTGCGGCCGGGCCTGCGCGGTCAGGGCGGGCTTCTCCAGCGTTCCCACCGTGTAAACCACCATGCCGGTCATCTGGAAGAGCTTCAGCGCGACGTCAAACGAGCTGTCGTTGACCGCGAGACTGATGGGCTGCTCGCGGTTGAGCCACTGTGCCAAGGCCGTCAGGAAGCTGGCGTCGTTCACAACGGCCGGCGTGGTCACGTCCAGGTACAGCTGCCGCCAGTGCTCCGTGATCTTCACGGGGAGGTCTGCAGATATTCTCACATTCATCAATGGCTGCGACGCCAGCTTGGAGTAATTCTGTTCGCCGTCACTTCCCTCGCTTGCTGCGGTTGACGCGGTCTCTGAGTTGATGGTCCCTTGGGGCTGGAAAATACCCGCGAACTCGCTTTTTTCAATGGATTCCAGTGAGTTTTGAATCAGCGGCGCTTTGCTATACGAGGCGTCCAGCTGGTCAACGGTCAGGTTGGGGCAAACACAGTGTCGCAAAGCCGTGCACTGCCCCTTGTTCTCGATCAGGTTTGACCAACGGACCGCGTCGCCAACTTGGTCGTTCCACTGGGTGGAAACCTGAATTCACGAATGAGAATTGAATTGAAAAAGGGCACCGTTGAACAAGAAATTAAAATTAGGACCTAGCAGTAGCAAGAGAAGGGTTGACATCGACCTTGCGTATGACGGTCCTGCAGCGTGTTTCGTGTTGTAGTAAACCGTGTGCGCAACTTTGTTGATTTTCGTAAAATAAGAGTTATGCGATACGGATACTTTCACTTAAGTACTTACCAGGGTGTTTGGTCCACCCGTTGATGCAAACAGTTTGGGCACCACCTCCTTGATTTTTTCGGCGACCTGACGGCTACCGGTGAAGTGCATGGGGCAGTCGGGACAAGCAGCGAACACGCGGCGTTGCTCCGGGATGGAACATGCCAAGTAGCTTACCATGCCCAAATCGACGCCCTTCTCCTTCAATTTCTCTAGCAGAATCACTGTCCACCGAAACATGTGCTGTGTGGTATTGCTCCTTGATAAAACCACCACCGGTACCCCCATTTCTATGTGTCGCAGGACTTTTCGGAACAAATCCAGAAAGTTGGAAAAGTTACTAACGCATCCGACAAAAACTAGCTGCTTGCTGCGGATGGTAACTTGGCCCGCAGCGCTCGCCTTGAGAAGCTCGTCGTTGATACGCTGCTCGACCAGATTGGCCTGAATCGACTCCTCAATCTCCGTGATTCCATCCTGCTTTTGAAAGTCAATCGCCTGATTCCCGATGATAGTCGGTGCTAATTTTCCAGCATCGCAAAATTCCAGGTCTATCGCACGGATCGCAGGTCGGAGGTCGGTGCTCGGGGGCTGGTAGCCTTTAATGTGCGCGATCACCTGGTCCACTTCGGCCGCTGTTGCAAGCGTGATCTTTCCATTGACTCGGTTAAAGGCGTCGACCTGTATATATTCTAAATTTGAGCGCAAACACGTCACGTATTTTCGGCTGCAACAGGAGAAGTGGGAGCCACAGCAAAGAAACTACATGACCCGTATCTGATCGAGCATGAAAAGCAAGTCGCACAACATCTTTCCGAATCTTTACTGTAGTACCGTATCTTCCGTCGTGCCGCCCGTCAACGGAGTGCCGTTCAAGAGCGTTGTGATTGGGTTAGTAGACCAAGAACTTGGATCAAAACTCTTCATGTATTCCGCTGTCTTCGCCCTCAGCTGTGCACCGTCCGCCTCGGGAAGACTCCCGAAGCAACCGCGGTAGCCCTCCGTCGCGAAATTGAAGCTCATTTTAAAAGTAAAAACCAGGTCCGCAAGCGCAACAGAGTTCCTGTGTCGGTGGGCACAAAACTACGTGCCTCCGAACAAGCAAATATCGTTTATTTATCCTGATACTGGTAGTAATAGAGCACGTAATCAATGGGTAAGGGAGTAAGGGGGTAAACAAGGATGCACGTCAGATCTGGGTAGAAAGATGAGAAACATGACTTCGCTAAATCATTCAGTTCGACTGATACAACAGGTCTGCCAGATTCAGGTTTCCGCTAGCACTGGGCCTCGAGTGAAAGAAAAAATACCTCGGAACAGGGAGAAACAAATGTCGTCAACAACGATCAACCGGAACCTTTGTTTTCTTCAGGTTGACAAAAAAACCAACTCTACGTATACAAACCTGATCGAAAAATCTTCTCCGAGACAGAGAAATTTGCAAATCGCTTCCTCTCGGTAGTATCTGTCACTCCGACCAACGAAAAAACCTAGACCGAATCACGAACGACAAAGATGGCTCCAGCTCGCAGAAGTGGAACGGACAGTGGATTCTTGTTAGAGCCCTGTTGGTTTCTTCGACAAACGAAAATGGAGATCCGAGTGGCATACAAATACATCCATAGACAGACCGGGAACGCGCGGCACGGCGCGAGACACACAGTGGTTAGTGCTACCCGAAAAAGTTCGAGCCGTAGTATAATTTCTCGAACTACACGAAGTGAAGATCATCTCAGCCCATCCTTTCATCACCAGAATAGTATACAGTTTAGTGTACTCCAGTTTAGTTCATCCAGCTTCGCGGCCCATCGTTCATACATTACGATTACTTTGCAAAGCTTCATCACCCCATATTGCTTTGCCTGTAGTTCTCGATTGTGGTAAAAAGGCTACGCGTTTGGAGGCATTCGTATTGCTTCCACTCTTGTTTCCGCAAATTCATCGCTCATTCGTGTTCTAGAAAGACATTCGAGGTGATACACCAGGTTCATTCTTAATCTTAACAAACAGCGTTGCATTGTTTAGACTACATAAAACAGAAACACAGGAACAGGTTGAACATTTTTTACAATTACAAGGGAAAAGACCAAAACACCAGCACCGGCAGCACGGCTGCCGCTCCTGCTGGTGTAAAACATGAGACCAGTACGAGCAGCATCCTCTTCACGTCGTCGCAGCAAAACTGGAATTTCGCAAAAGAGTGGCATGGTCCCGCCCACGCTCTGGTCCGAGGATCGTTTGCATCGTGATAATGTTGTTGATGATGTCTGTACTTTTCGCCAACGTCGGCGCATCTTCGGCGAACGCACGAAGCATGATACCTGAGTCATTTTTTTTGAAAAATTATAGCAGGACCTTACTTTTATTTCTGAATCGTCCTTCTCCTCCAGTCGCACGGAATCCAACTACAGAGGGATGATCACCTAGCAATCAAATTACCTCTTGTGCCCGTGATTTGCTTCGGCGCCCAGTCTCGGGTTTTTTGATAATTCTCAAGATCCCAGGAAGATGCCTTGGCTGACGTGTCTGGCTCCCTTGTTCGATCGCTGGGCTTCATCAGAAATTATTGAGAGGAAAAATCCCCCCTCCCCATATTGAAAAGGTATGTTTCCAAAAATTTGTGTTGCGGATTTGAGGGCACAAATCACATCTGTCTTGCAAGAAGACAAGGGCAGAAGCTTCCGCCCCATTTTGGAAGCGATTTGTCATGCTGTTGGGCCTCAAGGGGGTCCGTTTCCCTTGCTGAACTGCTAGACCCATACGCCCCTACCTAGCCTGGGGATCTGGCCGCAGTGCCTCTTTGCAATACAGAGCTGATTTGTGGCCGCAAATCAGCATCACAAATTTCCGTTTTGCTATGGGGAGGGGGGATTTTTCCTTTTGATAGAAATCGCTTCGCTTTCAGATAAGCATACCGACCTGTCGTAAATAATGATGTGTGCTCGATTTAAAATTGCAGGTGGAAGTGACTCTTTTATATTAATTATAGCACTAGACATGCGAGAACAATGGAATTGCGATTTTTGCCTTCCCTTTTAGAAGATTCTACTGCGCCATGACAGCTATCAAAGATTCGTGCAAATTGAAATACTATACCCTCGTATTCGTCTGCTGTGCCTGTATATAGTAGCTCTTCGAGTTCTTTCGGTATTGAGTTGACCCCGGATCGCATTCCGCCGCCTGTCCCATGCGGGTTCTTCACGAGGCCCTCCTTCTGCTCGAGATAGTGGTTGTAGGTTGACATTTTACCTGGGCGAAAGAATCAAATCAACACGGAGAGGTGCTTGCAACCACGAGGAGGACAAGCAACAAGAAGACAAAAAAAAATGGAAGAAAACGCAGCAACAGCAAGCAAGACCACTGACAACACAAATAGTTCCAGTGTTGTACCGAGTTCTCTCTGGGGTACGACTCTTCCCGTTTTTGGATCCTTGACAAGTTTGGCGACGTGGAAAAATCTTCGTGGTTCCCGTACTTTGCCCAAAGCTTCATCGATCTTCTGTTGAAATTTCACCTTCTTCGGATCCGAATTACATCCAACCGATATGACACCTGTTTTTTTTTTTTCGTTTCTAATTTGTGTGACGCAAGGCAGTTGTGTCTGTGAGCACTCATCAGTGTTTCTAAAACAAGGGTAGAATCAGTGTCGTTTTGCTAGTACTTCCGACTGGAGCGGGTTTCGGCTCTCCACCTTCTTCGACGAACCTTCTTCTTGTTAATCGCGTGGCCGGGTGGAGAGAATTCTTCTTTTTTTCTTTCTCGATCAAGTTTTGGTAGCGCAGCATGGCGTGCACATCTTGAAGGTCCGCCATCTTTGCGCTCTGGTGTGTTTCTTTGCGGTCAGTTCTTGCCTTTTCTGCGTGGAACCGACACGCCTTTGCGCGTTGCCGCGCGACAAACGATTTCCAAGAAAAACTTCCGCCTTCCTAGTTCACATCGAAACAAAGTTGTTGTTGGAGTTGATGCAACAGGAACAGACACGACACGTAAGGAAGTTAAGCAAGTCCTCCCGCTCTCCTACTATCTATGCCACTGACGTTGTAGGCACTGTCTTAGGCAGTCAAGCTCCAACTGCAACTCCAACACCAACTCCATCTCTCCTGTTTGTATCACTATTCAAGAAGTTTGTTTTACGCTCAGATTGACGATCGATGGGTTCACGATCGATGAAAAAGTAGTCGATATCTAACGATATTGGGAACATTCACAACTCATAAGCCGAGCGTAAAAGGAAAAGATCAAGTGACGCCTCATGTCTTGCTGTTGTCGCCATACGCGCAAGCATCAGAACAGCACCTGGTCAGATTGGTCAGTTCTTCTCAAAACCAACGTAGTGCTAGTTGTAGTCATATTTTTGACCTAGGTAAGCCTAAAAATTCTGCAATTGGAGTGTCGGTCGGATTCCTTGAAAGTGTGTTTTACTCTGGAGTGTTGAAAGCATCAAAAATCAATTCGAGCAGCAGCAATTTGGAGTTAAGTGTAGTCGAGTATCCTTTGATAGATGGCTAGTACTTAGAAATTGAAACAAAGGGATCGAAAAAAGCGATGTGAAAACCTAAAGTCACATGAAGATGCGGTCTGCTAAATACGAACAATAACAGCCTTGGAATAAACGGCACTCAACTTTCGGGACGACCATTGGCGCCCCCGCCCCCCCAGCTCTTTTACAATTGCAGCAGTAGCGCAGGAAGTAGATGAAGGTTTCCTTGCTTTCTCAGGACAACTCCACCCGGTTCCAGACCCGGATCTCCCAACCGTTTGGGCACCAACAGGCCGCTTGTACAACACTTTCGTACTTGTCACTGACTACGGTCTCCTTCATAGCGGTCACCACGGTGTCCCATCCCACTTCGTCGATCAGCGCCTGCAGTTTTTCCAGCTGGTCGGTGTCCCCGTTTTCCTATCCAGTGTAAAAACGTCCCCACCCCAGAGCTGTCATGCTAAACAAAATGCGACACACTTTGCCCCCCCATTGTACCATGGCCGCAGATGGCTTGACACGCAGGGCGGGTGGGTCAGGCGGACACCTAAGTGCCATCACCATCATCTCCCGGCCACTATATCCCAACTCTGATTACGCCACCTTCCATACTGTGCAACCAACCCTACTGTGCCAACTTGCGCCCAACTTGCGCCCACTTGGCAACCTGCGCACCCCAGAGCTGTCATGCAAATGCGCAATGACAGAAACATTTGTAATGCGCATCTCCTTGAGAGGCCGCATTACCAGTCGTGTTTTGGAATTTGTACTGCTGTAAACAGGATGAGTAAATGGCTTTCTCTTGCGGCTTTCCTTGCTAACCAGCACTACAATGCAGATGAAAACTTGTCATGCAGAACTCCCAAAGCTTGGAGATTTGCGTTGCAGATTTCCCATCTTGACTATGGTGTGGGGACGTTTTTACGTAGGATATTTCTTGCTCCTTCTTCAATCGCCGATCGATGGCTTTCGCAGCCCGTTCCGCGGGCGTTGGTTCGTCATCCTCGCCTGGATCACAAAACTTTACCTCTTGATTCAAAATAAACTCGTCCACAAACTCCTGCAACTTGCGGCCCTTTTCATCCCCCTCGCAAGCATACAGTTTGCGGTCCACTGCCACCTCGTCCTCGCTCGCGTCGGGGTCTTCTAGCGCGTTTTCGCCGATTTTTCGCGTTTCCTTGAACGAGGAAGTCGCGTCCTCCGTTGCAGTCTCTGACTTCACGAACGACGGCACGCTACGCTCCTCTACTCGCAGACGAGCCTGCCAGCCCGCAGACTGAACCTTGCACCCGATATTGTAGCTCATTATAGCCTCGGCCGAACAAGTAGTAGAGTTCCTGGGTCTCTAAATCAAAGGTCTGGGTCTCTGAACATATTTAGAGGCATACAACCTTCCACTTCTCGGTCGGGCAGAAAGAACTGAAACAATACTTTTTCCACGCGCTTACTGTATTTTACATTTGACACGACGGGTGGAAACATTCAGTTTCAGATTTATGAAACCACTGGAGCATACGAATTCTCACACACCCATGAGATATGAACTTGCAAGTGGATATCGTAGAGCCGAAAAGGACCTTAACTCGTCGTATTTGCTTGTGACCACGGACCGATTGCATGAATTTGAATACGCATACCACACCGAGAGAAATAAAAACGCATCGCGCGAATGCGACGGCAACCGAATGTTCCCGCAACGAGGCTCAGCAACCGACGAAGATGCTAGATTTAGTAGATACAGCAAGACATCGAGAATGATAGCATAACAAAGACGGAATCCTCCACACAGATTCGAAATTATGGCGGCCTAGCTTATGTATACTCGTGTTTTTCTTTTCATCACTCCACCATGGCTATACCACAATAAAATCGCATGGCAGGTCATGATGTTGCGTCTCACTTGTAATACTGGTGTCAGTCGTGAACGAGTACGAGCTGGAATGCGTATCCGCACCATGCTTCTTCGAAGAATCCACGCGCTCAGCATCATCCACCATCTTCGTGATGCAGGTTGAAACGAAAACCAAAACGAGAGACTTATGACAAGAAACGCGATACTCTATCTTTTTTATCGGTGGTGTTCACCTTCAGTATCAACCCGATGCTGCTCGGCTGGAATACGTACTTATTTGTACTTCTGCTGGCCTTCGCCCCGGCCTTCGAAGTACATTTCTTTCTCTCGATCCATTGACTTTTTCCATTCTGCCATTTCTTTCCTGCCGAACTCTTCAGTGGGTCTCCACGCGCGCCAAACGCGCTCTCCCTCCTCCCAAAAGTGGTTCTCGAGCTCGAAACCGTGAACGTCCTCCGGTCGCCCGGTCAGCAAGGTCACTCGATCTCTTCGCATGCGAGGAGCATCACATCGAAGATCTTCCTGCTGAGCATCTTCCAAAATTGCGGCGTCAGCTCGTACTAACCGAATGGCGAGGCCAACTCTGTCCACATGCTCCTGATTTGCCTGCGAGCTGTGAACCACGAAAAAATTGTGCGCGGAAGCTTCTCCAGGGGCCAATATCGCGGCAACCGTCGGGAACGAGCGCTCGTCGGTTCTGATCGCCTCCAGCTTGTCCCTCTCAATCGTCTGACCGAATGCCAGCATGTTTCCCTCCTGCCCGACGTTCTCATCATGCGGAAGCTGTCCCAAGCGATGCGACCCTTCCCGGAACAGCACTGGCCCGGCGCGCTCCGTGACGTCCGAAAATGCCAGCCAGACCGTGACTCCTTGGTCCCCACGAAATCTGCTGTATGTAGAGTCCTGGTGCCAGGAGAAAAATGCTTTACTCTCCGCGGGTTTCACGCAGAAGTCGGTGCTCCAGATTACGACCGGCGTGCTGTGTTTTATTTTGCTTTTACCCGCCTTTTGCTCCTCGCCGTGTTCTACGACCGAGGAGTGCTGTAATTCTCGTTCGTCTTCTGTCAACAGCATCGTCTCGGCGTACCTTTTCAGCACTTCGCTGCCCACGAGAAGATCAAAAAGCCATGGCAGAAACAAATGCGCTTTGAACCGCAGCTCAGACCATGGGGGAGAGCAGGCTGCAACAGAAATGTTGCTACTACTGCCTTCATCATCCGGTGCAAGCGACATGCTGACGGCACCGTTCGCGACTCGCGTTCGGAAACGCTGATAATGCCAATGAAGAAAATCATTTTCCATAGCGCTTCGCTCGACCATGCGAAAACAGGGGATGCAGCCGGTCCTCTGGTAGTGCTCGACTTTCGCACGGTCGACAACATTCTCCTCCTGGAGCGGGGGCGCGTCCATTGACCACTACAACTAATTTTCCATGGGGGACTGCTTTGTGCCTGGGTCAACAGAAGAGCTTTGAGACGTCAAGCGCAACACCTCTGCCTGAAGCCTGACTTGTGTGTGGCATGTGACAATATTGGGTCCTGTTCGTAATGTGTTGAGGAGAGCCAGAACATCATGAGCCTAGATTTTCTTCGCTAGTTCGTGCCAATGCCGGCAGGAATAGCCGGGAATCAGGAATGAATCAGGATCAGGAATAGCTTCAATATCAATCCCTCCCAATTCCAAAACAGTGAATGAATTCGTTCTCAACTTCATTTTCAGATGCTTTGTGCACTGTGCTTCTTCCGCAGGAGTGGCATATAGAAGCTCAAAGTTCACTTCACGTTCACAGACAAGTCGCGGCTCATCATCTTCGTCCATCGTTTTTCACGATCAATGCTTTACGCAAAAAGTGTTCTTACGGCGTCCAATTTTATAAAGTTCAAGAAAGTGAACCAAAACTACTTCTTAACCTTAAGTGGAAATAGATGCTCAAGTCTAATCAATTATGTCCTCGCCGGTACTACTGCAGTGTTCGACCGCCTATCTAATGCGCCGTCCGGTGGCTTGCAGACCAGAGCGATCATCCGGGTTCGCGCTAGCGGTACTCCGGCTCGTCGAAGATAGCAGCTCATGATTGCCAGCAGGCTGTCGGTCGTGCCTTGCCAAGCCGTGTGGCTGCTCTCTGACGGGAATCTGTCTGTGAGCTCTAGCTCGCGGCCGTTCTGGCTGCCGTGCTGTAGAAAATGCCGCAGCTCCTACCGTTACGTCGGGCGGAAGCGCTTCTGTTGGCTCTATCGCTAGCAGTGTTTCAGGCCTCTGTTCGCTGGATGTGGTTGCCGTTGCTCTTGCCGGTTCCTCGGCATTACTATTGACTCTTGGATCCTCTGGGTCTGGCCTACCGCTGCTGCCACTTAATAGCGCGCTCCGGCGCCGTTTTATGTTCGACATCACTAGAGCGGACACTGCCACCCCAGCTTGTTGCTGCTCCTCGCTCCGAAGGGGCTTCAGTTCTTGAGGTGCTACTTGCAATAGTATCTCACCCTGGTCGGCCTGATTTTGCACCGTTTGTTCGCCAACTAAACCATCTTCGCGTCCAGCAGTGCAGTCTTGCTCTTCGTCCAACTTTCGCCATTCCGCTTGCTCCCATTGGGCTTTCAACTGTTCGACATTCTGATTTTCTCGAAATCGCTGGATTGCGGCACCGGTACCTACCTCAGGCGTGTTCCTGCGTGTGTGTCTTTTCGCACCGGTCGTGCTGGGAGGATTCAAAGCACGTCCAAACGAGGAAACGCCCACCTCTGCTGAGCCGCCAGCCGCGTCTCTGTGTGCAGTGACTGAATGTTGTAGTTCGCCGCTGTGCACCGCAGCGTTGTCATCAGCGTCGTTAGCTGCATGAGTGCGTTTTCTCCGTCGCTCGAAAGTTATTCTACGCTTTCGGCTTTTGGCGGCCCCGTTTTCGTCGACCTGCTGATCCAGATCCTCTTGATCTCGCTCGTTTCCGGACGTCGAACTGCCATCGCTGCCACCAACGCTGTTCTCTTCTTCCGACGCGTCGTAAAGATCCCGTGCCTCGTCTGTGCGGTTGTTCCACCAGCGGTCGCGCAGCGCGTTCAAATCTCTTTGTTTTTTGCGCGCCTGCTTTCGCAAGTCTAGTACGTCGGCTGGAGCGGCCCTTCCCTGCGCCAGCAGCTCCCCGAGCACATCCTGTGGGTTGGAAATTACGGGCAACTTGGGCCCCACCGGCTCGCTTTTTGTCTTGCCGACGGGACTGTCGACGACGCCATCGGATTTGTCGTCGTGATGTTGAGGCACTTCGACTTCTAGCTCAACACCAGAATTCCCCTCCTCTGCTTCATGCTTTCCTGCGGCGAAAGTGCTCGTGTTTTTTGTGTTTTTATTTCTAGTTCCTCGCGGAGAAGGTTCTTTTGCGTTTTTACCTGTCGGAGATTTCTGGTTGTAAGTTTGCTGCTGCTGCTGCTTCAGCTCTTGCAGTCGCTGCTCGAAGTCCGCGATTTGTTTCTCCAAATCTACGTTCTGGCCCTGCACCTGCACAAGCTCCTTAAACCGCGGATCCTTCATGGCTTCCATGTCAGTTTGCATCATCTGGGGGTCGACGCCGAGCAAAAGCGGGCTCGTCATCATGTTTGTCGCATTCGCGATGCCGGGCTGTCCGCCACTAGTATCTGCTGTTCTTGCAGCATGATCTTCTTGCAAAGAAGACTCTACTATGGCCGCTGCACCATCGGGATTGCCTGCCTCTCGGGGCCTTGTAGTTCCTGAAAGAAGATCCGCCGCGGTCGCCTCTACTTCGGAGGCATGCTTTTGTTGCTCGCTATGGTGCAAGGAGGCAGCAAGCATTTCAAGACTGGGTCCGACGGCGAGCTGGAGCTTGCGCGCCTCCGCGTGCAACTTGTTTTGCAAATCGGTGCGCGTGTAGGTCAACTCCTCCTGCTCTGCCTGCAGCTCCTGCAGGTGCGCTTCCTCGGCTTCCAGGGTGCTCTTCGCGCCGGTGTTCGATAGGATGGGGTACTGTGCCAGTTTTCGCTCCACTTCTTCGAGCGTGTCGTTCTTCTGCGTTTCCGCCCTTTTCCGGCTCTCCACGCTTTCACGGGATTGCGCCTCCGCATCGGCAATGCTGGCAATCAGCTTTTTCTCCGTCTCCGCCAGCTCTTTCAGCAGTTCCTGCTGCTTCTTCTTCATTGCAGTGACTTTTTGCTCGTCTTCGACGGACACTTGCGGCCGCACGGCGCCTCCGGTCGTGCCCAGCAGTTGCTGCTGGTTAGCGGTGTTTAAAAACCCTGCGCCAAGCCCCTCGTTTCGGCGTGCCGCGGCCACGGCCTCCTGAAAGGAAAGCTTCTCGTTCTCAAGATAGGTCAGGGTCTGCTCCGACGTCTGCAACAGCTTCTCAATGCGTTCTGTGTCTTCCTGCTCCTCTTGCTTTTCCACGTTTTTCTTCTCGATTTCTCGGGGATCCCACTCGGACCTCGGCACGAGCAGCAAATCGTCCGTCAAATACGCGGGTCTCCTCCTCGACGTCGCACTTATTTTGTTTGCCTCCTGCCGCAATTCCTCCAGCTCCACCATCAGAGCCTGCACTTCCCGCTCCAGTGCGGCAACGCGCTCTTCATCTGTAGTTGTACTTGCGCCAGTTGTCGCTTCAATTGTCGCAGGCACGTTCCCCGTTCGAGCAGCTTGTTCGCCTGGCTTGTTCATTCGAGACGAGGCGGCCGCGGCAAGAGAAGCGTTGGCGTTTGCTGCATTAGAATTACTGTTTCCGCCGCCAGCAGCCGAGACGACGTCAGGATTCAACTCTTCAACGATTTCGTGGATTTCCTCGGACAACAGCAAGGCTGCGGAGCTGGTTGTTTCCTGCTCCAGCAAGGCGCTTTTCAAAAGGCTCGCTTGCTTTTCCGCGATTTCCAGCCGGGCGGAGAGCTGCATCACCTCCCCTTGCTGGGTAGAAAGAATGGCCAGGCAGTCCGACGTGCGCACCACGTTCTGCCCCTGCCCATTTTCATTCCCATCGCCCTGCTCCTCGTGGCCCAGCCCGACGAGCTGCCGCTTCATGCGCGCCTTCGCTTCCTCCTGCTTCTGCTTGATGCGATTGAGCTCCTTCGCGATCTTTTCCCGCTCGCGCTCCTCGTGTTCGCGCTCCTCCTGCTTTTTCGACGCTAGCTCCTTTTCGAGTTCGCGCCGCATTTTCTCCTCGAGCTCCCGCACCTTCGCGGCCCGTGCCTCCTCCGCCCGGCCCTGCAGTTGGCTTTTCAGTACCTGAATCTTCGCGAACCAGCCGTTCAGCGTTGCAAACATCTGCATCGAGCGTTTTTCCAGCTCCGCGTCCAGCTTTGCCTTCAATCTCTCGATTTCTCCCGTATTGTACCGAAACACGACAGGGCCGGCCGAAGAGGAAGCAGCTGCCGACGTCCCCGCTGGTTTATTTGTCGCCGCTGGGAGCAGCGGATGTTCTGCGTCGGAATCTTTTTCCATTCTTCTCTTTGTTTCTCCAACAACTGCGACACCAGAAGATGATCCGTGGTCTTGCTGCTCTCGGTCGGCGTCCGCCAACGCGGAAATTTCGCGGAGCTCCGCAGCGAAGTCGCGACTCTGGTGCCAGTTCTGAAGCTGGAGCATCAAACTCGTGCGCGTGTCGATTGCAAGTCCATCGACCAAATGCTCTATGGTTTTCTCCATCTTCTGCCGTTCCTGCAAATTGTCCTTGCTCCGCTGGTCGGCTGTTGTAGTACTCAGATTTGTTGATCGAAGCCCCCGGGACGTTCTTGACCCTGCTCTACTTCCTGACGCAGTCTTTCGATGAAACTCACGTTCGTCTTGGGAGGAACCGTCCGACGATCCGTCACTTTGTTTATCGCTACGACCGCCGAAAGAGGAAAGGGACGAGGTCGTGCTCAAACTCGATTCCTCGGTCGACGACGAGTCTGAACTCGAAGACGAGGAGTTATCCTGTGCAAAAGTATCGTACTCGTAGTCATCGCAAACATGCATTACAAATCTTGCTCTTATTCTTAAGGTAAAACTGCATTACAAATTTTATTTCTCACGCTGGGGAAATTTGTAATGCATTTATACGAGTACGATACTTTTGCAATGCATAGGAGTCTTCGAACTCCAATCTGCCGCGCTTCCGCCGCATCGCTTTGGCCACTCGCCGGTCCGTCGCGTGATTGTCTTTGAACAGATTCGTAAGGGTCTTGCACAACCGATCCGAAATCTCCGCGAGTCGTGCGTGCGACGTCGACAGTGGTACCAGAACGCTGTTGCGACGCAAATTCATTTGCATCAACTGGCTAGCACGCCTGCCCTGACTCGCGCGACGTTGACTGCTGTTGTAACCGCTTGAATTTTGCTGTGGTCCTCTCCTTGGTGAGCTTGTGTTCATGTCCCGCCTGCTATCGCCCTGAGTCTTTTGATGATCCATTGCGGGAATGTCGACGGCTCCCGACCTCCTAGTTTTTTCACTTATCCGCTGAGACAATAGATTCTCATTCTTTTCTGGTATCGCATGAGGACGCGCAGTTTGAGCAGGTGCGATTTTGGCCATCAGGTCTTTAGACGGGGCGGCGTGTACATCTTCGTTCGATTCCGCACAGCTGTCTTTTCCCATCGTCCCGGTCCCCGCAGCAAAGGAACCCGTCATGGCGGCGGATGCCCGCCTCGTTTCCTGCTGCTGTTGCAGCAGGCTCCCACGCCGTGTCAATCGGGGGCTCAAGAGCTCCATTGTTCCTTGTTCTTGCGTTTCTTTTCTACCAAATAGAAGTTTCTGCCTTTGGCGCTTCAATCACGAATCGGCTCGAACGGATATGGAGCGCTTCGCCGAAGCCCAAGCCGATAGAACTGTTCACCTAGTAGAACACGCACAAAGAAAAATCCTGTCAGGCTAAGCCTGAGGAGTGCTGGGGTCCTCAGCAACAAACAAGTAAAAAGCTTTGGCCCCACAGCAAAGTTACTTGCTTCTCCAAGCAAAGTTTCGTGCTTCCGGCGATGTTCTTCTTCGAAAAGTTCATTTTTTGTTTTTTGTCGCTGGTGCTGTTTCGCAAATGTTGAATCATGAATTAGTACATGGCTCGTGGTTCGACGCAAGGTCTTTCTTCACACCCAGCCAGTCAAAACTTCAACGAAAAGCATAATGTCAGTACATCTCCATCGCAGGTCGGAAAAATTCTAATTGCTCCTATAATGCCTCCTCCATCTTATTTACAGATTGTATCTCATCTGAATTTCGCCGGTGGAAAAGAAACCCATTTTCTTGTAGACTTCGCTGTTGGATTCGGTGCAGTCCAGAATCACCTTGTAGCAATTTTCCTCCTTTGCGATCTCCAGCAAGGATAGGATCACCTTTTTCGCGAGGCCGCGACGGCGAAACTTCTCCGAGGTAACGACGTCCTCCACGTGCCCGACTTTCCGGCCACCACGCAAAAACTTCTGCTCCACGAGCAGCCCAGCGGAACAAACCACGCGCCCCGACTTCGGATGCTCCACAACGAGCACATGCGTGTTTGTCACCGCAAGCAAGGCGCGAAACCTGTTTGGTATAATTTTTGATGTTGCTGAGTGAAACTCATGAAGATTCATTTTCTTCCTTCTACCGTGATGAAATTGAAAAGGCGCCGCCTAGAAAGAATAAATCACTTTTCATATTAAGTTTATCAAAGACATAAGCGAGTGCGCACTTTTCGTCGTCCAGGTCACCAGGGTCCGAAAGCTGTGCGAGCAGCTCCTTGAAGCCTTTCGCAAAGTCGTCTGGTTGCAGTTTCCGCAAGATGTACTCCTCCCGCTCCTGCTCCACGTCCACGGAGAAGGAGAGTGGCAGCTCGGCTGGCGTGGCCCCCATCTCGTCTTCTCCTGTCGCGATCGCTCCCAGGTCCTGAACGCTTGCAGTGAGGAGACTCCTCTTCGACGAATCCAGAGACTCTGTTTCCGGCTCACGCAGTTCCTCCGCGTGATCAGCTGCCCCGGCTACTTCTTCTTCCTCCTCGGGTTGGCGTAGTACGGTTTCCTCTTGTTCTTCCTCGTCAGTGATTTCCTGCGCGGGTTGGTGTAGTGCCAATAATAGCCGCCTCAGCGGGGGTAGTGAGGTCATGGCGGTTTTTTTGTCTTCACTCCAAAAAACGACGCGGCTTCCCTTCCCAGCACCATGCCGCCGTGGGTAATGTTATGCACGACGGCACGGCGGTCGCTAAAAATCTCGGTCCAGAGGTGGCCTCCATTTGGTTTACACATGAAAAACCTTCCCCGCCTGCTCTGGCCCCGCCAGGGCCCCCACCAGGGTCGGCCCCTTGGGAACCCCAAATCGGGCCCATAGCATGCGGATTGGCTTTTTGCTTTTGGCGGACTTTGTTTTTTTCGTTTTTTTTATTAAAATGCCGCATCTTCTGGCCGTAAGTCCGCCTCTGAAATGGCGGATTTTGGTGGCGTCTTTTGCGGGGCCCGAATGTGCGCCAAAATGGGGCCCATACCGTGCGGATTCGCTGTTTTTTTCGGATTGTTGCTTTTCGGGCGCCCCTTTCTGGGCGCCCTAAACCGGCAGAAACTAAGGCGGTGGGCACCTCAGAAGGGCGCCCCTTTTGCCGGCTCCCCTGCGTCGTTTTATCAAGCGGGAATCGATAGCTTTCGACCGAGCTTGTTTGACGGCAAAGCCCCGCCCGCTGGATAATTGAAAATTTTTTATGTCCGAAAACACTTCCGCCCGCTTGATAACTGCCGGGCGTGTTGCTGTCTGACTGGCAAAAAAACCGCTAGGATAGAACGTTCGTGACCTCACTACATACGACTTCCTCTTGTTCCTCCTCGTCAATGATTTCCTGCGTGGGCCGCAGCTGTGCGATTTTTGTTCTCGACGACGGCGTAAACACAGATGATGTCCCGGTGCTGTTATTTTTACACAACAAGCTCAGTGCCGCCGAGGACGAGGAGTGTGAGGCCAGAGCTCCCGAAAGAAGAGAAGTTCCGTCGGCGCAGTCGTTAACTACGCGGTCGGAAGAGAACAATCCTTCGACTGAACTCGCTGGAGTCGAAGAAAAGAGCGCTGGCGCACCACCTGGTCTGCTTCGACTAGAAACCGCAACGCGTGTTCTTGTGTGGTCCTGATCTTCGGCAGACGAAGAACTGCTATCAAGGAATGCAGCGGACTGCCCCTTGCGTAGTTGCTCGTCGTCCGACTCGTCCGGATCTCCAAATTCCGAACTTTCAAATTCAGTCGCACTGCCCCCTGTCGCGGTGCTAGCAAGGGTCAACGACGTGTCGCTATGGTGGAACTTGTTGTCGCCCTGCTCGCCTGTGGTCTTTTTCAAATTGCGCTGCAGCTGACGCAACGCGTTGTAACGGTTTTCCAGCACAACTTCTTCTTCGTACGGATCTGTCACGGTCGGTGTAAGCTCCCCGCTGTCCAACACCACGTCCCCCCGAGCTTTGCGTTCCTCGCCGGAAACTGGGCGACTAATATTCGTCGAGATCTTGTACGTAGTAGCAGCTTTTTTCTTCCGCAGCGAAAGGCCGAGCGCTGAAACTACGCCAGTTCGTGTGCACACTGTATCTTCGAAGAAAGGTAAGGAGGACAGACACAAGTAAAGATAGGAGACTAGCACAGGAGCAAAAAGTAGCTTTTTCAAAAGTTGAAAAGCCGAGAAGGAAGTCAAAACTGTGTGAATGCGCAGTGAGACTCGTTTTCTTGATGCATTTGTTGAAACTTGTTTTCCTGCATACAAAAAAGAGAAAATTCCTTGAAATACGCTCCGAAACAAGATGATATTTTGTGGTAACGTTTTGCAAGCCTGAAAAAGCTTATTCATGGAATCGCGCGGCAACAAACCACATTTCGAAACCATGTCAGTGCGTTTCAATAGACAGAATAAAAACGAAGCAAGAACGGACATTTTGCAGCTGAAACTGTACAGATTTTCTCGTGTAGCTCTCGTCGGGTCAAAAATTCAAGATACGGCCGGGCCGCTTGGAGTTTCTCTTGATATTGTACTACTTACTTCTAAGCGGAAGAAGCTGTAGTAGTATTTTCGCAATTCCAGATGAAGTCTGTATCTTGACTTTCCGCAAGCGTATTTCCAATTTCATGAACGAGATGTGATCCTCCAAGATCGGCAACGCAAGACGAGTTGATTGATGAAACTGGCGGCGCAGAGCAACAAACGTGATCATCATAGTGTATGAGTACTTACACAGGCCAGAGCATGAGCAACTGCACTTGCTGCTGTCAAAATCAAATGTCAAACACGATAACGCATCAGATTCCGTTTGCAACGAAAACCTGCGCACAAATTGCGAAGTCCATTAGGATTTCCATTGACTTGCACCTCTGACATAATGTCAAAATAACGCCAATGTTGCGGTCGTGCACTCTAATTTTCGTATTCTTTCTTTTCTTTTACTTTCATCCTAGCTTCTTATTCTTGCAAAATCAACAGGAAGAGCTCTATGTCTACTAAATGGTTTTCGTTCTTTTGTTTTTTTTGTAGCTGCTCCGCTAGACTGCGCGAGGTGCGCACGACCTTGTGAAAGCTTAGAAGTGACACAATGATCAGAAACAAAAATGGGTAGCGGGCCAAAAAGACCAGCAACACACACACAGCGCACAAAATTGTTTATATCAGGAACAAGAAGATGCTCTTCTGCTATCCTTGGCACGTCTGAATTATCCTGGTCTACCAGAAACAGGTCGAAACTGTGGTTGTGGACGGAACGCATCGATGCAGCTGATGCCCTATCCGGTTTTCCAAGAACAACGGCCGAGTACTGGAGGTCGTAGCGCATTCACAATTTCGACTTGATCCAGTCCAAGGTGACGGAATTCGGGCGTTCGATTGGGACGCCCATCACCCGCGACCAGACTTGTTGCGCAGTGACGCCAAGCACACGGGATACACTAAAGACGACCGTGTAGTAGTCGGCCTCGGTTAGTCCGTAGTACTGCATCACTGTGCCGGACAAAGCATCCACGTTGGGCCACGGATTTTTCACTTTCCCCGTCGACGACAGCACGGGCGGAATGGCTTGGTAGCACATATCAGCAAGCTTAAACGTCGGATCATCCGGAAGGTTCCTGAAATTTGAATGATGTAATGCTCGGTAACAAGAAATCACTGAAAATAACAGCCTCAGCCCCACAAAAATAGCTCTGCTTGTTGCATTCAAGCACAAAAAAAAAATTCTTGTTGTCTTTGCATCTTCAGTCAAACGCTAGGGAAATCAAGAGCCAAAAACTTCCCAGAGTCAGAAACCAAATTGCTCCTTCTATACTCCTTGCAGAATTCGTATTCCAGCATGTAGCGGGGATCCGGCGCACGCAGCACGGCGTGACCAAAGCCCGGCACGACTTTTCCGCTAGCGAGCGTGTCCTTCGCAATCTGGGTGACATTCTCTTTCGTGGGCTCCGCGCCCTTCAGAACTTTCATCGTATCGTTCAACCAGCGCAGACACTCTTGGTTAGCCAGGCCGTGCAGCGGCCCGGCAAGACCGCAGTTCCCTGCGGCCCAGCACATAAAGGGGTCCGACAAAGCGGAACCACACACGTGTGTAACATGGGAACTCACGTTTCCACCCTCGTGATCCGCGTGCAGCATCAAGTACAGACGAGTGACCTGTTGTAAAAATTGCGACGTGAGTGCTCGATCGAGGAAATGCTTACACTAAAATTATCGTGCCTTTGGCGGGTATGAAAACTCGTGTCAGGATTGAAACTAGCCATTGTCAACAGCGGTGTGTTCGTTCCCTGTCTCTGTTCGTCACAAACCACGGCGGATGGCCGCGCGTGCCGTGCGTATAATGATCGATGGCGCGCACGGCTGCAAATGCAATTCCAATCTCCATTTTCAATCATCGATCCTGCTCGCGAACTTCTACGTATAAAAAGTACCTCTCGGAAGGGTTCTTCCTTGCCGGGCTTCGCGCAACTCAGCATGTTTGCGTAGTTGCCCGCCCAGTCGAGGTTGGGGTCCCAAGCGGGGACCTTACCGTCGTGGAACACCCGCCGGTAGATGTGCGCTGCCACAATGGGGATCTGCGCTACCAAGGTTAGCGAGTCGTCCAAAACGTACTGCCAGTAGTCGGACTTTTTCAGCGTACCCGCAGAGTAGGCAGCGTGAAACTTGGATTTGCTCTGCAGCGCGAGTAGGCAGATCGACAGTTGCGTCATCGGGTGCACGGACTTCGGAACCGCATTCAGGGTCTGAAACACGTGGGTCGGGATCGTCTGGGCCCGCTTCGAGAGCTCCTGACCGAGCTGCTTGGTTTCCGCAGCCGAGGGAACTTCCCCTGTCAGAAGCAACCACCATGCAGCCTCTGGTAACCCGGACTTCCCCCCGGGGGCTTTCGGTAACCTGTCATTGAAGCAAGACGCCACTAGATCGGAAGAAGCCAGTAATTAAGTACGTATCTATGGTGTTCCGATCATAATTCTTGCAGGAGTTTTCACAAAATCAAAAAAAAACATCTCCTTGATCGACAAGCGCAACATTTTGTCTCGATCGTAGTTGCAGCTGCCACTGCCGACGTGTTCGCGAGGATAAAAATTGCACTTCTAGCAAACCATCGATGCAGGAGATGTAGCACTGAAAACAAAAATGAAAAAAATCAGATATCCTGCCAGAACTTACTTTTCGTTCGCCTCCTTTAAGGGCATACCACGGTAGGTGATGCCTTTCTCCGGATGCAAGTCGCTCGTTTCAGTGATCATGCCTGGCATCCCGCGCATGCCTCCAAAAACCTGCGAGGGCGTCACTTCTGCGATTTTCTTCTCACTCTTTTTCACCATCGCAATGGTATCCTTTTTCTGCTGCGCCAAGGCCTGGATCTTTTTCTGCAGTGTCGCTACGATTGGAGACGTTTCCAGGGCAGTAGAGGTGGACTGCGCACCCGTCTGGTTTCCCTGCAGATGGGGAGTCGTTCTCTTGACGCCATGCTGTTCAGCGGCCGAGCCAGAGGTTGGTCCTGCCATTTTGGAGGAACTCGACCCTTCTGCTCCTCCTGAAAGAGGTGCCATCTTGGTCGTCTTTGGGGACGCAGAAAACTTACTGCAACCAGAGAGCACTAACGGGGATAAAAAGCACTTACTAAGTGTGACAGTTGACAAGACGAGAGGTCGGCAGATTGACTGCAATCTGCTTTGTCCACTCGCACTTTATTTCTTTACAACGATCGCTTCTAGCGGTCGAGTTCAAAAAAAAATTCAACGACCACTAGTTCGCGGATGGCAAGAATAAAGAGATGATGCGCGAAATGGGACTATGTCAATAGGTGCGGGCTGCTCGCTTCACGAGCTTTAGCTCTAGCCGAGCCTCACCGTCACCGAACCTCCTGTCGCAGATATCAGGACAAAGGGCTTCGAGGATTTACTCCACCAATGCCAAAATTTAAAAAAGGCCCGAGCAGTCTTGTACCGAAAAAAAATTTCAACAAGAATCAGACTCCATCATATCAAAAGGGAATTATCTATGGTATATCATGAACCTCCACAGATGACTTTTAGACAATCCGACGCAAGATTCTCCGGGGTCGGGCACATCAGTGTTCTTTCCCGGTTCTCGTCGGTACAGAAGTATAGTAAATGCACTATTACGTGATGGAGCTAACCGAAGGTTCATCGGACCGGTTCTTCACTTACTTTCAAAGAAAACCGATTCATATGCTAGCCGGGTCTCCGCACACCGACGCAGATCGCCAAATTCTGTTCTCCTGTATCTATGAAGACTGCTTAAGCTAAGTATCTCTGCGGTGATGCTGGTGAGCACATCGAGGTACAAAAGTCCAAATCATTAAAAGAGCACACATGGGAAATTTGGATAGCGGCGAAAAAAAAAACCCGCTTTGGTCTGGTACTAGTATTTTGTCGCTTTATCGAGGAGTTGGGTTCCTACGTGCAACAAGCTAGCGTGCTCGTCTCCATCTTACTGCTGCAACCTGTGCTCCAATACGTAAAGAATCAAGCACGGCATGTCCTCCTCCTGTCCGTCTTCATGGTTAGCTTCACAGAGTCAGTGCGCGCGTTTCTGGTTCGCTGCGAAAAAGAAGTACAATTGGTAAAATCATGACGACGAAACCATACAAACGTATCTGAAACGGCTGTCCCTGTCGTAGACACTCATTAATTCATTTCCTATCAACATAAAAATAGTGCTCTAGTAGGCTCACGACCACTCCGACAGACGGTGAAAGACTATCGTACATATCTGTTGCGCTGACTTTCTTTCCGGCTGCGATCGAGTTCGAGTCGCTTTAGTGCATGCCAAGTCTTTGTCTGCGACGCGGACGCGTCCTCCTTGTGGTCATTTGTTATCTTGTATCACGCCACCTCATAGTGTGACTAATCGTACAGGCAAGGCTCTTTCTCTTAATGTTTCTGTTACTTGTAATTGTATCGCTATCATTGGTAGTGCTCGTAGTTAATCATTGAGGAAAGATTGACAGGGAACAAGTACATGTTCATTGAAACTCATCCTAGCTTCGTAGTTCGGTAAACCCCAGCGCCCAACAACAAACGTGCTGGAGCTGCCTTACCCTTACGTTTAAGTTAGTTCTATGATTTGGTCCGGGTCCCAAACTCGAACCACTCGTCCGCGCTGAGCTTCACCTGCTCGCCGGAAAGTGCGTTCCCGCGCGTGGTAAAGGACAAGCGGCCACTTTTGTCGTCGAAGTGGGCAAGCCAAATTTGGTCCGCCAGGAGATACTGCCCGGACGTCAACCGCACGAACGGCACCTGGAGGTTTTTCGCATGAAGCATGGCAGCGAGGCTCGCGTCGAGGCTGTCCATTTTGTCGAAAAGGTACTTCCCCTGCAGGTCGTAAGACTTTTGCACGAAAAGGTCCACCAGCCGCTGCACCATCTTTTCGGCCTTGGTCGCCTGCGCCTGCAGGCTCCCGCGCTCGAGGTCGAACTTTTCAGACAAGTCCTTCAGCTTTGTGGCCAGTTGGTTCAGCAGCAGTTGTTGCTTGTGGTTCACCGTTTCTTTCTCGCCGAGCTGCTGTTCGTACAACTGCAGGTCTTCCTGCTCCGCGTGCCTGCCCACGTTCCGTGTCTCTAGCGACAACAGCTGTGCAGCCATTTCGCGCTTTTCGTTTTCGACCATCTCGCACCGAGCACGGTACGCCTGCAGGTCGTCCTGCAACCTTCACGATTGTTGTTCAGGTCGATATACTTCATCTCTTCAGTTTCAGATAAATCGCAACAGGGAGAGCGACACGTACAGTACGTCTGGTATTAACTATGTCAAAATTTTCTGTTTGAATCTGCACGAAAAGTGCAAGAGTTCGATGCCGCTGCAGTCACAACAAACATATTCGCGCCGGTAAGGACGTATTGAAAACGAGAGAAACACAAGCCGCATCATCACCTTTATTTTTTGCAAGGCGGATGTATAGTAACGCTAGTGGCTACATCCAGAAGCAGCAAAGATACCTTTTATTTTCCTTTCGCATGGACAGGCACTGCGTTTTCATGGCGGGAATGACATCACTTTGAGCCGTTTCCGTCTCCCTTCCGTAGGTGCGGCGCAACTCATCGAAGCTCTGCGTGAGCACATCAACTTGGGCATTTAGTTCCGAGTTGAGCTTGTGCAGCGCCTCATAATTCCACTGCTTGCCTCGGTAGTCATTGACCTCGTTGCGGAGCTTAATGAGCTCGAGATCCACGTGATTCTTTTCGTGCAGGTTTTTCGACGTGTCTTCTTGCTTCTTCGTCAAATTTTGGTACAGGGTGGTTCTCTCTTCTTGGCACTTCTCTAGGTCCTCTTGCGCGCGACGAAGGTTTTTGCGTTCCTGCTGCAGTAGTACACGACTCTGCTCCTCCACGCGCGCTAGCTGCAAAAGAAAAAGTAGAACCGTCATATTTCGTGGTATCATCATCTAAGTTTGCTTCCTAAACCCTGAAACCTAAACTAAACCCTTTCTGGATCGATCTTGAGCAGCAGATGAGGGTGGTGGCTGGATCGAAGGTGAGACGGTCGCGTCGGCAGCCATCCCGTGCCGGCGGCGGTGGCGGCCTAACTAAGCCTAACCCTAGGAGAGAAAAAACCTGCTTGGTGCCAGTTGGGCCCGGGGAACAGGAAGCAAGCAAAAAGGAGGATTATAGTAAAGCGATTTCAAAAAGATAAAGGCGGAGCAAACTGAAGGCCGGAGCGTGCACGCCCCTTTCTTCTTAAGCAATGTCGATGGTGATTCATCACCGAAAGAAGGTAGAATGCTTCGAATGGCTTTGGCTGTGTATCAATTCCACAACATTATCCCGAGCGAACAACGGTAGCACAACGAAGGTCCGGATACATGCATGCGGACTTATACTTACGACCGCCTCGTCGAGTGAAGTACACGACAAGTACTACTTACCTCTGCCTCGAGCTGGTCTCGTCGCAAGTTCGCGGCGAGGAGGTCTGACTTTGCTGCTGCGAGGTCCGCTTGTTCGTTTTGCTTCGTGCGACTGTCCAAGTCTGTCTTGTGCAGCTCCGCTGTGGACTGCAGTTGCAGCGATTCCAGCTTGAAATTTGCGGAGTCCAGATGCATGCCGGTCTCGTCAACCTTCAACTGCAGTTGCGATTTCTCCTCCTGCAGCTTCGCCACCTCCTTCTTCACCGCGTGGAGCGCGTCCGAAAAGTGCACGGCAGCCTGCGAATACTCCCGCTGCAGCTGAGACCGCGACTGCACATGCTGCGCATCGTGCTGCCTGTACTGCTCTATCTGCTGCCCGAGTTGCTCATGCGTCTGTTTATTGTGTGAGATTTGGAACAAGATTGCCGCAGGAACAAAACGTCACGCGCCTCCATTCTTTCACAGAAACACACGCTAAGTCAAAAACTAAATCTACTGAAGCCAGTCGACAAAAAAAAAATCAAGGTGACGCATGGTAGGCGTTGTTGACTTCTCCTGCAAGAATCAATAGAGGGAGTACTTTGAGTTTCCCCTCTAACAGAAGAATGTTAGCCTTCTGCACCCCAAGCGTTTTCACTAGTTGCTCCTGTTGGTCGCGCCCTTCATAGATGGTAGCTGTAGCTTCCTGCAACTGCTTCAGCAGGTTTTGGTTTTCGGCCAGGACGGCCTGTTTCACCAATGAATTCAAAGTGAAAAGGATCTTTGATTGCTACGAAAAACTTTTCAGATCATCATGATAATCACTGCATGAATGGTGTTCTTGGGTTGATGTTATGCAAGAAAGCTCACGGTCCGATGCGCTGTGCGCACGTGCATAAATCAAGCAGAAGTTGTACCCATGTATTTTTTCCATGTCCGTGACATGCGCGACGTAACCAGATGCGCCTTCTAGCAAAGACAAGTGTGCCAAGTGTTGAAGATGAACACCTACAGCTGCACACAAAAACAAGTATTCTATATAAGTAAAATTGTGGTACGTCGTAGTCCTTGCGTAGAGAGGAAATCTGTCCGCTGGTGGTGGCAACTGATGACTCCAGCATTTCCGTGAGATCTTTGTTCCTGTCGCGCGAGTGTATCAAAATGAAAAAAGCCCCCACCCCATATAAAATGGGAAATCTGTGCTGCAGGATTCGCGTACACAAATGCGCGCTGTCTTGCGATACAGCATCGCAGCCAGATCCGCAGCCTAGGGAGGGGCGTTTGGGTCTGGTTGCTAAGCATTGCAAACGGCTGTCCTCTAAGCCCAGCAGCATGCCAAATCGCTTCCATAATGGTGCGGCAGAAGTCTCTGCATTTGTCTTCTGTTCTTGCAAGACAGACGTGATTTGTGGTGTCAAATCAGCAAGCCAAATTTCTGGAAGCGTGCCTTTTCGATATGAGGAGGGGGGATTTTTCCTCTCAATAGAGTGCTCAAGCTGTTTCCGGGACCCTGCGTACTCGGCTTCCATAGTCTCGTACTTTTGCACTTTCTGCTCCAGCGTCTCGATGATTTTCCGGTACGGCTCCGTGCGATTCCACGTGAGTTCCTCGACCTGCTGCGCCATGTGCCCTTCAACGTGGTAATTCATCGATGACCCGGCGGACGACGTCAGCGGCCTCCCAGATCCAGCGGCGCCCTGCTCAGTGGTCCGTGCACCTCCGACATGATTATACTGCTGAGGGTGCATAATTCCGCTCGAAGAAGAAGTCGCGGCGGTTGCAGCCCCGCTTCCGCTTGTGCCACCTTTCGATGTGGTTTTCGTCCCGGGCACTTGCAGTGCACCGGCGTGCGTCCCTGCGCGGCCCTTGCCGGCCAACCTCGATGTGCCGCCCGGTGGCGACGAAGTACTAGACCCCGCTCCTGATGTTCCGATGGAACCATGTGTTGCAGCTGCCCCGCCCGCGGATCCAGAGCTTGTTATCGCTGATGTACTGCTGGTTGCACCGCCGACGAGCGAGTTTGCCGCCGCGGCGGCGGCCACCGAAGCGGCGTTGTAAGCAAGCTCCTGTGAGCGCTTGCGAAATAGTGACTCCAGCTTCGCGGTTACCTGCGGCGTGTGCTGCTTCACATCCTCGCGGTTGAAGTACTGCAGCACGACATGAATTTCCGGAGCCGGCAGCTGCACCGCCTTCTTACTGGTGGATGTGCTGCTGCTGCTGCCCCCTGCTTGATTCTGCGCGGTGGTGGCCATCTTTATCCAGATGTCGCGAAGCTGGCCGTGCGCGAGCTCCAAGTCCGAAACGGGAAAGGAAGCTACTTGGTCGCCAACAGTATACCGCAACACTCCGTCTCGCGACGGAGCCAATACCTTAATCGCTTGCGAAGGGCAGGGTACCTACGTTGAGTTTTGTTGTACGCACACATGCGAGGACTCCAGGTGGGCTACAGTTTCGTAGCTTACTCTTGAAAGGTAGTAGCACAAACTACGCCGTAATGGAGGCACGCCATCAATAAATAAAAATCATTCAAATGCATATGCAATTACGAACAAGCACTTGCATAATGAGTGTGCGTTGTGGGACAGCGTATGCGTAGGTCGTGGGCTTTTTCCCTACAAAAAGGGCTGCGGACGAGTCGAATGGAAAGCATTCATGAGTGAGATATTTATGAAAGATGGAGCACTTTTGCAAGTTGTCACCAGCAGCATCAATTTGCTATCCTTATACTTCCATCCCGTAGTCACAACAGGTAACCATCACTGCCGGCGCCGCACCCGCAGTGGGGGGAGAGTTTTTCAACTCCAAGACGGCCGTCAAAACATATGGGTCCGGTGGTTCCATCATCCCACCTCCGTCGCCAGGCAGCATCTTCACCCTTGTTTTTGGGCCCGGGAGCAAAGCAGAACGAAATCAAGATTCGAAGCTGTGCGGCCCGACTCCTCTTCGAGCGCTGTCTGTATGTAACTAATGCGCTTTTCCTGCAAGAAACTTTATTCAGCAGAATTGATGTGAGAATGAGAAATGTGGAAGGCTTCTTTCGTGGCAAAATATTTCCTTTTTATACTTCCAGGCGCGGTCATTCTTGTTGTTGTTCTCCCTGCTCACAACTACGCCCACCTTCTTTAATTCTCACAAAAGATCTAGGACTCCAATTTCGCTTTTCTCATGACGTGCACAACCAGCTCAATGCAGCAACACAAAGAAGGCTGCATAGGAATCGCCGACAAAATTTTGTCCGCTTGCACTGCTGTGTCGAATATTCTTCATTGAAACCCAAGGTCTATCGGGCTCTTGCATGCTTTCCTTGCTGGTTTCGCAGAGACAGCAAGCGTGCTTAGAATGTCTGACATGTTTTTTGTATGTACAAGCGCATTTTCCATCTCATGAATTTTATTTGTTCTGCAAGTGGGGAAGCAGTATTTCGCCGTCATCTGGTGCTGCAAGCGCCCTTAAATGCGACGCGCTTGATTTCAAGTCTACTACGTTTTGAAAAAAACAACTCGACGACGAAGCGAGGACAAGGACCCCTTGTCCCACTAGCCTATGCATACATACTGTGAAACCTTTCACCAGGGGTCAAAGTCTCGCACCGCCTAAAAACCCGACAGAGCTGGAACCTGTAGAAGTACATCTGGGCGGAGAAAAATGTCGTTGCGATCTTCTCGCCCTACTCAGTTATACTTATATATATATATTCTAGTAATTTTACAAACTATATCAGATCGCTTTGGTTTACACGCTTTTAGAATCTGCAGATAAATAAATCTCATCAGTATGAGAAGACCTATGGCTTCCACCTTGTCTTTCTCTTTTTGCTTTTCTCATTTTATTTTCATTGGTACAAGCGCCCCCCTCTTTATTCTTAGAACAACAACGACTACGACAGCAAAAAACTGCTGAAAAATATAGCGCTAGAAGGCCTGAGTCCGCAGAGACGCTTCCGAGCTCAAGGAAAGCAACTTCACCAGCAACTCAGGAACTAAGCACGGTCATGGACGTTGCAGCGGGAAGCTACTGCTTCCGGATGCCTCCGCATGCGGAAACTGAGCAGCCCCGATACTCCGTGGCAGCTGCGCAAGATGTGTTGGTCTCGTCGCCCGCTTTTGCTGTGCACTTGCAGGAGTCAATAATGGCCCAGAATATGACCAGCTCAACTGTTACATTCTCAGCTGCTTGCAGATTCATTTTTTGTGACCCAGGCGAAATCAATTTATGCAAAATATCACATCTCCAGCGTGTTCCTCTTTTGCATCAGGACGCCCACGTCCACGAGCGCGAGCACTGTATATTCTTGCTTTGCGCCTCGCGTGGTCCTCGTGACAAGGTTCTTTTCAAACAACAGACACCAAGCGGGCCTTGTAGAAGGAAAGCTTGTGGCAACCATACAAGGCACGCAAGTAACGGCATCGGCAACGGTAAGGAGCGCAGACTAAAGAGTAGTCGCAATGCCAGCGATATCATCACCATCTGCAGGTGAAAAAGAATAGCCTCGAGACTGTAACCTGAGAACTAGACCATACAGATGTTGGAGCACTTCAGCTTGTCACGGTCAGCTATGGTCGTTGGAATTGTATGATCTTGCACAATTATCCCTCGGACTTTTCTAGATTCAAAGACGGAAACATCAAAAGTCCATCTTCATAGGATGCCTTATTTCGGAGTTGCACCACTGGGACTGTGTCTGTATGACGATGCGCACCTCGACAGCGCCGCGCGTTATAAGTACCTAAAGTTAGTTGCACATTTGTGTTGTCTGTAGGCTTGTCACAACAGCGCTGCACTTCTTTCCTTCGTTTTCGTGCAGCTCCTCAATGAACTCAAGCGAAGGAAAAATTGTGCAACTTCGTAGTTTGGCGAGTCGCCGTACATTGTGACTCCAACGCACGTATTGTGAAAAAAAGCACCCCCCTGTGATTTCTTTGCACGGCGATCTGCTTGAAGCTGTTTCTATCTTCTATCTACTTACTTGCTCCTGTAGCAAGTACATGACGCGTTTGCTTTGCATGGCCAAAACTTGAACTTGTTGCGTTGCGCCCCTCGCCTGCGCCTGTCTCATCAAAATAAAAAGACACGAGTGAAAGTAGGTGAAACTAGTCCTTGCTAGTGGACGACATCGACTTTCCGTACCTACACAGTCATCTGAGCAATCTTTAAAAATTGGGCACCAGTGCTATCGCAATTGCTGCACGACTTTCTGTTTCTTCTTCGGAGCTTTATCAAATATGTATCACAGGTGGAGACCCGTTTAGTAGGTTGGATAGCACTCCGGCCGAATGCACTCGCGATCCATGAAACCGGTCGTGACCATGTCCTCCTGCCAGTTATCCCGGATAGGGCGAAGGCCAGGAAACTTTGCCTTGTAACTCTCCGGGAGTGCACGTGTACTGGTTTCGCCGAAGGTGGTTTCGCCGAGAAAGCATCCTATGGCCCCCTCAACTGTTGTTACTCACATTTTCATCAGCTGTTCTTGCATTCATCTTTTGGCGATCATGATTTCATTTGTAATGTTTTTTTTCCAGCTAATGCCAGGCATGGTGTCGCGACAAGTAACAGGGAGGTGGAGACCACCTGTTACATTCCAAACAAAAAGAATTTGTGTCGATATACAAAGAAAACGAAAACATCAAGATGCTTGCAACGGCTGAAAACGTGAACAAAACTCGTCCTGCAGAGACCACGATACGTCTAGGATGAGGTTTGTGCGGGTCCAAACTCGAGATTTCGTTGAACCGTTGGAAGGACCGGTAGAGTCGGTTGCCACTGTCGGCGCAGCGAAAACCCTGCTGTTTTTCAACCGAGCTGGTGGAGTCCAGTCCGTAGGTGGGCATCATCTGATATGCGCCCGTCTTCATTATCTGGAAGATACATCGCTCGTCGTCATCGTCGTAGATAAACCCGCCACAGATATCCCGCGGCACGGACATGCAGTGCCTTTCGCAGCGCTCCAGGAAATCCACCAGCTCCGCCTCGCTCCCCCCGAACTGCCGGAAATCTGTCTCGTGTGGTACGCCTTCGCATCAAGACGAAAAATTCCCCTCCCCACACGCAGACAGAAATATTTTTCCTCGTGCCAGCAAAGCCAAACAAAACACAAGTGTGGGACAGATATGCTACCATGACTGGCGCCGGCGCTCGGACGTGAAGCGGAACATTCCTCATTTATCACCAAGACACGGAGGAAGAAGACGGGGCCCGTGGGAGGTAGAACTGACTTACTACTTAGTTACTTCTGCAAATCCCTGTGACTACGAGGCATGCGCAAACTCAAGCTAATCGATAACATCTGCGCATCGGTATTTATTTTTCAGTGCTGTCGTGTACTACTAAAGTGCTCTGCTTCCTGTAGGAAAGACACAAGCCATGCTCAACAGCAACATGTTGCAGGCCTGATAGAACTCGAAATCCGCACGCCCATACAGTATGTCTTTGTCCAACAAACGTATATCAAATACTGTGTCATACCACTGCGCGAAAATCTCACTTCCAACAATATGCGGGGGAGGAGTCGTCTATTTGTGTGTGTGATAATCCCCGCGGAAACCGATCGCGGACAAGGTAATTATCGTTGCCAACCGCAGCTAGATTGACTGGTGCGTAAGGATCGTCGTCTGACGTGTTCACACACGTTTGCGGCTTGTAGTTTTGCGCGGCGTCATCCCACTGAACGTGCTCCAAGAAAACAGACACGTAATTTTCCGGGCTTGTGATAGGCTGATGCGCTTGCCCGTGACTTTGGAATACGTGTATGGCGTTCTCAAACGTTACATTCTCAACTGTTACATGGATTTGTAACGCAAGAACAGCAATACTGAAAGTGGCACTATTGCAGCTTTCGCATCACAGATTTTCCACAGATTTAGATGCTATTTAGCCCTTCGAAGATTTGTCATGCTACCCACCTTGATCAAGTGGAGGCTGAAGCTGATGGCAATTTTGCATGACAAATCCGTGTAACAGTTGAGAATGTAACAGTTGAGAATGCCATAACGTGGTCCCTGTCCGTCGGGCATACAAACACGGTGTACGTCCCGCGGCCGTTCGCGTCGTTGCCATACAAATGCGCCGTGGCTCCCTTTTGGCAATGTCCTGTGCAAAAACGTTCCGAACTCTTGTTGCGACGTTTTTGTTATCTAATGCTGCCTTTCTTAAGTCAGGTGTGCTATTGAAGATGATCACGTGGTCCTTCATTGATCTGTATCCCGAGAACTGCCATGATGATGTTGATCCTGCCTCTGAAAACTCATTGCTAAATTCGTCATCCACCTACAAAGAGAAACTAGCAACAGGTGGCTTGCCACGTCGACAGCTCGCAGCTGGTATTAGCAAACGAGAAATCATATTTTCTTGTGCATCGCCTTATTTGCACAACTCGTGGCTACATTCTCATCCTTGACACAGGCACGTCGTGCTCCTTCGCCAGTCCGAACAGGATGACGGCTTCAAACTTCCGGCACAGCTAGATTTTTGACATTAGACGAAGGGTGCTCACAACAAGGGCCGGCGACAAATGTTCTCCGACGGTGCACTGGATAAATAGGTGCGAGTGTACATGACGCCGGTTTTCGTCGTGTCTTGAGAAGGGCCCGGGAATACGATTTCTTCCGAGTCGGAGAATAGTCCGGCCGTGGCATCCGCATGGCTGAGAGGAAGCGCCTTTTTCCAGAGGGCACGGTCCGGCCAATAGTGAAACCCCACGTGGCCCGCTGGGTCGTCGTCCCACATATTTAGATACACCTGCCCGCCGGTTCGCGTAAAGTCAATTCTCGTCTGCGTCTCGTTGAAAGGAGTATCGCGATCGTTGTTCGGAAGTTGCAGGTGACGGCACTGGTCTTGTGCCTTTGCTTTGTGGTGCGAGTCAACGTAGTTGCGGTCCCATCGTTGCGGCAGCCTTTGAAGCTTATATAGGCGGTCGGAGTGGCTGTGGATGTGTTCTGTCGGGTTGGCCTGCAGCCCGCGCCGGATCCATTTGAACGGAACCTGGACCACCGGCGGGTCATTCACCTTTCCAGTATGAACTTCAAACGGCGGGGCAATGCGGTACACACTGACCGCTTTACCGCTCCCGCACTTGAAACCGGCATCTGCATATCGCGGGCACTCCACGCATGGAGAGTTGACCTCGTCCGAAACAAACGTCAGAAGCTCGTTGGTGCAGCGACACCGGTACTGCGTCCGGTCCACTTGGTACCCGGCCTTGTCCGCATCGGCTTCTACTAAGATGCAAATGTCCCCCGACCACCGTAAAAATGGACAACGACACTTCGCGCTTTTCGATTTGTCGGTGTGTGTCAACGAGGATAATAGTCGCGGTGCGCGTCATTCTAAATCTCGCAGCGGCAGCCCGTTTCTCTTTCTTCTACAGCATGAGAGTAAAAGTGCAAATCCAAGGTTTGAAGTAGTCCCTGTGGATTATCCTTCCCCGTCCACCTCTAAGTCTCACGATGACAGGCATGGATTGATAGCTGTTGATGGGTAGTTCGCTTGAAAGGACGAGAGAGCTTCAGATATTGTATTATTGCCCATCTACGTGTACTATGATTTTTTATTTTATTCCGCAAACTCTGCATGAAAACATAGCCCACAGTTTGGTTTGGAGAAACTGTGCATAGGATGAATGTGCTTCCATAATAACAGTCTTGCAGGTATTCACTTGACGCTCAGCTTGCAGAAAGTAGGTAGTGGCGCTAACGTTCAGATGGCTGGATAGCGCGGTGCTGAGGGGACCTTGCTCTTGATATAATCAGAAATCAGACCGGAGGCCCCCTCGTCTTCATCTCCTAGAGAGATGCCTGCATATTGAAACGGAATCAGGTTTTCTGCTCCCTCATTTCCGGGCTATTATGCATTCCAAATCCAAAATGTCACCCTTGTGTGAACATGAGCTCCTGCATCAGAAAATCAACAATTCTTCGCATCGCAGCAATAGCACGGCAAAAATCACGCGAATCTCCAGTACGAATCGAGAACGAGACAAGGCCAAGAAAGCGGAATTCTTCATCGACTACATATCGTGTTACACTGCAGAACGCAACTCAATAAACGAGCGTGGTGACACTCTACATTTATGTAGCGCATACCTCTTTGACATCTTTGATAAGATTGTACGTGTTTAGGTGCTCAGTTTGGTCAATGAGACTGGCACGGTAATTGTGCATTGCAAAAATGTCTGGCTCGTCGGGAATGAATATTGCTGCATATCTGTGGCTGAGAAGCCCTCGCAAAACCTCCTGTGCTCTCGGGGCTTGCGTGTGCGTCCCAGTAGACCGTCTATTCTTACAAGAACTAGCAGGTGCGACAAAAACTGCAGGACAAACGTGTAGCGCTCTGAGCCAGACCCAAATATCTCTGCAGCTGATAGTACTCCAACGCACACCATTCAGCGCAGCGGTACACGGCGGAAGGCTCCAGCTGGTAATCGCCCGTCAGCAATTGCAGTGAGTCACTGGACGGCTTGGTGTCTTTGGTAGCAGAGCCTGTGCCGCGCGACTGTTCTCGGGACTCCAAGAACGGCAGCTCATCCCAGGCATCAGCTCCGGCTCTGTTGTCCTCGTCGTTCGGATCTGTGTCATGTGTGTGTCCCCTCTTTGGACCGACATAGCAGCCCACTTCTGTCAGAGCGGCCTTGTTTCCGATCGTGCTCTCAAACTCTGCGTTTGCCACATTGAGAGGTTTGTGGTTCGGGTACCCCGTATCCTGGTTCTGCAAGGTCACGCGAAGCGATTCAAGAGGACCGCCGCCAAGAATAGGATGCGTACTCCAAAAGGGTAGGCGTGCCACATCGTGTTTACTTGTAATGTCCGTCACCCAGCATTTATCACAAAGAAAAAAGCACATCCATACCATGTATAAACATTGTCCATTTCGATACCGACGTGATTGGAAAGCATTCATTCAGTCAGTAGGTGCTTACCCGGGTTTAGAATTTGTTAGCTTCGTTTCTTTCATCAAGTCTTCTTTTCTCGGATGATTGGAAAGCCAGAGTATACATTGATTTCATGATGAACACGAAAATCCAATTGTTTTCTGCCAACATGATCACGCGCAGGCGAAGAACTTTCCTGTTCATGCCTATCCTGTGTCCGCTCTGCGTGAAAATTCCAATAAGGATGCGTACATCATGACGTCAACCCTTTCAGATATGGTGTGACAGTCCGTTTTTTCCTGATAGTATTGGTTCGTGTTGAGTGGGCTGACAGGGGTCTGACCACTCGTGCTGGCAGTCTTGCTTGCGGTCTTCCCCTTGGTTGTACGACCATGCTGCTCCTTCTGCTGGAGTATCAACGAGGCTGCTCCGCTCTGTTGTTTTTTCTGGCTTTCTGGGATCTTCCACACGCCGGCGGCATTAATCAGCAATGCAACTTCTCGTAAGTAGCATGCGATCGCGACACTGCTTCGTGCGTAACTGACTGCCGAGGACCATCTTCTCCTACCCCGGCTGCGACGAGGTCGAACCATCGTCACTCAACAAAACAGATCTGATCCTTACATTTTATGCACTTGCAACTATATCTGCGAGGGGTTATATACCTCCCGGATCCCTAAGTGTATGAGTGCCGGATTTGTAGTCGTGCAGGCATGATGAAGCAGAGGGAGCGGGCGTCGTTTATTCAAAACACGGCATGCATTCGTAGTTCCTCTGGCGATTTCGTTCTAGTATGCGCCGCCTCCCTTGGAGATCCTCGTCGTGAGACTGAGAGATTGTGTGCGGAAATGATATTACGCAAGAACTTGTCCGCAGCGGGAATCGGCAACACTGATGATTGCGCCGCCCTGCTCCAGTACCAGACCTAGCTATCTGCAAACGACAGTGCATGGACTGTCGAGGAAGAGGTGTTTATTCGTCGGTACATCCGTTTTACGGTCTTGCGGTCCACCTTCCATGCCTGTCGCTTGCCCCTCGCAGGTTCAAACCTGGAACCCGAAGTTCAAGACACCTTCACCAGTCAAAGACGCATCAGAACGTGCTGCGTGCTTGTGCCTAAGACAGCATGACACTCGCCATCTTCATGCGGCTTCAAATTGCATTTGCATCGCTCTTTGTTCATCGAACTGCAACTGTCTACTTTACTACATTCCCCGTGGCAGTAGTGGAGCCCTCTCATCTTGGACCCCTCTTCCGCTCACCCGGAACAAGCATTCGAAGTAGAAAGACCAAGATAAAGAGGAATACTTGCTTCCTGGATCTTGTAGCTTACGCTCTCATGTGTTCTGAACCTATCTATCATGTGGTAGGAGGTTGTTTCATTTGCAAGCGTTTATACAGGTGCAATTGTTTTTCCCACACATGGGCTTGTTTTGATTTTGCTTTTATGATGAGACATTTATTGCAGACTTACAAAAACGCGACTGCTCAAGCGCTCTTCGACCCTGGCCTTGGGTAGATAGACCGCTAGAAAGAGCAGCGGTAGGTGTAACTGCAATCAACTTTATGCAATGTTGAAAAAAACATGAAGCAAGTACGGAGCGGCAGCGCCCTGCCATATTATACAGATTGAAACAGCACCAGCACATTGCATATCTTCTTGCTCTTGGAGAATCGTCGGTAAGTTCAGGTGAAGCAGGTGTCCAATGCAAATGCGTCACAGGAGTCCTTCGCACGAAATGGAATCTGCTATGCTTGCTTCTGCCACTGGCTGCCACATGTAGTGGCACTGCCTGACTATCTGCTCGTCGCGGCGGACCTAAATTCTGAAGCTTGGAAACAAAGCTGATCAGTCTAAAGCTATGCACCTTTATTCCACAATTCTGTGACGCGTTTGCATATCACTGCGGTGTGCTATACTCATTTCTCCACCATTATAGTGCTTGCAGGATAAAAAAAAGGTTAAGGTGTCTGGTAGTGCCTCGGGTGTCGTTGCGAGCACCCTTCACTTCTCCCTTAGTTTGAGTTTGTTAAGGTTAATATATAAAGTAGATTTTATAAAACATTTCCTTTCCCCGGCACGTGCAGAAACGAGCAGAAAAGTAGTACGCTAGTATCGATTGACTACTCTGACCGTACGAAGCATCCGCCCTCGCCCGGCACAATTGAATTGGCTCTCAAAATCATCGCAGCGTCACTATCTAGTAATTGTGTCTTCGTGTTTTCCGTAAAGCAGTGGATCGATTATTCTTAAATTACATGTGCATTTCTGAATATTAATTCATTATCCCCAGGAGCGGGCTTCGTGTTTTCTGCGCCTCCCCGCGATCGCCGCACCGTCTCAAACAGTCGCAGAGAGGTCCGGCGTAAGGACAAACTCCTACATAAGCACGTGCTCCGTCTGCTCATGGAACATCGGGGCGCGGCACAGAACCAAAGTTGTCGATGGAGATAACGGCATTCAAACGCTGGAAGGATCGCCGGGTGTCCGAGGGGTTGCAGGCCTGTTCTGAGATCTCGGTGCTGTTGCTGAAAAGGCACTTCCCGACGGGCTCGGTTTCGGTGGCGCTGGAATTGAAGACGTACACAAATCCCCCGCAGCCGACTTGGGACGTCAATCCACAATGCTGCCCGCAGCGCGTTAAAATCCCCATTTCCGTTTCGTTCTCGAAACGTTCCAGAAACTTGATGCCTTCGACGTTGGCGGTTATCAAATGCAAAAATGTCTGGTTCTGGAAGAGTGCGCGATTTGTCATGCATACCCGACTGCACCACATCACGTGCGCGATTTGTCATGCAGCTTTTCCATGACCAATGAGGTCTGGAATGCAGGACCTAGCATGACAGATTCTGTGCGCTCTCTCTCATGCCTATGCTGCATGAGAAACTCCCGCCCGACTTGGCCAAAACTGGACGACTTTTGGTAATCATGCAACACAGATTTTTGCAAGCTTCAGATTTACCATGACAAGTTGCATTCTTCCAGACCCAGACATTTTTACATTTGATAGCGGTGGCCTTGCCGCAATCTTGAAACCGGTTTTTCACGGTGTGCTCCATGTACTGTATCATCACTGCGTTCTATCACGAGAAAAAAGTGTTACAGTTACACACTTGTTGGAGTTTCTGCATCACAAATTTTCTCTGTGTGGCAGAGAAAACTTGTAATGCGAAGATCCTAAGGGAAAACAGGAAGGAAAAGAGGCTCGGAAGCATTTCCCGCATGAGAAAGGTTGTCTCTGTTGCCAGTCTTGCATGACAATGTGTAACTGTAACACTTTTTCTTGCGATACGTTCCCGAACGGATTGTCTGCATACGGCTTCTTGGGGCACACAAACACGGCGTAGGTACCATGCCCGCTGCCATCGTTTCCGTACAGCAGCGCTGTGGTCCCTGTTAGTTTAGGGCGGGAGTAAATCTTGCAACATTTCATTTGGATCAACATCTTCTAGCTCGTCCTACTTGATTTTTGCTCAAGGCTAGCGCGAAGTCACGGTTCTGCAAAAGCAAAATAAATGAATGTCGTCCATCATAAAATCGTCTTCTTACCGCGAAAATAATTCCTCTGGTACACCGGACCCTGGAAGGTGACGCCGCTGTCATTGAACTTCAGGCCCATCGGGATAGCCGCACGTTTGTTCCACCGCACTTTTTCTGGCCACTTAGTCCACCCGAAATGCCCTGTGTTCGGGTGCTGGATCGAGTCCCACAAATCAACGTAAACGGTCATATCCATGTTTGTAAACTGATTTTGTTTGATTTTGTTTTTCATCCTCACAAAGTCGGAGTCTGCGGAAGCACGACTCAGGTATCTGAAGAAGCATCTGTCCACCTCACGCCTTCTTTTTTTCTTGTGCTGGTTCCAAAAATAGGAATCACTTTACTAATCATCGTGATGAAACAGCTCCTGTACGTCCAAAGAGGTCTGTATCGCGTAGCTTGGCGTGGCTGCGTCGTCGTTAGGCAGCTGCAGATAGCGGCACAGAGGGTCCAGCTGCGACGGCCACGACTCCATCAGAAAAGGTCGATCCTCGAATACTTGCGTCTCGTACTTCTTCAGGAGCTTGACAGGCAGCGAACGAAATTTCTTTCCACTGGTCTGATTTACCTCGAACGGCGGGGCTGTAGGTGTAGGAGTGAGAACAATACAATTAGAATTATGTCCAGGTAGCGTTGTGCATATTTATGCTAAACAACTTTGCTGCATATTTATTTGTCGCCTCTTCGACGTCTGACACCCTCGTCCGTCCCATCTCGCCTGATGTCTTCATCCACAAGGACATAAGTAGTAGGCATGGTGCGTGATTTTTCCAACTTTCTTAGACTTTGTCCTTATCGATAGAAGATGAAGTTCAATTCATATGACATAGATACATCACCAACCGCTGCATTCCTACTTCTTTAGGCGAGCGCGTAAACCTAGAAGTAGAATAACCATGAAGAAAAAGCGTAGCTGTAAATACTGATGCGAAAGATGCTGACGGCATCCGAGGAACCACACTTGAGGCCAAGAGTCTTGTCCTGTTCGCGGTCCGCGCATACGTCGCAGTTGCCCATTTCTCCAAACCGGTAGATGCCAGTCGCGCTCGTGACATCGTCCCCGCAGTAACACTTCAGCTCGGTATCGCCCGCACTGCCTCCACCCTGAATGCCGATGAACTCGTAGGGGTAGAGCCCGTCCACTACTTTCTTGTCTCCCAAGGTAGCATCGAGGGAACAGTACTCGGCACAAGCGGTAACGAAGGACTCATTAGCGGCTCAGTATGCCGTCACGCAACTACGCCTCCGTCCAAAAATTTTGTCACGGTGCTCTGGATGGGTGGTGGTCCCGTTGCTCTTCATAATGAAGATGATGTCGTGCTGTCTCTCTCCTACATCTACTGCACAAGACTGATAAAAATTTGAGGGCGGGGGCATAGTTACATTGTATACGAGATTCATACTCTGCAAAGTAATTTCGTTATCCGGGAACGCGTGATCAGCACCAGACGCTGCAGTCCAGCAGCCCATATCTTGGAAGTCCTGTTTTGCACAGATTGTGCTGTTTCCGTTCGGGTAGGCGGCCGCCGGCGGGTCTGGGGGCGAGGCGTCTGCGGAAACTCTTGCGATGACCTTTTCGTTCAGGACGGCGGAAGAGGATGCTGCTGCCGACGCTTTCTTTTTTACCACTTTATCACTAGTACTTCTCGCTGTTGTCTCTGTTTTCTTCTTGGACGTTAATGCGGTGCTTGGATCTGTTTCCTCGCCCGTCAGAACGGACGTGCTCTCGAGCTGCTCCTTGCTCTTGTCGAGCTCCTTGGTGTGCAAGGCGGTGCGGAGTCGGGCCACTTCTTTTTCTTGCTCATGAAGTCTCGCTTTTACCCGAGCCATTTCGTCCGTTTCATCGTCGTCATCGGTCTCAGAAAGGAAGGAACCGCCCTTCGTCTTGCTGCTCATCAGGCTCACATCGTCGCCTTCATCTCCTGTTCCTTCGTCAGCTTGTGCTTTGACTTGTTCGTAGTTGTTTGCGAAAGGAACTAGACTGTCGGCTGGTTCATCTCCCGAAGACTTTTTGCTCCCGGAACTACTGTCTCCCTCCATGGGATCCGTGCTATCCGCGCCACTTGCTGTCCTCTGGTCTTCCACGCTGCTCGGCGGGAGTGCAACTTCGCTCCGCTGCGCTGCTGGGGTCGCGGCGGAAACGACGAAGTTGCTCTGGTCAACATCTGGGCTTCCCCCAACATCAGCCGCAGTCTGCTGCCTATGATTCTGCTCGAGTAACTCGATTTCATTCGGAAGCTTGTTTCCATGATTTGTACCTTCTCGCGTCAGTTGCACTTGCAAGATTCTACTCGTTCGCTGCTGCTGGTCCTCCTTCAGCGGACCTGCACTGCCACGACCTCCTTCAGAGGCGGGCAGTTCCACAAAAGCGGCTTCGTCTCCGTCGAATGCACTGCTGGTGTCTGTCAGTGGCGTGTCAAGCTGTTGTAGGAGATCAACGTCTTCGTTCGTACTACTTGCGAGGGGTTGCGCAACCGCAGCTTGAGCCTGCGAACCTCCTACTGGTGGTGAACCCGCACCAGCGCTGGCATCTCCTTCTCCCCCCGCGACGTGCGACGAGAGACCGTGTTTCTTTCCCCCTGCACCGCCTTCCTCCTGCACCTCCAGCGACACTACATTGCGGCCGCTCTTGCGTCCGCGCTCGAGTGCCGTACTGGTGGCCGGAAAGGAGGAGGATATAGCTTTTTCCGGCGTTAATATCCTGGCGTGCGTGCGGGCCGCGGACCAGATGCCCGCCGAAAGCACAAGCCCAAAGTTGCCGCCCCGGGGGCGACCGCCCGGCCGCGACCGCGACCACATTACGCGTCGATTTTTTGCTGCAGCAAACCGCAGAGGACCACGCAGAGCGGTCGGCTCACCACCGACATCCTAATCCTTTCCTCCGCGATACACTGGTGACGGAGACTCGCTTACTATCAACAGGCTGCAACAATCTCAATCTTTGCCAATGCATCATAATGACATTACTGAAATTCTGGAAACACTTTCTCTGTCATAAGTAGTTGCAAGGCATTTCATCACTTCAATCTTTGCGTTGCAACTGGCTTCTTCAGGCTTCTGGGACAGGGACACCCACACCCGCCCGTAGGAATGGTCCATGAACGACCGCACGACTGCGTGCCTGTTTCGTGCACCAGAGAGAGCAAGCTCATGACTCGCACTATCTACCACTCTTGGGTCAACAACTTGACTTCTTTTCCGCTCACACAGTTCATCTCGCGTGGTCGCATTGCAGTACCAGGCTGCGGGTACAGGTGCTACTCGACGCATATCGCGAGAGTTTTTGTCAACTCACGCGCTCGTCTTTCATTCTCACTTTAGCGTCTTCGTCATCTGATGCGTACCGCAATTTTGTCCGCTTCCTTGACAGCTGCTGCAGTGTAGTCGTAGGCGTAACAAACGTTATTCACCTTCCGAATCAAAATCAGAATACAAGAAGGATCCCCTTCCCTGGGGTACCGAGGCTCCCGTTGCTGTGTGGTAGATAAAATGTGTGAGTTCGAGTGGTTGTTCTTCATCTTCGTATTCGTTGTTTACAAGCATTGTCTTCAAGAAAAAATAGTTTGCTCGATCTTGGATCTGAGTAAGGTCACTGCAACTACGCCGCCGTCGACATTGAAAGTGAATATCTGTAAACGGAGCGCGTGTGCTCTCGGGGTGACCCACCGAATCACAGCGAAGCCTTTCCGTCTGCATGCTCCACCATCATTTGTTCTCATAAGCACCATCACGAGGACGTTTCGTCGTGACTTTCAACCATCTGTATTCTCAAAAGGACAGCCATCTGCAGCCCGGATTTGCTGCGAACCATGTTAGTTTGTTGAAAAATACTCTGGAGAGTGCACTAGATACTTCATATCATATTTGTTCCATCGGAAAGAAATCAATCTTACATAATGACCGTTTGCGAAAGGGAACTCAAAGAGCCGCACGATCTAAAAAAAGCTGTGGCTTGTGTTCTTAGGCCATCTTCTGCTCCCACCTCTTGTTCAGACACTTACCTACTGATGTCATCTGTGGTGCTTGACGTGACGATCGAGGAGGTGCGGCGAAAACTCCCACGGCTCTTGTCGCCGGATTCCTCGCAGTTTGCCGGATCAAACGGGGGCAGAAACACGCAATCTCCGCGGACGTTGGCTCCCCCGTAGGTATGCATTGCAAATATGCAGCTTCATCTTGTTGCGGGAAAACGCATAAAACACTGCGTAGATGTAGCTGCCGTCTTTGCGATTCTAAAGATCAGGATCAGCAGATAGCCTTCTTCTTCTTCTACGATGGCTATAAACATGCACACATGAAGAAAGATTGTGATCGCCGCAGCATCATGTGCAGTGCCTGCACAAGCAGGAAAGTAAGTACTTACTTAAGTGCGATTGTTCACTCGTGCTCACGCATTGCTACTACTTATCTGCATTGACGTTTTTCTCCCCGATCGATCCAGGCTGTTTGTAAATGTTTGCATTCCATACGAATCGTCGGCATAGAAGTAGACAAATCCGCCGCACACTTGGTCCGACACCTGCGAGCAGTACTCTCCGCAACGATTCACCTGATTTGTTGTGTGGTGTGCGTTTTGTGATTTGGGGACGAGGACGCGATGACAGGGTCTCTCGCCCTCGTCAGTCTCAATTCAACACGGAGTATCAAGAATCGATCAGTATTGGCATTGAAACTTACTGTAAATCAATGCGGCGGGGAATGGCCCAAAGGAAAAAATGCGCTTCCGAAAAAGTTCGTGCCCGCGAAACAGAATAATATGCACGAAAAAACCCTGCCTTTACCTGCTCGATTGGTGTTGCCCCAGTAACCAGATTCAGCTGCGTTTGGTGGTATTGGCAGTGGAAAAAACACACGACCAGTCCGCTCGTGATGATCCTCCCCTGGTAATTCTCTTCACAAGGAGCCACGTGGCTGGCCTGCTCAGGTGCGAGAATTGAAATTCATTGCAGCAGTTGCAGTTCTCCAAAATTGTGAAAATTATATTTCGTTGCGTTCCTTCCGAGTGTTATCCAGAGCTCACACCCAAGCGGCCCATTGGACCGCGCCTATTGGGGCTGGGTCAAGCAGGCCGTGCCTAGCTTCCGTAGCGGGGAACGGCCCACTCCACCACCACCTGCGAAGCCGAGCAGAGAGGTAAGTGAGCACCCTTCCTAGCCCCAAGCAAGGTGAAACAAACATCCGCGATGCCAGCTTCGGCGCGACTATGCGACAACTAGAATCCCTGAGGACCTCCCAAGGGAAAGCCAGGCACCGACGTTCGTGTCGGCCTCGCTGAGGCCTCCAAGACCAACCCCGCGAAACAAAAAGCTCAAAGCTCGGCAAGCGCTCCCTTCCAGGAAAAAGCGCCCAAGGAGATACAACCCCCCGGGTATACACAAACTTATTCGAATGCGGCGGTAGAGCGTAACTACCACGCACCAGTGGGCCTCTCAGCCACTGGGCCCGCGCAAGCGGGAAGCCCCCGTGCCCGTCTGCGCGAAGACGGGCTCGAAACCCCCTATCCGACCAACGACCCCGCAAGGGTTCCACAAGTAGCGCGCACTGTTCGGCCCCGGCTCAGCTGGGCCTTCCCGCAACAGCAACACACGCGCCACAGACAACTTTTGGCGCAGGCAAGCAACCACGAGATGAAACCCCGGCCCCGCCCCGCGATGGGAACAGAGGGCGAACGAAGGAGACACCGAACCACCAGCCCCAGCCTGGGAACAAGTTCGCAAGGGTAACGGATTGGATACCGCCAGTGCCAGACGACCCCTGTTCCCAAAGCAAGGCGAGACCGGGGATAGAGCGAAGCTCCCCTGGTGCCAGATAAACGAAAAAGAGAGTCCGAAAAAGAAAGCCAGGCAGTCCCCGAGATAAGTACCAGCGCAGCGAGGCATCAAGCCTCCCGAAAACAGAAGTGCCTCAGGTCAGGAGGGCAGCTCCATCGCGAAACGAGATGCACCAGACCGTAGAGGTAGAATCAAGAAAGAATACAAGTGGGCAGTCCACCTACACCCCGCCGCGTGTCCGCCAGGAAGAGTTCTCGTGTGGGTAATGTGTAACTAAAAGACCTAGGCCCCAGCCTAACGTAACCGCGAGACGGCCAACAGGAACAGATGACAGGACAGAATAATAAACAACGGGTCCGCGCCCCCAGCGGGATGCGAGCTACTGGTGCATCCGAAACACAACAACGCCAAACGCCGTCAGCACGAGCAACCCTCGCGAAACCATCGCCAAAAAACTGTGGCACGCCCCGTCGCCTCGTATCCACAAATCCCAAGCCTCTAGCTGTCGAACAATGCGCCCCCCGCTGGGGGCTTCGTTCTCTCGTCACTGAAAACCTCGCATCACACTGTAGTACCGACCCGGAGAGACCAAAGGCCTGCTCAGGTGCGAGAATTGAATCTCCAAAATTGTGAAAATTATAAATATAAGGAGCGCGATTGCCAAGTTGAAGCAGCTTTATTCGCATGAGGATGAGACGCTTTTTGATCTCGGGAGAAATCCAGCCTGGGCATTATATAGGAATATGCTACGCGCAGCTTTACAACGACAAGACACAAGTGGAGCGAATCAGCGGACTGGTAGTTTGAAGCACCCACACCGGTGCGGATAGCCCTCGATGGTCGGACTAACAAGCGCGGTGGACGACTCTTTGGAGCAGTCCTGCACCACCCCGGAATTCAATTGCTCCACGTACGAAGTCATAATGGCACCTGAATAAAAATAATCGACGGAATGGCGAAAAATCTTGTTGAACCGTTTGAAATAAAACCTGGCACTGGTGCAGCACCAAAAGAACAGCAGAAGAAAAAAAATGAAACCATAGTTGTTCTTCAGCTGGCTGGAAAGCGATGCCTTGGCATTCCTCCTGACGCGAAGCTTGGCGGCGAACGCGGACCTTTGGCCCTGGAATTCCCAGATGAGGAGCGTCGACCCCAGGAGATGCAGCGCCTTCATTCTTCTTGCGTCGAACGGAGCAAGACAAAATCAACTTAAACTTTTTCGCGGAAGAATACTCAATCAATTTCAGCAATTCATCCGAGGATCCCAACGCACGCTGGAACATAAGCTCACATTCAAACGAAAAGGCGAGGACCACTGGGCATTCATAAATAGATGTCAAAGTGAAAACTACTCTGCCTTCTTCACGTAGAGAAAAGTTGCATCAGATCGTGCTGCTGCGTGTAGAAGATTTATGCCCTTACATACCGTGTTTAAGCCCGCGTCTGCGCGAAACTCTTTTTTCGCTCGGATTAGCTTTTTAATTGAATCGCTTGATGCAGAAACACGCCACAACTACGTACAACCGCACCATGGGTCTCGAACGCCAGAACTGTCGATCCTGCCGACATCAAGCATGCCCACAGGTACCCAGCATGGCTAGAAATCATCCTACATGTACAGACAGCTCTTCACATGCTGGCACTGCTCGTCTGAAAATGTCATCTGGTGGTCGTTGGATTTCTAGGATGCATTAGCATTGACTGAATGTCGAAGATTGATTGTCAATCTCGAATCCTTCATTTGTTCTACTACGTGTTCGTTGCAGAGGCAAGAAAAGAAGAGCATCTGTGTCAGTACAACAAGGCGTAAGTAGGCAGTCGCTCCAAGTACAACGAACTCATCAACCAGCTCGCTTTCTGCTTGCACTTCTTACAGCAATGCAGCGACGCTGCTAATCATGCAACTCGTTGACTGGCTTTGAAAGCGACACAAGCATCCTGCTGCGGGACGGACCCGAAATGGAAACGACTGAATAAAAGCTTAATATCGTACACGTTAACGTTGCACTTGCAGGTGCATGCAACACCTTCATAATACATAGACTGATATCCGCGCCGTGTTTAGCCCACCTCTTCTTCTAACGGCGAATTCACATTCTTACCGATCCGAGCCGACGAGTGTCGGATCCACATCCTGGCTAGCGACAAGCGTACCGGGCATCCGGCGAAAAGTCCTCCGCGCGTCGCTGGCCGTGCAGCCCTGCGGATTGAAGGGCTTTAGGAAAGTGCATATCCTCGTACTTTTTTCCACGTAGAAGCCGCCGCACGCCTCGGCTCCAGGTGTCAAAGCGAAAAGAAGTGCTCTGCCCTCAGATATGGCAAATTTATAGATACATAATTCGGGAAATGATCGTGCTGCAACGTCTTCAAATGAAAACTTGTTGTCTTGATGGTTGTAATCCGGCCGCGGAGACCACAAACTCAAATACCTACCGCGAATTTCAAATTTTTCTCTTGGATGGTTGCATAAAACAGCTACGGGTCTCCCTGACCCAGACGAGTGCAGGCGGGCCACGGCCATCTCGCACTTCTTACAGGACAAATCTCGCTGTTGGGGGCGGGCCTTCCTGCACGACCACAGCTTTCTGTTTCTCTTGTTCTGCATTGAATGAAATTTGTGTTGCTTTCAACACATGCGAGCTGGGGAACGAATGCTTCCCTTGCGAAACTTTGCAACGCAAGTGCTTCCAAGTTATTTAGTTTCGGGGTAGGGGCACTTTTCAAGAATGCGATAGCAGTAGCCGGCTCACCAGAGCAAATCGCGCTGCACTTGTCAATCATGTCATCGAACATCTCCGGTTCTGGTGTCCAGATGTTCGGTTCCGCAGTATTTTTGGTGGTCGTACCAGCCGGCAGCTGACCGCCGACGAGAGTCAGGTCGCCGCTTGCGATCTTTTTGGTGAACACGTTGGCGAGGGGCACCAAAGTGGTCCCATCTACGTTTTTAGAAGGCAAAAAATGATGTGCCACTGCAATCCGTTCTAGAAGTTGTACTCCCTTGCTTAACTTGCGATTCACGAAAGCAAGAAAAAGGGGAAAAAATCAGAGTGCAGGAGCAACCCATCCGCAAGAGAGTGCAGGAGCCCTTCCTCCAGATGAAGCACAAGAAACAATGCGAGGTAAAAGGCACACCACTTTCTCATCCTCGCAAAGCCTATATTCATCTTCAGGCTATGTATAGATACACTGCAAAATGATACTCGAATACAACACGCGCACAGTGGCAGGAAAAATGGATTTTCCGAGAATATCCTTCGTCGAGCAGTCTTGCGCTTTCAAATCCAACCTACGTACACCGGTACCGGTTGCTGTTGCCGCCGAATCCTGCATCAGCTGCTCGACGTACTCTGTAACTGAGAATCCGCACTATCGTATGCAAAAAAGGCCGTCTGGGAAGGTGACTGAATATAAACAAATTTACATATTTATTATTCTCTTTGTTGTACTACGACTTACACTAGCTAGTCGTATCCGTGTAGGGTTGATAAAACAAGTATTCGAGACTGCACGTCTCCAGAACAAAAAGAACATGAAAAAAAGTAAATGCAAACTGATAGGGCAGCGACAGGAAGAAGTTGAAGTTCGAAAGACCTTCAAAGAAACGAAATATAGGTCAAGCATCTCGCCTGCACCTCGTTATCGTTATCGATGCACATGCACATCATTCTAGAAGCATGATTACTGCAGAAAACATTTCTGTTTCTCGTGAAGCAGGTACCTCGTTAGTTCTGTTCCCGACCCGGTCCCTGACATCATTCTTGCAGTGCATATATATCGATCGTGTACGATAGTTGTTGTGTCACCACGCTTCATCTTGTTCTGCTCCGTCTCAGCTTGTACCTTCGACTGAACGGCTTCTTTTTCTTCTTGTTCAATACGGCTGTCACTCTCCTTTCGGTTATTCTCCACCAACGCTTCGTCCTGTACAGCGGAATGCTTTGCCACTGCGGCATGATGTGTTCGGAGTCGCGTATCCCCCTGGCCCTTCTGCAAGAAAATTTTCTTCATACCGAAAACTACAAGCGATGGGGAGTTGTACACGCCGCCGGACAATACTCCTCCAGTATCACTGAAAGTCGCACTGCAGCAATACTGCAGGAAGAGCAAGCACACCCAGCGGACGAAATGGCACTGGAAACGACGTCCCGAAGGCGCATCTCCTCGCCCCGGCAGCCCCCCGGCGCCGGACGAGCAACACGCTCTCATGAAACTGAAAATAGACCACCTCAAACAAGAATTGATCGACGGACCTGCGAGTGTTGACATAGAAATATGTGGATTTGCTTCTGTATTTGTCATGTTCTTCTTTGTAATGCGCTCGCTCCTGCCATTTGCAAAGACCGTCAGTCGTTTGCAACCAGCATGCTGTTTATTTCCGCAGTGGTGCTAGTACGATCACACTTCTCTTTGTCTTCAGCTCTGCAGCCAAATTCTGCGAAATTGCATTCCTGTTCCTCGTGAAGCCAATATCTACGTTTTTCACTCCGTTCAATTTGATCTTGGACTCACACTCACTCATTGCTCAGGTCCAAAAAGGTAATATGGAAACAGCCTAAAATTGCGCCGCACCTGGCCAGCGAGGTGACAGATGTAGTTCCCTGATACCTTATCGGCGTACACAAAGCCGTGGGCCCATAGCAGGTGGGCCACAACATTTTACTTTGCCGCCGCTTTGTTCTCTTGAACAAAGAACGCAGGAGCAACTGCGGCCAAATCTCAGTCAGCATTACTTTATGGTCGGTTTACACACAAAGAGTATTCGTAGGTTACATTTACAACACACACCCATATCTATACGCATTGTTATAGGAACTCTAACAGAGCGCTTCCAAAGCAAATAAACCCCGAAAGTTGGTTAGAAAAAATTCTCAGTCACTGCCCGCGTCTGAATCAGTCGTTCCAGGTGAGGAATGCTCTTGTCCAGCAGATCTCGAAAACGTGCGAAGTTCTGGTTCACGTCTTGGACCGTCTATCCAAGCAAAATTCTGACTCATACAAAAATCCTAACGACTTTGTCGATTGTTGTTCATGATGACTGGCCGTGGCAACCTGCGCAAGGACAAGTCGAGTACAAGTCCTGAATGAGCTTTCAATCGGAATGAGAAAAGAAAAATTTTGGAGTCCACAGACAGCGAAATTTCAAGTTTTCTACTTTTTCTTTTAGTCTTCAGCCACTGTAAGTATATCATTTTGCATATGCAAATTTGGATTCAGGTCAGAATTTTGCCATCATTACCTGCTCCCGCAGCTCAATTCCGACGTTGAACTCGGCACAGGGCACCGCAGCCTCAGTATCCTCATCTTGTTCTTCCTTGTCTTGCAAACTCTGCGTTGCCTCTGCCTCTGCACTATCAACTTCCTCGTCATCGGCGCTCTTTGTTTCACCGCTATCTACCGCTGCATCCTCTTCCTCCGCGCCGGGCTTTCCTGGTTTCACGAGGAACCCTGAAAGCGGAATCGTTTCTCCTGCCTTAACCGCATTTCGTTGCAATACGTGCTCGATTTCAGCATTTTTTTCCGCGATATTTTTCAGAGTCTTCATCTCGTTTGCAGCACGATCCTTCGCTTTCTTTGCTGATGATTCTGCTCCACCCGCGCCAACAGTTACAGCTGGTGTATCATCTTCGAGCTCCTCTATCTCGACGTCATCCTCGTCGTCGCCTGGTGCGGGTCCTGCACCCCCTCCTTCTGCATCCTCGTCGGTCTTGTTTTCATCGCCGGCGACGTTTGGCGTGTAGGTCGCCTCTTCTTGCATGCACTTCTTGTAGGACGCAGAACGCTGCAACTGGGTAAACATGTCGCTTAATTTGCGCTTCTCATACATCCAATCATCAAACGCGTCAAACACGTTTTGCAGCAGGTTGCTGCCTGTCTTGAACGTAGCAGATGAAGTGGAGGACATTCTATTCTAGTGCTCAGCGTTTATTCACGTGCTGGAGCTGGACCTAGTCTTACGAACGGACTGGAATGTAAAAAAATCCGCACGTTGCACTTCTTCGAAGGCCCTCCCTGCTGCAACAGCTAGCAAATGAGGTTGTGGTCGACAACTTGAACTTAGAGCTGGGAGAGCTCACCTGAGCCAAACGCATAGAATCTTACGTACGAGTCAGAGTCTTCTTTTTGCGCTGTGCTGCAACGATTACGATTTCAAGGAGTCCAACACGAATAATCGTCGTAAAAATCACCCTAGAACTCAACATCTCAAGGGTTTCGAGCGCGATCGCGAGGAACTGGAATTGGGAAATGGTGATGCACCAAGTGGATGCAAGCTCGTCAGGAAGCAAGGGACATCGAGCGTACGTCGAAACAACGGGACTGACACGATCATCTTCTCGATGGAGTTTACGAAGCGATCTCGATTAATGCAGCGACAGCGACGGACTGTTGCGAATTCGTAGCTGTAGTACTGGCAGGCAGGTATCATAAAAGCGCATGACAATGATCTTGTGACGTTTCTCACAAGGCACGAGTCACCGACTTAGACTTTGTTCAACGTCCTCTGCATGATAAACATACAACTGCCATGTCCGAGCCCGGTTCATGCAGCTGCTATTTAGATTGAGAAATGCGCACGACCGCATTGTGACCCTCAGTGGTAGAACCTTGTGCCGATGTCGAAGCCCAGAGTCACGCGTCACGTTGAAGAGAATGTGGCAAACGCTAAATGGCATTTAAGTACATTTATTCAAGGGCGGTCATCTGCTTCCGGCATTCTAAATCATACAATTCCAAATGGCCTCTCTAAATGGTTCTACAACTACTGCATTTTCAGGCACTGCCCTTGTCTCAGAAAAAAAAACCACACTACTTTCTTTATTTCAATTTCTCCAGCTGCTTTATGTTGAAGCACAGAAACACAACTCCGCAAACTCTTTTTGTTCTGTGATCGTATGAAGGCGCCGTAGGCATTTTCATTGCTGCTCTTGCGGATTAGTCACAATGCTCTTCGCAAACCTTTCCGAAAGCAGCGATTTCGGTAATCCGGAACGTACGCGGTTCATTCTCAGGGCTCTTCAGCCGCATCCAGACGTATTTTCCGATCGCGTCAGAGGGACAGTGAACTCGGGGGACGCGGATTCGGAGCGAGCTTTCCAATCCCACCTCGACCTCGGCTTGATTCACGTTGGATCCATATGACACTCTACCCATTTGACCCATGGTAGGAGCCGCTTTCAGGTCCGCAAGGGTAATGTTACCGCAACTAATCATGTTGGTCTCGTCGCAGATACCGGTATCTTTGTCGCACGGCGGCGTATTACCCGTTCCAACGCCAATTTCAGCTCCGCATTTCGTGGGCTCGTTCACGCAGATAGTCTTGCCGCCTGCTTCGCCGCACCACTCCGATGCAACGTATCCTGGGAGAACGAAAATCTTGAGTGTAGAGGTGAGCCGGGGGAGTCACATGCAAAACTGATTTTTTTTCAATGAACTGCAGTGACCAGCACCTGTCGGTCACACTGAGTAGGATGAGATGCGGTTTATTTGGCTAGCCAGCCTCCTACTACCATTTTTGATTTTGCCCCGTGCAGCAAATGGCTGATCCGCACTAGTCTGAAACTCAAACTTCCAAAAGACAGAGCTAATCAGACTCTGATGTTGACGAGTGATCTCAAGACCATCGGCCTGCTTTTGATATTGTGGTGGTCGCGTCTAGGTTAACGTTCCGTCCGTCGCAAGCGCCGTTCCCATCTTCATCGAGACCAGGCGTGCCACCCATTTATGAAATGTAGGGAGAAACACGTCAGCTTCAGGGGCTACATCAATGCTGGTGTGAACAAAAGTGATGCTGCTCGGGGAAAGCAGAAGAATCCACACTTAAAAGGGTTACAGCCAGGGTTCAAAATCTGAAGTTCCCTAGTGAGCGAATGCGAAATGACCAAGATGTAAGGAGACCCAGACCCGCGTCTCTTACGATTGTACAAAGGGACGACTTCTGTGACGTAGGTGTAGTGCTCGCCTGCATTTAAACACTGCAGCTGCTCTCGCCTGCGCGCGTGCTTCCGCTGGTTCACAGTCACAATCATAGAAACTGTCGTGGATGAGACACAACGAAGAAATGCGCCTGACCATGAGCAGAGCCAGAGTGAGTGCATGATAACAAAAGCTCCGGTTTCCTTTTCTTTCCCCTGGCACTGACAAGACAAATGTACGATACATATTGTAGGAATAACCATAGCCCAATATTGAGCACCCCCATTCCCACTCGCGTACACGTCGACGTAACTCACTTTGTGCCTCGCAAACATGTCGTCAGTTGGGATGAAACCGTAAGACTTACTAGGCCTGGCTGGTGGTCTGTGGTGCTTACCAGTGGCAGTGCGCCTGTCTTACTTCGTTTCTCCTCAACCCGCAACATTTGCAGAGGATACACTTTTGTAGTCTTCATGTTTTCCACAAACCTCGACTGCACCCAGGGGTGAGTTATGCAACGTTGTGAAGTGTCGCACACGCATGGCATGTATCCCTTGCCGTGTCTTCGTGTTCCTTGTCGTGCACCCGGCATGACATACGTAATACTAGATATGTACGTTAGATCAGGTCGTCAAAGAAGATACTCTGCACTACTGCCATGCATTTCCACCAGGACTGGAACTGCAAAATCTCTACACTGAATAGCGAAAGGTGAGAGAACCCATTATTTAATAGTATTCCGCAATAGAAACAAAGAACAGAAACGAAAAACAAAAACAAAGAATGGAAACGAGAAACGACAACAAACAATGGAAACAAAAAACGAAAACAAAGAATAAAAACGAAAAACGAAAACAAAGAATGAAAACAAAAAACGAAAACAAAGAATAGAAACGAAAAACAACAACAACGAAATGCTGACAAAGCGCCCAAGCTTCTAAGCGACGAAGCCTCGAAACGAAGGGGCCTCGAAACGCCGAAGCAGCGAAGCCTCGAAGCAACGAAGAAGCCTCGAAGAGCCGCGAAGCCTCGAAGAGCTGCAAAGCCTCGAAGGGCCGCGAAGCCTCGAAGAGCCGCAAAGCCTCGAAGAGCGGCGAAGCCGCGAAGCCTCGAAGGAAGCAGCGAAGCCTCGAAGGGAGCAGCGAAGCCGCGAAGGGAGCAGCGAAGCCGCGAGGGGAGCAGCGAAGCCGCGAGGGGAGCAGCGAAGCCTCGGAGGGGGCAGCGAAGCCTCGAAGGGAGCAACGAAGCCTCGAAGGAAGCCTCGAAGCAGCAAAGCCTCGAAGCAGCGAAGCCTCGAAGCAGCGAAGCCTCGAAGCAGCGAGGCCTCGAAGCAGCGAAGCCTCGAAGCGGCGAGGCCTCGAAGGGAGCAGCGAAGCAGCGACGCCTCGAAGCAGCGACGCCTCGAAGCCTCGAAGCGGCGAAGCTCGAAGCGCGCAGCGATCGAAGCCTCGAAGCGCGCCGCGAAGCCTCGAAGCGCGCAGCGAAGCCTCGAAGCACGCAGCGAAGCCTCGAAGCACGCAGCGAAGCCTCGAAGCACGCGGCGAAGCCTCGAAGCACGCAGCGAAGCCTCGAAGCACGCGGCGAAGCCTCGAAGCACGCGGCGAAGCCTCGAAGCACGCGGCGAAACCTCGAAGCACGCGGCGAAGCCTCGAAGCACACAGCGAAGCCTCGAAGCAGCGAAGCGTCGAAGCAGCAAAGCCCCGAAGCACCGCCTCAGGCCTCGAAGCAGCGCCTGAGGCCTCGAAGCAGCGCCTGAAGCCTCGAAGCGGCGTCTGAAGCCTCGAGGCAGCAGCGTGCGAAGCCTCGGGTCAGCAACGTGCGAAACCTCGAGGCAACAGCGTGAGAAACCTCGAGGCGGCAACGCGCGAAACCTCGAGGCAGCAGCGTGAGAAACCTCGAGGCAGCAGCGTGCGAGGCCCCGAAGCAGCAGCGCGCGACGCCTCGGGGCAGCAGCGTACGAAACCCCGAGGCAGCAACGTACGAAACCTCGAAGCAGCAACGAACGCACGAAGCCACGGCGCAACAACGTACGAAACAACGCGCGAAGCCCCGAAGCCGCGGGGCCCCGAAGCAGTAAAGCCTCGACGAAGCCGCGCCGGCCGGTGCCGGACCATGGCCAAGCCGAGCCGGTGCGTGCCTGCCGGACCATGGCCAAGCAAGGCGAGCCGGTGCCGGGCCATGAGCAGACCGAGCCGGTGCATGCCGGACCATGGATGGCAAGGCCGGGCCGGTGCGTGCCGGACCCTGGCAAGGCCAAGCCGGTGCCGGACCATGGCCGAGCCGAGCCGGACTATGCATGGCCAAGCCGAGCCGGTGCCGGACCATGCATGGCCAAGCCGAGCCGGTGGGTGCCGGACGATGCATGGCCAAGCCGAGCCGGTGCCGGAGCATGCATGGCCAAGCCGAGAAGGTGCCGGACCATGGCCGAGGCGAGCCGGTGCCGGGCCATTCAGCATGGCCAAGCCGAACCATGGCCAAGACCCGAAGCGAAGATAAAAGCCCCGAAGCAAAGAAGCCGCGAAGCGAAGAGAGATGCCCCGAAGCGAAGAGAGGCGCCCCGAAGCAAAGTAGCCCCGAGGCGAGGATAGAAGCGAAGATAGAAGCCTCGAAGCCGCAGCGAACGAAGTCTCGAAGCCGCGGCGAAGCCTCGAAGCCGTAGCGAGGCCTCGAAGCCGCAGCGACGCCCCGAAGCCGCAGCAAAGCCCCGAAGCCTCAGCGACGGCTCGAAGCCGCAGCGAAGCCTAGAAGCCGCAGCGAAGCCCCGAAGACGCAGCGAAGCCTCGAAGCCGCAGCGCAGGCCGCTCGAAGCCGCAACAAAACCTCGAAGCATCGCGGCCTCGAAGTAACAACGCCGCAGCGAAGCCGCAGCGGAGCCAGGTCGTGGCCGCGCCGGTGCCAGATCAGGGTCGGGGGGGCCGGTTCCAGGTCGTGGCGAAGCCTGCCGGTGCCAGGTCATGGCCAAGCCGGTGCCGGGCCAATGGCCTGCCAGCCAAGCCTACCAGCCAACGCCACGTCATTCATAATTGCCGAGCCGGTGCCAGATCTTGGCCAAGCCAATGCAAGGCCGTGGCCAAGCCGGTGCCAGATCCTTCCTGGCGAAGCCTGCCGGTGCCCGGTCGTGGCCAGGCCGGTCGGTGGCAGATCATGGCCAAACCAAGCCTGCCGATGGATGCTTGCCAGATCATACACGGCCAAGCCTAGCCGGCCGGTGCCAGATCGGGGCATGCAAAGCCCCCCCCCCGGCCGGTGCCCGGCAGATCATGACAAAGCCGGTGCCAGATCATGGGCGAGCCTGAGCCACTCAGATCATGGCGTGGCCAAGCCGACGCCAGGTCGTCCGTGTCCAAGCCTGCCGGTGCGTGCCAGATCATGGCCCGGGTCGCTGGCGCCAGGTCGCGCGCGGTCCGAACCGCCAGGCCAAACAAGCCTGCGTGCCGGCGCCAGGCCGTGGCCAAACCGGTGCCAGATCATGCCCTCGCCTGCCACCGTCTGCCACCCTGCCCGCCGGCGCCAGATCATGGCCAGGCCGGTTCCGAGTGATTCTGGTGGCCAGGCCCGCCGGTGCCGGAACATGGCCAGCCCGCTGCCAGATCACGCCCAAGCCGGTGCCAGGAAGCGGCAAGGCCGTTGCCAGATCATGGCCATGCCGGTGCCAGGTGGGTCGTTTCCAAGCCGGCGCCATATCATCGCCGAACCGGTGCCAGACAGGTCGCGCCCAAGCGAGCCGGTGCCAGATCATGGCCAAGCCGGTGCCAAATCATGGCCACGCCGGTGCCAGGTCGTTGCCAGGCAAGCCGGTGCCGGGTCGCGGCCAAGGCGGTGCCAGGCAGATCATGGCCAAGCCGGCGCCAGATCACGCCCAAGCCGGCCCCGGGTCGTGGCCAAGCCGGTGCCAGGTTGTAGCCGAGCCGGTGCCAGATCACACACGGCCAAGCCTGCCGGCCTTCCGGTGCCAGATCATGGCCAGGCCGGCCGGTGCCAGATCACAGCAAGGCCGGTGCTCGCCCATGCCCAAGCCGGTGCCAGGTCATGGCCAAGCCAAGCTGGTTCCGGGTCGTGGCTGAGCCGAAGCCGGTGCCAAATCATGGCCAGGCCAGCCACCAAGCCGGTGCCTGCCAGATCATGGCAAGGCCAAGCCCTTGCGCCAGATCATGGCCAAGCCGGTGCCGGATGGATCATGGCCAAGCCTGCCTGCCGGTGTCAGAGCATCGCCAAGCCGGTGCCAAATCACGGCGAAGGTAGGCGGTGCCAGATCATGGCCATGCCGGTGCCCGATCATGCCCAAGCCGGTGCCGGACCCTGGCCACGCCGGTTTCAGGCCCTGGCCAAGCCGGTGCCAGACCCTGGCCAAGCCGGTGCCCGATCATGCCCGCCCCCCGCCGCCAGATCGCGGCCCCGCCAGTGCCAGCATGCAAGATGGCGGCAAGTGCCAACCTGCCAGCCGCGCCGGTGCCGGATCGTGGCCATGCCGTTCTGGCGCTTTGAAAATAGCAGGCAGATGGGCCTGCCCGTGCTGAAGCGCCGACGACGGTTTTCCACAGAGAAACGCTGAGGGCTATTATTCATCTAGCGGAATACTATTAAGTCTGCAGGCTACTGGACACGGGAAGCGGGATAAGGCTAGTAACATGACACGTATACGATCCTTCTTTTCTGCGGAATAACTACCATGGTGTCGCAAGTCCAGAAGTATTTACCGCCTCCGGTATCCAACAAAAGAAAAAAATCTTGTAGATACATACTCGAACTACCCCCATACACAGATTATCTACCATAACTCTTGGCATCAGGTGAGTATTTTCATCCCAAAAATGAAAAATATCATAGCCATGCATACAGGACCAGACGAGTGAAACTTATCGGGGACGAGCAATCCCGATGGAATCTTTGTAGAGTCGTTGCCGATGATGTTGTGCAAGTCTGGAACATACTGATCTTCTTGTATCCTATCACGAGTTACTTGTTGCCATAATTCTTGCAGTTCTTGCAACCGCGGCCGGCATGATCATGCATCGAGAATTTCCAAAAAGACGAATTTCTTTGCTGGAATATGGTGTCACGTCCACGTACTGGTCAAAAGCGTACTGGGGTGCGTGTTGGGTAGTTTTGATGGCGGCGTCCGTTCCTGCTCGGTTGGGATACATGGTGCCATCTATGTCGCAGCCAATTTTTCCGGTGGCATTTTCGGCGTCGAATTGTAAGCGCATGTACCCAGGCGACCACTTTGGACGTCTCCGCAACCACTCCGCGAAACTTAGCGTGGTATTCACCGTGTGGCGATTCTTGATTTTTCCCGCAATCGTGGCTTGCTGTAGCTCGAAATCATGTCCCCCGGGCTATAGAAGCGACGTGCCTGTTTTTTTCTAAGACTGCTGCTAGCCATTAGCACAAACACAAAGCGAAGCGTCTCCTTCCCTCCTGGTTGTCGTGCTTGTTCGTGCCATGCAAAGTAAAAGAGAAAGACGGCAAGAAGCCATTAGCATGAGTTTCGTCCTGCGCTCTAGAGTGATAGATTTCATTAAATGATATCACTCGTCCAGCTCCAGAGCGGCACCACAGCAACAGAAAACTATAATTTCTATTTCCTTGCTTGGCTCTGGTGTGCGATTTATCATAATTTTCATCATAAAACGGCGTGTCTCGTAGGCAAAAAAAACATGGAAAGTTGGAGTCTCTCCTCGGAGGGAGCAGCATTCTGGCTGAAAGATCAGAAGTCGCTTCCCCTGTATACGACCGCTTGAATATGCTGGCTCACGCGGCGAAACGTCCGAGCCCCCTGATCGTCTGCAGGGGCGGCAGCGCACTGGATCTGCGCATCCCCCGATGCCAACGTCTTGTACGGGCCGTAAAATTTGCAGGTGCCGTTTTTCTGCAGCAAAAACCCGCCACAGAAATTCGAAGCGTATTCGCTGCATCGCTCACCGCAAACGTTGATTCGTTCCATAATAACGACGGGGTCGACCACTGTTTGTGTTTGATTATTCCACAGATTTTGCAGATCGTCCGCACTGACCGAACTGGTCCCATCGCCGAAAATCGCGGTATTCACCGCGCTATCAACTGTAAAAATGTCTGGGTCTGGAAGATTCTGAGATTTGTCATGCATATTTCGGATCACGCAAGTGGCGTCTGATGCAGGCAAAAGCATCACAGGTTTTGAGCACGCCTCCTGATGCCTGTCCCGCATGAGAAACTTCCTACTTGCGTGCCAAGAAGTGGACAGCTTTTGGCGCTCATGCAACACAAATTTTTGTGTGTTCCAGAGTTTGCATCACAAGTTCCAACCCTTCCAGACCCAGACATTTTTACATTTGATACGCGCCCTCTACATACTGTTGCGAACTGGTGTTGTACGCAAATTTGCAGGTGGCTCCTTCACGGACGCCCGTCGTCGGATTGTAGAGATACTCCTCTATGTACGAGTCCGACACAGCACGCGCTGCCGCCGCCTCCGCGGAAGCAGCCGCAAGTTCTTGGGATGTACTAGCGGTAGTTTTTCGTTGTCCAAAATTCCGCGAAGATGTTGTACTACCTGCGGAAGCTGCCGCGCTTGTCCTCTCTGCTAGTGTTTTCACAGAAACCAAAGCCTCGGATTTTTTCTGCGCAAAGCTCTGCTGGCGAGTTCCTTCTCTACGCGTTATGCTCGCCTTGGCCACCTTCGTCGCCGTGCTGGCCGTTCGTTTGCTTTTGCTGGCGGTGCCCTTGACAGCTTCACCAGTTTCCCCTCCCCGAAGAAGAACGCGCTCTCTTGCACTTTTAGCAGCTCGTGCTGCCCCAGCGGCTTGTGTACTGGTCGCTCCTCCTTTCCTGTTGTACACCATCGCAAAGCCACGGACCAGGACCGCAGTAGTGGCGCAGAGCCCAGAAGCCACGGCCCGTGTCAGAAGCCGCCGCCTTGCCATCTCCGAAAGGCAGTGCTGCAATTCTCGAAAGCTCTCTCTAGCGGTATGCGCGCTACCGGAACCGGGCTTCCAAAATCTTGATTCGCGCTTCAACGTCCACGCGGACGCGACAGGTACGGTGGATGGGAATGAACATTGTTGACCGCAGCTGCAAATCTGTGTTATGTTGTGAGGGCAAACCTGGATTCTTGGAATCCTTTTCCAGCCTCTTGAAATGCATCTGCTCTTGCTGCGATAATTGACTTCTGGTTCTGATTCACTTGTTGCGTATGTTATTCGGACAGGCTCTAGTACAGAAGACACTGTCACACTGCTGCGACGAGAAACTGTCACTTTGTGTAGTTCAAGATGTAGATGCCAGCATCTACATCTTGATCTAACTATCAGTCTTTGTTCCGCCGGCCTCGCAGCAAGCTCTCCTCCTTGCTTTCCCATGGCTTACCGTCGTAAGCTACTGCCATGCAAGCACAGGCACTGCAGGAAGACCAGAATGACATGGATGCATTGCCCTCATCCCTGAGATAGAAACAAAGCCGATGAACAACGCATCTGTCTTCAATCTCAACCCCAAAACAAGCAGCGTAGAGGACACTCTGCTTATCGGCCTGTCAACATTTTACTTTTAAGCTCATCACGATCAGCATCCGCATACATGATTCAGTTCATCTTGATCTACAGAGGTCTTCTCAAATAAATCAAATCGAAGTCCTCTTGCCGGGCATTGTCGAATTAAATAAAGCTTAGCCTAGCTAAATTTGGTGTAAACTATTGAAACGAGAAGGTTGGTGAAAATTTGGTATCGTACAAAACATTTTAAATATCATGCTCTTTCCTGTTCTCTTCAAACAAAGCAAGTTCTTTCCTAATTTTTGTAACAGGCTTTTAATTTCCGGCTCCGCGCCTTGCTTCTACTGCGCTGCGCGAGGTGCCTTCGACCGCAAGTAGAGGCGTCGTTCTACTTCGAAGGCGCTATTGCCGATGGTGCTGCGTATAGCTGCCCCGTATTGCGAAAAATTCTAATGTCTTGAGTACTTAGCTGAAAACGAAAAGAAAATGAGTTGATGAATTAATGCTGTTCATATAAAGTGTGTTGGTGTTCTTTTGGTATTCCTATTCGTACCAAGCCGTTAGTTCTTTTGATCAAACCTATAAAAGTGTGCGTGTTAGATTGAGGTAAACGTAAAAGTACCTAGAGTTCCGCAATCAAATCGTGCGATATTCTACAATAGCAATACAACATCGTACTAGCATTAACATTAGACAACAATGAATGGGGGACCACGAGCTGCGGAGAAACATCGTCACCCGGTTTGTAATTTGATATATCGAAGGGTAGAGGTAGAGCCTCAACCACGAGTCGGAGTTTTATTGGTCTCCACCAGAGAAGCTCGTCTAGTTTCTTTTTTTTCTACTTCTAGATGGAGCGAGTCCGATTGTACATAAAAAAACGCGGAGAACTTCAGTCCGCCGGAGGTCATTAGGAAGTAGGCTGCGCTTGCGGCCGCCCGCATACTTTGACTTTGGGTTGAAACAGGACCCTCCACTTTACCCAGAGGGGGCAGCTACATAGTGCTTGCGAGTGCCGCCGCGTCCGGCGCCGGCTGCACGGCGGTCGCTTTGTCGGACAGAATCACTGCCAGCTTTGTGAGCAGCATGGTTGCCGTCTGTCGAACCTCGGTGGAGTCGCCGTAGCGCGACAGGTTGTGCAAGGCTTTGTGGCCTTATCCTAAGCAAAAACGTCCCCACCCCATAGTCAAGATGGGAATCTAGCAACACAAACCTCCAAGTTTTGGGAGCTGTGCATGACAAGTTTTCCTCTGCAGTGTAGTGCTGATTGGCAAGATAGGCTGCATGAGAAAGCCATTCTCCCATCCTGTTTACAGCATTACAAATTCCAAAACACGACTGGAAATTCCTCTCATGGAGCTGCGCATTACAAATGTTCCTGTCATTGCGCATTTGCATGACAACTCTGGTGTGGGGACGTTTTTACTCAGGATAGGCCTCCGATCTTGTTCACCGCAATCAAATTGCTTTCGACCTCGCACACCTTCAGGTACAGGTCCACGATCATTGGCGTTGGGCCCTGGCTCATCATGATCCGCTCCCACGGACTGCCCATCACCTTTGTCATCGCAGTCTTGTTATTGAAGGCTTGGATGATGTGCTTCGTGCAATACGTCAGCAAGTCGTACCCGCCCTGCTCCGACGCGAGCGCGACCTGTTGTTCGATGAAACAAAAACAGCTCATAGATGATATGACAGCTAGGAGCATACATCAAGAGGCTGGTTCCTTGATGTTCGCTTCACCTTCACGTCCACGATTGCATCTGCATGTCAAAAATAAATTCATGTGGTGCCGCCGCTTAGACAAGTAGAAACGCTGACTGCACTGACTGCACTGACTTGAAACAAACAAGTTCGAAAAACGAACCACCAACACAAGCTAGTATTTACCTTTGCGGTGAAACCGGTCGCGAGCCACGAGTTAATTACCGTTTGCAAGGCCGACCGAACCACGGCAGTGGCGCGGACATACAAGTAAAGTTTCTCGTCTCGCCCGTCGTGCAAGTCCATAAGGTCACTCGGCGCAATTTGCTGCGACAAAATGTTCTGGATCTTCATCAGCTGAAACAATGCCGCGCCCCGAATTTTGTCTGTGGCGGATAATTGAAAAAGTTGAACAAGTTGTACTTAGTAGCGTGCCATTAGTGGAAATGAGCAAAAGCTTCATCTTTTACTTTACTTGGTAGGCTCGCGATCTATTCGGGTTCGTATTCATAAGCAGCAAAAAAGATCAACCCTTTGCTCGCCTCTTATGGCCTGCGAGTAACTGTCTGACATATACAGCTAATGAATCCTGAGAGTAAGTCCTTTGCGAAAGCTTGAGAGAGCTTAGGCACTACAGCAAGACCAAACACCACCCGTTTTAGCGGTGAACGACCAAGCGTAGGGAGTCGCACAGTGTGAGTGAATCCGAAAACTCACTGCTGCTGCGCTTCAGATAAGCATCACACTACCACCTCATCCGTGTGAGCAGATCAACCTCCAAAGAGCCGCCAGTGCTGAACAACCCTCCTCATGTGCTCAACCTGACGTCAAACCGGATCCAAGAACCACAGCGCTACGAGAGGTGTCGCTGACTCTCAAACCGCCGGAGCGGAAGGAGAGGTATACCGACGCCACCGGGGGCCACAGGAAAACACGAAGTTATGCCCTGCGCCGCCAGTTGCCACCGCCTAGGCTTGGAGCCTTGCCTTTTCTTTTCTTTTATATGAGTTTTCTCCTTTCCAGCCCGGCGGGTGCTGGAAGGTGGCGCGTTTTTCTTTCTTTTACTGTTTTGCGCTCTTGAGTTTTTTTTCATTCTTTGGTCCCAATCTTGGCACCTCAAAGAATCTTGTAGGAGGTTGCGCGATAAAAGGAAGAAGGTCATTGGGGGTTTTCATCTTTGCAAAAGATCCGCCGGTCTTGCCGGCCCAAATCTGCCCATTGGCCAAACGGGAAAAAAAAAAGAACAAGCCCCACTCTCCCCCCCGATGGACTAGATTCTTGCTTTCCTCAGAGTGGTGAGGACAGAAAGAATACTTTACGGCAACTACGAAGAAAGAAAAGTAAGAATCTCGCATAAGAAAAAGACACCGATGGCATCTCTCAAGCAAGAGCTGGACTGCCGTTACTACCTGGCTTTCACCTAGGCATTACAGACATTCAAGCGGAACAGACATTCAAGCGGAACAGATCACATCAAAATCACATCTTGGCGCATTTTCCATCCTATGTCGTTGTCGAACAGCAAAATCAAGACACAATCCTTGCCAGTGGTGCAGACACAATCCTGCCAGTGGTGCAGCAAAAAAGATCAAAGTTAGTACTCGATTGACTTGCCGCCCGCTGGTGCGTGTTGACGGCAAACGCTAGGGAGTACATGAGATGGCACAAGTAGCTAGAGTATTGGGACCCTGCCTTGGTTTTCGGGTCTCGTGCCTTCAACATGCGCTTGTCTTCCCGTGCAATCTCGTCGGTCAAAATCTCGGACAGCTCGACCGTTGGATCCTGGCACCTAAGCAATTTTTGTGAAGTATATGATGCGTGGACGTGGGGAAATCGAAACACAAAAAGGAACTTCTAGCGAGGAGAAACACATATTCATATGCAGAAATGCAAAAACGAGCGGACACTAGCAATGATGTTTGCCACGGGTGGAGCTGAAGCGCATTGCTTCGATCGTTGTCGTCCGACGGTTCTTTGTTGGGAAAGAGTTTCAACATAAGTGCAATCACAGGTGCAAAAAGAATCAGTCGACAGTACTCGCAGACAGCGTCCCTGCGGTCCTCTTTCTTCTCCTCCTCCTCTGGTTTGATGGCTTCGTCCAGGGTTTTACCGCCGACAGAGCCGAGGATGTTCATAACATCCATTTTTGTGGACGTCTCCTCACCCGCGGAGCCAATACTCGGTGGCGATTTCTTTGGAGGCACCAAGCACTGACCCAAAATGTAAGCCGCCAGCGACCGTATGCTCCGCCCGAAATCCAGCTCATGAGTGAAGTTGAACCACCGAAAGATGAGCCCGTACCCCACGTTGGGGGAAATGCTGTCGGAGCCGTCCCTTGCGAAAGGCTGGCTCGGGTCCGGAATTACCCCGTTCGTAGCGAAATTTGATATGCCGATCAGCAGGTTCTCCTGGTGCCTGTGATGAAGAAAGTGTCACGCGATCTGTTCGAGGAACGATAATTTGAAAACCTATTCGAGAAAAATATCCCCATGGTTTTGTGGTTTCTTTCTTGTATAATTGCCTGAGAGCAAGGCGCACCCAAAGATAATTTCGACAGGAAGTCCTGAAATCAGATGCGAGTCGTATATTTTTAGTTATTGTACTGATTTCATGACTTTCTGCAAGTACATGATCGATCCTACTCGAACTACCGCAGGCGCAGCCTTGGGTGCCATTGATGAAAAGAAGTACTTTCTTATTCGACGCGCTATCAGATAGCGGTATCTGTATGTAAATCTAAATGCTGAAGAAAAACTGTTGTACTTGAAGAATTTGCTGAGGAAGGACTCCTGGATCGTGTTGGAGTTCATTGGCAGCTTCAGGCTTGTCAGGATTGCGATTAACGTGAGCTGTGCGAGGTGCACTCGTGGGTATGGGAGGAGCAAAGCTCGCATCACCGGCGTTATCTGAAAGTTGTCGACTAAGTGCGTCAGGAAAAACTCGGGGGCTTCCATGGCTCCCAAGGATGCTGCCAGACCTCCTAGACGAATTGAAATGTCCCAACTCTGGTTCATTACATCGCACCTGTATTTTTATTCGAGAAATTTATTGATTTGAAGAAATTGAAGTTCAAGCTTTTCACACGAACAGGCGTTGGAAATGCAAAACAGAAATTCCCTAAATACATGTTTTGGTAACAGGTAGGGGGACCTACTTAATCTTAAGTAAAGTATGTACGTTATTCTGGCGAAGATGCTGCAGAGCAGGTCCGACTGTCGGAAGAAAGCCACGTTGAGTTTGGGTATGGTTGGTTCGTTTTCCAAATCTACCACAGCCTTTATGCCGTCGTCGTCCTCGCCCTGGTCCCGCACAAGGCCGGCGCGCCGCACCATCGCCTCGATGTTGAGCGCCTCCACCTCGAGGAAAGTGTGCTTTTTATTGATCTCTCCACTAGCGCCACCGGTTTGCCGCGAGGTCGCGGATGAATTAGGGGCGTTTGCCCCGGTGGAACTGCTGCTGCTGCTACTCCCGCCCACCTGCACCGTGGACCCCTGGCCGCCGGCGCCTGCACTCGCGGAGGCCCCACTCGCGCTGGCGGTGGAACCCCCGGCGGCGCTGGTGCCTTCCTGTCCGACGCTGACGGACAGGTTGTCGAAGAGAACGTTACACACCCAGACCGCTAGCGTCCGCGAGAACACGTCTGGGTCCGCGTTAGACCGGCGTATTATCTGTTCATACATGTCGGGTGTAAACAACGTGCGGCCCGCCTCGCGGTGGGCTCGCAGCTTCGCGGCATTCCACTCGATCTGCTCCGAGAATCGCTTGTTGACCGGGAGCGCGAGCAACTTTTCCACGGTCTTCAGCGTGGTGTAGGGCAGGACGTATCACACAGAAAAAAGCTGGCTGGGCATATTTGTAATGCAAAAATAAATACACAAAAAGATCTGCGCTACATATCCGAAGCAGCATGCTATGGGGCCCCCCATGACAAGTTTTTCTGTGTATTTATTTTCGCATTACAAATATGCCCTGCCAGTTTTTTTCTTTGTGATAGGACGTCGTACTTAAACAGAAACGCGTTGTACGCGGCGACGGTGCGCAGTAGATGTATCAAATGTAAAAATGTCTGGGTCTGGAAGAATGCAACTTGTCATGCTAAATCTGAAGCATGCAAAAATCTGTGTTGCATGATGACCAAAAGTCGTCCAGTTTTGACCAAGTCGGGAGGGAGTTTCTCATGCAGGATAGGCATGAGAGAGATCGCACAGAATCTGTCATGCTAGGTCCTGCATTCCAGGCTTCATGGGTCATGGAAAACCTGCATGACAAACCTGGCAAAATTCCAGACCCAGACATTTTTACATTTGATAAGATGGCGGTATTCACGAATGTCCGGACTCGCCAGGCTTCGCGCGAGCGCGCGCATGATGGTGTTCGCCCTGGTAGGGTTGGCCACGAAGTTCACCCAGAGCGGATAAACCTGCAGGAAGGACGCGCAGATGCGGTGCGCGTGGTGCGCCAACACCGTGTTGGGGTGGTTCTCCCAGATCAGGCATAGCATGCTGAAGATCTGGTCCATCCAATGCAGCCCAAGGTTCTCCAGAAACCAGTCGGTGTTGTACCTCGACAGTGCGCAGAGGTAAAACGTCACGAAGCGCTCCTCAAAGGACATGTCTGCGGGCAACGCGATTGAACCCACCTTGTCGAAAATCGTCTGTCGCCACCTGAAGAGAATTTTCATTATCCATTTTTTGCTTTAGTTGCTGCAGCTCTCGTTCCATCGTGCGAACGTCTTAGAGATCGCGATCGCCAACAACGAAACGAAATACTTACTTAAAAAGCAAAAACTCAAACCCTGTACTTTTTCTTTTGCGTGTATGTGCTCTAATGAATACAGACAAAAGCAGCTCAGCTTCATTGCATACGACCTCCCATACCGTACATAAGCGTACCTGTTAATCTGTGCGAACATGACTTTCGCTGTCGGCGCTGTTGCTTTCGACGCGAAATATTCTCGGCCGTCTGGGACCTGCAGCAAGAGCTGCAGTGCGATGGAAGCTACTTTTTCCGCGACCCCGGACTCGGTGTCGCGTTTAATCCAGCCGGGAGGGATAGCCTTCTGGAAGGAACCTCCGATGTTCATGTTGACCCCCTCGCTACTGCCCTGCAGCTCAATCAGAAGCATATTTTGTTCCGTCGGCGTCGGCATGAGGGCCAGGAAGCAGAGCTCCAATATTCGGTTCTTGCAGGCAAAGGTGATCAGTTTGCCGTTCGGATCTTCCACCCCTGGTGGCAGCGCCGACGCGGGTTTCACCGAGGTGTACGCGTCATACACGAGGGCCTTGAACATCTTGAGCACGCAACAAAGTATGGAATCGTACAGCCCAGCAAATGGATTTTTGGCTTTGCTGCTCTCGCTCGATTTGTTCGTTGAACTTCTGACATCCAGCTGCTGTCCGCTACTCGCAGCCTGAGGCTCCAGATTAGAGGTTGTCGTTCCGGAAGTTGAACTGCTGGCGCGCTGGTGCGCGGCGCTGGCAGCCTGTCCTGGTTGATCTGAAGCCTGGCCCGTCGTTCCGGTCGCCGACTCGGGGACCGCCGAGGTCGGTTCTTCGACCACCTCAATGGGCGGGTTTGGCAGATTGCACAGGTAATAGAGCAACGCGTAGAGGGCCTCGCAGAAGTCGGTTTCCTTGACTAAGCGGATGCGGTCGCGCACGTCAGATATTTGGACGATTTTCTCCACCAGCTGCAGTGTCATGGCCTGGATGTACACGATTTGCTCGTGCGGCCAGTCGTCTCGCGATCGCTTATGCATGGTATCCGGCGCGAAATTGATCTGGTCGATGGACTTGTGGTAGAGGAACTTTATGAGGTAGTTCAATCGTTTCGCGCGCCAAATGGCCTGCACCAGGTCCCCGGACTGGTTCAGCTCGTTGTCGAGGAGAAAATCGTGCATGAATCGCACCCCGGCTTCAATCAGTTCCCTCCCTCCACGGTGGCACATCTCCAGCACATTGTCGATTAGAAACTCGTGCGCGTAGTCCTTCAGGCCCAGGGAACCGAGTACCCTGATGTTCTTGTAGGTCGCGATCACAATGTGCAGCATCATCCGGCGCAAAACGGGCGCGTCAGGTGTGGTACACTGCACCGCCAGGTACACGTACCCGTTCAGCGTGCCGTACTGCGCAAACGCATCGTAGATATCCTGAAAGTTGATGATGCTGTTCCCGTAGAACTCGATCCATTTTTGCACCACCTCCCGCCGGTTCTCGTGGCTGGACCGAGCCAGACCCAAAAACGGCCGGATGTCTGGCGTGGTGCGGATCAGCATTTGCAGCAAGTCGAAGTTCAAGTCCGTTGTCAACGCAGAGAACAACTTCGCGAGGAGCAGTACCCTCGCATGCGTTGCCATCGGGCTCATCATGCTATCCACAATCTCCGGGAGCATGGCTCCCTTCAAGAGGTACATGCGACTTCGGTACTGCCCCTTCTCGACAAACTCCAGGATAATCTTGATGCTGGCGATGCAGAGCTCCTCCTTTGTGCCCCGCAGAATTTGCTTCCAGATCTTGTTCATGTCGATCTGCATCAGGATCTGGCAGGTCTCGTCGTAGGACTTTATCCCTCGGCCCTCTAAGAGACTCTCGAGCGCGCGGCAGGCCTTAATGCGGAGCGGCAGCGAAATTGCCTCGCAGATGTAGTACACACAGAGGTTTACAAATTTCTTGCGCATCGTCGCGAACGCTTTGTACTCGTAGAGTTCCGCCATCGTGGGCAGAATTTGGTTCAGGCACTCCGTCGCGACGACGAGCGCGGGGGCCGAATAGCGGTACTCTTCTATCAGCTTGTAAGCCATATCCAGCGTGTAGTCGAGCAACTTTGGTGCTTCGTCCAGCATCTTCTTCGCTTGGTGCTCGAGCAGGAAGCACACGATGCGAACCCAGAGGAGCCGCTGATCAAAGTTGAACTGCGTGGGTTTCTCCTTAGCGGGCTCCTGCGTGCACTGCTCAGGCTCCTCCTGCTCGCTCTCGGCGTCCTTGGGATCCAGGATGCTGTCGGTTTTGTCTGTATCCAAAGCAGTTTCCGGCACCAGCGTTCCGTCCTCGTTGCGGACCATGTTTGCCGCTGCTCCGCTTGTGTTGGACGACTGCGAGGCGTTGCTGGTCCCGACATCCTTCACGACCAGGTGCGCCGGAATGGTCGCGCCCTTCGCCGCCTCTTTGGGGAGCTGGCAGTTGGTTGACAACATCTTGTCCACGTCGAAGTGCTTCGTGATTTCCCCCGTATCCGGATCGATCTTGGTCAGCATGGGCGCGGTGGGGTAGTAGTTTTCGAACAGGTTCACCAACGTGAGACATACCTTGAACTCGTTCATCAGCAGCTCCTGCGATTCCGGATTTTTTATGGTGTGAAACAGGATGAGCAGTAAGCGATACCGACCCATGCTCAAGTCCCGGTTGTAGCGCTCCACGTCCGTGGACAACCCATCCATAATGCGCTTCTTCTTCTTCTTACCCTTCCCCCCGGCGCCCAGCGCCTCAAGCGGTTTCCTCGTGACGTTGACCTCGAGAAACCGCTCGTTCCTTGATCGCCAGCCCTGCGCGAACTCGATGCAGGGATGGAAGGTAATTGCCTTGGGGCTGGACCTAGCCTGCTCCAGTACCATGTACACCAAATTGAGGAAAATGCCGTTCTTCAACTCGTTCAAGCTCGGCCCGTGCATGTGAAGTGTGATAGCCTCTTTCCTGGGTAGTCTGTCCCAGGCTGTCAACGCATTCGCGATAACCGTCGAGTCATCTAAAATCGCCTGGCAGTGCTTGAAAATCTCCGGCACCACCATGCTGGTCGACACAAACTGGGAGTTTCCGTACAACGCCAGCATAAACACACAGAAGTGCTTGTCCATGGGGGACATCAGGTTTGACCGCTCTTTCAGGAAGCGAATTACTACGGGGAGCAGGTCCACCCTGGCGAACGTGTCAAACGTCTCGTCCTTGATGATTTCGGCCTGTCGTGCCTCCAGCTGCGCCTCGCGGTCGGTCAAAAAGATTGTCATCATATCAAATGTAAAAATGTCTGGGTCTGGAAGAGTCATGCTGTTTTTGCATGACACAGAAGGTCTGGCATGAAAGCTCTAGCATCACAGGTTTCGAGAAGCTTCCGCAATGCCGAATCCGCATGACAAATCCCCTAGTTCGCTGACAGAAAGTGGGCAGCTTTTGCTACGTATGCATGAGAGACTTTTCTGTATTCTGAAATACGCATTACAAGTTGCGTTCTTCCAGACCCAGACATTTTTACATTTGATACATCAGGTAGAGGACCCATCGGATCCGGTACATGCGCTGCTCAACCTCCTCCGCGTGCTTCGCGAACCCGCCTTCCTTCTGTTCGATCTTGGTTAGCTCGTTCAAAAACTGCTCGAACCTTCGCAATGCGTTCAGGTGGGCTTTTTTCGTGTACATGACCATCTGTACCCGTTTCCCGCCGACAAAAGCGAAGTCCACCATGATCGGGAACATCAGGTCGAAGTCCACCTTGAGCAGGTCCTCGATGTTCGTCAATAGCCCAATCAAGAAGTCGTCGAGCTGCGGAAAATTTTTGTAGTTCCCGCCACCGCACGTCGCGGCCACGAGTAGCGACATACACTTGCGGATCATATGGATGTGCCCGCGGTCGGCAAGCTCTTCCAGGAACTGGCCCCACACCACGAATTCTTTTTGGAGCAAGGTGGACCGTAACAGTTTGCTACCAGTGTACTGCTGCTCAATCAGCTGTATCTTCTTCGCCTTCTTCGGCGCAGCAGTAGTAGAGGCGGGCTCGTCTTTCTTCTGCTCTCCTGCTTGCGCCACTGAACCTCCTGTCGCCGCACCGTCGGTTTTGCTATCTGTGGCGGCTTTGTTCTCTGTTGCAGCCTCTTCACCTTCTTCCGCGTTCTCGTTTTCCTCGTCCTCATCCTCCTCGGGCTCTTCCTCCTCGTCTGGCCCCATCGCCTCGATCAGCGCTTGCTCCTCCGCGGCCTCTGCCGCAAAGTCCTCGTCGGTGAGCGTGGATACCAGAACCGTGGTTGCGATCGCGACCCGATTCACGTTCAGAGGGGCGAGCAGGTTCTGCTGCAGCATCTGCTGGAACACTTTGACGAAGTGGATGTATTGATCATGCAGGTAGTGAGCCTCGGGATCCACCAGCGCGTAGGTGAGCATGCCGCAGGCAAGTTCCGGAAATTGCAGGTACTTCTCCGCCATATTCATGCACACCACGGTTTGTCGGTGCAGCTTCGCGCGGATACATATAAGCGCCGCCTTGTTCACGATGCTTCGGCTGGTCCAGCCGAGCAAAAACGGGGCCACCTGCGACAGCATGTCCGGGAGTGGCCGCTGGTAGAAGAAGGGCGTGAAGCACGGGATCGTCAGTCCGTGCAGGATGAATTCGCTGACACATTCGAGATACAGGTCGGTCAGAACTCGCTTCGAGCGATCAATCTTGAACAGAAGCAGGTCGACGCGCTGAAAGTAGTTTTCCACTAAATTCACACGACCGGCCAAGTCCGCCAGTTTGGTCAGCACAAACTGCCTCGCTTGTGGCGACTGGAACTCAACCGCCTCGTGCCCACGGATGTGCGGTGGCGCCTCGTCGTCGGGCAAGTAGGTCGCTTGCAGGAAGATGTGTGTGGTCATGTAAAACAAGTACTCTTCGTGGAACGCGAATTCCGAAGGTGCAATGTTACTGTTCTTCACCAAGCTGAACCCCGTTTTCTGCATGGACTTCTCCGCGGCGACCCGACGTTGCTTTTGGTACAAGCTCTCCTTACTCCCCGCACCCAATGCGTCCTTGCGCATGTTTTGGTCTTTGTTTTTGTTTTGGTCCATCAGGTTCGCTTCGTCGCCAGCCGAGGTGTCCTGCATGTGCTGCGAGTCCATCTCGTACAGCTGGTCGCGTTCCAGGTTGCCGAACTTGATCTTCTTTTTTTCCTGCTGTTCGCTGTTGGGCCGCACGTGTTTTTGCGGGTACAGCATGCAGTCGAGCACCAGCTGGAAACAGTGCGTGAAGGAGAGCAGTTGCACGGCGATGTGCTTGTCACGGATCATCACGAAGAGTATGCTGATGTACAGGCACCGATCCTCCTTGCACACGCTGTTGCACAGCTGGAAGATCGCCTCGCGGTCCTCTACGGCGATCGCGTCGACGGGCTGCATCTCCTTCACGACGTGGGTGTAGACGACGTTGCGGATACTGGCCAACACCAGGCGGGACAGCACGTCCAGCTCCTTCTGCGTGATGTCTTCGTCTTCGCGCACGGCCTTCGCCAGTTCGTAATTCTGGTCCTTGACCTTCTGCGGTCGTTCCATGAACTCCGGGTCCTCGTTATCAAATGTAAAAGTGTCTGGGTCTGGAAGAATGCAACTCGTCATGCTAAATCTGAAGCATGCAAAAATCTGTGTTGCATGATTACCAAAAGTCGTCCAGTTTTGACCAAGTCGGGAGGGAGTTGCTCATGCAGGATAGGCATGAGAGAGATCGCACAGAATCTGTCATGCTAGGTCCTGCATTCCAGACCTCATGGGTCATGGGAAAGCTGCATGACAAATCTGACAATCTTCCAGACCCAGACATTTTTGCACTCCATACTCGTCTATCAGCGACAAGTCTGCGGCCGCCATGAGGTTTTTGTACAGCAGCGCAAGCCGTTTCACGCTTCCGGGCCGGGCGTGAATGCTGGTCGCCTTCAACACGGTGAGATTGTGCACGATCACGATACTGTGCCGAAACAGCACCGGGGATTCCAGACTGTCGAACACAAAGTCGTAACTCGGCTGGTCGGCCGCGATTTGTTCAATCACTTTCGGCAGTTTGGAGAAGGTGCAAACGAGTTTGTAGTGCCACAAAAGCTGGTTCGGGTCGGTCAACATCCGTAGGTTGGCCAAAAATTTCGGGATATTATTTAGGATATCGCCCGTTGAGGCGTTTTTGCCGCTGGTGGAGCTCAGAATTGACAAAATAACGGCCGCGATCTCGCGGCACTCGAACGGGATGTTGTCGTTTCCGGGCCCGTATCCCGCGATCTGAAGCGTGTTCGGAAAGGTGTTGGATTGAAAAAAAAAGCCCTGCTTCACCATGCAGTAAAGCGTGCGCAGCATGGTCTCCTCAATGCACAGCCCCGCAAACCGCTTTTCGTGGCCGACGCGGTGCTCGTGCATCGAAAGCAGAGAGTACTCCAGCTTCGAGCGCTCCACCCGCGACCAGTCGATCATGGCGCCCTCCGTTTTCTTGTCCTCGTGGCTGAAGAGTGTCGAGAAGGTTAAGAGCATGGACTCGAACAATTTCGTCTTCCACTTCGCGTGGTTCTCGATGAACCTCGGCGTGTCCACCAGCCTGTTGGTGCAAGCGACCAAAAATTCGATCAGCAAGAACAAGTCTAGGCTGTGCATCACGCGATCTATTATCGTCTCGAGCTGCAGCCTCTCGGTTTCGGTGGTCATGATGTTTCCCTTGCCGCTCGAGAACCCCGCGGAACTGTAGGCCGTGCTGGTATTGTGGTTGGTGCCCGCTGTCGCGCTCGAACTTGACAACTGCGCCGTGGCGGAGAGCTGCTGGGAGCCCGACTGCCCTTCGGCTGCGCCGGCCGCCTTGCTCTTCACCACCGGCTCCTTTACGGTTTTCTCCTTGCTGGGACTGGCGCCAACCGTGCCCGCCAGGGACGACGTGGCGGTCTGCACGGAGACCGTCATTCGGTTGTAGATGTCGACCATGATCTTTTCGTGGTCAATCCCGATGGTCGCCACGTTTCGGATGACGCGCACGAAAGCATCCAGCACATCGATGTACTCGTCCGCGGACGAGACCCCGTCGTACGTCCCGAATACGCTGCTAAAGGTTTTTCTCAGCAGCGGAACCAACGATGCGTTATTCAGCACGATGGTCGTCAACGTGGGGATCCGGTAAGTTAACAGGTTGCTGATGATTTGCAACACTGCCAAAATTAGTTTCGACCGGTCGAAGTTCTGCAGCTTCATCGAGAAGCACTCCCCGAGCAAGTACAGGCACTGTGTGAACAACCTCGGAATCCCCTCGGTTTCGTTCAGAACCAGGCAGCGCTTCACCAGGTTGGGGTCCTTCGCCTGTTCCGCGACCGATTTGTCGTCCGCCGTGGCGGTCTGGGTCGGCAGCGCGACTTGGTCGAGATTGCAGACGTCTTTCTCGGTGATTAGATGCTGGATTCGCTCGTACTCCCGCAGAATTGCGTCCTTCTGGTAGTACAGTTGCTGCGAAATCGTGTAGACCGCCAACATCTGCGTGTTTGGGTTGTCGGCCTGATTCAAAGCATCGAAAAGGACCCGGAGGTAGACTGGATCAAGCAGGGAGTAATACTGCGGCATGTCGCTCGTCACGTGGTGCAGCACCCCGTGCGCGTCCTTGTGTTTCAGCTGACAGTAATCCTGGAACGTCGCCGTGAGTGTGATGTACTGGACGGCTTCGGTCAAAATTCTCGTTCTCAAGTGGTGGTAGCGGTAGACCACCTCCGGCAAAAATTGTCTGGCTTCGTGGTGCAGGACTAGCTTGTCCTGGCAGCCCCAGCGCCAGAACTCGATCTTGTCCAAGTTCTTCGGCTGCTCCTGCAGGGCGTTGTGTTGCGGCATTTTCTTCGGGTTCATGCCCACGAAGAGCGACTGCGAGAGATTGGCTCGCAGGCATATGACCACATTCTCCAGTACCTGATTCCAGTTGCAGTCCTTGATGTGAACCGCCAGCGGAGTCATACCTTCGCCGCTCGCACGAACCGAAGACTTGAAGGAGTCCAGGTCCGCGTTGGTGCTTTGTTTCACCTCGGAGTAGGGGTCCACGACGTCCTCCAATTGATACACCTCCAGCACCGTGCGGTTTACCGCCGTGCACATTTTGTAGTAGATTTCTGAGCGCAGAACGTAGTTGAACATGCTGTCAGTCAGCGGCTGCGTGCCGATCTCCCGCAGCAGCTGTGATAACCCGGTGAGAACCCGCACATCCCGCGAGAGAAAGTACGCCACACGCCGCCGCGTGGCGAGATCCGTGTGCGCGAACTCCTTCATGTCCACCAGTGGGGGTTTGTCGTCCGGGTTGTCGCTGTCCTCGAAGGACTTGTCTTCGAACATGCCATTGTCGCTGCGCTGCACGGGCTCGTCAACAAGCGGTTTGCCGGTTTCGGGATCGGTTGTCGTGTACAGACTCCCGATTCCGAGCGGGAAAAGGCGGACGTAGAGAAACTCGAGAATGTTCAGCACCATGGACACCACGTATTCCTTGTTCATGGGTTGGGACTTCACCAAAACAGGTCCGTCTGCGTACTGCTCGCCCCATCCGAAATGGTTCCAGGACGAAAAGAACAATGAGTTGACGATCTGCAGCATCGCTAGGGTCAAGTTCAGCAGTTCCGCATCGCAGGCGGTTTGGTTCAGCAGATGTTGCTTGATCCGGTGCGCCCGCTTGGGACTGAGGTTTTCCATGTCCGCGAGAAGGTCGTCCTTCTGCAGATTGCGCTGCCGAAACTGCTCTTTCGTCACTTCGGAGTACACCTGGATGAATTTGTGCCTCAGCGCCGAGCACAGCATCAACACGTTGCTCTGTTCGAAGATGGTCTTGGACAGTTTTGGGCTGGCGTGCGCGAGCACTTGAACGAAGAAGACTAGGTTGTAGTGCCGCAGCAGCTTCGTCTCTGCGGGGAAGTTTGCGTCCTTCTCGGCTAACACGCCGAGACCGCGGTGTCGGGCCATGCGGAACTTCTCGAGCTGTAGCTGGCGGATGCGGTCCTGCTCGGCGTCCTTGGCTTTTGCGGTGTCCGCCACGACCCACTCGCCGTCGCGCATGACGCAGGCGACCACCATGGAGAAGCAGAGAAAGTAGTTCAGCCGGAGTTCCAGCTCCTTCACGATCTGGTCCGGAAACATCAGGGTGATGTTCGTGAACGCGCGCATGCTGCGGTTCACGGTCGACATGGATTCCGAGTAGACGATCAGGTAGACAATCAAGTGCAGAAAGTTGTCACAACACGCCTGGGTCAGCTCCGCCATGTTGAACACGCAGCAGTGGTCAAAAATTGTCGCGAAGTACTCCACCTCCTCAGGGTTCACTGCAGTGCTGTTTCGCGTCACCTGATCCTCGAGCTGTTTGCAGTACTGCAAAAAGTCCGCGCACTGGATCAGATCGATGCAAACGGTTTTCTCAATCGAGAGCGCGCACAGCAACCGCGCGGCCACCAACCGGATGTCTTTGAATGGCAGGTGCAACAGCATGGACAGCAACGGCACCATCTGCATGTGCGCCAGGGCGGTCACGCCATAGGGGGTGCTAGCGACCATGGTCAGCAGTCTGCACATGATCCGAAAAGTTCGCAGCGCCCGGTCGTATTTTATCCTCCAGTCGCGCTTCACCTCGAGGGGCTCTTTTGTGTCAGCCTCCTCTGGTGGCTTTGTCCCATACTTCGCCTCGTAAATCTTGTAGAAGACGCAGTGCTGGTGTAACCTGGCCTTGAAATAGTCGATGAACACGTCGTGGCGAAGGATGTCCATCACTTCGGCCTCAACGTTCACCGCGTAACTTAAGATGTGGAGAAGCGAATCCAGTCCCGGCGCGACCGGGTGGACGAGCGAGAGCCCGACAGGTGTGATGGGCGTGAGCACGGATTTCACGGCCTCCGCCATCTGCTGGTTGTTCTTAAATTTGCCCGCGCCAGGACGTGTGCCTGAAGATAAGTTTCGGTTTATTCTTTTACGCAATTTTCGAACGTGCTCTGCGTTCTGAAAAAGTCTCATTCTCAACTCTAATCTCAATTTATCATTTGATGATGATGAAACAAGACCGACTACTCTAGAAGTATGTCTGAAGCAAAACAAAAACGACGACCAGCTTGAGTTTCACTAGTACCTGGCTTTGTGGGAGATGACCCCATTTGGGCTTTGGAGCCCGTCCTTGAGTCTGCTGTTCCATCTTCGAGCATTTCTACGTCCTGGTCGTTGGCCGTCGGTATCCCCGACTGGGCGCCCACCGGATAGTCCCAGTCACGCACAAACTGCTTCGCTGTGACGTTGTTCATGCCGGTCATGTCCATCACCAGTTCCGAATCCTTGATTCCCGGCTGGTCCTTCCCCTTTGCGCGCTTCTTGTAGGGGTTGATGGGCACCAGCCCCAACGCGCTGCACACGGTTCGCGCGACGTTCGCGGCTCCCATCCCTCGGTGGTCAATGGGCAACGAGGTCAAGAAATCGCTGTGGTAGAGTTCCCCCGTCTTGTGCGTGAACGTGGGGTCGAACCGCCCTACCTCTTTCTGGTCCTCGGTCCACGTCGCCGGCTTGAACCGGGACACCTGCCGAGCCTCGCCCGGACTCCCCACCGCCTCGTCGTAGACGCGCGGAGTCTTTCCGGTCATTTTATTCCGTCCGCTTGGACTGGCATTGCCGTCCTCGTCTTCGAGTTCGGCCGGCCCGCCGCGCTCCAGCCGGCGCTGGATGTTCTGGTAGCGCTGGAATTCCAGAGCAATCTTCCCAAGAAACCCTTGCGCGTACCACTTCGACCAGAACTTGCCACCCTGCGGGGTCCGCAACAGCAAGCTCATCAAATGCGACGTGGAGTGCAGCAAATCTTCAGACTTTTTCGCGTCCTCGAACAGTAACTGCACGAAGCCGTCGAGCTCCGAAGACAACAGCAGTTGCTCCACCAAAATTGGGTATTTGGTGATCAGCGCCGTACTTCGCACGGCCATTTCGTACAAAACGTCCTCTTGCTCTTTGTTCGGGGATTTCCTTCGCTTTACCGCGGCTGCCTGCCACAACTTCGGGATCAGCTGCACGTTCTCCCAGAGCTCCGCGTCATTGCACGCGATCGTCAGGAAGTAGCAGGCCTCGAACGCGCGCACCTGCACTTCGAACTGGTCGTGGAAGTCGATCAACTTGAGCAGAATGACCAGCACCTCGCGGTTCGTGAACTTGTACCGCAACTCCGCCGGCGCCATGCTCATGCGGTGCAGCGTTTCGATCAGGAGCACGCGAATCTCCGGAATGTGGAAGTGGGTTTCCGCGATTTTGCTGATGAACAAGAAACACGCGCGGTCCGGCTCGATGTTGGCCGGGTCATTGTTGATGTACAGCAGGTTTGCGGTCAGCAAAATGTACTTTTCCAGCGAATTGTCAATGTTCTCGTGGTCCAGGTAGTACTGCGACATCGCCTTGAAAATCTTGCCCGCAACGTGCTGCTGCCGGGCCAGATTCGCGAGCGTCGAAAACACCACACGCCGCAGCTCTGCGGTGACGACTGACGAGGGCACCAGTTCGACGTAGAAGTCGAGAATTTTCGGTTCCTGCAGGATCGCGCCGTGGCACTCGGCAGTGCAAGAGAGGTTGTGGCGCGTATGGATTGCAAAAATGCCTGGGTCTGGAAGATTCCGGGGTTTGTGATGCATATTTTGTATGATCCATGTAATGCATGATCTAGCATCACAGATTTTTAGAGGGCTTCCTGATGCCTATTCCGCATGAGAAATTCCCTCTCCGCGTAACACAAACTGGACTCCTGTTGCTCGTCACGCAATACAGAACTTTTTGGAATCCAAAGACAGCATGACAAGTTGCAATCTTCCAGACCCAAACATTTGTGCAATCCATAGAGCGAGAGCAAACACAGGTGGAAACACTCCTGGTACAGCTGCATGGAGTCCTCCGTGCCCGCCGTTGGGGCGTCCAGATGCTTGCCGGTCTCGTGCGGGTCGTTTACCCCGTAGCCCTCGATGTCGATGCCCATGCCCTTCGCGATGCGCTGATTTTCCACCACGATCGGGTCCAGCTCCTCGTCGTCGCCGAGGTCGTCGTCCTCGATCATTTCCTCCTCCAGAATGTCCTCCACCGTGTGCATGGGCGCGGCGTCCTCGAGCGGCGCCGGGACGTCCACGCGGCGGAACAGCAAAGCGAGCGGGCGCTGCTGGAACAGCGGCACGATCTCGTCCTGCCGCAGCCCGTGCACGGGCTGGTTGTTGATCGTGATCAGCGCGTGGCTCTCCGCCATCAGACTGGATTCGTAGCGCTGCGCGGGGGTACCGTCGATCACGCCCAGAAAGATGGGTGGGTCCAGCCAACGAAGCTTTATTCCCAGGGGGGCTCGGTCCGTCTCCTTGAACGTGATCGTCGACTCGTACAGCGGCGGCGCGTGCGCCAGCTCGCGCTGTTTCGCCAGCTTGCGCATTCGCAGCTCCTGGCGCCGCTTCGCGTACTCCTCGCGGCGCTTCTTGTCGCGCTTCGCCTTCTCGTCGGCGGGTTTCGTGAACACGCCGTGGAGAAAGGTGTAGGAGTACTGCAGCGTGTCGGCAAGGAACGCGATCACGTGCTCGCTGTTCAACAGTCGGTGCATCTCCTGGAAGTGCGTGGTCAGGTTTGCGAGGGCGCGGTTCATCTCCAGGATCACCTGGAACTGCTCCACAAAGTACAGCCGGCCCGCGAGGTTGGTGAACAGGCGGAGCATCCCGGACTTGATCACGAAGTCCAGGCACTCCACGTGCACGCAGCAGTTCGCAAGGAACCCGATCAGGTTCCGCCGCACGAAAATCTGGTTGCCGGTCAGCAGCGGAAACATGAACGCGGTGTCCATGTCTTTGATCATTTCCGCGTCCTTGCTCCGGATCCAGTGCGCGAACATGTTGGAGGCCAGCATGGTCAAAACCTCCTGAACCGCGTCCATGCGCATCTGAATCATGCGAACCACGACTTTCGGATCGTCGATCACGAACGGCGCGAAGTAGGACAAGGCCGCGACCGTCTCCAGGCCGATCCCCGCCATTTCCACGCCGACGCCCATCTCGATGCACCGCCCGATCAGCTTCATGATCTGCCGCACTTTGGATTGCAGGTTTCCCATCGTGGGGAAGGAGAGAGCCAGCGCCTCGGGCACGACAACCGACGGGTCTGCCGGGGGCACCAGGTCGGAGACGCCCGACGTTTTCTTTTTCTTCAAGCCGAGCTTCTGGTCTGCGCGCTGCGGCTTCTTGTCCATGTGCCGCGTGACGGACTCGATCTCGTACTGCGTGGGGCGCTTATCGAAGTTCTGCACCCGGATGCGCTCGCCGGCGGGGATACTCGGCAGAGGCGCCCGGTGCGCCATCTCGCCCTGCGCAAAGTCCGCACGCGCGCACATGCTGTTGTGCACCATGACGAAGGTGCACTTACTATCCTGAGTAAAAACGTACCCACACCAGAGTTGTAATGCAAATCTGCATGCTGAAAATGTTTCTCATGCGGAGCTCCATGAGAAGCATTTTCTAGTCGTGTTTTGCAATTTGTCATGCTCCAATCAGCATGGTATGCTAGATCTGTGATGCTGCTGAGCTAGCTGAAACAGCACTATACTACGAATCCAAATTTGTCATGCAAAACAGCCAAAACTTGTGGATTTGTCTAGCCGATTCCCCATCTTGACTCTGGTGTGGGTACGTTTTTACTCAGGATACTTACTGATGTACTCCTGTACCTCGTTCAGCATGATTAAGCCCTCGCGCTCCGCGAGCTTCTTCGGGTTTTGCGGTTCGGCCTCGTCCGTGATCCCCAGCCGCTCCTCCTCCTCCTTCTCCTCGCGCACCTCCTCCATCTGCTGCCGGACCGCGCGGGCGAACTGCAGAATCACTTCGATGTTCAGGGAGCCGAGCAAGTGGCCCGCGATCGTGGTCATGAACTCCGCGTTGTTGCGGGACAAGCCGCCCTCTTGGCTGTCGCCCTCACCCTCCTTCGACAGCCACTTGGCCATGGGGTCTTTCTCCTTTTTCTGCATCCGGTCGCCGGTGACCGGGTCGAACCGCAGCTTCATCTCGTGCACCAGGTTCACGATCACGCAGAGCGCCATCAAGTACTTGTTGAAGGACAAAGCGGTGGCCGTGACTTTGGTGGTGTCCCGCGTCAGCAGCGCCTTCTTGTACTTCGAGTTCAGCTGACTGGTGTCGAAGGTCTGCTGGAACCGGCGGCAGTAGTCCATGAACAGGTTCATCAGCGGGGCGGCGTTAGACAGCAGCGGCTTCATGCCCAGGTCGTCACTCAACCGCGTCATCAGCGAATAGGAAAACACCTCCGCGAAGGCGTCGGACGCGCCCTGCACACCAAACAGCACGGTGGGGACCATGTTGTTCTGGTTCACAGCCTGCTTCAAATGCGGGAAGTACTCCCGGTCACTCGCGCAAATGCACATGACGCGCAGCACGTGCCGGTACACGAAGGAACTCGGCAGCGTGCCAACCAGGGACAGGAAGGACTCGCAATCCAAGCGGTTCGACTGCAGCTCGTCGCTGGTCAGGCTGGGGCGGTAGGCCCGTTGCAGGGCTTTCAGACCTGTCGTGCCGTAGTGGTACGCCTGGTCGATGTCGCCGGCAGGCAGGCGCAGCAACGACACAAAGAGCTGCACGCGGGTCGCCGGGAAGAGCAGTGACCGGAGGAAGAACTTGTACTGGGTGGGACTGCTTGCGAGCTGACTGATCCCGTACACGGAACAGATCAGCAAGTCGACGCACATCTGCCCGTTGAGCCCGGAGCCCGCGAGCGTGATGAACATCAAAAACGTCTCGACCAAGTTGTACTCCACGAACTTGTCATGGTGTTTTGGGTCGGACTGGGTCAGCTCCGCGAGCAGACCGCACAGAATCGCGACCGTTCCGTAGAAATGCTCCGTGCGCTTTTCCTCCGTGGTGCTGTTGATCACGACGTGGATGATGTTCATCAGCTCCGGCAGGTTGACGATCACGCGACTGCGAAACTCCCGACTGCGCGAGATGGACAGCAACGCGGACAAGCAGCGGAACCCGACGTGCTCGTTGCTGCTCCCGATTCGGTGGAAGGAGAGGAGTAACGGAATGCTGTCCATGTTGATGGGGTCCTTCAGCAAATTCGCAATCACGCGATGCACGCCGTGCAGCATCTCCGCGAAGAAGAGCAGGATGGATTCGCCACTTGCCTTGTCGATCTGCTCGCTGTGCAAGAGGTTGTAAAGCAGCTGCGGCACGTTGTAGCTGATCAGCCGCTCCTGCACCTCCGTGTCGTGCTCGAGGGAGATCAAAGCGAAGCAGTGGATGATGCACCGGGTGATAAACGGGTCGTGCGGGGTCAACATCCCCACCTCGGACTCCTCTTTTCGTTTCTGGATCCGCGACATCTTCTTCATGCTCTCGGACACGCCCTTCTTCACCGTGGGCAGTAACTGCGCCAAAACCTCCACGTAGTTCTCCTCGATGTTTTTTTCCGCGTGCTTCCCGAGGAAGATCTCGCGGTTCGACTTGTACTCCAGGAGGTTTTGCAGACAAAACACACCCAGCTGCTTCAAGTCGACTTGATTCGAGAACAGGAACGAAGAAAAGGTGTCCAACCCTCCGCTCATCCCGAGCTGCGGGCGGTAGATCTCGGAGCACGCGAAGGGGATCAGCGCCTTCAGCGAGTTCGTGACCAGGTCGACGTGCGACTCGTTCTCGCAGGCGTCGAGCAGCACGCGAATCCCGTTTTCCTGCGAGATGGACCGCTGCGCGAAGTCGTCGTCGGACAAGTAGAGCAGGGACAACAGGCAGCAGAGCCGGACGTGTTCGTTTTTCGAGGTGTTGTAGATCTCCACGAGGATCCGCAGCCCCCCCTGCAGCACGAACTCGCGATGCGTGTCGGCGTAGTACAGAAATGCGGAGAACATCAGCGACAAATGCGGACTCAGCTCCTGCTCCTCCAGCAGTCCGCCATCCCACGAATCGATCAGCGACGCGAAGAACATCGACCTGGTCAGTTCCTGGCGGACGCTCATTTCATCCGTCAATTGCCGGCACAGGTCGCAGAAGTAGATCGCGGAGGTGAGCGACAGCTTCTTTAAAAAGTCCCGCTGCAGGTACCGCTTTTCGAACCCGCACTGCAACAGCATCAGGCCGGTCTTGTCGTCGCACTTGGACAAGTTGTGAAAGAACTGGGTCGCAAAGTCCACAAAAATTGCGTCCGCCCCCGCGCTGTCGCCCTGCGTGGTCGAGTCCAACGCGGATTTTTGCTGCGCCGCCACCTGCAGCGAGGGTTCCTTGGCCAGTTGCGCGTCGTCCACACCATGGGACACGACGTTCAGGATAGCTTCCAAATACGCCTTTTTCAGGCACGCGTTGGTGTTCGCGGCGTCCGACGCGGCGTTCGCCAGCGCGAGCATGCAGTACCGCCGGATCTCGATGTCCTCCTGCAGGTTACAGGCCAGAAACACAATATCCATGATATCCTGCTCGGTGGGAGTCGTGGGGTGCGTCGCCGTGATCGCCGCTAAAATCTGGATGGCGTTCACGCGGATGGAGTAATGCAGCTTCTCCGTCATCGCGATGGACACGACGTTCGACAGGAGACCGGTCGCGAGCAGCACGTGGTGGAATTTGGGCGTCAACGTCAGGTGGAGGAAGGCGCGAATCAGGTGCTGCTGAACCGCGGTGGAGTCGCTGAAAATGTGCGACTGCAGAATCGTGAAGTACCGACTCTCCACAATTTTGTCGTGCAGCTCCACGGACTCGCACAAGTTCGCGATGATGCACAGCACGATCGGTACGAACTCGGCGTCGTTGGTCAGTGCGGCCTTGTCCAAACATTCGATCACGTCCTGCTCGAGCAACAGGTACGCATTTTCCCTCCGGAAGGAGAAATGCAGGAGAATGTCCAGGACGATGGGGATCAGCTCCTTCGGACTGGCCGGGTTGCGCGTGATCCCGATGATGATCGGCAGCACCCCGAGCTGGGGGAACCGCTCCTGCCCCTCGGGCGTGACCGTCAGCCCGCGGATCAGAGCCAGCGTGTAAAACATGATCTTGTAGTTCTCGGTATCCTGAGTAAAAACGTACCCACACCATAGTCAAGATGGGGAATCGGCTAGACAAATCCAGAAGTTTTGGCTGTTTTGCATGACAAATTTGGACTCGTATTGTAGTGCTGTTTGAGCTAGCTGAGGAGCATCGCAGATCTAGCATACCATGCTGATTGGAGCATGACAAATTGCAAAACACGACTATAAAATGCTTCTCATGGGGCTCCGCATGAGAAACATTTTCAGCATGCAGATTTGCATTACAACTATGGGGTGGGTACGTTTTTACTCAGGATACTCGGACACGATGAAGCGCCACACCATGTTATCAAATGTAAAAATGTCTGGGTCTGGAAAGTTGCAACTTGTAATGCTAATTCTGGATCGTGCCAGAATCTGTCTTGCATGGATGCCAAAAGCTGTCCACTTTTGACCAAGTTGAGAGGAAGTTTCTCATGCAGAATAGGCATGATAGGGATTTCGCAGAATCTGTCATGCTAGGCCCTGCATTACAGGCATCATGGGTCATGACAAATATGCATGACAAGTCTTGCATTCTTCCAGACCCAGACATTTTTGCATTTGATACATGTCGTCCGTGCGCAAGTCGACCATCATCTGTCGGTGGATCGGGTCCGCCGTAAAGTTAGACAACGCGAACAGGCAGTTGATGATCACTTCCTCGATGTTTTTCGCGTTTTTCAGCACGAGCACCACCCCGTTCAAAATGTTCAGCTCGTGCAGGATCGGCCAGAACAGGTTGCTGGTCGCGAAGTTCCCGATCGCGATCAGGATGTACACGGTAACCTCCGACACCTCCTCGTACAGGATGGGTGCTATGTGTCGTATCACCTCCTCTTGCAGCAACAGGGGAAAGGTCCCGACGTTGACGGACAAATTACTGATCGCCAAGGCGGCGTATTTTCGACACATGTCGTCGAGCGAGATGATCAAGGGCAGAATTGCGTCCTTCCACCCGCCGCCCTGCACGATCCGGAGCTGGTACGCCCGGTTCGAGCAGTGGTGCGCCAGTGCTTTGATCGCATGACGCTTCTCCTTCACAGATTTCAGGATCTTCAACGACGAAATCAATTCGCCGTACGAAGACATCCTGGGCGAAGTTTGGGTAGAAAAACGAGGTGGCTACAGGAAAAAAAAACTCCAACGCGTGCCGGAGGTACTTCTCACGTGAAACAGATCACAAGCGGAATCGGGGGCGCTCCTGAGTGTACAGTGCTAGCTCCGGGGTCGTGAACGTGGTTTTGGTTCGTGCTTCCTCGGTTTGATTCTTCAATCCTTTGGAGTGCTGACAAGAATTCCTCGTCCACGGAACTTTCTGCTTCCTACTTGCTGCACAGCCAAGTTCGAGCTGGCACTTGTTGTGTATTCGTAATGCTTACGTAACGCCGGAATTGTGTAACCACTTCTGAGGAGCGTCGCGAAAGCAGGTGGTTGTTGTCACGTGTGATCGGTGCAGCGACAGTGATACTAACATGTTACAACCACCTCTGTCCGCACCTGGTCTTCCGGGCGGCCCGCTGCGTCTCTGCTACAGCCAGCCACTTTGCCGGGGGCGACGCTGTGTACTTTTTTCTGGCTCCAACACCTTCTCCACTGTAGAAACAGTTGGTCGCGGCGTTTTTTCGTTCGTCGTCCACATTCAAAATGTCAGTCCACCACGCGCATGCACAAGGAAGAGGTGGATATTGGAGACTCATAATTGAATTAAGGTTCAAATATGTTGATGGGGTTGGAAGCGAAATATCTGTATTCTCGGGAAGGGGTACAGCCCACTACGATGAATTAAAGAAGAAAATTAATGCGACGAGAGTAAAAGCAAGTTGGGCTGTCGAGAACGAAATAAATTACATCTTCAGGTATTTTTCCTTCTTGATTTCCGAGCTCAGTGTAACAAGCGCTCTTTGACGATAGGTGTTGAAATTCCTTCAAACGAAGAGAACTCACTGTAATATCAAAGAACGGTCCTGCGACGCAAGACAAGCAACACGGCACTCATCTCCCACTCCCACTCGCTCCTTGCGATCATCTCTCTCTCGCTCATGTCAAATTAACTCCTCTAACAGTCCTACTCCTTCCTGATTAGTCATATCCTGCCACCAGAGCGACGCATTTCCGACGAAAATATTTTACCTGTAACTATGTAAGGACGCGTTGTCTGTCGTTCAGCTTTCGCTTTCGGAAACAGCCAATGATCTCGATAACGACCAACGCTCTACAAAATCTCTTCTTTCAGGGTCGAACCACTCACGGTAATTCTGTAAACAAGAACTACGGCGAAAAGCAAACATTTTACTCTCTCACATCGAAGTTCCGCTATCAAACAAGTGCATGTGGATTCCGCTCGTGAATGCATGCGTCAGAACACTGAACAGAACGAATACATCGAACAAGTTTGAAGTAAGTATAGCTTAACTATCCCAGTCGTGATCATGCCAGCCTCTGGTATCAAATGGAAGACGTGATCGAGGTTCGAACTAGCGCTCTCGAGGCGCACCCGCCTCGGGTATAGACCGAGTACTACGCCGCGGGTGCTAAATTCTGATCCGCAGATGCAGGCCGCGTTTCAGCGGCATATTTTTTACAAATGTCTGGTAAGGTAGACGTATGCGAGCTGCAGGTACCATCTTACGTGATTGGGAGTGTAATTCCATCCGTCGTCTGCCAAGCACTCCCTCGGAAAACAACGTCCCCGTCTCGTGAACCAACTCCGACCTCCTGTGGCACTGACCTCTCATTAGCCCTGGTAGTCGCCGCGCATTCGAGATCCTTCGCAAACAGCCCGTGGCGCTGCGGCAACCCCAATTATCCTTGTCTTTCTTCACTAGCTATTCATGACCGACGCAGCCACCTTGGTCGCCGGCTGAAACGAGGGGGGCAACGGACGCTGGCACGGCGTCCCGTGAGGAATCATGGCGTACAGTTCGCCCGCGCACCGCGTCATTATGCTGTCCAGGTTTCTACAGTGCTGCACTTCTTGGCGTTCTCGCTTCACACTCAGCAGCCGCTTTTCTCGCCACGCCTGCTGCTGCTCTTCTGCCGAAAGTCGGTGGTCGCTCTCCTCGTCCTCCTCCTCAGTGGTAGGGCGTCCCAGGTTTGCAAGAAGCCGGCGCTTCGTTCGCCGGAACCATTTGCGACCCTCGAGGCTGCCCCGGTGGTAAACCGCTGCGCCGGCCTCGAGCACGTGCAGCACGTAGTTCGTCACCCGAGCTTCGGATTGGTAATTGGTTTCCATCAGGTCCTTTTCGCGCACGTCTTGGTCCGAGCAGTCCAGCTGCGTGTTGATATCAGCGGCGGCGTGCTGGTTCTTGCTGCTTCGCTCCCGCGACTCCTTCCACAGCTCGTGAATGCGCGAGTCGTTTTCGTACCGGATGCCTTCGGGCAGGTCCGGTCGCAAGGTTTTGTACAGCTGCAGGTCGAAACACTGCCACTGCCGGTACTGCAGCGCAGCGTAGTAGCACTTGAACTGGGGGCTCTCCAGCTGCACCCGGGCCATCTCGAGCCGGTCCAGCCGGTCCAACTCCTTCTCGTGCCGTTTTTCCAGGATGCGGTATGCGCAGTAGGAAACACACCCGCAGTACAGTGCACCCATGTACAAATTTATCCGCGTCGCATCCAGTTTCACCTGAGCCAAGATCCCCGCACGAGGAATCGGCATGGTGGCGAAAGAAAAGGTAAAGACAGTGAAGAAAGAAAACCTTGTCCTTCAAAACTTTCAATTTTTTAGAGTATAAACAAAGTCAGCACGAAGGACCGAACTCTATGAAATTCTGTTATTTCAGATTCACAATACTAAGTAAGGTCAACATACCACGGTGGAAGATATCAAGAGCCGAACACGCTGCGCTGATGACTATGATCAACCAACTTCAACGCTCACACTGTTGTTGCAATAGTTAACTTCGCAAAGATAACTATTCCATAGAAAAGCTGCGCAGTCAGTGTAGCCTTCGCCTTCCGCTTCTTTGCATCTTCTACAGCACACTGCGTTAGTAAGTCTCGTTTACTTCTTTTTGCACAGAATGCAAGATGTATTGGCGGCCCTCGACGACGGACCTAGGCACTTCTCGTCGAGTGCGAGTAATATCATGTGTGTTCGTTTATTGCGATCGCAGGGGCTTGTCGTCGTTAGAGGCAAGAAGAAGAACTAGGATGAGGTACGAATTGAAAAAATTAATAGTAAAAAACGAGCTCATGCATTATTTTTCGTATTATACATGTTTTCGTTCTCGCTCCACAAGTTTTTCAACTGAGATCGAGTTTTCAAACTACAGTTGTGCGTGTGATACAATGTGACAGGTTAACCCGAAAAACGTTGCTGCTGTGCGAACGCAAATGCGGGGTCAAGCGTCTATACACATTTTATTTTTCTGTGTACGATATGAATAAAACTAGATGATACGACTGCCCAGGGGATTTTCTTCTTGATCCTTAACCTAAAGTCTTTTTTATTTCCCATGTTCACTCTTTTTTTGATTTTATATATTTGCCCTGAAGACATTAAGGTGAATGTGAATAAAGAGGGACCTCAGCGTCAGCCCTGTACAAATGTGCGTATACAACGGGTGTCCGAACGAGGAGCAGCTCTCGGGACGTTTACAAATACGAAATCCGAAGTCGAATTGTGACATAACAGTTTGCTTTCTGGAGACCTGCCACGACTACTTGGCGCGACTGCAGCTGCAGATTCTTGTAAATCAGAAAGAGTCATCAATTTTTCGCATGTCATCGATGCGAATTAGTTTACTAGTAAGTATTTGATAGTTTTACGATAATTGACGGGCGTGATACCGTAACGAAGGTGATTTCATCGTCTCTCCTTGCGTCATCACAATTGTTTTCTCAGTTTTTCTTGAAAAAATTAAGTAAGACCTCCATAGCCGCACAAGCCAGTTCAACCGCGGTGGTCCGCCGGTTTCTCCGTAGTTCATACCACTATCGCTTCTGCTGCTTTGCCAACTCCGCAACATCATCAAGAGATACCCCGAAGTACTTTATCGGCTGATCCTGATCAGGCGTATTCCCTTGATTCGCATACACTTGCTGGGACGCATTCCCTGGAGTACCTCCGACACTCATCCCTGCAGTGGCGTCTGTGAATTCAAGTGTAAGGACAATGAAAACTTTCCTTCACCGTAGTACCAGTAACAATCAGGAAAGCAGTGTTATAGCTTGCAAGTACAATTATCGATGAAGTTGATGCTAATCGAAAGATAAGGCAAAAGAAACCCCCATGCATCGCGCATCAAGCAAAACAAATGTAATGTGCGCTGTACCTGCTCCCGGGGTTCCACCTTCGCTGAAGGTGCCAGGGGTTACCTCGAAGCCGGGAGACGGGGTGTAGCTGAAGTCGGAATCTCCTTGTGCGCCATGAGAGCGGCTTCCAGAAGGCAGTCCTTGGCCGCGAGCGGCATGTCGGCTGGACGAGGCGGCGCCACCAGCACCGAAGCTCGAGCCGTAGGGAGCACTGCGTTGCGCTTGGCCGCCAGAGCTGCTACTGAGAAAGCCAGCCGGGGTGTAGCTAAAAGTACCACTCGCCCCGCCGTCGGTCATGTGACCGAGCCCGCTGATTTCGCTACCCGGCGTCTGGTCGTATCTCAGTTCCGCTTTTTCCTGTTTCTGATAAAGTTCGTATACGTCGGCGAACTGCCTCGCTGTGACCCGGTTTCGCTTGTGTTCTGGATTCTCGGCGCCAGCTTCCACGGCCTCCATGGCGAGTTGTTTTTGTTGCCTGTCCTTCTCGTACAGATCCTTATGCTTCCAGACATCCTCACCCGCTTTCAAGCCCTCCTTGTCAGCCTCCGCCAAGGCATTCTGTTGAAAAGTTTGTCTTTATTTTTTTAGTGCGCAATGGATCAGCAATACCTAGGGCCAGGCTGTAGACGATGAACATGACATAAAACTCGCTCTCGCACAAGAAGCTTCGGCATAATCAAAGCAAACTGGCGCGGACCCGACGCCGTTCGCAATCGCAACTGCTTGTACCAAGCACTCACTTCTATCTGCTCTAGTACATGCACTGTGTTGTATCTTTAGTACTCCCTTCAACAGCAATCATAGAAAATACCGCGGTTTCTTCCTCGATTTTTGCAAATTTCTCCCAGCGCTTGCGGGCCATAGCCGCAATCTGGTATCCAGGCTGATGGTGCCGTGCGATTTTACTTCTCCCCTTCAGAAACCACTGGTAAAGGGCGTCCAGCTTTTCGAAGGGTTTCGTTATCGTCGTGTCCTCTTCATTTTCCGACAGCATATTTCCCCAAATGCGGAACCCGTCGTGGTCGACCGAAATATGTTCCACGTTCGTTTTCTGATCATGTGATAGATTTTCATATTCACTTTTTTGTATGTTAATGTTTGCAGTAACCTATTCATATCTTCATTCATTGGCATTGATTACTACTTTAATTTTCAAGAAGAGCGAGTGCCAGTAGAAGAGAAGAGACTCAACAACTTGATGTGCTCATTGTCTTGCTCAATCTACAGTCTACTATTCACGCCGATCTAACTGCTGGCTGTTGACATCGTTTCGTTTTCGATTCTTCAAGGTTAAGGTTTAAAAAACAGCAGAAGGCCATTGCACTGATTAGACACAGCGATGAGCAATTCTCCGTTTGAGAAAATCACTTGATTAAATCATTTTTAGCAAGCGAGTATCTATAAACAGTAAAAGTCCGCATCAATTATTAATTTGTGGTACCGGATGGTGAAAAGCCCAGGCCATGACGATGTGCCCCGGATTGCGGTGGTCCCACTGGAACTTGAGTAACATTTTCTGCTCGGTCTTTGCGAGCTTCGAGAATTCCGACTTGGTCGCCTCCAGGTGGCCGTAGTTGGTCCTGGTGAACATCCTTTGCCCGTCGGATGGATTTTCCCGCTCGTGCAGAGACTTCTGCATTCGCGGGTCCCACTTGCGGTGGCCTTTGGCGTCCCGGAGCTTCTCGCACATGGGGGTAATGTACGCGTTGGAGAAGTGATCCAGATCGTTAAACACCACGTCCTGGCAGCCAACACGGAGAACCAAGCGCTGGCCCAGGCCGGACCGGTCCACCCGGCGCACGTCCTTGTCCCACTCCTCGCGCAGGTAGAGCGGGCGCAGCCAGTGCTGCTGGTCGTTCTCGCAGCGCAGCAGGTGTTGGTTCTGAAGCAGGCTCGCGTCCGCGGGGTTCATGTCCTTCGGGGGGTGGCGCCGACGCCGCACCGTGGGGAGGTCCTCCGCGTTCAGGCCCAGCTCCGCCAACCACTCCGTGGGGAGCTGCGGCTCCGTGTCGACGCCCGAAAACTTGAAGTAGGCGAGGAGGTAGGGGTTCGTCTCCGCGTGGCGGAAGAGCACGGTGCCCTGGGGGCTGGCGGCCAGCCAGTCGTACAAGTCCTCGTTGGAGGAGGAAATGTACTGGTCGTGCACCACGTTGCGCTGCCTCTGGTGTGCGGCCAGCGCTCGCTTGCGCATGGCGGCTTGCTGCTGGATCTCGGCGTCGTCGCGCCGGGGGAGCAAGGCGGGGACCAGCGCCCCACACGCGTTGTTGCCCGGGACTCGCCAAATGGAGTCGACGGTAGCCTCCTGGATCCTCAGCTTCGCAAACTCCAGCGAAAGTTGCTCCGACTGGTGGTGGCCGAGGACCGTCGCTTTCTTTGGCTCGCGCGCGATACGTTCTACTCTATCTATGATTTCCTGCCTGCCTAGAAGGCCCTTTGCCGTCAACCGTTTTTCTTCCTGATCCATCATTTCGTCCGTCTCCGCTTGCGTGCGTTCAACCTTGACCTCCCGTGGGAGCCGGGGCGCCATGCTGCCGAGCTTGATGGGAAAAGCCACCGGGTGACCCTTGTCATCGTTCATGGGCTGACTGGTACGGCCGTAATCCACGAGCGGGATGTGGAACGGGCGGGGCTCGAGGCCCCACGCTGCGTCGTAGTAGTCAATGACGTGGATGGTCGGAAATATGTCTTGCGGATTACGGGCGGAGTACGGCATGTTCCGTCTGTCACTCTGGGCAATGTTTTTCACCAAAAACAAGCACGGCTCGCCGGCTTTGTACCGGTAGGTGGTGTAGCCGTTCTTCTGTTCAAGCATGGCAGCAATGCGCTCCTGCAGAACGGTCGTATGTAGGTAGACTTGCCATCGCCACCGGGGCTGTTTTGTCGACTCTGTAGTTTTCTTTTCCGTGCCGTCGTCCTGGGCGTCCTTCATGCTGCTGTCCGCCTCCTCCGTGCTGCTGCCGCTATTCATGTATGGGCAAACCTCACCCTGCTCCTTGCCCCTCAGAAAAGGCTCCAGCGACTTCGGGTATTTCGCCTGGAAATTCGCAGCCGCATCGTCGTACGGCGCAATTTCCCCCTGCACGATCTGCCCCTTACACAGGTCGTTGCCCCCATTTGCTACCAGGTCAAAATACTGCCCGTTCGTCATACCTGTATCAACAAAGTATAGTACAATCAGAAAATGCTTGATGATGCTCAGCAGCATACTAGATAGTCATGCTCATGCCACTGCTCGAGCTCGTCTCTGTCTGCGGTTAAAAATAAATATTTCATTTTAATACACGAACAACTACAAGTAGTGATAATCTCTCGCTATCAAACGTAGCAACAGTAGTACCTTTGAATTGCTTCCGGTTATCAGGAAGGTACCCGAATCTGAGCGCAGGGAGCAACATGTTATCGATCCACCCCGCAATCTGCTGCTGTCGCGAGTCTTTGAAGGTACCATTCCAATCTTTGTCGTCTGGAAGAGTGTGCTTCACGAATTTCTCCTTGTCGTTGACAGATCGGTAGTACCAGTCGTACATGACGTAGGGCGGATCCATGCGGTTGCGGTCGCCCTTGAATTTTCCCACAATCTGGTCCAACTGGTGGTAAGCGTAGATTCTGAAGTAGGCACTGTAGTTGAAGAACCACTGAAAAATGCTCGTGCACCGCTTCGAGTACTCGTCGTCTTCGTCCGGGGGCAGCTGAAGCCCGGGCGGGATCGTCGGTGGTTCGCTGCCAGCCGTCCGCGTGGACAGGCTCCAGTCCTTTTCTTTTTTGTCTTGCTCCTCCCCGGCCTGCTCGCTCTCGTTCTTGTTGTACTCTCCGGAGGTGGCGACGTCTTTTGAAGCGGTTTTTTCTTCGTTTCCTGGTGTGGACAAGTTCTTGATAAATTCTGTTCCTAGGTAATTGATGGCAGGTATACCCGTCTCGTAGTACAGGTAACTTGCCCAGTTGAACTGAAACAGAATTTCCCTCGCTATGTCCTGCAGCGGTTCGCAATCTCGGAAAACGGCCTGGATGCGACGAAGCCCGTCCTTCTCGTTCGAAAATTGGATGAATCGTTTCAAGTTCTGCATCACATCGGTCTGCTCCCCCCGCTTCTGCAGATTGAACCTGTACTCCGCCATTGTTTGCGAAGGATACCCTTGCCTCGCAAGTTCTTCGGGGAGGTTCGTGTATTCGACGCCCTTAAAATATTCCGCGGCCATGTCGGCGTATCTCCAGTACTGAGGCTCGGTAAGCGGTAGGACCTCCAGGTTCGACAAACCCGCTGTCTGCGCGCCGGAGGCGGTCTGCTGGCCAGGAGCGGGCGTTGCGTAGGCTGCGCTCATCTGCCCCATGCCGGCAGTCAGGGGCCCAGCGGTAAGGTGACCTGCCTCCTGCATAAACTCCGCCTGCGTCATGCCCCCCAGCGTTTTCCCGTTCAATTCCTCAAAGACCTGCGCGTGCGCGGTCCGGGCCTGTTCTTCTTCCTCATTCATTTTGTTTTTGTATTGGCTCCTGGCTTCCTCTCTATCCAACTGGCCGTCCCCGTGATCTCGGTTGTCCTGCAGAATTTTCTGTACACCCGCTTTCATTTTCTCGTCCTCGTATTCGGTATTCACCCCGGCTTGCTGTTGCTCCTGCAGCTCGTGCTTGAGTTCATCCAACTTATCGTGGATTTTTGACAGCTTCTGTCCGTAGGCGCCATCGATCCTGGGGTACAAACGTCGCATGAAATCGCGCCGCACGTCCCCCCACTCGCTGTCGTCGTCGTGGCCCTCTTCACCCTCGCCAACACGCACTCCGAACAATTCCCCGAGGATGCGCTGAAACTGCGGCATGCCTTCCGTGATCCCCTGTGGAGGAATGTACTCGAACAGAAGCCGGGCCTTCCGCGGGCCGAGCCCCGGCAAGAAGTTCGCCAGCGCTCGCAGATTGGGACACCGCTTGAGCCGGTTGATACAGAGGCCCATCTTGCACACGATGTCAATAATTTTGCTCTCCAGCTGGTTGTGCAGCCGCGTGAGTTCGAAGCACTCCTGCCCGGTCTTCAGCACCTTCACCTTCAGCAGTACGTTGCGTGCCGGCTGCTCGTGCCACAGGGCCAGCGCCTCCGCGAGTGGCTCCTGGGCCTGCCGGGCCATGGACAGACAGATCTTCATACCTACCGGTTTGTCGGCCGCCAGCGAGTGCCCGTCATCCTTCAAATGCTGGGCGGTGTGCTCGACCATGGGATGCGTTCCCATCAGCCGCGGCACGCGCATGTCTGCGATCACTACCTGCGGCATCCAGTCCCGGTACATGCCGAATTTGTCCTCGAAAAAAAGCTTGTCCTCTTGAAACTTGTTTCTGTTCTTCCTTTCCAGCTTCGCCTGCTCCGCGCGCTCCTTCTGCGATTTCGGGTTGACCCAGCCCACCTCGTCGCCCTCTTTCGCGTTGTCCGGAATTGGGACCCACATGTCGTCCACGGGTCGCTGCCCAATCATAGGATCCTTGCGGATGTCCTTGTCGGCGTACTTGAATATTTCACTTGACAGCGAGACTTCGCTTCCGTCCTGGGTGAATTGAGATCGGTCGAAATAAATGAACCGTCCTCTTTTTTTCCCGTCACTATATTCCTGCACGTTCCCCGCCAGTGCTTGGATAAATTTGTCCGGCGTACTTTCCGGGCCGTGATTCTTCGGCCACCAATCCTTGTACTTCTCGTTCCACAGGATCACGATACCAGGACCTGTGCCGTCGATCTTGATATCGGCAGTTTTTTGTATCACACCACGCTCGTCACGATCGTAAAGATAGATTGGCCGAGTCAACGAAACCGTCTGCTCCTCTTGCTCACCTGAAGTGTAGGGCAGTAGGGACACTGACATTTGTTTGCAATAATACGCACACCGCAGCGGGGGTACGACAACAACACATCATCTATCAAATATTTGTGGATGAGGCAACCTTTATTTTTGCTCCTTTGCATACCTAAACCTACCATGTGGTCATTGCTTACATCACTTCAAATATACTGGAGCATCCAGGTTTCGATTATACCTGTTGGCTTCTTAATTTCGTTTCCGAAAGCGTCGGCTTGCACATCACCGTAACCGTCGGTCGTGGTGTGGATCGCCCTAATAATATCCTCGAAAACCCTCTTCCACTGTCCTAGCTGAAGCTTGCCGCGCAATACCGGTGGACCACCGATAACCACTTGTGCGGGAAGCATTTCAATGATCAACCGGGCAAAAATGTCGCAGCCTTGCGGGAAATCCCGGGCGCTTTTCCCGATGAAAGCGTCTTTGGTTTCCGTGGAATTGATGGTAAAGACGGTCGACGTGAGGATCTCTCCGTACTCTCCCAACACAATGGCACGGAAACTTTGGCGAACCACCGCATTTTTTCCGCCCGTTTTGCCCTTTCCTTTTGCGCCCCCCGCGGCAGAATCATGCGTGGCGCTCTCGTCGGCGTAGATGGAAAGGGTTCGCACGCCTGCCGCCATCGGGTTGTAGTGCGGACGCTGGGGATCTCGAATGAGCGCGCGGCCGTTGCTCACGTCCTCGATGACGGTTGCGCCAAACTCCTCCATCTTCTCGCGCAGCTTCGCAGTGTTCTCCGCCGAGACGTTCGCGTTGTTCTTTTGCTGCGTGTTTTCCAGCTCCTTCCGAACGTAGTCATCGTCAAGTGAGTACTCCAAAAAGGGCAGGGGGGGCTTCTGATCCAACATGCCCTCAAACTCCGCAAGCGCCTTCTGTTCGATTGCTTGCCGTGCCACATCACGAAGTTCATCCTTGAACTCGTCCCACGTCGCATCCACCAGCTCGTCGGTCAGCCGCAGGCACAGCTCGCGCCGCTCTTGCATCCACTCGTCTTTGTAGTACTCCTTGCGCCCACTGAAAACGTCGGGGAAGAAGCACCTTTGCATCAGAGAAAAAAGCGGGTCTTCCTTGGCAATGATGTGCCCATTGTGCAGCTGCAGTTCGTCGGACGTGGAAGCGGAGATTTTCAGCTTAGACTTGTCGACACCCTCCAAGTTCGTCTTTCCCGTCCGCACCAATGCCTTGGTCACCCACCAGGGCTGATACTCCTTGTCGAATTGCTCCTTGTCGATGACCAAATTTCGGTCGCGAATTTCCTGCAACTCAAGCGCATCGATCCTGTCGTCGATTTTTCCCCCCGTTTCTCCATTAGTCAAGGCTTTCATCTTGGCTTGTTCCTTTTTTCTCAGTTTCGCCTGCAGTCCCTCTTTCTGCGCTTCCATGTATTTATTCTGTTTCACGCCGGTTTTCGGATTCTCGCAGTTACTGGCCTCGTAGCACTATCCGATGCAAAACTATCCCAGCCGTACCATACTGAGTGCAGGTGGTGGGCATGATGGTTCTCGAACAGCGTCCTGATCTGAATCTGTGAGAGGACAGATTCAATGTCCGCTGTTCTGCTTTTTGAAAAAAATCATATGCATAAGAGGCTGTACGATTAATCGACCCCCTTTTCGATACCGAAAAGGGGGGTAGAAGCGGGAATCTGACCGAGCTTACCCCCCCACGCCCCCCTTTTCGAATTCCGGGGGCTGTTTATCGCGAAACCTATCGCAAATCTGAATCCCGGCGGCACGGCGCGTTTCACGCCTTTCACCGCTTTGCTTTTTCAAAAGCGCAGCGGCAGCCACATGCGGCGCCCAGCTCCGCTGGATTGCGCGGCACGCTAGAGTGCGCAAAATACACAGCGCCGATGCTATGGAGCGAGTTCTCGTTTTTTCTTTTTCTTTTCAAAAAAAAAAACCGCAAGGGAAGCAAAGCGTAAGCGGCGCGCTTTCTGCTTCTCAAAATAAAGCCGGCTCCCGATCTCCCAAAACAAAGGGGGCGGCTTTCTTTCACAGAGTCCAGCAGCAGGACAGCTGCCCCAGAGTGAATCGTCTCCAACTTGATAGCAATCCCAGTTAGTTGTAGGCGTAGACCGTGGAGCCACTGTGCAAAAAAAGAGACGCTTCGCAGTAGCTTGGGAGCAGTTTGTAGAGCTAGACCCACTGCGGCGCAGCTCTACTGCTCAGAAACGGAGGCGGTTCGCAATGCATGATCATCCCGAAGCTTCTTCTCCTGCGAAGTTATTGGCCGCATTGCACGAAAACAGGGCTGCCACGCAATAGACCACCAGGAGGCAGCGACTTGTAACGCAGCATTGCACAACCACCCTCGGCATGTTGAAGCGACCATCTCAGCACTTCCTGCATTTGCATTTGGAAAAGCTGAGGCGGCCACTTCGACCACTGGGGCGGCACGCTCTCCGCTGCATGTTCTCCGCTGCGCGCGCGCACCAGCGCGCGCCGCGAGCTTTTTTTTCAGTTTGCGCGCGCGCGTCACGCGCTTGAAGCGATTTCTGTTGTTGCATCCGTATGCCGAATCGCGCGCGCGCCGCGCGAGCCACAGACAAAAATTCTTTTCGTTGCTGCAGAAACTGCAACAGAAGGGAGACGCGCTGAGAATCCGCAGTAAACAAAACGAAATTTTTTTTGCCGGGGCGGGGAAGTTGCGGACTTTGATCTTTGAAGTCCGAAAAGGAAAATAGGTCGGGTCCGGAGCGACCAGGCCATGTCTGGATACGACCCGCCAGACGATCGACCGCACCTACCCCCCCCTTTTCGGTATCGAAAAGGGGGCCCATTAATCGTACGGCCTCTAAGTAAATGCAATTTCCACCAGTACGACTACGAGGATACTTTTGCAATTCATAAGTACAATCGGAACAAACTGTTGTCCGTCCGACCGTTCGCCGTCTCTTTGCTACGAGGATCGTTCCAGTGGTACAGCGGCTGTGCCCCCACACTCTGCCCCTCGTTCATCTTCTCATCGTTCAGCAAATCGAATTGCTCTATCCAAAGGAAAATGCTCGATCCCACCCCGGAAGAGACGCAAAGAATAAGAGTGGACTTCACCTTGTCACTCTCTCGTCAAAGTCCAAAGAAAAACCTTGAAGGAGGACTTCAAGACGCAGTCAGTGACCGCCTTCGTGAGGAATGATGTTGGTTTTCGTGAACCCAGTACTTAGACCTCTGAAGATGCAGACCTCACTTCCAGCAGCAGCAACCGGGTGCCGGCGACATGGCACATTAGCCGGACGAGCTATGCCTGATCTTTTTTTCGAGGACACGAATAGGTCCTTATAAATACCGTTACAGCACATACATTTGTACAATTTTCAGTTTTACTCATCACAATCCTCTGCAGCCGCGATCGCTCAAATTGGTCTTCACAAACGCAATGCCGATATGTAAGTAAAGCGCCGGTCTTCACGATCGATAACGTCATGCATCTTTGCAGGGGTGGGAGCCGCTTGGTTTTCTCGTGTTACTGTCTGCGATAGCCTTGTCCCACTTGTCGACTTGGTACATGGTAGTATCTTCACCGTTCAACCATTTCAGTTTTGTCTCTTCCTCCAATTCCAGGTGGATATCTTCTGGTGTTAACTTTTCGTACAACCCGTTCATCCGCAGTCTTTCCCTGTACTGCTTTTTTTCCAGTCGTTCGCCTTTGATTTCGTTCTGGTGCAGCTTGCCTGAGTTTTTCTTCTCGCCGTCTTGTTCCTTGCCTTTGATCTTCTTGAGGTCCCGCTCGCGCACAATCCTTTTCAGCACCTTTCCTAGAAACCGGCTAATCTCATACATTTCGTCGATTCTCAAGTTTTTTCGGAGCTTGTTAGTGCGAACCTGCGCTATGTGCTTGTCCGACAAATATGCGTTTCTGAAGGCATGAACCGCTTTATTCAGCTGTGCGTTCCTGTCTTCACCGGTAAAATCAAATTTTTCCGACTTGAAGGGAGGATTGAAGTCGATGGGATATTCGAAGCGGTTCATGTCTGCAAATTTTTCTTCCTTGTGTTCGTACCAGTGGAGGAACTCCTGAAGCTCGGTCCGTGCCTCCGCAGCTGGCTGCAACAAGCTTTCGAGGTAGCTGCATGCCTTGTCGGTTCCGTACTCGTGGGCACACCTTTGGAGTTGCTGTGCGTTGTATTTCGCGACCAATTCAAGCTCAGCGAGCTGCTCTGCGAAAGCGGGTGGAATCGAGTTGAAAATCATTTCCTCAGAACTGATACAGCTGTTGTCACTGTCGTACTGATACGTACCTGCTATTACTTAACTTGTGCTGGCACGTCGTGCCGCCGCGCACTGGCATGCAATCTTCCCCTTTGCAGTCGAATTAAAAATTTCAAAAGCGGAACCCACGCTTCGAACATGACCTCACTACACACAGCAAACACGGTTCCGGGTGCAAGTGCAACATCGACGCTGCAGCAGCATTACATAGGGTTGTTCAAATAGACGTCTAGTACGTCTGCGTCTCACGATCAAAGGGCGAGACACTGCGACAAAGGGCGAGAGCTCCGCAGCTGGAGCTGCCTGCACTATTTATCAAAAGCGCGCGCTTCCAATATGGGCGACACACTACAGATACTTCCGTGCTTAAATTTAATTAAAGTTCGCCCTACTTCTTTCATACAATCCTGGACAAAAACCTCGAGTCACCAGAGCGACTATGATCTCCACAGTGGCACAGCGGGGTCGCCTGACGAGAGGAAATCATTTTCAACTTGATAGGCTTCGTTGGGTCCTTGGTCATGCGGTTCAGCAGTTGGAGAGACGTTTTTTTCACGGTCCGGCGAGGCACCCACTTGTGCCAACAATGGTAGTCTAGAAAGCGCGGCAGACCTGCTTTCAGCTCGTTCCGCATATCGCTGGGGTTCGTCTCGTGCTTGACGGCGAAGAGGTAATGCACGGTACACAGCTTGGCATGCTCGGCTTGGTGGATATCCATCAAGAGGTCTCTCATGTCTTCATCTTTCGTGTCCAGCAGTTCCTCCATGCGCACCATCGCTGAATACCACTTTTCGTGCATGTATTTTGGGTTTTCATACGCGAGGTCGGAAGGCTTCGTGTACACAAAGGTCATCATCCGCATCAGCTGCGCGAAAACGGTACGTAGGCGTGGCTCAGCTTTAGCTAACTTCACGATAGTGTCCTCTACCTCCTGCGACAATTGTTCAATGGGCAAACGTGAGGGCAGGTCGGCGAACCGGTTTTTTGGATCGGTCCGGCAGTCTTTGTCCAGCAAAAACTGGTGCAAGCCCAAGACGGAATCAAACTTGTCGATCGTTGTGTTGCGCTGGCGGACCACCAGCGGCTTCTTAACCGCTGGATCCCCCGACGTCATAGCTCGGTGCCAATCCATCCCATACCATTGCTCGGCTGTGAAAGTGAGTGAGATGCTGATAAATGCCGACAATTTCTATAAGAATCTGTCACTAGTTGTAAGCATTTGCCCTCGGTGTGGGTTTGCAATAATATAATTTGATGGCTATATGTGAATAAGCAGCAAGACACGGGCGCAAATAGATATACGGGCGCCGAGTTCCCACGCTCGCGTCTTGTAGGTATCTGGTAGACAGAATGCGTTGGAAAACTTCGCCTCGATCTTGCCGTGTATGGAACCAAAAAACAAAGAAAATCTCAGTCGCTTGTTCGTTGGCTTCTGAAAGTCGCTGAAATGGAGTATGAGAAATTCCATATTACGGAATGCAACTCTGGAAGTAGAGGTACTCGTACTTCTTTTTCGCTTTTGTTCGAAACAAGAACATCAGAATGCATGGCGCTCATACTTCCTTGCATGGCACTCATACTACATACTCATCGTCCTTTAATAAAAGCAACAGCAATCTTTCGAAGCGCGCGAAGACGAAAGCGAGTCAAGACATCTTTGTAGATTTCCCGCATAGCGTCCAGCGCTTCCGTATACCAAGTCGTCGAATGCAGCCAGAATTCCAGCGTCCTCCCCATCAGCAACGGCGAGGTGCACCAGGACCTGAGACCTTCGAACGCCCGCCACTCGTTTCCTGCCCCACGGGGATCAAATGTGTCTAGGCTGGCATCAGTTTGGTCAAACCCAAGCGCATGGATGAGGTCCCAGTGTCGCTGAATAGCGTCCATATCCGGAATCGACCGAAAGTGCGGCTCGTACCAGGTATACATGAAATTGATGTAACGAGTCAGCTTCATCTTCAAGTTACCCTCCAAAGCGAGATGCTCAGCGTTCGTAACAAAGTTACGCGGGAGCTTATTCGGCGTAATCCACACGCCACTTCGCGTTTCAAGGTCGAGGCTGACTTGCATCAAATCAGACGTTTTGCGGACACCACCTTCCGGGTTCTCAATTCTTGCGTCCTCGATAATCTTCGTCAAGGATCTGGGGTCGCTGTCGAGCTGAAATAAAGGGAAGGCAAATTTTCTACAAGCAAACGTAAGTTGATGTAGTCCTTGTTTCCGATGAAGGTCGGTGATGTCAACATTGAGGTGGCTGCGAGTGCAGCCATGATGATTACGGCTTTGTTGTTTCATGTTCGCAACACATCAACATTTGAGACTTGTTGTTGTTCTAACTCTAAGTCTAAGTGCACCAGTAATAAATAAGTACCGCTTTTTCCGCTTCCTGCTTCTTCGCCCCCTCGTCTTCGAATTTACCGTCCTCTGTTTGCAATTCACCCGCTGGAGTCACGCCCCCTGCCGACCCCAAAGGTGCGCTTGCGCTGTATTTGTTGTTGACGCCATCCATGAAGGGAGTGCTGGAGTTTTCATTCCAGCCAAAGTGGAATAGCAGCCCCTTGCCCTTGCCCTTCTTGCCGCCCTTCTTGCCTCCTCCTGCCGGCACGAGCGCGCCGCTCGCCGCGCCCGCGGTTCGGCCCCCCGCCGGCGTTCTCCCTGCGTCCACGTTGGCCGGTGTGATGGCGCCCCCCCCATCGATGCGAACGGTCTGCCCGGGTGTCATTCCGAGGCGTTCCCCGCCAGCCGGCGTGACAGTGCCACCCCCGTCGAAGGCGGTCAGTGTGCCGTCGCCGATTCCCGCTATCTGCGTCATGGCGGCAATGTTGTCCCCTGGCAGACTGATTGCTCCGTCGTCCCCTCCATACAACGCAGGCGTGTTCCCCTGGTCGTAGTCCCCCATATAGACCGCGGACATCCCACTGCTTGTGGTCTGCGCTCCAGAACCTATCCTGTGTAAAAATCTCCGTACCCCACAGCCAAGCTGGCAACTCTGCAATGTTACATACAAGTCCAGAACTTTAAGTATTCGGAGTCACGCTTCTATCTGTACCGTAATTCAGGATTATAGCAAGGACAGCAACATCACGACGAAGATGCCTGCTCATCCTGTCCTATCGTCATCCTGTTTGTACTTGTAGTTTCCAGCATTACAAATTCCGAAACACGACTGCGCATGCCTGTCAGCAGGGCCATAGACACTACAAATTTTCCTGTAGATGCAAATCTGCATCATGACAACTCTGCGGGCGGGATATAATTGTCACCCAGGATAACACCTGGCGTCTGGTTACCGCCGTCAAATCCGCGCCCTTCCGCTATGGAGTTCTCAAACGTCTTTACACTGATCGACGTCACGTGATTTTTGCCTGCTCGGTCAAGCAGAAGCAGAACCTCCTCCTCCATCAACATCGGCATGATAAAGCTAACCAGTAGCGTGTCAAGAATCTACTTGGGACGGCGCACTACATAGCATGATGGAGATCCGGAATGCAAGAAGCACAAAGTGAAAGTCCCGCCTTTTTCATCTCTTTCTCGTCTACTTGAGATATATTTTATCTTCACCAAAAATCTGGCTGCAAAACAATACGCCTATCTGTGAAGATCAGTGTAACGTTTAAGAGAGGGTGCCATATCCGCGTTTGCCTTCCGTCGCGCCGTCTCGCGTTCGATCATCTTCTGTTCTGAGAGTTTTTCACCCGCCCAAAGCCTGTCGTACTCTTGCATAAACTCGCAGTCTTTGACATTGACTCTCCGGAATTGAATCAGGTCGTGGCAGTACTCGGGCATCTCCCTTTGCGCGGTCACCACAAATTGGGCGTCAAAGATGGTCATCTGCGTCACTTTCCGAACGAGCTCATCGTATTCCAATATCTTCCACCAAATTTCGTTGGCCCACTCCAGGTCCTTTTGGAAGATGAAATCCAGGTCTGCTAGTTCCTGTAAGCAGTCCCTGCCGATCAATCGCCAGCCGAAGTCGTTTTTGATAGTTGCGGGCTCGTAACAGTGTCCGTCCCACTTTCCGCGCAGCATTTTGAGCACGTCTAAAACGATGTGACGAGACTTCTTCACCGAAGTGCCCGCGCGATCTTTAAGGTAGTCTGCAAAGTTTTTGGACCCACCTGCGGCCGCGGTGGTCGCGCTAGCAGGCGGCTTCTGGTTGATGATCCAGTTCGCCTCTAAGCTGAGTTCGGCTTCCGTAAACTCGACCCACAGATCCTGGTAGGCCTTCACGCGGGCCTCGTTCGCATTCACGAGTCGTGGTTTGTCCACTTCTTGCTTCGTATTCTTGTCGAGTACCCGGTCCATCACCTTGTGACGCCGCACCTTGTCCCAGCCCTGCTCATACCTTCTCTGGTAGCGAAAGTACAGGCGTTCGGGCACGGGGAAGAGCTGCAGAATCTGGTCCGCTTGGGAGCGGTACAGCAATTTCATCGTCTGCCCCTGCTGCGCCCGCTGCACTTTAAGCCGGTTTCGCATGGCGACGGTGGGCTGCTGCAGAGCGACGCCTGCTCCCGCAGACGTCTTCATTCCACCCGTTGCACTCTTCGAGCCCATCGTCGTGGGGGGTAGCTGCGTCGGCTTTTCTACGTTCTCCCCCACCTGGGCGGCTCGCTCGTCTGGCGGCAGGTGATCCAATTTTCGCTGCTCCGGTACGGCATCGAGCCACATTTTGTTCGGGTCCAAAATCTCGTCCAGATCACCACCACCGAACATTCGTTCGATGTCCAGCTTCTGGTCATCCGTGAGTTCCTGTTTTGCGCCCCGGAGCTCTGTGTCCTGCAGCCGTTGCCTCTGTAGACGCTCCTGCACGATTTTCTTGGCTTCGCGCTCCGTGTGCTCGATCAAGCCGTCGCCGGTCTCTTCGGCGGTGAGTTGCGCGGCCCAGTACCCAGGTTTGCCTTCCCGTTCATCCGCACGAGCTGCTCCTACTGCCCCCGGCAGGACGAAGTTACTCCTCGAGCCAGCGGCGCGACCGGCCCCGACATTCAGGAAACTGCCCGCGTTCTGTCCCGCGACACTGTCAAGCAAACTCTCCTCGACGGCTGGCGTGGCCTTCTTCAGCCGAGACAGCACTGGCGGCCCGCTCTCTTGTTCCGCGGGTCGCATGTCGACATCCTCCCCGAGGAGACCACCCTCCGCGAACAGCCCCATTCCGTCGTCATTGCTGTCCTCCTCATCGTCAACGATGAAGTCTGATGATTTTATAAAATCTGATGTTTTGGTGCTCCTGCACGTCTTGCATATGCATGGCAACTAATTTTATTTGCGATTATGAAACACGAGGACCAGCATAGCAGCTAGAGCTTTCGGCTTCATCAGGTGGATGAAAGCAGTTCGGGGTAGCACGTACGCAGCTAGTATAAGTTTAAGTATTTCCTAACTAAAAATCCCCACAAACAACATTTTTGATTCTGATTTGCAGATAAGTACCGTCCATTTCCTTTTTTCGCTGCTGCTCCTCAGGATCGGAGTCGCTGAGGGCAACATCCTCGCTTTCCTCGCTGCTCCTCGGGTTCGGCGGGAGGTCGTCCCCCTCGGCTTCCACAGCCTCGGTCTCCAGGAAATCTTTCGCTTTATCCCCCATTTGCGCTTTCTTCTAGGGGCTCAGATCGTTTGCTACCTCCGGTTTTCTTCAGCACATGATCCTCGAGCGTGGTCGTCGTCGTCCAGAACCAGATGAACACGTCAAACTGCAAATACTACCGTCGATGACCACACGTGAAAACTACACTGCTGAACCGCAATATGGAAAAGGATGTGGCGTCTCGTCGTCTGTCGATGGTCGTCGGAGAAAGGCTACAATGACGCCTGATCTATCAGGGAGGGAGGTGAAGTAGTCCTATCAAAGAAACTAACATTGCTAAGACTGCCACTCTTTCACTACAGAACAATATCCTTCGCAAATATTCACAAGCTGTTTTTGGCCTAAGTACGTTTATCGGAGGAACTAATGCAGCAATCTCTAACCTGTAAATAGTCTCGTAACACAGACAATGAGTTAAAGAAGGGAATCAACCTCAACGTCGTATATTTAATTTTCAACACACTTTTAGGCGACTTCGCGCCAGCAATAATTCGTCCCAATTTCATCTCCACGATCTCATGCAGAAGCAGAACGGTTGCATTTTATGAAATCAAAGAGCATTTATGGGAGATCGCATCATACTCATAGTACGACACCAAATAACTCATATCGGTTTCTCCGATATTTTTGGTCAACAAAAGAGGTGGTCATTTAATATTGGCGTCACAACATTCTGCTCCTCATGAAAGCAATTTTATCATGTGTTTCAGGTACCACGACAACAGGAAAATTTACAGAATGGATGGCGCAGGAAAATTCCAGTTTAAGTTCTGATTTCATCTTGCAGCCGTCCTCAAAATCTATTTCTTCATGATCTACTTCGCATTTCATCCATTTCCTCTCTTCACGACAGTCATTGCACAACTGACTCACTCAGTGGTTCATTTCCTCGAGTGATAGATCACGTTGACTTCCAGACACGCAGACCACAATGAAAATTGAGATCGGAAGATACAGGCGAAAATTGAGATCGGGTAAATGCACAAGGGAGCCGTTTCCAACAGTCTCTCCCGCAAATTTTTCGCATCTTGCGGACAGAATCAATCCTGGCCGCGTCTCGAAAATTCAGCGATCGGGGTCAATCATGGTCGACGATCACCTGGGTATCTATTCCTTTTTTCACTTAGCACACTGCTCACGCAGAATGGAAAATTGAAGTGTCCATGTCTCTCTAGGGTACTATAGCAAATTGCAAACAGTTGCAGTTGTAGGGTATTTGAAGCACCGAAGCTTTTGCGTACGAAAATTTTCGCATTCCGCAGGAGCGTTCGACAGCTACTTTATTTGCGCTCATGATATCCTTTTCACACACCAAATTTTGATTTTGATATACTTCCTCGCACAAAAGATATACGTAGTCAGGTCGTGTGTGTCGGCCTGTGTGAATGCTTCAGACCTCGAAAATTGAAATGAACTAACCGGCTGCAGGTGCACAACCACGGACCGTGTCCCTCTACTCGTGTGCGTGTCCGGCAATTGCTGTTCATAGGAACAGCTTGCTTGGGTATCGTCACAGCGACGGCCACGGCCACTTATGCAAGAAACTTTCATATGATTTTTACGCCTCAGTGGGACCATGATGCGCTCCTCAAACACAGAACTTCTGCCACCACGGGGAATACTGGGCGACGATCCACCACCGGTAGCCATTGTAGTGCGCGAAGATAGTTCCCTTGTACATCAGCTTGTATAGGAACCCGCCCGGCGAGAAATTGTGCAGTGCCTCGGCCCACGCCTCTACATGGTCATCGTGACGCGGCCTGGACTCGCAGGATATACGCGCACACGAAATCTCCAGGTGCTCGGTCGGCTTTATCTCAACGTGCATGCGAGGGAGAACGAGTTCGGCCACCTTTTGCCTGAACCAGGACGATTCTCGATCCATCTGCGGCGGAAATGTATGCTACCAAAGTTTGTTGGCGCTTGCGCTTGCCGCTTGGCCAATTCGACCTTGGTTATTAGCACTTCGCTTGTGAAAGAGCAAAGTTTTCCTGTCGAATAGTATTTCACAAGTGCGTTCTCAAGGTCAAGGCGATCCCAAGGTGAAGCTCACGGTAAAATGAAAATCATATGAGTTTCGCTTTCGTCCTCTTCATGCATCACAAAAAATAAAAATTCCAAGAAAACACATACAAGGTCTTCGACAACCAGGCCTCAGGGTTTCGGTAGCATACGGGAAACGCCCCATCGCCAAGTCCTCGAAAACACCTGGAGAGAGAAAGAAAATAATTGCTTCAACATTCCTTTGTCTCTGCTCGGTTGACAGAATGAAAGCGATGCGCAGCGACTGGTAGCCCCGAGGGCATCCAAGGTCAACGTTAATTGTCCCATCTCTCTACACAGAAACAGGCAGGTAAGTAAGTAAGTAGCTCCACACCCAACAAACTCGGTGTCATGTACGAAGAAAAAAGATCAAGATGAACAGGACGCGCACCCCCGTGCCCTCCCAGACTAAGACAAAAGCTTTCCAGACGAAATAAAACACATACACTTACATCAGATGTTTATACCCAGATACACCAGGAAATCCCCCACGTTCCTTGCAAGGTAGCCCCGATGGTCATCCTTTTCGCTGTCCGGCTTGTACACCTTCTGGCGGTCCGTCCACCAACGTACTCCCAGCAAACTTTTCTTCTGTGTGAGAGAGAAAAGAATGGCGTGCTCTAGCTGTCTGCCTTTCACTCTCTCAGTCTCAGTCTTCGTCTCACTTTAGAACGAGCGAGGAGCTGCAGAAAAAATATTCAGAACATGCACAAAACGCGATCGCTCGTCTTTGCCACCGATTCGCGCTAGCGACGAGAGTTCGTGTCTAGAAGTTACGCAGCAACCAATCGCTGTGCCGCAGTGTTCTTTTCTCGGATATCCAGATAGTGCTTGTCATACCGCCACGCTGTGAGTAGCTCCGGATTGTCCGGTATCAAATGTAAAAATGTCTGGGTCTGGAAGATTTGGGTGTTTGTCATGTTGGAAGGCTAAGGGCAGGGCGTCCCATTCGTTTATAAACTTAAAACGGTAGCCACCTACCCAGCAAACTCTGAGTGGAATAGGCACGGGCAAAGCGATCTCTACCGAGAGACAGTCACAAGAGCTCCTGGGACGGCCGCGGGATGAGCTTTGTAGCTATCTGAGTAGGGATAACTTTGCCGGCGGACCCACCAGCGCTGAGGGATAAAAGAAAAGGTAAAAAAGCGGTAAAGTCATCTACTATGGCACAGTCCCAACTACGAAAAAACCCATCTTAAAAAAGTGAGGCAAGATTGTACGGGGTGTTTGTCGTTAAAAAAGTAAGAAAGTGGGTGTTTGTCATGCAAATTGTACATGACCCACGATGCCTGTGATGCATTCTCTAGCATCACAGCCCTCGCGCAGGCTTTCTCATGCCTATCCTGCATGAGAAATGCCCGGTCCGGGTGGCAAAAATCTGAGCACCTTTTGCTGGCCATGCAATACAGTTTTTTGTATGATCGAGAAAGTAGCATCACAAGTCCTGTTCTTCCAGACCCAGACATTTTTACATTTGATATCCGGGAATGTGATCGGCTGATCCAGGCTCCAAAACGCCACCTGACTCGCCCGTATGGAAGCGTCAGGTTTGAAATCGACAAAGTTGAAATGATTTGTAATGCATAAAATGGATACCAGTTGGAAGACCAATTTCCAAGCGGCGCATGACAAATCTTCGGAGCACCGGAATCCAATTTGTCATGCTGTTCGGGCACAGAAGACTGCTTTTGTCATGCTCCTTTAGCAGCGCCATCCCAAACCCTAAATAGGCTCACAATCTGCCTCACTTGCCAGCCCGGCAAGACAGGCACTTCATGCCTTGCATTTTTTGCATGACAAATCATTTCAACTTTGTCGATTTCAAACCTGACGCTTCCATAGCCCGATCCACCATAGTATTCACGTCTGTCTTCCCAGTTTGGCCCGTGTTTGGGCTTACATGCTTGACGAGAGACACACTAGGGAGGAAGAAAACCAGCCGCGTTTTCTCCAGTCCAATTGGGTCCTTCTCATAATCATGAATTTCGTACTGGTACTTCGGCGCCAGGAAGCTGGTGTGTTTCGTTTGTAATATTTGTCCATAAGTGAATAGATACTGATACGGTTACTCGCCACATGGTTTGATTTTGATATCAAATTTCATGGCGACCGACTGACAGGGCTTCGTCCTAATCTGAGTGTGCTCTCAGTTTACTTCTTTGAAAAAAAAACTCTTTCACTATGACTGCTCCTCTAGAAGTAGAAATAGCTGTCACGTTAGTCGCAATAAAGAAAATTTCATGCAGCTCGTAGCAAAAAGTACTCTTTCAAGAGGGCTTTGTCCAGATGCCTCAAGCTGTCGCCCCAGAGATCGAACTTTACCGGCGGGAAGAGAATCCTATTCGGCCGGACGAGTAGCCGCATGAGCTCCGCCCACTCCCCTGCTGTGCTCCAATCGGACAAACTAGCGTAGGGGTGCGAAATGTGCATTGAAATTCAGGAGTCGGTTGTTAGGTCAAAATGAAGCTGCATGCACCAGGCACCTCAAGTAAAGTAAGTATCTTGTGCAGTAGCACGTACGTATCTTGTGCAGGAGGCATACAAATACAACGCGAGAACCGGTCAGCGTAATGAAACCGCTGGCAAAAACCAACATGAAACGGGGCGCGTTGTTCGCGTCTCCCACTTTTCTTTAGTCCATAGTCCGAAGGGAAAAATAGAGAACCAGATGAATTTGAAGATGAGCGTGAACGAACTTTTACCGTGCGCGCGGCAAAATACACAACTCAAGCGGCAAATGCTGGATGCTGATGCACACATAAGTCTACAACGAGACTCGAGTAAACAGGGTGACCAGCCGATACAGGTGGTGCACGAATGCGTCCCGACTGGTCATCCAGGCAATGTTAGAGAAGTGGGATTGTCGCAGAACGTAGAGGTTCGGATCCATGGCACCAGATCCTAACTCGTGATTTACCTGCAACAGATTCCACGCGGTGGATCCCAACAGGGAGTTGTCCTTCTGCATCACGCGGGCGCTGAACTGCATATAATCCGGGAGTTTTGGGCTCAGCTCCAAATTGTCTTGTAAAAACACCGCATAGTCAAACTGCAGGAACATCACCCCCAAGACCCACATTTGATATATCCGCAGCCGCATGCCCGAGATGAAAAGACGCTCCTTGCGGATTCCTTAATTTCATCGTAGAGTAGTACCTAGTAGTCGTCCTTACGGTGGTCGATAAAACGAACGCACGTCCTCAACACAGCCGACGGACGACGGAGCGATACGTTCCGCAAGTAGACAGAGGGCAATTTTTGCAAAGACAAAGAGTTTCTTCTACTTCGTGACATAAGAGCAAGAGTTTTAGTTTACCGCAGTCGAATCTAGAACAGCCTCCCCTTGCTTTATGCTGTGCTCCTTAGGTGTTTATTTCCGCACGCCAGCGTCTTTTTTGGTGCGATATTTCGGAACTCCGCGTCCTTCCACTGTGTGTTCATTTGGAGGGCATTTTGAAATTGATGGAAGAAGGACTCCATTTTCTTCCCAGCTGGATTGCCCCCTCCTCCTTCAGCGTCCTCCGCCGCCTTTTCTTCCGCATGTTGCAGGCTTTGCGCAACAACCCCGCCCGCCGTGCGCGACACAGCGCTAGCACTTCCCGCAGCGTCAAACAGGTTTCCCAAAACCGGGAACAGCGAGATCCCAAGGTCCGGCAGTACCGGAAGATGGACGGACTCGCGGTCTTTCCCACACGTACTGTACGAAAGCGGTTCCTGGAAAGGGACCACCTTCGAGTTTTTGGCAAAACTTTGACACTCCTCCTTTCCCAGGTCCTGCAGCCACGTGGGGTTGCACCGGGCCAGGAACACGTAGATATCCTCGACCTCGAGGGAGCGCAATCGCTCGATCTGCGACAGCACCACGCGGAACCGCCGACAAGATGTCAAAATCGAGTATCCAATCTGAGAGTTTCATTTTCAATTTTGTTCTATCCCAGATCTGTCATTACGAGCACGCATACTCCTGGCGGTATAGGAATAAGTATCCTGTTCACCGCGCGCCGAATCATGCAAAATGTCAATCAACATCATTTATCGTGTCGCTTTTGGTGAAAAGCCATTGCATGATCTACAGAGGATAGCACTCTGTGTATTACTGTACGTAGCCATCCGTTGCGCCATGGTGAATCCATCGCACAAGAAGACGTAAGTACTGGTAGGCCAAGGCGAATCGATCTTGGTTCCATGCCAAAAAGAGATGAAAAAATACTAATATACCCGAATTTTCGGTGTGATGTTGTCTTTCCCGACGTGAGGAGTGCGAACATCTTCGGCTGACGGCTTCGCGTACTCTACTTTGGCCTTTAGCTTACCGAGCGGCCTACGCAGCAAAAACTTGTCCGGTACCGGATGTCCGAGTATATCTGTTTTTGGCTCGTCAAACCCCTCTCGTACGGCGACTTCCGACTTCCCCGCTAGGCCGCGACTCTCCTCCTTCTTGCACGTGAGTGTGCAATGGCAGTTGAGTATTTCGGCGCGTCCCTTGTGCACTGTGATCCACAGTTATCGAAATGACATCAAAGCTCAGTTGTTGCAATATCGTTTCCGTGGCACATCATCATCACAATCACTGCTGCACAAAAAGAAAAAGCATCTATCGCGCGCGACCAAAAGTAGAGCGCACTTTGCACCCCTAAGGACGAAATCACACTTCTTGAACCTCGCTTCGTTCGGAGATTGCTCAAAATACACTGGTGCAACAGACGTACATACAAACTTAAGGAAGAGGGTAAGTGGTCTAGTCTTCTCGTTAACGTATACTAGACCTCAGAAGTTCTCTCGATTTGATAACTGTCGATCCGGCGTGTAGCGATATTGCTCGAGAGAGCTCTCGAGCTCGTCTTCCGCTTGTCCCTGCCCGTCAGCTTCTGCTTCTTCGGCGTCCTGACCAGCATCCTCCAGGGCGTCGCTGTAGCTTTCGGTCTTCGCACTGCTGCAGTCCTTGGCTTTCTTCTTGCGCTTACTCGCTCCTTATCAACTGCAAAAATGTCTGGGTCTGGAAACTTGTAATGCTGCGTTGGGAATAGTTAATGCTCTGTAATGTACAGGCAAGCATGAGAAATATTGTGCTGCGTTTTTCGCATGACAAACTGCGTTTTTGCATGACAGGCAAAAGGGTCTCTTCTTGGACACGCATCACAGACTTTTTGGTCATGCCAGACAAGCATGACAAATCTCAAAATCTTCCAGACCCAGACATTTTTGCATTTGATACTCCTGCTGCCAGTTCTGCAGCCGCAGCCTCCGCGTCGTCGACATCCATGTAACCTCCGGTATTTCTCCGGTACGCGCGCAGGGAGAACGGCGAGCCCCGCATCCACACATTGTAGAGGAGCACGAGGTAGAGCAGAAAGGCACACAGAAACTTCGGTCGGTCCCGCAAAACGTGGTCACAAACCTGCCCGCCGAAATCACTCGTCCCCCTCCAGGACGACCTGGGAGATGTTGAATAATCTGACAAACTAGTCGTAGTGGTGTTCCCTTTGTTCTGACCAAACTGCCGATCTCGGTTGCCACCGCCCTGCCTGGCCTTGCCGCCTGCTCGCTTGATTTCTTTTTCGAGGACGTGAACATCCGCATCGACCAGTACCCAGGAGGCGCACCCAGGCGCCGGACTACGCGCGCCACTCTCCTGGTCCACACTGTTGTTGACATTGATGTCATTTTGATTTTGCTCGCCAACCGCCCGCAGGTAAGTGGCTTTTGCCAACGAGACCCCAGCGCGCCACCTGGCGGCCGCACAGCTTCCCGCGGCAAGGCAAAACTGTTGTGCAATCGCACAGTTGCTTTCCCGCGTTTGCTCGCCAAATTCGCTGAGGGTGCTGCGCCCCTGCCCATCGTCAGCATTTTGGCCGCTATCGTCGTCGTCCAGGTCGAGGTCCCGTCTCTTGGATGATCCTCCTCCTCCGGCGCGAATGCTGCTGTTGCTCGGCATGACATCTTAGGTCGCAAGCTAGCAGACGAAGACCGCGCTTCGCGCTCGGCTGCACCAACCGAATTTTCAACACAGCTGCACCGAAGCAGCTTCTTCAGCTCGATAGCTCCCGCACCGTCCGGAGAACAAGGGACAGCCACAGCGACAGTGCGTCCCGGTCCCTCCCCCTCGTCAGTGGGTCCGCGAGTGAACTGCAGCAAAAAAAAACACACGAAGAAAAACCAAGCTCACGAGGACATTCTGGAGGATTGCCACACCCGCATCATCTTGTTCAACATTACTTGGTACTGAGTTACTCGTCCAGTGACTGTGTTCGGTAACAACTCGCCGCGGTTTTGTGTGGCGCGACTTAGCAACGAGGTGAACTCGGTCCTCAGGATAAGAATACTTCATCCACTCGAAAACGAACACATATCGCTCTCAACCACCAACTCCCCTGCAAGGAGGCCGAGTGCCAGACGGGAGCCGAAGCACCGGGGCTGACGACAAAAAGCCAGAAGACATAGAGTCAAACAGGTTAGAATGCTGCACCACAACACAAATGCGTATCTTCATGGCTTGTTCTGTGTTTTTTTTTCCAACGTTAAGATGACGCATCCTGAATGAAACTATTCAAAACACGATATCAAAAAGAAAAAGAGCGCGTCAAAAGGATACCGAAGCAATGAAGACGCTAGAAGTGGGTGGTCATTTCGTACCTCATCGAAATTATTCGAAGGCTCTTCAAACTTACTTGCACAACCTCAAGAAGAACCTCGAAAAGCCTTTACGTAACGCTATGAACATAGCATCATGAATCTTTTGCAATACTTTTGTCTTAAACTGAAATCCGATTTACCGGCAAGATGAATCGTGGCTCTTTATTCTCTAGTCGTCAACGACCGCTGGGAAATGCAAAAACGGCTCTGTCTGTGTTCTTGAGACGCCGACAAACGCGATTCAAGAAAAACTGGCTCTGCACAATGGGCTCATTATTTTTTGTCTCCGCATGTTGCCGTCTGTGACTTGGCGAGGCTCTCTTCGGTCTTCGGGTTCTCGCCGTCAGTGGCTAGCGCTCCATCTGCTGCTGCGGTATCACACACACATGGACCTACGGAATCTGTTGCACGAGCAGAAGCACCCGCTGGGGCGCCAACTTCCAGATGGATCGTTTTGGTCTTATAACGGTGGATATTCTCGGAGTGGAGGCTACCGTTCGCAATATACTTATTTACCCCCAAATCAATTTCATCCGATTCGGATCCTGTCGCGATCAAAACGTGGTAGAACATGCGGCGTAGACGACAGGGAAAGCGTTTCCGATCCTTGGGCGGAAGGATTCGTAAAAAGACCGCTCCTCCTGGAAAGCGCCCTCCGGTCCCCTCTGCAATCAGATGCTCTTGCCGCTCCAGAAATCTTTCAAGCGATTCGGCATCGTCCTGCGGTTCCTGCTCCGCATGACAGTCATCTGCATATAACGAGGACGAAATCAATGGACCTGCTTCCCGGATCGTATGCGCCACAGTGACGACCAGAGCGGAGGAAGGACAGAAGGATCTTGATTGGCTGCTGTAAGGAACAAAACCACACTGATCCCGGACTTCGTCTTCCTCATTCAGTGTCGCAAGCACTCCCGTCTTGCAGCTCTGTTTCAATTGGTTTACCAGGTTCCGGATAGCTGGTAGTAGCTTGGACTCGTAATCCTCGTCGTACACGAGCTCACTTCGGTCGTGTGCCTCACCAAGCCGTGCGTATACGAACTCATACTTGTGGGTGCTATCATCGGTAGTTGTACTCGTGCTTCCACCTCCGTCTCCCTTGTAGTTACCGCGAAACTCACTATCGGATGCACCCCCCGCTGAACCAAACTGCAGCCCTTTTCGAGTCGCCCGGACGCCCCGCGCGGGGCTTCCGTCGAGTGCGGAGCATGCACCACCTTTAAACGGGACGATCCGTAGCCTTGGTGGCGACAGGCCCTGGATCTCGTGCGCATCCTTGTAGCCATGGTTCGGAAGAAACATTCCTCCGCTCGCAACCAGCTGTCTGCGTGCTGCTAGCGCAGAGCAACCTTCAGATGAAGTCCCCGCGGCGGGATAGCCTCCCGTCGTGGGACGGTAGCTCGCTCCAGCTCCTTGTTGTTCTCTTTTCCCCTCGGCAGAGATACTCATCTCCACTGCCCCGCCTTCTCGCTCGACCGTCCCTTTCTCGTCTTGCAACACGAGAACCGGCACGGTCGCCGGCGCAGCTCCACCGACAGAAGTTGCGAACGGATCCGCAGGTTTGGCCACATAAGGAGTGCTGGCTGCTCCTGCTACAGAACCTGCACTGAAAGAGCCGACAGTGGTCACGGAACAGGACGACCCCGGGCGGGTTCCGCTGTCCTCCGTAGAACAGGTCGTTGCCGTCGCAGGCCGGCCTAATGGAGGCGAAAGCGAACGACTACACGAAAGGTCATCCACGACCTCCTCTTTGCAGCTCAGCTTTTCATCTATTCCTGCTCCGCTTTGTCCTACAACGGATTTTGTAGTATTCGAAGTTGAAGTTCCAGTCCCAGGACCACGTACTGCTGTTGCTCCCGCTCTAGAGTCTACTAGGTCGACGCCGCGGTCCCGCTCCGCGTGGACCAAGTTGCGCAATCTTGCAGCTGACGAAGCCTTAGGGACGGACTCGTAGTGATCCACCTGCAGATATCGATCGAGAACATCCTCCTCCTCCTCCTCGGGAAAGAGGGGCACTGGAATGTTTCTGCCTCCGTACCGGCGCGGGAAGAAGCGATCTTGGATCTTTACGGAATTTCCTTTGGCGTCTTGTTGCACACTTCTTCGGCTCCGCCCGGCGGGACTACTCCTCGGGCGGCGCTGAAACGCAAAGGATTCAAAGTCGAGATGCTGGTGCTCGATATCGCCTGCCTTGACCGCCCTCACCGTCGGCGGGATATCTCGATCGGGTTCGTGAAAACCCAACCAGACCGAATGCCATCCGTACCCCCGGACGCCCGGGGCGAAAAGAGCTGGCGACAAGTCCAAGCTACCCTTTTGCTTTTGCTGCACAAGAACTGGGGCGTGGTTCGCGCGAATAATGAGGCGTTGTTGTTCGTCACTCGACCCATCCAGCACGCGGTACTTCTGGCCGCCCGCACGAAAATGGTTCCGGGTAGCGTCGCGAATGCGCTGAAACACAGCCTGCCGAAGTCCCTGGTCCCAGGTCTGTGTGAAGTCAAGCACGGCCTCGTCGTCAGCCGCCCGCGGCCACGTCCGGAGATCGTCGTGCTCACGCGGTCGGGGAAGCTTTCCGACCGCTATTTGCAGCCCCGCTTCAAGAGCCTCCGCCAGTGCGCCGGCATTTGCTAACGGAATTTGCTCTTCAAGTACAGCACGGTATCGGTACGGTTCGCGCTTCGACTTTGGCGAGATCAATGCGCAATCAACCCGACTCAACAAGATACTGCTGCCGGACAGGATGAAGTTGAAGAAGAGCTTCACTGAGATCATCTTCATCTGGATCTGGCATTTGTGATACTTACAAGAACTTCTTGACCACAAAGAACTACGAAAGAGGACCTGCAACTTTCGAAAATTGATGTGGACAATTTTTGAGATCGATCGGTACGGGGGCGAATCAACGCGGGACGACTGATGCTCCTGAGCAGAATTGGTAGCAGGAAAATGTTGCCAATGAAAACCTTCGCTGCTTGTTTAAGATCGTCAGCGGTATCATGACCACCTGAAGGAGACAACTCGATGATCTGCGCATGCGGCTCAAACCAAGACATCAAACTAAGAGCATTTCTAGCCTGAACCACATTCCGATGCACAAGGCTTTGCAAACCGAGCGAGCCGCGCGTGCACTAATCATTCTGGAAAATCAAAGGAGCAGCGTTGCGCTTATGGTGCATTGTTGTGTTTAATCTTCCACGTCTGAATTGTCCACCTGCTTTTCACTTTCTTGGAATTAGTGCGGCTTGGGCTTCCAGCACTGCTCTACTGGATCGCTGGCAGATGGAGAACCGCGTGACTCAGAAGCGCCCAGGTCAAATGTTACCCACGTTGACGTCAGCACCTCCAGGCAGTACGCCCGCCGCACCCCCCGCAATTGATGTAGTCGTGTGATTGTGGTACGTGCGCATCATGTTTCGCAGCGTTCGGCCGTACTTTGCGCTGAGATCTACCGGTCCGCTGCCTGCCTGAAATGGTGGGGCAGTCTGCTCCAGTTGCTCAAGAAGCGCAACGACGGGACTTCCTTTACCGGGTGTAGACGTCGCAGCGGCACTGCTAAGGTTGGCTGATAAATGCTCAAGCAGCTGCTTGCTGCATGTGACCAGCGTGAAGAGCGCCTTTTGCTCCTCGTCGCCCTCGTGGCACAGCGCCGAAATCACATTGTAGACGTACTCCAGGTCGCACGTGAGCTGAGCTAGGCCCTTGCAACTCAGACGTGAAATCTGCAACGCGTGGGACACGATCATCCGCGCCACTTCCTGCAACGCGGCCTGCAACCATTCTTCGACCAACCCACTGTGTTCCAGCATCGGCACCATACCGAAAAGCTGTTCGCCGACACTGGTCATGCTCTGCTGCGGCGAGAAAGAACCAGGCTGGAGCTCGATCTGCAGTCTCGCGAAATCTGAATTGCAATATGCATGCTCTTGCACCAGTCGGGTAATGACAGAAAAAGAAACAAGTAAACGCATGTTGTGCATGTTGTCCCAAAGGAACGGAAGCGCCCGAATAAATTTAAACTCACGAAGATCTACTACAACCACAATAATAATTCTTGCAGAGTCACTGAATGAAGTCAACTTTGAATGTTTTTTGAATTTGAAGAAACATTATTCTGCTGCAAGAACCGACTCCGCAATTTCGAGTGAAAATATGACAAATACCCTCCCCATCCAGTTTTTCCCACGTCGCTTTCATTGTCGCGTAGGGTTGCAAGACGTTCTGGATGGGCGCTACACACGCGGTCACAACAAGTCCATGCGACCGGTGAATCAGCGTCTCGATCGTACTTTTCGACTGCCGCATGCCTGGGTTCCCTTCGTCCAGCCTGAAGTTCTTGAACTCGGACTGCAGCTGTTAGGTATAGGACGTGTAACAGATTTCAAACTGAGTTTTGGCTACAGAGAAACATGCTTTCTCCTGGATATTTTAAATTCTTTTTCCCGTAGAACGAAGACGAAAACACGGACTTTATCACTTGTACCTGTTTGATCCCTTCTCTACGGAACTTGAGCTCGAGCCCTCGAGCGAAGTGCGGGTAGGGTACTGCATCTTTTTGGGAGGCGAGCCGCGCCAGCAGTGGCGTCTCAAGTTCGTTGGTGATTTGCTTCTGGACATGCGTCAGCACCTTGTAGAAACCCAGGCACAGATTTAACACAGTGGAATCGATCTGGTTCGCGTTGCTCAGCGATTTTTCAACGATGGTATTTCGGAAGATATCCCCGAGCGGCGACAGCTTTTCGCCCAGAAACTCAGCACAGCTCCAATCAATGGCCGCGACGGCGAGAAAAGGCACGCAAGCAAGTAGATAAACATCGTCCTTGACTGCGAATTTCAGCAGATTTTGCATCTGCTTCACTGCCTCCGTCTCTGCCTGCAGTAGCGCTTCGCTGGCCATTTTGTTGGCTGCACTTGACGTAGTTTCGGTACCAGCAACAACACAATCCTTGAGCCCGGGCTGGTACACGTACTTCACCTGTGGTAAGAAACTAATCCTCTGCACATGTATGATGTTCTTTTTTGTGAAAGATGAAACAGTTCTGTACTGAGTGACATTGTCGTACATGGAAAAATACTCCGCGCATCACACTTTTTACCGTGTCCAGCAGCAGCCAGAGCGGAAAGGCCTGGTAAACGGAGAAAACCGATGCTGGTTGCTCCTCCAAGGATGCGCTCAGTTGGTCGCACCCGTCGACATAGCTGATCCACATGCCTAGTATTCTGCTGGTGCGCCTCGTCAAAATCTCTTCCCCGCTCGTTTGCAAGTGGTGTTCTTCGACTCCCATGAGTCCTCCGGCGCTGGCCAGCGAGGACGCTTCCAACGTCTGCAGCAAGGACTCGTGCAGCGTATTCAGTGCGATGGTCAACGCTTTCGGCAAGTCCACCAGTTTCTCGTCCGGTTCTGCAGCACCGGAGCTTTCTCGTCTTGATGCTGCTGTAGTTGTACTCCGCCCTCCGCGCGATGAAACTAGTACACTCATTTCTGCCATGTTGTCCACATCCGGGGAAGTACCTCCCCCCTGCACGTTGCCGACGCCAGCGGGGTCCATTTCCGACGTCGTCGGGTGCAGTTGCTGTGCGGGACTTCGTCCGTCCACGCCAGACGCCGATTGTTGCGCGGCCAGTAGGCGCGCGCGGTGCTTGAGTTTCTGGTACACCGCCTTCTTGCGGGTCACCGGATCCAAGGGTCTTGCGCCCCCGACTGCAGAGCCGCCTGGCAGGTGTGCGGAGGAGGAGGAAGACGGATGGTGTGCGGGGTCGTGCGGTTGCACGGCGTCTTGGTCGTGCAAGTGCACGATGGCGTGCTTCTGCTCCGTGCCGGTAGTCGTCTTGCTGGAACCGGACGCAGGTTGATGTTGTAGAGCTGCGCCGTATTGCTCCTCCTGCTGTAAATTCATCGAGACGATCTCGCTGGCTCGCAGCACCTCGCGACTCGTCGCGGTCAGCTGCTCGAAACAGTTCCGGACGGCTTCCCCCATGGAACTCACGTTGGTCGCGTTGTTTCGCACGACGCTGTCAAATTTCCGGCTCACATTCTCGAAATGCTGGCACACCAGCTGATTCAGCTCCGGTTGCAAGTCGCACTTGAGGAAGACCTCAAACGACTGCTGCAGGTCGACGTTCATGCCGGTTGTACTGGATCCCGTGTTCTGCTCCAGCGAGAGGCTTAGCTTTCTCCGAGCCAGCGTGTGGAGCTCGCCCTCAAAATTCCGCAAACTGTTCACACGCAGCTCGTACTCGGGGAGCTCCTCAAAGCACTCGCAGACTTCCTGCGCGCCGCGGATTTTCTCGATCACCTCCACGAGCTCCCCGCCGCGAAGCAAGTCGTCGACCTGAAGGTTGTAGTACGATAGTACTAGATTTCACGTCACGACTATCTACGAGCGATGGTGCCAAAAAAATTGATATGATGTTTTGTCGTTCGCTCGTCCATCTTGCTGTTGGTCCTCAACATGCGAGGTCCTCAACATGCGAGGTCCTCAACATGCGAGGTCCTCAACATGGATTCTGAGTAAAAGTACCTCTTCAAGCGCCATTCAGCACACATGATCCCAGAACAAAAGGCACAGTGGAGTAAGTACCTCTTGAATCTTCTTGTCCCAGGTTTGCAGTTCGCGCAATGCGACTTTTGCGACCATCAGCCTTTCCTTGGTGAGTGCCATGTCATTTAGAAGCCCGAAAGAGTGGTCCTTACCGGCCTTGGATAGTTCCTTGATGGCCTTCTGCACTTGCTTCTGCCCTTGGTCCACTTCTTTTTTCAGGCGCTCCAAGTGGTACAGCGTAGCCGGAAACTTTTCGATCAAGTTCGTCGAGAGGTGGTCGACGTTCTCCTGCTCCTCCTGGCACAGGAGCTGCAGCGAGGTAGACAGCGAATTGATACTGCTCCCGGAAAGCGTGCGCGCGTTCAGCCATTTTACGGGGTCAAACTCCTGCTCCAGCCGCGTGTCAATCTCAAAATCCTCCAAACAAATCAGCTGCTGGCCGGCTGCCGGCTGCAGTCCGAGGGAGCTGCCAGGAGGATCGACCACATTCGGCATCTTGCGAATTTCGCGGACCCCCAGCCCCGGTGCCTGTGTAGTCTTGTTTCAGATAATACTTGGCGCTGCCTCGAGGCCTTCCCGGGTGGTCAAATTGCCGAAAACAAAGCAGGTCGGCGCTTAAAGCGCGAAGCTGGCCTCTTCATCTTTCGAATTCCTCACTTGGTCTACTATAAGGGCAAGAATCTATTGCAGCTGCGTCGAAACTATTGACATTGCGGAAAACAAACCTCTATGGATTTTAAGGTGAAGGTTGAGGATACGAGTTTCGCGTAGAAAAATAGGCCCGAGCCCGACAACTGAAGTCTTTCCAATAATGCCGATGACCTACCTATCACTTTGCTTCGCGTCAAAGAGCCTGTGGCTGTGCGAAAGCACATAGTTAAACCAGAAGTGGCTGGCTGATCATATTTGTTGTCAGTCGAAAAAACACAGCAAAAGTCTCAAAAAAAGTTCAATCATCAATGGCAGATTGCGATTGCCTCTGTTGCTTCGTAAAGAATCAATTGGGATCGCAGAATTCCGCAGCTCGTCGGTTTTCTTTCTGCTAGCAGGGTCTATCTCATCCCGATGATCATACGGAAGCGCGAAGAGACGAGACATCTCTGCTCTCTTCCCCGCCCGGTGTCGTGTCTATGGGTTTAATTTCTTCCGACGCAGTCCTGCCAGACGGCATGCCTTACAAATCATACTCGATGGGTCGGACGCGCGTGACGGGCTCGTTCGGGTTTTTATCCTCGTCGAACCACCTGGGGCAGTCCGGCAAATTGAACATACCCACACACCAGCTGCGGTTGTCCGGGAAATCCATGAACTGGTAATTCGGGACCGGAGCCATGTCCACAAAGCACTCCATCTGTGGAATTTTTCGCATATGTTCCTTAACTTCCAGAGAAATGTACGAAGATAAGGCAACACATCTTTTGAGCAAGAAGATCATTTCATTTCATCGGGGCAGCAAAACCAAATGAAAATCATCGATCTTGGCAGTTCATCTTTACCTGAGTCAGTATGCCATCGTCCTTCGCCTTTTGCCAGGCTGAATTTGTTGAGTTCCATCCCGCGTCGTCCATTAGGACCTGTGTGGCATTTGATGTTCTACTTCTTCATCAGTTCTTTCACAAGTTCGTGTTCAGAAAAATCAGCATGCTCGCCAGAACCAAAAAAGTTTTCCGACAATTTGGGCTTCAGAAACCAAAAAAATCTGTGAATATACCCAGTTTCTGCAGGTGGCCATTTTTTGCATATTTACCAAATCCGCGTAGGTCCCCTCAGTGCTGTGGTCTCCGTCAACCGAAATAACATCGCACATAACGTCTGGATAGAGCTTGTGAAATTCCCGCACGCTTTCCTGGCTTGGTCCAAGCGTGAGGTGAAATCGGTCAGGAAAGAGTTCCCGAGCCAAATCGCCCTGCCGAATGGTGTAATCAAATTGACCCAGGTCGAAACTCCAAACTTTTGCGTTTGGATTTGCGTTTAGAAAAATTGCGGTGCTATGACCAGCGTTGAAACCAATCTCGCAAATGTTCTTGACAAAAGGAGCCCGCGCAACCTCGAAATACCTTTCGAATTTTGATATTCCTGAGCCTTTGTCTTTCTCCGAGTTGGTAGCTCCTGACGAGAACGCATATCTAATAGTCGTACCGAGTTGCGACTTCTTCTTGATCCTTTGTGCTAAACTACGGAACCGATCAACATGCATCGTCTACGTTAAGATACACAAGCAATGAATTATGAAGCAGTACATTTCCAAGGCCTTCCTACTGCTGGTGATGTGTCCTTCGCGATACACAAAGTATCGTCGACTTTCGCGATCAAACATCAGGGCAAGCGAAACTGCATTTTCCACGGAAGATATCTCCCACCAATTCTTCTGCTCGCACTGGTTCTCTTCCGCGGCCAGGACGGAGCGCGGTAAGTTCGTCAAAGAGGCTGCTGCCAGAAACACGGCAGTGGTAGCGGCTCCCAGAACCGTTCGAGCGCCCAGTCGACGAGAACTACGTGGTGTTGTGTTTTCAGCGACAAGTCCTGCGGACGGTCTTGGTCTAGTACTTAGTGCTGTAGGCCCCGCGTTAATGACCTTCCCACGCGTGCTCGAACATCGTCGCTTGTTGCGCGGCGGAGACACGTATGCGGCATCCGACCCTGAGCAGGCACACACAACGGACGACGCAGTCGCAGAGAACTCAATCGCCAACATGTCCATGAAGCCTGGTCCTCGATGGTGGATTTGTTTTTCTTCTTTGTACCAAGCAACCTAATATCGTAAACTAAAACTACTTGTTCAGTGCTACAGTTCGTGGCGGAACATTTGGCTCTGCGAAACAGGATGCTACGTTCTGGTTTCCCCCTTTGGTTGCAAAACAAACCCCATATACGTCTTCTCTCGAGAGATAAAAGCGACGGTCTTGTCATGTGACGCGTCGAACTCGAAACCCAAAAAGCAAAGCGCTGTGATTTTTGCGCTACTTCTACGAACTGCTGCGTCCGTCAACTATTGCCGGCCCTACTAGCTTCCTATCCCGAGCACATTCCGCATAGGGGGAGCGAAGTGCCCAAGTGCTACCGTGCCGCGAAAATGGAAATCCTTACGAACTCGAAGCACTGCGCGCTGCCGTAACCTGACCTCTGTATCACGTAGCTTGGCCGTTAGTGTGGTTGCAAACAAAGAGATTAGGATACGGGGGCGCCATAGCTCCGCACACAAACGGCAAAGCCATGTGGCAAAGAGTTTAGGCGTAGGTCGCGGCAGCATAGCAAGCAACAGATCGCATCTGTGGCAAAGTGGTGCCTCAGCACTTCTTGGTTAGAGGGAGAACACTAAATAGCTGCAGGGTTATACGAAAGGAGTAAGAGAGGCGGCGTCACTTAGTAGAGGCAGCACATAGTAGAAGTAGCGCAAACGTTGCAGCGCTAGCTTGACTATTTTTCGGGTTTCGGCATTTGGCGCAGTATGAAGGAGCGCCTTCTACATAGCGCAACTGCGCAGCCCGGCGTTCGGGGAGACGGGTAAGTTGGGGCGACGGGTTGCCGACGGGCAAAGAAGATCCGGGCGACCGGACGCCCGGATTCCGCTAGCGAAGTGCCCAGACTGACTTTGAGGAATGTTTTGAAACGATGCGGCAACCCCGAAGAAATCCAGTGGAGTCCGCATCGTTTTTCGGGTTGGTGAAGCGAAGGATTGAAGCTCGCCCTCGTCTCAGCGGAGGCTCGCGGGATCGCCTCAATTCTTCGCACAGGGCGAATGAATATTCTGCGACCCCTTCATCTTTCGCGCAGAGTTGAAGAAATCGCCTCAACTTGCGCGGGAACAGGATAGCTGCACTCTTTGGCGGCTCAGTTTTTCGAGTTAGTGAGAGAGAACCTGCCGAGGCGGCTTGCTTCAACCTGCGCGAGCGTTTGAAGCGACCAACCCGGCTGCGGCTCCCACCGCACCAAATTAGCCGGCGAAGTGGGCACTGCCATGAATCGTCGCGAAAAAGCGACGCGGGCCTGCAGCACTCGGCTTTTTTTTTGCTAGAGAAAAACCCAAGCGTCCTCGCGAAGGTTTGAACAAAACGCGTGACCATCGCAATCTCGCATGGGGCGGTGGAGAGCCGAGGCTATCAGGGATGAGGGGAACGGAGATGAGGTAACGGCTCGGCGCAGCTTGTCGCCGGTTTGAGTAATGCCCAAAAAGCATGGATGCATCCCCCCCCTCCCCCCCCATTACCTAGGTAATGCTCGGACTTTTGTTGGACAAGATCTTGCAAAACAAACCCCATATACGTCTTCTCTCGAGAGATGATCGCTTGTTCGATCCCGAGGAAGAGGAACTGTGCCAAAAGAGGTAAGTAGGTAGGTTTACTCAACTACAGAGTCAAACAGAAAGTCGTGCATTCGTCTGTCGTCAAAGAAAAGTGATTCACAGGACCCTCGCAAGCACTGCAGGAGGTCATGATCATTTTGATCCTAAATAAGAGCCGATCTTGTGCAAAGAAACAGAAAGAGAATGAGAAACACGAGGGAACGCACATCAGAAATAAACGAAAAAGAAAAGAAAAATCAATGCACTCGTCGAACAAAAACAGTATCGCACGATGGTTTTCGGCGAGCCCGAGAAACGACAGGTATGCTACAGCTACTGAGACACAGCGTATAGAAATCCATCCAGAGTTGACGGTGCAAAGCTAGGCAGACCGTTGGGTCCTGCAAAATCACGTGGCTCAAACGAAAAAGGTCAAGTGCCCCTCCTGGGCGAACGCTCTCTAGACATTGCGTCGTGATCGCGTGTGCTTGTTTGAATGTTTTCCAAAGACTTTGAACCAGGGACAGTGCCAGGGACCGTCCCTTGGTCAGTCGCCCCGCCTCCATGTTTTTTCTTCCCGCGGAATGGGGCCGGCCCAACGCGGGCTGCGGCTCCCTTCTTTTTCTTCTTCCTGCCGAAGTCGTCCACGCTTTCCTCATCTGAGTTGTAGTCGCGTCTGTCAACATCCTGCTGCCGATCCATGTACCCGCCGCCCCGGCCCTGGTGCTCGAGCTTACTCTTCATCCGATCCTGCGTGATTCTCGGTGCGTTGCAGGTTTCGCAGCGCACGCGGCCAGGCATGTTCTGCGTCCCGCAATGTGGGCACTGCCACCTGGTCGTGCTCGCGAGCGCCGCTTCTTGCGCCGCGATGTGACGAGCTACCCGCGGATCCGGTTGCGCGTCCACGGGCTTTTTCAAGCCACACCGGTTACAGGTCTCCCGTTTCTTGAAGTTGATGTTTTTGCACTTTTCGTTCGGGCATTCCCAGTCCGATGGGTCCAACGTTTTCGGCAGCGGATTCGGCCGCGGCCCTGTGGTGGTCCCGGACCCGCTTCGCTGCGGATTGTAGATGTCGCCAAAATTGTACAGTCCCTGGGCCCCCTGCATCGTAGATATTGAGCAAAGACATCTAATTTCCGTGCGAACAAGAAATTTACACTTCCAGGTATACCTTCCGCGGTGAAAATGATCTACCTCTACTGAGAGTCTCTGGGATCATTTGAGTTTTCGGATGCTTTTCGGAAAGGGGTCGCCCGTTCGCAAGTTCCGCACTTCTGATGGTGCAGCACCAGCAAGCTTGCCAACCCCGCACTTCTGATGGTGCACGTGAGGCAGGGCCGCCAATGCGGCTGGACTTATGTTTTTCTTTCTTATACTCCAGTGCGACTGGACTTATGATCATTATCGCCTTGTTAAACCGCCACCTGGTCCAGCACCTGCACCTGGCGCGGCCGTTGAGCAACTATTGACAAGCTAATATTGCAAGATTAAAAACGCTGGCCGCGATCCTGGTACACTGTGCAGAGAAAACCGATCTGCAGGCTCGTACCTTCCAAGCGTACTGCCTATGGTGTTTCTCGTCTGGCTGCGAGATATAGGAAAGTCGGAAAGGACAACACTGAGGGGCAAAAGAAACTCAAACTGTCCGGACCTGGTAAAAATTACAATTCACACGCGCACGCATGCTACAGGAAAAAACACAAAAACGACCGAGAGGAACATGAACACAAGTGTCTCCGATTGCACGCGACCACGTCCTTCGGTTGATTGACCGTTCGCCGATGAGAGACAGAAAATGAAAAATGGTCGGAGCTGCAGTCGCGCAATAAACTAGCCTCCAGCCCCACTGCTGGACGATTTCATTGTTCATATGGATTTCGATTTGCAAAGCACTGAGCGTTAGCTATGTAAGAGACATGATACAGGGCATTTTGATTTGAGTGTAAAAATCTCATACGGTTTCATATTGATTTCCATTCTCCCAGGCTGCTGATAAAGACTCTTTGTCAGCGATCTATCATAACAAGTTTCGTTTTTTCGGAAAGCAAAAGGCTGTGTGTCGTGTGAGGTGTACAGGTGTGGTTGTGCTTATCGGTCATTTTGATTATGATGAAACAATTATGAAACGCTCCAGGTCATGGGTTCTCAAATTCGTAGATCTTTCCATTTTCCTTGAAGTTGAATAGGGAAAATAGCAAGCCGCTCACAATTGCCATTGTGTTGCCAGCAAAAGATTTGGTCTGCCACGAGCTCAAGAAATAGGCCTAGGAAAGCTACTTACGCGAGGAGAAAGTCCCACAACCGTCGATAAAGTTACCACAAGTCGGCTCTTGACACTTTTCGTGAATCCCGAGCTCTGCGTGTCGCAGCGGCACTCGCAGTGCAAATACCTCTACCTGGAGGGACCTGCAACTCGAAACCCCTTCGATAAAGGGTGGTTGAGATCTTCGCTATCTCCAACTTCAATCTTCCTCCCCCTCTGCGATGCATCGCAAACTACCCTATGGGGGAGAGTCTGAATCAATTAAGTATGTGACTTAAACTCTCGAGTATTTCGGTTCAAATCAGAATCAGTAACGTAAGCTCAAAACGCTGATGCTTATCTCAATTTTTTATGTTCGATAATCTCTGAAAACTCCATCATCTACTTGTGGTGGATGTTCTTACAGACAAAGCTTGACTAGTATTATTTTCTGTACGGGTGCTTCGATGATATAACTCTGCCGGTATCTATCATCTTTTTTCGGCGCATTGCAAATTTTTCTCTTGAAGCGAAACAGTCGTCTTTATCAAAGTGATGATCCTAGTAAAGTAAGCATTAACCTAAAGCACATTTTCAATACGTCAAAGAACTCCGGGGACCTGTTGGTTCTTCCTTATGATCGAATACAAAAATCTACTTGCGTGATTAAAATACAGATATGCCTCACCTCAGACGGCCGCATTTGCAAATGAAAATGGATCTTGCAGGGGAAGCGGCGGAGCTGCTGTGCGACCGCCTCGAAGTCGAATCAACCTTCGAGTTCTTGTAGTTTTAAAAAAGTCCTCCTATCACGTCGTGTGACCGCGCCGCGCCGGGTATCCTCAGGGCGCGCCGCAACAAGTGATGACCGCACATCAACATGTGTTTAATCACTTTTGTTGCCGTCGCGATCCTTCTTCTTCTTCTTTTTCTTTTTCCCGCCTTCCTCATCGTCTCCATCGTCGCGACCGCGCTTCTTGTCCTTTTTGTCTTTTTTCTTCTTTTTCTTTCTGCTGTCGTCATCTTCTGGCATGTCCGCGAAGTCGATGGCTTCGTCTGCGAGGAATTGATCGACGTCTTCCATGTTCATTTCTGGTGCTGCCGCGTCCTCGACATTCCCTGCGCCCTTCGTGACATCAAGTTCAGCATGGAACATTTCGAACTCGTCCTCTGCCGCTTCCAGTTGCAGGTTGTCGACTGCAAAGTCATTTGATTCGAAAAGAATTTTTGCGACACCAACATTGATTTCTAGACTCATGTGGGGACCGTGCATGTCGTGGTCATCGTCGCCCCTATTTATACTTTTTTGCAAATGCCGTCTTGGATACAGATAGAAAAGCAAACCGGCTGGGTCGTGTTTAAATGTAGTCAAGTATGATTCTAGCTTACCGTCATCACGAAGGTTCCGCGCGTTCCGTCTGTCAGCCTTGGCCTTACGTCTTTCTGCTTTCTGTTCTTCGGTTTCCACGGGTCGCTCTCGTCGCTGCCGCGGCTCCCGGGGACCCCTTTCTGCCCGCTTCTCCGCGGCCTTTTTAGCCTTCAGCTCGGCCCGGCGCTTCTTTTCCTCTTCCGTCAACGGGACTCCTGGGCGACGCCCGCGACCGAATGGTAGCGCCGGCTGTTCCATCTCAGTGTCATCCACCAAGGCTGTAAGATTATGACAGTGATGATAATCACACAACATTTTTCATGCAAAAGGCGCCTAACTTCCGACTCAGTCGTAGCGGACCAGTCAGATAACATCGACTCAGAAATTGACTAGAAAAATTGAAATCATTTTGTACTACCACGAGCACATCACGACACAGACAGATTTGTATAAAGGACTTATAGTTGTGAAAGCCGACAAACCGGTTATTTCTGATGGTTATTTCTGATGCGAAGAATGAATTCAGAACCTTACCTTGAAGGTTTTTGTCGAGCTCCTTCTTTTTGTCATCCCCATCTTCTTCCCGGACGGTGATCTGCTGCAACTGCTCCCGACCCTGCATGTACATTTCCTCGGCGGTTTGCTCGCGTTCCTGGCGCTTCTTCTCCTCCCGGTCCAGCCGATCTTGCTCTTGTTTGGTACGTTTTTCGGCCTCCTTCTTTTGCAGATCCCTTTCGTGATTGAGCTGCGCCGCAATGCGACTCTGCTCCGTTTCGTGCCGCTCCTTGGCCTTCTCGTAGTCTGCCTTCATGCTCTTGAACTGTAATTAATTTATTGACACTCTGTTAATTTGTTGAGTCGGGCATTAAGTAATCACGCGACGGAAGACAGCAATCGACTCTAAATCTAATGTCGTTGTTCTCAAAGTAGAGAAATATCCATTAGAACTACAGACCACGCAAGTACAACTTGAAGACCACGTGAGGGTCGATGACTTTTACCTCTGGTTTGAGGATCTTCAAGCGCTTCGCGGTGACTTGCAGCATACGTGCCCGATCTTTCTTCGTGGTCTTATCCAGGCCCCAGACCAGAAATTTTTTCGGGCCCACTGTTCCCTCGTTGAGATCTTTCATGCGCTCGCCCCAGCGTTTCACGCGATTAAAGTTGCGGATCGCATCTTCCTTGCAGTGGTAGGACTCGCGCATCTCTTTCATGCCGATGAACTCGGCCTTCCCCTTCATGAAGTTTTTCTGAAAAATGTGCTGCTGCTTTGCGTCCATAAGGACTCCCATGTTGTAACAGGTCACGATGTCCGGCACGCCGCCGGAACGGGCTTCCGCAATCTTCTGCGCCTTCGCCAGCAACTCAATCGCCTTATCCAGGTCGTTGTCTCGAGCGTAAGCGAGTGCGCAGGCGTTCAGCAACCGTACGTTGTTTTCCAGCGCGGGATGCTTCAAGGCATTCAGATACTTCTTCAGGGCGAAGCGGGCACTCGCTGTGCTGCTGTCTTTGCGAAGCATGGTGTGGGCGAGGTTGACGCGAATCAAAACCTGCACGTGCGGGTCGATGTTCTTCTGCTTTGACGCGTTCAAAAACTGGTTGATTGCCTCTTTCAGGTGCTGGCTGCTTTTTCCGCTTTTCGCGCTCAAATCAGACGCGAGCAGCATTCCAAGCCCGTTTTTCGCGGTTGCCGCCGATTCCGGCCATTCTTCGCCGTAGTCGTCAAGCGACCGTCCGTAGGCTACCTCTGCGTTCGCGAAAAGATCCAGAGCCTCCAGCTTCAGCTCCTCACGAACTGCATCGTTCTGTTCCGAAGAGGCGCGCCTGTATGGAAATCGTTGACAATAGTGAATCCGGAGGGTGCTTTGCCTTGGGTACGATGTGGCAATAGTAAACTAATGCTCAATGCTGTGTTCCTGTTCGCTTGCCGCGACACATAAGAACCGTTGTTCGGTGACCTCACTACATACCACTGAAAGGCATATAATTGTGCTCTTGTCTTCTGCCATACTAAGACCAAAATCACAAAACCAGACTGAGGTCAACTCTCGGCAGAACGGAGCCTTGAGGCAGCGCCAGACCAAAGCGCGCTACTGAAAACCAGCAGTGCAAAGATAGGTCCAAGCGCGCTGCACTCAGGGTTTTGCTTTAGCAGCGATGTAACACAGACAGTGCAGACGAATTGAGCCCATCCTGCAGGTACCTTGAGAAGGCACCGACAGGAAAGCCACACGCACAAAAATGCCTGCTGACTAATGCACTGCGGAGGTACCAACACATTGACGAAAGAAAGCCTATACATAGTTCTATGGAAAAAAAGTAGATTGATAAGTTGTATCTATACATCCAGATGACGTCAGCTTCCTCCAAGTACAGATTGCCCAGGTGCACATACAAATCGCCGCGCTGCTTCTTTCGCAGGGAAATGGCTTCTGGTGTGCGCTGAAACTCCAGATACGGTTCGCGACCGAGTTCCCAGGCCTCGCTGTCATAAACTGCCATTTGCTTCTCGATCAAGTCGATGGCGGCACTCGACTCGGTGCTTGCCATGATGTCCGCCACCAAGAGCCACAGCTGCGGATCCGGATTTTTCTTGCTTGTACACAACTTCACCAAGGACCGGCATTCTCGATCTGCCTCTTCCGGGGTGCAGAATTGCGTCTTCGAGCTCGACGAACTGGAGGAGCTGTTCCCGAAAATTACCGGGTACACCGCTAAGCGCTTGTGCATCAGCTGCGCCACGTCGTTTGTCGGGTTCACCGACAGGCTCTGATCCAAGCAGCGCCTGGCCTGCTTCAGCTCCCCCAGGTTTTCGAACACCACTGCTTGATTATACCACAACACGGCCTCGTCTTCCTGCGTCAGCTGCCCCCCGTGCATTTTCTTCACCTGTGCCTTCTCCATGGATTTCGACGCCAGCTGCAAATGGTTAAAGTGGAAGTGCAAGTGCGCCACGTCGTTCCAAAGTTTGTACTCGGATCGCGCGAGATCGGGATGCTGTCGAAGCGCCTTCTCATCCTGGTCGAAAAGATAATCCCAGTAGCTGAACTGTTTTTCGTTCGCCTTTTCGTTTTCAATGTGACGCTCGATCGCCTCTTCTCTGGCCTGGAACTCCGCTTTTACAGGCGGCTTGGCCTTTTCCTCCACAGCCTTGCGCTTCTTGAGATCGTACTCTTCCATGACCTGCAAATTAGTGTAGAGTAAAATGCGAATGCCATCATGTTTAGGAAGGAAAAAAACAACATACGCATCATCGCAATGATCACAACTTTTTATACGACGTAGGGGGGTGTCCGTGATAATATTCAAATTGTCAGAACCCAGTGCTCTTTAGAAAGCGTCTCTGCACAGCACATGCCTCAGACGGCTCTTCTTATTTGTTTTCCGTGGCTCATCACTGCGGATAAAGAAAACACGTAAAAGACCACTACCAATACAACGCATGGTCAATGAATCTCGAAGTTGAAAAACGTAATTCACGATGCATCAGAACCCAGTGCTCTTGAGAAATTTTCTCCTCCCCGACAGGAAAATCTAGGAGGGAATCCGAATGTTTCTGCTTCTCATCATGCATTTCCTAAGAAGCAGCTTTACTCACAGTGACAGAGCGCTGATGAGACACCATAACTAATAAAGGAACTCTATCAGAACCCAGTGCTCTTTAGAAATTTTCTCCTCCCCGACAGGAAAGTCTAGGAGGGAATCCGAATGTTTCTGCTTCTCATCATGCATTTCCTAAGAAGCGGCTTTGCTCACAATGGCAAAGCGCTGATGAGAGGCGATAACTAAAGGAACTCTATCAGAACCCAGTGCTCTAAAGAAGTTTTCTCCTCCCCGGTGAAGTTACCTAGGAGGGAATCCGATCGTTTCTGCTTCTCATCACGTCAAACAATCACCCCGAAACCAGACGAGGGTGGCAGCAGCAGGCCCGCGAAAGTACCCGAGTTGTACAGTACCTAGCTAGATCTAGTAACTAATGGTAATGTTCCCAATCAGAACCCAGTGCTCTTAGAAAGTGTCTCGCCTTCGATCCCTAGAGATCTCCGACGGCTCTTCTTATTTCGTTTCTTTCGTTCATCCTGAGGAGTGTCGCACAGCGTACGCCGCTCTCGCCTCTAAAGCTCTACAAAACCTAGGGTAAAGCCGAAAATTCATCAGACCGTTAACGAGCATGTTTTTTTCTCCAACGAGGCAGAGCCTCTGTCAGAATCCTTTCCTTTTAAACATTCAAAGTCATCCTGGTAGAAGTTTGTAGGACTAAGCAGTTTACAAGTTTGCAAGTAATCAATGTCAGAGTGAGTTTATCAGACTCGGTTAGGTTCTCGACACTTGCGCGTTCCGATCCTTTCCTTTTTATAAAATTTGGCTCATCATGAAAAGGCACATAGATGCAGACTCATTTCCTCATCATGCCGGAGCCTACAGGTCAACTTGATACTCTGCTTCATACAATCTCATTGTCAGAAAGCAAGTGCTAAAAGATTTTTCTCCAGACAAGCAGCAACACTGCTCCGTCGGAATCCTTTCCTTTTTAAAGTGCTCATCATGGTCAGGAGTGCAGAATTTAACTACGACTTGCATTTTACCTTGCGAAAAGTGTCAGAGGTGTGTCGTCAAGATATCCACAACAGCGCAAGGTTGATTCGGACTCTTCTTATCATTTTCTGTGAGCTCATCATTACTTGTGTTTTCTTCTATTCATTTCCAGGTAAACATCCTTGGACAGGACAAAGAAATTCAGAGGTGTGTCGTTAGGTTATCCCCAAAAGGAAGCAGCTAATGCGGCTCACATTCGGACTCTTCTTATCATTTTTTCTTTGGCTCATCACGACAGATTCTTTACAGAAGAATGATCTTATGGATCGTGATTAGTTGAGTTCGTCGTGGATCAAGTTAGTAGCACGCGATCCCGTCGGCGAAATGCGGACGCTGTTGAAGCGTCGTCTTCTAGAGTAAAATTCTACCACGACCGCGAAAACCAATGCAAATAGCGTTTATTTGTACCTTTTGCTTGTCCACTTGCAGCTTTTCGATTCGCTCACGACGTCGCTCTGCGTTGACCCGTTTGGCGGCGTCCAGTTCTTCTCCCTTCGGCATGGGGTAGTGCTCCTGCAGAATGCGCTCGTACTGTTCTAGCGCACTTCTTTTGTCGTGCTCGTCCCGCATCTGGGAGAATACGGAGGCTCGCAGTGACTTCACCTCGACCTCTGCCTGCCTGACCTGCTCCCGCGCACGGGTGGAATTCTTGTCCCCGGAGTTTCGTGCGTAGGTCAGAAAACCATCGCAGGCCTTCAGTGCCTCCCGCCAGTCCTTGCACTCTGTAAAAGTGAATACCAGCTCCCTCATAATCTCCACGTCGTGCGGGATCATGTCGCGCAGCTTCAGCAGAGCGGACCGGGCGAAAAATGGCTTTCCTATTACCCTATTGCAGTGGTACAGGCCCATCAACGCGCGCTGGTGATCGCCGCGGATGTCTGTTGTTTATGAATTTGGATACTTAGTACACAGTGGATTCCGTATGCAGGCAAGATGATGCAAATCAATTGCCATAGGAAACACAAACACTAGACGTGCGCTACATGATGAAGCTGCACGGGCAGCAGTAAAGAGAGAGAGAGAGAGAGAGAGTTGGACTAGCGACGCGGACTTACATACGTACATGTTCAGACATATGCTTGTCATTCTGGAAATCGTCATCCGAACGTCGGATGGTTGATCCCATGAGAAATGATTTCATCAGTTGCTCAATTGTCCAAAAGAGTGGTATGACGACGGGGCCGAAAGAAAATTCTCTGCGATCAGACTATGGGTGATGTGTTGTGTCAGTGTCTCATCACATCTCTCAGACGAACGAGACCTGTAACATTCTATCATCACAACTTCTGAACTTCTCCATAAACCACCTCCACGAGTTGACATCGCGCATATGAGCAGCACTTTACGTTAGTATCTAGATTGATTCATCACAAGCGCGACCATACAACTGCTCGTCAACTTTGCTGATGTATACCTGTCGCCTGCGTGAAGTATTGAATCGCTTCGTCGAATTTTTTCCTCTTCTGGGCGACTTGGCCCAGCTGAAACAGCGTCTCTGCTTTGTCGGAGTTCAACTTCGTCGTGCTCAAAGACTGCTGTAACCTAGATTCAATATCCTTCAACGACTTTTCTATGGCCTTTTCGTCCTTGTTGTCGAAATTTTGCACGGCCTGAAAAGCCAGGTCGCCGAACGCCTGTGCACAAACGGGGTCCTTCGATGCCCGATCATACACCTTTTTCATGAGTTCCGTCCGTCCCGCGGGCGTGCTCGTTGTGCTCCACGAAAGACGGGCTGCCACAGCTTCAGCGTGGTTCGGATCCTTTTTCAGGACTTCCGCTAACGCTTGCATAGCCTTTTCTGTGTCGCCGAGGGCTTGGTGGCAGAGGGCAATAAACCTGATTGATCGTTCCGAGTTGGTGATTGCGGGACCACTCGGAAAATTGCGAAGAACAACCAAATCAAGATGCACAAATCTTATGAGCGGGCGCGGTGTATCCTTACTAGATCCATGGATTTGTATATCCCTCTTCCCTTTCTTATTATCAGACTATGGGTGATGTTTGCAGAAGTTGTCTCATCACATCTCTCAGACGAACGAGACCTCTTCTTTTTTATGCATCATCGAGAAAGCGTTGAGGTAGACCGCGCGAAAATTTTGTGGCGGTTCGCCATCCTCGCGCCGCACAATTGTCATATCATACGAGCGAATGCAAAGACTTTTTTCAGTACAGCGGAGAAGTTTTGTCTAAAAGCCCAAACTTCAGATACTGTTTTGTTGAGCTCGTAATTGGCTCATCATTCTTCACACGAAAAGATTCCTGTACGCCGCGCATAGCCTCGTTGACTTCCAGCATCATCCAGAACTGCATAACGTATAGAAAGGTATCGAAGAGTAGTCAGTACCACAGGACGTGTGGGCTGTATTGATGTATGTTGAAGACACATGTCTCGAAGGCGTCCAGTGCCTGCCCGAATTTTCTCTGTGTGTACCAGAGGCAGCCCAGACCCGTATGTGCAAACGCCAAGATTTCCCGCTCTATTGCGCTTTGCCATTTCAGCCGGTCCCTGCTGCTTTCGTCCGCGTTTTGTTGCTGTGTTATTTCAATATTCGAGAAAGTTAGCAGCAACCCGCCGTCGTTTACAATGAAAGGATGTCCATGACGAGAGCCTCTTGTTCAAAAACAACTTCTACTACGCACTTTTCTTGCGATTGCCGTAGTCTGATTTGCAAGTAGCTAAATCTCCCTACCTGGATTTCCACCTGGTTGATAGCAGCCTGGAAGTCGGGCTCGGCCTTCTTAAGCAAAAGGTCGGTGTGTTTTTTGCTCAGATCGTATTCGTCAAGCGCAAGTTGGGCACGCGTCACGAACATGCGCGCCGAACTCTCTGGCTGCGCGAAAAAACCCATTTCAGTTGCTCGCTTCAAGACTTCGCGAGCATCTGTCAGCAGCCTGTTGGATTGATGTTCCAATTGCAATTAGCAGGAATAGAGTCTTCAATACACACTATGCATTCTGGTCTGGACAAGCTTGTCGCAGACACGCAGCAAGCTCTGTGATATGCCTCTGCTTAATGTAGGTCGTGAAGGCCATCAGAGGACGTCAAACAAATAATGAATCTGATACTGATTGCAGCGACTAGGTGGCTCGGTTCCTGCCTTCGCCTTGTAGACCAGATGCTGCACTTTGATGGCGATCATCTCTGCGGCACAGGTGAACTCTTTCTTGGTCAGCACATCGTGGAGATGCACACGTCGTCCTTGTTTCTTGGCTTCCCCAACGAATCGCTCGTACTGAGACTGCAAGTGCTTCATACCGCCGCTTATCGCTTCCTCGAATGGTGCCTGCAGATTCTCCTCCTGCAGTATCCTACTGATTACCGCAGTCAACTCGTAGCGATTCACCAACGTGTCCGTAGTTACCATTTTCAGGATCCCGGGGAGCGACTTGTTGTTCAGCAGATCCGCGCGGGTTACTTTCGTGGGCTCCGGCAAACCCTCAATCAGCATACCGACCTGCGAAATAATGATCGTGGGAAACGCAATATGTTGGCAAACAGCGCCAACAGAGCTTGTCAGTGGAAGTGTCGGAATAGGGTAACTTTGTCCAAGAAGTTTGTTAGTTTGGCCATCATGATCAGAAGCGCCTACATTTGGAATAATATTCCGAGATTGATAGTACGACCCACCCAGGTAGTTCGTAGGGCGGCGAACGGCTGGCGCGCCGACACAGACACAGCAACGCGGTGACAAAAAAATTAACAGTGGCAGGGGTCCCGTACGGAGGATGGAAAAGTGGCAACAGGTGGAGGCAGCGGGACGAAATGCGTCGTGCAATTTTTTCTCCTGACGATGGCGGCAAAAGAATAAGATGAGAGGAGGCAACACGCTGAAAATGAAGTAATCAGTCGCAAGGCTGCATGGTGGAAATTTCGCGATACCGGTACGAGAACGAGATCAAAATAATCAAGCAGAAAATAAAAGGCGGCGAGAAGAGAGTCCTCTTGCGGCGGCGGATGCGGAGGGAGATCGCGTACAACTCAGCAATGAGAGGCCACAACTGATGACAAGTGTAGAAAAGAGCCGGAAACGAAAGATAAATATTGCCGGCGCCCAGATTCGAATCTCTTCTTGGATCATGAGTAGCTAGTAACTTACTATCTCCTTCCAAACGGCAAGCACATTGAAATGATCATCAAAATATTTTTTTCTACCTCGCTAGGATATATGTCTGGCTTGGGTGCAGGTCCGTCCTGCGGCCGCAGCCGGGGTGATGCCATGGGATGATCCGCCAACCTGGGTGAAGCGAGCGGCGAAGCGACCGGGGAGCGCATCGCCTTGCTTCCCAGCCCGCGCGCACCGAGTGGGCTTCCGACCGGAGAGCCGCCAAGGGCATTGCCCAGGCGCAGCGCCGGCACCGGTGCCGTGGAAGACGTGGCGCGATCCGCCATGATCTCTCCTCCAGAGAGCAGGTTTTGCGACCTCTAATATTGATGAATCCGGGATGATTCCGAGCCGGCTGCTTGTCGTCCACCCCAATCGACACAAGTTTTTCCTCGGCCGGCGCTTCGTGTCAATTGCCCGAAGGACCTGCAGGTGCGGAAGCCCAAGGCGGATCTTGTTAGTAGCTGCTCTTTTCTCGTCACAACAATGATGGCCGAGGGGAAGGTGTTGTCGCAGATTGAGATTGATAAAGTGCGCCGAAAACTTCTACTCTTTGCCGCAGAAATAAAACGTGGTCTTTGACGAATGCCAAGAAATTGTGTCCGTAGCCAGCTTGCCTCGTTGGATCAGGAATGAGGTCGGAAAAAGCGCTATTTGCGGGCAGCGAACAGCGATTTAGCTTCGCTCTTCTCCGTTCGTTCCCGTTCCTTGCCGTGGTATTTGCGTTTTTGCAACAACACTTTCTGAGCCATGTACTAGGAACGAGGTAGCAACTTTTTTCTATCCGATCCCTTCCAACCTAGCAGCAACGCTGTGAAAAACTTGATCCAAGGAAGCATAAGTAGCGATAGACTGCCGTTGTTATCGATGTGCAGCAGTTGCAATTGCGATCGCAGTCTTCAAATTGCTGGTGAAGTCTACAAAAAGGGCACGCCACCGAGTCTGAAAGCACTGACGAAGCGACTAAGAGATCATAAACGCTCCAAGAAATGCTACGTAGTTGCGCGGGCACTTGCGTCGGTACTATTTGAGAATCGAAATAAACACCGTAAGTCGCTGTCGTGTGAAATCATATGGTATTGCTGTCTAGATAAAAAGTAGTCCAAAAGGGCTTTACCCGAGAAGTAACTAAGCGCATCACTAATTATCTGCCGACATGTATTATCTTTAAAAAATATTCCATTTCACTTCAAAAAAAACAAAGCTCAGCTCTCGGCGTGTGAAGCTAACGGAGGAGCCTGGGAAAAGTTGTACAATCGCAGAAAACAAACTGCAAGCCTAAGTGGATTGAGCACGGCTCAAATTTCTTGCTCGATATTTTTGGACGACCACGAAGTACTGCCTTATCGACACTTTCAGTGCGGTCGCGCGAGCCTCCTCGTCGTCGATGTCGTCAAATAACAGCTATGAGTTCATCCTGCAGAAGTTAAATGTGTTTGCGAGAGATAAATCGGGTGTACTCGAATCGATCCACGGGTCGTCGAAATAACTTTCAACAAGACGATTCAATTTTATCGAACTGCCCTAGCGTTAGCTAAGTGTCTGACTCTGGTGACCATTCGTCGCGGGTAAATTTATGACGCGCTTCCAACTAGTATTCCGCCTTGCTCTGTACGTTCACGTGAGCGCGACGATTTACCAGTAAACCAGCTGCATCACGAGCGGAAAAGCACCGCGCCCGAGAAGTCACGGTGCAAAGATACTGTGCGTACGTGTGAGCAGTGGAAGTGGTCTGCAGAGACATATTAGCTTTGGAGATTTCAATTTCCTTGCAGCTCTGCATCAACGACACAACATCTTCGAGGATCAGTGCCACTGCGAGGACATCAGGAGCAGACTTCGAACGACTAGCAATTTCCCCCGCTGCGATCTTTTGTATTTTCATTTGCAGCACACTGCTTTGCCGGACACGATTTCCATTCTGCTCTCTTTGAAGACATTTGTTCGTTCATCGCGGATTTATCGCTTGCAGATCAACAAGGCAAGGGCCGAGGAATCCGCGTAGAGACTTCGCCGCACTCGCAAGCCATATCGAACGGCTTCCCAGGCAACATCTCTCAGCAAAGATGAACTGTCTCTGCATCTTAACCCCGAGGATCGGCTTCCCTCGTAATTGACACTTTGTGCCTCACGTCTATTTTTGTGAAGAGCCACGATCCTTGCATTTTCTACGGCATTTCTAGAAAGACCAGAGAACTCCCCGAAATGGAAAAAGATCTATCTCGATAAGTTGTACCCACTTGCGTGGTCAGGTTTCTTCCTTGCGCGTTCAACCTGATCACCCTTTCCAGGATCCTGTCTTTCATCGTGTCACCGTCTTTACTTTTTCTGATCCATGAGGACGAGGAGGTAGCGCTTGCTCTCGATCTCAACAGATCCAAGGTACTTCTATCAAGTAGTTCCAACGACAAACATCTCCGACCCTATCATATTTATAATTATTGCAACGGCTTTTTGATCAGGACTTCTAGCGTTGGTGGTAGGTAGTTTTGAGAAGCTTTTCGCGTCCTGGGAACATCGTCCTTGATCCTCCTCTGTGTGGACGCTGAAAAATGATATCCTGATGGTGCAAGAATTGACTCCAGTTCACGGTGACGGTTCAGGTAGTCGTCGGTTCAGGTAGTTGTCTTTTGAAAATTATTTTCAGAGCAGCTGCGATATTATTTTCGATCCGTGGCACTGTCATTGTTTTCTTGATGTACAGCACTACTTCATTCTAGTTGCAGACTTCCTTGCCGATAATCTATCAGTAGCAATAATTTCAGAGCGAAAATCACTAGTTCGTACAAATCTCCTTTTTTAGTGGTGGTGATCGTCATGGTGTCCGTGCTCCGATTGTTGACTGCCCCGCCACTGGTCCTTGCCCTTCCAGTCGGGAAAGACTTCATAGCAACTGCCACGAACGTAGGGATGTCGCCAGTTTAGTCCGCTGTTTTCCGTGTCCACCCACACGTTAACCATGTTCGTGCCCAAAAACTGCCGATCCTGTTCGCGAATCACGACGAAGTAGTGGCCCGACGACATCATGAAGATCACCAGGCCGAGAGGATAAAGACCTGAACAGGTTTTATAATGTAGTTCTCGTGAAGCTTTATTTATCCGATTTCGAATTAGGCACTCTGTCCCGATGGCGTCTTTTACTTTTGCGGCACGAAAAAGCGCAAAAAAATAAACACTCAGACTCACGATCCTACGGCACAACCTCAATCAACTGCTGTAAGTAAGTTCTACTGTCGGTACAAAAAAATTGTCGATACCGACCCATCCCCGTGGTCCGATGTACTTGTTCCCGTAAGCATAAAAATCGCGGCACACTTGCGGTACGATGCGCTTAGGTGTAGAAGCTTGGAACAGGGCGAATCGTGACGGACTTGCGCGGAAAACGCCACCAGCTCCGTTCGCAGCTTGTCGCGCGGCTGATGCAGATGTTGGACCACCGATGACGAACTTGCGTGCAGAGGAGAAACGATTTAGAAGACCTCCCCCACCGCCCGCAGGGGCTATGGTCCTCTTTTGCGCCACGAGACGCAACATGAGGACCTGGACTTGTTGCGAAAGGGGGAAAACAACTACAGGCAATCATGAATGTATGACGATGAGGACGCGGCGAAAAAAAGGCTTCTCTCTTGCTTGCACTCTCTTTCTCTCTAGTACCGCATGATTTTCTCAAGAATGAATACATGGCATTGTTTCCCTCACGCTCCCTTCGGCACTGTCATTCAGCCACATCGGACGGGGCCGACCATGCTTCAAGACAGTCGGAACATGAAAAATATCTTCTGCCGTTACCCTGGTCGCCGTGGGACTGTTGTGCCCACAAGTGCTCGCCGTCTGGATTGTGCGTTTTGATCGTACACCTAGTTTAGAAGGAAAGCTGTAGCTACAGGTTCATAATCGATGAATATGAAAAATCCCACGGTACAAAAGACCAACTAGACATTTTGATGCGCACATAAGAGCCAGCGTTTTGCTATTGGAGTGAATCACATAGAAAAGTTCAAGGCTGAGTTCAAGTTCTGTACTAACCGTACCACCTTTTTTCCCCGTTTTGTCAAATTGTCAAGAAACACCTAAGTATGATAGAAAAGTTGATTGTTCTGTTCAAGTGAAGAAATGTCGGAATATTTTCAAGTTTTTCGGGTCGCTTCGCTTTCGGCTTCCAGTCCGCTTTTCCGGCAGGATATGCTTTTGGAAACAAAACAAAAGCCGGAAGGACGATTTTCTCTTTTTATGGAAAAGTGAAACGGCAAAGACGAGAAACGAGGAACGTGTACCTTTTAACTAGACTAAGTTGTACCTAGAGCGGAGTTGTAAAACCCGAGAAATCTGAGTTCAAACTTGACCTGGAGTCTACTATTGCTATATTCCAGTAAACTATTGTGTTCCATTGAAATCTAAAACTCTAAAGTTCTGCTCAACCGACGTTGGAGTCGGTTGCTTGTCTGTGTCTGATTCCTTCTAGTTATTAATAGTGAAAAAGCATATTCTGTTGGAAATGAGTTTTCTTTCGGTTTGAGTTCTTCATGATTTGATTTTGTTTGTAACTTGCTAAGACTGCTTCTCGGACATCATTTTCCTGGCTGCTCAGTCCAGGACCACCTTGAGCGCCAAAAACCCGGCCAGCCCGGATACCGTCCACCTTTCCGGCGCCTCCCGACTGGTAAGGGTCATGTTCATGACGAAGTTGGTACTGTGTCCCGTTGTACTCAGCGTACCTCGTCGCGCCAGCGTCTTGTAAATCGGGCACTCATAGCACCCCTTCGGCATTTTGCGGTCGATCATCGGAAGCATGTGCAGTGGGTACATGGTGAAGTACAGCTGCTTCGGTATTGACGTGTCCAATGCGTGGAATTCCGGGCTCCAGCGCGCGCCCTCCAGATAGATTCCGTACACGTACACCCCGGATTCTGCGGGCGTGGTGATCTGCGCGGGGCTTTTGTTGTCCAGCACCTCGAAGCCAAACGCGCACCTGTCGATGGCGACGTGCGTCTTCCGCGCGAAGTTCTGTAGCGAACCCGTGAAGTAGGCCTGCGGGAAGAACAGACCGGAGAGCCACAGGCAGCTTGGCACCTTCACGTCCACCCAATTCTGGATGAAGTCGATGCGCTTGTTGAGGTCCTTCGTCCAGAAGGATAGAGGCATCAGGGAGAGGAATCCAACACTGCCAGCCGGCGGTGCGGAAAACATGTCCGGGACTAAGTTGTTGTACATCGAGTTGGCCATGGACAGCAGGTCTTCGCTCATCGCGACAAACCCCTTCAACGCTCGTCGCAGCGTCGGGAGGAACTTGTGCATGATGCTCAAAAGTCGGTTGTACTTCAGGGCTTCCTGCTTGATCACGGTGTTGGTCGACTCCTCGTAAAGCGTTGGAAACCGCTATCCTGAGTAAAAACGTACCCACACCAGAGTCAAGATGGGGAATCGGCTAGACAAATCCACAAGTTTTGGCTGTTTTGCATGACAAATTTGGACTCGTACTGTAGTGCTGTTTGAGCTAGCTCAGGAGCATCACAGATCTAGCATACCATGCTGATTGGAGCATGACAAATTGCAAAGCACGACTATAAAACGCTTCTCATGGGGCTCCGCATGAGAAACATTTTCAGCATGCAGATTTGCATTACAACTATGGGGTGGGTACGTTTTTACTCAGGATAACCGCTCTTCGAGGTATTCCATGTCGAACGGCTGCGGCGTGTTCTATCACAGTGAAAAATGCCCCCCACCCCTGAACTTGCAAGAATTTGTGATGCGAAGTTTCCAAATGAAAGCTTTTTGTCATGCATGAAAGGAGTGCGAATCTTTCTGATGCAGATTCCAGTCGTGTTTCGCATCGCTTGCATGACAAGTACCGCTCTTGCTGGGATCTTTTGCAACACAAATTTTTGCTATTCACGATCGGAAATCTGTGATGCTGATACACGCAAGAGGGCGAATGTTTCATTTGGAAAGATTTGCAATACAAATGCTTTCACGTTCGGGGGTGGGGGCATTTTTCATTGTAATATGTTCGCGAGCAGGTTTTCTACCAGCTCGTCAATCACCTCTTCGCGGCTCGCGCCCTTGCCGCCACCCGACCGCGGAGCCATGGAAAGAATATTCGCGAGCAGCAGCCGCGCTTGCTCCTCTGCGTAGGTGATGTTACCTGATCAATCATGATTTTCAATTTTGGTTCTTTCGAAAGAACGTAAGTACCTTCTAAATGCGTATGCGCCGGCCCGATTGGAGGACATGCATTCAGGTAGACCAACATCAGAGACCATGCTCCCAATCCCACGACCACCTTGGGGATGAATTACTTTTGCAGCAAATAAACAAAGCTTTCATTTACAGTTCTCGTGCATTCCAAACGCTTCTGGCGTTGGAATGAGCGGTAACGTCTTGATGTAGTCCACGAAGTCCTGTTGACAGGTTGCGTCTGGGCAGTAGTAGATGCCGGACTCCGAAAATTTGTAGCCGCTGCCTTGCTCGATAAGTTCTGGACGGATGTACATGACAAGAATCGCCGAGGCCAGAATCTTATCCTGTGCGTCGGTCACTCGCCCGCCATAGTTAATCTTTGAGCCCAGGTAGTTCAACACCTGATATTTTTTTCTCAAAGCGATCTTGGCTAAACGAATCTCTTTACCATGTTATAGAAAGACCCGAAAAGTTGAAGTTCATACATGTTTGTTCAGAAGTAGCACAGGAATAAACTCGAAGTCAACATCGATGATCGGATCCATTGATATTTATAGTATTTTTTTAAACCTTGTATGGCACATCCTCGTATTTGTCCAAGAAGTGCTTCGCCTGCCTCCTGCATGTGGCCAAATCTTCGTTCGTGAATCCGTACGGAATGTTCCACCCGATCGGCCCAAACTTTCTTCTTTCCTGCACAATGGCGTGAAAGTAGGCGAACGCGAACATCACCTTCTTGAACGCGGACGGGTTAGAGCAGTCGTCCAGCATCTTATCGTCCAATCGTGTGAACGTGTACATCAAGTTCGCCTTCAACCCCGCGGGAGGTTCGTTCGTCATTTTGACCCCGTTTTGGAGAAGAAGCGCTGGGAACGCCGGCGAGGGCATCGAAGTGAGCCACAGGCGGTAGTCTGGGTTCACCTCTTCCGGGTTCAGCTGCTCGCAAATCCGCTCGAGCTCAGGCATCCACGAGATGGCCAAGTGACAATTCTGGAGCAATACCCAGCCGCCCTGTTTTATGTGATTCGAACTTGAAGAAGAAGAGAGAACTACACATACTAAAAGGAAACTGATCAATGATAATGGTACATCGACGATCATCATCGCGATGATTTGAAACGGCGCCTCTTGGCACGCCCAATTATCGTCGTGGTCCCTTAATACCTTTCCGTCTAAAAAATGCAGCTGCAGCAGGTATTGATGAACATTAAATCACCATTATGCATGACAGACGCGAAGACCTACTAGTACCCAGCGTATAGATACTTCCTTACCTTTGTCTTCGCTTCCTCGATCATTCTTGCTGCTTTCGGCCCCTGTCCCTGGCCGAGGGAGATGGAAGAGAGCATGTTTGCCTTGCCGCACTCCTCGGCGAACGCGAGCATTTCTCCGACCGGATCGGAACCCGTGACCAGCACGAAGATCAAGGGCGTGAAGGCCGTGGAGTCTCCGTACGACGTAGCGATGTCAAAGGTCGGTGGCTCGACGAATTTGCCGCCGATGGCTTCGGTGATGAAATTCGTGATCGCGGGCACGAGCTTGTCCAGCCGGATGGTGCGAAGCACGAGCAACTTCTGAAACGTGATCAGCTTCTCGTTCCAGACCCCCGGCAAGGGCACCTCGTGGGCCTCCGGCGTGTCGTAAATAACCTTCCACGCCGCCGGGTCGTCGCAGACCGCCTGCGCCACGCCCTTGAAGGCGGGTAGCCTGTCGACCGTCAGGATCTCGTTCCAGCAGACCCCCGAGATCCAGCTGGGGTCCGGATTGGGCAGCCCGTCGTCGACGTTCACCGTGGGGCCGGTCAGCAGAAACCGCAGCTCCGTGAAGTCCATCTTCCCGTCGCCCTGCAGCAAGCGCAACGCGAGGGAGAACGAGAACATGGTTTTGTGCTTCTCGAACAAAGCCCGGCACACGTTGTTGTACAAGTTGTAGGTGAAAAAATCCTTCAAAATTTCGAGCCGTTCCTCAAACACCTTCGCGGCCGGCGCGTTCTCGACGGAAATACCGAAAAGCATCTGGAACCACTGCAGTGAAAATTGGTACATGGGGTCAATCTGAATCAACTCCACGACGCAGAAGAACAGAACCGAGGCGCGAAACGCGACCGGAATGTACCCGGCGCGCGCAACGTCGATTTCCCTCTCGGTCACCTTTCCCTCCTCGACCTTCTTGTTGATCACGTTTATCCCACAGAAAAAAGCTGGCAGGGCATATTTGTAATGCAAAAACATTTACACAGAAAAAATTGTCATGGGTGGCCCCATAGCATGCTGTTTCGGATATGCAATGCAGATTTTTTTGTGTATTTATTTTTGCATTACAAATATGCCCTACCAGCTTTTTTCTGTGTGATAACGTTGGCGGCCTGCTTCGACTGCGCGAGCGTGTTGATCAAGGTCTCGTCTATCGCGGGCAAAAATCCCCCCTCCCCATATCGAAAAGGTACGTCGCAGAAAATTTGCAATGCTGATTTGCGGCCACAGATGATCTCTGTCTTGCAAGAAGGCAACTCCACAGGCTCCGCCGCATTATTCGGGCGGTTTGTGATGCTGTTTGGCCTACAGCGCAGACGTTTCTCATGCTAAGTGCCTAGGCCAAAACCTCTCCACTCAGGCTTGATGTGGGCCTGCAGTCCTCTTCAGCAAGACATTTGTGTACTCAAATCCAGCATCACAGATTTCGTTTTCGATATGGGGAGGGGGGATTTTTCCTTTTGATATCGTCCTCCAAGATGTTGCCACCAGACGCCGCGAGCAGCCTGAGAATCTCGTCCTCGATTTCTTTCAGCTGCTTCTTCATCTCGGCGGAGTCCTTCACCAAAGCGGACTTTTTCTCCTCCAACTCCGGTGCTTCCTTCGCAACCACGATCCCGAGCATCTGGCCCTGCAAACCGTCCTGCGTGATGGCGAAGTTGAGAATCGTGACTTTCACGGAAACTTCGGGTGGGTAGTGCGGGTTGGACAGATTTGTGGTCACGAAAAACTTGAACGAATCCATGTAGGTGACGTTCTTGTCACCGAGCTTGATCACGTAGCTCCCGCCGTCCTTGACTTTCTGCTGCATCAGAATCGGCTCCAGTGCGGCATCGAGCTCCTCACCGACGTTCTCCAGGAGAATCCACTTCCCGAATTGAATGCCCAACTCGAGGACACGCAGGAAGTTCGGGTCGGACAGCTTGCAGGTCTCAAACCCGCCCTCGGAAACCTTCTTGCCGTACGCCTTGATGTAGGCGTTCGCCTGCCTTTGCGGGTCGATCATCAGCGGCCACCGGCGCGACTTGTCGATGATAATGGCGTTTTGGATAGACAAGTCGTCGTTCGGCAGTCCGTAGACCGTCCACTGTTCGATCTTGACTGGCTCACCGAGCACGTCGACGATGCCGCACTTCTCGCTGCGCGGAATCTTCAGCGCTTCCAACCCAATTTTTGCCCATTCTTCAGTCATCTGGTCGCGGTAGACACCACTGAAGATACCGAGATAGGAGAGGGCACCTGCAGTAAGATAGATGTTGTCAATAGACAAAGTACCGAACTGATTAGATAAAAAAAGTACTAAAGGCGAATTCCAGTGATGCAAAGACAAAGAGTTGTTGTACAAAAGAGATTCAACAAAAATAGGCTCACCAGCGGTCATGAGGCAGTCCCCAGGCAGCAAGCCCAGCTTTCCCTTCAAGTCTGCAACGGTTTGAATCCAACGCGCCTTCTCACCACCGAGACCGCCGATCAGCTTGTTGGCGCGCTCCAGCTTGACGATACACATGTCGCTGTCATCCTTCAGTTGCTTCTGCTTCGCCACCGCGGCGTTGAAGTTGTTCTCGAGGTCGGTGAGTTTGTCCATGATGCCCTTCAGGGTGTCCTGTGCCTCTTTCAGTTCTGCCATGGTCTTCGCGAGCACCTCCTCCGCCCCGCGAAGCTTTATTCTCTTGGGTTCCACGGCCAGTGCCACGTAGTGGTACGTGTGCATCGCTCGGCACCACATGCACAGCGCCTCGCACGCGACGGACGCTTTCTTGATCGCTTCAGGCTGGAAACCCTCGTCGTCGATGTACTTTTGAATGCCCTTGATCACCTTATCTGGGATGTTGTCCTTATCGAAATCGAAGAGATCCTGTAAAAGTTTCTTTGGATCAGCCAACAACGACCCCTTTGAGACATCCCAGTAGTCCGCGACTTTCTTACCGGGCGCGCCGCTCGGATCGGCAACCTATTGAACGGAAACATCCCCCTCCCCATATCGAACAGGTATGTTTCCGAAAATTTGCGTTGGTGATTTGAGCCCTATTTCCGCCTGATATCCGTAGGCCCCGTTGGTGATTTGAGACCACAAATCGCGTCTGTCTTGCAAGAAGACAGGCGCAAAGGCTTCCGCGCCATTATGGAAGCGATTTGGCATGCTGTTGGGCATGCTAAGTGCCGTTTTCAATGCTAAACAACTGGACCCAAGCGCCCCTATCGAGGCTGAGGATCTGGCTGCGATGCCTTACTGCAAGACAGCGCGCGTTTGTGTGCGGAAATCCAGCATCAGAAACTTCGTCTCGATATGGGGAGGGAGGATTTTTCCTTACGATACAACCATTTTCGGCTTCAGCTCGAACATGACGCACATCGCCTCCATATCCTGTGTAAAAACGTCCCCACCCCATAGTAAGTTGTCATGCTAAACAAAATGCAGCACACTTTTCCACCCCATTGCACCATGGCCGCAGAGCTTGACGCGCCGGGCGGGTCGGTCAGGCGGACACCAAAGTGCCATCGTCGTAGTTGTCATGCAATTCTGCATGCTCAAAATCTTTCTCATGCGGAGCCCCATGAGAAGCGTTTTCTAGTCGTGTCGTGGAATTTGCGGCGCTCCAATCAGCATAATGCGCTAGCTCTGTGATGCTGCTGAACTAGCTAAACAGGATTACTATAGTAATCCGAGGCCAAACTTGTCATGCGCAACAGCCAAAGCTGGCTGATATGTGTAGCAGATTTCCCATCTTGACTATGGGGTGTGGACGATTTTACTCAGCATACTCCATGGTCAGTTTCACACCCGCGGGCGGGGAGCCCAAGGCCTTCACCTCCTGCAAGTGGGAGAGTTTCAGGGATTGCAAGCACTTCACGGCGGCGTCCAGCGCTGGCAGAGCCTTATCCAAATCTCTCTGTGCGTCGTCCTTAATCTCCTGCGCCTCTGCCGCCTGGATTTCGGCGGCCGCGGCCTGCTTGTCTACCACTTCTTTGGTTTCCTCCGCGACTTTCTTGTCCCGTTGAATCACCACCATCATCTCGGCCACTTCTACGGAAGTTTTCTCCAACACAGGCTGCAGGTCCGTGAGCTCTTTCTCCATGACCGCAACCTGCTCCTCTGCGGAAGCGAGTTTGTCCAAACCGGATTGGAAACGGTGGATCAGCGTGTTCACCTCTTTCGTTTTCATGTCCAAGACCTTCTTGAAGGAGTTCAGCAGCTCCAGGTAGGAGGTGGGCGTCACGTACGACTTTCGCTTCAGCTCGTCGAAGAAACGAAGGGAGCCACGCTCCACAGACTGGTGGATTACCTTGAAAGTGTTCAGCACACCGTCCATGGTGACGCCGGCCAACTTGCTGCTCACTGCGTCCGGTCCCTCGCCGGCCATCTGCTGCTTTGCGACGTTGTACAGTGCCTCTGCCGGCCACTCCATAAACCAATCGATCGTACAACAGTTCACGAGTGCTGGTATTTTGGTGGAAAAAAAGTTTCAAATGAGCTCACAGCGGCAATGGTGCAGCTGCAAATGAACTAACTACGGAAGTGGTAAAAGACATTTCCAAAAAGAACGTGCATCGTTGCAGAATCATCATCATCATCATCATCATCGCATGCAGAAAGCAAGGCTTGCTACCTGGAAACATCAACAATCGCCTCGCAAAAGCATCTCCTAGTGGCGAGAAGGCCAAGACGACATGGAGATTCTTCTTGACCCGCTGGACGTAGCAGTTGAAGATGTTGGTCTTCGTCGGCGGAAGTCCTGCTTGCGATGCTAAAGCTTTGCAGGAGCCAACGATCTGGTCCATCTCTTCGGACGGGTACAAGTTGGGAACATCCCCGGAGTTCAGGATGTTGCTCATGGCCTCGATGAACTGTTCCTTCACGATTTGCGTATCGCAGAACAGGAAGGTGTTGGTCTGTGATAGATAAAGCGGTTTCCTTTTCGCTTCAAGAATCAGTATCAAAATCAATAATGCAAGTTCTTGTTCTGTAGCTCAAGGACAAGGAGCGATGAAATAAATAAGAACACGCAGCGGCCAGCACCGCACTAAACGCTTTACGCAATCGTACGACACAAGCACAAAAAATCTGTGCACAACAAAATCGACTTGAATTGTATGTACCTTATCCTGCACGCCGCACTTCTTCAGGATCGTCCTCAAGTCCTCCTTGAACTCGTTCCAGCCGTAGCCCTTGCCGACTTCAATCTGGAAAGTGGGGAAATCCCTGGTAAACGACGCTAAGCGCGTCAGAGACTGCCTCCCGGAACCACCGACACCGAGCAAGAGCGCGTTGCCGCTGGGCATTCCCAGCACGCGGCCGATGCGGCTCACGTGTTCGCAGGCGTCCGTGAACATCACCAGCGGCATCTGCAGACTGGCGATGTTGTTGTAGTCGTCGAGGTAGGACTCGATGATCTGTTTCATTTGGTCCATGTCCGGGATCTCCACGTAAAACCGCGGGTCGGCGCCGGGGATCATGAAGTCCCCGAAAACCAGCCGCTCCTTGTCGAAGATGTTTTCTTCCTTCACGCCGCCCTTGATGTCGGGAAGAAGCTCGATCAGGGTCTGTTTGAACCAGTCCTTGTCTTCGTGGTTGATGAACCGGTCGGAGAACACACGGAAGTTTTCGTGGAACCAGCACTTGATCACCATGGTCTGGTCATTCACCTTCTTGGGGTGCAGGTTGCTCACGCCCTGGAAGACCTTCCACGTGTCACGCAAGTTAAACACGTAGTGGCACTTCGCGGGGGTGGGAAGGAGCGTCTCGGTGACCATGTCGAAGATCTTCACGCTGCTCTTCACCAGCGGCTCGACCAGGGTCGGAATGCCGCCCTCGAAATTGGCGAGAAAATAGCCTAGAGTCGTTTTGAAGATCGACTCGATACTGCTCGCGGACAGGTCCGCGCACACCAGGGTGTTGTAGTGGCGACGTAACCGGTTGGTGGTCACAGTCTTACCGCCACCGGGCGGACCCATGCACGAGAGCCAGACAATGTCGATAATCTGCAGAAAAACAAGCTCCTTGCGGTTGTACCTGTCATGGCATGTAGGAAATAGAGCACATACAACTGAGTAAGAAGCCATTTGCGCGACCGGATCATGCGTGTGCCTACCCTGGTGTATCATGAAACGATGCAAAAAGTAGTAAGTACTTACGATATATGGCTTGCTGGCTATTCATTGTTCGGACATAATGAATAAGACAGCGAACTCAACAAGTACTTTTCACAGATGAAAACTGTGTACCATCCTCCGTGATCCATCCACATGCGGATGAGTTCGATCGGCGGCTGGGCGCCGTAGAACTCCTTTTGCGGCATGTTCAAGTCATCCACAAACAGGACCAGCTTCTTCCCGGCAGACGGGCCGTACACCCCGCGCCGTCTCTTTTCCAACTTGGAGTCGATCAGATCCTGGAACTGGTTCACCTGCGTCTGCGCGGAGAAGTTGATAAAGACGGACTGGATGAAGTCCGGCGCGTTCTTTTGCAGGTACTGGGCCATGAGGATGGACTTCCCGGTTCCCGTGTTCCCGGGAATCAGCACGTGCCTCTCGTTCTCGACCAGCCTGGACGCCGTGAACATCATGCGAATGGAGTCGGTCGTGGGCACGACGATTTTGTCGTACTCGGCGCGGGGCGGGATTTGAAATTTCGGCACGGTGTCGTCCCACTTCACCCACTTCTTCTTTTCCACGTCGTAACACATGTCGTAGATGTTGGTGCCCTCCTTCAGCGAGAACCCGGAGAGCTCCGCTGTGTGGGCGTTGATCAACCCCCAAGCTTCCTCCGAGAAGTGCGGCCGGGTGGCGGCCGTGATGGACCCGCCCAGGCCCCAGGCCAGGCAGAAGACGAAGATGTTCGGGAAGATGGTGCTGGCGAAATCCTCGATTTCCGCATCGGTTGGCGTTTTCGCTTCGGTGACCTCGTAGTCAACCAGGAAGGTGGCAAAGAGCCGCCAGAACGCGTAAACCACTTGGTTCGTCTCCGTGCCCGACGGCTCGGCGCACTTCTTGTAAATGCATCGGATGAGGGGCATGTGGAAGTTTGTCAACAGGCTCGCGAACTTCTCGCGCACGTTGTTTCCGATCAGCTTCGGGAAGTTCGGCTTCATGGAGTCGATCAGCGGTTGCGTACCCAGTGCGACCGGCTCCATGTAGACCATGCCGCACCGGGACACGGTGGCCGGGGAGGCAACGGAGAGATCCTCGACCTCGAACTGGATGCGCATAAAGGGGGTGAGCGAGATGATTTCACCCGAAGTTAGGCAAAGCTTTTTGTTGTCATCCAGCACGGTGTTCATCGACTCGATCCAGAGCGCGTCGACCGGCCCGTCGAACATGATCCATTGGTTATCATCGCTTCCCGCCTTCCCCGCTTTCACGGCGATCCTGACTTCCTCGGCCGCGATGCCGTCGCTCCACTCGTGCGTGACCTCATCGAACGCCCCGTAGAGTTGCGTTTGCGTGATGGCCTTCGGGTTGATGATGTAGATGTTGGTCACTTTGAAGTAATCCTCGTTGGTTGTCGGGGCGAGCTGCGTCAAACTGTGCGCCAGCACGCGGTAGTTCTGCGTTTTCCCGGCCCAGGTGGGCCCGACGATCATCATACCGTGGCGGACGCGGATCGTATCCATCAACTGGATAATCTTCTCGATGAACCACGCCGTCGGCTGCAGGTTGAAGACCTGCTTGCAAGTCTTCTCCAACTCGGTGAAAAGATCCCCGTAGTCCACGACGGGCCGGGGCGTGTCCGGAAACAAATCACTGATGATGTTCTCGAACAGCGGCAAATCGTCTTTGAGAAACTTCGGCACGTTCACGTCCCTGAGTGCGCGCAGCTCGATCTGACTCTCGTCCATGTCGCCGAAGTTCTTCTTCAACAAACCGCATGCCTCGATACTCGTCTTCACGGCACGCATCCCGTAATCGTAGTGGTCCTGCGAGGAGAGCTGTTCCGAGGAAAGTTTGAAGGTGTACACCATCTTTCGTGCCAGCAAGCGCGCCGCGTCGAACCCGAAGGCGTAGAGCATAATCTCCGCGATCAGGCCGTAATCCGGCACCATCATTGCCATGGGGCGGAACAAAGCCGCGAGATTGTCGGGGAGCTCGGTACGCCCGGCGTAACCGGGGTTCATCGTGATAAACACGTTGAACGTTGGGTACATCTGGATCATGCTGCCCTCGAAGTCCAACTCCTTGGTGTCACTGTAACTGGCCAGCTCGGACTTCGCGCCGAAGAGGATCAGCAGTTGCTGGGCGATCACCGACAGCACCTCGATGTAGATTCGGTTGAACTCATCGAAGCAGCACCAGGCACCACAAGAAGCAAGTCCCTTGAAGAATTTCCCGACCATAATGTAGTCCATCTCCGGACTGCAGTTGAACACCACACACTGCTTCGCCAGTGCTTTCGCCAAATCCTGTTGGTGATTTTCGGCAAATTCTTCAAATGATTTTCGTGCAGACGAGCACGAGATGATGAAGCTACTGTTTTGATCAAACAAATCAAAATTTCGGGCGTATAGATATAGTCCTACAAATGAAAGTACTTAACAGAGAACATGGTGATACCTTCGTCGTCTCCGTCTTCCCGGTACCGGCCGGCCCAGCGGGGGCGCCACCCAAGTTCAACGATTGCGCACCCATCAAAGTGATGTAGCACATATCGGTGAGGGGCGTGATCACCAACCTAAACGAGTTACCCAGGTATTCGTAGCCATAGGGGAACTCGGTCTGCACACACTTCACCCACAAGTTACTTCTGTTCTGCGACGTCTCGTAGCCGGCGTGCTCCTCGTTATGCTCCCAGTAGTACCGCAACTGCGAAATCCACTCGAACGCCTCCTCGTCGTTCACCCCCTCCTCGACGAACTTTTCCACCACGTCCTTTGCGTGCACATCCAGCACGACCAGCGCCCCGATGGAGGTGCGTTGCGCTTTCGTCAAGCCGCCACGAACCAGGAAGACGAGGTCCAAGATTTGCTTGCCCAGATTCGCCGCGTGTTGCGCCACCGTGCCCTCCCCGAACGACTCTTCGGTTTCGTCCGTCCAGTACACCTGCGAGCCGTTCAGCACCGTCTGCGCGGCGTGCTGCAGCACCCACTCCTTCCGGGGGGTCTCCGGGTAGGTCATCACGGCGTTCTCCATGGCTTTCCTCACGGCTTCCTTCATGTTGAACTCCACCTCCGTCATCCAGGCCTCCACGGGCTTCTCCCGAGTGGCCATCGGCTCGACGAAGGGCACCACCTCCCCGTCCGTGGATTTCATGGCGGTGATGTCCAAATCCTCCGTGAAGTTGACCGACCCCATGGCTTCGAACACCTTGCACAGAAACGGTTGGACCCGGGTGGGGTCTTTCGTTTGCGACAGAATCTCCAACAGCTCGTCGTTGGAGAGGAAGTAGAAGCGAGCGAACAGGGAGCGCTTCATTTCCAGGTAATCCTCTAAGCCCTTCTGCACCAAATCCAGCATCGTGTTGGACGTGATCCACGTGTCTCGCAAAGCTTCGTCAGCACAAATTTCGATCACCTGTCGTTATATTTTTGATGTGCGAATAATTTTCCAATCTATTACATCTATGTCTGCTAGTCGTTGTATGGCTATGGGGCTGCGTGCAGGTTTTGAACGAGAAGCTTCCAGGGCTATCTTTTGCAAACTTTTTCAAAGCGATCGCATGCCTATCGAATCAGCCGAGACCTTTGAAAAGTCACAATCAGGAGGTATACAAACTCTTATGCCAGTACCTTCGGATTAGCGTGCGCTGCGTTCATGGCCCTGCGCCACTGCGCGTCGACCTGCTTAAAGCGCTTTCCCTCGGCAGGGAGCTGCTTCATGATGTCTTCGGAGTCAAAGATGGGCTGCAGGTACATCCAGGATCTCTGCACCTTCAACCACATATCCAGCGTTTCGGACACGAGCATCAATTTGTTTGCCCACTCGTCGATTTCCTCCTCGAATGGCTTTTTGAAGATACTGAACTGCATCGCCTGCGTCATGACAATGTGTTCGTCGAGCAGCGCGAGTGCCTCGTCCGCACCCTTGAGAATGTACGTTCCCGTATTCCGGTACGGACTGGACAAGTCGAACACCACCGGCTCCCAGTCCGCCTTCATGGCGGCCAGAGACTTCTCCAGCGAAAACTCCTTCCCCGCCCGGTCGCCGATGGACTCGATGTCCTCGATGAAGTCGCGCAGCCCCATGCTCAGGAACGACTCCAAGCAGAAGCCCTTCATCGCGGGACTGACGCTCACCTCCTTCTCCGTGCGCTCCGTGACCATGTCGGAGATCTGTTTCCAGTGGCGGTCGCGCATCCCCGGGTTGCGGAGCCCGATGATGAGCGGGAGGTTGGGTCGGAACTCCTCCAGCTCCTTCTTGATTTGGTCGGCGATGGAGACTATCCTGTGCAAAAGTATCGTATTCGTACTAATTGCAATTGCAAATATGCATTACAAATCTTTTTGCTAAGGCAAATCCGCATTACAGATTTAATTTGTAATGCTAAGTCAATTTGTAATGCAATTTATACTAGTACGATACTTTTGCAATGCATAGAGATGATGCCGGACAATTCGAGCACCTGTTCGGGAAACGGCTCCTCCGGGTGCTCCATGCTCCACTCCTGCATCTCCTATTACAATGAAAAATGCCCCCACCCCGGAATTTGCGACAGTTTCTCATGCAAAGTTTCCAAATGAAAGCTTTTTGTCTTGCATGAAAGGACTACGAGCCTCTCTGGTGCAGAATGTCGGCGCGCAAGGTATCTTTTGCATAAACAGATCTGGCTGCTGTTGGGCTCCTCTGCAACACAAATTGGAGGTATTCAGCATGGTAATAAATTTGTGATGCTGATAGATGCAAGACGGGGAATGCTTCCATTGGAAAGGTTTGCAAGACAAAAAATGCTGCCAAATTCGGGGTGGGGGCATTTTTCATTGCAATATCTCCTCCTTCTGCTTCTGTTCCAGTGTCTGAAACATGCGGACCGTCTTGAACATCAACTTGATGCCGCTCATCACCTCGTCCTCGGCCTTCTTTGAGTCGATCTCATCGAAATCGCCGAACATCCACTTCTTTTTGTTGTCGACCCAGTCGCCCGCGGTCTTCCACAGGTTCTGGTAGGGCTCGAACTGCTTAATCAGCTCGCCGAGCGAGGAGTAGTCCGTGGGCTCGGCGTTGGGGTCGAACAGCAACTCCCGGGCGTTGAACTGCTTCGTGTTCTCGAGCGATTCCTCGAAGTGCGTAGAAATCTCCCGGGTTTTCGCCGCTACGAAGTCCACCATCGACAAGCTGTCGTATTTCGTGAACTCGGACACTTCCTGCTTCAGCCTGACGAACAGCTTTTCGTAGGCTTCCTGCTCCCCCTTGTTGGCGCCGAGGAATTCCTATCCTGTGCAAAACAAGTATCGTATTCGTATAAATGCAAGTCTTCGCTCGCTCGTTCGTGTGGATCGGCTCTGCCGACCGGGTAACCCGCCATCGCCTTGCATATAAATGACCGACATAGACGAACCCCGTTGCGGGACATACATATGGCCGTACGGAAGGGCCCTACGCGCTACATACATAGTTCACCCTAGCGCCGACCACTTCGGTCGGGGCTGAGTCAGCCTGGTCCTGGGGGTTCACAGCGCACTAGCCCTCTGCTAGCATAAACAGACTGGGTTCTACAAACTGATCTAACTTCTCATAACAGTGAGGCCATCATAAAGGTGCGCGAAAACGGGTTCGGGGCGCTCCATACGGAAGGGAGCTTTTCGACGCGGCGCACACTCTCCTGTAGAGGTTTACGCGGAACACGGATGGGCCGCGCACGCAACTCAGTCGAGGAGGACACACGCTCCCTCAGTAACAGAGGTGGTAGTCACTCACGGCGGCTGGCCTGTCAAGTCTTGCATTACAAATTTTTTTCTGAAGGTGAAGGCAAATCCGCATTACAAATTTTCCGTCTCATGCTGAGGAAATTTGTAATGCATTTATACGAGTACGATACTTTTGCAGTTCATAATTCCCGGCGCTGGAACTCCAGCTTCTCGGTCACCTCCTCCACTAGCCGGCCGACGTCCCCGGGGGAAGCGTACATGCGCCACTTCTTGTCCGACACGTCGCGCGTGATTTTGTAGCCGTACTTCGTTTCCAGCAGGTCGCAGAGCGCCAGGTTGTCCTTGATCTGCACCTCGAGCTTCTTCACTTCTGCATCTAAAGATTTGATGTATTCCTGCTGCTCCACCAGTTCCGCGATGTTGAATACCGGTTCGCGTAAGTTTTTGAACATGTCCGCGAACTGGTTCGTCGCTGACTCCAGCAAGATGCCGAGCTTCACGTCGGCCAGGAACTTCAGGTAGAGCTTTGCCAGTCGCTCCAGTTTGTCTTTTAGCTGCTTCTTGAAGTCCATGCACTCCACCTGCACCATCCCGACGTAGATTTTATCCGGGATGGTTTCCTCGATCTGGTTGATTTTGGTTCTTTGCAAGTCGACCAACTTCTGGATCTCCGCGACCGGTAAAGAGTCCGGCCCCTCGGTTTTGAACTTCTGCTCCAGTTCTTGAATTTTCTTCTCCGGATCGAGGTTGATGGTATCCAAATACTGCTCGAAGAACGCCACTGTGGACTCCAACCAGGGCAGATGCTTGTCCATCGTGGCCTTGATGCTTTTCCTTAAGTCCTGGACCCACTTCTCGTTCTCCGCAAACCCCTTTTGCAGAAAACCCTCGCCGGCGGGGAAGAGGTGGGGGAGGATGAGGAGCTGGATCGAGCTCACCCCGTCGAGCTGCTTCACACCCTTGTCGAACAAATGGCAGAGCATGTTCATGATGCTCATGGGCTTCACGTCGTAGCTGTAGGGCTTCAAATCCTCCTCTTCCGCAGCGTCGCCGCCCTCCTCCAGGGCGTAGGACTGCCTGCGGTTCCTGATAGCGGACCCCTTGGATTTGTTCTTGCTCCCCTTCGCGAGCTCGCCGAGGCTCATGACTTTGGACCCGGCCTTCCTGAGCGCGTTGCTCAAGCTGGACCTCCTGGCTGGCGCCTCCTTGCTGTTGCTCTTTTGCTGCGCAGCCATTTCGGCCTTCACTTTCTCCAATACACCGGTCGTTGCCGTCTTTTTCTCGAAGGTGAGGATCATCTTCAGCTTGAAGAGCACGACCGGCTTCACTGCGTCGGCGTTAGCGCGCGTGCGAATGGTCTTGACGTCCTTCAGGGAATTCACGACAACCTTCTCTGGCATGTATAACCGTAGTAGGCGCTCAAAATAGTGCAGCGACTTCACACCTAATGTGTGTATCGTATCCTGCAGTCGCAGGTCGATTTCTTCCAAGAAGCACCTGAGCCGACTGTTCCTGTATTTGTTCAGATCCGTCTCGTAGAGGTTGAACCACTTCTGTTCCACGGAGTTCAGGTGTCGGTACACGTGTGCGCGCACGTTGGGGACGAACTTCTGCGTCAGATACTGCATCTGCGCAATGTGATCTGATTCGTTAGACAGAAATTCGTTGGGCGCCCAGGGCTCGTGCATGATGTCCACCTCCGCGAGCCTCTTGATCGCGTTCACATCCTTCCCCGCGACGTAGTTTGTTCGGAACACCGACTTGTTCAGCACCGCTTGGCACTCCTGTTGCACGTCGGACATGCAGGCCACGACCTCGGGGCGAATCCGCAGCGAGGATTTGCAAAAGGCCGAGAACGTTGTCCTAAAATCGACCTTGATCGGCATCCCCCTTTCGGGCTCGCCGATGCTGCTCTGCTGCGTCTGGTCTTGGACAAAAGTCCCCAGTTCTTTTACGCCCTTGAATGGCACCGGTGGTGGTGGTTCCTTCGGGGGTAGTTCCAATTCGTTGAGCAAGTCCAGGTCCTGGCTGTTGCTCTTGCCCGCGCCGCTCTTGCTACTCTGCGCGAGCACCACGTCGTCAAAGATGATTTTGTTCATCGACCTGGCGTAGTCCGCGCTCACCTCCTCGCAGAGGCCGTGGATGGGCAACTCCGCCCGGTCCTCCTGCAGTTCCTTCGTGTTGCAGGCGGTGTTGGCAATTCGGTCCAAGACGTGTGGTGGACAGGAGAACGCGGGGGCGCCGCCTGTCGTGGAGATGCTGGTCTGGCCGTTGACGGGCACGACGCTGCTACTCGACGTCGGCATGTTGTCCACACAGAAATGGTACTTCAGCAATGATTCTGCGTACCGTCTCCTCTGGTGGCAGCTGGCCACGCGGCTGCAGTACTTCGCGACGTCCTCCCCCTCGAAGCAGACGTGCAGCGGCTCCATTTTTTGCGGCTTGCTGTCCGCGTCGGAAAGCCACTGCACATAGAAGCAGTTCCCCTCCGGGTCGTAGTCCACGACCACGCAAGCCTCGTATTTTCTACTCCCATTCGACTTCGTCTGCAGCGCGTACGCCTTCAACGGAAAGCCGCACTTTTTCCACTCGCTGGGCAGGCGGAAAATCAGCGTTTGGTCGTCGTAGACGTGCAAGGGGAGCAGGATCTGTCTCTCCCAGTCCGGGTCCTGGTACTGCACATTGTACTGCTCGGAGAGAAACTGGTCGATGCTGCCCACATCTTTCACCGTCAAGATTTTCGGTGGTACTCGCGTGACCTCGATCCCGGCTTTCACCCCGTCCCTTCGCAGCTGCTCCTTCGTGTATTTCAACGAAGAGGTGGAGGAGGACGAGGGTGCATAGCCGCTCCGGCTCGCGCTGCTTGTTTGCTGCTCGAGCTTGGACCAGTCCGGCTTCACGGTGCGGAGCGACTCCGTGCTGTTCGCAGTCTCCAGGTAGCGGTTACTATACGTGGGCCGCATTTTTTCGTCGCTGCGCTGCGAGAGTGCGTGACCGTCGTGGAGCCGCGCCCCAGGGTTTTATATCTGCAGTGCAGGCATCAATATTTGGCTATTCTATCCATGTTCAACAAGACGAACTACTGTGCCCCTGCGTGGTTCTATATCTTCGCTAAACAATTCGCTCTCACAAAAAAAAGCCCCCCATCTGCCTAATTTTTTTTGATGATTTTCTATGATGAAAGTAGTTTTTTGCATAACTATACGATTCTTGCAGTTTGTGTAGGACGTCAACACGATACGAGACTCACTTCCAACTCTTTTTGATACAACCTCACGAGTTCTGCACTCAATGAACTTATTTCACTTAGTAGTACCACGAAAACGATCAAAATTGAGGAGTGCGTCTCCAGCCTGAACTACAGTTCGACTTCGACGAAACATTATGTGCATAGGAGAATTTAGCTCGCTTCAATGACGACTCTCAGACGAATTGCTTTCCTTCTTTTTCTTGGGTACTAGGCAGGTTCCCCACGGAGGAGCCGGCACCGATAATATACCGACTCCAGACGAGAAAATCCTACTGACGACTCCAGGAGCATAAGTGCAGGTGCACACGAAAATTGCACTTCTTCATATCTACGATGAAGCCTATCCCTACGGGCTTCCGAACAACATTTTTTTTTTCGAGTTTCTCGATTTGCAAGAACAAAGTCTCGCTTTCCTCAATTGTTCATTGTTGTTGCCGCTGCTCACCAGCATTCTCAAAAGACTCGTGATCTGCGCTGTGTTATTGTCGTTCGAACAAATTTGGAAAAAATTCCGTTTGTTCGATGCGCCAGTGCACTGACTTACTCGCATGAAAGACTCGTAGATGATCTTCATGGTATCGAATACACCGAGAAGTTCTTGCTCTCAGATAAGGCTTTGCCATGCTTTCCAAACGGAACGCATTCCGTTTTCGCGTCCGGACACCAACAGCTGCCATTGCGGCCCTCGGGGCAGAAACAGCTGGGGTCCTCCGTGTATCCGAGTGTTGTCCTGTTTGGCGGCCGAGTACGAAAGCACTGCCACCTTGCGTCGCGGGATAGAGCCGTGTTGGGAATCCGTACCCCAGTGCCGATAGCTTCGATCTGCTGACAAACCATGTGTGCCCGCGTGTCCACGAGACCGGAGAGGCCTAGCACCTGAAAGTCAAAATGGACGAGTCAGACTAAGTTCAGCTCGAAATAAATGTGCGCACACTGTAAACTTTTTTTCGTTTGCGTTTGGTGAAGCAGCAAGACCAAAAAGGAACAAACTCAGTGACAAATGCGCATGCTCGTCATCAATCTACCGCTCTAAAAGCGCAACGATACCTCCGTGCAGCACTTGTGCCACTTCCCGGTGGCGGTCTTGTAAAGGTAGGTTTTTTCCACACAATTTTCGGGCAACTGCGGCACGTCACGCCGTTGAATATCGAACCGGCGCTGCAAGTACGGACACTCCGGCTCCAGTGGCGGGGGGAGTGCGTATTTGGTTGCAGTGATGAAATCTCGAATCTGGTACGCGGAGTCGCAGTTCAGAAAAAACGACGTCTTCAGCGACATTGTGGTCATATGTGCTGGTGGCCCTGCTGCGCACTGGTAAGGAAGAGTGTAGTCGTCATGATCTTGTTTCCCAAACTAAATTCCAATTCGAGGGACGAATTATCAGGCCATCTGCCGCAGTCGCTTTCTTTGTACCGTTGCTACGATAATTTCGCATCTGGTTGTGACGAGTACAATCAGTTCGATCGGTAGTACGCCGATGACAACTCCCGATCACCAAAATCCAAAACGACTACCACGAGAATCTTCAACGCGATTGCGACTGCAGCAACGAGGCACGACGACGATTACCATCAAAATAAATACGATCGTATTTCTCTTCCGATCATCCGACGAAAAGCCGATCTGCAACGACATCGACAGCTGCCCTTGCGCCACTTCCCCTACCGTCTTAGTTCTTACTCGGGCTGCGATAGTTCTATGAGTACGCGATTCTTGAACGCTCGAAAGTCTTCTGCGTAGGACTGTAACCGCGCTGAGCTCTCTTGCATCAGCTGCCCACGTATTGACTGATTGCTCGTCGCAGTAGTACCGGACCGAGCGGGGGGACTGAAGCTTTGATCCTCTCTTTCGAGCGAGCGATACATGTTGTCAAGGGTGTTCTCGCAGAACCACCGTGGCATGTGCGCGAACCCCAGTTGCGCCTTTGCGGCTGGGTAGCCGGAAATTTTGATCTTTCGCAGGCCAAGCAGCATGTTCATATTCCACGGATCCTTTTTCCCGTCCTTCATGTCGAGCCGCAGGAACCACACTCCGGACGGAGGTAGAACGCTGTCCAAAACACGAAAGTCTACATTTTCCACGACTGACCACTCGTTGCACTGGTTTCTGGTTTCATCGATCAGCGTGGCGCTCGCCGACGAGGCGATCGGGATGAAATCCGGATCTCTCGGCGTTACCGGAGCGTTGTCCTTATTCGACACCATCCCAGCTACGGACAGTGTCCAGTCCCGTGCACGGGAAAACCCCCACCACTTGATGGCAATTCCGCTACAGGAAAACTTCCACCCCTGCTTGAAGGTGAAGAGCAAAGAGCAACTGTTGTCCATCGTCATAAACTCAGAATCGGTGCCGTCGAAAAGGTCGAGAGGTTTGCCACGCGTCCTCGCCGCGTCGATTTTTGTCTTGGACGACGTACTGTAGTCCTTGAAGCAGACGCCAGAGGCAAAGTCGGTGCTTTGCAAGAAGTCCAGAGCAGCCCCGGATTCTTGGCCTCGTTTTTCTCGCTGCAACTCCTGCATCGCGGCGAGTTGTGGCTTGTAGTAGCGATCGTAAAGTTTCTGGCCGAAGTGCAGGCTTTCCTCGGAGTCGATGGCGGGCAGTATGCGCGTGAAGAATTCGGCGTACAGGAGCCAAGCGTAGTAGTTTGCAGGGCAGAGAAGCACACTTCGTATCACGGCGTCGAACACTTTTTCCAACGTTGCCCTCTTCTTGTTCAGCGGGTAGGGCCGGCGGTTCGAATTTGTGCGAAATTGCAATTTGATGGAACTGCCACTGTTTCCCAACATTATCTCGAAACCTGTCTTCAGGCTCCAAAGCGCCAGGGCACGGCAATTCTCGCTTTGCAAGTACGCATCGGGCGTCGCCACGCACCAGTCCAGCACCTGCATACGCCACGGCGCGACATCGTCTCGTGGTCGGTTGTTCAGCTTGGGTAAAACCAAAGCAACCACGGTGCACTGCTTCGACCGCCCTCCGGTTTGCTCGCGCCAAGTCAGGTGCGCGTTGTCGTGGCGGGTTGTTTCCAAGCGGCTCGAGTTCCCGTTCCGCAAACACCAAAAGAATTTGCTGTTGGAAGTAGATCCTGCTGATGCTACGGCAGTGCCTAAACTAGTAGCTTCCTTGAGCGCCAAAAAAGCGCAGTGGCCTGGCTGCGCCACGCAAACTGCAGGCACGCCGAAGGATTGCGCTAATCCGGTGCCTACCCGGGAGACGGTACCGCACACACCACCCGTTTCGCACATGTTCTGTAAGGTGACGGGGCGATTGTGGTAGAAAGCCGCCCAGCTGACGTGAATGTTTTTCCCCTCTCGGTTGTCCGCTCGGTACTCGCACATCTTGTACGTAGCCTCGCCGATCCAATTCTTTGAGTCTTTGTCCACATGGTCCTTGGCCGGCTGAAACCGACACTTCTGCTTTGTCGTGTCTACTTTCTGGAAGAAGTTAGGCGGAACATTTTCCCGGGCCCAGGAAAACTCCGGGCCGGCGCACCAGGTGGCAACGACGTACTTCAGCTGAGCGCAGGTCAACTTTTCTGCGAACGCAGGAAAAAACTTTTTTTCCGGGGTGGTCGTGAAGTAGAAAAATCGTTCCACCGGATTGATTCCGGCATTGTCAGCCATGAAGCGAAAATTGCAGTCGTGCCGAACTTTCAGATTCGGATTCGAAAGTGGTTTCATGATGTTCTCGACCAACAACTGCTTCAGAAGCGCAGCTAGGTCAGGATCTGCCGCGGCCGTTTGATTTCTATCCTTAGAGGCACTTCTTCCAACCTTAGTCGAACCAACAGCAAGCATGTCACTAGGCACGCGCAGTAAGAATTCCTTTTCCTGAAAAGCCGCACTGTCCTCGTGTGTCGGGATGTAGTCACTCCCCACAAGTCCCCCAAGTCCACTCACAAGCCCAGTCCAAATCCCGTTTGCGTACCCAGAAAACGTGTCCACTTTAGCGTTCGGGCTGTTGCGTGGTGAAGCTACAGTCGGCTTTGTCGGGGAGCTTGCCAAGGATTGATTTTTGCTTGTTTCCGTCACCGGAATTTCGATTTCCATTTCTGCAAAAATCAGCGCACACGCAACAGCTACCTTCGCTTCGAAAGCGCTCTTTTGAAAGGGGTGCTGTTGCCAGATGCGCGCAAAGGATGTTTGTCCGTCGTTGAGGTTATTCGGAGAGCAGCTGGACGCACTACTATCCCCGCTCATCTGAAGGCGCTCGAGGAAAAACCTGGCTAAGAGGATCAGAGTCATGCTCCAGCGCTGTTGCTCCGTCAGTTTTGCGTTCAGATCTGTCCCGGGTTCGCCGCTCGTTAACAAGAGCTGAAGCAAAGACGGAGACGCTGGCGCCAGAGAACTCGACGCATCTTGTACCGCTTTGTCTGCAAGAATTAACAACGCCGCAACGCTCAGATCTACCGGGAGGGCTGCGATGCTGTCAGGTAAGTAGATGGCTAGCCTCGAATCTTTGTCGGTCATCACGCGAAGGTAGCCGAGCTTCCAAAGCAGGTTCGCGTTGGTGAGCTTTTTCATGTCTGATGCACTGCCGTGCTCACACGACTCAACTTCGCGAGGAATGGAGTCGTAGAGTTGAGAGAGAAGCTGTTCTTCATATGGTCTCAGCTTGCTGCCCCGCGGAGTAGCAGGGGCGCTGCCCTTATCGCCAGCCATGATAAAACTTTAGCAGATCGATTTTCCACAGCGATTGCAAAGTTCACGAAACTTAAGGCAAACGTCGAAAGTTAAAGAGGAGATGCATTACGGAACAGCCTACTTACAAAAGTGCTGACAGTGTTTATGCAGGAGAAGCGGGAAGATAAATATGGGAGAAAGTCAAAAAAAAAAGTGAGGTAGCAGATAGACGATTGGGTATTGGGTTTGGGTTACTGCACGTGTATAGCTCACGATTTTGAAAACAAATTCTATTCCTCAACAGAAATTGACCGACTGCCGATTGACCCATTCGTTTAAACTCTTTCACAGACCGATTCGCAAATGAATATGAACCGATACTTTACAATGCTGAATCTTGCTCATACCTGGGTGCCCGGCTCAGTCAGGATGGTCTCGATATTTCCTCGTGACTAAGAATCAGTATCCCCCTGTCAGGGGGATACTGATTCTACAGAATCAGAAACAGAACGTGCACACACATTGAGCTTGCCAATAACGCAACACCGAACTTCCAGCACAAGCGGAAGACATGTGCAAAGAAGTAGTTTTTCAATGTGCCGCGTTTTCGTCTTGGTTGTTGTGCTTTATTCTCTGTACAAAGCTATATCGCTATTGTGACCGTGGTCTTTCGAATTCGGTGTGTGAGTAGCGCAAGAAACCGGTCCAGCACCGGAGCCGCGAGGTGATCGTAATGCTGTGCGGCAGTTTTTAGAATCACGCGAACCACGTCTTCCTGCTCTACGCCGAAAGACTCCATTTGGAGCGCGAGAGTAACCTGTGTTTGCATCAAGATCACAGTTCTGCTCTTGGAGAATACCACCTCAAAGAAGGGACTTGCTGAATCTCGATTATTCTTCTAAACGCATGCAATTCAAATATTTTTTCGAAAGGAATTTCCGTTATCAAAAAATGCCCTATGAATGTATACCACATCTTCGAGAATCGCTGGGCAGCTCTCCCACGGGTCTTCAGCACTTCTCTCTTGCACAGTGTCCGTGTCGTCCGCAGGCGTAGAAACAGCTTTCAACGACACAAATAAGCCGTTGTTTGATGCAGTATTTTTCTCCTCAGCGTGTCTTTTCGCAAACCACACTGCTCTCGCGTACTTTTGCCATGCGTCGCTGATCACCATCGCGGCCATCTCTTCCCAAAATGCCTCTTTGCTCCACAACGGCGCGTGGAATATCGCTTCTTGCACCCGGGTTCTCCTCCTCTTCGTCTCTATTCTGCCTTCCAGCACGGGGACAAAGACGTCGATGTGGCGAGAAAGGTTGACGACATTAACCGCGAGCGCCGTGTCTATTGTTTTTGCTGCGTCAATCTGGTCGGTGGCCTGCTGAAAGATTGTGATCAGGAACTCCGATGGGGTTTTCGGAACTTCTTTTGTCGCAACAGCACCAGTACTGGTTGGCGATCTCGCGAGATCTGATGTCGCAGGCTGCGACAGGACATCAGGCAGTCCGGGATCGTGCGTCGCAAAAGCCCCGTAATCCAGAGCGCCGGGACTTTGTTGCTTAGCGTCTCCTTCTTCTTCTAGATCTGCGACTGACCAGCAAGGCATCTTTTCCTGCAGCAAAATCTCCTCCCGCAGCATTCCGAAAAATGCTCGACGAAGACCCGCGCTATTCCGCATGGCAGCCTGCAACATAGAAAACTTCTCCGAATCGAAACTGCTTTTCGTTTTCGGCGAGGCCGCATTTATTGATGTGTCATCTCGGGTGGAGAACAACATCTCAAAGCAGGCCGCAAGCAGCTGCGCGTTTTTCGTGTCTTTCTTGGCAGCCTCGTCATGGGTCGCGTTCTGCGGAGACGTGGAAGCAACAATATCGCTGGTCGCAAGAAGTCCGGAAAGGCTGTCTTGATCTTGCACCAGCGCGCGATAAGGAACAAACCTGAAGTCCCGCTTTGTCGCGGCCAGGTATGCGCCAGGATTTACTGTTGCGCTGGGCGCGCTCGACGGTGATGACGGGTGGAGGGTCTGGCCAGTTTTAATATTGTTGTTTTTCTCCCTGTCGTGCTGGTCTTTTATGAACTTTTGCAGATCGCCGGCCGGGTTCACGTCTTCGCAGCACTTGAATATCGTTTCGATATCATACTGCAGATTCCGCACGTAGCTGGTCTCATACACCATGAGCTTCATGCTGGCATCGCGGAAGCACTGCAGCTTTTTCTCTTCCATGTCCTGCAGCGCGTCCAAGATAGCGTTCATCTGCAGAAAGTACATGTCCTCTGCCTGCGAAGCTTCGACGGCCACACGCTTGAACTCGTCTTCGAAAATGAAGGCACGCTTTATCGCGTCGAACAAACTGCTCTGCTGGGCGTTTCGCTTCGCCGCCTGCGCATCGCTGTCGGTGTCGTCGGGCGAAGGTGCTGCAGTGAAAAGTGGAGGGGGGCTCCCCGACGTGGATGCGGAGAAGTAGTTCCCCAAACCAGAATGATTCAGACTTTGCCTGTGTTTCAGAAACAATTTTTCCGCGTTCCTGCTGGTCTCCTTAAACTTTTCGCGCAGAATGTCGTAATTGTGGTGCTTTGCTATGCGTAACTTTGTAACTCTGGCTGCGTCGACCGACATGTTTTGATGCACAATGTGATGCTGCTGCAGCATGCTCTGCAGCATCAGCCCGACGTCCGTGCGGATCTGATCCGCGAGCGCCGTCCCCTGGTCCGCACGGTTCGCGAGCAGCGAGCGTATGGCGTCGTAGGCTTCCTCTATCGAGCTGATGCCAGCGTTAGGTGGAGACGACATTTCCGTTGTGCTAGTGCCACCGGCTGTTGAGGACAAAGATACAGCTCCACCTTGGTCGGTCGTTGGCGTTGTTCCGGTCTTGGTCCTGGAATTTGCAACGAGAGTGCTCAATTCTTTTGCGTACCGGTCTTCCATGTCCGCCACTTTTTGCATCAGGCTCGCGAAGTCTTCTAGAGTCTGACGAGTGTGGTTCCGCTTCAGTAACGTGTTTGCGTGCGCAAACATGTGCTTTCGGAAGCTGTAACTTGTCCGCTTGGCTCTCTGTCCCTCGTGCTCTCCGCCAATCTCCCCATTGGATAAGAAAGGTTCGCTACTGCTGGACTCTTTCGAGTCCCGCGGGGAGGATATGCTAAACTCCTGCGCCATTTTTTTTTGCTCGTGCTCGTTCTAGTATGTGTGCGTAAAGAGTAAAGCCATCGCGTTGAGACGGTATACTTGGTCGGAGACAGAGACGAAAAATCTTGTCCACAAACTCGAACCTGGAATGTGAAAGTCTTCTAGATCTAGACTTCAGATCTTTACTCTTACCCGTGCAAGCGACACAAATGCGCCGCGTGTATAAGATCGTGCTTCGGCGACCTTCAGTCGAACTTGCAGATGGAGTCTGAGCGTAGACCTACTGCACAGAAATGAAAATCACACGCAATGAAGAAGCCGGAGCTGCGCCACGATTGCATTCGATCCCCCATCGTTTCTTGCGAAAATAGATCGGCAGTCTGCGATGAAACGACTGCGATGACAGAGATCCGATCACCATGCATCACCATCATCTCGCGGATCGTAAAAATAAATAAGCACCAACTGCAAGAATAGAAACCGGTGAAATTTCGACGAACACAAAGAATACAGACCCATTGGGCGGACACGAATGCAGCTGGCAACAATCGTCCACGAGAAGGGGAAGCATGTCTTCAGAACTACTTTCCCACGTCTTTGCCTGCAAGGGGCGCAGGCTTGTACAAACCTTGTCAAACAAAAAACTATACAATGTCCCTGTGATTCAACAAGCTGCCAAGACATATATATTGCCCAGGATCTGATCATTCCCATTGTGAATTCTAACTAACAGCAAATGTTTCATCCGGGGTTCTTGCACTTTGAATCCAAAACCTTACCAGAATCGGTGTGACAACGAAGTCCGTCTAAAAAAAAGCAAAAAGCGTGATATTTGAAATTGGTGTTTGTAAGTAAGACAGTTTTGTTCCTTCTAGCGGTAGCGGTGGAGCCCGACCACCATATGGAAAAGCAAAAGCGTGCTGTGCGAACTTTCACATTAGCACTGTTTCATGCACTGTAGGTCATTGCGACTGCGGTGGTGGCGCGTTTTGAGCAGCATCTGGTGGAGGTGGAGTTTCGGCGCCGTTGTGCCAGAAAAAATAGTAGCCGAGCAGCAGTGCGAGTACTACGGCGCCTCCGATCATGATCGATACCTTGGTGTCTTTCCACCAGAAATACTCGCGCACTTCGCGGCTCTTCTCCTTGTATTCCATCGCAGTTACTTCCATCGCCTGCGGTTTATTTCATTTTCATCTTGATACAATGCCTCGCTACTTTTAACAGTACGTAGCCACAACTGCAGCATCATGCTGTTCCCATAACTGTACAAAAAGTAGCCGAGAATAAACAAAATTGAAATTCAAATAGATACTTCAGCGTCTTCCTGAAGGTTGTCGAGCCGCTCTGTATTTTGTATCACTTCTCGTATGTTTTCTTTGAGCAATCCCTTGACCCCCTCGGTTTTCTGCTGCATCCGCGCGAGCTTGTCCACTTCTTCGGGCCGCTCGTACCTGTCGAGGAGTCTGCGCAGCTCGAGCTGGACTTTTTCGTTGTTGAGAGAGTTCTTTTCGGTGAAATCGTCGTCTATCGCGTAGTTTGCTTCGATGAAACGCGACAACTCCGTGAGCAGCTCGTAGGTGATGCGGTCCGGGTAGTCTTTCGAGCAACAGACGACCCCGTATAGCATGTCGCCCGCTGGGTAGGACATCAAAATCGAGATTGTCGAATCCTGCCAGATGAGACGCTGCCGCTATCTAATGCAAAAATGTCTGGGTCTGGAATGTTGCCGGGTTTGTCATGCATGTTTTGCATGACCCAGGATGTCTGTAATGCATGACCTAGCATCACAGATCTTTAGAGGGCTTCCTGATGCCTATTCCGCATGACAAATGCCCTCCCCGCGTAGCACAAACTAGACTCCTCTTGCTGATCATGCAAGAATACAGATTTTTTTAGAATCCAAAGTTAGCATCACAAGCTTCAACCTTCCAGCCCCAGACATTTTTGCATTCGATAGCCGCTGCCCTGGCACCAGCCGGTGTTTGGACGCCGTGAGGATCTGTTCGAACGTCTTTGCGGTATCTGTCTCGCTCCTATCGAATGTAAAAATGTCTGGGTCTGGAAACTTGTGATGCTGGGTGGCGGCTCATGATGAGGCTACGAATACTGGCTCAGCATGACAAGTTTCTGAGCTCCTAGGTGTTGCCTATTCTGCATGACAAACTACGGCTCTGCATCACAGAAAAACGGAGCTCTTGGGTAACGTGCATGACAGATTTAAGAGTCATGCCAGACAAGCATGACAAACATGAATTCTTCCAGACCCAGACACTTTTACGGTTGATAGCTCCCGCTGAACTCCGGGTGGCACAAGGATGCGAGCAGCACAGCACCTGTCTTACTGTTGCCTCCCCGGACGCGGCCACAACCGACGTACACGAGGTTTATCGGATTGCCTCCCGCTACTTCCATGATGAGATGGCGACACCAGCAGCAGGGCACTTCACATCAACACCGGCGCTGGCCTCATCAAGGTGTGTTCACCGTGTCCAAAAAACTCGCTGTCGTTCCAATGCCATCTTTTGCTTTTTCTGTACTCGCAGGGTGTCTTGAAAAAAAACCGCGATCACGGGTCCCCACACAAGTATGCTCGGCGGGGACGGTACTACGCAGGCATTCAATATTTTTTAAGTGTAATAGTAGACCCAGCTGTTGCTGCTGCTGCAGTTTCTACTTTATAAAAAAAAAACTGCGAGGGGATGCGCGCAAAATCGAGGACCAAATATCGTTTAAAAAGGACACAAAACGGAAGAGCTTTCCTCCGCCAGGCTGCAGTTCTTTTGAAACGTAATACGACGAGAAAGATGGAACAAATGTTCTTTTTCCCAGACGATGCACTGCTCCTTCTTCGTGACGTACTCCACAAACGTGACGAACCTCAAAGTAGAAACCGAATTGACATTAAGCATGATTTTACACAAGTTCGATCTTTAGTTCGAGGTCATTTCTACTTTGGCTTTGCTAGGGATGCATTGCTCAACATTTAGAATTAGACGCTTCTTTCATAATTGCAATAGTTGTAACCTGGACTAGTTCAGCTGTAGAATGGCGAATTATTAATCTAGCGAAACAAGTTGAATTTGAAACGAAAAAGCGTATCTGATCATACCGTGGATGAAGCCTCAAAGTAATTCTTAAAAAAGAAACCGGAGTTCCGTAGATCAGGAAGCACAGCGAAGCGCACGATATGCTATGCCGCCTTGTGAAAAATCATCTACATACAAGGAGAGAAACCATCGGAAACAGTTCGCAAATAGACGTATTTGAATTTGTGTGTGTCACTGAGTTCATTCGTTTTTCATTGTTGACGACTAAAGGTAATGTCACGATTAGACCAATTCACATTTTTTTCCCCGCGGCGCCGGTAGACATCGTGGAAACCTGGAACGTTGGCATCGTTGACATTACTTTAGCATTTCGCTGCGATCGCGTATACTCGTCGACAGCGTAGGACCCGGGGCCTGGAATGTCCCGGTCCACTTTCCCAATCCAAGTAGGCACATTCGATCCACTCTGCGACTGGTGGTAGAGAGTAACGTCGGCGCTGTGAAGGAGCGTGGGAAAATTCATTTGCTCCACCTTGAAATGAAAGTCTAGCTTTCTTGATCATGGGTTTTTTTACGCGACACACACCAGGTATCAAAAAAGCGGACATGGTACTAACATTTTTCGCGATCGCGTTCTCTGCGAGACGAACCATAGTTGCATCACGAAAGTTTGCTTGCTTACGATTTTCCCATGTTTGCGACGTGATTCAGTTTGAAATTTCCCGACACGTTGTAAGTTCCAGGGCCTATCAAATGTAAAAATGTCTGGGTCTGGAAGATTGGAACTCGTGATGCTAACTTTGGACTCTAGAAAAATCTGTATTGCATGACCAGCAAGAGGGGTCTAGTTTGTGCTACGCGGGGACGAGGGCGTTTGTCATGCGGAGGAGGCATCAGGAAGCCAGCTCAAAATCTGTGATGCGCGGTCGTGCATTACAGACATCCTGGGTCATGCAAAACATGCATGACAAATCGCAGAATCTTCCAGACCCAGACATTTTTACAGTTGATAGGGCCGGGCTTGTCCCGATTTCTTTTCAGCGCCTGGTCCGCGAAGGATCCACCGCTGTGACGCGTTCCTAGTGACATCGGCTTATCGGCCAGAGTTTTTTCTCCCGAAGGCAGAATCCGTGGGTCATACGAACCGGGAGGCGGGTTATCCCTCGCACGGGCAACCTGGTTCAAGCCATTCGTTTCATTAAATCAAAAGCAATTGTTCAGCAATGTGCTGCAGCATCATGCGACACTGGAATCTTCTTTCACACTTGGCAATTTCAGAACCAACACTCAGCCTCTGCGGAAAGCGTACCTGAGCTGCTATGGATCCCTCTACCGGTTTCAGCTGTTTTGGTTCTGGGATCTTCCCAACACCTTGCGACGAAAGCGTTCCTGGAATGTCGTACGCTCCAGGCCCGGGCTCGACATGACGAATGTTCAGTCCCTTTACGCTCGCAGACTTCGCATCTTGCAGACCTAAAGACCAAGACGTAAAAATGGTGCAGCTCGTCGTGCATTTCGCAGCACGTCAACCGCCGAACACACTAGCTACTACTTCATACTAGCCACATCACAGAAGACATCACATCAACATCATGAAAAAGCAGTCAGGTTTAATTAATGCTGAATTATGGTTGGGCGTTTGTGCTTACTTTTCGAGAATCCTTGTCGCACTGTAAAAAAATTGATACGACTGCGCTGTCTCCGTTGCTCCAGAAGCTGTTTTTTCAGGTGCATCAAGCTGTCAATCCGAGTTTGCTGTTCGGCGATCTGCTCGCCGACCTTTTCGCGGCGGTGCATGTCGATGCGCTGCATTCGCTCCCGCCGTTCCACAGCGTCCACAATCTTTAAGTGATCCGCCTCGTGCCGGACCATGTTTTGCTTGCGCTCCTCCGCCTTTCGCTCCTCGAAGGCGTCGAGCTTTTCGTCGTACCGCAGCGCGAAATGTTCCGCCTTGATTTCGTTCTGCAACTGCTCTTCCAGCTGCCGCTGCTGAATGAGCTCCTGCCGCTGTTGCCACTGCTCGGACTTCACGGCCTGCTCGATCTGCTTCTGCTGCTGCCACTCGCGAACCCGAATCTCGTCCTCAAACTGCACAGCTAGGATTTGCGCTTGTCGCGCCTTCTCGTACTCCTCCAGTCCAGACTTCACCTGTTTGGTCTGTTCCTGCTTTTGCAATACGCGCTGCCGTATCTCGGCGGCCTCGTGCAGCCGCTTCTGTTCCGCAATCTGCCTCTTCTGCAAGCGGACGTGCTCGCGCTCGCGCACCTGCTTCTCTCGGAGCAGCTGCTCCTCGTTCTCCCGTTCGACCGCTGCGTGAAGGCGAACCTCTTGCCTGTTTGTGGGGTGCGGAAAAGAAGTACCTCTACTTTATTCAATGCACCTAGTAGTGGTAACAGAGCACAAGCTTTAGTTTACTTGACTGCTAAGCGCGAGAAAGACGTTTTCGTTTTCAGTATGCATGCGATGAAATGCAACTCCAACTTCATCTTCTGCTTACGCCGACATACACGTACGCACCGTCGTAGAGGTATACTAACTTTCAGCCCTAAAGACAAAACAAAATACTTCAATTTTTTCGCCAGCCGTTTTGCTTCCTGATCGAGAATATCTTCCATGAGCTGTAGAGAGTAGAAATTTCCGCTCTCCGGTGCGCCCAGTTTTTCGAATTCTCGCGCGATGATTTTTGACCTCGCTTCCAACACCAGGCGCAGCTTTTCCTGGCGTTTCGTTTCGAAATGCTGAAAACGGATTCTCATTTTCTCCTTGGAATCGCTGCCCTTGTCCGCGACCTTCGCGAAATCCGTCACCTGCCGGATGTGTAGCTCGCTGGGCACGATCCCGAGCTCCTTGCAGGCCTGCAGCGTTCTCGGCGTGGACAGCATCTTTTTCAAATTTGCGTTCTCGACGCTCTGTGCCAACTGGATCTGGTCGAACTGGGGCGAGCGCTGCGTGGTCATGATGTCCGTGGAGGAGGATGAGTTTACCGTCGCCTGAAACCGGTCTTGTTGCTGCTGCGCCGCCGTGGGCGGCCCGGTCGGCAGATCATCTTGCGGCGTGAAATTGGACCAGGTGTGGTTGTTGATACCCGTGCCGGTGTCCTCGTGCAGAAAGCCCTCCTGGAGCGTTGCTGACTGCTTTCCGAGAATCTTCTGGAGCACGGCATCCGCTGGGTCCATCGGCTGGGTTTGCGAGGAGGTCAGTGCTGTTGCCTGCGCAGAGGAACGTGACGTGGTTCCGTGCGGTTGCGCCGAGGAAGAAGACGACGCAGTCTGCGCAACAGAAGGGTGCTGGCTCGATGCCGGTTGTTGGCTTAAATGCTGCGACGAGGATGCCTGCTGCTCCGCTTCTTCGATCAAGGTAGTGAAAGAGTCGCTGCGTCGCATCGTGCTGCGCATGTGGTCCGGGTCGAGCTTCGCGGACCGCTGCAGCTTGGCCCTCGCTTGCTCACTGCTCGCGCTCGATGCCGCTTTCGTTTGCTCCGCTTCTTTCCGCATTTGCTTCTTTTGCTCACCCAGCAGATGCAAGTTGTGTTCCTTCCGCTCGGTACTTACCTACACAAGTAAGGCGTGAAAACGGTCAGCCACCACTGTATCAACAAGAACGCGAAGTAACTTAAGTTATCTTCTTCACGCCTCTGTCTTCTTGTCGAGACGCTGTGAGCAGAAAACGAAATTAATTCATTTAGCTGGTCAAAAAAAGAGACCATCAAGAATACCTGCTGCAGCAACGCACGGTGTCTCGCCAGACTCGCGGAAAGCGGTCGCTCTTCTTCGCTGACGCTGGTGGTGGCGAAGTTTTCGGTGCTGCTGTGATCCCGGCTCGGCTCCGCGGTACTGATGTTGTGCGAATCCTGCTGGAAAGCGAGGTCGACGACAATTTTGCCCGTGGGCAACTTGTCTTTCGCTTCGACCAGCGGCATAACCGCATCGGCCTCCAGTCGTTCCAGAAACTTTTCCGACATGTTGTCCAAGTCGTCTGCTACGCCCATGCTGCGTTCGCTGCCTCACATCGATGTGTGACCTAAAACGTTACTGTAATGTTGGTTTCGCGTTTGCCGACAGAGCCGTGGTCGGGCACAGATAAATTTTCTTGTTTGCTCTTCCATGAATTTCGCGAAAGCTCTATACACAACGACCACGAAAACGAACGATACGCACTAGCAAAGTCGGTTCTCGCCCTCTCCTCGTCATACGTCTCGTCCTGTCTCACTCAACCGAAACGACCAGAGCAAAAATCCTTAGAATGTCGAACGAACCACAAACGACGATGTCTGGAGCTAATCGCCCGTCTTGCAATCGTAAGAACACTCACGGCGAAGACAAAGAGGTAGCGTAGAGCAGCCGTGTATCCCGAGGACTGCCATGCATACCCAAAGGAATACAACGCGAAAATCTTATACCTGAAGCTTCTGAAGAACAAAGGAGCAGCGCAGAAAGTTTCTCACTCTGAACTGATCGAGCCGGTTGCATCGATGTGAAAAGTTGATCGCGCTCAGTGAAAAGTCCGGCAGCACCATTCCTCGGTATGCACCTGAATACCCTTTCCCGAGTCCTCACCTAAACGCGACCGGAACATCCATCGAACCCGGCGAAATCCGATAGGCCGACGGCGTGAGCTACCGCGCCCCCTTGCCCATCGCGCCCGTCGCTTCCCCTGCTCAGACAGCCCGCGCCCAAACCGCGGCGCCGCCCCGGGCGCGCCCTTAGTTATCTGAAGCACACGGAGCGAGCGGGATGGGGCCTGACACGTCAACCCATCGCCCCCCTCCGGCCCCATTCTTGCCGGAGTGGGGCCAGCTGCTCGGGCGCGCGGCCCTACGCGGCACGCTAGACAACACGGCAGCAATCGTCTGGCGCCCTGCCAGATACGCGCCCTCCTTCTTTCTCTGTGCTTCTGGGCCCGCGCTATCATGCACATCCAGCAAGAGGGCCCGCCCCATATTCACAAGACGCCAAGCACTCCCATCCGATTGGCCCCGCACCTCCGACCCCTCCGCGCACTGCTTCAAACCAGGCGCCGGCATGCGTAGCGCAACAGGGGCCGGAAATGCCAAAAGAAAAAAGAAGACTAGACCCCTGGCCCCGCCCCGGCGGCCCGGGGCGGCGTTAGCAGGCGAAGCACAACACGAGCCAAAACCCGCGAAACAGGGAAGCGGAAAAAACGAGACGCAAGGCGGCCCGGAAACGCAAGAGGGCCCGAACCACATACCTCCGTAGCCGGGTGGACCTTCCCCCGAAGCAGCCGGGCAGCCTGCTGCCCTAAGCAGCCCAGGAAGAGGCCGGCGGCGCCGTCCTTCGCAGCTGCAAGCAACAGGGGGCACCCCGCCCGTAAATACCCGGCGGCCACGGCGCGCATAAGGTGACGCGTGTTGCCAGCGGGCCCGACGTACACCCGCCTGCTCATTGCGGCGCTCCTCATATTGTGGGGAGGCCCGCCCCGGGCGGGCAATGGCCGCCGGCCGGCGTCGCTGCAATGCTGCCCCTGTGCCGTGGCCCGGGGGGTATCTGCCCGCTTCAGGAGCTCCGCGGGCATGGGCGCAACGCCTGCAAACCCTCTGCCCGTGGCGGCGCGCGCGCCCGGCAGAACATGGCGCCGGGCACCATCACACACAACGCGCGGAGCCCTCGCAACGAGGCCGAACGCCCTGCCAAGCTGAAAGGCCCGCCCGCCTGTCTCCCAAACGCCCGGCCTTCCCTGATCTCCTCCAAAGCTGTGTCGATTTGGTGCTGCAGGCCCACAGCCCTTGCACGCCGAGGACTTTTTTATGTCCGTCTCTGCCACGTTGCTTGGGCCCTTTGTTTAGGCCCCTGAGGAGACGCACTCCCGTCCCCTTGCAGAAACTTTCCTCCGTTTCTCCGCAGTAGTTCCAGCCCTAAAAGGGGCCGCCTGGGCGACGCACACTCCCCGGCCCCGCCGGCGGGCTCCGCGGAGGAGCTCCGGCCCGGGCTACGCCGGACCGCGTCCCCTATCCCCAACCGCGCGCCCACCCCGGCCCCGGCGGGATGGGGACGAAAAGGGGGCGCCGCGGCGCGAGCCCAATTGCACGGCGCTAGCGCCCTTGGGAGTGTCCGCGGCCCCAAAACGCCCGAAGGCGGGCGCCTATTCCGAAAGCCCTGCCGGCAAAGCCCTGCGGGCCAGCTGGCCCGCCGGCGAAAGCGCGCCGGCCAAGAGCTTCGCGCCCGCCAACACGCAGACCGGCGCTAGAGAAGTGCCCAAGGAGGGGCGCCGCACGCCGCGGCCTGGAGGTCGCCGACCAACCCGCTCGCCGTCGGCACTGTGCCGCCCGCCCTTTCCATTCGGGCGGGCGGGCTCCTACCAATCGGGGCGCCTTGTCGCGAGTCGCATGGCTGGCCCCCAGCTCGTAAGCGGCTCCGAACTGTCGCGCGAGAGGCATCGGAAAGGCCCGGCGGGTAACCGCCCACCCTAGCAGCCATCAGGCCCTGGCAGATTGCTGGCGCCTCCCGCCGAGTGGTTGCCTACCCACTAACTATGGCAGGACTCCGGTCGCGGCCGCCTGCCGTTCCGGAACCAGGGCGAACGGGCTGCGCCCCTCGGCCCCCTCTCCTTGCCTGCTTGCTTGCCGGAAGCACTTGCGGCCCCGGGCCGCGACGCTCCATTATGGCAGGAAGCGCGGGCTGGGCTTCTGCGCGGCCAAAACCTCTGCGCGCGGTGGCCGCCTGCGGGATCCATCAGCCACGCCACTGGCCCTGGCCCCGCGTTCTCGTCTGCTTCCTTCGCCATGGCGCGCACCCCGGTACCACAAAGCTCGCCGGGGCGCCAGGGCCTTCTCTCGGCCTTTCTCCCAACCCGTTCCTACACGGACGCCCACGGACCCATAACATGGCCCGGGTGCCGGGTGCCGCGCCCCGGGTGCCGGCTGCCGCGCCCCGGCTCAGCCTGCTGGCCTCCGGCGCGGTACGAGTGGGCGCTCTTGGCATTTCGGCGGCCACGCTGCTGGTGGGGGAGGCTGAGACGGAGACCTTCAGGTCGTCAGGAAAAAACAACAAAACCAAAAGCTACTCGAGCGCAAAAAAATAAGGAACACTATGCTTCTGAATACAAGTCGGACTATCGAATTTTCCCGAAATTCGGCGCGTCCGAGAGATGAAGGCACGAATCACATGACATCCTACTTTCTCGAAGCAACTTTCGGAATAAATCTCAACAACTGTATTCGCACGAGGGTCCGAGCGCAGGACCTCGGTCATATCAATGACTTCAATTTCAATATTGTCGTGCTGCATAGACAATCATGCGCAAGACAAGAGCAAGACAAGAAGCTAGCTCTCCGAATTACAAGTCTCCACGCGGCACCACCCAATTGATCTTGTGCTCGGGTGCCTCGAGGTAGAACAACCGCATGTCTTCGCAGTAGAAAGCAACCTGCGTCCCCACCATCTGCACAATCCAGAGCGCTGTCGAAGTTTAGTAGTTGCTTCAATTTATCATTTGTATGCACCTACGTAGTTTCTTACGTGGCTCATGATTTTTCTACTTACATCTGTTTCTGCAACCCCAACCAAGAACTGTAATTATATCAAAGCAAAAATATACCGATGAGCATCCCCAGGAACCACTCACGGAAGTAGTATCTGGTGTAGTATTCACCTCGAACACGTTGCCGGAAACTCATCCACTTCGATTCCCAGTCTATCTCCTTCGACTTCGCGACCTCTTCCTCCGTTCGGTACGGCAAAGCAAGCTTTGAGCGGTGCACACGGAGCGGCTTGGCGTGCGAGTAAAACATTTCTTCGTAGTCTGGAAAAGTCATTTTACCTGCACAGAGTTAGTTTTGATTCGTTTCTTTTACAATTCGCCACGCAGTGGTGGCGAATCAGCGTCAACACCGATCGCAATCATGAAGCACTCTTTCTGCACCTTTGATCAACTTTTCCATCCAAGGCTTCATCGATGGGGTCTCTTCGCCGAGCTTCTTCAGAAAGGGAAAGTACTCTGGCGGGACATGATACCTGAAATGAAAAGATATCGATCCTCCAGTCGTTGCCACGGCAGCACTGAAACTGACTGCAATTGCAGCACTTTTGTCTTTTTACACAAAGGGCCAACTTCGTTCCCGAAAACGCAAAGAAAAGGAAAACTATGTCTACGTGTGAGCGATTGTCGTCGACACATCTGGCGGGATGTGTGCAGGCACTCCGAACTCATCCCGCGGCATGACCTCCCATTCTAAGATTCGGCGTGGGTACCAGGGTCGATCCGCTGTCACCTTGAACGTGCTTGGCATTCCAGGCCGGTGGAAGGACGCAATGAATTTGTCGTAAAATACTCGGTTCGGTCTCGACAATGTGTGCAACTGTCGCGCGGAGTTTACAGCGGTATTGTTGAATTGCGGGAGTGTTCTCGGATTCGACTGGTTGAATATACTGCTGGAACTTGCTGACACATGCCTGCCGGCCGGATTTGCAACGAAATTCCTTACGGCACCCAGCATGTTCGCTTGGGCACGCACAAGAAATGTTCTGCGTCCTGGTCGCTGCTGGAACGTGCGCAAAGAACCCTATCTGAACGTCCGGGCAGACAGCTACCCGACAACTTTCCGCACGCCTCTGCACGGCACTAGCAACTAGCCCGACGATAACACCGCCATTCTGCGCGAGATTCTTTATAGCGTCCGAAGTTAAGGCTTGCAATTCTTGCCGCCTCGAGCGAGACTGTAAACAACTGACAAAAAGAGCAAGGGAAGAACGATGGACACTGAGGCAAATCAATGGAGTTCTCCGACAGCTCAAGAAACGACAGGGACTTCGTCTTCAAACCAGTACAACGCTCCGAAACTTGCAACAACCTCTCTTGCTTGCGCATGCGTGCCACCTCCTCACAACTACTACGCGCTAACCTCAGAACGCTGCTACCATCTGACGCATTTTCTTTGAGACATCGCAACAAAAAATGATAGTAGCCTCCGCCTTCCTTATCACGGAAAAACAAAAAGGCTGACCGTTCCGTCGGAGCGTTCAGTCGTGCCTGATATACCTGCGCCGTGCGTCGAGAGGAATTCGGGGTTTCTTATTGGGGAGTATGTAATGCAGAAAAAACATACTTTCTACCCGTCGTGCCAGTCCGTGATACCGTCGACTGTAATTGAGCCCGCCAAAGGCGTGTCGCGGACGATGCACTTTACGTAGTTCTTCTTGAAAGTTGCTTCGTATTCCTCACTTTTGTGCATGGAATCCAGCACTTCCAAGTCGTCCTTATCCAACAGAAACTCCATCGTTTTCGCGTCGTTCACATCCAGAAGGTTCTCCACGATCCTCTCCTTTGTGCAACTCTTTGGCAGCGCCTGAATGTTCTTTTTCTGTATCCACTGCAACAGCACACGCGAGGGTTTCGTCTTGTGCTTTTCTGCGATTTTTCGTATTTCCAGTGGCATCTTCTCCGCGCTCAACAGCCGCCCGTCCGCGAAGGGTCGGTACGCCTGAAGTTTGAGACCCTCGCTCTGAAAAAAGTCAATCGTCTTCTGCCGATACAGCCACGGGCTCACCTCGAACTGGTTGCTGTACGGGCGTACTACCGCCTTCCCTGCTTCCTCCAGACCGTCCAACTCGGCAACGAGTTCCGTGTAATCTGCGACAGTGTAGTTGGACAAGCCTAGCCGGCGAATGGGCTTCGCGGGGCCGACAAACGGCATCAGTGCCTTATAGGCTTCGATGTGTTTCTTCTCCGGCACGGGCCAGTGGATCAGAAAGAGGTCAAAGTAGCTCGCCTGCAGGTCCCGCAGCGATTGCTCCATCTGCTTCACCACAGCATCTGGGCCCGCGTAAATCGTTGACGTCCAGACCTGGAAAAAGTCAGGAGAAGTTATGCGCAGAAAAACGTCACACGCGAACACTTACACGAACTGCAACTAGTACTGTAGGTAGAGTATGTGTCGTTACCGGTGGCAATCAAGACGAAAGAACATAGCGAAGATTACTAAGGAGACAAAGATTCTTCATCAGCAAAACATGTACTTTGCCAATGACATACAGGCTGCCACGGTCCTCCTTCGGCCAGCTCGCCCACAGCGCTTCGCCGACTTCTACCTCATTTCCGTAAAACTCGGCGCAGTCAAACGCGCGGTAGCCTGCTTGCACCGCATCCCTGATCACTCGCAGCACTTCTGCCTTGTCCGTGGTGTTCGGATCACTGCTCCGCCCCACCTTGTATGTGCCAAAGGCAAGAAGGGGGAAAAAGTCCGGAGTTTCGTCCTCTGCTGCCATGATTGTAATTGTTCTTCCTTAAAATTATTGAAACGGCGATAGGCTGCTGTTGCGTCTTGCCTCAGTATCCGCACTTCTTTGTTCGTGTAGTATGGAAATCTCAATAAATGATCGTCTTCCTTCACATGCCCACGCAGCTGCTGGTAATGAATCTCTTCTGATGAAATCTACCGACCACGAGATTGTGTATTACGTGCTTGCAGATCTTCGACTTGCGGTTGCGCGAATGAGATCTGCATGATCTTCGTTCGCCAGTAGTTACAGACGCGGTGAACCGGGATCGTCGCTTTTGTTGTCGGTGACAAACCGAAGTGAGCAACAATCAACGTTGTTAAACGGCGGGATGAACAAATTCAATGCTCGTAAATCTGTAACTAGCAAATCTTGTTCGTGCCTAGGAGCGTCATGCCGCCGGTACCTACGAACTTTGTGTTGTAAAAGTCCATTTCACTCACAAATCTTACGTAGCAGAAGCAGAGGCCGAAGCAGAAAAAATAGCGGTAGAAGACGTCGATTTCGACGGAATTTTCGAAGCGGGGGCCTTCAACATGGTCGTTCTGAATACGCCAGTTGGCTTTTTCTCCACGAGATCTGGAGTAGTTACTGCACTTGGGATTAAATTCAAATCCAGACCAACCCCCCCGACGAGACTTGGCGTCGAGCTGGGTCGCGATAATGTGCTGTAGTTTTTCACGCGGGTACCCCGCATCCCCTTAAACTGGCCGGGTGCAGCTGGTACAGGAGATTGCGACGTCGTTGCTGCGGACAACGAAGCCGCTCCTGTGTGGTTGCTTAGCCGCCCTGTTGCCGCGCCAGGAGGCCAGGTTCGAGTGACGGCTGCCTTCTGCGGGGAGGTAGTGGAGAACTGCGTTTTCGATGGCAGTTTCCGAAGACCAGTGGGTCGAGCAGTGGCACCTCGGCTAACCGGACGAGTGCTGCTGCTGCTGCTACCCTGAAGAAAGGATGGCAAAGGCCGATTTTTCTGCACTCCTGTAAAAGAGGGCGTACTCACACGCTCGGTGGTCGTTGCGAAGGCAGAAGAAAAATCGGTGTCGTGCGCGAAAGCCCCGAGATCGATGGTAGCGCTGCGCACGCGAAATCTCTCCTCTTGCTCCGGCTGCTGTTCAACGAGCTTCTTCAGAAGTAGAGCAGACTGCTCATCAGTCTCGGTCGGCGCAACTCCTGGAATGGATCCACGATCGATTGCCAAATCTTCCGCGCCGGTTTCTCTTTCACCGAGCGGTGCGTGCTCTCGCTGTGTCTCAGTTTCAGCTGATGCGCCAGATAAAAGAGCCTGCTCGTTCTTTGTCTCTGCTTCGTTCTTCGCCTCTCCGAGGACTCGCTTTGCCTTTGAAGAAACCACCTTGTTACTAGCCCGCAGCTTGCTCCCGACCGTCTCTCGGCCGACGATCAGAGCACTGTCTTTGACGCCGCCTTCCGGCACTGCTATCCCATGCAACCTCAGATGGTCGCGAAATTGCACCACGCAATCCTCCTGTTTTCGGGACTCAATGGCGCGCGGCCGGAAAGTGCGGATGAAGTTGATGGCGTCCTTGCTTTTCGCCAATTTCTTCGTGACAACGGCCTTCACAAACAGGTAAAAGCAGGCAGCAAGCGTTCCCGTCCGCCCGTTTCCGCCGCGGCAGTGGATCAAGACCCTGTTGATCGTCTCTTCGGAGGCGGTCGTGGACTTGTTTGCCTCCGTGTCGGAAGGCATCAGCTCCGTTTCAGAGTTACTCGAGGCCGAGAAGAGGACGTCATCGCTCGCGGCGGCTCTCGCTTTTGACAAAAACCCTGGACCCCATCTCAACTCTGCCATAGCGCCGCAAACTCGGTGCACCTGCGGGAATTTGCGTTTGGTTTGAATCTTTTCTTCCCAGCCATCTGTGGCGTCGGACACCAGAAATGCAACTTTGTATTATCGTATACAACTCGTAAAATGAACTGATGCACACAATTTGCACCTTCGATACCCATACCTAACATCCAGTATTAGTCAGTACCTCTTCCATGTCTGAAAATGGTGCCATTTCAATGACCGCGAGGTTTTCTAACAGCACGATTCCAAGGTCGCAACAATGCTTGCGGTACTGGTCCTGCTTGATGCCGAGCGACAGCAGCTCGGATCGGCTCAATAAGTTCACGACCATTTTCACATTTCGTTCCGATTTCAAAAACTGCAAGTCCTGAAAAAGGTCACGGTCGTACACGCAAGAATCGCGACCACCGTTGGGCAGTTTTTTTCCCGGAGCCATCGACAGGCCGAGGTGCTCCATGTGCTCGTCGTTCCGTAGCCAGGTAACCGGCAGCTTATGCGTCTCCGAAGTGATCTTCATCACAGAGGGCGCAGATGTTGAACCAGTGGACGGAACGGCGCCCGATGAGCTCATCGTTTTCAAATTCGACGAGGCCGTCGTGGAGGCACCTTCTGATTGATTTTTCTCCTTGTTTTCCGTGTCGCTTCCATTCCTACTCGTGCTGGCTGCGCTGGCACTGGTCCGTCCCGGCCCGCGGGGCGGTGATTTCGAGGAACGTGTAGTGGTACGGGCGAAAATCATGGTCGCGTTTTTCATAGATTATTATTTCAAGTTCTTTTTACGATTGCGTCACTACGAGAACGAGATTCAGTTTCTGTGGAATCGGTACGAAAGACACGCCTTGTCTTGCGAAGCTGCTAACAAACCCGGTTTATCAAATACTGGAATCCTGGCTATTAGAGAGCAGAACTCAGATGTTACTTCGGAAAACGTACGCAAAAACTACGATGTAACGAAGGTGGACATCAAAGCCGAAGAACGCATCCCCACCCGACCCACCTCTTTCTGATAGATGCAGCAGCCTGCCCAAGCTGATTGATTGAGACAAGTAATAGCACGACACAGTCGAAGCGAGTAAGGCAGACAAAGTGACGAGAGGAAAAATCGAATGTTGCAAAAATTCAACGAATGACCCGAAACAAAGACAAAATGTGATCGACAACTCGAAATAATCGGACCATCTTCATCAAAATCTCTTTTCTTGCCATTCTACTTCTGTGCAAGTACTAATACGCTATACTGGATTTTTAATCGCTCCGCCAGCGCACGAAACATCGCATAGGTGAGCCCGCACGTTCTTTGCGAACAAGTAGGTAAACCTACCCTTCGAACGACGGACCACACGCATCTTCCAACAATGGTTCCATAATGTACCAGAGATCATCGGAAACCAGTCCCTGCTCCCGCCTCCGAATAAGCTCCTCCAGCAATCCCAGGCTCTCGCGACGGGCCGCGATCTCCAAGTCGCCGCCCAGCAGGCTGGGAAAGCTGTTGGGCGGCGTTGCGCAGGCGAACGACTGCCAACCTCCGATCTTCATCCACGTGGGAAAATGCATCGCCAACGCTCCCGGCGTACATGCTGATGAGGTAATCGGGCGTGAACCAAAACACGACGGTGGAGGCCGCGCCGATAATGCCGTATACCACTGGCAGCAGCGTCAAGCAGTAGAGCAAGATCGACAAAGCAAGGAAGTTGGTGCCATGAACAGTGAGAGTGACGTTTGCACCCGTGGCCTTTAGAATCCGGACCAGAGCAACGGTGCGAGACGAAACGTCGTGTATGGAAATCAAAGCGCGTGCACTTCGCGTCCACGATAAGGTTGATGCCGGGTCACTCCGCGGAACACTTGAAGAGTTTATTTCTGCGACATCACCCGCTTCATCCGCGTTGATGTGCTGCTTTGCCGAGCCGACGCGTGAGATTGTTGTATTCGATCCACCTGCAGCTCTTGTTCCCCCGTCAGTCTCGCCGATGGACATACCTAGCGTCGCGAGATGGGAGGTCATCATGTTACAGCTTGAGCAACTGTTAATTCCTTGGGCGCGTAAGTTGTTGGTATGGTGCTTGTATTTGGTGTTAGCAAAACCGATTTCGTTGTGGCTTCCGGCGATTTCTCAAAATCGAATTCGTTGTGGCTTCCGGCGATTTCTCAAAATCGAATTCGTTGTGGCTTCCGGCGATTTCTCAAAATGAACGAGGGCAACGATATCGCACTAAAAAAAGGCCCGAGAACGCGGGCTCGAGCCGATTTGCTCAGCCGCGCCCCCACCGGTCCGCGGCCGCGAACTCGGGCCTGGTTGGTTTCCGTTTCGTTGTTTGGGGGCCTTAACCCGCCGCCCTGAAACTGCGATTTTGCGGAAAACACGGCCCGCGTTTTCTGCGAAGTCGCAGATTCAGGTCGGCGGGTTAAGGCCCCCAAACAACGAAACGGAAACCAAACAGGCCCGAGATCGCGGTCTCGCGCCGATTTGGTCGCCCTCCCCAACCCAACCCGGCGCATGACCCAACCCCACGACTCCCCGACCCAGCTCGGGGTGC